CGGTCAAGTCACACAGACACGGACTTTCTGCTCTTTTTCTTCTGCTCCCCTTTGGCTAGAGGGACGAGGAAATCTCATCGGCAACAGCGGAATCATTCTGTTGTAATTCCATAGGTAGACAGTCTTTCTCTCCTTCCATACTTTCAACGTGAACAGGCCAGTGGAGGAAAGAAAGGGCCAACTTGGTGCACAGGGAAACTTGTGCCTGGATGATGTCAACTATGGAGAGTATAAGCCACGTGAATATTATCTAGACAGATGATGGCGAAAGTAATCATATGTCCCACTTGAAACGTAAACAAAAGGCCAGCCATTCGTGACGAATCCTCAAAGACTCGTATGGTTGAGAGCAAATAGTTGTCCGTCCTCGACTGGCTCGACGTCCTGGTATTCCCGTCAATGATTTTGTAATTGTACAATATGTATCGTGCATTATTTATGACATGGCGAGGACAGCCATTCACGTACTGCGTCTCTTCTAGCGTAAATAGCTGACAGTCAAGACCGGCCTCTGAACCCGCGGCCGTTGTCTTAGCTGAATAGGTGGGAAACATATCATGGTAGATCGTGTGATATTCTAATATTGCCAGAATGAAAGGGCATCTCTTGAGAAGATATAGTCGCGAGGCCAAAGGCTTGACAATATTTATGTATAGCACCCCATTTGAGATAGCAAACAGGGACGTTCAAGCACTTTCGTCAGGTATCAAAGTATCTTTAAGCAAGAGTCGTCTTCAAGACAAAACATAACGGACTAGATTAAACTTGATGACAGTGACCAGATCGTCTTGAGTCAATCTATCAAAATGGAACATGAACTTGGGTGTTAATATTGAATGACATCTGTTGCAATAGCCCCGCCTAGGTCCTATACAACGGCTTGGCATACAGCATCTCGGAGCTGTGTTAGCCGCAGATATGCCGTGGCAGGACATAATGAATCATATTCATGAGGTCATCATGGTGAATATTATACAAGTCTTCCATCTTTGAGACTATGTTCGAGTAGCTAGGTTATTGACCTCGAATGGTAAAGCGCCGACACAGAGCGTGCGAGGACGTTGTCTCAGCCCCTCTCTGGTGGTTACGAACAGCTGCCCCCTGGAATAAATGTCCATGAACTCTGAAGTCACCTCGCCCAAATCGAGCCTGGTGTTATTTCTGGAAATGAGACACCCTCACAAGAGTGGGTTCACCTTTTTGAGGTTAATGCTGTTTACTCAACAACATCACTCAAGTGCTCACGGTTTAGATGCTTCCTGATGTATTGCGTCTTGGCTTATGATATGAATGAGTTTGTCTATATAAGTTAGGTCAGATGCGCTTATCCCGGCCTCATTAGGAACTGGTAGTCAGTAGATTTAAGTGTCTATGCTCTTATACAGATACCACAAGCAGAACCTGCTCAGGCACTCTACAGTCCCTGAACAGTTTACAAGGTGTGCCAGGGTTCCGCGTTCCAGCTTGCCAAAAGCAGTGCTTAACTTGAATAACCCATGACTTCCCAAGTCTAATACTGGCCTGGGCGAAAAAGGGTCGTAGCCTAAGGGACGCGCTGCAAGATTTGGAGTTGCTATCAAAGATGGCTTGCTGCAAGGCGTAGAGGACCAGGTGCAAACTTGACGGGCACTTGGTTTTCTTTTGCTATTTTCCCCCCTCTTGTGCATCTCCTATGGATGTATATGTTTATTTCGTGCTTCAAGATATATGTTTTGCTTGGCCTGCAAAGCCATCACATTGCCCAATTGTGTTTGATGAGTGTTTGAGATTAGGGAAGGTATAAAGCTGAGACGACGTATGGAGAAACTCAACTTTCGTGAAAAATTGAATAGAAGCTTAGAGCAGTCGACTCTACTCATGACTTATTCTCACTAGAGTCTCCAAGAAGGAACCACTGAGTTTGGAAATGCGAATTAGGAAATAATAAGCCTCCACAGATGGGAGAACTTATAATATAATTGAGCCCTCCCCCTTCCCTCTCACTCCTCTTCCTCTCTCTACTCGTCTCAAACCCATGATATCGTGATTTTCGGATTGGGAAGTATACTCATGTTGCAAGCAAACTCTGCAAGGATGGATGGCATGAGCGAGCGTACTTAAGTACCTATGTGGGAAATTCTTACATGCGGACACTTCACCTTTTTGACTGTCTTATGATATATTAGGCTGTACACCTCCTTTTACTGCCTGACACGACGGCCCGGCCTCTAATCCGAATTGATCGAAAAATCCTGTTACTACTTACATAGGTAAGTGAGCCGCTTTCTGCAGCGGTAATAGCCCTTCCCCAGCAAAGCTCCAGTTTTCCAGCACAACTACTAGCACTGTCCAAGGTGCTCTTCAGTACTAGATTTCATTACTCGTTGGTAAAATATCACTACCGGTTGAAGAAAAGAGAATTGTCTACCAGGAGAATAATCAAGTACTACGGTACCTAATTAGGTGGTTAGATTGGGCACACCAGTTAGTCAGTCCTGTTGTGCTGAAAAGGTCCGAATTAAATCTGTTCCGAATTGTTGCAAATGACGTGTGAGTGATCTTCAGTACTGACCGGCCCAACATTTCTTCAGCAAGGTTTCTTCTCTCCCATATTTGTTTGATGCACATCTTCATCCTCTTCTCAGTCTTCTACATCTGGCGCCCAACACCATTCTGATAATGCTCTCTCTTGTAGAACGACGGTAAGTGTAGATGAGCTAGTTAAAAAAGCTGTTCGTCAGAGACTAGCTCAGGAGAAGCCATTGGAATTTATTCCATGGAAATTTGATGAGCAATAGCCGCAATCCTATTACCTGTAGGACGTGGACGACGAAATCGGCAACCCATCAAGCCGTCACATACAGAGAGCCTTTCAAGCGCTATCACAGCAGGCAACTTCAGTTTTAATCCGACTATTCAACGCCAATCTGCACTCAGAATATAGCCTCAAGAATGCATGCCTCGAGGTAGACGATTGAGAGAGCGGTGAGAACAGATTTACGCGGAATTAGCAGGCGCTGCCGGCATTGCGAGAACGTTTTGGGTGCTCAAGTATAGACGAGGCATATTTCTATGACAGCGGGATCAAGTTGCATGGCTTCAAAAATTTTAGGACATCGAGGTGAGCGAAGAGAAGCAGAGGCAAAAGGAGGCTCTGCTCAAACCTTGCTTCTGAGAAGGCTTGATGCACGGACCGCTTAGGTATCAGAGCCATCTTCAGCCTCGTGAACAACACATATTTGTAGACAGGAGATCTACTCATTGGACAAGCGTCACAAGTGGTACATAGTAGGAAGCAGTAGAAAGACTACAATTCGCCCGAGTCTCAAATCACAGAGCAGCTCTGCCAAATGATCAGTCTTGTGAATTGTCTTGACCTCGTAGCTGAGCACTGCACGCTCGTTCATTTTTGGATAGCCAGGGGATGCTTGACAATCATATCTCTTGATAGCATTCGACCTGGCACCGCACAAGAAATGAACTAAAGCAATAGTGGAAGCAGAAATGAGCGATCAAATGACGTGCTGGAGGTTGGGGGAAGGGGGCAGAAAGGAAAAGGCCAGAAATGGTGAAGATATCATTTACGTGCTTGATCATCGCTGAGATGACATGCATCATCCTCATTTACAATAGCCCTCGGAGCACTGAATTCCCTGGCAAGGTTCTTTTCCTTATTGAACTCGTCGCTTCGCTCCGCAACGGCGCGGCGGAGTCTGATACGGATATTGAGAAAAGCAACCACGATAGATCTTACAATCATATGGAGGAACATAGCAACTACCCCCCCCCCCAAAAGTATCATCAACATACATTCGAACACTCCCCGTCCACTGAGCAACTCCGAGACACATGTACCACCCAGTCACCCATCAAAGTTATATTATTGTAACGGGGGACCATACAAATGCAAGATCTCGGGCTATATACATAACAATCTCAAGGATAGATGCTTTCATGCTCAAAAACTATCCCACCTATTGGGACTACGCCCAGTATAGGTCAGACGAGACAAAAGAAATAGTTACCCAATTACTTAAATATCTAGGTGTAAACATACACTTGATCTATAAAGCATACTATTGCAAGGCCTTGACATCTTTTCAATGAGGAATGGAGATGAAACATTTGTGTTGTTCTAAACATGGAGCTAGAGCTCTTGGAACATGATAAAACGAAGCCAGACCTGGGACAACACTGGAAAGGGCATCACTTGCTTCAACCCTGGTATGATGATCCTCAAAAACATGCTGAAAGTTATCCAAAAGAAAGTGTATCAGATGGATGAAGAAGCCAGAGTGATTGGCTTAGGTTGAAAAAGTAAATCAACGGCATGCAGCCCGTGGGGAAATGATTGGCGCGGAGAGGCCTAAAGAGGGACATGTCATGTGTGTGTGTGTGTGTGTGTGAAGAAGATGCAACCTGGAAAAGTCACCTGCATCTGCAGCGAGATCTGTAGAGGGGAAGAAAAGGTGAGCCAGGCATATGACAGCCAGGACCACGTGTCTCTGTTTGTGTCAGTCTACAGGGTTGGCAGGCCAGAGTCTCAGATTAGCGACCTGCTGCTTGCACTTGATGCTTTCAGTGCTTGAGTTGTTTTTTGCCAGGATGCGGGACCCGAGACAGTGCACTGGGGATTGGAGAAAGTGCCCCGCCAAAGAAGGAACTTAGGGCCCTCAGGTGCCCCCTCCCCTGACCTACCCCCCTATGCACGGAAGGCAATCCCTGCTATCTCTCTCTTATCGACTGCTGCAACAGTTAGATCAGATTTGCATGCAGCAGCACAGTTGGTGTTTCGTACAGGTCCAGACCAATAATGACCATGCCAGGACCGGATGAATGCACACCTCACACAGCCAAACCCACCTGATCTGCTCTGGATACACTGCTGTGCTACTACCTAAGTACTTTGTGTACGTGCGCAGAGCCTCTCTACTCTGCTTCCAAGGGTCCAAGCAACAACATCACCGCCTTTCTCCTAGAAAATCTCCGCCGACCTACTCAGGTTTTCCTCTAGACAATCCTGTTCATCAATCATTTCGCTTGGTCAGCTCTCCTGTGACAGGACCAAGACAAGAAAATCGAACCTTGCGCGACCTTGTATCATCCCTACCCCTTTCAACTTGGACTTCAAACTCTAGGACATCATTCTCTAGGTTTCTCTTCCTCTCTCCCTCCGACTCGATACGATCTGACACACCCTCGCACTCAACCCATCTTGTCGCCGCCTTGACCACAACTCTTCCTCTTCTTTCTTACCCTGGGACACTGTTTCCTCCTTTTTCTTCTTCTTTGTATTGAGCATACAGGTTTCCTTCAATTCACGTCGAGACTCCCTATCATCTCAACCCCGGGCATTCCAGCCCATCACCGACCCACCCACCAGCAATTATGTCAAACTCAACTTCGACACCGCCTCTGACAACAGATGCTGGACCTGAGGAGCATCATAGCGATAGTTCTAAGCTGCGCATCTTTATAGGCATCCTTAAAAAGTCTGTATCCAACATCTTCTTTGTCGTCCTTGCCCTCTTATCTGACAGGACTGTCACCGCCCATCGAGCGCGCGCCGGTATACTGACCCCCCCTCTCTCTCCGCTGCCAGGTTCATCGGTGTCGCCGATCTCGCTTCCGTCCGCTTCTCTCTGCCCTCTCAGCTGCTCGAACCTACCCCCAACCTCGAATACTGGAATTACCTCGACGCCCCCAATGCTTTCGTAGCCATTGGCACCTCGGACGATCCCCTCGATCGCATGCTGGAAGTCCTACGCTTTTGGTTCACCAAGGACCTCAAATATGCAAAGGGAAAACCATGCAAGCCCTACAATTCCTGCCTGGGCGAGTTCTTCAGGGTATGAGACAGGAACCCCCCACCCCCCCCCCCCGGCAGCGCAAGACAGAAAGATTGGATAGCTAGGAAAGCAAAAAGCGCTGACGTATGTGTGTGCGCGCCCTTGTTCGCCCTTCAGTGCAACTGGGACACCGAAGACAGTGCGCCGAGGATTAGCACCAGAGACCTTGTGGCCGGCGGTAGTAGTGGTCCCGCGAGCGGTGCCTCCAGCGTCAAGTCCGGCAGGAATGCTATACCCGCTGGGCTCGGCTCCGGCGACTCGAGGGCCGCGTCCACCCTCTCCGTCCCGCAGACGGCCAAGAACCCGACCTCCTCGCCCGTGCGCGTGTCGTATTTGACCGAGCAGACCTCCCACCACCCGCCCGTCAGCGCCTTCTGGGTCGACTGCCCCGACAAGGGTCTCTACGCCCGCGGCTTTGATCAGATCAGCGCCAAGTTCACCGGCACGTCCATCAAGGTCAGCCCTGGCGAGCACAACCTGGGCATTTTCATTACCCTTGAGAGGCGCGACAACGAGACGTACCAGCTGAAGCACCCCGCCGCGCACCTGGGCGGCCTCTTCCGTGGTGCCCTCAGCGTGAGCGTCGGTGACATGGCCTACATCACTTGCCCCCAGACGAAGCTCAAGGCGATCCTGAACTACTACGACGAGGGATGGCTGAGGGGTTCCACCAACAAGATGGAAGGGGTCGTCTTCAGATATGATCCTGAGAACGACGACAAGACCAAGATCAAAGATGTTCCGGACCAAGACGTTTTGGTGCGGCTGAGCGGCGCCTGGAAAGACAAGATCCAGTTCACAATGGGACCGAAGCCATTTGTGAGTTTTTTTCTTCTGATTTGTTTTTTATATGTCTTGCGCGCACGCGCGCTCTCTACCGCCTAATTTGCGCCAAAACCCTACCAGGGCCTAAGTAAACTATTCGCTAACGACAAGAACCTACAGGACTCCCAACCACAAGAGAAGCGCACCACGATCATCGACATTGGGCCGCTCAGCGTTGCTCCCAAGTCTCTCCCACCCATGGAGAAGCAGCTGCCGCACGAGTCGCTGAAACTCTGGAGCGGTGTCACCGATGCCATCATGGCCAAGCAATTCTCCAAGGCCACGACCATCAAGCAGGAACTCGAGGAAGCTCAGCGGGAAAAGGCCAGGGAGAGGGAGAGGACCGGCTCCGAGTTCAAGCCCGCCTTCTTCGGACAGGTCACCGGCAACGGTGGAAAGCCCGATCTGACGGAAAAGGGCCAGGAAGTGCTGCGACGGGCGCAGAAGGGTGACTGGAATATGGAAGGAGTCCTCACCTCATAGAGGGGATGGAGGATTCGTGCGGCGGACGTGGTATGCAGGCACATTTTCATCCGGCCAAAGACATTTTACTCACTGTTTCTTGGTGAATGAATGCCTTTCTCCCCTGCCTTCTTTTGTTCTTTCCTTTGGGTCATTCGTCATCTGATTGATGAGAGGCGAGCTTTTCCCCGGTAGTGCACCGGCTCACTCTTTTAGAATATGCATAGCTCTGGTTAGGGGTGGGGACGGTACGCCTTTTTCTCGTTTTTGGTTTTTCTTTCTATTTCTTCAAACATATACAGCAGACATCAGATATTTCGTTGTCACCATGGGGAAAAGGGAAGGGTGGTTGGGAGGATAGGGAGGGGATGAGGATTTTCCGGCCTCGCTGGACAGTCATGCTTGGTAGATAAGTACACTTGCAGGTTAGGCACAGACGCCTACACGCCCCAACACGCACACGTACAGGCAACGCATTACATTACTTCAGAGAGAAGAGGAAGAGAGAGAGAACGAGAAACACATACATACACATGGGCGTTTCGGCTTAGAAAGAGGATAGGCTAAATCACAACAGCACCGACATATCAGTGAGCACATTGATCATGTTTCAAGATACTAAGCGCACTGATAGGCTTCATGCCATGGAAACTTTACTCAACAGCAAGATAGAGAGACGGCGATTGACAAGGGGAGAGGAATGGGAAAGGGGGTTTGACAGGCAGGTAGGAGCCTTTACTTTAGAACGTCAAGAGATCCTAATACAACTCACTATGTCACGAACTGCATTTCTTCAAGAGTGAATATTTTTGTAGCTATCTACCCGATAGTCTATGCCTGCTGCTTCTCTTTTCTCTCTCTCTTTTCTCCTTCTGTTCCGCCCCAGGGCCTTTACTCTACCAGCAGAATACCCTTAATTCTAATGTCCGGTCAGTACAGATGCCCAATGCCTGTCCAAAATAAAAACAATCAAAAAACAACACCCCGAAAACGTTTTCTTTTTTGTAGGCCCCAATGTCCTTTCTTTGTTCCCCTAGTCGCTCATAGGCCCATTTGTACACAAGGAGTCTTTACGAGCTATGTGGTTTTCCTAGTAAGAGTGAGATGGACTTTACTGTCCCTTTTGCATCTCAGCTTCCAGCTTGTCAATATCCTTGAGGACGCCGTCCTTGCTCGCGATCTTGTTGAGTTGAGTGACCTCAAGGCTCTTGGCTCCCTCCTGCTTCAAGCGAAACTCGAGATCCTCTATGGCGCGAAGCTTCTTCTGGAGCGACCTCATCTTCTTGGCATTGGCGCTTTGGGCCGGGTTGGCTGCCGGGGTCTCTCCTGTCTGTGCTGGGGCAGCTTGTGCTTGCTGGACTGTCTCCTGGGGTGGTGCTGCTTGGCCGGACGGCGTTTGGTCTCGGCTGTTCTGAGCAAAACCGCGACCGCCACGTTGGCCTTGACCAGGTCGGCGGGAATGACTTCTGGAGTGGTTGTTGTTGTTATTGTTGTTCTGGTGACCACCACGACGATCGCGGTGGCCGTCTTCGCCACCGGATCCGCTCCCGTAGCCCTGAGGCGGGGGAGCCAACCCGCTCTCATTGCTGTTGTGATTGTTGTTGTTACCTGGTGCCTGGCCCTCGACATCTTTCGCCTTCTTGTTCCCGCGCTTCTTCTTGTTCTTCAGCGCCGTCTTGGACAGGTTTTCATCGCCGGCGGCCTCAGCACCGGGGACCGATGGACGAAGTGTGTTTTCAGAAAGCTCGGCCCCAGGAACTTGGCGGCGCGCCCGGCCAAATCCATTGAGGGCAGGGGCAGGCCCGCCGTTGCTCATCACGTGCGCGGCGCCGCCCTCGTCCTCGCGCTTGAAATGGAGCGGCGTCATGCTTCCTCGAGCACCAGGCGGTCGGTACGCCCCGACGGGCTTAGAAGGAGTCTTGACAGTGCTGAGGTATGTCTTGGCGGACTCGTGGGGCTCAGGCTCGGCCAGTGGGTCGACGGTCTTCGGCAGCTGGTCGGCCGGCACTGGGCGCCAAGTGATGTTGTACAATTCATCCATGTCCTGGTTGTACATGATGCGCCCGCCCACGTGCCAAAGCTTGACACCATTGTCGACGCGCAGCCGCGGCGACGTCGTTGCTGTCATGATGTACGTGCTGTCAGGGCTCCACTGGCACACGCTCGGGTTCCCACTCTCGATGGTGCAGACCTTGCGGTAGTCCTTGGAGAGGTCGTACACATCGATCTGACCGGCCAAGTTTCCAAAGCCGGCGACAAGCACGAAACGACCAGTAGGCGAGAAGGTGATGGTGTTCCGAGGACCGAGAGGGAAGGACCGCTGTGCGACGGCTCGGTGGTTGAAAACAGTTGTCTTGGCAGGCATATAGCCGTAGACGACGCCAAACTCTCTGCCAGTGGGAGACCACGACACGTCGTGAATTGGACCCTCCTTGTCCAAGGTGATACGAGCATCGAAGTCTCCATTGGCACTCAGCATGTACAGTGTCGTCTCTCCGTAATAGCTCTTGTTGGACTTGTCGACGTCTGTCTGAGCCAACACGATCAGGCTTGAGCCCTGGAGGTTCCACTTCAGCTGGACCTTGTCACCCTTGAAGAAGGTCTTTTGAGAGATGGGGCTTGCGAACTGGGGCACGTTGAAGACTTTGACAGTAGCAGGTTGTCCCTACGGTACTCTAACGTTAGCACTGGCCCAAACCAAGAGTTGGAGTGGACAGACTGCCAGGGAAGGTTTTGATGGTTCAGGACTTACCTTTCTCTCGGGCACGAAGACTGCCACGTTGTGGGAGGATCCTGCTGCGAGCGCAAAGCCCGACACGCCCTCGACTCTCAACTTGTTCCAGACCGTCTTGAGGTCATGACTCTGGTAGAACTGGACCTCGTTGGTCACGAGACGAGCACAGAATTGCTCATCAGCTGTGTACTGCAGATTCCACTCGTTCTGCGACTTTTGCACAAACTGTCCCAAGGGCGCCTTAGCTGTTCCCTCGGGGAGATCCTCAATAATACGCCAAATCTTCAGATTCTTTGTGGCATCGCCAGCCTCGTCCTTGGACGGGCGTTCCAGGGTGGTGAGGAAGGTTCCCAAGGGGGAAAAACCCAGCTCGTTGACCAGAGCCAAGCCAGGCAGCGAGGTCACCACGTTGCCAGTAGTGGCGTCAATAACGCTCACGCCATCATTAGAGGCCCAGGCGAAGTATCGGCCACACGGAGAGTACACACAGCACCGGGAGTTCCCTTCGTACTTGTCAAACCCAGGGACTGGAGAGTAAGGCGCAGGCTCTCCAGCGGTTGGAGCAGGAGAGGCGGAAGCCTTGTCAAGCCAGCCGGCATTGAAAAGACCGACAGCCTTTTGGGTTCGGTAGGCAAACTGCAGCAGATTGGCCATGACTAGTCAAAGTCACAGAGAATTGTTGGTGCAGGATGAGGAGGTGGGTGGGGATGGAATTTCGTTCGTTTCGACTGGTTTCGGGGGGCGGCGGTGAGCAATCCTTGTTGACCGGCTCTTGTGCTGTTCTTGCGTATTGTTGCCTTGCAAAGCTTGACTGAAACAAGGCACAGATTGTTTACACGAGTCCACACGTGGAAAACTTCGCCAGTCTGTTCCGAGTTGTCAAGAAAGATGCTGCTGCCAGGGGGGGAAAGGTAGCGCGGCCCAATGCTCTGCAAGTTCGGGCAAGCTTTGTATTTGGAAAGGTCGACAGGTCCGTGATGCCTCGCAGCGAAGAATGCTGCGCTTTGAGCTGACTGGACACGACAGGTCGAGTACGTTCTCTTCACTTGTATGCAGAGTGAAGAGGACAGTCGCGTGACGGGGGAAGATGGCGTAGGCGTCCTTCTGCAGGCAGTCTCGCTTCGATCTCAGTGTTCAAAGTTGAAGGTGCGCAGGGCGGTCGAGACGTCGCAGAAACCCGGTCGAATCTGATATACGAGACTTGGCAGGTCGAAAGAGATTCGGAAGGAAAGGTTCTTGCGTATCCTGTATACTAGAAAGCCGTCGCCAAAAGACGTTGGGACAGGACGATGCAAAGGTTGAGGTGATGACAAGGGCTGACCCGCCGCACAGGAGCAGAAGGGGGGAGACAATGGAAAAACCAGGTGAAAGAAGAAGAAGACGGGGAGAGGAGGAGGGAGAGTTGCTAAAAGAAGCACCCGCGAAGGGAAGAATTGGCGTTGCGCGGTGTGTGTGTATGGTGGACCGGTGGGCTGAAGAAAAAAGGAAAAGAAGAAGAAAAGAAGGGGAGAGAAAGTCGCCAAAAAAAAAAAAAAAAAGGTCATAGCCGTGCGTCGTTGTTGTTTTGGCCCTGTCCTAAATTTTCCAACCCAGTCAGCAGCGTCACAGTCAGGCTCAAATCAAGCGTCGAGAAATCTAACTAGGCCCTTCTAGCAGGCCTAGCCTAGGCTTGGCTCCAGTTGTCAGCCAGCGCGGCCCTAGGTGCTAGGGAGGTCCGTCCTCAGGAGGGCACACAGGAGCGGTGGGGCTGCATGTTAGTGTGTTAGGTACAGTGTCAGTGTAGCCTATGGGCGACCCCAAGGCCTGCTAACAGTTCCTAAAGTCGCTCCTGGAGCTCACCAGAGATGTCCCCTAGTCTGGATGAAGCCTAGCTGCTGAGATGATTGCCGGACTCTACGCCTCTCAGTGGCTCTAGACTGTCCCAGCTCGGCCCTATCCGACCTTGGGACTCAGCCCTCCCATGACCCACCAGCCCTGAGGCTCTGCATACTATTCTCCAATGCATCTTAGCGATTTACATATCCAACTTGAATGAATTGATCACAACTAAAATGACCGTAGGTCCTTGGGTGATATCCTGTCTTGCCTTGGTCTGTCTCGTACATAGAATCTCCTGTTTCACTGGTGCACTGCACCATCCTTTACGTTGACCGCGCAGATAGATAGATGCTTCTCAATGCAGGCTCGAGACCTTGAACAGTCCTTACATGAGCCAGTCCATACAGGCAGACAGACGTCCGACAAGTAAGCAGTCCTGCCCCCAAGCGCAATCTCCCCCACCGCCCATATTTTAGGGATTTTGACACAACACTTGACACGCTCGTTCAAGACTTGAAAAACTGCCCCATGCCTGTGCAGGACTCTGGCGAAGCAGACGAACACTCTCGTTTGAAGATGGTTGGATCTGTCGGGCCTCATCATATCTACCATAACGTTATTCAGGTATGCACGAGCAGTGTGATGTAGGTGCATTGGCCTACTAGGACGGGTGAACTGTATTCAGCTGGGCGGGGAGATGGGCATTACACATCCTCTTCAGCTATGAGAATATAATTCTCATTATATGTACCTGCGGAAATTAGTAGAATGAATGACCTTTTCTTTTGATTCCAGGACTCTACTCCTACGATTTGGATGAACTGGGATGAGTGGAAAGCAAAGGCAAGGGGGCAGACAGCTAAGGTATTATCACTGCTTGCTCAAGTGAGTGGATCTCAATGAAAGACGTGGCGATCTAATGATTTAGCCAAGTGCTTGGACATCCCATGCTGTATCATAACATCTTTGTACAATTCCAGCACATATCTGCTCCACAGATTGACGAGAGCTGTATTTTTGTTGGGCAGTGTCCACTCTGCGACTGTGTGGAGATGATGACAGAAGTTCTAGGCCGAGGGATCTGATCAAATATTGACATTTTGTCTCTAGAAAGCACCATATGCCCAGTTACCTCTCCGTATTTGTATAAGCCCTGGAAGTGAGAGACTCTGTTGTTTAGAGGTTTGCAGCTCTGTGAATCCCAGCAAACTATGCAAGTGTACATATATTTCAACAGATTAGTGGTCAAGTGCAAAATTGAATTCATTCCACTTGTCCAGGAAGCCAAGTCTCCCCCGCAGAATCGGAGTTGGGCAGATGGGACAAAAAAGATGGAGAAGGCTGACCGGGGGAGGTGCAGGCGGTGGAGTCCTTCTGGCCAGCCATTTGCAAGCACACGTGGACAACGTCCTAGACCGTGTACGGAAATCCTTCCTGAAACCTATTACTGCCTTGCAACGTTAGACACAACTACTCTCTTTTTCTTTTTCTTTCTTACACAAGAATCATGCATGTCTGGCCCCCCTCGCCACATCTTCGCCCTGATCTGACCCGAATCCAGACCGCATTTTGTACTTTCTGACAAGACAGAAATGATTACTGAGGACATTTGAGCCCTTTCTGATAATGCTGAACCCTTCCTTTCCTGTTGCAGACCTACGCTCGCCCCCTTGGTCGATGTCTGGCCTGTCTGCTTCGTACTGAACACTGCAAGTCACCTGCAGGGCCTTGGTCTGAGGCAGAACCTGCATTTCCCCAAGACTGGTTCCAAGATGATCTGCGAGATCAGGGACTGTCAACAAACCATTACTACTATGTAAGTACCAGCTAGGGCCCTCAGGCTGGTTGATATATTCTCTCCCGCTCACACGCTCACCTTTTGTCCTCCTCTCTGTCTTCCTCTCTGTCTCTGTCTCTGCGCCGAACCTTCATCATTAACAGTCAGTAAACAGCTTCGCCAGATAAAAGAGGTGGGAAGGGGCGCTCTGCATCGGAGAGCGGGCATACTGGATCTCGGCCCAATTCGCGTCTTTGAGAAGAACGTATACACCGTGTAGACTAACCAGAAGTATGCTAAATTCCGCTGGGCCCCCAAAGGGAAGTCCTCCCCCCACACCTCCTTCATGTCCATTCCCCGGATTGGTACCCCGCAAAACTTCTTGCTTGGACCATTACCCCAGGCTATCAAGTCTCACCCACCATCAGGCTCCAGTTTGTGAGTGTTTATCTGTGTGTATGTGTGCGTGTGTGCAAGCCCAAGATGCATGATCGGCCTCTTCCCCGTGGCCGAAGGAGCGGGAACATGGGCTGCAGGACATGGGCTTCTGCATCCATCATGGGTGGCAGAGACTTGTAAGACAAGACTTGCAGCAGTAAGATGTCCCAGGTTTATCGTATTGGTGTCTTCCTTCTGTCTCTGTACTCGGCTCTCATTGACCCGAAGACATTGACCCTTCTGAGTATCCTCTCCTGCCACTCATTGGCCCGACCTTTGCATGCTGCTTGCCCGAGCTCATACTGCCCTTTTTCTTATAATGTTACTGTACCTCCATCTTAAACGTGTGTGCTTGATTTTTATGTCCGATAGTTCCTCGACCATACCTGGCACTTTTTTGCGGTCCCTCTCCTGAATTCCCTCTACAATCAAGTGCTCGCAGCCTGATTCCTGAGAAAACACACAGTCATGGGTCTTTGGCGAAGGAAGATCACTGTCAGTGACGACGATGTCACTTCGGCCGCTCTGTTGACCAACAGACAGAGTCTCCTCCCAAACCTGCTAGGTGAGTCACGCATCTTCCAAGGTCTCGGAGACTGACCTCGATTAACTCCCTGGCTTGTAGTCACGATCCTTTTTTTCTTGTGGGGATTCGCGTACGGACTACTGGACACGCTGAATTCGGATTTCCAGGCGCTGCTCAACATCACGGCTAGCAAGTCTGCCGGCCTGTCCGCTGCCTACTTTGGTGCCTACTTCCTGTGCCCGCTGACTATATCTGGCTGGATCTTGCGACGATATGGCTTCCGTGTTACCTTCATGACCGGGCTTGGTGTTCTCGCTGTGGGATGCCTGCTCTTCTGGCCTTCTGGAGTGAAGCAAAGCTTTGGAGGCTTCTGCGGATCTATGTTTGTCGTGGGTATGGGGCTTTCGACCCTCGAGACCGCTGCAGACCCGTAAGTGGTCCTTATCCTGTGATTTTTGATGCTAGTTATGAGCCAATGGTTCGAGGATACCCTTCTGACAAACAACTAATCCTCAGATTCCTCGCCATCTGCGGTCCCCCCAAATACTCCGAGATCAGACTCAACCTCGCACAGGTATGCTCAGCGCTCAACAACGACGATTGCCTCCGTGTGGCCAGTACCTGCTCTAACATCATGTAAGGCCGTCCAAGGTGTCGGGTCCTTCGTCGCACCGCTCCTGGCGGCGCGCGTCTTCTTTACTTCAGCCGATACGCAGCAGGGCCTGCAGCGAGTGCAGTGGACCTACCTTGGCGTGGCATGTTTTGTCGCTCTCCTGATCGTACTCTTCTGGCTTGCGCCTATGCCCGAGATTACTGACGCCGATATGTAAGTGTTCTTCTTCCTTTTGCTTTTCCTCTGTTGGCTTGGTCTGCCGGGAGTGCGATCAGAATTTGCCTTTACTAACCAGTGCTTCTCGAAACAACAAAATAGGTCTATTCAAGAGGACGCCATCGAGGCCCGTGACGTAGGGCCGCTGCGCAAACAAACAAATCTCTTCCTCGCCGTCTGGTCTCAGTTCTGTTATATTGGGGCACAAGTTTCGGTGGCAAACTATTTTATCAATTTCGTAGAGGGTACGTGTCGAGGAATTTTCTAACACATTTAGACTTACATACAGCTTTGGATGACTTGGATCATGTCGTGCCAAAGTTGGCCGTTGAAGACTCTCCCTGCCCACAGCCAGCATCTCCCGACATGCTAACGTTTCGCGCTCCACAGAAACCGCCGCGCCCGGAGTCGACCCAAGCGCCCTGAAGTCGTACGGTTCCAACATGCTCGCCGTTGGCCAGGGCCTCTACGCCTTCAACCGATTCGTCACGGGCTTCCTGCTCATGATCCCGGCCGTCAAGCCGCGATACGTCATGACTGTATACCTCGCGCTGTGCTTCGTCTTTGTCGTCGCTGCCATCACCACGACGGGCCACGCCTCCATCGCCATGCTGATCATGGTCCTGTTCTGGGAGTCCGCCTGCTTCGCCACTATCTTCACCCTCGGCCTGCGCGGTCTGGGCCGCCACACAAAGCGCGGCGGCTCGTTCCTCGTGTCGGCCATCTCGGGTGGCATGGTCTTCCCTCCAATCACCGGCGCCATCGTGACATACCACAATGCCCACGTCGCCATGACCATCCCCATGATGGGCTATATCCTGGCCTTCATCTACCCCGTCTATGTCAACTTCTTCGCCAAGGACATGCTGGATAACCACCGTGCCACCGAGGTCGGCATCCAACATACCAATGAGAAACAGCTTGAGCTGGAGCCGCAGGAGAGCAGGGTGGAAACCACGGCGGGCGATGCCGACATCAAGCCCGTGGCAGGGGGCACGGCGACGACGACGAGCGAGCCCACGGAGTTACAGGTCTGAGATGGATGAAGACTTTCATTCTTCCTTTCGCGCGTAAAATGGACTGGAAATGCGGAAATTAGAGACTGACAGTTGCTTCCTCGTATGGGCTGCTGTCTCGCTGGGGCAGTTTCTCGATGCTCTCACGGGGTGGAAGGGGGTTGTTTAACACGGAGGATATGTCAGGCGAGATTCCGTTTGACCTTACCACCACAGACCTCAGAATGACTTCACATACATATATCCACTTGGTTATATCCTTCGAACTGATATACATGTAAGATGAGGCGCCTCAAGGCTTAGGTTGCAGTGGCCCAATGTTGCCGCCCTCTTGTCCTGCGCCTTGATACTTCTTGACTCGGTCCTGAGAAGCGAAGAGGAACTGGAACGTACAAAGTGACATGACAAAGTGGAAAAGAGGCACGGGTGACCCGAAAGGGCAAATTCGCCTGGTCGGTTATCCTCGTGCCCTGAAGCAGCATTTGAACTTTGCTCCAGCAGGGGAGAGTCCATTATCAGAGAAGAGAAGAGGGGAGAGTGCGAAAAGTCACTTGCTTCCAGGTACTTATTGATCGAACCACCACCTTGGCTTGCTGGGAAGCAGGAGCAGTTGAGGTCCCCCGTCAAGAGGCCGTCGGGATGGTGACGATTGCGGTGGCCGTGGTCGAGCCCAAGCTTCATAAATTGAATCAAATGCTCCACTTTCAGTTCTTGATTTTGGATATAAAACGCCAGAGTGATCGTAGAATTTTTCTCCTTTTTTCTCTTTCTTTTCTTTTTGTTTCCAGCCAGAAACATTCACCTATAATACATCATTGTTTGAATTCCTTCAGGAGTGGAAAGTGCTTTTTTTTGTGAGGCTGAAAGGGGATCCAACAAAATCGCCTTTCTTGGAAGGGGGTGGGGAAAAGAAGCAAAAGTTATCAGCCCAAATATAACCAGCACCTCGCACCATCGTCAAACTATTCAGACCTTTTCGATTGAAACCTTATTCCCCCCCACGGCCCCGGGAGCCTCCTCTCTGTTTTTTCTTAGTTTTTTCCCTTTTATCTTATATTTTCGATTTATTTACGCATCCACAAACTGCTTGACGTTTTTCAGCCAAGCAAGGTATTCCCTGTGCTCCTTCATGTCCATGTAATCCGGCACGAAGACGGCCAGGGCCGAGTTGATACCGCGCTCGTCCAGGTACTGCTCCATCAGCAGCTGCAGGTCCTCATCGAGGGTGCCAAAGGGCGGACCTGGGTAGACATCTCCCCCCTTGTGGACGGCCTCGGCGCTGCTCGAGTGGGCAATGGCGGCATCTTGGTAAAAGTACAGGTTCTCGACGAGGATGCTGGCATCCTGAGCGACGGCCTCGATGTTGAGGGCACCCTTCTGGCCGGGCTTCTCGACGACAATATTCAGCCTGCAGGTCACGGACGGCTCCTGGTCGAGAACCTCGCCGTCGGCGTCCTCGGCGTCCTCAGCGGCCTCCTGCTGCGAGCGCGAGCCCTCGCCCAGCAGGTCGCTGTCCTCCTCGCCCAAGCCCGCGTCCTCCTCCATCATGTCGTTATCCATGCTGGCGATGTCGGCGATCGAGAAGGTCACGGTGATCCTAATTCCTCATTAGTCTACGGCTGGTTTATGACTGTGTGTGTGTGTTTGTGTGAGAATGGACACTCACTTCTCATTGTTGTACGTCCGGGTGAGGACGACATCCTGCTGGCCGGGGGTATCTTGGATCTCAAAGGGGCCGTTCTCCATGAAGTCCTTGATGCTCACGGGTAGCGTCTCACTCTCTTTCATGGTGTTCTCGAATTGTATCTCGCTGTCGAGTTTTGAGCTGAGTTCGGGGTCGATCGTGCCAGCAGCGGCCTTGCGCAGGAGGGAGGTGGAAAATGCTGAGATCTGGGAGCGCACAGGTAGCGCGCGCAACAAGGCGCCTTGCCTGACGATGGCAGGTCTGCTGGTGGTGGTCAAACGCGAGATGGCGCGGGGCGCCGAGCGCGCCAGGGATCGAGCAGAAAACATCTTGGCTGGGTTGTGAACGTGAACAAAAATGGTAGGAAAGAGAGAGAGAGGTTGGGTATCAAAGTAAGAACGTGGCAGTGATTGGGAGGATGTCCAATGATAGAGACCAAACAAAAAGAGGGCAGGGGAAGGCGAGAAATTTTGCAGTGCCAGGAGGTTTTGCGCCTGCAATGATGAAATTCTGGAGACGAAGGAGCTTTGACATAGAGATAGAGCTCCAGAAAATTCGAAAGCATGGATAAGGAAGGGATGACTAAGCACAACGCAACCAGGTTTCGGCTGTATGTATTTGTACTATGTACAAGGATTCTGCTGGTAGGCAAGATGTGCATATAAGTTTCCTGTACTGGTTGTATCGTATCAGTCTACACATTCAACCGTACAGCAACCCACCCATGATTAATGTCAATTTTTATCTTCTTTTTCCTCTTCTTTAAACACATTTTTAAAGTGTTACAGGACATGAGGTATAATTCCATTCTTCAGGGGGCTGGCCAGACCAACGAATTGGACTACAAAGAGGCGAGGCCTTCACGCGTACCCTCTCTCAAGATGAGGAACCAGAATCTGCAAATGATTTTACTTCATTTTTAGTATTTCCCCAAACTATTCTGTACTTCGCATGCTAGGTGTGCTGCCTGCTGAATAGGGCTCTATCTGGTCTTGGATGATCCGCCTCGAGATGAGCCTGCGCGGGATGAGCCTGCTCGAGATGATCTGCCTGCTCGGGACGAGCCTCCTTTTTTACCCGCTGCTCGGGCTTCTTCAGCCGCCTTATCTGCCGCATCCTTACACGTCCAACACACGATGGTCGTAGGCTTCCTCCTGGTACCGCTGAAGCCGCAGCTGCTGAAGCTACCGCCGGCTCTCCCGTCTGGGCACAAATCCTCAGATATAAGCACAGTTTCGCGACCCTTGCAGGTAGCGCAGACTCTAACGTGATGTGTGAAATAGCACATGATCGTAAGGTGGCAGATAAAGAAATTTGTTGATGTTGTGTTCTTGCGAGTGTTCAGGGACAAGAGAAATGTTGCGTGTGATAATAATAAACAAAGGAATTCAGTAGGGTATTGGCGGAGAACGATGGTGCATTTTATATAGAAACAGATTGTCCATTGTCGTGCTGTCTGGCTCTGACTGACTGAAATCGTTTCCTCAGGTTCCATGTCTCGTCTCTCGATACCACTGCCCCCTTTTCGTACTGACTGCGTAAACAGTCAATCACCCAGAGCTCTTCAAAAATGCTAGCCATTCCACGCCTCGGCTCTGTCACGAGAAGAAACTGAAGACATGGGAGCTGGCTGGCGCCTCGTCTCCAAGACCCGTCAGTAGAGCAAGACTAGCGAGTCCATAAGACAGGTCCGGCTCCCTTGATGGAAGTAAAGAGATTTCGGGCGGACGGTCGTGTATAAAGCATGGAGAGCCAACGAGAGCGTAAACGTGAAGGTAGCCACGAGGCTCAGGTTGCGCAATGTGATACGATCGTGAGGAGGACTTGGGTACATCCAACAGAGGCGAGCCCGGCGGAAGGGGCCAAGCAGTCCGAAGACAGCCTGAGGCTGAGACGACATCCGTGCATATTCTGGTTCAGGAGATCTCGAAAGGTTTCGCCGCTGGCGTTCGGGTAGCCGCCTATCTCACATAAATAGGTCTCAGCAGGCCAATGGTAATGGGTGGAAGTATTCTTGCCCATTTCAGGTTGCGCGGAGCGAGGCTGCGTTAGTCTTGTGGCACGACTGGCCGTGGTGGTCCCCGAGGGGATACAGGCAAAAATTTCTTCAGAGGCTTCATCTTTCTGGGTTGTATAGTCATCTGGCTGGTCTCGGACCTTGGGAAGACACGTTTGTTTGTCATTCCAGGGCGATTAAGCGCTAATCATCGGCTCAGCGCCACTGCCGGCTGCAAGGTTGTGGTAGCCACGCCCAAAAAAAGAAGTCGTTCTGGGCAAACCGAGAAAGATCCATGTGAAGCCCGTACGTCTCGTGTCAGCTCTAGCATTCGTGTACCCTAGGGAAAGCTGAGCATCAGAAGGCAGGCTTGGATTGACCACGACCTGACGGCTGAAAGAGCGCTGGTCCTACAACAGGCTTGCTGACGAAATGTGCCAAGTCGTAGACGTAGGATAAAGTAGAGCCATGCTGTTGATCGACTCGCTAGATTGCGCATCATCGGTGGGACGAGAGGACCGGACGAGCCAGTGCCCAGTGTGAGAGCATCACTGAGAGCTGGGCGGGAAGGCAGATGGCTTGATGGTGCCGGTTTTGGATATACGAACCCAAGACAGGGAAGCCAGAAAGGCCCACGATCCCTCCCACCTGTCGAGCAGATCCAAGTTCTCCTGCTTGGAGAGGTCTGGGACAACTGATGGTCCAGTCAGTCAGCAGAGCTACTACGGCCAGAGGGCGATGTGCAACATACAGAACCCGTTTTGGTGCTCCTTCTCCAGGGCGTCGACCTTCATTTTGAGCAGGTCTTCTCTGGCACTTGCGGGTCTTCCAGGCCTGCGGGTCTTCCTGACGGCATCGTATTGCTCATCGTACTGATGGACATATCTGAGGGGTGGTCAGAGGAAGTCAGTGCGGCTGGAGAGATGTGTTTCGAGTAAGACTTACTGGCTGATAAAGGCCTGGGTCTTGTCCATGTCGAACGGGTGTTTCTCATTCTCCCTGGCAGCCTTTTGGAAAAAGGTCACCCTTTCGACTGTATGTACGATTTCAAGGTCAGCGACAAATTTTTTCGGCTCTCAGCTTGCAACTGAATGCAGGGAGGGAGAGAGGGGAAAGACCTACGCAGTGGCTGATCGTGCTTTTTCCTGGTGGCAGCGAGTTTCTCGAGGCGCTCATCTCGGACCTGAGCCTTGTGAAGCCTCTTTGAGTTGCGGGAGAACTCGTGCAGGGCACCAATGGTCCCATGTCGCTTCTTAGCAATCTGCTTTCTGGTTTTCTCGAGAGACTTGGGCATAGTGATGACTGATTATCGTGCAACTGTGCGTGGTGGTGGTTTGACCTGGGAGAGCGTAATTCAGTAGTATTAAAGCACAATGATGGATCACAGGCATCCGACTTTTTTTTTTTCCCTCTTTCCCTGTTAGTCTTCTTCCCGCCTTATGTGTGGAGCTGACTTGCAGGCATCCAGGGTCTGGGGATACCATGCCAGCCATGGTACCGTAGCACAATTTGGCACTGAAAAGCCAGGCACTTTAGTGGTTCCCTCCCCCCTGACCGCTCAGTGATAAGATGGTTGCTGGGGTAAAGTGCAGGGTGGGGTTGATGCTAGCTGGGATAGGAAGTAAACCTTCTGAAATCCACGTCGCGGTCTGGTGCCACCAGACGCGCCTGGCCTGCCACGAGTGCTGCTGCTGCTGCTGCTGATAGCCCCCCCCCCGAAATGAAATAGTCTAGGCCCTGCACACCCCCAAAAGCAGCGCAGTTGCTCCGCTGAAATTCCCACTGTTCAGCCTTTATGTGACTTGGCCTACTGCATTGCACTTCATTTTAGTATCTGGTCTCTTTTTCTTTCTTTCTTTCTTTCTCATATTCTCTCTGTGTACGTGTGTGTGTGTCTGTCAGCCTGCAACACCAGCCATTGAGGGCATTCCACTTTGAATGGTAATTGGTAATTGGACCCTCCCGATACTTTATTTCTTCTCTTTCTTCTGTTTTTCTTGTTTTTTCTTCTCCTTCCCTGTCATCGCTCTCTTGCACTGTACTGGTGTACTGTACTGCACCCGCCCTGCTGTAGCAGCTTGTGCCTGTTGCCCCCCCCCCCCTTCCCTCCCCGAAGCGGCACAAGTAAACACGACTTCAACTGCGCGTCCCATGTCACTATAATTCTTCCCTCTGCTGGCGGCACCTTGTGTTCTGCACACTTGCTACAACCAGTCAACGCACGTCAATTCTGTCATCTCGCGTCGTATTGCATTTCATCGCTTTGCATCGCATCTCGATCATATCGCGCATGGCCTACTTCTAGGTTTCTTGGAGCAAAGTGGTCCCAACGTCAACACTGACGGCACGAGGAGCTTGTCGCCCGTGGCTCTAGCTTTCAAAGAGCGCTCGCTCACCGGTTAGAGTTACAATGGGTATTCAAGGTAAGGAGGAACTTTCGTTCCTCTTCATCCATCCCTGGGCATGCTGCGGTCGGACACTTTTATTGACGCCGTCTCAGGGCTCCTCCCTCTGCTCAAATCGATTCAGAGACCCACCGAGATCAAGAAGTTCTCTGGAGAGGTCCTGGGCGTCGACGCGTATGGGTGGCTGCATAGAGGTGCTGTTGGTTGTGCCATCGACCTCGCCCAGGACAAGCCTACGCGAAAGTAAGTCACACACAGTCGGTTGTGTTATTGGCCCTCTTGTCGTGTGTCTGACCTGGTTCACCAGATATGTCGACTTTGCAATGCACCGCGTCCGCATGGTCAAGCACTTCGGTGTGACACCATACTTGGTCTTTGACGGCGATTTCCTTCCCAGCAAGGCCCGCACCGAATCATCCCGATCCAAACGCCGTGAGGACAGCAGGAAGGCCGGTCTCGCGCTTCTCAACGCGGGCAAACCCGCTCAGGCTCATCTTGAGCTCCAGAAGGCCATCGACGTCACCCCGGAGATGGCAAGGCACCTGATCGAGGAGCTCAAGAAGGAGGGAGTCCCGTACGTTGTCGCCCCTTACGAGGCCGACGCCCAGCTTGTCTACCTCGAGCGCCAAGGCCTCATCAACGGCATCATCTCCGAGGACTCAGACCTACTGGTCTTTGGTGCCAAGCGCCTGCTCACCAAGATGGACCAGCATGGCCAATGCGTCGAGATCAACCGAAGGGACTTTTGTGCTGTGCGCGAGATCTCTCTGACCGGCTGGACAGACGACCAGTTCCGGCAGATGGCAATCTTTAGTGGCTGCGACTACCTGGAGAGCGTGGGCAATATGGGTCTGAAGACAGCTTACCGGATGATGCGCAAGTACAAGACGCCAGAGCGCGTGATCCGGATGCTCCAGTTCGACGGCAAGTTTCGCGTCTCGGAGAACTATCTGGCCCAGTACAAGCAGGCCGAGTTGACCTTCCTCTACCAACGCGTATTCTGCCCTAGAAAACAGCAGCTTGTTCTCCTGACCGAGCCCCATGCCACCTCGCCTCTGGATATCGAGGAGATGCCCTACATTGGAGCTCGTGTAGATGCCGAGACTGCCAAGGCTGTCGCCAACGGCGACGTCAACCCTATAACAAAGCAGACTATTGTAGTGGCTGCCTTGCCACCCAAGAGGCGGACAGAAACTCCCACAACGGGGCGAACAGTGGCAGTCGCGGCGCCGGGACAAGGCAGAGCGCCACCCGAGAAATCGATCGACTCGTATTTCAGCGGCCACAGGCGAATCCCCATGGGAGAGATGGATCGGAACTGTTTTTCCGTTGATCCTCAAAGGGTGGCTGCCCTTACGCAGAACGGACTGACCCCTCGAGTCTTTCCCCTACCACGGCCGTACGTTGATGATGGCGATATTTCTCCCGCGCCGCGGCCATACACGGACTCAACCATACATCGGCGCCGGACGGAACCGATTTCTCGAACACAGTCAGATTCGGACCCAGCTGTTCGATCTTCTGCAAGTCGAAGACGAACGACCGGCCTCACGAGGCGCATTTCGGATATCGAAGCCAGACCACCCAAGAAACCTCGATTATGCGCCGATGATTCGGCAAACGAGACGACCGAGACACCGGCTGAGAGGAGCAAGTTCTTCCCCCGAGATGGAGAGGCATTGCGGCGCTGTGACGAGAACTTGATGTCGGATGACTCTATCGAAGAGGCCTTGGCCGACCTGCCCGACATAGGCGACCAGTGGAAGGGATCGAGGGCATCCGAAACACGGCAGACACTGCAGATCTTCCAAGACGAGACCTCAACCGAGCAGACGACCACGACGGCGGCTTCAGAGCCGGAAACCAAGGATGACGAGACTTTCGAAGGGAGCCCAGCAGCCCAGGGCCAGGAGTACGGTGTCGTGGGAGAGTCTGAAAGCCAGGCCGGTGATGTCGAGATCAACCTGGGCCGCAAGTCGTTGCGCAATTCGCTCCAGGAATTTTCTTACACGCCAAGCATGTCCAGGCGTGCGGGTGGAGTGCGCATCGTGCATGGGCTGCCGACTCCAGATTCCAGTGGCCAGCAAGCGCAGACGACATCGCTTCCAACACCCACCCAGACTCCCTTCCAGACTCCGCTGCAACGAATCGGAGCAGCGGCTCTACAGCGAAGCAAGGCTGGCTGTTCGCCGTCGGCCCGCTCTGGGCCCTCTTCACTGAAGGCCACCAAGAAACGAGCGAGTCTGGCAGATTCACTTGAGAATTTCCCAATCAACCCGTCCTTCGTCCCTCTGCCCAAGGTCGACCTGAAAGAGGTTGAAGCTCTGAATACGGCTGGTGTCGGCAGCGAGGACCAGATGTTCCCCGGTAGTGATGAGGAGAATGAACCTCCTGCAACAACAGCAGGTATAAAACAGGGCAGCGCTAGACGGCTGGATCTGTCAAAGTTTGTGTGCGGCTGAAGTGGCCCCGAGAAGGTGGTTGACGGAATTCACTTGATGAAGCCCAGTCTGTACACGCTTATCTTGATGGGGGAACACAAAAGATGGAGGAGATGGATGGCTTCCACAACAAAGGAGCATCCCCGAGAATGTGAAGTGTGAGCTTCGGGGGAGAGGGTGGTTAAGAAGACCATTGAGAATCGGTTTGTCTACCTTTTTTTTTGCTTCAAGTAGGCATAGCATAGCGTCCGGCGTTATATTCGTTAGGTGACTGCGACGCCGACTATGGGCAATGTCGTTTGTCTAGTTCTTTGGCCTACTCAAATTACACAGTAGAATTGCAGGATGACAGTGGGTATGCTGTATAAAAACAACAAGAAGATGAAAGATAATCAGTGACCTTCAATGAAAGAGATGAATATTGAGAAAAGCCTCTCTTCATCATAAGAAAAAAATACCAGCTCCAGCAGTATTGTATGCCCAGAATGATTTGCCATATAAACTGAGCAGTAATTGATATGAAAGAAGAAGGAGGCGGTGGAGGGGATAATGATAATATTTCTTTATTTAATCCAATGTTTCTGCCACTGGTTGGGAGGAGAGGGGAAGGAGGAGCGTGGTGAGCGATGATGCCCAAGAGAGGGCTGCTGGGGGGGGGGTGTGTTTGTATATTCTAAGGGTTCTCTCACCGCCTTCCCAGGGATTTTCATTTTGCCAATTTTCTCTGGGGCGCCAAGATTTCGCAGGTTGCCCGCCTCGAAAATTTCCCACCACTGACTGCATTACCAAACAGCATAGGAAATCCCCCGCCGAGCCCAAGTCGCAATCGCTTTTTTGTCGTCACACGAATACATTGATTCACAAGTGTTTCTCTAGAGTGAATGGTAAACGACGCGACTTCTCCCTTGCACTCTAGATTGTTTCCCTTTCGCTGGTTCTCGAGGCTAGCTCTCTCTCTTTTCTCTCTGGATCTCGACGCTCCCCCCTTCCACTGCCTTTAGTCGTTCTGCCCGCCGGATTCTCAAAGTACAGCAGTTGTTTGGCGCCTTGAGCCATGGCGGACAAGTCGTTGAAGGTTCGCAATACATCCCCCCTCACCCGCTATAAAAGCGCAATCGTAAAAGATGCAAACGTGAGAGATGGTCTGCTGACGAGATGATGACTGCTGCAGGATCGTCTCCGCGGTCACTCAGAGGCTTTTGATAGCTTGCTGTCCCTGATACCTGCAAAGCTCTACTACGGCGAAGACACAAGTGTACGTCCATTCATTTTCAAGCACCCTTCCCTTCCCCCCTGCTATACTATATATGTATGTATATAGTATCGTCTACCCACCCCAGCGAGCTCACACCACACGACATAATTCCAGGACCAGTGGCAGCGGAAGAAGCAGACCAAAGAGCAAGCCAGAGCTGCTAAGCGGGGCAGGCTGGACCCGGACAGTGCGTTGAACAGGAGTGCCAAAGAGGTCCTGGACGAGCGGGCACGCAACAAGAGGAAAGCGAAGGAGATGGAGGACAGTGAGGAGGACGACGAAAATGACAACGATGACGACGACGACGACGACGTATCAGAACCTCTTAACGGTGTTGAGAAGGAGCTGCCCGGTCAAGGCCTGAAGAAGGCGAAGTCAACGGGCGACGAAGATCATGACGAACCTATTAGCAAGAAGGCCAGACTCGCAGAGTTACAGGATGACGAGTTGGCGGCGGCGACCGAGAAGCTCTCGGCACACCAGGAAAAGAAGTTGCTGAAGAAACAGAAGAAGGCGGAGAAGAAGGCCGACAAGAAGAAAACCAAGGCTGAGAGATCATTGAAACTTACCGAAAAGACAGTGGATGACGAGGAGGACGAGGACGAGGACGAGGTGGAGGAAGAAGAAGAAGGAGCATCACATCACGACGTTGTGCAGTCCAAGGAGGCCGATGAAGAAGAAAAACAAGGCCACAAGGCCAAAGACCTGCAACCTATCGATGTCTCCGGTCTTGCCGACGACGAAGACGCCGACCCCTCCTCCCAATCCTCCACCCCCGAGTCACCAACCTTTGACGGAGCCGCCCACAATCCCTCCTCCACCGAGCCTACAAGTACCACAACCTCGATAGCCAGCGAGGCCGCGGGCGCCGCGGGCGGCTCCTTGACAGCCGAGCGCCCCTCGTCCTCGTCCAAGAAGCTCAAGGTGCCGTCTGACACGACAGAGCTCCGCGCCCGGCTGGCTGCCAAGATCGCCGCACTCCGAGCAGCACGCAAGGCTGACGGACCGGATGGGACGCCGATTCGCACGCGGCAGGAGCTCATCGAGTCGCGGCGCAAGAAGCTGGCGGAGCGCAAGGCCCACAAGAAGGAGCTGCGGCAGCAGGCCAAGGAGGCCGAGGACAAGAAGCGCGAGGAGGCGCTGGCGAGCGCGCGCAACTCGCCCATGCTGAGCTTCGGGAGCGGGTCGCCGGAGCACGAGGCCACCAGCTTCTCGTTCGGGCGGGTGGCGTTCGCGGACGGGACGCAGATGTCGCAGGACCTGAGCTACGTCAAGGACAAGACGGGCCGGAAGAAGGGTCCTGCAGACCCCAAGGGTGCGCTCGCCAAGCTGGATGCGCAAAAGAAGCGGCTCGCGGGCCTAGACGCCGACAAGCGCAAGGAGGTCCTCGAGAAGGAGACCTGGCTTGCCGCGCGCAAGCGGGCCGAGGGCGAAAAGGTGCGCAACGACGAGTCCCTGCTCAAGAAGGCCGTCAAGCGCAAGGAGAAGACCAAGAAGAAGAGCGAGCGCGAGTGGACCGAGCGCGTCGACGGGGTCAAGTATGCCCAGAAGCAGAGGCAGCAGAAGCGCGAGGACAACATCGGCAAGCGCAAGGAGACCAAGATGGCCGGCAAAGGCGGCAAGAAGAAGGGCAAGAGTCCTGCCAAGAAGAGGCCCGGGTTCGAGGGGAGTGGTTTCGGTGGCAAGAGGAAATGAGGTTAACGACTAGTAATAGTAGAGCATTTACGTTTTCTACAGTGCACTCCCTCGCTCTCTTCTTTCGAGGTGTCCCACACAATCGTCTCCTATGGACATGGACAGAGGGAGATTTTGCGCTTTACAGTTAGGACGGCGTTCAGAGGGGACAACATCTGGCTGGGAATAGCATGCATAGCTATGAACGAAAAAAGGAGAAGGACACAAGGATGGGCATTACGGCGTTGGGGCGACAGGGAAAATTAAAAGAAGAACCTCGTAATCTGGCGTTTCCTATGAACACAAAGTGCTTTTTTCCCTACTGTTGTCATGCCCATGCCAAGTCAAGTGCGTGTGCGTGTGTGCATGTGAGAAAGATATTCGTTTGAACTATGTCAGCTTTCGCAAGAGAAGACAGAAGCAAAATTCATGAGCATAGACGCCAGAATCAACCTGTGTGTCCCATCCACATGCTGCGCCAAAAGAGGGATTGTCATGAGAGAGGGTTTCCTTGTTTCCTTTTGTTTTACCCCCCAAAAAGACCGTTGATGCCTTTGCACGTTTGTTTTGTATGTGTCCGCTCGATGATCCTGTTCACCAGTTGCTGCGGTTGTCCGCGTTCAGTCCGGTAATGGCCTTCACTGTCCTCGCCATTTTCAATTCCCATGTTCCCCTCCTCCTCCTCCTACCTCCATGTCGCGCTGTGAGAATCTGAAAATAATGACGCCTGGTCGTTTGCCGGGAAAAAAGTAAGAAGATTTTTGAATTGGGGAAGAAAAGAAAGAGAAAAAAAATTGGTCATCCGCTGGTCCTGGGAAACTCGCCCGACAATAATACATTCATCTCCCCGCGGCGTCCATGCTCTGCTACAGTCCCGGCCCGAACTTTCTTTTCCCAGGCCCACGGCCCCCCTTCCCATTCCAACTCAAAAAACCGTGGATTCTTTCATTGTATGGCCCCTCCGCCCTGTGTTGACTTCGACTGCACTGCGTTGACACACGGATTTGAAGTAAAGGGGCGACCAGAGTTTCACTATGTAGTATTGCTGGGCAGCAAGGCGGGCTGCGTTATATCACAGGAGGGAGTCGAGGCGGGTGAATACGTTCAGGCAGGCGGCAACCACCTCGAGCTGCAGCTCCTTGTCCTTGGCCTTATTGCCCTCCTAGAAAAAGCATGTATATTAGCATGGGGGTAATGACAGACGAAACAGGACGGTAGCGATTGTGAACCAACCTCTGAAATTACTTGTGGCAAGTTGGCACCGATACCGTTGCCCGTTGCCTTCTTGCCGAATGGCCATTGGCTGTACTCGGCCAGCAGCTCATCAGTCTGGGCGAATGCCCGTTCCCTGGCCTCGTGGCCCAGCGTAGACAGCGCATTCTCGAGGACGTTGGCGGCGTAGGCGGCGCAGACCATTGCGATCGTCCGCGTGTACCGGAACTCGAGATTCTCGGGAAGCCACTGGGAGGCGGGAAGGACCACAGTCCTTTGGGTGAGAACGTTTCTGACGCGCCTCCGGATCTCTTCCTTGGCGCCGCCGTCGGCAACAGGGTGTGTGGCCATATCAAAGAGCAGGAAGTTGCGCTTCTCGGTGCGAAGGATGCCCTTGTCGACGAGGCCCTTCGCAAGGCGCTCTCGGACTTGCTTCAGTTGGTAGCCAATCTTCATCAGGTTCCAAGTCTCCCCTGCAGCCATCACGGGACATCGTTAGCAACCAACAGTGCTGGCGAAGGAGAGCCGCTTCAGCTCCGATGACGGACTGGACATGTACTCACCGCTCATAAGATCGATCCAGGTGCTGACGCTCATCTTCTCGCTTCCCTTCATCAGCTTAAGCGCCTCGTCAAGCAGCACCTCGCCGGTGAGAGTATCGTCGATGACCTCGATAACACGGTCGGGTAGGGGGAAGCGCCGCCTCGAGGCGTCCTTCTGCATGCTGATGCGGCCGCGGAAAGCCAATTCTATGACGATGCACCCGCGAAGGGCGTAGGATATGTTGTCGTTCCAGAACGAAAGATAGCCCTGTATGAGAGGTCAATCGCATTAGCTAACTGTTCCGACCTTGGCATCGGATTCAACTTGGGAGATTTTCGGCCAAAGAGTAAAGAACAAAACCAAAGACACAAAGGAGGAGCATGGCAAAAGGCGGGAGAAGAAAGATGGGGGGGGGGGAGACGGTATGTGTTGTGAGAGAGGGTTACAGACAGAGAGAGGGGGAAATAGAGAGACGAACCTGCTTGTCCTTGAGACCCAGCAACAAGACCTCTTCCATGAGTGTCAGCTTGGGCTGCTTGTTCCTCTCCGTGCTCTCGCTAATGTCTCGCGGGTCGAATGCGATCTTGTGGCCATTCTCGCTGTTCTCGTAGCTCGTCTCGGGGGTGCTGTCCTTGAAGTTGCCGGACGAGTTGTTGCGGTTGATACCGTTGCCACTCTCGCCCTCGGTGGATGGTCCTCCTCCAGCGCCGCCCCTGCGTCGAGTGAGCCCCGACGACGACATTCTGTTGGTATAGGGCTGTTCTTGGGAGTGATGAATAGATGTAGGCCGTATTAAAAGGGAGGCAGGGAGCAAGTTTCGAGTAACGAGGAGAGGTAGGACTGGGGCGACGCGCGCTCTTGGACAACAGCACAGTCAAGAACAGACGTGTAACAGTTGAATAACAGGAAGGAATATCGTGTGGTCGCGGGGAAGTATTTTTTGGTAGCACGATGGCACGGTTCGGAGGAGGCTCTCGAGAAGGCGCAAAGGAGGAGGGTCTCGTCAAGGTTTAATTCGTGTGTCCAGGGATGCTGTCGTAATAGCTGCTGCTAGGGGTTCGATTTGCGAATTTGGGGGACCCGCAGAATCCTGACACGCAATATTCACCAGAGGATTTGGTCTTGGTCCGTATCTTCTTTCGCAAAAATCCGTATCCCCCTCCCCCAACGGGAAGAGATTGGTAGCTAGGCTGAGGATGGGATAAGAACCGGTTCGGATTGTCGAGATCCCTACCCTAGAAGCGCCGTGCCTTAATGGAACGGTGCGTGTCAGTTGAGAACCGCGAGAGGAATGAGAGGGGGGGGGGGACAAGGCTGGCGGGCGGGTTTGTCTCTTTTTGAGGACACACAGCTTCAATTGACGCACCTTCTTCTGAGGAAAGCTGGCGACGACGGATGATGAAGCAGGTTGGCAGAAACAACAACAAAAGTACTTGGCTAGTAAAAGAAGAAGAAGAGGGAGCCAGTGTCGGTCGTGTGCCGCGCCTTGTGTCTTCGAAAATAAGACCTGGAGGGGGGGGGGGGAGAAAAAGGGAAACCGGCAGCTTGGGCGCTGGGAAAGATGTTGTATGTAACCCGTAACGTACACACGTTCAGATTCAGGTTAGATTTGGCAAGGTTGGGTTGCGCTGAGTGTGCGACGTTAAACCTCCTTCTCATGCTTTGGGTCGCATCCTTCCAGTGCTCTGGGTCAGCTCCAGTAGCAGCCCAGCCGTGCCAGCCTGGCCTGGCCTGGCCTGGCCTGAACTGACTGGGGTGGTGGCCTTTGGGCCCTTTGTAACAGATCCCCTAGGGGCCATGGCATAGGACCCTCTTCAGTGTGCACCCACCGCCCACCCACTCACCACACCAGCCACAACAGCAGCGTCCAAGCTGTGGCTTATTATTCGTACATGCTATAGTACACGAGCCCATGCACCAACCTCTTCCCCTTGCCTCCTTCCGAATCTACTACATACCACCAAGCTACTATAACATTATATAACATGTCTATGATTTATTTTATTTTAAATGCAAGGTGAAAGCCACCACTGCTTCTCGACATGATTATTCTTTGTCTACAATGTACTGCCCTTGTACACCTCCTTTGACTGCCGTACTTCACTTCTAACAATATGCTGTCCTCAAAGATTTACGCGTTCTCATTTGGGAGGAGACAATTTTTCTCATCAAGAATCATGCCTCGCTGCTGTATAATACAAGATGTCCACAGCTTGTTGAGCAGAGAGAGAATGGGTAAATGGTGCTTTTGTCGTCCTTGTCTCTCCTGGGCCCACTTAGACTGGCCGCCTCCTCTTACCAGCAGTAGCCCACGCACGCGTCTCGTCTAAATTTGCAAGGGCCGACTAATGGATGAAAGATTGGCCCCCCATGAGATGACTCCATAAGCACATCTGCATACGTATTGATCTGTCATGTACTGCACTGTTCTGAAAGGCGAAAAGGGGTTGGGGTTGACGTCCTCCTGTATGTGTGGGCTGATGAGCCTCTCACTTCAGCAGCTTTCTTTCCTTCTCAGTCCAGAGAGACCAACAACTTGGCGATATATGGAGTCCTTCTACTCGGGGTGCTGTCTGTTGACAATGATTTCGGATATCCACCAATCATTGACTGAGTGAGACACTTGAAAACGCTACAAGTCATGACTATGCCCTTGTCTTCCCCTTTGACTATATATGCTAACATTTACAATGCCTTAGAAGGGTATGCAAAAACTTTCAGCACCACGATTCCCGTGAATACTTTTCCTTCCTGACGTGGGGAGGGACCGAGAAAGGGAAGAAGAAGAAGAGGAGGAGGAGGAGGAGGAGGAGGAGGAGGAGGAGAAGGGGGGAAAATTAGTGATTTGTTTTTGCGAAACTTTACGGATCACGTCACTCTCTTTGAGGCATGATCCCCAGACCGACATCGCCCGTACCACTCCTCTCCATGGCCGCTTCCCCTTGCGTGCGAGGCCCTTGCAGCCTGCGCCTGTCTTGCAACCTGTTGTGGGCGTCGCCCATGTTCACGGTCAAGTCTCCGAAGTGGATGACCTGCCGGTTGCTACCCTCGCCCACCACAATGCCGCCCGACGCCGACCGCATCATCTCCTCGCCGCTCGCCTCACGGCCTGCAGGGAGGCCCTCTGCAGGGCTCTCTGACTGCGCCCGCCTACTTCCGGTCAACAACCTCGTCAGCCGCTCACGGCGGCTTTCTCGGCGTACCGGCCTGGCAGGCGGCGGCGGCGGCGGAGCAGGCACACTGGGAACCGGCATGTTGACGAAAGCGGCAGGCCCGGGGGCGCGAATGCTCCCTGCGGATCCCTGAGGAGGTCGGGTCGGAGACAATATGGTCCCCACCGGGTACGGCAGCTCCGCGGCGTCTGGCCTCGGGTTGATGCGCGGGCTCGGCATCGTTGCTATCGAGGAGGAGCTGCTCCGAGGACCAGACAGGTTGTTGTTGCTGCGCCGCCGTGACCCGGGCGGTATCGAGCCAACGGGACTGGACAGTGGGCTCGACCCCCTCCGCGAACGCTCGGCAGTCCCCCGGACACCCATGCCACTGTGGACAGAGACATCTGAGCGACGACCTCTGATGTTTTTGTTTGGCGGGCGGCTGGAGCCTCGGGACGCTGGCGGAGTCGTTGTTAAGATGGGCGGGTACCCGTGCAGCGCCGGGTCCGAGTTTTGCTGGCCGAGGGAGGACGACTCAACCCGGCCAAGATAAGGCCGCGGCTGGTAGGGGGTCGATTTCCATTGCTGGAGTCTGGGCGGTGGATGCTGGCGAGGCGGAGGGATGGAGGACCTTACGCCTGGAAGACTGGGCGGGCTGAAGGGTGCCGCGATGGTACCGGGACTGGACCTAGCAGACCGCGGTATGATTGGTGGCACCGAAGGCATCATGGCGGTGTACTCAGTCCCGGGTGAGGTACGAGTACTGGTCGGCACCTGCGGTTCTGGCCTGCTGGATGAGCTCGCTGACGATTTCCTCCTCCTCCCAACCAAGGGGATGTTCTCCTTGTTGAACCATCTCGAGAGGAAGTCCAGTGGACGGTTGCCTGACGATGAGCTGGCGCGTCGTCTCCCTGGCGGCTGCTCTGGGATCGGCATGGCCAACTGGCTCGAAGGGGGCTTTGGTGTGATCTGTGGCGTGGGTGTGTTGTCGCCGTCGCCGCCGTCGTCGTCTACTGGATAGGGAACCACCACCTCAGGGTTGGTGTATCTAGTCGGGAAGCGCTCGTCGACCGGCGAGTCAAAGAACCCCGTCTGGCCCTCCTCGGCTGGTGTCCACACTTGTTGACTCGGCGGTTGACTATCTGTCGTCCCAGTATCCGAGTCTGACAGGCTCTTGACCTTGTCGAACACAGACGTCGGCGAGGCCCAGTTGGCCTGGTTGACCATATCTGCCTGGATCTTTTCCGACAGCCGCTGTACCTCTGCCTCGATGGCCTTCAGCTGGTCCTCCATTTGTTCCCGAATGGGCCGCAACGTGGCGCGGTATCGATCCTCATAGTGGGAGAGGTGACCGATGAGCTTCCGGCAGTGGAGAGCGAAGCGTCGATAGTCGTCTGGCAGCCCCACGCTAGTTCTCTCCTTGATCCGTGCATCCGCATCCTTATATGCTTTGCAGAAGACCTCAACCGATCGTTCTAGCCAATAGATGTGTTGTTTCTCCTGCACAAGGGATTCGATCAGGTACCTCTGAACAATACGATGTATATGAAGTGTGTCCATGATATCATCCGTGAGTTCGAAGCTTCCCTTAGATGTCGCCGAGCTTGAGCGTGAAAGATTGTACTTATCGGACCGATCGACGAGGGCATAGGCGATGAGGATCCTGAGCGTGTTGTTTAGATTGGCGCCCCCGTGGGTTACGGCATGTCGCGTCTTGTAAGGCGTACTCTTGTTATCAAGGACCCGAAGGCCCACGGACAGCATTTCAACGGGAATGTGCTGATCCAGAAATGCAAGAATACACAAGACGTTCAGCGCCCCAAGCGCTCCTCTCGCCTCCATCTGTTCCAAGACCAGCTCGTACGCAGGTACCTTGCCGAGATGCGGGGGCTTGGCTTTGTACCGTCTGAGATAGGTGGAAAGTGGTTCCTGACTGGACTTGAGATGCTGTGCGATGATATGAATCATCAACGGCAGTTTCTCCAGGATGTGAACCAGCTCTGCAGCCTGCGCCAGGTCATCATGGGACCACGGCTTTTCCTTTTCCATTTCTTCTAAAAGAAGCCTTTGTGCTTCCTGGGTAGATAGCGGTGGTAGCTGGAGTGGTCGTGGGTTGTTGTAAACGTGGCTCCCCGCACCCGCTGTACTTGTGGACAGTAGGATCATGGACGTATTGGCGTGGTAAGGGAAGAAGCGCTCAATACCGTTGTCCTGATCAAACATGATGCCGTCCAACACGAGCAACCAGTCGTCTAGGTCCTCAAGCCACCCACGGACGTGGTCCACCATTTTGGTATGGTCCTCGAGCTCTTTCCTGTCAATCTTGGCCCGCAGGTCCTTGAGTGCGATCTTGGCAATGCGTGAGAACTCGCCCTCTAGCTCCTGCACAGACGAGGCGCGGAGCCAGAACACTCCGCCCGAGTAGTCGTGCTGGTGTCTGAAGAGGTATTCACGGGCCATGTGGGTTTTGCCCCCTCCTGTCTGACATCGTACAAGTACGGTCGAGGTGCCCTTCTCGCGGACCTTTTTGTCTTGAAGCATTCTATGCAGTTCCTTCAACTCTTGTTCGCGCCCGACAAAATAGGAGTTGGGCCGAAAACCTTCTGGGACCATGTGATACGGCTCCTTTGAAGCCTGCGAGCCAGACCCTTCAGTCCTCATTGACTCTTGTGTGACTGGCTGTGATGGCGGTATCATTGGCAACATCGGTAATGGAGATGGAGGGCCGCTTGGTAGACGTTGTGTGGTTAAAGCAGTGCCATTTGGTGAAACTACGGGGGAAAAACGAAACCATCAGCCCTTATTTTCTTCTTCCTTTTGTAAAAGTTCAATGAATACCTAGACCCTTTAGACTCGACTCTTTTTCTCCAACAGTGTACGTCTCTTCCTCCCCATGTTGAAGTTGAGCCGGACTCCCGCCATCTGTAACGGGACTCATCACCTGCGGCGAAGAGAACGTACCAACGATTTGTGAAGAACCAGCTGCCGAATTCTCAATCTAAGAATTTTGTTAATTATCTGAAGGGAACACCTGTGCATTTGGATGAAAAGGGATTCAAACATACGAATGGCCTTGCTCTCTCATTCAACTCAACTTGGGCGCGGATTCTGCGGTCTTGGTCCTCGACCTGCCAGCGGTACATGATGACTTCGGGTGACTCCTTGACCCCTGTAAGAAGACTTATTAGCACTCTGATAGACTTTCTCTCGAGATACTTATAGGTAAAGTCATATGGAGCTTGACTCACAATCTGTCATGACTGAGGTGATTTGTCGATATCCTGGGGCATCGACACTGGCAAACTTGCACATTCCGGAATGCTAGTAATGAAATCAGCATGTCTCCACATACGATAGAATTGAATGCGTCTGGCGGAACAGAAGAACAGAAACACAAATAACAGGAAGAGATGACTCTGTCACTCACGTCTGCCTCTATGCCGTAGGAAGTGGTGTTGTACCACTTTGGGGCCGCGGATTTGGAATCCACGATCAGGGACATTGTGCCTTTCAGGTCCGTCTTTTGGTTCTCGTGGACCAGATGGATCTTGAATCGCTGCTGGATGTTGATGAAGTTCGCATTGATGTTGGCGAGCGTCTCGCCATCCTTGCGCAGGGTCTTGATGAGGATAGGCTCAGAGTCAAAGAGTCTGCGAGGCACACGGCCAACCATGCCCTGGAGAACCTCGCCCCATCTTGCGAGGTCACTGCCTTCGTGGGGGGTGCCCAGGAATACGATGGCATAAGTTGAAACGTAGATGGCTCGGTCGTCCTCGTGAGCTGATGCCCTCACGTGGTCCGAATGCTCCAGGACCCGCTTAAGGAGGATGCCGCCGAGACTGTGAGCCACCCAGATGATGGGATTTCTCTGGCTCTTGCGCCTTTTTCTAAAAGAGGTGAGGTAGCTGACTAGGGTTTGTGCGTGCTCATGGATAAAGTTTGTGCTGGGCTTCTTGTCTTTGTTGCCTGCAACATCTGCATTGTAGCCGTAAACGAAAATATTGGCCTGTGTTCCATCCTCCTCCAGAGTCTTTGGAAGTAGATCTGTCGGCCAGTAGACACCATTGCCGGCCGTCCACGTCTTGGTAGGGTTGCCATTGAGGCCGTGGATCAAGATGATGTCGACCTTGGCCTGGGGATGAGTGTAGACGGCTGTCACGTCGTAGCGTTGAATATTCTTGTTGATAGTGCCCTGCTTCCATGTTAGAGGCCGTGCTGCATGAGGACGGGTGTACCAGAAGCCGTTTCTATCCCCAGAATCCAATCCTCAATCCAACAGCGCCGAACTGAAAAGGAAGAAACCAGTGCAGGGGTAGTGTTTATCAAGAATAAAACACATAGAGATAAATAATGATAAGAAGAAGAAAAAAGGGAAAAGGAAGTAAGACAAATGAACATAAAAGAGGGTTGTGTAACAAATGGTATGAGATCACACAAGAACAATGATTCAATCGTGAGCTACTTGCTCATGAGCATGCTTCCCCCATCATGAGTATGCTCCACAAACAAAGAGTATAACGACACGCCCATCAATGCCACCGATGACGGCGGTGACAAGACTGATGAGAATGCTCACGGAACAGGAACAGTAAGATAGGCGGCCCGCGCCGTTGGGCGGTTAGGAAACCTAGGGAACTCTGCAGCGGGACTCGGTCCTTACTCACAGACTACTGTAGTAGGATCATCCAGGGAGGGCAGGGGTGGTGGGAACAATGCTTCGAGAACGAGGACGCGCCTCGACGATGTTCGACCATGCTTAGGTCGGTGAGGTGTGTAGTGGAGGAGGGGCAGGAGAAGAGAGGATAAGTCGTCAGAGATGCTACTCACCATCTTCAATCTGTCTTACTCGTCGCAGCGAAGAGAAGCGAAGAGCTTCCCTCGCGCCGCCTATGCTACTGTGCCGCCGATGGATGCGAATTGCAGTAATGGAGAGGTGGTCGTACGGGGAGAGTAAGCGCTGCTGGCGTCTGTCAACTTTGGCTGGAAAAGTGGCTGGGTTGTTTTTATGTTGTAGCGGTTGAATGCACGAGATCGGCGGACTTATGGGGAAGGGGCGACTAAAAAAAGAAAAGGGGAAAAAAAAAAAAAAAGGCTGCAGGTACAAGAGAGGTTCTTTCTCTGTTATACTGCGAGGGGGGTCCCTCGTCTAGTCGTCTGTGAGAACCATGTGACCAGGCTCAAGGTGTCTTGTCGTCAAGAGGCCTTATGTAGCATTGTGTAATATTTTTTGTTCTTGCATACTGGTAGGTTCTGAGACATTCTGAGATGAGCAATCCAAGAGGAGCATGTGTGCAGACATGAGCTGAAAGCCTCCCCTTAAAAGAGCATGCCAGGGCTGATTTAGCAGCTAAGCAGCTAACTACTTATGCATACATGGCCTCCTTGAAGTTGCCCTTTCTTTTTACTGGTTGGTTTCCCAGCCCTATGTAGAAGCCTGGAGGCATACGTTGCCTTTTAAATAAAATTAAATAAATAAAAAGAAAAGCAAAAGAAGCTTTTAGTCATCGGCACTTCGCACAGCCACACCAATTAACAAAGGTGTAAAGAAGGCAGTAGCAATGTTGACAGATGCTTGGTCTTGTGCCAAGGGCCCTTGCCCGAACTTGCGGCATCTGATGTACGTATTCCCGGAATTATCAACAACTGACCTCCCCCTCAAAAATGACCAGGATGAAGAACAAGAAGCGGGAAGGAGAAATGCCCAGGGTTTGCATCAAAGGGGAAAACAACGGTAGACAGAAAAGTCTGGAAGACTGCTACCCCACTATGACGACAAATTCAGAATGCTTTATGGTAGGAACACGGAGTTTCCACGATGTCAGGTATAAGACAGTTCTGGAGTGTCAGAAATGATGTGTGTTGTGCAGAGTGCAGCGGGTCATGCGGCGAGGTCAAAAGCCGGAGTAGCATGCTGGGGAAGCGACCAGTCCCGTCACCCTTCTTCGGCATGGCTGCCTTCTTGATCTGCTGAGCCACCCGCGCGCCTGGCGATCTTCTCCACCGAGCCCTGAAAAAAGATCCATCCATCCATCATGCATACTGTTGCCGGAGGGAGCCATGACAGCCGGCTTACGCAAGGGGTGGTAGGAACCGTTTGGGAGGGTGCGGGACTGATCAAGTGGCTGAATTCTGACAGGCCCCTGAATCGTAGCTTACAATAAGAGGCCTGCAACCGAGAAGCCACATGCTGTATTGAGCTGGAGCTTTTTGCTGCACAAGGACGATATGATGTTGCTAGAAATTTACCCCAGATCGCGCGAGGCCAGGTTGAATGCAGTGTATTGTTTTTTTCTTTTTCTTTCCCTTCCTTCCTTTTCCTGTCCTTATGCAGTACCTTCACAATGTTGCATCCATGTCCCCTGTTTGCCTCTGTACGGTCTGACGGACCACCTTTGTGCTCACCCGCTACACATCGATGGAGGAGTCGTCATAAGTGATGAGAGCTGACGCCCGAGGCTGACTTATCGGCCGAGCCGCATTTCACAGCACTCATCTTCTTCTACTAACGCCTGCGAGACCTGAAATGCCATTTTCTTCTTTTCCTTTGTTTGGCCTCACAAGCCTAGGCTTCCCTTGTGAGAGGTGTCGAATTGGTGACTGGCCACCGAAGAGTCGCACCAGGCGGCCACCAGATCTGCGTGCCAGCCCTCAGCGTGTCTCGGGAAGAGAGCCGCAGTCACATGCGTCACCCAGACAGGGCTGGCAAAGTAAAGTGGTGGTGACTCAAAAAAATGCCAAATGATCCGGTCAATCCCTAGAGAGCATGACGACGTACTCCCTCTCACTAGACCCAAATTTGACGACATCCTTTGGTCGCAGTTCCAGATATCTCCGGTCAGGCACTTCCTCCCCGTTCAGCTTAGTGTGGTTGGCACTCTCTAGGTCGATTAGATATGGCTTCACCTTTCCAATCTTGTCGCCGAACTCATTTCTCTTCTCGGTATACCGAAATTGGATCACTGCATGCTGCTTGCTGATGCTGGGGTTCTCGGCCAGTAGATCAACGACTGTTGGCTCTCGCCCCACGAGCCAGCAGCTTCGCGTGCTGAGCTCGATAGTGTCCACGATATCCTTGCCCTTGAACACGAAAAGCTTCCACTGGTCGCGGGGAGGAGGTTTGCGCGACTCGGGCGGCTCATGATATTTTAGCGTGATCGTCGTCCCGTCTGCTTGCGTGACCGAGTTGGACGCTGCTGCCAAAACGCCCGTGTTTCCAAAGTTCGGCTTTTCTTTGGGTTTCTCCGGTTCCTCGCCGTTCGAGACAGCGAACGAGTCTGCTTGTGATGGAAGAGGCCCACCACGTCTCACAGCCACTTGGTTCTCTGCAGGTTCCGCATCGCCCAGGGGAGCATCTTGGTGGCGCCTGCGGCGCCTCTCTCGTTCCTCGTGCTGGTCCTCGTCTTCAGCCCAGCGAGACTCCCTTTGCTTGTGCTTCTTCCTCGAACTTCTGCCCTCGTCACCCAAGTTGTCTTCCACACGTCGGCTTCGTCGACGCTCATATGAATCATCCTCAGGAGAGCGCGAGTCTCGAGCTCTCTTATCGCGCCTACCACCTCTGTCGCGTGAGCTGTGCCTCCTCGATTCAGGACTGCGGGACCGCCGTCGACGGCGATGTCGATTGTCGTCCCTGTCTCGAGACCTGTCACGTCTCGAAGTCTTGTCAGATGAGTCCTGGTCCCGAGGGTAACGTCGGCTCAAGCGATCTCGATCGCTGGAGTCCTCGTATTTCTCCCTGACACGATTCTTGCTATAACGCGATCCATCCTCATCATAGGATGCATCGGAACCCATTGTCGTGAAAAGGTCAAGTATGATGTTAGACGAGGGTTGAAACCTTCAATTTGGTCGGTCGCTTCAATATTTCAGTAGAGCGAAACACTGCGGAAATGGGCTCGAGATAGCAATATCCAAAGTGCCTGATAGAGGCTGGATGATCTTGATGCAGAATATTGACGGTATTTGGTCGTAAAGGTGACCTTTGAATATCGGTTTATCGGAGCTGAGAAGTAAGTGAATAGCTGGAAGGAGTATCGAAGCTGAAGACATTCAGGGTTCAAGGTTGCGGTGGGTTCTGAGCGATAAGATAAGAGAGCTACATATGCACTAATACATAGTAAGCAACAAGCGCCGCTGGATGTATGGCCAAGGGGAAATGATGAGGCATCATGAAAAATTCAGGACAGCGCAAACAGATCCTTGGAATAAATATGAAGAATATAGAGAGGCATATGAAGCAAGTTTTCTCTCTCTGTATGTATATATATACCCCTTATATATGTAAAGATTTTAAAGAAGGGGTGGGAGACTGAAGGAGTTCAGGATTGACAAGTTTTGGGTTTTGTCGGCGAAAATCACTGCCAATTCATTCTTTGAGAAAGCAGACATGAGAGTCCACGCATAAGGCTATGCTACGCGATACTGAATTCTGAGATCTCGCCCATTTCGCTCTTCATCTCCGATCCGACTTTATAAGCCACCCTCCACCTGAGCTTGACGGACTCGACCTTCTTACCCTTGTCACCAGTGTGCCACACCTCGATGGACTGGGTTATCCCACGGCTCTGTTTCGGCTCTAGCGAACGCCCCGTCTGGGGTTTGAGCTGGGATTCGTAGCCCTAGTTGAATGTTAGAACCCATGACAGGCTCAAGACATATCAGGAGAACGAGGGGACCACATACCTTTGTCACGGCCAACTGAAAATGAACCTCGCTTATCGGCTGTGCAGTGTTGTTGCTGAAAGCGAACAACAGGTTGATGCTGTTTGATGTGCCAGTCGTTCGGTTGGCAAGAAGATCGATCTTCAGGTTGGAGTTGCTCACCGCCACCCTATGCTCTTTGGGCAGAGATGTCGTCTCGGCGGGGAGGGCAGACGAGAAGTTCCACTCATCATCATCGTTGGCCTGCGCTGTGGCCGGTTGAGGAGGAGGAGGCTTGTTCGCGGCAAGTGCGGCGAATGGGTCGACCGCTGGTGCTGCTGGGGAACTGAATGCCGACTGTTGATAATTCGGTGGCTGTGGGGTGTTGTTCTTCGAGGTGGATGGCCCTGAGTTGAAGGCGGAGAAAGCCGAGAATGGAGGCGGAGTAGATGATGAGGAGAGAGAGCCCTTGGCGCTGTTGTCCTGGGTCATAGAAGAGAGCAATGCTGGACCAGGAATGTTGGTATTGTTACCAAACCCAAGGGAGATGCCACCGGTTTGGCCAAAATTGCCGGCGCCTTCTGATTCCCCGATTGACAGACCGAGTAGATCATCTTCGACACCAGCCGGTTGAGCCTGACGGGCTGTACTCGTACTAGCGTTTGCATTGCCCGAGCCGTTCGCCGCTGCGTCGCCATCAAAGTCGATGAGGTTGAGCTCCTGAGCGGCGCTCTTAACTGCCGCCGAGGAAGCCACATGCTCGCCTTTGGCAATCTTAGAAGCCCCTTCCAAGTCCCCTTTCTTCATCAGCTTGTACCTCTCAACGGTCCGGTGTATGCTGTCGTTGATCTCGAATAGTCTCGCCACGGCCTCGTGATCGTCGGACTCCTCCTCACACATCTTCTGAATCTTGGGCTGGGCATTCTGCAGCGAGGAAGCGAGCTCCTCGAAGACGTCACCATCTGTCATGGTGTCGCCTGGCTTGAACTCAGCAAGCCTCTCCTCGAGCAGCTTTGCCTTGGCCTGGATCTTGGAGACCTCCTCGGCAGCCTTGGCGCGGTAGTCCACCTTTGATCTTGTGTCATAACCAGCCATAATCTTCATGAGACGGTTTGCCTCTTGTAGGTCTTCTGGTGCGCCGCGTCGGATCAGCTCCTGCAATTTAGCCGACTGGGCCTCACGCTCTTCTTCCTCCATCTCCTCGGCGGATTTGAGGTTCTGTTTGAAGGGTGTCAGCTGAGGCATTCGTGGGTTGGCAGAGGGCTAGACGCAGACTCACATCGCTAGGGTTCAGGACAGCCGCGTCATCTTTCCTGACCTCGGGAAACGTGTAGCCCTTGTAGCTCAACAGTCTATGCATATCCCGAATGAACCCTAGATCCTCTTTGTACCTGCTGGTCTCGCAGATCGTACTGCGCCATTCTTCTATAGCCTCGAGGATCTTCATCTGCACCCTGCTGTACCTGATGGGCGGCCGCTCGGGAAAGCGGCGGACGAGTTCATTGAGAAACTCCTTGGTGCTGACCTGTAGCTGAAAGGGGTATCCGCAATTCTTGACGCATATGTCGAGCAGGTTGAGGGCGAGCAGGGAGACGTTCGGGTTGCGGTGGTTGATGTAGTTGACGATGGCCACAGCGGCCTCGCGGGGCGCAGAGCCCTTCTTCGAGTTGATGAGGTCGGCGATCTCGAGATTCAGAGCGAGGTTGGGCTCGTAATTCTCCGGACTGCACGCTGCCTGAATGAAGCGCTGGAGCTGGGAGGGAGCGTGGCCACCCCATCCTCCCCACGGGTCCCTGGCGGCCGCCCTTGCGCTGGCCGCCTCCATCGTGAGGATCCTGGTAGACAGGCTGGTAAAGACCGCTTTTTTGTCTAGCGCTTCTTGAACACCGTCAAGACCTGGTATTGCGCTTCCTGGGGGGACAATCGGTTGCGGTCGCAACCAAGAACTGCCCAAGGTACTCGTCTGCTTCGGCAGGTGAATAAGCCGCCTAGCTTGAAGCCCGAGCTCGAGCTGAGGCAGCGCAAGCAAAGGGGCTCAGGCGGGTGTGATGTTGGGAATGATGCTGCAGCACTCAATAGACGTGAGTCCGACAGGAAGTATATTGTCGCTGGTGTGGTTGTGGTGGTGGCTTGGTGAGCTGTTGTTGTTGTTTGTCAGTTTGCGAAATCATGGATGACATCGTGGCCACGCCAAGCGCATCCATTCATCACTGGGCTGAGGCGCTGAATGGCGTTGGTAAGAGGGGAAATTCGCTGCCGCCTGAGGGCCTGGGGCAGCTGGAGAACTACTGGTAAGCTGTCGCTCGGCACCGCGATCCGGCTACAAGCTCTACCCCTGCCAAGTGCTTATCAGAGAAAAAGTTGCCCCTCCAAAAACGCCCAGGGTTCGCCTCGCTTCGTTTCTCAACTGAGATCATCGTCTGAATCGTCAGTGCCGCTTTCTCAATATCGAATTTAAGAAGCCCAGAATAATTTCACCCTGACGTCTTTTGCCGACAAACGCCTTCCATAATTGACCAACGAAATTTGTCATTAAGAGCGCTATTGCCACTCCTGGGAAGAAGAAAGAACCCCCCCCCCCCAAACATGGTTCGTCACAAGAAAGACCCTCGAAGCAAGAAGACCTTTGGCGTCCACCCCAAAGACGCAAGACGAGGCGGCCCCCCGCGGCAACCGAGGAACGACGGAGATGAAGACACCGAAGAGCCATCTACCGCCTCGGGCCGAACGAAGCCTGCCTTCAAGGCAGCCTGCTGGGATCTCGGCCATTGCGACCCGAAGCGCTGCTCCGGCAAGCGCCTGATGAGGGCCGGCCTCATGCGCGAGCTGCACCTGGGCCAGCGCCACAGCGGCGTCATCATCACGCCCAACGGGAAGCACACGCTCTCGCCTGCGGACCGCGAGCTCATGGACATGTACGGCGCCGCGGTAGTCGAGTGCAGCTGGGCGCGCACGGGCGAGGTGCAGTGGAACAAGGTCGGCGGGAAGTGCGAGCGCTTGCTGCCGTACCTGGTCGCGGCGAACACGGTCAACTACGGCAAGCCCTTGCGATTGAACTGCGCCGAGGCCCTCGCGGCTGCGTTTGCGATCTGTGGGCACCTAGACTGGGCGGAGCAGGTGCTCGAGCCCTTCAGCTACGGAGAGGCGTTCTTGAAGATCAATGCGAAGCTTTTGAGAAAATATGCCGAGTGCGAGGATGAGCAGGCAATCAAGAAGACAGAGAAGGAGTGGATGGAGAGGTTGGAGAAGGAGTATGCCGACAACAGAGAAGAGGGCTCAGACGATGATATGTGGAAGAGTGGAAATGTCAATCGGCGTGTAATGCCGGATTCGGATGATGAGAGCGACGCTGATGAGGAAGAAAGTGGCGAGGAAGGCGGAGCAAACAGCGATGAAGTTGGCAGTGTGGACGGCATATACCTAGGCAAGAAGCCAGACCCAACACCGAAAGAAGCTGCCCGAGCAGAGAAGGATCCATTCGACATATCGGATGACAGCGAAGAAGACGAGGATGCTGCTATGGAAGCAATCCGGAAAAAGGTGCTGGCATCAAAATCATTCGCCAACATAGACGATCCAGCAGACAAGAAAAGGCCAGAGACGATCCCGAGACCCCCACAACCGCATCAGAAGGTGATAGTCGACCAAGACGCCGAACCGGATTCTGATAACGGCGACGATGACGATGACGAGTTTGATAATATCATCGCCGCTACGCCAATGACGGATAGGATCGGACTTACCAAGCTGGAGAGGGAGAGATCACAGGCTCATATAACGTCCAGAACATTCACGTCGGGCGGCGTATCTGCCCCAAAGAGGTGGTGATTGATGTCTTGAGTCTATATCAACCTCAAATCTTGATTGCATAATTCAAAAGATCTAGCAATGCGTCTATGTCTCTTCTTCAAATCAAGCCTTGTACACGTGTGCGTTGGTTCATAACCCATGTGAAGGCGCCTCAGGGCGGCAGTAAACTGAGCTGAGATAACATTTCTAAAGTGTCCGTGCCCGCTTTGCTGATGCATCCTGGTGTCTAAGCCCGGCCTTCTATATCTTTCTACAAGTACCTCTTTTCCTGTACTTCCTCGTAAAGTTGAATGGCATCGCCAGGCTGGAAATCGTCGTAATCCTCAAACATCATACCACACTCGGTGCCCTTTCTCATCTCGCTGACGTCCTTTTGCTTTTGCTTGAGGGCTGCAAGCTTGCCTTTATCGAAAAGTTAGCACAAGGTCTGAATGGAAATTTGCATGTTGCAAGTGGGGGGAGGAAGGGGGGGGGATGGAACGTGGGAGTGAGTTGAAACCGTCCGAGACATACCTTCATGGATCTTTTCTCCGTCGCGCATTATCCGGTACAGGCCACCCCTTGTCACCATGCCGTTTTTGACCTTCACGCCGGCGACATTCTTGTATACTCTCTTTACAATATTGATGGGGAAGACCTGGAGTACTTCGGCTTCGGCCAGGACCCTCTGGCTCATGATGGGCGGTAGCAGCTCCGACAACTGCTTCTTGACAGCATCAACTACTTCATAGATGATGTTATAATCCAGAATCTTGACGCCAGCCTCATCTGCCCTACGCAGGATGGGGCCCGGCACGACCGTGTTGAAGTTGATGATGCAGCCTTGAGCCATTGCCATGTGGTCGATATCTGACTCGGTAATCTGGCCCGGTGAGGATCGCAGGATGCGTGTCCGAACTTCGTTGTTTCCAATCTCCTGAATGGCGTTGGTGACAGCCTCGACTGAGCCCATCACGTCACCCTTGACAATGATGTTGTAGATCTTGGGGCCTGTTTCTTCAGGTTCGACCGTGGCATCCTCGTCGCCTTCCTCGCGTTGTTCCTCCATCATCTTCTCCAAAGCCTTTCTCTCGACTTCTTCCCGATCTGACAGTTCTTTTTGGGCCTTCTGCGCAGCAGCTTCCGCTCGATCTGCAACTTCCTGGCGGTAGCCAACCGCTGACTGCGCTGTGCTCTCATCCGGTGCTTGCAGGACCATGTCTCCTGCCATTGGTGGCTGCTTCCAGCTACCGTAGATTTCCACAGGAGTTCCCGGTCCGGCGGCCTTGACCTCTGTGCCGGCCTCGTTCCTCATGGTCCTGATCCTGGTGTAGGTATTTCCTGCAACGATCAAGTCGCCGACACGCAGTGTTCCCCTCTTCACGAGGATGGTTGCTGCTCTGCCGTCCGACTTGACGCTGGCCTCAAGAACCCATCCCTCAGCCATTCCGTCAGGCTCAGCGCGCATGTCGAGGATCTCAGACAGTGTCAGGATGCTCTCTTCGAGATCGCCCATTCCCCGGCCAGTGACGCCGCTGACTGCCACCACCTGCACATCGCCACCAAAGTCTTCAATCTCCACCCCGTTGGAGGCCAGATCCGACTTGACATGTTCGATGCGCTTCGGGTCATCGTCAATGTCAATTTTGTTGATGGCAACAATCATGGGTACCTTGGCATTCTGAGCATGCTTGATGGCCTCAATTGTCTGCGGCTTCACACTATCATCGACGGCTACCACCAAGACGACGATATCCGTAACGTTAGCACCACGCTGCCGCATGCTCAGAAACGCGGCGTGACCAGGCGTATCCAGAAACGTAATAAGCTTGCCAGATTTGAGCTTGACAGAAAAGGCACCGATATGTTGTGTGATACCGCCGTGTTCCTGTGCTGCAACAGATGACTTTCGCAGCCAGTCCAACATTGTCGTCTTGCCGTGGTCAACGTGGCCCATGATGGTCACGATGGGTGGCCGGGGAGGCACACTCGATAAATCTTCCGGTGGTGGTCTCGGCTTGAGGTCACGGCCGTCGCCCGAGTCGACTGTGGGCTCGAAGCCATATTCGGCAGCAACAAGAGCTGCAGTCTCGCCTGTCATGATACTGTCGTGGAGAATGTTCTCAAAACCGAGCTGTTCGAGATCCTTCAAGAACTGCCGAGGTTTGACGCGCAGGGCATTTGCTAGGTCAGACACCGTGATGTACTCAGGCAACAGTATCGTTTTAGGTGCCAGTGCCTCCTTGGCAGCTTTCTTCTCTTCCCTTGCGCGTATGCGTTGTTCGCGTATAGCCATTGCCTGCTCGTAGTCGAAGTCTTCGTCATGCTCATCATCGAACTCCCGCTGTCTCCGATTGTAATTCTTCTTTGGTTTGTCTCCTCTTCCTCGACGATCGGAAACTTCGTCGAAGTCTCTGTTCCGACCACGATAGCCCGCGTCCCGGTCAAAGTCCCGGCCTCTTCCGCGTCTGTCATCAGAAGGTCTGCCTCTACCTTGATGGTCCACATCCTTGTCAGTGTCCCTGCCTCTTGTGCCTCTCTCATCCGGTAGGGGGGCGTTCTGGTCAGTTTTAGGGAGAATGGGCAAACCAAGCTCCCTAGGGGTGGGTGCACCAAATTCGGGTGTGTGTTCATTGCTTTGATCCAATCTTCGCACCCTTTGATCCTGAGATGGTGAGGATTTCACCATGGGCTCAAATTTGAGTGGAGACTGTGACATTGGTAGCCCTGGTAGCTTTGGGCCGTTTGCTCCGAATCTAGTTGTAGTCGGGATTGGTGACGGCCGATTTGAGACTCTCTCTGCTGGCTCCGAGGGGCTAACACTCCCTAAAGATGACGGGGCTCCCCAGTCGTGATAGCGGTCTCTTCTCCTCAACTGATCGGGGCTACGTTTCGGCGACCTAGGCGTGGAGCGTTCCTGAGATATGTCCGGGACCGCCGACATCCGCGAGGCAGATATTTCCTGTCGAGGCAGATTGAAGGGGCTCATAGACTCGAATGAATCGTCCCTAGACCCTCGCCTTCGGAGCTGAGGAAACTCTGTGCCTGCGGGAAGCGATTGACCAGGTTTTTTACTGAAGGCTGCATCGAGGAGAGACACTTTCGACCGTTGGGGAGCAGCGCCTGAACTTTGGGCTTGTGACCGAGATGCTGACGAAGACGGAGGCGACGGTAGAGGCTGAGAAGGCTGAGGCACGGTCTGCTGGCTGACCTTTTGAGCAGGCGTCTCCCGAGATTGTGCTGCCTGTCGAAGATCATCCAGAGAGAGCCTGGAGATGCCACTGGTTGATTTTGCTGCAGCGACAGTGCTGCCAACGGGCTTAAATGCTGCCAGACCGGAGCCAAAGGCGGGCTTTTTAGGACCTGCCCCGGGAGGATTGCCAAATGAATTCGGTCTGCTGCTGCCCCACGAAGTTTGAAGCTGACCGAAAGCTGTGCCGGTGGATGGGCGGGCAGAAGGTACTTGTCTCGCGCTCGAGGAGTCAGCTGCCGGCTGTGCTGGTGAAATGCCGCTTCCATAAGCAGATCTCGCAGGAGGCACGCCGCCACCAAGCTTGCCGCCCCATGTTGCAGTTCCAGTAGCCGGTGGTATTTTGTTGCCTGCGGTGCGTCCTTCCCACGCAGCAGATGGTGATGTACTTGCGCTCCCTGCAACCTGGCCCTGATCATTCTTCAAAGCAGCGCCCCATGCAGAATTCGACTGCCCCGGGACCGTGTTGGATCCAAATCTACCCCACATGGTATAACACCGGACGTCTGTCCGGCTGCCCTTGAAAAGGTCTTCGTCAGGTGCGAATAGCGCTCCATGTCGGGGTGATCTCGAGCCTGGTCGCCTGGATATTGCAAGGCCGGTCGAGGAAAACGATCGAGGTAGAGAGGAATGGTCATGGATATGCGGGCGACCAGTATTACGTAGTCGAGCCAGGTCCTGCTGGTGTTGGCGTCGACATGATGCGCAGACGTAGAAGCTGGCCTGCCTCTGAAGTCGCAATACGTTAGTTGATTCTGAATGGAGCAAGAAAAAGAAAAGAGAGGAAAGGCAGGTGACAGGAAGAGAATGCATACCTTAGCCTGGTTCCTCAACATCCCTAGGAAGAACACAACGTGTGGACAGCCTCTTTTATGGTGCTGCCCTTTTCTCAGACACCCAGAAACTCCAAAGTGTGTCGCGTCACACGTCGAGAACTGCAATGGCAACTTTTAAGGTGGATTTTCGCAGATGCATGGGAGTTGCATCCACTAAAGTAGAGTGTACTAGCATGGCTATACTTGGAAGAGACTTGCAGAGACTTGCAATCACCCCACTCCACGGCAGGTAGACCATGTACCCTGCTGGTACAGGCACGGGGAAGTTATGGCCAACCGACCCGGGCTGCCGGGCAGGCATGGGAACGAGCCGTTAGTTCAGGGTCAGGGGTAAAATTATAGAGCTCCTACTCCATGAAGCCACGCCAACAAGCCTTCTCTCACTCATCCAGACAGCGCCCATTTTTTCTTCTTCTTCTTCTTTTTCCTGTTCACAGTTCAGCAACCATTTCAGTCATTCGACATTGTAACAGATATCTATCTCTGTCTCTCATCTGTTGCTGGGTTCCACCGATTCTCGAACTTGGCCCTCGAAAAATTAAAAACCTCCCAAGGACTCAACTCAACATTCCTCAGAAGAAATGGCGCCATCCAAGAGAACCCAGGCAAAGAAACCAAAATCATCACCGTCACCCTCCTCGACAACCTTACAGGAGCCTCCCCAACCGTTCAAGCGAGCTCCGGAGGTGATGGCTCCCTTGCTCTCCACCCTCTCGCCAAAACATGTCTACATAACACACATCGACAGCAAACCGGTCGAATTCAAACGCAAGATCTTCCTGGTACCCATCGTCATCAACCTCGCCATCACTGCCCTCTTTGCTTACCGCATGTATCACATTGGCCCCTGGTACTTCAAACTTATAGCCTCAGCATTCGGACATTCCAATGAGACCACCGTGCCTGTGGCCGAGTCCAGCTGGTCAGTCATCGCCAGGATAATTGCGCGGAGGGCTTTTACATTTTCGCTAGATTGCTTGCTGTTCATCTTCGTATGGCCTTGGCCTGTGGAGTTCTGCTTCGACGGGTCGCACGGCAGTCCCCTTATGTGGCGGTGGGGTGTGGGCTTCCGTGGCAAGGAAATATACATCCGCCGCAGCAAACCGAATTGGGACACCGACATCAAGAAGGCTGTGAAAGGGGATAATGCCCAGGCCAGGAATCTCTTGATGAACCATGTCGGCGTGGCTACAGCGCCGATGTTGATCAATGAGAAGACTGGCTACTTGACGATGAACAACGAATGGGACCTGGACTGGGCGGCGATGGTGAAGGCGACGAAATTGGTGGATGACAAGAGTATCGCGCTGGAGGCATTCAAATTGATGGTCGTGTTGCACCACGAAGACTACGGCTGGGTTTCCCTTGACCTGAAGATGGAGGAAAATGCACAGGATGTTGCACGCCGGACCCAGGTGTTTGCGTTTAGGGACGCGCTCGCAGCGGTGGGCAAGGAGGACCTGTTCTACCGATGGATCGAAATTGTTCAGTTCGAGTCTACGCAACCGGGCGGGTTCGGTGCAGACAAACAGGTCGAAGTCGCCAAGCAGATTCGGGAATTGTTCGCAGAGCAGGGTATCGACTTTGATGAGTTCTGGAAGGAGAGCGTGGGCTCGGACGGTCTCGCCAACATGTAGGGTGAGAGAAGAGGGCAAGAAGTGGACTGCCCCTTGAAGAAGAAGAAAAGTGTGCCGTACTGAATCGTGTTGTCGCAAAGAGCTGCGTCTACACGCAATTCGAGTGTGGGAAAGAGAGAGAATAATAAAGAAAATACAAAATGACTAGAAGACCCAGTATTGCTGATCTATGGCCAAAGCAAGGGAACCGGGATCGAAGATGGCCGTTTGGACCTTCTGCTCACCATAAACCTTGCCCGCCCCGATGCCAACGGAAGTAGTTCCGCCCCCTACTTCTTCTTTCCGGCCTTCTTGGTGGGCTTGCCCATAGCAGCCTCGCGCAGCTTGGCCTCTTTCTTCTCAATCTCTGCACGCTTCTTGGCTTCTTGCTCCTTGCGCTCCTCCTCCTCGGCCTGGATATAGATGTTAGCGTCAACCTGCCCGTCACAGCTTGTTCGGATTGTAGAAGGGAACACACTTCTCTCTGCAGACGAGCCCTCTCGCGCTCCTCACGGATCTTCTGGAGGCGAGCTATATCCGCCTTGGCCTCGTCGGTCTTGCCAGCCAGGTGCTGCTTCATATACCGCTCCTTGGCAGCCGCCGCCTCGGCTGACTCCCTCTCCCGGCGGCTCTGAGGCTGCTTGACGCTCAACTTGGACACGCCCTCGGCAGCCTCGTCGACCTCCTCCTCCTCGACCTTCGGAGCGGCAACGGCCTGCTTCCGCGCAGCCTTGGAGTGGTTGGGATTGGCGGGCATGTCGTCGTCTTCCTCATCCTCGGAGTCGCTGGGAGGGAGATCGCCGACTTGGATAGAAGCGGCCTTGGCCTTGGCGATCGCGGCCTCCTTGCGCGCCTTCTTCTCCTTCCTGCGGTCCTCGCGGCTTATCTCCTGAACAGCGGCGGCGCGGGAGGGGCCTGGCTCGTCGTCGGAGTCTTCCTCGTCTGAGTCCTCCTCATCGTCCGAGTCGGAGTCGGAACCATGGTCTTTCTTGTGTGCGTCTTCGCTCCACATGGAAATCTCGTTACCGTCGGCATCAAGAGGTCGGAGGTCACGGGAGAAGTGCTTGCCACCTACCAAAGAGAAGACGCGGTCAGTCAGAGTAAGATTGCCCTTTGAGAGGGGCCTGGGAAATATATCACAGACAAGACTTACCTCCACGCTTGGCCTTGTTGAATTTGCCAGCTCGGGCACGATCTACTGCTCTGCTGCCGCCTGCCATTGTAGGGATGTTACTGTGGGCGACGTAGGACCTTGGTGTTCTGAAAGAGACTGAGGAGCTCTTGTCGATGTAGGTATCCAATAGCAACGATGTATAGCCGTTGTTGGATTTTGTTTTTCGTGTTTCGATGATATTGTCAGAGTTGAGGTTGACCAAGCTGTCCTGTCGGGACTGACCAAAAGATCAAAACACAAGTGTTGATTCTTGGTTTCGAAGTCAGTAAAAGGAAGAATACAAGAGTCACCGGGCGCATAAGAACAGTCCTGCAAGTGATTCACTGCCCCTCATTCCCCCCACCTGCAACAAGGTTTAGGGCCCTGAAAATCGCTAGCAATTGTTTTCTGCCTTGGTGTGATTGGTAGCCTATGCTGACATAAGATGGCATGGCTTTTATGTCCCCTGCCACTAGAGGTGGGGCATCTGTTGAACACAAAGCACCAGGCTTAATCTTATATCAAGGCCCAAGGTTGGATTTTTGATGTCTTTTGAGGAAGATCAGGACAATCTGTTGTGGCGTCGCATACATGCTCTATCATTTGTACTATTCAAATAAGCTTCTGAAATCTCTGATGAATTTGGTCGTGTATTTTTCACTACACCCAGTCCTACGGCTAAGTTGTCAAATCTGCTGATTGAGAGTGTCTTTTATCATCCTGAGGATGGCCACAAAAGCAGATGAGGGATACTATTGCTCACCCAACCTAACTTTGAATAAGTTTCAATATGGACAAGTGAGGGAGGTGGAAGAATGCATCATTAAAAGAAAAGACACGGCAGAATTGTAATAATTCCAGCACACTTGCTCTACTACAACACGTTCATTTGTTCTACTAAATAACAGTGCAGCACGTCACATCCCAAACGGACCGCGCCGCGCCGATTGATTACGTAAGGTTCATGGTTCCACAAGAGTTTGCAACAAAATTTCGCGGTGGCTTGCGTTCCCATTTCCCTTTTCCTTCTTCACAACACATATTTCGGCACCCTCGTATTCACTCTGGCACTTGGCCTTTTTTCAGTGGCGTGTCTTGGAGGGGAAACCGAGGGTTAGATCAACCTCGTTACCTTACCTTCTGTGCTCGTATTCAGCTTGACAACAAGCTCACGTTGGGTCCAGATAAATTTTCAACGAGACATCTAGATATTCCCCGTAATCGGCTGCCTGCATCTATCAATCAAAGAAAGCTGTTCCCACTCACTGAACCTCCAGGTGGGCTTTCCACCACCTGTCTCATCCTGTCCATGATCAAACTCCCCTGACGCACGTGCGGCTGAGTTGGTAGACCTTGGCGCAATTGTCTTCTGTCCTAATAGTTGCGTTTTGCCCGCACCTTGCATTCGTGTGCTTTATTATCGGTGTTTCTGTCGTTCTTCTAGCCTGCCCATGGTAACTCGGTAACTTAAGCAACTCTAACCGAATCGAATTTCTGCAGACCACCTCAGATCATCGCTCGTCCATGGACAGTCTCGTCTTTAGCGAGCACGTAGTGCATGCCGTGTCCAACCTCAAAGATCTTGACTGGGATCTTGGGGACCCTGAGCCTCGTGACTGGCTGGGATTTCAACTCGCGAGAGATCACGGCTTCACCAGACCTAAAAACCACAGACCAGAATGGCCGGCAAAGGGACCAAGATCTCTGTTCATGCTGGCCCTCGAGACTGCGGCAAAGAACATTCAGAATATCGACGACTATTGGCTCGAGTCCATCGCCAAGCCTGAATGGATTAAGATGATGTGGCGGTACTTGAGGCCTGAGGATGGGTAAGATGTCCGCATCACGCACGCCTTGATCGTGTTCCCACCGCCTCGTACTTGGCCCCTTGTCTATAATGAGGAGAATTTATGGCCTAATTCTAGAGATTTGTCCAGAGAGCTCTCGCTTGCAGCCTGGAAGAAGTTCAACAAATTCCTTCCTGATGACCCAGAGTGGGGTACTCAGTTGGCATTCAACTACAAGCAGATCCGCGTTCCAACCGCCGCGGACTTTGCGATTTATACCAAGCCCCTAACATCAACTGCCTCTTTCGACTTCGTTGCTCACCTGAGGATCTCGGGCCTCTGTCCGATCAAACCGCAGAACCTGATTCTGCTTGCTGGACTCAAGAATCTTGGTGTGTTGGAGGTGATTGAGCAATTCGATGCGGCTGCTTCGTTTCCTGGAGCAGTCAGCGATCGCGTGGTCCGTATCTAGCACCTTTCCCATGGCACTTTCCAGAGATCGTATGTTCAAGGGCTGACACCGAGGACTTCCTATATACACAGGTCAAGTCTTGGAGTTGTCAAGAAGACCCGTTTCCTCGGCTCCGGATCTTGAAAGTCTGTTCCTTCCACGACCTCACCCTCGAGTGTCTGCGCTACTTGGACAAATTTCCCAAACTAGCTCTCTTCGAGGTTCTCGGCAGGGCCAAGAACTGGCGAGGAGCAGAACTCCAAGCCAGAAAGCACGGATGGGCCTACCACAGAACCATCAATCGCCGACACCCCAGCCGAAGTCTCTCGTCCCTCCCCGAGGATTTCTCATGCAGACAAGCGCCTTATGATCTCCTCTCCGAAACCTTTGCCCACCACCTTGGTCACACATACCTTGAGCCCCACCGGGCCATGTCTGCATATAGGACTCTTGGGTGCCTGCCCGACGATACAACGACGGACGGGTCCGCTGGCTACGATGTGCCTCCTCGAACCCAGCCAAAACAAACACGCGAGCAGCAGCCCACACGACGTCAGCCACCTTTCGCCTCCTTGCATCTGGGCGATGACCCACGCCCTGGCGACGCCCCCGCGTTCTGGAGGCAATATCGTCTGCGAGCCATGTTTTTCTGGCGGCAATCATTAGTCCCTGGTCCTGAGGCGCCTGCGGGTTCCAGCAAATCTGAATTTGGGAGCGCAAGGGCGGCTGCTGGGGACGAAGAGCGGTGTTCCACGGTGGCCTCAAATTCGGCAGGGAAAAGGTCTGCCTCCCGGCCCACGAAGCGGCATCGAACGAACGGCATCGGGAATATGCTTCACGATTTCCAGTCTTAATGATTGATGATGATGGAGGAACTGGAAGAACCCTCAACTACGATGATATCTCTTTGTTGTGGAATTTAAAGCTTGCTTGCTGGCCAGACGAGTTTGTTGATGGGTCGGCATGGCTTTTGCGCGCTTGCACTGCTAATTCTTGAAAGAATAGCACCAAATTATACTTCAAGACCGTGACAACCCAATACTTCATGCAAATTCTCGTTATGAACTGTACATTTTGAATTTTCGGTTTCTCCTCGCTTCTTCTTAAATATCATGTGACATCAGTGGTCATCAAGTCTCTCTTACAACAATAATACACACTATCAATATCATCATCATGACTTGTATGAATTACTCTGGCCTTCTACCCCCTTTTTGAGGCAATTCACACATTGTCCCCCGGCTTTACTGCTATGACCGGTCCATCTCATCCAACCGTTCTCTCAAAAAAAGATCAAATCACAACATCGGCTTCAGGTCCTCGGCCACTGTGAACGGTGCCTCTGTCTTGGCCTTGATCTCCTCTACCGTCACGCCATCAGCAATCTCAATGAGCGTCAGCCCATGTGAGAAGTCGACATCAAAAACACCCTGTAACATTATGTCGAGTCAGCTTTGTTTCACTTTCGAACTGCATCAAGGGTATAGTTGAGAGAGAGAGAGGAAAAAAAAAAAGGGGGGGGGGGGATGTTCAGAACGCACCAGCTCCGTGATAATCCTCGACACGCACGCACGTCCCGTCAGAGGGAACGCACACTGCTTGACGATCTTGGCATTTCCCTTCTTATCCGTGTGCTCCATAGTGACGACGACCTTGGTAGCGCTCGGGTTGCTGACCAGATCCATGGCGCCGCCGAAGCCCTTGACCTTGCCGGGCAGCATCCAGTTGGCCAGGTCGCCGGTGCCACTGACCTGCATGGCGCCGAGGATGGTCAGGTTGATGCGGCCGCTACGGATCATGCCAAAGCTCTCCTCGCTGCCGAAGACGGCGGCACCCGGCTTAAGGGTGACAGTCTCCTTGCCGGCGTTGATCAGGTCGGCGTCCTCGTGGCCGCGGCGCGGGTAGGGTCCCAGGCCCAGGATGCCGTTCTCGCTCTGCAGCTGCACCTCGACCTCGGGCCCCACGAAGCCCGGCGCCAGCATCGGCATGCCGATGCCCAGATTGGCGTACATGCCGTTCTTGAACTCCTTGGCCGCGCGCCGCACGATGCGCTCCCTCTTGGCGGCCGTGTCGCCTGTGCCCAGGGCCTTGGCCGCGTCGTCGGCCTCTCCCTCGTCCTTGGTGAAGGTGTACTTCTCAATGTTCTTGGACGTGGTGCTCTGGATGACGCGCTTGACGTAGATGCCAGGAAGGTGGACCGCCTCGGGGGGGATCTCACCCGGCTCGACAATGTGCTCTGCCTCGACGATGGTCATCTTGGCGTTGCGGCCCATGGCGCCGTTGAAGTTGTTGGCGGCGAGGCGGAACTGGCAGTTGCCGAGCTTGTCGGCCTTGTAAGCCTTCACGAAGGCGTAGTCGCCGGCGATGGCGTGCTCGAGGAGGTAGCTCTTGCCGTTGAAGACCTTGACGTCCTTGGGGTAGGAGAACTCGGCCGGGGTGCCGTCGGGGTTGTTCTTGAGAGGCAGGTCGCCCGTCTGCACCACCGTGCCGAACGCTGCCGGCGTGTAAAAGGCCGGCACGCCTTTTCCGCCCGCCGCGCACCGCTCCGCCAGCGTGCCCTGCGGTGTGAGCTCCAGCTCGACCTCGCCCGTCAGGTACATCCTCTCAAACGTCTTGTTCTCGCCAATGTACGAGGCGATCATCTTGCTGACCTGCTTCGTCTTGAGCAGCTGGCCCAGACCCGACGAGTCCGTGCCCGCATTGTTGGACACCGCCGTCAGGCCCTTGATGTCGGGCTTCTCGAGAACCTCGTTGATGAGCGTGTCGGGGACGCCGCACAGGCCAAAACCGCCGCACAGAAGAGTGCTGTTGGGCTTCATGTCCTTAAGGGCTTCGGAGGCGGAGGGGTAGACCTTGTTGATCTCGGCGCGCCGGGTCGTTGCCGAGAAGGCACGGGCAAAGAGGAGGGCATGCTAGAGACGAAAGGGGGAGAAGTATGAGCTGACAATCCTGCTTGTAGTCTTGCACACAAGGCCTGTAGTATCCTCCTGTGTCATCGTAACTAAACTCACATTTGAGCCATATCTTGAGTATGCGCGGAGGGTCCGCATGCAGACACCTGCGGACGGCATGATTGTGTGTGTATGTGAGGATCTGGTCGCAGCAGAGAAGAGACCCCTCCCTACAAGGTTTATAATGCTGGCTCGACAACAAAACCCACACAGGCGAGCCTCTAACTGTCGGTTGGAAGAGCAGATTATGTCCTGGACGCCGACGAAGAGTGGAAGCAGGATAAGGCACAGTAGAGCGCACTCGACCGGACCGACGCGGAGCAGACGAGAGCCGAAGCCGGGACCGGGGACAGGAAGGAGCAGAGCAGCAGTCGGATGGATGGATGCCAATCAGCCAGGACAGAGGATGATTGAGGGAGTGAAACAAGAGTCAATTGTTGTTATGGAGATGATGATTAAATTGTTGGTTTGAGGAAGAAGGAATAAACGCACGCACGAAAGAGGAAAAAAGAAGAAAGAGGTCGTTGGCAGCAGCTCCTTGAACCCGACAACGTCCGTATAGTTCTTCCCATTTTCCCCCGCCAAAAGACCTCTCGGCTTTGCTTCCGCGACGATGCCGTCAAGGTTTCGAGCGCGGGTAGCCACCTCGGCATTGGATTGCTGGATAAGTAAATAACCCGTCCCATTCCGCAGAAGACCAGGGGTTACTTGCAGGGGGTGTAGTGGCTCCTGCTCGGGCCGCTGCCTGTCGTCGGATGAATGTTCTTGCAGCAAGTCAAGGACCGAGGAGGAAGGGCCCGTATCCGATGCGCCGCTCTCGGCCGCCTGAGAATAAGTACCAAGTACCAAATAGTCCGAGTACTCTACCATAGTACAAAGGGATTAGGACCCCTTGACTTCCTCCTCTTCGTCTTCACCTGGTGATGGTAGAGGTACTATGAAAACTACACTTATCATAGTTGGTAATGCAACAATGGTCGTCATTCAAGGTGGCAGTCAGTAGTGATGATATGCATTTCTCATTTACCACTAGCAAGATCAAACAAGAAAATCCAGACGCAGTCTAATATTCTCATTGCCAATTGTCGTCCCACCCCGCTTGTTCCTTTGTGCACCTCACGGACCACCGCTCGTTCTTTTGGCCAAGCAACAAAGCCCATAGTAACGTATAGTAGTAGTAAGACGGCGATTCTCAAGGACGCTTGTCTACCACACGAAATGTGGGTGAGATGGACAGTAATAAAATCTGGCCCCGAAAACAAACCTTTCCTGCTGCTCTCTGGCTCCGGTGGGGTGAACTAGACAAGAGACAGAAACAAGCCTCCCCATGACTCCTGTTGCAATGGTGCAAGAAACCAATGTCTCTTCTCTTCTCTTCTAATGATGCGGCGGTGCGATGCCTCGGGAAAGTTCCTGGAATAAAAAGAAAATCAAGCCCCACCTCAACTCTGCAACGCCTTCATCGTGACCTAAGATTATTCACATCTCGAGCCGCCATCCCTAGGTTGTTTCGGAGGATCCAACTCAAGTTCTGGAAGCGCGGACTTCTTCTAACGTCTTTCAGTATCGATCATGGTGAATCCGTCAGTATATGAATTTGGAAACCAGTAGGCTATAGCTTCCTGAAAAAGGGGTCGAGGGTGAGCCAAGAGGTATTGTAGCATCGCTCGTCAATCAAGTGCATGATATGTCCACCAGCTCTACATGCATCAACCTATCGACGACCGCTAGCAGCCGTTGGCGAGGGGGCGTGCAGGTCCACATTAAACTTCCACTTGCCTATAGAGATCATTAGCAGCCATCCATGTATATTGAAAACACAAGCATTTGAGAATGCTTACCGTTGGCGAGATTTTCAGCCGTGTCGTCGAGGAGGATCACGCGCCGTTTGTTACAGTAGGCCGTCTTGTCCATAATCTCGACCTTCAGTTTGGAGTCTGAGAGCTCTGAGATCGGCTTCTCGAACATCTCAGACAGGGCCTCAACCGCCATCTCCAGGTCTTTCTGGTTGTCCTCGAAAATCTCGGTGAGGTTGTTCCGTGCCAGGTAGAACGCGAAGGCATATGTCCACTTGAGGGTCTGCCGGCAGGTCTGCAGGGCCTGGGATGCGGCGTTGAGGTACTGAACCTCAATCCAAGACATGCCCGACGCCGTCTGGAGCTGAATCATCTTCTTCTCCGTCTTCTGGTAGATGTCCTTGTCGAGACGCGCCGACTGCTCGTGGTTGGCGTAGCGGTTGTAGTAGTGTAGGTACCTCTCCAGCGAGACCCTAGATTTAGCCTGGGCGTCCCTCGCCTCGGTGCCGCTCTTCTCTTCGAATCGGTTGCAGTTGTACCAGCTGGTGCCATGCTCCGACCATAGGCCCATGCACATCCAGCAAAACTCGTACTTGCACTTGCGGCACGTCATGTGGTTGCAACCCCCGTTCTTCTCGATCGTCGAGTTGCACTTGGGGCACTCCTTGGTATTCGCTGAGATCCAGTTGGCAGTCTCACTGTCGTCGGCACACTTCTTGAGCCATCGCCTGACCAGCTCACAGGGGGCGGGCTGGTGATCGGTAAGAATGCAACCGAAGCAGAAGCGGTGTGAACAAGAGCAGGCCACTGTAGGCACGATCTTGTCCAGGTCCTTCTTCTTGACGCTGCAGCCTATGGCATTCTCGCAGTCCGGCGCGGGGCACCACTTCAAGGTGTCGTTGTCCTGTACGTAGGTCCGGTTGAGAAGCCGCCGGTATCTGTCGACCAGGTCTTCGGTGACGAGCAGGTCGAGTGACCTCGCATCGATGATACGGTGACAATCCTCCGAGGGGCACTGGATCCGTGCAGCCTCACCCTCCTCCTTGATCTTCTGTGTAAGATATTGCCTGTAGCAGTCGACGCAGTACCGGTGTCCGCACTTGATGGCGAATGTTTGGAGGCCGTCCCCGTCCTCGCAGCAGATGTCACACGTGAAGCCCGGGATGACCTCCAGGTGCGGGCCGCCAGACGCTTCAGAACCGAGGCCGGCAGCCTCAAGGACCCTGGGTCCTCTGTCCATGTACTCGTCGATCAGCCTCTCCTTGTTCCAGCGGAAATGACGAAGAAGTATGGCAGCATCCTCCTTGGATAATTCGAGGATCATGTTGACCTCGTCGACTAGTTCGTCTTGCTGATTCTGTAGCTCTTCTGGTAGGTAGACCTTGTACGTGATCTCATACGAGACCTTCTTCTTCGGGCTGAAGTCGATCTGTCCGGGCAGGTCTGGCTCGGGTTCATCGTCGAAGTCGAAACCTGTTTCGTGGGAGTGTTAGTCATCGGGCTGGGCAGGCGTTTGGGGGGAAAGAAGAGATCAGGAGAAGATGGATGCATGAATGGGGTGGGGGATGGAGGTTGGACATCACATACCATCGTCGACCGAGTTGTCACTGTCATCATCCTGAAGGACGTCTTCGTCGCTTGACAGATTGGAGAGCATATCGTCGTCGGAATCCATGTTGGTGGAGGTGGTGGTCATAGGGGTGGGAGGCGAGGCCTGGACTTGTTGGCCAGCTGAGGCAGGGACCCTCTTGTTGGGAAGGGCGTCCTTGGTCGCGGAGGAAAGCTTCGCCTCAGCCGCCTTTCTCTTGCGAGTCTTGGGAGGAATGATGACGGGGGACTCGGATGCAGCGACCGAGTCCAGGTGACGGAGGTAATCTGTGTGAGGCACAGAGGACGGTCTGACTAAACGGAAGTGAGTGTGGTGGGTCTCACTCTTGGTTGTAGCGGTGGCACCCAGAGAGTTATCGAAGGGAGAGGGAGAATGGCTAGTAGGCGAGACGTTGTCCAAGAAATAGTGTTGTCCCCAGATGGCAGATGCAGGATGATTGTTGTGGTTGGATAGGTCTGGTTGTTTCTAGTTGGGCGTGCTGTTGTTGAGACGAACGGGGAAGAGACGACTCGGGGGCACTGGGCCTGGCGCTGGGCCTGGCGTCCCTACTGCCGCAGTGATGGTTGGTCTTATGGGGGGTGACAGGGTCACACGCCACTTGGGCCACAGGCTCTGCAAAACACAACAGGTTTAACGAGGGAGCTAACACACCGAGCCTAGTGACGGGACGGGTGGTAGAGTTGGTTGTTTGCGACGGATGGACCGAAACGTGATCAGTGGCCAGTGATCAGTGTTGGGTGGTGGTGGGTGGTGAATGAGTGAGTGATGACCAGCAGCGGGGACTGTGTACGGCTACAGTCCAACCAGGTCTCGCTCCGTCCAGGACCTCGTGTGTGCCCAGCGTAACGCCAGATGTTGGTTTAGGAAAAGGGGGGTTGAGGAGAAGAGGAAAACTTGGAAAAGGAACAGCTGCAGGTTAGGCCTAAAAGTACAGGTATAAGTACGGGTGGGAAATTTTGACAATATGTTTTCCGGAGGAAATGGGAAGGCTCTCAGCACCCCTGATCTCATGTCAGACTTTGGGCTGGTCAATGCAGTTGAGGGGGGGCAGGGAGCAGAACGAGCCGCTGCCCTCAGCCGTCAGCGTGGTTGTGCTGGCTGGTGGTTAGTTGGGGGGGACCTGCCTGCTCTGTACCCAGGGTCCCCGTACCGGCTCCAGGGAGTAGCGTGGAGGTCAATGTTAGTGGGTCTTGGGACTCTGGGCGTTTGACGTTGGCCTCCCAGTGAGGGGCAGAGGGGGATATGCTTTTTTCGAGGATTTGGGCCGAGCCAACCTGTCTGTTTGGTACATAATAAAAACTATGTCGAGCTTTCGGCTTTCGTATGATCCATACCGATTATATGGTATGCAACTTCTCTTTTCTTCTATGAGACTTCGCATTTGAAATTTATTGTTCAGCAGCCGGATGGATACCAAATAAAAGTAGGTATATTTTCACTCTCTAGTAATCGTAAATATGCCGATAACGAGGCAAAATCTGTAAATAGGGTACGCAATGCTAAAGTGGAAGCTGAACAGGGGCCTACACTGACCTGTGATGTCATTTGCGGATGACGCTCTGCTCCCGAACAGGGGCTTACCCATTGAATGCTTGCATGGTATTGCGCAGTTTGCATAGTACTAACCCCGTTAACGTCGCTATACAATGCTTCCCTTTCAGCTACCTTCCACGCGGGACTTTTGACAGCTGCGAGATTGTGAAGTGACAAACCTTCGCGCATTTCATTCCTATCCCTCTATACCGCCCCTTCCCACCTCCTCTCCTCTTCCTCTCCCCGAAGACAAAACGCAGAATGGCATTCAGATCTTCCCTTAGGCCATTGAGCCTGGCCGCGAGGTCGTCTCTCATGTCCTCCTCGAGGGGCTTCCACTCAACTCGCCCGGCGTTCGTCAAGGTTGGAGATTCTATTCCCAACCTGGAAGTCCTTGCAGAGGGCTCGCCTGCCAACAAGGTCAATCTCGCCAAGGAGCTCGCCACCGGGAAGGGTCTCATCATCGGCGTACCGGGAGCTTTCAGTACGTCCCACAGCTAACCCGCCAGAATGATGACCAGCTAGCTCTAGGAGAGACTGACGGCAGTTTAACAGGCCCTGGGTGCTCGCAGAAGCACATCCCAAGCTATCTCAAGCATCCTAATCTCCAGGATGCGGGCAAGGTCTTTGTCGTCTCCGTCAATGATCCTTTCGTCATGGGGGCCTGGGGCGATGCTCTGGACTCAAGCGGAGCTATAGGTGTAAGTGCTCTCTTACTCTCTGGATGACTTTCCCTTTCCCTTGGAGAAAGCAGCTAAAGAAACCCTCATTCACCAGATCCGCTTCCTTGCCGATCCGGTCGCCGAATTCACCAAGGCGCTGGACCTCGACTTTGATGCCACCAAGATCTTCGGCAACGTGCGGAGCAAGCGGTATGCCCTCGTGACGGAGGACGGTAAAGTCAAGTAAGTCGCAGTCTGTTGGAAACAGTGTCCTGGTCCTGTCTATAGCTGACGGTAATGTCTTTAGATCTACCCACATCGAGAGTGACGGAACGGGTACGAACGATTCTATGGCAGAGAAGGTTCTTGGGCCTCCTACCTCACTGGACTGGAATGCTTGAACGCCCTTCTGCAGCCTCCCGGCGTGGAATTTATCTATCATGTCGCGTGAGATTACTGCAAATTTTCCCAAAACTAAGAACATGTTTATCCCCAAAAGGTTTTTGCAAACTTCATGAGACCGTGCAAACAAATCGCGAGGCCACGGCATCAGCCTGCGTATAGGATTGGCATTTGCAGTTAGTCTGTATTCTGCTCAAATCATACTTTAATTTAGAGGACGTCTGCTTGACGCCGTGACATCCCGTGTAGTCCATTTCGATTCTGGCACAAAGGCCCATGGCAAGATAAGAGCACATACGAGGTCCACATTTTGATGGCAAGCCAGTACGGAATTCACATCAGCACCGAGGTAAGGGATGCCTCAATGTAGCTCTCCAATGGTTGTATGACCCCTGCCACCACGGCTCGATCTCAGCTAAGATATCGACTATTGATGGCGGTCTAGCGACGAGAGTTCTCTGCCATTCGATTTCAATTTCGCCCTCGAGAGCCTAGAGACGAGGTCTGAGTGTGTCTCGAAAGCCTCTCACTAATCTCCTCTCGCCAGTAAGGTGGTTGAGCGAGAAGAAAATCCCTTGCAGACAGACTTAGACCAGACCCCGCCGGACGGATATTAAGCAAACAAGCAGCAGAGTGCAAGGCTCATCCAGAGTCCTCATCAACGGCGTCACTGAGCATCTTTAGCAGCTTCTTCAGGCACTCCTCTTCACCCTGCTGGACCGCCCTGCCCCCAACAGCAACAGTCTTGTCCCTAGATTTCATTCCACGAGTGATTTGGAGATCAGACTTCGGTACGCCTAGCACCTGCTCTCCAGCTGTGTCAGTAAGCACCAAGCCTCCGGCAACCTTTCAGTGATGGAATGGTCGCGTCTGCACAGTGACGGACGGCCAAGAATGTACAGGCCTGTGTATCTCATGCGCCAGACTACTTACCTCGCTCAGCACGGCCAGAACAGCCTTATTGGCCTCCCCCTCTCTGGCAGCAGCAGTGACGCAGAGCTCGACAGCGTCATCGGTGAGAGCCGCCACACCCTCGCGGACCTTGCTGGCTCCTGGCTTGACGCGGCACTGGAGGTAGACGGTGGGGAGCTTGTTCTTGGATCCGGCGACGTATTGGATGAAGCGGCGGGTTGACATTGTTTGATTGTCTTCTCGGTGACCTCACCGGAAGAAGGGCCCTGGATCACTACTTAGTCATGAGAACATGGGAGAGTTTGCGTGCTGGCTTTTTCTCTTTCTCATTTTCCCCTTCCCTCTCTTCTTTCTCTGCCTGTCGTACGATTTGAAGAGAGCTGGTTTCTGCTCGGAAGGGCTGGTCGGAGATGGAGGTTGACATAAGTGGACCCCCGGTCCTGGTCCTTGCCGAGCTGGGCGGGGTACTCCCGACACTGACAGCACCGAGTCGACCACTTGCAACACCTTGAACTCTACACTTGACCGATCGCCCGTTTCTTATTCGAAATCTTATACAGACAAGGCCCCTCGAGACCCTATGCATAGACTCATACTGCAGGCAATGTGATCGGATGCGAACGACGGAGCAGACAGGGCAAAATTGCAGATACACGCACAAGGAGAGAGAAAAAGTATGCAGATTGTGGGTTCGGTCATGGCTTCATACTCGAGACCCTCTTATCATATTCATGATTCGTGTTGCAGCAACACCGCATCACGCGCAAGGCTGTTCTATTCCAACTCGGCAGCGGTGGACTCTGCTGTCCTCAACGCTACTTGTACGTGGACAGGTGGTCGGCGCCCTCCACCTCGTATACCCATAGCCATAGTAGCAGTCATCCCTCTCTTGGGCTGATGTCTTCGCTTATATAGCATAGAACCTCGTAAGAGGCCGAGACATGGATTTCTGGCCTTGCAGACGCCAGAAACAGTCTCGAGACGCAGCGTGTGCGTAGTAGAGATGATCCTTTTCAATGTACCTTTAGTTACCGCAGCTCATTCATCTGATGCCACGGGCCCTTGGGCGTACGAGTCCACTAGACCGCGTGCCACGAGTGCCACCAGCACCGCCGCGACCACCCCGAGCCTGCGTTCCACCGCGAGTGGACGGCGCAGGCACCCGAGAGGTCCTTGACCTAGGGGCTGGAGTCTGGAACCTGGATGCGGTTGGTCTCATGGATGAAGGGTTCTCGACGAAGGAGGTATCGGTGGTCCTAGGAGTGGAAAAGTTTAGTAAGGGGCCGAGATCGGCAGACGCATACTGGCAACGGCAGACCACGCTTACATGAAGGTTGTTTCTCCCTCGAGCTCGCCTGTGGACTTATTATCAGGAACCTGGACGGATTCCTGCTCCTCCTTCTGCCTCGCCCTCCGGAACGACTCGGGTATAGGGCCCTAGCAGCCTGCGTCAGAAAGGATGTGGGAGAGCAGCAACGATAATGAGGGGAACCTCGGTACCTCTGGAAAGTCAACACAGAAAGCGTTCATGTTGAGTCCGTAGAGGAAGCTGGCAAAGCTCTCACTGAAGCGGGCCAGGCTCTCATGCATCAGCTGGAAGTGCATAAGGTTTGCCTCGAGGTCGGCCATGGCATCAGAGAGCTCGCCGAACTGGGGCTCGAAGGCGTTGAGCGGAAAGGGGGCGTCTGAGCTGGCTCTCGCAGATTCCCTGAAGGAGGACCGAGAGGATGGTCTGAGGGGTGTGGTCGGGCGCGAGACCCTCGTACGCGATGTTGAACGTTTTCGCTCTTGAGACATGATGTGCTTCTTCTCTCCCTGTATGGACGGTCTCTGGCTTATTGGTGATTGGTAATTTGGAGGATAGTTGGTATGGGGGATTGATTTTGGAGGGGTAGAGGAGAGCGTTTGTTTAGGTGACAAACGCGCCAAGCTAGGTGGAGGACGCGTCTAGGTCCCCGCTGAGGGGCAAAGGGGCACAGGCGGTGATTGACGAACCAGGCCCTGATGTTTTCCTTCTCCATAGCACGTGCCACAAGTCGGAACAAAGGCCCAAATAAGAACTCTGGGGGGGGGGGGGGCTTCAAAGATGGTGAATTGTGGATGGCGACTTTTGAGTACTGCTTTACGCAAGTCACTGTTAAGAGATGCAGATTCATCCCTAATGATTCGCAGCTCTGTTGTTGTTCTTGACTATCAAGTACTGATTACAATAAGTACTATGTACCGCAGTAAGTACCATAGCACACTGACAGTGACGCAATCTGTTGGGACCCAACCCGGTATTTAGGCTTTCAGGTCAAAAGTCTCCGCTGTGCTAAGCTGTCGCGTGCGTGCATTTTGGGCCCTTGCAGCTGGAACCCCGCCAAATTTGCGCCTCGACAACTCCGCAACTGAACTGGCCGTCATCTTAAGCAACAGATTTTCTTGCCGAGCAAAGCCCACACACGTTGATCCCACTCCTACAAAAGTGTCACATCTCACCTAGACATTAGCCTGTTTGGCTTATTGGCCGAATCCAGGTCCCAAGCCTAAATTTGCGGCGAGCAGCAGAGACTCTTACGATCTGATCGTCACCTTGGGCCCCAAATTCAATCTCCGGATCCCCCGGCGCAGGGCCCTTGGAGCTCTTTTGGACCTGGTCGCAAACCTGTCCCGTCCCGACTGTATGTGTGCTCATGTTCGTGCTTATTTGATGATGTACACTACTATACTGTGGTATTTGTTTGGAGCCGGAGCCTACGCTGCGCCCGTGGCCTCCCGTTGACTACCCCAACTGCTGTTGCAACTCGGAACCGAGCCGACTTGATGCTGACGTACTCTCTCTCTCTCTCTCTCTCTGATTCTTCTGCTAGACGAGACCAGTAGTTTCTTCCTGATCCTCCCTCCACCTGTCTTAACTTTTCATCCCTTTGTTCAACGTCGTCCATGCGACACTCCCGTCTCACGTCGGCCACTTTCCTCCACTCTCGCTACAGTCGTTCCCTCCTTACGCCTCGAGCAGCATACAGACCTCCTACTGCGAGAAGTTCCTGTCGCGGGATCACGACCTACCGGCCACTCGGTCCCTTGGTCTCACCATTGACCAGTTGTCACAGACGCCTTGCGCTACACTCATCTTCGGCTTCAGGACCGAGGGATCATCTTGGAGAGCCCCTTCAGGCCGGCGCTTCCTCTCTATTCCTTGTACTCGCTGCGCTTTCAGCCGCCGCCGCCGTTTACGCCGCGCTTCGACCCGGTACAATTAACGAGAGGATTGAAACTGATTCTGGCGAAGACGACGAAATGGCCGACATCAAGACTGAGGCGCAGCCAGGGCGCGTGGGGAACTTGACCCCCGAGCAGGAAGAGAAGCTGCGCGAGCTGTGGGCTGCCATCTTCAAGGTGTGCGCAGTGGGCGAACAAGACGAGCCAACGCCGGCCTCCTCCACCGCACCTGTGGCGGCCGACAAGTCCAATTCTAAGGAGAAGGGCAAGAAAAGGAGGATAACCTTGTTCTCTAGGAAGGGTCACAAGGATAAGAGCGGCGACTCGGATTCGGCCTCTACGGCCAGCGGGCTAAGCTCCTCTGTGAAGGAGGATGACGCGGAGGACAAGTATGGGCAGAACAAGCAGTTCCTCGACACATTGGCCAGCTCCTCGCCCGAGAGCATCCGCGCCACTATCTGGAGCATGATCAAGCACGACCACCCTGATGCGCTCGCCCTGCGCTTCCTGCGCGCAAGAAAATGGGATGTTGACAAGGCCCTCGTCATGCTGGTTTCCACGATGAACTGGCGCGCCAACGATATGCACGTCGACGACGACATCATGAAGAAGGGCGAGGCCGGCATGGCCGACCTGTCCAAGTCTAGCGATCCGAAGGAGAAGCAGCTGGGTGAGGACTTTATGGCGCAGATTCGCATGGGCAAGAGCTTCCTCCACGGTCTGGACGACCAGGGAAGGCCCATCTGCGTCGTGAGGGTACGGCTACACCACCAGGGTGAGCAGTGCGAGGAGTCGCTTGAGCGATACACTGTCTACCTTATCGAGACCGCACGCATGGTTCTACGGCCGCCGGTGGACACAGCAACCATCATGTTTGATATGACTGGCTTCTCCATGGCCAACATGGTGAGTTTGCAAGACTTGGCGCCGTCGTCCTCATCAACAACCGGACTGATAAGCAGCGTGTAACTGACTGACACACATCCAGGACTATACACCGGTGAAATTCATGATCAAGTGCTTTGAGGCAAACTATCCTGAATCATTAGGCTCGGTCCTTGTCCACAAAGCACCTTGGCTCTTCCAAGGTAAGTCCCCCGCCCGCCGAGAGCGTAGTTGCCACTACGCGTTGGTTTCCTCCTCACAGATAGACGAGCAAGTCACTAAAGTCACGACAGGCATATGGAAGCTCATCCGCAGCTGGCTTGATCCCGTTGTCGCCAGCAAGGTACACTTCACCAACAACCTGAAGGACCTGGAGGAGTTCGTCGCGCCCAGCCGCGTGCTTAAGGAGCTCGACGGCGAGGAGGATTGGGACTACAAATACGTCGAACCCGTGCCCGGAGAGAACGACAAGATGAACGATACAGCCACGCGCGACGGCATGCTGGCCGCCCGCGAGCAGCTGTACAAGGACTATGAGCAGGCGACACTGACCTGGATCAAGACGCCTGACGCCGCAGGGATCAAGGCGCAAAGGGAAAGTATCGCGTCGAAGCTCAGGGCGGACTACTGGGCACTAGACCCGTACCTGCGCGCGAGGTCATACTATGACAGAACGGGATGGATACAGGGGGAAAAGGTAGACCCGTACGGCACGGCCGAGAAGACCCCCGCGGCGGTACAGGCGGGAGCGAATGGCGATGCCGCGACGAGTGCAGACGATGTGGACTAAAGGGTGAGAGAGAGAGAGAGAGAGTAATACGATCATACACCTACATATACGTATATATGATAGAAGGTATATATTGGGGGCGCGCGTAAAATCTTAAAGAGCGACCCTCCGCAATGAAAAGTCTCAATGACGAGGTTCGTCCTCGCAACAATTAAGTAGAGATCACCATCGAGACGCAACGCTGTTCTCTTTTCATGTGTCGATGTGTCTCTCATTGCGGCGAGGTAAATGAAGGCATAAAATGCCACACGCTATCTTTCTAAGAATCAAAAGGGCCTTTTCACATTTTGCTCTTGATCTGCTCGGCCAGGGCCTTGAGCTCATCCATCTCCAGCTTCTGCTGCGGCCAGCCAACACCCAGGCCCTCCGTCTCGTTCGGCTTGGGAATCTAATACAATGCATCATCAGCCGGCGCCCACATCCTTTGAGAGGAGGAAATTAAATGACACCACCTCGAAAGAAGGAACAAGGCAGAAGGAAAGGGGGAGGGGGTCTGTCATCTTACCACGTGAACGTGAACCTTTGAGCAAAAGAACGTAGACAGCAGATCAGCCGACTGAGCACCTAGAACGCAGACTTGGGCTGATTAAGGCGTTACTCACATGGTCAACTTCCTGGTGGGCGATACGGCCGTTGTTCTGCAGAATATTGAAGTTCACGGCGCCGGAGGCGATGGCGATCTTCTTTGCGACAGGCTACTATGGTGTTAGTTCGAACCATTGCCAACTCAACCCGCTCCTCCACCCAGGATGGCATTCTTTCTTGAAAGTTAAGTAGGTTGGAACAGCAGACGCACCAGGAGCTCAGTCAGGCTGTCGTCAGGGATGTCCGTCAGCTTCTCGCCGTGGTGCTTGGGGATGACGAGCTGTATGTAATTTGGTAGTGTGTCAGTGAGCGTACGACCTCCCAGCAATTATAGGTAAAGAAGGGGTTGTGTGTGCCATACAGCGTGGCCCTTGCTCAAGGGGTTGATGTCCAGAAAGGCGAACGTCTTGTCACTCTCGAAGAGCTTGAAGGAGGGAATATCGCCTAAACGAACATGTATTAGCGAGAGACAACAGGCAGCGAAACAACTGCTTTGCCACCAAGGTCCTCCTCTCTTCTCGGGGCGACTTGTGGATGGCGCCGAAGCCCGGGGGGAGCTTGACTGCAAAGGGTTCAGAGGAGGAAGGGGGGGGAACGAATTGCGGCACACACCCTTGATGATCTTGCAGAAAATACAAGACGCCATTCTGTTCATCACTTTTATTCACGCAATGAGAGAAAGGTGTTGTTTGGAATTCGAGATTGCTATGTTGTTGTAAAGGAAAATGAAATCCAATCCAGTCATAGAGACGGAAATATATCGCCGACAACAGGTCGTGATGAGGGTGATCGCAGTTCGATATGCGGGGGTTCGGGGTTTTTGGGGCTGGTTTAGTCATGGCTATATAAAGTAGCTTAAACAGTTTCAAGTTGCAGTCGGATCTCCTACCGAACTCACCTCTTGCCTTTTACCAGATGTGACCGTGGGTTGACCGAAAACACTGCATTACCTACAATCTTTGGAACCTTCTCGTCTGGAGCACCCAGATTCGATTTATATTTTGCACTTTTTTTGTAGTCTTACCAAGATCAGTCATAGTCCAATGTTTAATTTGATACGAATTTGATCACTCATAACTTGAGTTCTGTTTTTAATTTGTTTTTCTCTTCTTCTTTTCTGGCAGACTGCTGTGCCCTCTCCTAGCCAAGTAGGTAGGCTGGTAGGTAGGTCGCTGTGCCACTTGACCGAATTACATCATCCCAGCCCCGCTGCAGTTGGAGGGGCTGTGAGGCAACCTCGCAGCCTAAAAGCTACCCTTCTGTCAAACCACATCTGCGTTGACGCCTGAGACCGCTTGAAACCGCATCCTCCTCTTCCTCACGGCCAACAACATATAGACAGCACTGCAAGTGATTCAGTGGTTTATTTTCAATACTCAAGCTTCTCTGGCCCCCTTGGCGCAACGAGCGACCGACCGACCAGACCGACTGAACCGCTCAAGACGTATTAACCCCCCCCAAGTCGACGCCCACCCTCGATTATAACCCCCTACAACAGGCTCAACATGTCCCACCGGTATAAGCACACACCTCTCTTCGGCGGCGCGATCGAGAGTGACCTACCGGCCAACTTTGCGGATGTGAGCAAGCTGCGCCAGGTGCCCGATAACCAGGAGGTCTTCATCGACAAGGACGGCTTCACAAGCATCATCTTCGACATCACGGAGCGGGTGGGCAGGCCCGGAAGCTCCGACGAGATTGATGGCGCCGCTCTGACCACGCACCTGGAGGAGTTGGTCGGGTCGGACGTCGACACGGTCAAAGTGTGGAACTCCACTGAGACAGTGTTCAGCAAGCTCGAGTATGTCCCTCTCTTTCTCCCTCTGAAGGCGATTCCTATCCTTGATGGTTTTGCTGACCCTGCTGTGTGTTATTTTCTCTTCTCGTCCCCTTTAGCAACAAAATCCCGTCCTACACCCTCATCGCGACGCAGACACCGAAGCCCGACCCGTCGGCGGCTTCCGGCGCCGCGCCCGACTTCACGGCCATCATCCTGACCCTAGTGCGCCTCGAGAAGGAGTCCACCGACATCTTGATCACCATCAACGTCCCGCACATCAAGGGCGAGTACGACGAGGAGGATGTGGACCTGGAGCTGGGGAAACAGGGCAAGCTCATAGGCGACGCCGTCGAGTACGCTGCGGAGATCTGGAAGACCTTCAAGGTGAAGGACTGGGGTCTATTTAGCGAGATCTAAGAGGTAGATGATCGTGGGAGAGGGGAGGGAAGAGAGAGAGGCGCGGGAATAATAAGGCAAGGAAGCCAGTGATGAATGATGATACCCCCTACCCTAGCTACGTTGGCTATATATGTATATGCCGGGTGGGTTCTGATAGTGAAGAATATCATGGACGTGTGAAACATTAGGCAACGATTCACTCGGTCTACATGTGTCGTCTTGCCTTGGTCCTGGCTGTCTGGGAACGATCATGAACATCACGAATGGCCAAGGCATATCGAGCAACGCGGTTGAAACAGCTTCATGGAATGAACAAATACGATATTTTGGTTTTGGTTTAGGAACAGTAACGAATCTGAACCATGTCTGAGCCTTTGTGGCCCAGCTCTCAACAACGCTCCTATACACAGGGTATCGTAATGCAGATACAAAATCTTCCTCAAATCAAGTCAAGTCGACTATAGTCAGCTGATCCAATGACTTCGTCACGCCCTCGACCTTGTTTTCACCACCACTGGTCTGCGATAACGGAGACACGCTGGAACTGTCGTCCACGGCCTTGCAACCCTTTGCCTTCTCCTGCTGGCTCCACCGACTCGCCACCATCCTCATGATGTCCTTCTGTGGGCTCCCCGGGTTCTCCTCCTTGATGATCCTCATCTGCTCCTTCATGAAGCGCTGGTAATCGCTCTCTTTGCCCGGCCGCGCCCGCGGCACCGGCTTCGTCTGCTTCAGCTCGCCCTTACATGAGCCGCACCGGTGCCGCTCGGTGTTGATGCTCTTGGAGTGGCGTTTGAACTCGGACCCACACTCGGTGCACTCCCACACATACTTGAAATCAATGTCGTAGCTGTGCCTGGTAGTAACCTCGATGCCCCGGTCTCCAAACTCCTCTGTGACCTTGGCCGCCCAGGCCTTGAACTCCCGCCCGTGCGGGTTCTTGGTGACGCCCGAGATCATGAAGTTGGCCAGGTGGCAGAACTCGTGCGCGATGACGTTAAGCAGTCGGTGAGAGTCGTCAATGACCTTGGTCGACAGCTCGATGGAGGCGTGGTGCTTGTGCTCTTCCGAGATGATCACACCGTCCTTGCCCTTCTTCCTGGCCGTCTCGCGTCTCCAGTTGGCACGCCCAGCCGTCGTGTTGAGCTTGTTGGCCCATTCGATGCGGACGCCACCCGTCGAGGCGGAGAGCTCGGAGATCCGTCCCTTAGTGATGCGCTCGTCAAGCTCCTGGAGGAAGCTGCTGGCTACTTCCTGCTTGGACTCGGAGAAGGCCTTCTTGGCAGCTCTCTGTACAGTTGTTTGACTCGGCTCAGCTCTCTTGGTGGGACTGTTGGCTCTCTTGGAGGGGCTCTTGTTGGTGTTCGAGTCGGGGAAGAGCTGCTTCTTGGGGGAGTGCTCTTCGTTCCAATCGTCAATGAATCCTTGATCCCAAAATGTATCCATTCGTGGATGGTGGGGTGTGGCAGGAATGCGAGGGATCTTCTTGGTGGGAGACACAAGACCCTTGGGTTTCCATCGAGGAGGTGAGGATGTCGGTGTTATGGGTCGATCTGTATCGTCCGTGGGACTTCGAGATGTTTGTGGTTCAAGCCCGTGACTAAGGAGCGTAGGATTAGCATCGTGTGTGCAGGACCCCAAGGTTGCTGATAACTCACAAGCGAGATTCAGACAGCCAATCTCCAAGAACAACCGAAGACGAAGATTGCTGTGAACTCTCTTTCTTCTGCAAGAGGGGCCTGGTCTTGCCCTCACCATCTCTTCCGTTCTTTGGGACATGTGCCGCAATATGTCGTTTTTCTGCTTCAAGAGCCTCGGCCAGCAGCTGTGAGCTCGGGCTGGGACTGCGCTTCCTGTTCCTAGAAGCCCCCCGCTTGTTGGCGATATGTTGTATGGGCTGAGGCTTCGATGTACGGCGTCCGAGGATGTCACTCAAATCAAAACTATCATCCTCAGGATCTGAGCTTTGACTAGCCTCAAAGTTAGATTCGTCATCATCATCCTCTGGCTCCTCCTCCTGCTCTGAAAACCCTTCGATGATGGTTTGCTCTTGGATTGATTCTGCCTCAGATAGATCATTGGTTCCTCCATGTAGAACTGGCGGCTTTGAGCTCCTGGTCTGCAGCTCGACCTTTTGAGGTGTCAACGACTTCCTCTTCCCGCGGGATCCATCTTTCTTGCTCGGGGTTTGTGGTATACACGCGCCGTTCAGCGGACGGAGCAGCGCATTGTCGCTGATGACCCCAAGCTTCCTCCTCCTGACAGTGCTCTTGGCGGCAGGCCGATCTGTCCGTGACACTGGAGTCTCAGCAATCTTGTTGGATGCCTTTGCTTTTAACGCTTGGACATCTTTCAGGTCCGCAGACTCGTCGTCGCTCGAGTCCCACACGATGCGGCGGCCTCTAGCCATGGCGATAATAGGAACAAATTATGTATGTGGGAAAGACGCGGCACCGAGGAATGATAATGGTTTTAAGAATACTTCGATCGTCGTCACTGTCAGTAGACTCGGCAACGAAAAAATGGTTGTGAGAGGGTCTTTTAGTCGCGAATGTCGAAAGTCAATAAAAAAAAGCCTGTTGCTAGGGAAACGATCGAAAGATGGGACTGATCCGTGCACTCTTTCGTATGTATTGTTAGTACATTGACCGTTCGCAACGGGATGCGGTGCAGTACCAGGACCCTATTGGTCACGTCCGTTGGTACTGTGTAAGGCCAGCGTCCAGCGTGTCGCAAGGATCAGCGGCAATTCATCTCCTCCAGACCGCCGCAATATGGACCTCACAAGGGTGGTGAAACCGGACCATGGCTCCGAATCAACAGCAGTTCGCTATGCAGCTATAACTCGGTGAACTTGAGTGGGCGTGGGTTAAGTCATGCCCTACGGCGAAACTCGCGTCCTACGGATTCATCATGTCTCACAACATGGCCTCTGTTTGGGGCTGATTGCTATGTGAGATCCGAAACGGATCATCGTCGAGACGAAGACATTCTTCCTTCTTTCACTTCTGTTCTTTGATTCTTCCCTCTGAGGCTTCTTGTTATGCGCCAGTGGTATCAGGTTAGGTCATCACGCCATACCCAAACAGCATTGTAGAGACACGCGGCGGCTTACATACCAATCTTGCGCGCCTCGAAGTCTTTTAAATTTTTTTTTTTTTTTTTTTTTCTTTCTCCTTCGTTGCCCTAAATTTCTTTTTCCTTCCTTCTGGACGGGAGGGAGCTGTGGTGCATTACTAACTGACTGCTACTCAATAGTACTTGTGGACTAGCAGCACTTCAACAAAAGTTGGGACCTTCCATCCCTGAAAGGCCTCGAGATTAGTTTTTGCCTCCTCCTACCGGTTGATAGCTTTTGTCCTTTTCCCTGGATCCGCTTCTCCTTGTATATCCAATCAATTGATGCGACACGGGAGGCCGTTGCAGAGAATTAGAAGAGAGGTGTTTACGGCGACTTTAGAGCCGTCTGTGCCTTGGCGTCAGCCCAGCTCAACCCAAAAAAGGGGAGGGACGGGAGCGCCGGGAATTAGCATGTAGAACACAGTGCTAATGATATACCATAGTAGAGTGCCCACCCCCCTGGCAAAAGAAGCTGAGCAGACCACGCCAACGACGGTGGCAGGGGAGAGGGGCGCCGCGCGGCAGGTTGGTCAAGGGTATGGCTAGGCTGGAATGGATGGCAAATGCGGAATGCTGATATGCAGGCCAAAAGGCAAGCAGGATTTATTTATTGTGGAGCCATTTGTAGCACGAGCCAACGGCAGAGCCGGTCAAAAATAGCATGCGGATCGGGGCCTGGGGGGTGTGGAAGGTTTTGCGATGGCTACTGCCATGCATGTAGCTGCTTAACGCAAGCCTCCGCTGCAATTTCCAAGTATGCTCGTAAACCTTTGCAGAAACTTGATAAGCTGATACCATAAAGTACAATATGTGGCAGACCATTACTGTCCTATCCCCTTTCCTTTCCACCCCCCCTCCCCACCGGAAGATCCCATCAAGATTCACGCCGTTTCGTATCGAACGTAGCAACGCTTCTGCACGAGGTCGGTCGTTCTGAATACGATGTTGATCTGTCCATGTGTGTGTGTATGTGTGCGCACGTGCGCATGCGTGTTTTATCGAGCATTGGAAGATCTCTGTTGCAGACAATCGTCAGCTTGGTCTGCAGTTTGCTGGTCGCACCGCTGTCCCCCTCGTGGGACCATGTATTCCTTGTACACACTAGAACGTGTTGATTTGCTTCTTCAGTCCTTGCTAGACCTTTTGGTGTCCAACTTCCAATGACGTCGTGCCCAGGAGGGAGATTAAGACGATGGAGGCCTGTACTGCGCTGCAGCACTGTTCCACTCTGCGCCCTACTGCACAGGAGCGCCGCCGCCCACAGTGCCGAGAGGCAGAGTTGTCTGGCCAAAGAAGGCTTTTTGTGTCGCCACAGTTTTTACGACTTCTTGTTGCCTGCTTTGTGCGTAGCTCGCTCGGCCATCGGGAAGTGGTGGGGAGGCCTTAGTATTCGTAGCGACCACGAAAAAGCTCGTCAGGGGGGAACGAGGTGGAGAAATGCATCAGCTCGTGGCTTGATCGATCATCAATCACCCACGGAGCCACTTATTCACCAGTCCAGGACTGCATCGGGATCTTGCAAAGCGGATAACTGACCTCCCGCCGCCTGTCAACCTGTCGATCGGCCGGCCGATGCTACGGATTGCCATGTCTCTTTCCCATGGCAGCTCGAGGCTTGATTGAACCAAATGTGGTCATTCGCCGAAATGGCGTGTATGCATGTGTGCATGTGTGTGTGTGTGTTTGTGTGTTTGTGTGTTTGTGTGTGTGGTGTCAGTGGCGGCGGACGGGTGATCCTGTATTTTTTATTTATTTTTATTCCTTTGGTTGAGGCCAACGATGGCGTTGAGTGTTTTTGTACCATGTAGATAGTTGCGAGCGAGGATTGTCGCAATATGCTACTGCCATAAACCGCCGAACCGAGCGTCTTAGCTCAACACCAGCGCCGCCGCCAACAATTCTACCATTTCCACACAACGAGAGAGCAAAACAGCACGGAATGGAAAGAACTGTCCTGAGTCGATCGAGCGAGGGAACAAAGAAGAAAAAGAAAAAGATGAGATTTTCGCTGGTACGGTACGGGTGCTTCGTAACCTGTCTCCACGCCTGGCCCAATATGGCGGGACGGATCATCAAGCCTTTTCGGCTTCGTCGATCTACCAAAATGTCGCCTTACTCGCTACCGCGTGTCTGCCGCGGAATTACGCAACAAGGATACCTCCGAACGCCTGAGGATCATGACCAGAAGCTTTGCCTGCTTCACCATAGTGCGCGGTAACGGTCTCTCTCTCTCTCTCTCTCTCTCTCTCTCTCTTTTCCAATCTCGATCGCAGCCTCTGCTGACTGATTTGGGTGTCTGGCTGCCAGGCAACTTCATCTCTCCAAAAATTGTAAAATCTTTTGTCGTGTGCCCCTTTGTCAAGTTGATGAGGTGCAGGATGGCCGAAGCTGTCACAGCACACAAAGAGAACGCATTGTGGCTCATTTGATGTGAATGCACCTTGGGTGTAACAGCATCGCAACTGTACTACATAATATGTGCTATATACAGTCGAAACGTGCTGGTACCGTGCCCTGATGCTGGCATATAGATACCACAGTAGGCAGGGCCTGGCAGGGCCGGTCGCAGGCCAGGCTAGAAGAGGGGGGGGGGGGCACCGCCACCTTGGAACACACCTATCTCTGCCCGCGGCGTTCGTTGTCTTGTTCCTTGCTCATCTCGGACATACAGGGAGTTGATTGATCGCCTCTGTCCGCAGCATCCTCAGGGATACTCCCAGCAAGGTCCTGATTCGACTGCCACCATTTCCCTCATACCCCGATGAATGGAAGATTGTTGAAATTTTGAAGAAGAAGAATATCCTTGTGACAGCGGCAGGATGGGTTTCGACTTGGAATTAAATCCCAACCGTGTCAACACGTCGAATCTTGACTACTCCAAAGCACTGTCAGGACACCAACTGAGAAGCCCAATATCACACAGGACACGGACAGAAAGTTTAATTGCCACCTTTCTAGATTGCAGATGTGCAACGCCGTAACTGAACACCACTCGGGAAGGGTAAGGGGGCAGGCAGGAGACATCGATTGGCCGTTGCGCAGACGTACTGTAACGCATACTATGTACACACAGTGTACTAATCGCGCGTGTTGACCCGGCCAACCCCTGGCACCTGCAGCCTCCTTTTCCCCTGGCCCCTTTCTTTCCTTCGAGTGTCCTTGTTGCCCCCCTCCCACACCCCTCCGCCCAAGGCCCCCCAATCCCCAATCAACTGTTCCCATTTCTGATTGAATCTCACACACCCACCATAGGGCCTCCTTGCCTCCCAGCGACCCATGCAAGCACTGGCAGACTTGGTGCGCTGCCACACTAACGCCTACCTTGCCGGGTCTCAGTGGTACGGATGGGACCTGTTGGGCTGCTGCATGAGCGACAAATCTAAACCGGCCATCCAACTTTCTTGATTTCCTGCTTTTTAGACCTTCTCGAGACTAACCTCCCCTTTTTTCTCCCACCCCCTTCTATCTATTCCTACTCTTCACCCACACGTTCGCTCCCTCTCCTCTTCCTTTCTAGACCTCGACACCATTGCCGTGTTCTCAGGTACCTTGTTTTCCTCCATTTCCCTGTCGGAAGTGCTAGAAGGCGCACCGACTTGCCGTTCGCTGCCATCAATTATCGCGAGGGGGGATCTTGGTGTCGACAGCAGGTCTTGGGTCCGGCCCATTTCATTCCCACCAGGTCAGCAACTACCATTTCTCATCGGGAGCCCCAGGCTCTCCTGCCGTCCTGGCCCGCGAAGACTAATCAACAGACCACGAACAGGACAGACCCGACTTCTCGATTGAAAGGACGCGCCGTATCGAGAGACGACTTAGTCTGCGGGAGAAGGGACAGAAGAAAGGATACGAGCCTGGAGAGACCAGAAAAACCAAACAATTCCTCCCCAATAACATCGTCTGATCAACTCCTCCTTTCATCATTGAGAGGGATCAGGACGACGAAAAGCAGAAGCAGACACTCGAGGAAAGTGGCTGTCGCCATCCGGCAGTTCTTTTCTTAGGTTGTTCCTGTCTACACTCGTCGTTTCAATTTGGGGGTTGACGGGCACCACTGCCTCACTTCTTTTTTATTATTTCTCCTACACTACACGCCTTGCCGCGCAGGTCCAATCCTGCTCTCGCTTGGTGCCTTCGGTTTCATAATTTGGGATTGCACCCGCTCACTCCTTTTCCTCCCCTACCGACTTATCCACTGCAGTTGGGTTTCGACCGCCTTGCATAGCGAAAACAACACCTTTTTGTCGGCGCGTCTTTGTTTGACGGAACTTTTACCCATTTTCGTTCTTTCTTAATCCCACGCCATTCAACAACCGAGTCTTTTTCTCACTTGGATCAATTGGCTGATTGATTGAATTTTCTCGCTGCTACTGGATCTGATTTTCGAAACACCACATGAGTCTTCTGATTGGTAAGTCTTCTCAGTTCTAGTTTCCTCGCCCCAGCAACTCCAACCCCAACCTGGACCTTCTGCATCGTCTGGCCCATCAAACCTGCCTTTTGCCGCTGTCCCTCCCACGCGCGCTTTTCTTGTCCCATCCCAGCTCGCTGCACCGAGCTAGCCTTCCAAACAACAAGCAAAGTTTGCACCACCAGCAACCCCCCACCACGCACCCGTCCAAAGCTGTCAATGCTACTCCTTCATAGACTCAGATGATCGATCAACTGACTGAATGTTCTGGAGTAGCCTTTTAATGCACCATGTCGGGGTATCCGAACCATCAAGAGTATGATGATGGCTACGGCCATCATCAGCAGGGCAACACTGAGTCCTACTACGACAACGACCAGGGCCAGTACTACGACCAGAACGGCTACGATGCTCATGGAGGAGCTCACGCAGAGGGTCATGACGGCTATTATGACGAGTCGTAAGTTTCCTCGGTTCCGCCTTGATCTCCACCTGTACACGTGCTAATTTGATGTCTCGTTGCCAGGGGCTACTACAATGCTGACGCCAGCAACCCTTACCACCAGGATGGCGGCTACTACGAAGGCCATGAACAGCAACAAGACGGTTACTATCAAGATGGTTACTACGAGCAGGGCTACGACCAGGGTGGCTATGGCGCTGGCGGCCAGCGTCGTGGAGGCTCCGAGGATGATTCGGAGACCTTCAGCGACTTCACTATGAGGTCCGACATGGCCCGTGCTGCCGATATGGACTACTACGGTCGGGGCGATGAGCGGTACAGCGGTTACCAAGACGGTCAGGGTGGCCGTGGCTACCGCCCGCCCTCCTCACAGATCTCATACGGCGGCAACCGCTCGTCAGGCGCTTCCACTCCCAACTACGCCATGGACTACGGCAACGTTCTTCCGGCCGGCCAGCGCTCTCGGGAGCCCTACCCTGCCTGGACATCCGACGCCCAGATTCCTCTTTCCAAGGAGGAGATTGAGGACATCTTCATTGACCTGGCCAACAAGTTTGGTTTCCAGAGGGACAGTATGCGCAACATGTACGACCACCTTATGACGTTGCTTGACTCCCGAGCTTCCCGCATGACCCCAAACCAGGCTCTGCTCTCGCTGCACGCCGACTACATCGGCGGAGACAACGCAAACTACCGGAAATGGTACTTCGCTGCCCATCTCGATCTCGACGATGCTGTTGGGTTTGCCAATATGAAGGGTTCCAAGTCTAAGAAGAAGGCCAGCAAGAAGAAGAAGGGCGCTGAGGAGGAGCAGACTCTTGAGGATCTCGAGGGGGACAACTCTCTCGAGGCTGCCGAATTCCGCTGGAAGACACGGATGAACCGCATGTCACAACACGACCGCGTGCGACAGCTGGGTCTCTACCTGCTGTGCTGGGGTGAAGCCAACCAGGTCCGTTTCATGCCCGAGTGCCTCTGCTTCGTTTTCAAGTGCGCCGACGACTACCTGAACTCGCCGGCCTGCCAGAACTCGGTGGAGCCTGTACCTGAGTACACCTTCCTGAACAACTGCATCACCCCCCTGTACCAGTACTGCAGAGACCAGGGTTACGAAATTCTGAACGGTGTCTACGTCCGCCGCGAGCGCGACCATCACAAGATCATCGGCTACGATGATTGCAACCAGCTCTTCTGGTATCCCGAGGGTATCGAGCGCATCGTCCTGGAGGATAAGTCCAGGCTGGTCGACGTGCCACCGGCCGAGCGGTATCTGAAGCTCAAGGATGTTGCCTGGAAGAAGTGTTTCTTCAAGACGTACAAGGAGACGCGTTCTTGGTTCCATCTGCTCGTCAACTTCAATCGCATCTGGGTCATTCATCTGACAGTCTGGTGGATGTTCACCACGCACAATACACCGGAGCTGCTGGTTCCCAACTACGAACAGCAGGTCAATCAGGAGCCCCCCGCTTCCGCCCAGTGGGCCATTGCTGGTTTCGGTGGTGGTATCGCGTCTATGATCCAGATCTTGGCCACCCTCGCTGAATGGGCTTACGTTCCCAGGAGGTGGGCTGGAGCTCAGCATCTCACCAAGCGTCTCCTGTTCTTGATCGTGGTCTTCATTATCAACGTCGGCCCCGGTGTCTACGTCTTCCTGCCACAGGATACCGTAGCGGATTACAATGCCCACCAGAATTCCACGATCTCGCTGGTTCTTGGCATCGTGCAGTTCTTCGTCGCCATCGCTACCTTCATCTTCTTCGCCATTATGCCTCTCGGTGGGCTGTTTGGCAGCTACCTGGTGAGCAAAAAATCTCGGCGTTATGTAGCCAGTCAGACTTTCACTGCAAGCTGGCCCCACCTCAAGGGCAACGACATGGCCATGTCTTATGGTCTCTGGGCTGTTATTTTCGGTGGCAAGTTTGGCGAGTCTTATGGCTTCCTGACTCTCTCCTTCCGTGACCCGGTACGCTACCTGTACATCATGGACACTTCCAGTTGTCTGGGCGACAAGTATATTGGCACCGTTCTCTGCAAACACCAGCCGGCGATCACTCTCGCACTGATGGCCATGACGGACTTGGTGTTCTTCTTCTTGGACACTTACCTGTGGTATGTCCTGCTGAACGCTGTCGTCTCCATTGCTCGGTCTTTCTATCTCGGTTCTTCCATTTGGACGCCGTGGAGAAATATCTACTCTCGTCTTCCCAAGCGCATCTACTCCAAGGTGTTGGCAACTACGGACATGGAGATCAAGTACAAGCCCAAGGTTCTCATCTCCCAGATCTGGAATGCTATCGTCATCTCCATGTATCGGGAGCACCTCCTGGCCATCGACCACGTGCAGAAGCTCCTCTATCACCAAGTGCCAAGTGAGCAGGAGGGAAAGAGGACGCTACGCGCTCCCACTTTCTTCGTGTCCCAGGAAGATCACTCATTCAAGACGGAGTTCTTCCCCAGCCAGAGCGAGGCGGAGCGCCGAATCTCTTTCTTCGCGCAGTCTCTGTCGACACCCATCCCGGAGCCGCTGCCTGTCGACAACATGCCGACCTTCACTGTCCTGATCCCTCACTACAGCGAGAAGATCCTGCTGTCTCTCCGAGAGATCATTCGCGAGGACGAGCCGTACTCCCGTGTCACGCTTCTGGAGTACCTCAAGCAGCTTCACCCTCACGAGTGGGATTGCTTCGTCAAGGACACCAAGATCTTGTCCGATGAGACTGCGCAGTACAATGGTGATGAGGAGAAGGCCGAGAAGGACACGGCCAAGAGCAAGATCGATGATCTCCCCTTCTACTGCATTGGCTTCAAGTCATCTGCCCCCGAATACACACTGCGAACTCGTATCTGGGCTTCTCTGCGTTTCCAGACTCTGTACCGCACTATCTCCGGTTTCATGAACTACAGCCGTGCGATCAAGCTGTTGTACCGTGTCGAGAACCCCGAGGTGGTGCAGATGTTTGGTGGCAACTCTGACAAGCTGGAACGGGAGCTGGAGCGCATGGCCCGTCGCAAGTTCAAGATCTGCGTATCCATGCAGCGTTACGCCAAGTTCAAGAAGGAGGAGATGGAGAATGCTGAGTTCCTCCTGCGTGCCTACCCCGACCTGCAGATTGCCTATCTCGATGAAGAGCCGCCCGCCAACGAGGGCGAAGAGCCCCGTCTGTACTCGGCACTCATTGATGGCCACTCCGAACTGATGGAGAACGGCATGCGTAAGCCCAAGTTCCGCATCCAGCTGTCCGGCAACCCCATCTTGGGTGACGGCAAGTCCGACAACCAGAATCACTCCATCATTTTCTACCGCGGCGAATACATCCAGCTCATCGATGCCAATCAGGACAACTACCTGGAGGAGTGTCTCAAGATCCGCAGTGTCCTTGCCGAGTTCGAGGAGATGAAGACCGACAACGTCTCGCCCTACACTCCTGGTGTTAAGAGCAACACGCCTGCCCCTGTCGCCATTCTCGGTGCCCGTGAATACATTTTCTCAGAGAACATTGGTATTCTTGGTGACGTGGCCGCTGGAAAGGAGCAGACGTTCGGTACCCTCTTCGCTCGTACGCTGGCCCAAATCGGCGGCAAGCTTCATTACGGTCACCCTGATTTCCTCAATGGTATCTTCATGACCACCCGAGGTGGTGTCTCCAAGGCGCAAAAGGGTCTGCATCTCAACGAGGATATTTATGCTGGTATGAACGCAGTCCTGCGAGGAGGCCGCATCAAGCACTGTGAATACTTCCAGTGTGGTAAAGGTCGTGACTTGGGCTTTGGATCCATTCTCAACTTCACCACCAAGATCGGCACCGGTATGGGTGAGCAGATGCTCTCAAGAGAGTACTACTACCTCGGCACACAACTCCCGCTCGATCGTTTCCTCTCGTTCTACTACGCCCACGCCGGTTTCCACGTGCAGAACATGTTCATCATGCTTTCAGTTCACCTGTTCATGATCTGCCTGATCAACCTGGGTTCGCTCAAGCACGAAACAATCCCCTGTGAATACAACAGCAACGTCCCCATTACGGACCCGTTGTTCCCAACCGGGTGTGCCAACACGGTTGCCCTCACAAACTGGGTCTGGCGTTGTGTCATCTCCATCATCTTCGTCATCTTCCTCGCCTTCGTGCCCCTGGTCGTTCAGGAACTCACGGAGCGTGGCGTCTTGCGTGCATCCACCCGTCTGGCCAAGCAGATTTGCTCCCTGTCGCCTATCTTTGAAGTTTTCGTCTGTCAGATCTACGCGAACTCGGTCTCCAACAACTTGTCATTTGGAGGTGCCAGATATATCGGTACGGGTCGTGGCTTTGCCACTGCTCGCATTCCCTTCGGCATCCTGTTCTCTCGATTTGCTGGCCCTTCGATCTACTTTGGAGCCCGCATGCTCTTGATGCTGCTCTTCGCCACCTTGACGATCTGGCAGGCTGCGCTGGTCTACTTCTGGATGTCGCTCTTGGCCTTGTGTATTGCGCCGTTCCTGTACAACCCACATCAGTTCGCCTGGAACGATTTCTTCATCGACTACCGCGAGTTCCTACGTTGGCTCTCTCGTGGCAACTCCGTCTCGCACGCCTCGTCCTGGATCTCCTACTGCCGCTTGTCTCGGACCCGACTTACTGGTTACAAGCGCAAGCTCGTAGGCGAGCCATCTGGCAAGCTGTCGGCCGATGTACCTCGTGCGCACATTACTAATGTGTTCTTCGCCGAGGTTCTCGGTCCGCTGCTGCTGGCCGTCGTCACTCTGATTCCGTACCTGTTCATCAACGCACAAACTGGCGTCCACAACACTGGAGGCGTGCTGAAGGACAACGATACTTCGGCTACGGCAACTGCATCACTGCTCCGTGTCGCCATTGTGGCTTTTGGACCCATCGGCATCAATGCCGGTGTGTGCGGTATGATGTTCTTTATGGCATGTCTCGCGGGTCCGCTCCTGAGCATGTGCTGCAAGAAGTTTGGCAGCGTTCTGGCGGCCATCGCGCACGCGCTCGCCGTCATCATGCTATTAGTCTTCTTCGAGGTCATGTACTTCCTCGAGGGGTTCAACTTCACCAAGACCATCAGCGGCATGATCGCGGTGGTTGCCATCCAGAGATTCCTTATGAAGCTGATCATCACCTTCGCCCTTACGAGAGAGATGAAGACTGATCAGGCTAACATTGCCTTCTGGACGGGCAAGTGGTACTCTATGGGCTGGCACACTGTTTCCCAGCCGGCCCGTGAATTCCTCTGCAAGATCACCGAGCTGTGCTTCTTTGCTGGTGACTTCATCTTGGGGCACACCCTGCTGTTCATAATGTGTCCAGTCATCCTCATCCCCAAGGTGGACATGCTACACTCCATTATGCTCTTCTGGCTGCGGCCGAGGTATGTCTCCGCTCTAGACGTCCCCTTTCTCACCTGTCCCACGAAATGTCGAAAGATACTAATATTACCTGTGCGTTCAGTCGGCAAATTCGGCCACCCATCTACTCCCTTAAGCAGTCGAAGCTGAGGAGAAAGAGAGTGTTCCGCTACGCGGTGCTCTACTTCGCGCTGCTGGTTCTCTTCTTGGCACTGCTCATCGCCCCCTCGATTGTTGGCAAGTACGTGCCAAGCTCGATTGAGAGCATGCTTGAGAGCACCGGCTTGGTGCAACCCACAGGGCAGGACAACAACGATACTATCGGTCATACGCAGACCGGTACGGGTGCTGCTGACTACTCTGGGGCCTTGTTGACGGTGACAGCATCGGCGTCTGCCACAGCTTCGTCATCGTCCAATGCCAAGCTGAAGCTCTTCTAAGATGATGTGGAATGTATCATAAAACATAAAAGTGCAGAAGAGAGGGGAGTGGGCAAATGGCAAGGGGGGGCCGGGGGAGGCTTCGCACATGGCAAGGTGTTGGCTGCTTTTCTACTTTTGCCCAAAGGTTTGGGCGGTGCAAATTGTATTGATTTTATTTGGCAAACTACACGGAAGGAGGGCCTCACAAGGCATGGTAAATGGTTCTTTAGAGACACGAGCCTGGGATTCGGCACACATTCTAGCTTCTTCCGTGTGGTTGTTCCATTTCTGACCAGACCACCCACGGATAGAGTTAAATAGGCATAATTAATTTCTTCGGTTTCCATATGAGTATGTGTGTGTAGCCTATCATTGAACTTTGCAAAGCAATGAAGAAATTTTGCTTGAGACGGCCGCTTGAGAGTTGACACGCCATGTTGCTACTCCTCCACATTACGTAGTCGTGGTGTACTGAAGTAAATGGTGCCACTGTTTGGTGGAAGTTAAGCCTGCGCTGTACTGCAAGTACTTAAGTACTGAGTACTTATGACTTGTTAGGCGGTCTGGAGGGATGCAGGGACGAAAGATCCCTGCTGCCTAATACAACGCATCCAATGCAAGTGCCCCTGACTTTACTAACCTTAGCGAGCGGATTGCTCGGTACGTTTTATTTTTCGAAAGGCTCCTTGGTCCCGATCCGTCACTGTGCTTTTCGACCTCCCACCTACAATCGGAACTCCTGTTGACTGGCCCATTCTCCAGTTTCGCGCAGGGCGTCTGTTTGTCAAGTCACAATCGACCGTCTTTGCAGCAGCTGAGGCGCGATCAATTACCAGACGCGCACTCTGCCCCTTCCACTCCTCCTTCTCATGCCATGGATCTCTACGAGATCCAAGGTCGAATGACCATCCTCCTTCACGAGGCCTCGCATACCTTCCAGAAGGTCCCAGGGTCCGCGGTCCTGATTCGATATGTCCAGGCCAGCTACCAGAATGACCCAATTCGTTCCGTCTTCGAGCTCTTCCTTCTCATCTTCTTCATCCGCTACCTCTTGTCGCCCTCTTACCCCATCAACGAGTCCAACTACGTCAAGCTGAGCGAGGATGAGATCGAGGAACTCGTCGACGAGTGGCAGCCTGAGCCCCTGGTGGCTCAGCAGACGCCCCTCGAGGAGATGGAGATGGAGAAGTTGCCAGTCATAATCGGGTAGGTCTACGTGGGGGCCCAGGTGGTTGTTAACGCACGCGCTGGTTGAAGATGTCCCTCTCCGCTCGTTGGCTGACAACATACCCATCAATACAGACCGACCGGTCCCAAGTCGAAACTGGCCAACGGCCGCACAGTCACAAACCTTGCCTCATACAACTTTTACAATTTCAACTCCAACGAACAGATCAAGGAGAAGGCTATCACCACACTGCGCACCTATGGCGTCGGGCCATGTGGCCCGCCCAACTTCTACGGCACTCAGGATGTCCACCTGAAGACCGAGGCAGACATAGCAGCGTACGTGGGCACCGAGTCCGCCATCTTGTACGCCCAGGGCTTCTCGGTCATGTCGAGTGTCATACCCACCTTCTGCAAGAGAGGCGACGTCATCGTGACGGACAGGATGGCCAATTACTCTGTCCGCAAGGGCCTCGAGCTTGCCCGGTGTACTGTCAAGTGGTTCGACCGCGGAGACATGGATGGCCTTGAGGAGGCCATGAAGCAGGTTGCACAGGAGCAGGCTAAGCAAAAGAAACTGACTAGAAGGTTCATCGTGGCCGAGGGTCTGTCGGAGGTCACCGGTGACTCTATTGACCTCCCAAAAATGGTAGGCGCTTCAGCATTCGCCCCTCCTCCCCCCCTCCCCTTAACTCCCCACAGGTGTGAAGATTGATCAGCTAATATTGACCGGCCAGATCGAGCTCAAGGAGAAGTACAAGTTCCGCATTATCCTCGACGAGTCCTGGTCCCTGGGCGTTCTCGGCCGAACAGGCCGCGGCGTCACCGAGGCGCAGAATGTCGACCCATCCCAGGTAGACATGATCATTGGCTCCCTCGCTGCGTCTCTTTGTGCTGGCGGTGGTTTCTGCGCAGGATCCAAGGATGTTGTGGGTCATCAGCGCATCACCTCGTCGGCGTACTGTTACTCTGCGGCCCTACCAGCGATGTCGGCCGTGACGGCCAGCGAAACAATCAATATTTTGCAGAACAACCCTGAGGTGCTCAGCACACTTCGCGAGAACATCCGCGCAATGAGGGCACAGCTGGATCCCCGGAGCGACTGGGTCACGTGCACGAGCGCACCAGAGAATCCCATTCTGCTCTTGGCGATCAAGCCCAACGTGGTGCAATCCAGGCGAATGTCTTTCGAGGATCAGGACCGGGTCCTACAGGAGTTCGTCGATGAGGTATGTCCAATGTCCATTTTGACTGCGTCAGCTCGTTCTGAGCATTCGCTAAACTACCATCACAGGCTCTGGCAAATGGCGTGATGATCACACGGCTAAAGACGACGCTGATCAACAAGAGCATCGGCGGCGGCGACGCACAGCCAAAACTCAAGGTCTGCGTTACGTCGGGCCTGTCCAAAAAGGAGATTGAGAAGGCAGGCATCATCATCCGGCACGCTATCACGAAGGTCATGACGAGGAAGACGAGCAGCAAGCTGTCCCTGCCTACTGCATGACCTTGCTCTTCCCTGGAAATACGCGTGGCTTGTTTGTGTATACACCAATAGACGCATCACCTTCTCGCTCAATCACGAGGAGCTGGCAAGAGAAAAGTTTCACCGAAATGAATAGATGGCGGGGTGCGGATGGACGATGGGATGGACACGAACACAGCCCCCCCTATCGAGGATGCCAAAGCTAGACGCGCACCATCACAATTTGGGATGTGCTTACGACATTGATATCGGACGTCACGGGGTGGTCCGGGCAATTTTACAAACTATAAGATATTTTACCCTAATGATTAATATGAGTTACTTACCATTCCCAGCCAGTCAAAAGATCACCTTTCGTCCTACATTGCTACACGCGTGTGAGGCATGACCATCCACATATTATGTCTGCGAGAAGGGGGCCTGTTGCTACTCACGAGGCATGGCGCCTCAAATTTGGTCCGCAGTCAACATAATGAAGTTATATGTGCCAGAGTGCATCCCCAGCAGGCCTATCGTGTCACGAACCGCAAGCAATGTCGCCTTGACTAGTAACCTTGGGGCCTAGACGCACCAGCAAAGGAATGAGCTGGTCGGTGCTTACATTTCCCTGGAGTGGCACTCACGATCTTCTCTCTCTCCAGGCCACCTTGAGGGGAAGGTACGATGACAGCGACGGCAGTCATGACGAAAGATAAGAGGGAAACTTTGACTAAAAGGGAGAAAGAAGGTTGGGGGGGGGGGGGGGGGTAAACAGAGAGCGAGAGCTTGGCAGGAACAAGCCCACAGAAGGTTTTGAGAGTCGAATCAAAATGACAGGACTGTCTCGTCTGAGGATGCATGGCCCTCCTTCCCCTCTCCCTCTCTCTTCCAATCGTCGTGTAACACCACCACTCTGGCATCAACTCGAGGCCAACATCTTGAATAGCGAACTTCGGACTGGCGTCTCGAGTCAGCGGACTTATCTCGAACCTCCCCTCCACTCGTCACTTCTCTTCACCCACCTAGTTTCGACATGCGAGCGGCCAAAGCCCTTCTCAGCCTCTCTCTCGCTACGAGAGCTGCACTGGCGCAGTACCACCACCATCGCAGCTGGCGTCCTGTCCACCATGCCCAAGGCAACGGTGGCAGCAACAACCTGTTTGCCCGGTCCATCAGTACGGGGGGCCAGACAGTGACGATCACGGACAATTCACGCACGGAAACGACAATCATCCCTGAGATCATCGTCTTCACAGACGGCAGTGGCAGCCCTGTCAGCACGGCAACGGCTGCACTTGCCCTTGTGCCTCCAACGGACATGCCTCTGGCGGAGGATTTACTGCAGGCTGATGGCCTCTCTCCTTCAACAGCCAGCACGGTCGCTGCCCAGTCAACTGCAGCCGAGATTGCGGAAAGGGGCTTGGTTGGTACCTCTGCTTCAGATGATTCTGTGTTTCGCCAACCTCTGAACCGCGCCACGGGAAGTGGCCTCTTTGGTGTGGCCTACGCACCCTACAACGCTGACGGCAGTTGCAAATCTGCAAATCAGATCATGTCAGACTTTGGTGTGCTGGGCAAGACCTACGGCATGGTTCGTGTCTACGGAGTGGACTGCAACCAGATTCCAAGCGTGTACGCAGCCGCCAAGGCCAACAACCTGCGTGTCATGTACGGCATCTTCAGCCTCGACAACCTTGGCGACCAGATCGCTACGCTTACCAGTGGCATCAACAGCGACTGGTCCAATGTAGACACTGTGAGTGTCGGCAACGAGCTTGTGAACAATGGACAGGCCTCTCCGCAGCAGATCCTCGACGCGCTATCGAGCGCTCGACAGATGCTCAAGGCCGCCGGCTGGGGCGGTCCTGTTGTGACCGTGGATACCTTTGTCGCTGCGCTGGCACACCCAGAGTTGTGCTCGGCAAGTGACTACTGTGCGGTCAACATCCATCCGTTCTTCGACCCCAACACACCTGCAAGCTCTGCGGGCACATTTGTCCTGAACATGGTGCAGGCCCTGCGGACCAAGCTCGGCAACCCGTCTGCACGAGTGCGGGTGACGGAGTCCGGCTGGCCGTGGCAGGGATCCGCCAACTCTCAAGCCATCCCCGGCGTCGACAACCAGGCAGCTGCTGTCGACAGCATCCAGAAGGCATTCTCCAGTAACCCAGAGGACATGGTGCTGTTCTCTGCGTTCAATGACCGGTGGAAGACGGCGGCGGAACCGACCTTCTTTGCGGAGCAGTACTGGGGGATGGGAACAGCTGACGCTCCTTCTGCATGAGGTCATCTTTGGCGATGGTCGAGAGTATATCGCTGTCTGTCTGTCTGTCTGTCTGTCTGTCCTGACTTAAGTATGCAAGGTGGAAGGCAACAGGGGGTCTTTCGTCTTTTGATATCCCGTATTCCATATGGGGAAGAAAGCTGGCTCTGGCCCTGGAGGTGCTGAGCGTTTGAAGTCATTCATATACCCATATTTTTGGAGCCATCGGGCTCTTATCTGGCAGGATCACGAGGACGGTTGTGTGAGATCGGATGGCTGCGCTGCCACTTGCCTTACATAAGGTACCTTTGCGTGGTTGTGTTGGAAGCATTATTGCTGTCACCTACTGAGTTGCCCACCAAAATGAAGAGAGAGAAAAAGAATCCAAATTCGGCTTGAAATACATCTCCTGTTTACGTATTGCAAGAAGTATTGTGCCTTCTTGCCTGCCAGCTCGATCCGTCACCACTTCGTCATGAGGAACATCTGGACTTGACTGTACGGGGGGCCGCTCTTTTGTAGGCTGTGGTGGATCCGATTAATGTGTTGATTAATAGTTGGCTTCGCTTACAGTGACAAGCCCAATCGAGCCATGAAGCATAGGCTTGTAAGATCTCACACTTTGATTATCGTATCACAAGGGCTGTTCATCTAAAGCCAGCCTCCTCTTTTCTTTCCCTTTGGTCTAGATATTATACCATCCAGGACGGGGAATCACACCAAGAAGGCACGAGCTGTGAAACTAAGCACTGGGTGTTTGTGTGCAAGTTCAAGTTGGATAGACTACATAACACAATGTATTGTGATTAATCGCGTGACATGGCGGGACATCCGATTGATTCACCTCAAAGTACTCATCTCAGTCTGCTCCAGTGGGGAAATCATGCAAAAAGAATCCATGACACACAATCAGGCACACAATCAGCGCAACATCATGCGTCAGATCCTTCCCTAGTAGCAAAGAGCCAAGCACTGACCAAAGCACACGAAAGAAGAGAACTCATGATCGAGAAGCCTGTTTGCAAAGAGAATCGAGAGATGGCTGGCAAGTAGATGCTCATATAATCTCAGATCGTGTACTTATTCAATTACAGATCGATAAAGCCCTGTTAAGACCAAGTCCCCCAAAATAGTGGGGGGTTATTCTTTCTTTCTCTTGACCTGAAAAGCGTACGTGCGCGTGTGCCTCAAGATCTGTTGTTGTTGCCTTGGCTTTGCACACCATTCTGCCGAGTTGCTGACTGGGCTGAGGTTGTCGTCTGGGAGCAGTCCCACAGCTGATATTTGAGGTTGTCCCCTGCATCCTGACTGAAGAGCTGCAGTCTGACCTCTTGGAGCCTGTGAGCCTCGGTGGAGGTGCTCGGAGGCTGAGCAGGAAGACTGTCTAGCTGTTAGAATCCTACATGTCGTAAAAGAAAGTGAAAAAAAAAAACCACCAAAAAACCAAGGTTGGATCAAGAAAACACAATTTAAATAAATAGAGGACAGGACTATACTCGTTGGACCGATCCGGAGTCAATCCCGATGATGTGGGCTGATCACCTGCCATGTTGGACCGTGTTGAAGCTGAGCAAGATGAGCTCACTTGAAAAGATGTAAGCCGACGACGAGACAATGCGTTTCAGGACTGGGCTGTGCGTGTCCTTGAATTGAGTACTCTAAGAGTTTCTTATTTTCCCCTCCAGAGATCCAAGTGGAGAGGGATTGAGAACTTATATGAGCATCAAAAGAAGCAAGCTCCTGTGGCGCTTGCAAAGCGTGTGGTTCTTGAGCGTCATCCCTCCGTCCCTCCCTCCTTCCTGGACATATGGTTCGCTTGGTCCTTGGCGGATCCTAGCAGAGAACATGTCCTCAACGTCATTATTTGCTCTCAACTATCGGAAGATGTGGAAACGAGATGGTCATGATTGCTCGCCTGTGTTGCGAGTAACATGCCTAGTCTGATCTCGGGTCACATTCCCATGGTAACACACAGCCTTGGCACCTGTCCCTGGCAAAAGAAACTGGTGTATCAGAGAAAAAACATGAGGCCTGTCAAACCTCGTCGTCAGCAATCTTGTCTGACAATGTTAGCTCAAAAGGGAGCCCAACAAGCAGACTTCCAAACCCAAGTCGCAGGCACATGGAAAAAAATTCAAGTCTGATGGTGGGAGTGACTCTGGAAAGCCCTCGATTGGCCAAGAGAATCTCGTTCTTTGGTTCGCTCTAATAGTTTCGACTATATCTAGTAACACCACAGAAGCTGTATCTAACCATTGACGAAGCAGCAGCCACGCTGTTGTCGTCTGGAAATGACAGCCAAACAGCAGCTTTTCAATATATTCACAAAGCCAGCTGACTATTTCCCTCTTTGCACAGCCGTTCGAATAAGCCCAGAAGTCAATATATCGCTCGGGTAGCGCGATAACGAGTGATGGATGCAATTGGCTCGTCCCATGCCTGTATCTTCTGCCGGACGACAAAAACACTTTGGAAAAGCGTCAATTATTGGCCAATGAGTAATAGTGTGAGTAACACTTGCCATGCCTCCTCGCCTAATTCCCCAGCCACCGATTTCACTCCCCCCGCCCCCTCCCCCCGGCTACAGGAGACTTTCATCAAGGAACTCTTGTGCGGCGAGTGTGATTTGCCTTGGGGGAAGCGAAGAGGCAATGAAGCTCACACCAAGATTGCTAAATAGGCGAACACGGGGCGGCGAACGTAGCCACTTGAATTTTGGTAGGTGGAGGGAAGTAATGCTGATGATGAGTGCAGCCACAGAATGAGAGAGCTTTCCACTTTGTTCCCTTTTTTCTTATCGGGTTTTACCTCTTGCTTTCGCTACCCAAGCATATGACCCTTGAGACTTCTCTGTACAGCTCAGGAGACGAGTTGATCTTGAATGGTTCGTTACGTATGAAGGATAGATCAGGTACGTTTTCTTGGGTGTGAAGAAGTGATGCAGCGACGTTGGTTTTCGACGCAGCTGATTATATAAGCGAAACCATATTTGTTGGGCTTCATGTTTGGGTGTGGTTGTGATGCAACATCTTAGAACCTATAGAGAGCACGCGATTTGAACCGGCCAATTTGCCAACCAGAAGAAGTACATCAAAAGTTGAGCAGCAGGTGAAGTGATCAAGTTGGTTTTCTTTTTGAGACGATTACCCGAAATCATGTTGCTCGCTGGCTCATGCCATTATGCCAAAAAGCATATAATAAAGGTACCAAAGGGATGCTTTGTAGAAAGTATTGCCCAAAATACGCCCGCTCACCAAATAACAAACATTCTTTTTCTTGGGGATCCGAGGACACACAACACACGAAGAAGATGGTATCATAGAATCCGTAACCAGAAAAAAACACACCACATAAAACCCTCAATCCATCCCTTCCATCCATATAAATATAACCCTTGCGTTAACCCGCATCGCTGTGTGTCCTAAAGCCAGGAAGAAAGAGAATAAATTACACCCCAAACAATGCAGTAAATTATATCATGCGTCCCGAAAAACATCCCAGAGTCCTGTAGTGTGAATCATGCGACAGTGTCTGGGTTTTGCACACACATGGAGTGCTCCAACGAGGCCGTTCAGCCCGACTCCTCGCGACCAGAGGAGTAACCGCTCGCTTCGCCAGCCGTGGCACCAGAGCTGTCGGGCTGTGTGTCGATACCCTTGGTGAAGCTCTGGCCAGGGCGCGGGACCCCTGACAACCTCTGGACAGGGTCAAATGACACTCTGGGGTTCGACTTCATAGCGCCGGTGCCGAAGCGGTCCTCCTCACTCGAGGTCTGGTCGCTAATCACGGCGTAATCGGCCTCTGACTGGTGAGGATTAGCCCGCTGTGAGATGGCATCTCCCGAGTCATCCATGATCACGTCTGAGTTATCGTCATCCTCCACGTAGTCATCTTCGAACCCCGAGTCGTCCGACTCCGTGGTCTCGGTGAAAGGGGGGTAGAAGATGGCAGGAGGAGGCAGTGGGAGTGGTTTCAACTCCTTGTATCTCTCTTGCAGCACCTGCACCTGAACGCGTGGGGTGCGCTCAGAGACGTGCCCTGGTGTGCGCGGCGAGCCGGTCGACAGCCCAGCAATCTGGTTCGCAATCGAGTCTGTCGTCTCATTTGACTGGAGACGAACGGCGCCTGGCCGACCTTGATACCCGGCGAGGATGGGATGTCGCGTGACGACCAGCACGGCAAAGTGGTCCTCCGGAGTGACACCGCCCAGACCACAAGGCTCTAAGCAGGCCTGGAGAGGATTGAGTTGGGTCTTCTCGGGATGCTCGCACCAACAGAAACCATATTCCTCAGGATTCGAGGCGCCTCCCTCGTCGGTCACAAGCTCAGACGACGCGTCGTCCAGACCCGACGATTCCGATCCATCGACGAGAGGGCGGTAGGGAAGCGAGGAGCCAGAGTCTGTACGAGCTAATGTCGGCATTCCATCCTCTGTCTGTGTCTGCAGACTCTCCTGCTCGTGGCCCGAGGACGTCATGTAGGTGGTGGGCGACATATCGCTCGGGTCACCCGAGAGGTCCAGGCAGAAGGGCGCACCGGTGTAGTAGATGATGGCACCATCGCGCCGCCGCTTCTTCCGTGGCGATGAGCCGGAACCGCTGACGAAGCCTGTGGAGCGGGAGTTCATGTTGCTGTTCTCGACGGGCGCGAATGAGGCATGCGAGGCGGTGTCATCCAGAGAGGTCTCGACTGACGACGACTGGTTGTGCACAAACATGGGCTTGTAGTGGAAGCTCTCGGACGACGCAGATACACGGTCACCAAGCTTCTTCGTCTGGCTCTTGCTCGAGTGCGCCGACATGTCGGCGCTTGTCTTCTGCCTCTTGCGCTGTCCGTCCTCGTTTGAACCCTCTGTGGCCTCCGTATCGGGACTTCTCAGAGAGCTGCCCCCACCGCTGTCGCTGCTGAACTTGGTGCCTTCTGTCCCACCACGCCAGCGGATCTTGCGACCATCTCTGGAGAGCTGGAACTTGGCAGACCTCTCGGCAACGGCTGAGCGGATGTAGTCTGGCGTTACATTGAGGATATGTAGCTGCGCCAGATTGCACAGCAGGTTGAGGTGAATCCAGCCATCCGCATCCATCGAGACGTCTTGCTGCCTGAACTTGGTCTCGTCCAGGTACTGTGGCGCCGTGACGCCAAGATGGCGAATGTACTGCATATTTTCCGAGGGATTCTGGATCCTGTCTGGATCGAGATCGAGAGGCCTCGTCGCTCTTTGTTCACTAAGATCCCCATTTTGCGGTGAGCTGTCCTGAACGCTGTGCTCGTTGCTACCGCTGCCGCTACCCGTCCGATTCTCACCCGTTTCGTTCTCGCCATTGGAGTTGGATGCTGACAACATGTCGCGGGAGGTGTTGTTCTTCTTGCGCGGATCGTGCAGCTGTATGCGCGCCTCTCGGGATAACTCGTCTTGGGTCGTGTTCGAAGCCTGTCCCAGCAGTAAGGGCGGCGCGGAGAACACCCCCTCGAGGCTCACCTGAGGCTCTAGGGCCGACTTGGCCGCCGAAGGAGACTGTTGATTTCGGCGAGCTTTCTTGTTCTTGCCGCCAGCCTTGCCTGTAAACAACTGTTCCAGCCTGCGTACCACCAACTTCTTCTTCTCCTTATCCGTCAAGGAGACATGACGGGGAAGCAGGCCCTCTGGTATCTCTCGAAGGTATGTCTCCACCTTCTGCTCGGCGGACGACCTTCCGCGGCCCAGAGACGGCCGGCCAATGGAGCTCGTCGAGGCGTACTGGCCAGTGGAGCTGGGACCGGTGGACATGGAGGCATATGCAGAATCGACCGGTCGTGAGTGGGACGAGGACGACGAGGCGTGCTTCGAGTCGGAGCTTGAGCCCTGGAGCCTGCTCACGTGCTTCGAGGACTTCTTGCGCTGCTGCGACGAAGTCGGGGACCCTTCAAGGCTGGAGGCAAAGTCGCGCAACGTCGCCTCCAGCTCCATCTTCTTTTTCTTGGGCAGGCCATGGTACTTGATCTCGAACAGCTTATCCTTGCGCAGGGCGTCTGGGCCAAACTGCCTGTACCTCTTCAGCTCTTCCTTGAGACGTTTGTTCTCGATGGTCAGGTCGTCAATGACGCTTCGAAAATCATCCGCGCTGCTGCTGTGTGCTGGCATGGGCGGCCTGTTCACCATAGACTGCTGGTAGCCCGAGGTAGGATAGCGGTATGCAGCACCCCGGGTGGGATTGACATCCTCGTTGGACGAATCGGACTGCTTCTGGAAGAAAGGTGGATCGACTGGAGGAGGTTAACAGCTGCTGCGCCCCCTAGAAGACAAAGCCACACGGTGCTGAATGGGGGTTTGCACATACCATCCATAGTAGCGTGATCGAAGGCAACAGGAGGATTGCGGTTAGAACGGTCGAACCAGTGCTTGGGATCGCTTTGTCGGGTCTCGTGGCTCTCGCCAGAGGAGTTTCTCCGCCTGAGGACGCCAGAACCAGCGTTGCTCGAAGGCTCGGGTCTCATAGAGGCATCCCGAGCAAGACGGTGGTGTCGTAAGGTTACAGATTTCTCGGGTGTGGTTCTTCGTGGCATAGGGTGGCCACGGTCGCTGAGGAGCGCTCGCTGCTTTCCTTCATCGGCCATAGTGATTGGCATGTGGTCCGTGGCTCTTCAAAGTTCGATGGATCATCATGTGGAGCGCATGTCCACGAGGTTGGACGATCCAGAAGGGTTCTTCGCAGAGTAGGAGGCTCTCTTGTGGAGATCACACAAGCGTTTATTTTGGCTGAGAGAGTGTGAGAGAGCTAGCCTGGTGGCTTCGAGAGGTTCCGTTGGGTTGTTTTGGAAGGACTGGCACTGCGTGTAAGTTCTCAATCCCAGAGTGACGAAGATGTGGAACCCGTTCCAAAGACAAGAGGGGAAGGAAGAGAGCTCTCTTCAACCCGAATTGCACATCCCAGAGGCTATAGAGAGCCCGACCAGCAGAAGTGCGAGGGGTTATATATGGCGGTTGAAGTGGTGCAGTCCACTTGGACTGGTAGATGATTTGACGGATGATATGGAGAGCTCTTTGAAGACTGGGAGCATAAGAACTCTCACACGTGGGCTAGAGTCGTTTGAACGACAAAACCCTAGTCATGAGTGAAGGTTGCAAACAGTGAATCTAGGGCAAAGAGGCAGGGAAAGAAAGAAAAAAGAAACATGCCCGTACCTTTGGTATTGTTTAAAGTTCCGTGATGAGGCTGCAGGCACACAAGGTATAGATTGTGTTGAGAGTTGGTGGGGTGTTTTAAGGCTGTCGATGTGCCTGGCTGTTTTGGTTTGCACTGGAACCAAAAGACCAAGATGATATGGGTGAAAGTTGTGTGTGTGCGTGTGTGCGTGTGTGTGTGTGTGTGTGCGTGCGTGTGTGCGTGTGGGTTGTGGGGATTGGAAGTAGAGGGCATAAAATTGAGGATATCACTGTTGGGTATAGGACGAGGGCGAGACGGAAGAAGCAGTCATGTTTGGCGCAAGTTGAGGACAGGAAGGACAGATAATATGAAAGGGGGGGGGGCTGTGACGCAAATCCCAAAATCGAAAATCACGATGCAATCGAGGGTATCGAGATTGTCGACAGCGGGGGGGTGAACAGCCGCCGTTCCAAGGGTCGCCGTGTGGGGGCTGAACGACACTTATGGAATGTAGTGATGCATGGGTTCAATCAGTTAGATCTTGACTGTCTGGAAATCAAAGGTGCAAGGTACGAGACTGAGCCCGTGGTGGCCAAATTTTGCCATCAAGTTTTGCCTTGGCGGGTGTGAAGTCAAGGTCTTGGGCGATGCTCATAATTGCTTCGATCTCTAAGAGTCGGGCAGGGAGAGGAGCAATCGAGAATCCAGTCGGTAAGCCCCAGTATTTTCCTCTTTTAGTGAGGTACATGGCCCATGTACCGTATAGGGGTCCACGTTCTGGACAGGTCCGCCTTGATTTGTACCCCTGGCAGGTCCCCAGGGCGTCGCTATAAATCCAACCTTCTCCTCCCAGCTTCGCACCCTCTCCAGTCGACCCACCATCGCCGCCGATGCATCATGCCATTTGGTCTGTCAATCTCACAGTCACTTCTCTGGACGTTATTCTCTCCCGATCTTTTCTCATTTTTGATCTCATCCTCATGTAGCGCTGAAGCGACATAGTTGAAGATGTCCTCCCGAGCCTTGGCCGAACTCCTCGCTACCCGTGTGGAGCGGGGCGTGTCGTTATCATCACAAGTAAAATCTCGACGTCACCTCCTTGTCCTGTCCACCTCCTTGCTGTCTGATTGGTCAACAGCTTCGTATCTAGCCAATCACAACGGCTCTGACGACACCCTGATGGTTCCACCTTCCACTGTTTTCGTCCTTTCTTCCCACTTCCATGGCCTACGAAAGGGAAAAACGGTCAGGGGCCTTTCCGCCTAGATCTCACTTTTTGCGCTGTCATCGATGATTTTTCCCACCAGCCCGCCCACGCAACTCACTCTTGCCTTGTGACAGGCTCTGACAGGATGCTGCGCAAGGGGGAAAAAGGAAGGAGAGAAGACGGGAAGGGAAAAAAAAGGGACCAGGGGAAAATCAAGCGAAAAGGCTACTTGAGACAAGTTGTTACACTTCAGGTTAGGAGGCTACTTCCAGCTTCCGCGCCCCGAAAGCTGAACATTACACCCACCAAGCAAGTGCTACTGCTAATGGATGATGGACTTGCTGTGCAGATGGCTCTTCCTGGAGTTCTACATGATGGAGGACTCACAGAGAACATATAGAGCTGAAGACTGTCATCCCACCCGGCGACCTCCAGACAGACACACAGACCTACCACGAGATTTTGGGTACGAGGCCCCAAGGGAGGAAGGAAGAGTGTGTAATCGTGTTCTGTCCCTGAAATCACCTGCATTTGGGGGTTACAGCCCACCCCCAGTGTGGATGACGAGGAGTCCCCCGCCCACTCACAGCCCGATTCCCGGTTTCCACGACCCTCAGGTGGTCTGATTTCTGGACCTTGCGACTGGGGCACGGCTGTCAAAAGACCTGTCATGAGAGGGGTGTGGTGGTCGCTGGTGACCGTGGCCTCCATCATGTTCTGTGTGTGTTACACGACGAACATGTCGCACAATATACACATCCACCGACTTTGTTCCTGCCAGCCGTCTAGCCCGGAATCAGGTTTTTTCCCCCGTCTACTTCTGGCGGTACAAGCTTCCATATTTCGCACCGAGTCAGACGAGAGCACCACAACATTACGGTTGGCCGGTGCGTCGGCCAGGTATCCGAATACCACAGGACCCCTATGAACGAGGTGATAAGCGGCTCCTAGGACAATCACTTCCTATGAGGGTTGGCAACGGTGAGACCTTTGGCGAACTCAGCGTTGTGTTTGGATCTACAGTGTCACATGCCTAAGCCCTTTACGTTGGTGGGAAGATTCATCGTTTGCTGACATTCCGAGAGGGCAGCAAACACTTTCGAAGAAGAGCGCGGCTGACGTGACACCAGTAATTTCATGCAAGCCCCGGGAAAAAGGAAGGAAGCCAAACAAGTGTAGCGAAGAGAGGGGGGAAGATGGTAGGTAAGAAGGGCGAACCATGCATCATTTGGGGGAGGGATCGAGATCGCGAACAGCGAACACCTCATTTTGGCGAGCCAGGGCTATGCTGTAGGGCCCTAGACCCGTGCCTTGACACCCGTTCGGCGAGGAGCGTCCCGCTGACAGCTGCACCATCTTTGTGAGTTCTCTTGGCTATATGGATATCGCGTGCTTCATGACACATGTCTCCCTCCTAGAAACCAGTCTTGGGTCCGCACTCTTGAAGAAAAACATGGCTTGTATGGTTGAGTTGATAGCAGCTCGAGAAATCAAGCATAAACCTCACTCAATATCATACATAGTATGTAAAGAAAGAAGGATAAGAAAAGTTGCTTAGAAACCTGCAAGACACAATTTCTTTTATTCACCCCAAGGGGTGTGGATCCAATCACGGCAGCTCCAAACCCAATTGCACTACGGCTGACAGGCCGTCACAGCACCAACACGCTAGGAGAAAACCCGCCCAAAGACCCTGAAGATTGTGAATCCATCGATCGAGATCCTCCAATGTAAACGGCTCCAATGGGATCAGCAAAAGACGTCATCCCAAGCAGAAGGAAGGGTCCTCTCGACTTTGTCGTGATGGTCGTGTCGATCCGACTTCTGAAACTCGGTTCCCATGATGAATGCTGCGAAGAGGTTCGAATATGATGAAGGGCGGTGCTGTGGCCTGATGTGGACTTGAACCTGTTTGTCTTTTCAGTACAAGTACGAGGAGGGGGGGGGGGGCATCTACCCGTGCTAGCCGTGGTCACCAGAACGAGAGGCAGGGACGAGACAGGCATAGTAAACCATTCCAGTCCGGGGAGGGGCCTGGGCTGGTCTAGACCTGGGGCTCAAACCTGCTCCCAGGAGCCTATAGTTGAACAAGCATAATGAAAACATTGGCTCACGGGCTTTTCCATAGTAGTAACAAGGCAATATTAGTGTGCATTAGGCCCCCCTTCTACAAGGAACTTTTTTTTGCATAGTACAGATATTTCCTATAGTACAGAAGAGAGCCGCAGGCCCGAAACGCAAAAACCACCACCACCCGACCAAAGGACGCACATGCACTGATGCAGCCTACTGGGAGCTGACGTCGAGATCAGATGTCGCCCGATTGGGGAGGAGGAGGGGAAAAAAACATGAGATGCAACAGTCGACAGTCCCGTGCGCCCTTCCCGGCTGTTGGTATTTTCGACAACATGCCCGGCCATATTCCCCTCCCGTCGTCGTGATGGTGTTTCTTGGGGTTGGTAAACCCTGTGGGTACCATTGAGCCCCAATCAATGCTGCAGTTTGTATATGAATATGTGAGTGCGGGTTTTGTGTAAAGTACATCGTTCATTCTATGTACTATAACTATGTTTATTGGTAACAAGGTGTTTGTTCCATCTCTCCATTCTAGTATGGTAGTAACCTTCTGTTAAGACAGGGTGAAAACGACGCATGGAAGAGCGGTCGGTCAGGTGGGAAAATAAGCAAGAGCATTGACTTCCCAGCCCTCTTTTCTTTTCTCTCTGTCTGTCTTCTGTCTCTTGCTTGGCAAATCTACTACGTCGACGAACACGCAAAGGCAATACCACGCGCAGCTAGCGCACAGGGAGAAGACCACATGCAGATCCTGATCGCTCGTGTGTGTGTCTGGTTATCATTTGGGGGTCGTCAGATATTCTTTACCCATCACCTCACATCGAGATCAACTCGTATCTGATGGGAAATAAGAAGGAAGGAGGGGTGTGTGTGGTCCGCCCGACGATCTGGTGTTTGGCCCTGCATCGCTCCCCGTGCCGTGCCGTCCCCTGTTACAGGCGCAGCGCATCGAGATGCAGGACGGGCTTTGGGTGAGGGGTGAGAAAGAAGAATTTAGGAGAGGGGTGTGAGCCCCTGGCCTTGTTCTGTCTTGTTGGAAACGGTCTGGGCATCTGAACATCCAATGAGTACCGAGTCCAGCTGGTTAATTCCTTGAACGTGGAATATTCCCAGTCGTTGTGGTTGCTGCCACTGGGATGAGTGAGACATGCTCGGTGGTGGCTCACAGCCTCGCAACCCCTTCTGCCAACCCCCTCCCAAACCCGGGGGGTTTTTATTTTATTTTATTTTTTTTTTAAAAAAAAGAAAGACTCACCAGGAAGAAAAAGAGGTAGAAGAAAAAAAAAAACAAAGAGAAAAACATTCAGAGGACTACAGGCAAAGTAAAGGAAAGTCATCAAGGGACAAGATGAAAGGTGGCTATTACTCGACAAAAATTGTATAAATGAATGTATTCGGTTGAAAGGTTTGAAAGCTCAACCTAACAGCACAGCTAAACAACTTCCCCTCGTCGTGCTCCTCCAGTTCCAGCACTCACCCATCTCAAAAACATGACGAGTGCCTGCACTCAACCTCTCTCTCTATAAAGTTCTGTTCTTCTCCATTGGCGCCCCTTACCTCTTCCCGGTCTCCTGAAGGGCTGTCCCCAGCTTCTCGAGTCTGTTCCCCCTAGTCCAGATCCTTACGCCTCCTGGACGTCATTAAGTAGGAGGGAAGAAGAGTTCCACTTCTCGCTGTTGAACGAGTTAACGAACGGGTTGTCGTTGATGATGAAACGCTTGCTGCTTGTGCTGGTGCTCGCGCTGGCATCGTCCCCCCCGTCGAGGCTACTGACGAGGTTCCCAAAGATACTGAGGAGAGTTCCTGGCAGCCCACCCTTGGGCGCACGCTTGCTGGTGGTGCTGGTGCTGGTGCTCGCGCTGGCATCGTCCCCCCCGTCGAGGCTACTGATGAGATTCCCAAAGATATCGATGAGAGTTCCCGGCAGCCCGCCCTTGGGCGCACGCTTGCTGCTGGTGCTCGTGCTGTCATCACTCCCTCCATCGAGGTGATTGACGAGTTGTCCAACAATGTCAAGGATAGTCCCTGGCAGCCCGCCCTTGGGCGACCTCGCGCACGCGACATGCGGCGGGCACTCGTCAACACGGTGAGCCGGGTTGACATGGCCCCACGGCAGATCCAACAGATCCGGGTCCGTAAACGTCGTCGGCACCACCCCCACAGCCGTCGTCGGCGTGGTGTCGCGGCGCGGGTGGGCATGGTACGCATTGAGGCGGCGCTCCCCCCTGCCGACGACCGAGTTGCTGGCTCCCTCGTCGGTGGTCAGGTCCAAGTCCGGGATCGTGTGTTCAGGATAGAGCCCGGGCGGCGGGTAGGTGAACTTGGGCTGCGACGAGGGCAGCTGGGTGGGGATGGCGTTGATGGGTTCGGGCCACTTGACCATATCGGGGGCCAGGCCCACGGACGAGGAAGGGAGTGCGCCTTGTGTTGCCAAGGGGGAGGCGTGGACGCCTTGTTGGGCCACGAGGGCGGCGAGGAAGGTGCCGAAGACGTTTGTTGTCTGCATCTTGTCGTCGGTGGGGAGACGAAGTTTTGAATGACAAAGAAAGGGAGAAGAACGAGGGTTTACAGGTAAGTAATATATTCCTACCGAAGAAGTCACTGTTGGTTCGGTAACAGAGTGAGCGTTTGCGTGTGTGGAATCCACTAGTCGGATGAGAAAGGAATTTTGCTGCTACCGGAGCGTAAGCTGAAGATATAAGAAGAGCGAGAGACAAATTGCTGCCAGAGCAATGGAAAGTCGGAGCGAGTGTTCGAGTTCGATGATGAGGATGAGGATGTCTGTGGAAAAAATGGGTGGATTAGGACGGCGAGAGCCACGGTCCTTATACGCGCTCTCCCCTCGCTTCGCAAAGCATCTTCGCATGCTCAACCTTGAACTTAGACTCATGAATTAGAGGACGGCCGCAGGGAAAGCAGCCCATGACAGATGAGCCTCATCAGATCCGGCCATGCGAAGTCATAGTGAGAGTAAACCAACCTTCCAAGGATGTGGTCCAGAGCGTTCACCATATTCAGCCTGCGTGGTGTAACACGGCCTCGCCCGAAACAGGGTGACCGGTCCGAGATCGGGCTGCTTCTGCTGAGAAGAGGGTTTCTGAAATTCACAGCAGACTTCTCCAGCTTTCTCTATCTCTCACCTTGAAGGGCGGTCTTCCACCAGCTGCTCCTGCTGCAACCCTAATTGGACTGGGCCACTGCTATGAAGGCCCAAGGTTGCCTGCACTAGGGACGTCGGGGTGCAAAAGCGTGAGCAGACTCGGATAAAATCGCATTGCGAGGATATAAGCCTCATTCCTTTTCTTCTTGGCGTCAGATTTTCGTATTATTTCCGGCCCCCGGGGGTCATGTAATATAGGCCAAATTCACAATTGTCATTTTGTTTCACACAGCAGTTTTTTCTCTTGGCGACGCTTACAGGAAATATACCTTAGCCATTCATTACATTTAGCAACCGGAAAAGACTGTTGTATTAGAGCGGCCTGCTCAGCTATGAAATCTAAAGGATGTGAGAATTGTGATCAGCTGAGGCAAGCAATCTCATAAGGGTCTTTAAGACGGACCTGCCCATCGTCTTCTCTTTCTTTCAATACAGGTTCAAAACTGGTCGGATGAGGCATGTCAGCATGGATGCGAATATCAAATAGCGACCAACGTATGCAATTTACCAAACCCCGTTCTGAAAAGAAGCTGACTGGCACGGGGTTGATCCTCAGCAGGGACATGAAAGACGCGTTTGATTCTTTGAAAGAAGAGATTCTGGGGAATGAGCATGGTCTCAAGAAGTGTTTTGATTCTTGTGGTCTACTCTTTTGCAAAGACGTCACGTCCTGGGCATGACCATGACCATCTACACCCTCGATTTCTCATGCAAGATTTTATGTGATCATGTGTATATTCCCCTGAAGACTAAATCTGATGCCATGAGAGAGAGCAAGAGAGTGACAGAGAGTTCTCCCTTCATAATTGGGAGATTACATGTCTCCGTGGCGGAGATGAAGGCAACAAGAAAGCGCAGAGAATTTGTCAAGGATTCTATATGAAAGTTAAGAAGATCTAAATGGGATCCTCCAACTACAGATGCTGTCTTTAGTTGATTTGAGTCCATGTGTAGCATTAATCAGTTCACTCAATGTGCGAACCGGCCACACTTTGATCATTCAAGGTTATTTAAGTATGTTGCGATGGGCCTGAATCGCTATTTGAAGTGGTCGGGAGCTTGAGACGTGTCTGATACACCTCGAAACCACTCTTGAAGAAGATTCCCCCCCCCCCCCCCCCAAGGAAGCGGTGTTTCCTGAGCGTGTGGGTGGCAAAAGGTTGCTCAAGAAACGGATGCCATTTAAAGTGCAGATTGATGAACAACGTGGCTGGAACAGGAATCTTGACTGCCACTACTACTAATGAGGGTGTCAATTCATGTCTGGAGATAAAGGCAGCGGCTCTACAATCTTTGAGATGCGCAAGTGGAAAAAGCGGGCGAGGTAGGAACTTCTCCTCCATGAAGCCTTTACACTGGCTGCTGGCCACTTCATCAGCGTTATAGGCACATATTATTTGACCTGAGTGTAGTCTAAATGATTTGCAAACCCTCGCTAGCCATGTGCTACGGCGCCCGAGATTAAGGATACATTAGCCTGGCCTAGTCAATTCTATGGAGGAACAGAACAGTTCATTCGTTTCTTAGGGCGCCAAAGTTGATTTCTTCAACTGAAGATGATATGCTTTATCACCTAACTGGGTGGCTGATTGGTGTTCTTGATTCGATCTCGTCCTATGGACTGTTGTGTTCTCTCGTTCTGGCGCGGCACACCTCATGAGACGCTGTGCAATAGAGGGAAGAAAAGATATATAAAAATAGTTGAAAACTGCGAGAGCAAACTTGTTTGACTGCTCAGCATAACTTCTAACCCGATTGTTTCAAGATGTACAGGCAGGTGTCTGCGAGATGCAGATGTGGTGGCGCCTTTCCCCAGCAACTGAAAGAGGCTGTAGGTCTTCCGGGTTAGGGTCTCAGCAGAGAGGCCACCTCCCCGATAAATGCATCTACCTAAACAGGGTCAGCCCAGTTGTGGAGAGAGCTGTTTGCCCCACCATCAATTGCCCACTGTGCAGTCGGTCGGCACTGAAGCTCTCCCATTGTGTCGCAATTGAATTTCCAGTCTTTTGACAACCACGACCGCTTGGCAGAGCTTCCCACATCTCCAAGATGGCAAGCAAAGACAAAGCCGTGGCAATAGGGTAAGTAGTAAGGACCAAATACTGAATGGGAATGCAGAAGACGATGTTGGTTTACTGACCCGAGTCGCGCTGCTTCTACAGCAAAGATGCCCCCACCAATCCCCGCGGCATACCCTATGCGCCGTTTGTCGACAAAGTTGAGGACTATGTGTCTTCTCGAGCGGAGGTCGAGCCTACGATGGGAAAGTTCCAGGAGATGATTGCGTGAGTCGTCACATTTACAAGATCTGGGGGTGTGCGAGGCACTGGGAGCTGTACAAACTCCAGAATAGGGCTTGCCTAGCTGACAAGCAGCATGTGTACAGGAAATACCAATTCATGGAATCATCCCTACAGCGCAAGGCGATTGGCCTCAACGACAAGATCCCAGATATCCAAAAGACATTGGACACAGTCAGATTTCTGAAGACGAGAATGGTACGCCCCCCCCCCCCCCTCGGGAGGCAAGTGATGAAGAGACATTGGGTATTTGCCCGAGAGGAGGGGGATAAGGAACACAAAGATGCTGATGAAGCCATAGGCTGAGTCCGACCCAATCGAGACGACCTTCGAGCTGAACGACACATTGTTCGCCAAGGCCGAAGTGCCACCAACGGACGAGGTGTACATATGGCTTGGTGTACGTATATCCCCCGTCACACCCTCTTTCGAACCTCCTTTGAGAAACAACCGTCGTGCGTTTGCTGAACAGGCTTGTAGGCGAATACAATGCTGGCATATCCCATGGACGAGGCCGAGACACTGCTGGATGGGCGGCTGAGCGATGCGAAGAAGAGCCTTGAGAATTGCGAAGAGGACCTGGAGTTCCTCAGGGAGCAGATTACGGTATGTCTCAGCACCTCTTCTTTCTCTTCCTCCTCCCTCCCTTTTTTCCTCCGAGGAGGTGATGCTGACTGGTGGGCAGACTATGGAGGTCGCAGTAGCCAGAGTGTACAACTGGGATGTGGTACAAAAGCGCAAAGAGAAGGGTGAAGAGGATGCTGGCACAAAAGACAATGAGAATGGCAAGTCAGGCGGGTGAGACAATTCTTGAGATTGAACCCCTTACAGAGAGAAATTTGTTCCGATATGACGGACAGTTTCTCCATTCACGACGCCCTCAAGATGTCAGCGAAATGAGAGGCACAAACCCCTTGAAGTGTATCTCACAATGATCTTCGGTACTGTGTGAAGGACACCTTCATGGGAGAGCCATACATAGCGTTAGACGAGAGTTCCCAAGGGAATGAATGCAAACCATGAGGACTTCAAGCCATCCAGTGTGGTATTGTGGCTACCATACTCCTCGACCTGGCACACCGTGTCTGGTCTGATCACTGCTTGGGTATGTTGTTGACTATACGAAATTGACGTCATCCTACCTGATGACAATTGTGCTGTCAGGTTCGCACTTGGATTCTTGGGCACGTGGGGGAGAGCGCGACAACTAATTATACAACATGGGGGTGACTCAAGGGATGCTCAGTTTGTTGGAATTAGATCTGATTGTTGTTGACTAAAGTGATGACCAGTCGTGTGTTCTATAAACATAACCTTGAAGCATCCTAATAAGCTGACAACTTTTCTTCCCATGCACAAGGTAAGGCGGAGCCCCCCCCCAACTTCTATGCCTTAAAATAATGAGAAGCATTTCACATGTGCCGGATTCTAGGACCCTGAATGGAGAAGGCTTGGAGGGGTAGGGTAGTAAGTAAGGCCTGGGTCTGTAGCAAATATATGGATCTGCTCACCGCATGTTTATGTTTTGGAATAAGGATATTCGCAGCTTGCATAGGGCCATTCTTTTAGCTTTTGAATAGCAGACCTGTTGGCCTTTGAGAAAAAGAAAGAAAAGAAAAAGGAAAACAGGTCGCTGCATTTAGTTGAGCCTTGGAAAATTTGATGAATTTGAACCAAGTCCATGGCAGCATGTTCAAGGTGTCTACTCTATCTGCCAGCGTCTGGCTTGGACAGACTTGGCTGGTTGTGAGCAGACCCAGAGAGGCTTGGATGATTGGGTGGCAACATTGGCAATGTTTTAGTGTGTGGACACCGCCTGTAATATTGGTATGACGGAGGCTGGACACGGCTAGATCCCCCTCCCCACCAAACAAGCCAGCCTGCCAGCATCACAGACAAGGGCTCTGAATTAAATAGGAGACCCGCATCGTGGAAGCTCTGTGTTTCCCTCATCTCCACTGCATCCACCCCTTGGTGATCTTTCTGGACAACTGTGTCTCTTAGACCCCTTTTGATCTTTCCCACTGCCGCTATAGATCTATTTTCAGCTCTGCAGTCAGAAGAAGGAAAAGAAGAAGAAAAATAGAGCAAGGAGCAAATCTTTTCTCATTCCTCTTCAATCCTAACATTTTCTACCACCCACACACGCTCTCTTCTTTTCTTCTCACTGTCAACACTCGAACCTACCCCCTCTCGTTGCCTAGGAAATACGCCAATATGGCTGCGCCTACGAACACTGGAGATATGCAGCTCGACCCCAAGTACGACGACTATGACTTCCCAGTCGTCGCCCCCGTCAAGCAGGACGGCCACCCCGGCCACTTGACGCCTGAGCAGGCCGAGAAGGTCAAGCAGCTGCGCGCCTCGCTGGAGCAGAAGGGCTACACCGATCGCCTCGACACTCTCACGCTGGTACGTCGCTGTTCCTCGGAGATCACGAGGCTTCAGCAAGACTCTTGGGGCTAACCTGGGCCATGTCAACACAGCTGCGATTCCTGCGCGCGCGCAAGTTCGATCTTGTTGCCACCGAGACCATGTGAGACCACCTCCTTTTTCCCCTCCTTGGACGAGAGACAGACACACTGGAGATACCGATGAAAAGCTGTGAGACGGCTGAGAGATGGAGATGTTGACGTTTTCGTGCAGGTTCGTCAACGCTGAGAAGTGGCGGAAAGACACCAAGCTGGACGAGCTCCTGCCTACGTGGGAATACCCCGAGAAGGAGGCCATATTCAAGTACTACCCTCAGTACTACCACAAGACCGACAATGTATGTTTCTTCTCAGCTGCCAGGGAAAATATTGTTGGCCAGCCTGCGGGCACCTCGCGGCCATGGTGCCAAGCGGTCCTGCGCCTCTGGCACCCAGCAGAACCAGTAGCTAACACACTATACTCCTCCCCCCTCACAGGACGGCCGACCAGTCTACATCGAACAGCTGGGCAACGTCGACCTCACCGCCATGAACAAGATCACCACCTCGGAGCGCATGCTGACCAACCTGGCGGTCGAGTACGAGCGCGTGGCGGACCCGCGGCTGCCCGCGTGCTCGCGCAAGGCCGGCCACCTCCTCGAGACGTGCTGCACAATCATGGACCTCAAGGGCGTGGGCCTGGGCAAGGCGCCCTCCGTGTACGGCTACCTCAAGGCGGCGTCCAACATGAGCCAGAACTACTACCCTGAGCGCCTGGGCAAGCTGTTTGTCATCAACTCCCCCTGGGGCTTCTCTACCGTCTGGTCCGTCGTCAAGGGCTGGATCGACCCCGTCACTGTCCAGAAGATCCACATCCTCGGAAGCGGGTACCAGAAGGAGCTGCTGCAGCATGTGCCCAAGGAGAGCCTCCCCAAGGCATTTGGCGGCAGCTGCGAGTGTGAGGGCGGCTGCATGTTCAGCGACCAGGGCCCGTGGACCGACCCTGCGTTTGCCAAGCCCCCCAAGTGGGAGAAGAAGGCGGGTGATGCGACGATCGAGACGAAGCAAGACGATCCCGCGCCAGCGCCTGAGGTCGCCCCCGCGAAGGTGGAGGGGGAGGCTGCGCAAGCCCCCGTGGTGGCGGCCGAGGAGGAGGGCGCCAAGACCGATGCGCCCGCTGCTGCATAAACGACAGATGTGTGTTTTGTTGAACACCGAGCAGTCTGTGGGATGGGGATGAATAGAGGAGAACGGGGGAGTCGGAGGGGAACAACTCGTGTGTGATATGCGGGCTATAGCGCGGGTAGGCAATACGGAGACCATGGCCGGCATAGAGCATCGCAAGGTAGTGATATAATCTGTGGCACTACAAGCTGCCCTGCCTTTATAATCCTTGAATACAATGAACCGGGGATACGATCAAGGTCATAGAGAATTGGGTTCTCTCTTCATGCTGCACATCGTTTTCGAGCCAAAATGTGTCTTCATTTGGTCAACAATTCTTTATAGAGGCCTGTGTTCCTCTTAAGCAGTGAGGACCCTCTATTTACACACACCGTCGTTGACGCAGATGTCTTGTATTGTGGACATGAGACAGCCTAACCAATTATATGTTTTCTGGGTGAAACTCAGACACCATCATGGGTGCCACCTTGGTATCATATTGTAAGGAATCCCCCCCCCCCCCCTCTTGAAATTGACCTACGCCAGAAACGCCCTATAGATGCACGCAAAGGTCTCGTCATCCTCCCTCCCTCTTCCCCGTCGCCAGCCCTGCTGTCCTGATATCACTACCTCTCCGTGACCACATACTCCCCTGCAACCCTCGCCCTCTCCATCTTGGCCACGACAGCCGGCATCTCCCTCTTCAGCCGCCCAAGCGTGTCAACAACCCCTACATACCCACGCCGGACATTCTCCCGCCGTTCCACCCGGCCCAGCCCTTCCAGCATGGCTTTATTGTTCGCAGAAGCAGCAGCAGCAGCAGCGACAGCGGGCTTGTCCGTGTCCTCGTCCTCCCCTGCCGCCGGCCCAGCCGCAGCCAAGACAGCCGCCTGCTCCCTGGCCTCCCCGAGCGCCGCCTCGTCGGCCTTGACGCCCTCCCAGAACCCGTCCGCGTATGCCCTCGCTGCGGCGGCGGGCACCCTGCGCTTCAGCGCGGCGATCTCCCGCATCAGGTCTTCTTCTTCGCGCGCGAGGTCCTCGAGGCGGGCGCGCTTGCGGGCGTCGAAGGGCTCGTACTGGACCTCGGGGCCTGTGTCGTTGTGGCCGGGCCTGTTCCCTGCTGCGGCGGCGGCGGAGGAGGAGGAATTGGGGTCGGAGAGGTACACGGCGGGAAAGGTGCGCGCGTCCAGCTCGAAGCCGTTGATGGAGAGGTTAGGGGCGGCGAGGGTGAAGGTCTGGTGGATGTACTGTTTTGTTTTGAGGCGGTGTCAGTCACTGTCGCAGCGCACACACACGAGCAAATGTCGCCAGGCAGAACCCCCAATAGATGGGGGTGGTGATGGGTAAAGGGATTGTTGGGCTGTATGTGTTTGGGTGTATGTATGTGGTGTATGGGTTTTGTCTGTACGAACATCGTTGACCATGCCTTCGATCCTCACACGCAGCTCGTCCTCCTGTGCATCATCTCCTTCGACAGGCGGGAACGCGGCGCCAATGTGCTCAGCCGCGGCGCGCCGCACGTTGTTGATCAGGTAGGTCAGGTCCTCTGGGGACTGCAGCTCGATTTTGCGGTGTGCACTGCCGTCCATTGTGCCGTTGTTGTTGTTTTTACTGCTGCTGCTGTTTTGGAGCGCAGAAGACGAGCCTGAAGTTTCGTGTTGTTGTTGTTGCTCTTCCAGGATCTTTTTGTATGACGAGCGCCTTCGAGCTGGCTTGTTCATTTCAACTCCAACAAATATATAAGAAAACTTGGGACGAATCGGAAAAGAAAAGAACGGAGCAAAGTAACGTATATATGTGATGTCTTAAACAAGAACGTCTAATGTCTTAGGAGACACAAAATAGTATGAGCTATGTAACCTCAAGGGAGGGAGAGGGGGAAAAACGCAATCATTGACGGTACCCTCTTCCTTTTCCCGTCTGTAATGGCATGCAAAATAACCACCATGCTTGTCATAGTACTGACAACAATGGCGGACCGCGAGGCGCGTCGAGAAAGATGGTCCGTGCACCTCTCCCTCCTTGCCTCCCGCACCCCACTGAAGGAGGGCCTGTGTCAAACCCCCCTTATCAGCAACCGCGGGGCATCCTTATCATTCAGGCAAGCCGCGACCCCCCCGGGACCCGAAAGTGGTTGCATGTCATGCTGCACCAAGAGTCCCCACTGCACGGATACCGCATGTGCTAAAGTGCGGACCAGCCCAGCCTCCCGTATCCAACAGTCAAGACGATATGGCAGGTCTCGTTTGAGCTCGGCCTTGTCTGTGAGTCAGGGATTGAAGCCCTGGTAAACCTTATATTCGGTGGAAAGATGGTTGGGAGCTTTGACGAATGGCCTCATCCTGAGCTTGCAGAGGTGACGAAGCAGTACACGCGGGCCGGCTCCACTGGTCTCGTCGCGGTGGGAGCATTATGAGATGGCAACCTGAGGGTCCCAATGACAGCTTTACGCACGTGTGGGATCAAAGGAGGTTCGAACTGATCAGTTTGTCCATAAAGAAGCACAAAATGAGTGGAAAATGTGATACTCTAGGCCGTTCCAAAAACATATACACTACACTCCCTGGGGCCGATGATCATACCGCCAGTTTCCCACACTCACCCTCCTCCCATTTGGTGTCCTGCTGCCCCTGCATGTGTCCATGCCCCAAAAAAGAACAAAAACGCCTTATCCAATAGTTTCTGATGGCAGCTAAGCAGACAACGAGAGAAGTGAAGACCGATACCTGCCGGAGACCCCAAGTGTGAGGGAACAGGAACGATGATACCAGAGACTCCCTGGCTTCCGTTCGGTGGAGAGGAAAGGGCGGAAAAGGAAAGAAAGAAAGAAGACCTGTTCCCTTGCTATGAAGAATGATGTATGTACGCCGTGCCCAGCCTCCCAAACCCGTCGAATAGCGAGTCGTGATGTTGCCCCCAAGAGTGCGATGTGAACATAATGAAGCCGACCGTTGCGCCTAGGTAAAGATATGTGTGTCGCGAGAGATTTCTGTCCTAGGCTATTCCAGCGGTAGGAAACGTAGGGTGAAAGGCCCCGTCCATAGTCCCGACTATGATCTAGTTTCCGTCGGGAAACCACTTTCGACGCTCGTCGTCGCTGACTATGATCTCAACAACAGGTTCTCGTCGGTTTTCGAGCGGGACGTAGTCGACATCGATATAGGAAGGCAGGAAGATCTCGGGGTTCCAGGCAAAGCCCTGGCTCGAGGAGAGATAGGAGATCTGAGGTGTTGGTGAGAATTGAATTAGTTTCGACGTCCCAACAACCCTTTCACTGCGCTTCTTGGATCAATAGAGAACTTACCAGACGAGGCGGACCATCCGGATCGCCAATATTGATCGTAGTGGCCTCTGATTTGGAAATTGCGGGGCCTATCACGGTACATGTGTCAGTCCATCGCGGGACGGCAGGGAACGGTAACGGTGTGGGGAGCCCTATGCTGGAGGGAGACAGGACAGAACAGAACACAACAGAAAAGGTAGAAAATACTTAGGAGGCTTGGTCGACGCTCATGCACAGCCTTCTTCTTCTGGGCAGCCTTGGACGGTGTGGCAGAGGAAGGCGGCTGGGGGGACATCGAGTAGGTCGAGGACGAGGAGCTCAAGGGGCTCTGCTCCTTAGCACAGTGCTGACGGGTCTCATAGACCTTGGCAGGGATCTGGATCGATGACGGCGTGGACATGATGGGCAACAGTGTTGTGATCTTGTGGAGAGGACAGAGAATTCAATAGAGGCTGCAGAGTTGTTGCGAAGAGAAGTACTGGCAGATCAACGTGGGGAGGAACCTGGGCCACCATCAAGAGGGAAGATGACGACAGTGGACAGAAGATACGGGACGGTTTGGGGACGTGCCGGAAGTAGAAAGCAGGAACGACCGAAAGACGGAAGGAGGCTACAACGAAGAATGATCAGTGTTGAGAAGCGAAACACCGTATTATTCTGATACAACGACCTGTTCAGTCTAGAGGAATGACAGAGAGAGACGGGAGGAGAGAGAGAGAGAGAGGTGTACAGGTACAGAGTGGATTGAAGGAGTAAAAGAGAAGGCTACTCACTTGGACGGACTAACCAGCACCAAAGGTGGTGACTGAAAGGTAAGTGTGACTGGAGTTGATCCATGTATGTATGCCTGTTAGCGAGTCACCTGGCCGATCGTTTACTATATGGTGTCTAGAGGTAGCGCCTAATGCAAGATAGGTGAGGAACTACTTATTGAAGAATTTAGGTGGAGCTAAGCATGTGGTACACCTAATCCGAGTCACAGGCCCCTACCCAACAAGGACCAGACAGCTCTACTTGGGGGTCCGGGGTTCTTGTGACGAGGGCTATATACAGCAGTCCGCTTTGGGGGTGGGAGACGGGGGGTTGATTGGGTTTGGCATGAAGCCTCACAAAAAGACCATTCAATAGCAAAGTAGACCCAGACATGACAGTGGTCAGAGGAACATTGAACTATGCATTGTGTCTCTGGTCTTGGAGCAGGCTGAGGTGATCTGAGACCTCTGAGAGCCCCGTTTCGCCCTGCTTAGCCCCGGCTAGCAACACCAGGCAATGGACATCCAACACGAACGTGCACTTACAGGACAAGTCTGCACCTGCATCTGCACTGTGGTCCTGCAATGTTACCCAATTCTCGTCTCAAAAAGCAGGCTGGCTGCTCGCCTCAGTGTCATAGTCCTTGTAGTATGTACCAAACTTTTGCAGTTCTGTTGGGTAACTGAGTTGCAGACATCAAAGCAAAGACATGGTCGGGCAGGGGTAACGACCCCCAGATGGCTCCACTCATGAACCTCAAAGAGACATCACAAGGCCCTCCTCAGCGGGAGAAAAGGCACTGTTCCAGAAGATGGTCAATTCATCACCGTAGGCTCTGGAACTGCCTTCTGAAACGAGGGCGGATACGGAATCATTTCTATGCTTCAATCAACCTGAGTAAGTTGTTATGTGGAGCCGTGAGTTGCAGCGTCTCTCTGGGGAGTGTTAGGAGCGGGGCCGGAAACCAACGGACCAGCATAGTATTGGGTCCGTCCGCTGGCAGGCTGGGCACTAGCCACAGCCACCGTTTATCCTTGTCCGCACAGACCAGATAGCCACACAGTCAGATACTGTGGCTGAGAAGCTGCGTTGCGTTGACGTTCGCGTGCCTAGAGCTGCCGCTTGCTGCTGAACAACATCGCCGACCTGGCCTGCATTCTTCCAACAACCCTTCAACAACCACCACCAACCCAGTCTCACCATACAAACCATTCCTCCCCCTTGGCGAGCTCACTTCTTGCCGACCAGGCATCGACCTCGACCATAATTTTTCTTGCCCCACTCTCCTTTTAACATTTACTGTCAGCAAACCCGTCAAGATGGGTGACGTCCTGGTAGAAGCCCCGGTCAACCACCTATCGCCTGTCAAGAAGGCCGCATCATCAACGATCCCTAGTATTGAGAATTTCGAAGGTGTCGGCACAGATACAGGCGATGAGTACGCATCATTGAAGAAGCTTCAACGGCAGCTGGAGTACATCCAGCTGCAGGAGGAATACATCAAGGATGAGCAGCGGAGTCTGAAAAGGGAGCTCGTCCGGGCCCAGGAGGAGATCAAGAGGATTCAGAGCGTGCCTCTGGTCATCGGCCAATTCATGGAGGCTATCGATCAGAAGTAAGTGTCTGCTCTGGCCACAGGGAGACTGCAAGTCAACCCCGCGAAAATACTGACCAGATTGTTGCCAATAGCACCGGTATCGTGCAGTCTTCTACCGGCTCCAACTACGTCGTCCGCATTTTGTCCACTCTCGATCGCGAGCTGCTCAAGCCATCGTCCTCCGTCGCCCTGCACCGACACTCGAATGCGCTTGTCGATATCCTCCCCCCTGAGGCCGACTCGTCCATTGCCATGCTCGGCGCCGACGAGAAGCCCGATGTGACGTATGCGGACGTTGGTGGTCTGGATATGCAGAAGCAGGAGATTCGTGAGGCCGTCGAGCTCCCCCTCACACACTTTGATCTCTACAAACAGATCGGCATCGACCCTCCGCGTGGTGTGCTCCTCTATGGTCCACCAGGTACTGGCAAGACCATGCTGGTCAAAGCGGTGGCAAACAGCACAACGGCAAACTTCATCCGTGTTGTGGGATCGGAATTCGTACAAAAGTACCTGGGTGAGGGACCACGCATGGTGCGAGATGTATTCCGTATGGCAAGAGAGAACTCGCCCGCCATCATCTTTATTGACGAGATTGACGCCATCGCCACGAAGCGTTTCGATGCCCAAACTGGTGCCGACCGTGAGGTGCAGCGTATCTTGCTCGAGCTGCTCAACCAGATGGATGGCTTCGACCAGACCGCCAACGTGAAGGTCATCATGGCGACGAACCGTGCTGACACCCTTGACCCTGCACTGCTGCGACCTGGACGTCTGGACCGAAAGATCGAGTTTCCCTCCTTGCGAGACCGCCGTGAGCGTCGCCTGATCTTCACCACCATCGCGGCCAAGATGAGCCTTGCACCTGAGGTGGATCTGGACTCGTTGATTGTGCGGAATGACCCCCTCAGTGGTGCTATCATTGCCGCAATCATGCAGGAGGCTGGCCTGCGTGCTGTGAGGAAGAACCGGTACAACATCATTCAGAGTGACCTCGAGGACGCATATTCGAGCCAGGTCAAGGGCACGAGTGACGAGAACAAGTTTGACTTCTACAAATAAGCTGTTGGTTTTTTTGGTGGTGGGGAGATTACGCGCCGCATTTGATCAAGCACAAGCTGTGCTTCTATGCATGACCAATCAAATAGATGGGAATATTTGGCGTGCAGGATGGGCCAGGACTTGTCATTTTTCAATGGGCTATGGTAGACTGTCACATCCCGCAGTGTATAATACGACAACAGCGTTCATGATGAACTTTATTCGCACCATGATACATCCAATCCAGATGGAGCTTTTGGACGGCTCTGCCCACAATCAATGACTCCCTGAAAACCTTCAACACCGGAGCCCTGACTCATTCATGCTGCGTCTACGAGAACAGCTATATGTGCCCGGCAGTTGTCTTTAATTATTCTAGACGAGTGAGCTGATAAATCTCAGTCGAACACTCCTATCTTGCAGACCGCACGTGCATGCCAATGTCAAGCCAGCCTTTCGCTGTACCTTGGCCCTTTTGATACTCACTTGGCCAAACAGAACATTAGAGAAACCCTTGATCCAGTGGTTATATCACCATCAGTCCATTGCGTCCACCTGTTGGTACGGATACTGTAACTTGATGATCAACTTGAATAGGAGCCAGTTGCGTAGGTAGAATTCGAATGGATGCCCTAGCTGACACCGGATCCGAGGAGTATCAAGGCATATATCGGGCTCGTCTTAGATGGATCAGAGGCTGCATAGAGGTATTCGAGAGGTTATGAAGCATTGTCCTCCAAAGACAAAGAGGCAGAGAATGAGAAATTGTTGGTAACGTGAGTGTAGCCTACGATTCATCAGAGGGTACGAGGCCAGGTCGTGCAGTACATGTAAACATACTATGTAAAAGCTTTAGAGACGGGATGTAGGATTCGTTCTCGACCACGTTCCCAGTTTCTATATGGCAATTCGCAATACGTTTCCTTCAAATTTTACCTCAGGCCTACTTTTTCTTCTGTCTCTCTTCTTATGCCCCGACCAAACAAACACCCGCTTTCTCTCTTAAGTTAAAAGGTACTTGTACCTGTGCCATAGACAAGTTACTATCATCTCCACCCAAAATAAAATAAAATAAAAACAAGGAAAAGGGAAGAAGGAAGAAGGAAAAAGGAGATGTACCAGTACACTTACACAAAATTGACATGAGGATCACAGAGCCAGATAGATGCTCGACTCCAAAAATTTGAGACATAAACTTTCGTATACGAGGACATCACATAGCAGTCTCGTTCCAAAAAAGACCCAAATCGTATTATCAGACAATAGTGCTGGTTATGGTATCCAAAATCACAGTCGCCTATTGCTAATGCCCGGTTGAAACGCCAGTGTACCCCGAGCAATATGCCGAATCGTATAACACCGCACCGCCCAAGACTTCCCCCGTCTCAACACACCCAAAAACTTGATCATCTAGTTGCAGATGGAGCTGCAGCAGTCCGTCATGCATTCCTCACCGCAGCCGAAGCCGCAGCCCATGCACGCGCCCTGCAAGCAGCTCTCACCAATGCCGCCACCTCGAAGACCGGAGTCCATGCTCATTTGCTGAGGCTTCAGTGTCAGTAGGGTACGAGATATTATTCTCCCAAGGAGAAGGGGAAATAACACACCTCTTGTGGTCGGTAGGCGGTCTCGGTCTGGGTCAAGTTGGTGTTGTTGGCCGGGCTAGGGGCCATCTGCACCTGGTTGATGGGCTGGGACTCGACGGAAGGCATTTTGAGAGTATATATGTGTATATGTATATGTATATGTTTGAGATGAGTGGAAGTCTAGGTGACCAATCAAGGGACCAATTCCAGAGGGTGTTGTCTCAAAAAAAGAAAAAGAAGAATGAAAAGGAAAAGAGAACGGCTCTTCAAGGTGGGTTGGAAGCTGAGGTTGATGTGCACTGAAGAGGACTTTCTGAGCGTGGTAGACGACTGAGGATATTTAAGAACAACATTTCTATCTATACTTTGGAGGAGAGAAGATAAAATAAGCTTTCGGTCAAGCTTCCTGACATTCCCGCATCATATTGTTGCCAAAAAAGGTCATCTAGGCGATACGCCTGGTCCTGCAGGGTCCCTTATTCAGCTTACAGGTCACTCCACAGAGAGGCCTGTAAGGTTATTTTTATGATGCCTCAGGCTCGTGAAGGTACACGTAGACCTGCCGACAAGCGCACAACGACACCGTGTAGCTGAATCTCACCGCCCCCTTCCGTTGTTACCCAATGTGCAGAGATGCTGAGCTCAGTCTGGATTGGCTCGGGAAGTCGGGAGGCCCGCCTCACAAGGTTGGAGGATTCATGGATGGCTGCGGTCCTGCCACCACAGCGGACGGGAAGGAAGAAGAAGAAAAATGTAACACCTCAATTTTGCAGGGGCAAGCTGCTGACATCGTTTCAGAGTACTACCAATTTTGTGGTTGTTGGGGCCTAAAGGGGAGAGGTTGGCAGCCATCTTTGGATTTGGCTGTGCTGATGGCGGCCGAAGGATCGGCGACCAACAAGCGGCACTCCGTTCCCACAGGATCAGACTGTAGGTCGAGATTAAGCCATGGAACCACCAGACGGATATAACGGCAAGAGATAGTGATGATGGTGCTGTGGACCACAGTACAAGACTTTTTCAGCTGTTCGTAGATGCGCTGCAAGAGGAGTGGACAGCAAGTCTGTTGGTTAGATACATCGTGATGGATAGCCTCGAGATCATAGGTCCTGCTACTGTACGTACGTGTCCAATAGATAGCTAGCGCCCAGTGAACATTCTTTTCGAGAACTGCAAGAACGTGTCCGTTGGGTGGTTGTATAATTGCCCACCCAAATAGTCTCAAAAGTGGATTTTTTTTGTCGTTGTTGGAGGGAGGTCCCTGGTTTATATGGGCTCCGGAAAGCATGTTAGTTGCTGTCCAGCCATGTCTGGGATAGCCTCAGTTCCTCGGCGGTTATGTAGAGAGAAGAATTGCACATCGTAGACCAATCACTTGGTTTCATTTTCTCTAATTCCGCCATCAGTGGACGTTCTTTTCCCCCATTTTTAGGAAAATTTACATATCATCTTACATAAGATCTTCTTAGAGCTCGACCAATATGTATATCCATCTACTTTCCTTTGTCCTGAAAGAGAATGAAGCAGACGAGAAAAGTCGGAACTAACCCCTTTGGGCGCGTAAAGTATTTTATATGTACAATGGTAGCCGAGTGTGGACTATTCTGTTGATACCCACTAATGTTCACATGTCCTGCATTTGGACGCTGGTTCCCACAAACACTACCAAGACAGCAGCATAAGCAGCTGTGACCGACATGACATCCTTGGTACTAACCAGACCAGGGAAACAGGAGATGATGAGCCCAAAGAAAATGACGCCGACACATGTAGTGATGAGGGACGTCTTCAATGTTGGGATAAGCACCATGATCAACATGGGAATAACAAGGAATGCTCCACCAATGACCGCCCAGAATACGCGGATATAATACGGACCAAGCTCAAGTGACCATATGAACCTAAGCAAGGGGTACCTCTCCAGGCGGGCATCGTAAAAGTGACGATCAAGAGGGAGGGGCAGTGAAGTGCCAGCCTCGTCCTGAAGCGGCCGCATGTCTTGGTCGAACTGTGCGAGGGCCGGGCCACTAAGCTTGTGGGCGTGCGATGTCCGCCATCTCAAGCGGGTGTCACGGAGCAGTTCCCGTTCCTTTGACCATCTGGTCGAAGGTTCGAATTTCGTCCGCCCCCTGTGCTCCTTGTAGGTTGCATTGATGCTGTCCATCACCTTCAGTGCGGCAACTACACACGTCTGTTACCATTGAAGATGCTTGCAAGACTGGGCAATGAGGAAAGGGGGGGTTGACGTACCATACTCTTGGATCTCAGATTGATATCGTCTTATCAAGGACGCAGAAGATACCGTCTTGTCGTAGCGAAAGCTGAGCGCTGTTTCCGCCAACTTGTTGCGGTAGTGCTCCAGGCAATACTCCTGAAACGTCTTGTAGGATATCTTGATCTCGGTGTCACTGATCTGGACAACCCTGTTGGTGTATGTTTCTCGCAAGTCATCCAGCAACTCTTGGCGACAACTCTCCTCTGTTCTTTGCGGGCCATCTCTTATGGCATTATTGGCATCACCGCTGACTCGAGCTCGGTCCTGATATAACCTGATGTAATATTGTCAGCCTGGTCGTCTTGAAGTATGTAAACACAGGACATGAGATCCTTATCCTTCTTTTCGTTCTATATTAGGAGGGAGGAAAATATAGGAAGAAAAGAAAGAAAGAGGAAGAAAAAAATGATCCAGCCCTACCTGAGAAGATGTTCATCGTGACCAACTAACCCCCGGGCTCGATCCAGCTCGCTTGTTCTATTTGACCACCCCTCCATGAAAGCATTGCGAGCTGTGCGAGGGAGAGACAGATACTTGGGCCGCGGTCTCCTCGTCCTGGCTGCTTGTTCAACGTCGATAGCCTGGGCCGATCCATCACTGGACAAAGCCTGGAGTTCCACTGCTTCCACCGCATCTGGCGCATTGCCCACACCGGCCTGGCGACTCGCATTCTGTTGATGCTGCTGGCGCAGACGTTGCTGCTCGCTCCGGCTCGTTGAGACTGTGACGTTGCTCCGCCCTGGCCGCGCATGATGAGTAGGACTTGGTGGTTGAGCCTCGGGGTCCGGGAGCGGTGTGGATCGAACGCTCACATTGTCCTTCAGAGTCCCATCATGACTCAGGCGTGCAGCGGCGTTGGTGACCTGGAGTCCGTCCATTTGGCCCAAGATTCAGTCCATTTTACTTTTCTCTTTCTTTTCCTCCCCTCCGTAGAAATGAAGAGCGCTTTTGGTGGTCTTTAAGACGTCGGTGTGTACGCGCTGGGGGGTTTAAGTCTATATATGCGTCTAAGCGGGCTGCTGGGGTCTCCTTGCATGTGCTGTGTGTGGCACTGCATGGGGCTGAGCGATGTGACCCAATCGAGTTGCTTGGCTGCCTCGCATCTTTGGCTAACTAACAACCAACGGCCACAGCAAAATGACCTTGAGACGGATGGCGTTCTCTGATTTGTGCCGTTCAGGCTGCAGTTGGCAGTGTTCTTACACATTCGAGACCGGGGAAAAACTGCATTATTGGTTTTTGGACGTATGGTGTGAAGCGTTGCCATCTCCTCACAGGGCAGATCGACACGGGCTGAGAAAGGAAAAATTGATTGCAGTGAGAGAAGATGAGAAATGATATCCCAATAGAGGTGTCTTGGCGGAATTGCTCCCAGACTCTCGGGTCCATCTGCATAGATAGTGCATACAGTACTGCAGCGGTTAAAGTGGATATCAAAATTATCATGTGCAATTCTGTATTGACTTGTTTTCAAAAATAAGAAAAGGGCCCGGGGGGGGGGGGGACCTCCAGAGTTTAGGTCAACCAGCCACAATCCAAGGCTCATAGACATGGCGTTTTCATGAACTCTAGCAATCAGAATGTAGCATGCAGGAATACTTGTTGTTGCGAGCGATGAGAGTGAGAATCGGGCTTGGGCAACTCATGCATAGGACCTCAAGAATACTATACAATTTCGCATCCTCAAGTATCTGCACGAGCAAACGGACCTTGGAAATTGTTGCCTTGCACTTGTGCTGTCTGTCGCCCTCACATCGAAACGTTCCTAACACCCTTTATGGGCCCCGATCACCAGCGGTGGCGGCTTTCTCGCCCGGACTCCTCCCATTGCGATATTTCCACAGCCGACTCAGCTCTTTCACTCTAACTCGATCAACCGGCATGCCCGTGTCCTGTCTCACCATAACTGGCGACCCGCCGCCATTCTGGACCTCGACGCCCCCGTTCGGTTCCCCCTCGTCCTCCCAGCTCCCAATGACCCCTTCCCTACTACCGCCCTGGGCGTCGTCCTTACCAACAACCCCACCCCCACCAGCGTTGTGGTCCTGGGGCACGCGTACCACACTTTCCATAAACGCATTGGTCTCGGCGCACCCAACAAACTGGCCCGTGACCGAGTCCTTCTGCAGGGGGAACATGCCGTCCAGGTAGTGCTGGACGAGCTGGTGGCCGCCGCGGTTGTCGGGGCTCGCACGCTCAAAGAGGCGCCCGAGGAAGCGCGGAATCACATGTGTCGCGGGCGGGATGGTGGCGAAGTGCAGGACGCCCCAGAGGGCGACAAAGTCGGTGGTGTAGGCATAGTGCTCTATGTGGCGGATCGCACGGGCCGGTGGTGAGGAGCTGGTCGTGTGGTCTGATGGTGATGTTGTTGATGAGAATGAGAATGATGTGGACGGCGTTTCCTCCGCCTTCGCCTCGCTGCGCACCGTGCGGTAAGGATTGTTGAAATGGTTTGCCGCATTGCCAAAGGTGTACACCTCGAGCTTGCACAGCAGATTTTGGGGCAGCTCCTGCAGCAGCCAGTCCAGCACCATGCCGCCCTCGATGCCGCCCTGGGAGTGCAGGATGAAGACCACCTTGTGGTACTGCGGGTTGTACAGCTTCTCCTTGAGGATCCTGTAGCACAGGCGGATGTCGTTTGTCGCGTAGCCAAAGTTGCGCTGGACCAGACACTCAATCACATCGAAGAGGATGCCTGACGTGCGGTTGTGGATGCCCACCACGGGTCGGCCAAAGGTCAGAGCCAGCCGGTTCAGGTTCGACCGCATCCAGTGCGAGCCGACGGCGACGCCGTTAAGAAAGATCCATTGCTCGTGGGCGAATTTGGGCTGATTCGGTGCTGCATAGGTCGGGTCCGAGTGAAAGACAATATCCTTGCCATTCAGGAGGGCGCTGAGGGCGCTGTTGAGGGCCATGAAGGCGCCGACGATGAGGACGGTGGTCCATAGCGGGATGAAGAGCGCCAGGGGCGGGACAACAAGGAGGAAGACCAGCTGTAAAACGATGAGGATGGTGTGGATCAGGATGCAGAAGAGGTTGCCCGGCGTGGGTGCCAGCTCAGACAGGTCGCCTGAGTCGGTAGGACGGTATGGGAGGAGGATGTAGGGCAGGGCCCATATGTAGTACACGAAATTGTAGGTATCGCATGCCAAGAGCCTCCAGGGGTTGTCTGTGTAGCTGTAGTTGATGACAGTCTGGTCGCCGAGCTGGCAGCCGAAGAAGCTGACCCCATCAGAGGAGGAGGAAGATGAGGATGCAGATGAGGAAGCACGGGAACGTGAAGGTTGTGAGGTCCATGTATAATGATGATTCACTTGGCTACTGTGAAACTGCCCAGATAGCCCGTTCGTAATGGCTGAACCTGATGAGCCAGCCATCCTGTTGAAGAGGAACAAGAACCAGGCAAGAGAATGAGAGTAAGTGAGAGAGAAAGAGAGATGCGCCCAGAGTCCACCAGGTGGAGCCAAGTGGAACACTGTAACCAGCCACGCACCAACGCGCAAGCAAGCTTCTTTAAATCTCAGGAGGAGAAAAAGAGGAAGAGAAAGAGACTTGGTGTACTTTCTCACATGTGTCACATGCGACACCTATTTTACTCACATGATCGACAACCCCAAGGCAGCACATCTCAGGAAAAGTGAGAAGATGATCGAGTATGGAAAAGGAGGGAGTGTACACCAAACTTCATCTCCCACCCCACATACAGCTCAGCCTTGGTTTGGTTGGCTGCTGACCATACAGGCACTGCCAACACGTCCATATGTAACTCTGGCGGTCCAAGCTTGGCAGTGTGGTGTTTTGCGCAGCGGGTCTTTCTCTTTTTGTGTGGTGCAGTAGCGTCACATCTCTCACGGCTGCTGCTGGTTGTGCATATGATTTGAGCAGCGGAGCGGGGCTGGAGCTGGGCGCCAATGTAACCTCTGTCTTCCTGTTATTGGTACTAGCGCTGACGCAGCATCGAATCGTTCGTACAAGCTTTGCTGCTGTGTGGGCTTTGTACGAGCCGGGGCCTGTCGGTTCTGTTCCTCGAGTAAGGCTGAGAGCCTTTTAGGTTGAGCTGATGAAGCAAAGTTTCTTGTCTAGAGCATTATTGACTGTGTTATACCGGTGACATGTCTCCTGTATCCTGTTTTGTCTGTGGTCTGCTGATCAGCTCGTAGCCTGCCAAATGGCGACGCCTCAAAAACTTACAAGGCTTTGAAAGAAACATCAACAATGAAGTATACACACACCTTTACTATGCAACGAATTTGGTGTGGCTCCCTGTGACCAAGACCTTCTTCTTACTACCCTTCCCCTCGCCTTCGCCATCCTTCTTCCTGATCTCGACGCTCGTAAAGGCCATGCTCCTCCCCAGCTTGTTCAGCCAGCACTCGACCTCGATCGTGTCGCCCACGCGCGCGCTGCTCACGTAGCTGGCGTGGATGTCCGTCGACACGCCCGTCTTCTCGCCGCCGGACCGTGCCACGATGGCCATGCCGGCGGAGAAGTCGATGATGGCGGCGCTGGTGGTGCCGTGAATGCCGCCGAGCGAGTTGACGTGCGAAGGCTCGAGGACCATCTCGCCGGTCACGCGGCCGTCCGAGGTGGCAGAGGTAATGCGCATGGTAGGGATGAGGAGGGCGTAGGGCTGGCTGGCGTGGATCTTGTGAGACCAGACGCTCGAGACGTGATCGAGGACAGAGACGGGCTCGTCTGTGGCGGTGCTTTCAACTGGAGGTGTTGGCCCGGCCATGGTTGGCAGTCTCCCTCTCCCTCGCTCTTTCTTCTTTTGCTCTTCTCGTACAGTTTCGAGATTTGACGAAGGTTTTCCGAGCTTGAGGTATAGTGAAGGATGAAAAACTCTCACATTCAACGATCAACCTCAAATCTCGCGAGACATGAAGTGAATTTTGACCCAAGCTCTTACTGCTGAAAGGTGATGATGACAAGCATGAGCCCTTTCGGCATCCGACAGATTTTCGGTGAGACCAAAATAGTAGTAGTAGTGAACGTATCTATAAAAGTGGGTGCCTCTTTTTTCCTTTCCGATGCGGGCTTCCACGAACACAAGAATGTGCGGATGAGGCTTTACACAGGTTTCCCGTTAACCATTAACCAAGTCCCCCTACAGGCAGCCTGTAGCAGGGGTAGGGGCGAAGGGAAAAAAAAGAGAGGTATAGAGAGACAGGCCTAGGTGCTCTAGACAGGGCTTTAACAGGGGATTGTATAGCTAAATAGCGTCATTGTAAGCCTCTGCCGCGGAGCATCCCGGCGCTCCCGGAACAACTCACTGTTCTAAGCCTGTCTTGGCACCTCAAAGTGTCGCTTAGTCACCTAGTCTCTACTACCCCGCGGTTCTAAACCACTTACTTCCCCCTCCAAATACCCACTACGCCTACTGCAGCCGCTGTAGCCCCTCTTCTATGAACCGTTCATCATTCGTTGCTCCACGAGTCAGCCTGCCTCGACAAGGACCTCACTACGTCCCCCCCCGCCCTTAAAACACCACGAGAAGGCAGCCTTACGCTGTCCTTCTTCTTCCTCTTCCTTTTCCCTCCTCTCGCTCCCTCTAGTACCACTACTACCTTCTTTTGCTTTCCATCCTTCTTCTCCTCATCGCTGTTGTCGTCGCCGTCGTCTCAGCGCCTTTTGTCTCTCTCTTTCTTGCTCTTTGCTCCAGCTTTCGAACCAACAAGATAACAACAGCGAGAAACAACCACACTAGAAAATAACAGCCATGGCGACACCCGAGCACTGTCTCTACTGCTTCGAGTCCCTCGCAGCCAAGCTCGAGGACCGTGACGCCCTCTCCCTCAAGGGCGTGCAAAAGTCCTACGCCGCCTACCTCACCTCCCTCACTTCCTCTCAGTCCGACGAAACCTCTCCAGCCAAGAAGATCCCCGCCCTGCGCCGCCTTGCCGCAGCATCCTCCTCCGCCGTGGGGCTGTCGTCGTCGTCCTCCTCCCTAGCAGCCTCCGGTAGCTCCTCCTCCACCTCCCTCTCAGACAACACCGCCGCCACCAGCATCTCCTCCTCCTCCGACAGCACACAGTCCAACACCACCGCCACCACCACCAGGGAGAGGGTGACGGACCCACACGCATGCTACCCGCTCTTTGTGACCTGGGACAAGCACCACGCCGCCTCCTCCGCCTGGCACCTGCGCGGCTGCATCGGGACCTTTTCCGCCGAGGAACCCCTCTCCTCGGCGCTGTCCGAGTACGCCATCATCTCCGCCCTGCACGACTCGCGCTTCGCCCCTGTCCCTCTGCGCGAGCTGCCCCAGCTCCGCTGCGCCGTCACCCTCCTGACCAATTTCGAGGAATGCGCCGGCGTCGACGACTGGACCGTCGGCGAGCACGGCATCCGCATCTCCTTCACCTGGCAGGGCCGCAGGTACGGGAGCACCTATCTCCCCTCCGTCGCCCCCGAGCAGGGCTGGGACAAGGAGCAGACTATGCTGAGCCTCATGCGCAAGGCCGGCTGGGAGGGCAAGAGGAGCACTTGGCGGGACGTTGCCGAGAGGAGCGCCATGCGGGTCGAGAGGTACCGCGGGGACAAGGAGGAGGTTGACTATGCCGAGTACAAGGCCTGGAGGGATTGGGTGGACGAGAACTGGGATGATGACGATCATGACGATGACGATGACGAGGAGGAGGATGAGGCTTAAGAGGAACAGAGGCCAAACAAACGTGATTTGACGTGTATGCATTGTTGACGCATGATGAACGAGGTGGGCGGTGAGGTGTCTTCCGCGGCGCAATGGGATTGGACGGAACTGAGCAGGATAGAATACGGACCAAGGGGTTTTCTGCTTCTTCTTTTTTCCGCGGCGTTTGGGATTTTGAGGTTTTGGTTAGCCTCATAAGATGGGTGATAGAGGAGAGATCTCATAGGCCTTCAGCGTACCAACAAGTTGGTACACACACGATAGATGCAATTTAGAGGCGTACGTGTACTGGTCGCAATGCGTATGGTTCCAGACCGCTTTGAAACCGGAGTCGGGTTGCACGTATTCAATATGAAAAGGATATCGGGAGAGCGTACTCGTGCCTGGCCGAGTCGCCAAAACAAAAAATTATATACGCAAATAGAGCGTGTGAGTCCGCAAGGACTTTCCCTCTTCCTCAAGCTAGGAGTTGTAGTAGACTTTCATCTATGCGGTATCATCCAAACATGTCCCGACTCCCCCCCCCCCCCTCCTTCTCCTTCTTTTCTTAAGCCCAGGTCCCAATCCAAAAAAAAAATAACATGATGACGATGGTGATCAATGACAAAGAACAGCAAAAAAAAAACATGAGAAAGATGCCGTGCGTGACTGGATCACCGCCAGAAAACCAGCTTATCTTTATCCAACAACCCTTCAAAAACGCCTGGCTACCTGGTTCTTGGAGGGGGAGGGGGGGAGGGAGGGGACCCGATTCGTGATCCATTGAGCGCCGGATTGAAGGCAAAGACAGGGAGGGCATCCTGCTGCCGTGTATGAATAGGTTGAGGAGGAAACCTGACGTGAGTCGTTCGCGATTTGCCGTTGCCGTATTCCCCTTCTTCTTCTTCTTGAGCATCGTTTAAATAATATCAAGGCGCACCACGAGCACATGTGCACAGAGACACACATACACATCCACGGGACGTGCCGAGCCGCAAAAAGGAACATCCCATCGTCGGTGGGAGGCACTGTCATTTGCCATCACCCCACCGCCAATTGCCCACCTCCGTCCATCATCATCATCATCATCATCATCATCACCAACATCTTAGCATCCTCCAGAACCCTCCTCCTCCCCTCCCCATCTTTTGCCCAGGCCCGTTCGGCCCCCTGTCCAGGCCATTCTTCTCGCTGCCGTCGGGCATATCGGGCAGTGGACTCAGCGGCTTCGTGGCGCCCCTCTGGCCCATCGCACCACCGCCCGAGGCGAACCCGACGGGCGCAGTGCCCTGCTCGCCCGGCAGCACACCCATCTCGGCCATGCGCCTCGCCTCGACGACCCTCCTGACGATCAGCGCAAACGTCTCCTCTATGTTGACCTCGACCCGGGCGCTCGTCTCCATGAAGCCGCAGCCCCTCTTCCGGGCCCAGTCCAGCCCCGTCGCGGCGCTGACCTGCCGGCTCTCGGACAAATCACACTTGTTGCCGGCGATGAACTTGATGGGCGGGACCGTCTTGGTGGCGTTGGAGCCGTACTCGGAGGGGGCGCTGTATCGATAGCCGGCCAGCCTCGCGCGCTGGGCATTGTCCAGGCGCGTCTCGCTCTCCATGTCGATCAGGTCGTTGAAGTGGCCCAGGGCGTCCAGCGACGCGGACGAGGTGATGTCGTAGACCATGAGGAAGGCGTCGGCGCCGAGGTTGCTGGTGGCCCACATGCCGCGGTACTCCTCCTGGCCGGCGGTGTCGGTGAGCGAGAGGTGGTAGGTGGCGCCGTCGATGCGCCGCGTCACGCTGTAGCTGTCCTCGATGGTGGGGTCGTAGTCTGAGGTCCAGGCGCTGCGGACAAGCCGCAGGGTGATGGACGACTTGCCGCAGCCGCCATCGCCGCAGATGGTGATGCTGATGGGGATCGGGGGCGCGTTGGGGTTGGATGCTGTCGATGCGCCGCGGGGCCGTCCGGCGGCGCTGGATGCCCCTGCCGACGAGGGCATCCTGCTGCGCTGTCGTGGAGGGTCTGCGGCCACCGTGCCGGTGGTGGTGGTGGGCGGGCTCGTCTTGCCCGTGGTCTGGGTCTGCGTGTTATGGTTGTAGCTCGTGGACAGCGTCGAGCGGTGGGAGTGGTTGAAGGGGCGGTTCTGGCTGGAAGAGGAGGGGGTCGTGGGCACGAGGATCGAGTGCTTGCGCGTGACGGAGAAGAGCTCTGTCGAGATTGTCGCCGCCAGATTGCCTGCTGTTTATTCCTTCCCCCCCAGGGCGTGGGGGAAGGGAGAAGGGAGAGGGAGGGTAGTTTCTGTGTCGGTGTAACAGAAGAGGGGCAACGGCCCGAGGGCTGGTGGGCGTCTGGAGTTGAAGTGGGTTTGGGTTCCGTCAAGGTGAATTGACCAAGAGTTGGGGCCACGAGGGGTGCACGAGAGAATGCTATCAAGTCGGGGGCCCCCCAATAATGCACAGATGCTGGCCCTGGCGCCGTCGGTCGCTTCTGTAACTGTCAAAGTGCGGCCAAAACGGGACGAACGCGTTTCAAGGCCGGGTGGACGAGTGCCCGAGAAGGAGGATGGGCTCGGAAAAAGGGCGAGCGGGCAAGGAGGCGTCGCGACAAACGAGCAAACAAGCTCGTGCCAGTGGAACCTCTGTACTCGTCGGTAGTTGCAAGAGGAGGCGGTCGGCAAGTTGAAGTCTTGCCCACTTGGTCAGGCGAAGTCCTATGTTGTTGGTCTCGTGGAGCGCGGAGAGGTCAGAGCTGGGTGTAGGTGGGGTTCGGGGATTCGCTCGAGATGGGCCTGAAGAAGGTGTGGCGATGAGATCAGTACTTTAATTCAGAGACACCGCTAGGCCAGTCAGTGGCTCTTGTCCAGGGGGGAATGCTTGATCAATGCGGCGAGCAGCAGCACAAAGGAATTCAATTGGCCAGTCCTGAGCTGTCAAAGTAATAATAATAATAAACAAGAAAGAACAAGAAGAAGAAGAAAAAGAAGTCATCAACCAAGTGCAAGGAGAGGGGGGGGAATCGGCCCTCGAGAATGTTGGTTTGATTTTTTTTTTCCCCTGGTTGGTATGGAAAGGGAAGTTTAAATGAGTCTAAAATATTGATCAGAAGAGGCAATACTAAGTGTTCATTATCAGCGAGGTGCAGGGTGCAGGGTACGAAGTACAGGTGGATTAGGGCATGCTATTGCATGGTTCAGGCATAGTATAGGGTGCACGGTATGCAGTCTACTAGGCATTCTACAGGGGATAGAGTGTCTGATTAGGCCCAGTCAGGGCATGTGGATGGGTACAGGGTGGCAGTTGTACTGGATGCCCTCCCCTTCCACTGCAGCATCCAGAATATTCCTTCCCACCTGGAATCGCTTCCCCGAGATGACAGGCTGGCCGTTGACGGGTGAAGATGGGCTAACACTTCTAGAGGTGGGAAATGAATCGTGTGGTTCGTGCTTGTGTACAAAAAGAGATTGGCTGTCTGTTACTTGGACTATACAAAGTGCTCTGTGTCATGTACCATAGAGGAATGCCGGGTTTCTTCCCCTTCTGATAACCCTTTGCACTAGAATGTCCTCGTCCGCCTTATCTTGTCATCATGCAGCATGTTTGAACCGTTCACATCACAAGAGGGGGCCCAGAGAAGTTGGCTACGATGTCTACCATCCTGCCTCCCCCCTCCCCCCAAACAAACCCAAAGACCGTTTGCCAAAAAGAAATGGTGTGTTGCACCCAAATGCACTTCATGCACCCAACAGGCACATTTCCTGCCCCAACAATGCACGCTACACCTCCCTTTCTTTCCCTTGCTATCATGCCTCAGAGTTCCAATTGCAAGCCTGGCTCTTCTCCCGATTTGCTGATGTGATGCGCCCCCGGCCCTGCCTCCCCCTCCTTCTGTAAACCTAGCGCTAGTCACGACAATCCTTTCCCCTTAATAACGAGGTGCGTGTGTCACCAAGTCTGTTCTAGATTTCGAGACCAGCATGCAGAATCACGAAAGAAGGATGAGAAAGGCAGCTACGCATATCAATATCCTCTTGGCGTTAGAGAGAGAGAGGAGGAGGGCGAAGGAGAGGATGTCGTAGTAGTATTCCTTGCACCTGTTGCAATAATATGCCCGCCCCTGAAGTTACATAGAGTCTCAAGCATGGAGGGTTAGGGTTGTCAAGCGGACTTGTCATCCTTGACCCTCGTTCCTGATGCCCAATGTTGGAAACAATAGTTGATGCCTGAGAGAAGTGTGAGGTTTGTTTCCGATTTCTGTTTGTCAAGCTTGAGAGTTACAGGGATGTTCACAGCAAACAGTTCTATTCTCCGAGACGCGCATTATGCAGATCCAAAGGACATCACACAGGACTTGGACCAGTGATCAAATCAGCTTGGCTGATGATGACAATTAGGAAAGAAGATAGGTTCACGAAGTGCTCAAGCACCAGGGGAAAATCCAGGAATATGCTTGGACCAGGGGTGGTGTTTTTGGCTCCCAATGCTGCATGCATTGAACACCAATACAATTCTTGAGAGCCATGGCATCCCAACTATAGTTATAATTAGGTCGTCAAATTGAACTGCTCTAGTCTCCCGGGCACATGCTCAAAGATCAGCCTTAGAACTGCCTCCACTCCTAAAGTTGAAACAGGAACTAGTAGGATGGCTGTGACGCTCGGAACAACATTGACGAATTGTGCAACGCCCTGGCCGGATGAAGGTGCTCTTTGATCGACGCATCCTCCACATGTCAGATGCCAGACTCTTTCATACATAAGCCCACCACATGCATTTGACCGACCAACTAAATGGTGCTGATGTGTATGTAGACGCTATGTCAGCAAGTCGGTTGTAAGCATTGAGACCATACAGCGGGGCAGCACATACAGAAAGGAAAATGGATTGCATTTGTCTCTCGCGTGCAAACAGTCAGCCAGTGACTTGAAGTCATTGAATGTTTCTGTATAACACTTTGGTTGCCTTTCACAATTATATACTCATTGACAATATTTGTGTGTTCAAGTGCTGAAAGTATGGCCATCCAGGACGCCACTGAAAATGTGTCGTTTGCATAGAACATCATTGGCTGAGGATGTTACACGATCTATGCTCATGTCTAACTTACAACCTCAGGAGTTTTTTAGCCTCCAAGAGACTCAATATGGAATTGTAGGTTGAAGAGGTCAGTGGGGCTGATTGCAATCTAGAGTAAGTACCTTGATCATCAGTGATTGTCTAATTAGAAGTTTACATATGCATCAAACACTGCACAACCATGTTGATCACCAACCATTATGAACAACATGGTAACATACAATGTCATGTGAATACTCTCCAGACATTGAGGGTACAATATTAGCCTCAACTACTTTCTTTATCACTGCCATTTTACCTCTTCGATAAGTATTCATTGTTCCCTCCTATCCTATTCATAGCAAGCTAGAAGGGTTCGAGGGTCTGGGGAAGAAGAGTGGGAAGAAAAGGGGGGGAGAGATGGGACGAATGCCCTTCCAAATAATTCCAAAGTGACAATAGAGCTGAACAATATATCCAAGTTAGTCACTCAGGCAAGTAAAGTAGCAGACTGCCTGCTCCATTCACCTCTAGCATCTTCTCCTGAAGGCGAAAGCGCTGTATTGAAGCGTCCTACTCGCATACTTAATCGACACAACAACCTCAATTCTCTACTCAAGACGAACTTCGAAGTTGCAGCAACCTTGGAACCATCAATCGATCTCCACACCTGACGACAACTTTCATGTGAACCTTCTTCGCCGTCTTCTGCTCTCAGCTATTTTGTCTGTTCTTCACAGTTACTCTGATTGGAATAAAGCCTGCACGCTGCCAATTGCTTCGAAGAAATCCTGTTATATTCCACCTCGACCCCCATCAACCTGAGAATCTCGCTCCTTGACGCGAACCCTGACAAACAATGTCAGTCAAGTCTGAACTCCAGGCTAGCGTGGCCCAGTGCCGCAACCTTCAGCAATACTTGGACAAGATTTCTGTGCCCGACACTCTTTGCACGGCAGTCAGAGAGCTCAATCAAGCCCTGATCAGCGCAATCGACTACGCGACGCATTCTGGATGTAAGATCTACGACTTGATGGGCAGCCCTGGCGCTCACGAAAAGGCAGTCCTGACATACCGGGCGCTTGTTTGCAGCATCTCCAACTTGAATGAGAGTCTCAGCTGTTACGATGCCGAAGACTGGCATGGACTGAACAAAGAGCAGAAGGGTGATGTTCTCAGAGCCGGCATGGACCCAAATGCCCTCATCGATATCTTCCGCAGCCTCAGCGATCAGCTCAAGTTGTGGGTCTGCTACGTCGATGTCAGGGATTTTGCAGGGTTGGACAGAATGGAGGCCCTGATACATCGGGATGCTCGCGACATAGTGTTCGTCGCCGGCAGGGTCCAAGAGGCTGCCAGCATCCACACACCCTCGAGTGACCCCAGGCGTGAGTTCCAGAACCCAGTCATTCTTCTTCCCTCCGTCTTCCGCAGGATCGACACGCAGGGCAACGGCCACGGCTCTACGGCAGAGCAGTTCCCCAATAGACTTGATCGGAGGGCGCCCGTTGGACTCTTGTCGCCCCTGGACATGATCTCTCCCGACAACCTCGACAGGGTCTCTCGTGACCTCATTCAGTTTTTCGAGCGCATGCCCAACGAGGACGGCAATGGCACGACCCTGCAATACATTCTCGATCTCATTACCCACAATGCCCGTACATCATCCAGCCTCGCGCGCATCGGCCTCTATGCACGCCTGTGCCAGACTCTCCGCCGCGACTGCGGAAGCTACTTGATCTACATGGAGACTGGGGAGGTGATGGACGGGCATGACTTTATTATCCAGGCTTTGTCGAACATGTGTGACAGGGTGATGAATTCGATCACAGCTGGCCAATGTCACCTCGCCATCTGCTTCCGCTGGCTTCGTTTCGTCAGCGAGCTTTACGATCTCGACCTCCTCCCAGATGTGACGGTCCTCCAATGCATCGAAATCTTTGTCAACTGGCGCAACCATCTCGTGCCCCCTAGCCTCCATCATCTCGCGTGTCTCTACCAGCTGCTGTGGTTCACTGGAAAGAAACTGGACGCCACCGAGGCGGGCCGCGAAGCCATGTCCAGATACTTCAGGCACATCGACACCCTCTCTGCGTGGCCGAAGCTGCTACCTGCAGCTAGTTCTCTCCTGTTGCACCTGATCTTCATGAGAGAGAACGAGTGGGGCCTGGGCAGGGTTGAGCGCTCCCTCGATCAGAACTTGACTTACATTATCACGGCAATCGACCTCGGGGAGTCTTCGACGGTCTAAGGTTCGTTTCGTTTTGAGTTCCTCAGGAACGTCGGAGGTGTGCTTGCAAGGTTCAAGGAGGACCAGGGCCAGCCAGACCACATGCAGAGCACATCAGGGAGACACAAATGAGGAGAAGGATTTGGACGAGAAGGCAGACTATTAGCTCCCCAACAGCTTCGAAAGATAATTACTAAAGTAGCCATTTCTAAGTGTGAGGATCCTCATTGATATTCCTCGAGCATTTCATTTCGTCAATCAACTAGAAACTTCTTGTGCAAGTAAATTACAAACCAAGGCTTGAGATGAAGATGAAATTATTAAAACACAATCCATGAAGTACTCTGAGCAAAGTGAGCAGAACTTCTGAACCAATTCAGGGTTAGGGCTTTCCAAAACAACCATTATAAGTGCCCCCTCCCTCCCCCAGCGCCTTCTCCCCCAAAATAATGAAACCCTGCCATTTTCAAACCTCAAAACATTTGAAAGGCTGTCATAGAGAATACTATCTTTCCTTACTCCTCGTGGTACTTGCTTTACCATCTTTTGATCGATTTACTTGCTTGCAAAGTTCCAAAATGGCGCTATTCAATCTCAAGATAAAAATTTGCCTCAAAAATTCCTCATCAGTGGCTCCGATACAGGAGCTTTCAAATCAATTCTCACGTAAACATTGAAGAAATCAACCGACACAGCCGTGACCTTCGATACATGAGCTGATCACAAATTTCCCACCATTCCCACCCTTTCCTTCTCTGAGAGAATCTTTCTGTCGACTTGGAATATGGAAACCTCGACAGCAAAGAGCTTGGAGTCGTCCCCTCTCAACAGGGCCAACGAAGCTTCCGAGGTGAGAATTTGAAGCCGAACCGTCCTTTACAATAATGAACTTGACAAGAAGGCCACAAAGACTAACCTGCCTGCAGCTCATCGATGCCGTCAAGGCCTTGATCATACCCTTCATACAACGTGCTGATGACCATGTCAACGTCCGCGCCGCTGGTGGGGCAGGCGGCACAACGTCCTCCAACAACGCGCTCATAGAAGGCGACCTCCTCCCGCCGTCCGTTCTCAACGCCCATCTGTCCACCCTCCTGCCCACCACAGGCCAGGGAGCTGGAAGAGAGGGCCTTCTAAAGGCCATCGCAGAGGTCCTCCACAACAGCGTCAACACCTGGGACCAGGGCTTCCTCGACAAGCTGTACTCGTCAACAACTCCCGTCGGCCTCGTTACTGAGCTGCTCCTCGCCACTCTGAACACCAACGTGCACGTCTACTCCGTCTCGCCCGCTCTCAGCGTCATCGAGAAGCACACCGCACGGTCCCTGGCGCGCTTGTTTGGCTTCGATGGACCTCGTGCCGGAGGTGTCACCGTCGCGGGTGGCAGCGCCTCCAACCTGACGTCTCTCATCATTGCGCGCAGTCACCTCTACCCAGAGACCAAGACGCAGGGCAACGCAGGCCACAAGTTTGTCCTCTTCACCAGCGAGCACGGTCACTACTCGGTCGAGAAGGCCGCCCTGATCGCCGGCATTGGCAAAGCCAATATCCGCCTCGTTCCCGTCGACGCCGCTGGCTGCATGGATCCATCCGCTCTGTCCGCCCTCATCGCCACAGCCCGAGCTGAAGGACTGACCCCACTCTACGTGAATGCCACTGCAGGCACCACAGTCCTGGGCTCCTACGATCCCCTGGCCGAGATCAGCGCCGTGTGCCGCCGGGAGCGCGTGTGGATGCACGTCGACGCCTCCTGGGGCGGTCCGGTCGTCTTCTCCGCCCGCCACGGCCCCAGCAGGATGCGCGGCGCAGAGCTGGCCGACAGCGTCACCGTCAACCCGCACAAGATGCTCAACGCCCCTGTGACGTGCTCGTTCCTCCTGGGGCCGGACATGCGCGTCTTTCACGCCGCCAACAGGACGGACGCGCCGTATCTCTTCCACGGTGAAGACAGCAATGGCGATGACGAGGACAGCGAGGCCACCACTTGGGACCTGGCCGACCTCACGCTGCAGTGCGGAAGGAGAGGCGACGCGCTCAAGCTCGCGCTGGCGTGGGTCTACCATGGTCCTGCCGGCTTCGAGGCCCAGGTCGACGGGGCCTTTGAGGTGGCTGCGTTCTTCGCCGCCGAGATCGGGAGGAGGCCTGCCTTCACGCTCGTCGGCGAAAGCCCGCCGTCTTGCTTGCAGGTGTGCTTTTATCACCGGTACAGCGACAGGGACAACGGGGCCACCAACACTAAGAGGACGGTAGAGATGGTGAAGAGGCTCTGCGGGCGGGGTTTCATGGTGGATTATGCGAGCTTCCCGGGTAGTTTCAAGGGGAAATGGGGGCGAGCGTGGCAGGGGAGTTTCTTCAGGGTGGTGGTGAATATTCAGACGAGGAGGGAAACGATCCAAGGACTTGTGAAGGCGCTGGAGGAGGTCGGGGAAGAGGTAGAGTCGAGCTGAGAAGCCCGCAGATGACTTGGCTGCTGAAGAAATGGATGGAATGGTAGGTATAATTAGATGGTAGAGATGTCAGTCTTCCTTAGAAGAAGTTTGATGGATCGGTCAAAAGACTATAGGTTTTAGATTCCCAGGTTGAGTACACTTGAACATGCAGGATAGGAGTACATTTTGAGTTTTCTTCTCCATTCATTTCACAGCCTGCTCACAACAGCACTGAAATATCATCTCTCTCTCTCTCTCTCTGTCTCTCTTTTTCTCTGTCTGTCGTGCCCAATCCCAAGAACCACATACATATGTACAACACACAACATACAACCCAAGATCAAAGGAAAAGGAGAGAAAGAAAAATCACACAAAAGCCTGCTAAACTGTCAAAAAAGGGCTGCTCGCCAAGCGTGCGTCCGCCTTGACTAATTCCCTCAGTTTGGTCACCATCTCGTCCTTAGACATGGCGCCATCCTTGACCTGTTCTCGCCACTGCACCAACACATTCTTCAACAGCGCACTGCACTCTTCTATCTCCTGCTTGCTGTAGCCTGCCGCAGGTACAGCGGTAGCCCCTTCTTCATGTTTCGTCGTGAAGTCCTCGAGCTCGTCGGCCTTCCTCTTCGCCATGCGTACCACCTTGTCCGGGAACCCCACCAGCTCCGCGACATGGATGCCAAAGCTCTGGTCACAGATGCCCGGCTCGACCTTGTACAGCAGCGTCACCTCCCTCTTGCTCTCCTTGTCGGTGCCCGTGCCACCAATATGCGCCGTCACATGCAGATTCCGCACCTGTGGGTAGAGATCGGCCAGCGCAGTCAGCTCGTGAAAGTGCGTGGCGAACATGGCAAAACAGCCAATCTCCTTGACGATATGCTCAGAGATGGCCCACGCGAGCCCAAAGCCGTCATACGTCGACGTACCGCGGCCCAGCTCGTCAATGATGATCAGCGATTCAGCCGTCGCCGACTTGAGGATGTTGGCCGTCTCGAGCATCTCGGCCATAAAGGTAGAGACGCCCTTGAGCTGCGAGTCGGATGCGCCCACGCGCGCGAGGATGGAGTCGAAAATGGTCAGCTCCGCCTCGCTGCAGGGCACGAAACAGCCCACCTGGGCCATGAGGGCAATGACCCCGATCTGCCGGATATAAGTCGACTTGCCGCCCATGTTGGGACCCGTGATGACGAGGAAGGAGGATGTATCCCGCGTGAGCTCGACATCGTTGGTGATGAATTGCACATCGTCTTGCATCTCCATACAGGGGTGACGGGCTTCCTTGAGGTTGGTATGGCCTTGGCCTCTCGGGTGTATAGTTGGGCGGACGTAGGAAATAGGCGCGTGCGCCGAGCAATGAGCAAAAGAGACGATAACATCTAGGTGGGCAAGGACGCCAGCCAGCTGCTCGAGAACAGGACAGTAGGACGCTGCTACGCCGACCACCTCGCTGACCAGCCCGGTCTGGGTGCGGGTGTAGTTGGAGTTGAGCTGGTCAAATTCGCGCCGATATTCCAGGAGCTGGTTGGTCGTGAAATAGACGCCGTTCTTCTGTGTCGAGCACTCTTTGTACTCTCTTCTGTTGCGGATGCATCCTGCCTCTGCTCGTGTCAAGCGCATACACCAGCCGTGTACTTTGTGGTTCTCGAGGAAAATCTTCTTTTCCCGCTCCTGGCCGAGGTCGCTGGCCGCGTTGGCGTACTCTCTATCCATATCCACTCGGAGGCGGTCAAGCTTTTTCCTTATGATCCGCAGGCTATCATCAAACTCGGGCTTGATTACGAACTCATGGTTGTCCATCGCCTCCAGGTCCACTGTCGTCTCCACCATGTCCTGAAGTTTGGCCAGTTTGTTGGAAAGCTCACGGAGTCTGGTGGTATAAGCAGCGTCCAGAGGATCGCGGTAGGCCTCATCCATCACCCCCTCAAATGTGCCGACAAGTCCTGGTAGTCGAATGATAGCTTGGTACGCTCGGACGACATCTTCCAAGTTGGCCTTGTTCCGCTGGAACTTCTTGGCTAGTCGGTAGAGATCGGGGATGGATTTGAGGTGTTCCTCTTGCATGATCTGTCGGAGTTCAGTGTCGTTGACAAAAGCCTCAACAAGCTGTTGACGTTTCTCAATCTCCTCTTTGTCCATGAGAGGCTGCTTCAACCATTGCGACAGGAGACGGCTGCCCACGGGTGTCTTGCAGTGGTTTAACAGGCCATACAAACTCATGGTCTTGGCGCCATCCCGAGGACCCGGCATGAGGTTCAAGGCCTTAAGGGCAGCAGCGTCCAGTTTCATGAACTGCGACAGGTCATGCTGGTACAGCTGGTACTGGCCAAAGTTCGAAGAGTCCTGGAGCACGCTGAGATACTTGATCAGGGCTGCCGCCGATCCCATTGCCAGTTTTAGGTCTGTCTGCGGCAGCATTGAAGCAGATCGCTCGTCCTTTAGCAGCCTCGCCAGATCCTGTTCAATATCCTTGGTGCCGAAATCTGCCATTGGCCGTTCCGACATGGCAACGCCACAGTTGTTGATGATCTGCTTCAGCTTGGCCAACTCGGGATCCTTGTCTTTCTCTGCCTTGTCGAATTGTATCAAGCACTCCTTGATACCAAGTTGAATCAGAAGCGCCTCGAAGTTGGAGTATAGGTCATTGTCGAGGAATTCACTGACGCCAAGTTCTCGTACACTGGCATCGGCGAAACAGACGCCAACGCTCCTTGCTTCCGAGGCCTTGGCAGAGAACTTGACAGCCATAATCATGGGCGCGCCGTCGAACTGTCCGCCCAGCTCCTCCTCAACATCTTGTAGGTTGCCAGGCGAGGCCTGCTTGACAATCTTCCAGTGCATGCGGCCTCCAACGGAAGCGTATATCTCGACGCGCTTGCCTAGCTTGAACAAGGCCTCTCGCAGGAACTGACGGAAGACGGTGACGGTCATTGTCACGGAGGGGAGGCCGGTGTGGTCATTCTTGCCCAGCTGGCGCACCACGGAAGTCGTCTTGTACACAGTCCGAGCAATGAAGTTGGCGTCCTCGCCATGAGCAGTATACCAGTCTCCTCGGTCAAATATGCGGACGGTCTCATCGTCGCGTGTCGCCAGACCCTTGAAGAAGCGAATGAAGCCGTGTTCATCGTCGACCTAGAAGCAGGCGATCGTTAGAGGAGAATCCATTCGAGAGGCAAAAGGCGACATGCGAACCTTTAATTCTGGTCGAGAAGACATGACGGGCTATGATTCACGGCACAACTAGAAATAACAATGAGTAGATCAGACCAAATTGCTCTGCCAGACGAAGAGTGTGGAAGAGGCCTCTTTTACAGGTTGGCTATTGGGAAGGCGCCCATGTCGAGGAAACGCGTGTGACGTGAATTCAATTTAGCAGGGGAGACGCGACTTGACCAGGGTCCCCAGCAGCGCTTCCAGTTCTAAAAACGTGGGGTAAAACGGCAGTTGACGCGCTGAAGCCGAGACCGGCCAAAAGGTTCTGAAAAAGTTCCAATTGAGGCCCCACTATCTACAATAGTATCTTGTCGCGACTTGTGAATTCCTCACCAAGGACCACCGCCCCAGTCGATCGCTTTTAGCTCTGCATTCGACTAACACTACCACAAATCTATAGCAACATGGGAAATGATCAGAACGTGCCGAGTATAGAGCCATTAGCGGCTGTCGAGACCTCAGTTGTCACGGAGACTCCGGGGCAAGGTGTTCCAGCACCTACCAAAGATGCCAACTCCAAGAAGCGACTACGCGAGAACGATGACGAGGCATCAAACGATGACGACGACCACGACCACGAAGACCATGAAGACCATCCCACACACTCACCTGGGGCGTCAGTAGACACTGCAGGCCCCGACCAGCCCAAGCTCTCCAAGAACCAGCTCCGCAAACAAAAACGTCAGAAGCTTCGCGAAGAGCGCAGAGGAGAACGCAAGCAAATTCGGAAAGACAAGCGGCACGAAAAGACTGCGCAGCGACGACAAGAACGCGAAGAGAAGGCCGAGAAGATTGCACAGCAAGAGGGAATTGACAAGGCCGAAGCTCTACAGCGGATACTAGCAGAGGAGCAAGCCGAGAGGAAGAAGGCACCGCAGAGCAGGCCAGTCCCGGTGGCTTTTATTATTGACTGTGACTTTGAGAAGTACATGCACGAGAATGAGCTTGTTTCTTTGGCCAGTCAGATCACGAGGAGCTACTCGATGAACAAGACCGGCTTGTACCAGGGGCATTTGCTGGTGAGCTCGTGGGGTGGGAAATTGAGTGAGCGATTCAACACAGTGCTGAAGGGTACACACCTCAATTGGAAGGGTGTGAGTTTCGTGGAGGGCGACTTTGTCGAGGCTGGCAAGGTTGCATGGGGAATCATGAATGGCCCGACAGCTGGGAAGGCTTGTCCAGCGTTAGGCGGAGAAGAGATGACAAGCGTCGAGGAGACCGGGGAGAAGTCCGCTGTGGAGGTTGACGATCAAGCGATCACGGAGCCACAGGTCGCCAGTGAAGAGATGAACTCAGGTGAGACATCGGCAGCAGCGGAATTCTCGATCGACTCCGTCGTATATCTCTCTGCCGACTCGCCATTTACACTCGACAAGCTCGAGCCCAACACAAGTTATGTGGTTGGCGGATTGGTGGATCGAAACAGAGAGAAGAATCTCTGTCAAAGACGCGCCGAGGAGAAGGGCATTCGCACGGCAAAGCTACCTATCGGCGAGTACATGCAGATGGCAAGTCGGCGGGTGCTTGCCACGAACCATGTGGTCGAGATCATGTCACAATGGCTCGAGACTGGAGACTGGGCCAAGGCTTTCATGGAAGTCATTCCGAAACGAAAAGGCGGCCAGCTGAAGACCGCGGAGGAAGATGACGACGGCGCTGGCGAAGCCGAAGGCAACGGCGACGATGAAGCGGCCAACGCTCAACATGCCGGTGGGGAGCACGCAAATGGCACGACCAATACGGAGGCCTAGCAAAAGGTGACGAGATACCTAAAGTGGAAGAAAAGATAGCAAAAACCCAGTCGGCCCATCTTGCCACCGCCACGTTCATGACCGCGTTCTGTGTGTACGCCTTATTGGATTACCGATTTCAGAACGCAGGAGGAGCCCATGTCGCTCTACAAAGACCTTTCATACCTATCGTATACTATCAGATGACGGGCATCCAGCGCCAGATCAAGGTTGTCGAACCTCGCCCCATTTTCACGAGCTATTGAGAATTTCATGCCGAGCGCATTTTGTGATCTTGTGCAGATCAGCAACGAGGACACCACACCAAGGCAGCATCGAGTTTTGTCCTTTGAATCCCCTGCATGTCAGCGTCGAAAGCGCCCCCTTGGCCCCCATTGTGTCGATAGCGCCGCCCTGTCGATTCGAAAAGTACCTGCCTCCTGCTGTAGAATACGGAGCTTTGCTCTCACGTCATCACATGGCATGTTCGAGCTCGGGATGACTTTCAAGGTTCCGCTCGAAGGCAAGCACCCGTTCCCTTCTCAGACGACCCTCTCTGGGGAACCCAAACACGAAAATCCATAGCGCGTGTGCTTCTGCAATTGACCTGCATCGTCAATTTGACTAGTATCTTAAAGGACCCTATCAATCTGATGTGATCCTCCCACTCTGCAGGTCAACCATACCCACCCTTTTTTACCTTTTGTTGCAAATTACATGGTATCTATTCACGGCAGTAAAATTCCACAGTGGCCCATCGGGATACTACCAACCCAACGACGACATGGGCTCAAGAAGGTTTCCACCCACCCCACCCTGGACACAGTACTTTTTTCGTCTAACAATGCACAACTCCGGTGCCCCCAAAACCCGCTCACGGCTCGTCAGCCCTATCGATGCTGATGCCACTAAGTAAGAGGAAGAAAAGTAGAAGCAAGAAGAAAGACCAGGGAAAGGATGGGGGGGGGGGTAAGAAAAAAAATCAAGAAAACCCAAAGGCAAAACATGCAACACCGGGTATTCGCCAATGGTCACCCACTTGACTACTAATCCAGCCCTTAGTGGCTTATTTAGGGGAGAGCAGACGGGATCCCAAGTTTTCCACTAGGTATGGTCGCATGTGCTTCGAGTGGTTGTGGCAGCAATTATGTCTCATGTTGTGCGAGTCTTGATATGCAATTATGTTGTATTAGACCACCACACGTTCTCAAAACTGACAAGCAGGACTGACTTGCTTGCAGCTTCTTATTCTGGTTACCCACCGCCCCAAATTGGGCAGCCTGCTTGGTTCAAGTAGCTGTGTATCCTTGAAACTTAAATATGTACGATGAACTGAACGCTTTCGTGGCTTCATGTCGCTTTTAACCTCCATTTTACAAGTAGAAATCACCCGCCATCCTAGTGTATATATATACGTATAATGCTCCAGTGCACAAGAGTCCCTAGAATCTTCTTCCGTCTCTTTCTAGATAGCAGAGGAGTAAGGCGCAACGTTGGGATCCAATGCCTGCCACACAAAAGGCATCCCCTGGCAGAGCCCCTCTGCATCAAAGGTTCTCGCTGCGACCACGTCGCTAAACGCCTGCATGGTGCTCTTGAATGTGGCGGCCGCCTCGGCCGTCTCCTCATTCATGAGATTCAACATGCTCTCGTCGTCAAACATGTGCAGAAGCGAACGGTTCGTGCCGGCGAGCAGGGGCCGCGAAAACCCGGCGGAAACGAAGATCTGCGCATCGGATTGTTCAAAGGGTGGCAGGAACGAGACGACCGAGGTGTTGCCCTTGGTGGTTGGAATGGGTGCGTAGAGTGCTGCAGGATGGAAAGGCAGCGTCAGGCTGAGGGATTCCAACTGGTTGGTGTTTACAGAGTGATGCGCCGAGGTGACAAGGTGAGCCTGTGTGTTAATGAGGGAGATTAGCATTGACTCGGTCTTGTTTTGATCTTTCTTTTCCTTTTGCTTCTTTGGAAACATCTTACAATATGCGTGAGGATGCCCACCAGCGTGGCCTTGTCTGAGATGGTTGTAGGGAAGCCCATCGCCTCAGCTGGGCCGTTCGCCTCCTCGGCCCAATTTTGTAACTCTGTATCAGCCGCAACCGCGCTGTCTGTGGTGTAGTAAGAGTCGACAAAAGTCGTCATAAAGGTCTCGACTGCGTTATAAATAACCGCAGCATCCTCGTAGAAAGGGAAGTGAGTAAGCTCGGGGCCGATCGTCGAGTTGATAAGTCCTCGATTTTGCAAGTCCGTCAAGAAATAGTTGGCCTGGAAATTGCCCTTCCCGTTGAAATACAGGTCACTTGCATAGTTCTGTGCTGTCGTGCCACTAACAGGGAAAATCTCATCGATTGCAGCCCCGGGAGCGAACAGCATCGCAGCTGCAATAGGTTGAATTCCAAATGTTTCGTAAGCGACTAATCATAAAAAGACCAGTTAGTTAAGTACACAACATTGTATGAAAGGATAGTCTATACTTACGGCGATCAAATATAGCGTAGACAGGATGCTCAGTGCTGAGGGAGCGGATAGCTGCCATCCAGGTAATTTGAACCACCATATGAGTAGCTGCTAGATGGTTGAATTGAGCAAAGAATAAGTCATTGGCATTGAACATGATCTTAGCCAACAACCAGTCATCAGCCTTATCTGTAGGCGTATAGATCAGGTCTGCTCCCACCCCCGTCCGAATAGCCAAGGGCAGGAAATCTCCAGACGTCGCATCAATAACGAAATACGCATCGGTCGCTGCGGTGTACCGCCCGTTGGTCGGGAGGGTCCCGATGTCGGTATGATCCACATAGAAGAGGCGACCAGCTGAGAACAAGCTCTCTAGTGTCAGGCCAGACACATTCTGCGCGATGGAGTCCTCGACCTGGAAGGGGAGTGAATCGCTTGACGGGTTGAGCCTCCTCACCGCGAATGGGCTGTTTGCTAAGCGTTCCATTGAGAAGACAAGGTCTTGGGTGTAGTTGGTGAGGATGCCCGGCGCAGGACCATTTGGTAGCGAATGTGTCCACTCGTTGTCGTAGAGCTGTACGTAACTTTCCAGCGTGGAGAGGTCGCCAAACTATTTTGTTTTGCTATCAGACTCGATATCTCGGATCAGGGTGCAATGTCCACAAACCGCTCCCTGTGTATACGCCGTCACTTCCGAGTCACTATCTTCAGTGTCCAAGACATCCTCGGCCTCCTCATCGGCGTCGAGGGCGGCCGAGTCTTCACTCGCCGTCAAATTGCCCACGGGGCCTGCAGGATAAAAGGGTCCGCCGCCAACAGCAGGTCCGTAAAGGAATCCTGCGCGCGTGGCATTTCTGTATAATAATGACAATTATCAGTTTCCATGAATCACAATCGCCATGCTCTCCTTGATGGACATACATTGCCTCGAGTCTCTGTGTTTGATTGCTATCATCTGCGGTTATAGTGTAAGCCCCAGCCGTTACCCGACGACCCAATTGAAACGGGACAGGCAGGTATGGAGACTTCCGTTGTGGTATTACAGCACCATATGCATGAGAAGAGGCAAGATTAAGGAGTGTTAGAAGTGAAAACGGTGAAAGATACATTGTGGATGAGATGCCCTTCCAAGGAAAAGAGACGACAAGGGATTGAACATGAAGAATCCCGTATTAGATTCGACCGCTGGCGGCGACAATCATATTTAAATGAGGCCAGCGCATTCTTCTGATGTGCCCCATAAATGGAGGATTACTCTCCCCGCTGATGGAACAGACAATTGTTGGGCGCCGCTCTGCGGCTCTTCGCCTGTACAAAGCCGCGCCGAGACAGGCCCTGTGTTCCTTCTTCCGTCCTTCATCCCTCTTTCCCCTGCGAAGGATCGTTGCATCCACGTGTAGCCAGGGTCATTTTACATTGCAACCCTCGGTCGTAAGCACAACACTTCAAATGTACCCAAGCCAGCGTTTGACCCCACAATTCGTCTTACAGACGGCAAGAAAGCCCCATTCTTCTCTGCATCGAACTTGGTTAGAACATGTCGTCGCCTAGCACGTGCCTAGTTCCAAAGGGGTGGGGGGGGGGGGCGCCAGGCGAAAGCCAGCCAGGATCGATATTCGCAGAGCTTCATTGGCAGAGGAAATTGTCCGACGCAACTCGCAGAAACGATTGAGTGAAAAATCGGCATGACGAAAGCAACTGGTTTAGGCCCTAGCCGCTTGATGCACACCCATCAGACACAGTACATAAGTATATTTGACCTCGTGTTCGCTCTCGTACACCCTCTGTGGATAAGCACGGCTTCACTGCGCAGGATTGTATTGGTCCAAGACCAGAAACTTCGAGCGACGAATTTTCATTTCATACTAAGCAGAAAAAGGACCCCCTGTTCAAATAGTCACTCAATATGGAGACCCGTCTGGTGGTAACCTAGGGAGTCGTCAAAAGCAACTTGACCGCTGGGCATCACTAAGAAGCACCTACTTGGCGCCTACAGGGGACTTTGAAAGCGAGCCTTACCTGCTATTAGCCCAAGTGTCAAAATGACTGCATACTAAATAAATTGAGTAGTGTCGATAGTTGATCGGGCATGGAATGAACTAGGAACCGATTGAGCACAATTCATTTAACATAGTTTGCGGCCTTGTACAACTATTCGCAACGGTGAGAGTGTGCGCCACTACCGTATGGCATTATCACCCCTCCCCTACGGTGCTGAGGGCTCATACATCCCACACTGAACAGTGATACAACATGCGGTAAAACCATCAGCCTGTTAGAAATACGTGGCCAGTCGCTGCCCAATAATTTTCCTGTGCAGACCACACTAAGTTTGCCACAGCTGATGGCTGGGAAAATCAAAAGCAAGACAAATATACAAAGCTGAATTCGTGCTGCAGAAAACGCGGTTTGACAGATGCGCCACTCAGAAGACGACTTCCGATACAATTACGACCAGCCACGATGTGGAAAACTTTCGTCGTACAACAAAGCCAGCATCAACGGTTTTCTTTAGAGCAGACGTTAACTAAGCGTGAATGAACAGAGATATCTGTCGTGTGCCGAGACAATCCGGCTCTGATTGGACCTCGTCATTCTGGTCGCTCACCGTCAAGAGATTCATACTAGGCCTAGGAGGTACAGTCTGCGGTTCGAACAATCGGTCAAATGAGTATATTTAAGCTTGTTCAAGCTAATATGATCAACATACTCTGATGCGGTGTCCCCAACGATCTGACCAAAGCTACCTCTCAAACCATGGCTGGCTTTAAGAGACATGAGACCCTGAGAATCCCTGTTCTGACCGTTGATCACGGGGTGCTCATGACAAAAAAGATCCGATAAAGGGTTGACTATGCTGGACACAATCTGATAGTGTCGAAATCCGATTCTGACCTACTTGGCCTTTTCGTTTCTCAAACAGTAGGCAGTACATGAGACGGCCATTGCGATGCCTACTCTGGTTCGCCGTTCCCCTGTCAGGCACGATCATATCATGATCTCGCTCATCAGTCGCGATTCGAGCCGATCATCGAGCAGCCCTAAAACAAAGCCTCTCAAGTTGCAATCCCTGACGAACTACGAGAAATCCTAAAAGTACTTTTCCCTCTGGCCTTGCAAGCTGCATACGCTACGCCCAACTTCATGCAAGCGGTCGATCCCGTTCCGACCGCCGTTTGCGCTGGCTTCTCCCCGACGCCAAATATGCAATGTGGGATTCTTTCGGAGGTTCAATTCCTTCTGAAATGAGCGGTGAAAACCAGCCGTCTTCTGCATCTGAGCTGGAAATTGAGGGCGTGGCGCTCGACGGACTCCTCCGAAACGTTACTCCCGTGTGCGCGCAATCAGAAACGCGTGGTGGGGTTTTCCTCTCTCTGGTACACTCGAAAATAGCATGGAACTTTGCAGCGCGTAAGTAAGAGTCGCACGTCTCGCTGATCAATTTACCATAAACGAAAACACTAGTTTAATTCAAATAGTTCAGATGGTAGTGCCTTGTGTGAGTGCCGGGATGGGGCCCCGGCAACATTTGTTTAACTTGTAATCATTATTAATAAACCGGTAGCTCTAATATCAAATCGCATCCTACCCAGTACTCTGATCGAGTGTATTTAGAATTGAATCTACAAAAATCACTGTACCACTACGGCCCTTTGCCTCAGAAGCGCCTTTTCGTAGCAGACCCAAATGATACAGTCAATGACCATATGTGTCAAAATAAATGAGCGTAGGCTGTCATCATTTACTGAATGAAGGTAACACCAAAGATGTCTCAAGGTCCGGCAACACTTCGGAACAGATTTGTACTATAGGTGATCATCGGGTTAAAGAAATGACTCTCGGCTACGGAATTGAGGCGGTCAAGGACTTTTTGCAAGGCCCAGACACACCTCGGAGATTCGGCCCAAAGCTGTTTCTCCTCCATGATGTGCTTGATACTTGATTTAGACCCTATGTACAAGACTGTGGACTCCTTATCCATATTCATCCTACATCCATTATTCTTGGGAAGCCTTCAAGATGTCGTGGCCTAGTACACATGCTCCGCGAACCGAATCTCACTCGCGCCAACATCAAACACCGCGATGACGTTGTTCAGGAATGTGTCGCCGAGAATGTACGGGCCCTCGGAGCCACCATCCTGAGGTCCAATCAAGCAGTACTCCGTGCCGGACAGCTCAACCGTGTACCTGGTTGATAGAAGTCAGCTTCTTCAGTCGCGTCAAGAAGTCTATTTCGAGGAGATGATATTGTGCTTTCACGTACTCTTGCATCAGCATATCTGCTTCGCTGATATCGAAGACAGTGCCATTGATTTGAACACCCAAATACGGCACGCTGGCGTCGCATGGTGCAAAGGAAGCACCCTGATCATCGATGTACACCACAGCGGGATCATACAGAGCCGCTATATCATCGTACAGTTCTAGGGGGATAGACAAGTCAGCTTTCCATGAACAACAAACCACCGCAGAACGTGATTCAATGTCTCTCAAACGGAAGTAACATACCAGTTGGCAGGTACAACAGAGTTGTGCCGCTGTCAACAATGATGGGAAACTGGGTGGTATTGACAGTCTCTGGTGCATATGCCTCGCTCCAGGACTCAGCAAGTGCATCGGTTTGGTTGCTCGACCCTTCGTAGATATACGCGTCGGCGATAATAGTGTAGAAGCTGTACTGAGTCGCCATCTCAGGTTCGTCGTAAACCTCGATCTGGTTCACGGTCAGTCTACAGTCTGAAACGAGGGTTGAAAGGTTAGATAAGTGGGGAAAACTGACCATCAAAATTGGCGTGGTCGCAAAGGATCCAGTGTAGTTAACTGGAGGTAGGCCACCAAATGCAAGATAACCACCGTCGGAGTTACGCTCCAGGGCCAAGCTGAAAACAGGGTCGATGAGGCTCTCGTTGATCATAGTCGTAATAATGGAGTTGTATTCGACCTGGGTCTCCAGAGAGTCGGCGTCGGGGTCCGATCCCTCGTAAGCACTGGTGAGCAGAGGGTAGGCCAGACCCATCAGGCCGCTGGTCACGCTGTCGCCAAACCAGTAGGAATAGTTGACCAAGGCCACTTGCTGATGATCGACCGTGATACCGGCAACGGTGACGTTTTCGTAGCCGAAGACGCCTGTCAGGAACTCGCCATCGCCGTATTCAATGTTGAAATTCTCATCCGCAATCGAGCCCTCATCGAAAGTGCCGTTGAAGGTCGGGCCGAAGTAGCAATCCGCCTCCTGTGAGATGATAGTTGTGAGCGTCATGTTGATCATATGTTCTCCAGATGGCTCCATATCGAAACTTACCTCCTGGACATTGCCGTCTTCATCCACACAAGTGAATCCGGCTTGCACCAGCCATCTTCACAACTTAAAGTCAGCAAATGTTCGCATGAAAAGAGATTGACCACTTCCGAAGTGCCATCCACCAAGACAATTCTTGTGCCCAAGGATGTCCATAGCATAGAGATGGAAAGAAGGATCTGGCGATCTGGCTTCTTCAGAGTACGTACGTATCACTCGAACCAGTGTCAATGATGACCTCAACTGGTACGCCCGCCCACTCAATCTCGGCAATGTATTCATCCGACAACAGGTTGTCCGTATGCTCGTACGCATAGCTGGAGTTGGCGACGACGTTGCGCGTAGACCTGAGGTACTGAGCAGACCTAGCCGCGTTGGTGCTCTTCTTCAGGGTCAATACATTTGAGCTGACGACATTGCCGCTGCTGGCTTGCCGGGCTACTGGCGTATAGGACCGAGTTGCAGCAAGGGCCGGGCTTATGAGCGCCGTGACGGCAACGACCGTATTGAATAGATGAGCCATCGTGAGGCACTTGCTCGGTCGTCCAAGTTAAACTATGCTTGACTGACTACAGCAAGGCAGAACGGTTGACACGCCCAGATCAAATGGACTCAACGCCCCAGCAAAGAGGGGGCCCGCGACCCTTTTTAAGCTTTCAGCACCAGGATCTTTGTCAACACATGCGCGATAAGAAAACCCAAGCAAGCAATGGAGTTGCATAAAACCATGCCGTACGGCCCGTACCGGTAACTGCACTATGCACCAAAGCTGCATGCATCCCGCCATGCGTTGTTGATGGCCAACGTTCGCGAGCACCACGATCTGCTATCGCACTGGTGGAAGGGAGATTTGCTCCGCTATGATTCGGTGACCCCGGTCAAAATCGCTATCGCACGCCACCATTCATAAGTCGTGATGGCTCAACGTCCTTCCAGAATAGGTAAGTCAGTGCTCCGCTGCAGCAGGGGCAAGCCTGGGGTGGATGTAACGTCAACTCGGCCAACGGCAATAGTTCTGTAGCATAGATAAAGGAAGGTTCGGGCGTTCTATGCCTTTGGGGAAAGTTCTGCAGAATCATGGGATGAAAAAGCTTGTTTCCTAATGGTGGGCAAGGGTATGCGTTCATGGATTATGAATCATCAAGGGAAGCTGCTGGGCGAAGCATGAATGTTGTGGTCAGACATAATTTCTGACCCAGTAGCCCCCAAGATTGAAAGGAGGAAGATACGAGACAAAATTACGAAGAAAGAAAGAATTGAAGAGCCGGAATTCAGATAAGTTCAGTGGGTGGGGGGGGGGGGGGATAGAACAGAAATCCGAACAAGGTTTTTCCAAAACGAAAGCAGTGTTTATCGGAAGTCTACAAAGCCTGTGCTAATGGTAAGACAAAACAGAGAAGCCTCTCCAGCATTAGAGCGAGATCTATGCGAGGGCAAAAAGGCTCATAGTGCGATACGCTGAAGAGGAAAGAGAAACAGAGGAAAAGCCACGAGGCCGAACTATCTGAGGCTACGAACAGGCCTGGCTGTTGGCTGGACGGCGAGGCCGTACAGTGAGTCACTGGCCCTCGCACAATATCAGTATTGATATTGTGCATGTTGTTCAAAATTGAATACAAACTGCCGTAACTAGCATTTTCTTGGCTGAGTGCTGTCATGATGCAAACAGTCAAAACATCGTCGAGTGTACTTTCTAGGGTCCTGACTGCTACGTCTTCACACTAATGACAGAAAGTTCAATATTAGTAGAACCTTAATAAGAGATAGAGTAGATCTGACCAATATAATCCTCAGCGCAAGGTTCTGAATCATTGGGTGATTTTCGATATTTGCCAAGGTCCGTGGTGGCCCTGGTGCTGGTCATGAACACCTTGTCCCTTTCTCGAACTCCTTGCTCCAAGATGGCCTCTCTGTAGTGTCCTTTGATCAAATCTATTGCAGTGCCTTGCCTCCACATGCACTCCCTTCATGGAAGGTGAGTGAAATAGCCTGGCATAAAGCATAGTTCGTCGCAGAGTACAATACCTTAGTTAACTCTCCACCTCCGCCATAGGCCTAGTGCTTATTTCCTACGTTGAAGCCAAGTTAAGGCTGCTTATGGTGCTGTGTAGGTCCTACCGGTCGTCTGCAATGGCGAGTGCAGATCGTATGGCCTCAAAACATGCTGCCTTCTTTGAGCTGAGCACATGCATATGCTGGACCATCTTCGCTCATACTGCACATATGTGTCATCCTGAAGGTTTGGGAGACCTTCTGTCTTTAAGTAATTAATTAGCAAATGTAGCTGAAGAGAATAGATGTACGAGGTCCAGTGAGTCACGGGCTCTGTTAGTGGCAGGCGCCCTTCACCCCGATAGCCTCAGCCCGCTGGCTGCTTTCCCCTTCGGTTCCCTTCCTGTTCTTTACCTTTTCCCTGTAGCGCACTTCCAAATAGAACCTTTCTGTGATAGAGATATGAGCTTGAGCTTTTCCTTGGAGAAAACATCTGCATCCAACCATAATGGCAGATCTAACAGGCACACAACATGCTCTGGAGTAGATTTTGGATCTGGGGGGAATTGTTTTGTTCTGTTACAGAAACCCCTTTCTTTCTTACTGTACTCCAGCCGTACTCATACGTGCACCTTTCCATGGGCTCATTGACTTTTGAAATCTCCTCTTCTCCAGAAAGTTCTTTTTTTGGTTATATTATATCATTTGAATTTTGATTTCTCGCGGTCAAGTGGCCAATAAGAGCTGACGGCACCCTTGTACCCTCGACTCGTGCTTGCCCATACAGGCAGGAATCAAGATACATACACATCTGTATGGATATGAGCGCTCAGTGGCTTGGTGCACTAGGAATTCCCTAATTATTGGACATAAATTTGCCTTTGAAACTTGAACAACCTCTTACCAAATGTTGGCCACCTGTTATTGAAGACGTAAGAGGATTGATTCGCAGACCAGCCATTTACACCGCCGGATCAGTCTCGGGGAATTTGACCCGGCCACATGGGATTTCATTGCACACATAAGGCCATTGATGGGTGATGGCTGTGCCATATTCCAAGATGCACAGGTAGAAGACCTGGTCCTTATGTTGTTTGTCTGATGTTGTTAAACGTGATGCCGGTATGAGACCCTGTGCCTGGACCTGGACTTGAATTTTGGGACTTGACCTTATTGACGATAAGAAAGTAAAGGTATGCAGCGCTCGACGCTAGTCACGGCACAGTGAGTAAGTGATGACGGTCGAAGAGTTTTGAGAAAAGGTTGGGCGCGCATACGGTTTACCTTCCAAAATTCACCAGACTGCTTACATAAAGTACATTGATTATGTTGTTTCGGGGGTTAGGATTTGTTGCTTATATAATAAAAGGCCGGGCCCTGCAGAATCCTCACAACCTTACTGGCCAACCCACCAACGTGGGCAATCTGTCGCGTTTCCCTCCCTGGTCCCTCGTTGCCTACCCACCACCTTCTCTCCGACATCCCCCAGGGACCTTGCCCCAAAAAAATGGCTCGTGTTCCCTGCTGAGCGCTCTTGTTTCATCCTCAAAGATTTCCATTCACTGCAAAAGTCCCAATTTTTCCGCAGCGCGAGCGCCGCCTTTTTTCTTCTTCCCTGCTGCACCTTTCAGCTGTTGAGCCCCACACCTGAAAGGGTCTGGGCCCCACAATGGCGCCAGAGTACCACTACGAAGAAGAGGAAGAAGATGTCTACCTCGACGGCGACTCGGATGACGGCGTTCCTCAGCTTGATCATGAGGACACTCTAACGATCGAGGACGAATCCGGCGTCGACGAGTCTCAACCAGCCCAATATGGCAATGCAACTGCTTACCTGGCCCTTGAGGCTTCCGAGGCGGATTCTGACGCCAGCTCTCGTGCGAGCCTCGACATTTATGGTGCAGTGCTCGACGACTCTTTCCCAAGATTTATGGAGCTCCCCCCGGAAGTTCGCGAGATGATCTGGAACGAGTTCTGCCCTGACTTAAGACCGAGACCCCGCGTGTTCGAGTTCATATGCTCCAATCTGAGAGATATGATCCTTGCCTCACAGGTGCATGATCAAACCGCGCCAATGAGGGCGGTGCTTGCTGTTCACCACGAGAGTCGCGTTCTTGCCCTCAAGTCCTCGCCTGACCGCATCGAGCTCCCCCATGGAAATGGTGTTGTGCCATATCATAAAGGCCGGGATGTTGTGTTCCTCGTCTCGGATCCGCCACATACCTCCGGGGCACGCGAGGCCCTCGCTCTCGCGGCAAACATGGCACCAGGCTTTCAGCAACTTGCCCTTCAAGCTGGAGCCGAGCCGAAAGTAGACGACATCCTCGATGTGCTGCCTGGACTGCGGAACATTTTCATATTTGTTGATAATCTCCAGACGCGGACAAAATACCTGGCATGGTGTGTCTCTGAAGCGGTTCATGAGTACCACGTCGAGATGATCGAGGAAGAGGACTACGGCTTCTCACCCCAGTATATAGAGATGGTGTTCTGTTTCCCTGACACTGAAGCATACGTCGATCCTGGTGAAGAGCAACTTCCAGATCGCGACTCAGACAGCATCAACCTCGAACAGACTGGAGATTCCGAAAACCTGGACGAGGCGCTGGAAGACAATGCGCTGGAAAATGTCCCACCATGGGGATATACGCATTTTGAGGGGGACCCGTTCTTGTTTGACATGCACCCCCATGAAAAGAGATCGTGGCCAAGGAGACGGCAGTCGCGAGACGAACGCGCGGAGGAGGGCCAGGTGTCCAGTCATGAATCGTTGGCACGGCATATTCCCAGAGTCTGGCCGATGGTCCGATTTATGTTTGACTCGGGAATCGAGCACCTCGCCGAGATGAAAACTTGGCAACATTCCTGGGACGATTGGAAGTCCGATTACGGGCCAGCAGACACTCCCGGCAACGAGGACGAAAGTGAGGACATGGACGAGTATGAGAGTGAAGGTATCGATGACGACCCGATAGATGAGGACCTTTATCCCACGGACGAGGAAGACGATCTTCCAGCTCATCTGCTCGATGATGATGATGTTGATGTTGATGTGGCGTTTGGAATGGTTAATGCCACACAAGCTCGGTTTTCCAGCGACCCCGACGAGAGCGACCAGGATGATGGTGTCGTACAGGCTAGGAACGAGGAGGATTTACGCAACCGCGCCGCTCGTCTCCAGCGTCAAGCCCTTGAATCCGACTCCGATGAAGACAGCAACACCGAGGACGGCAAGACACATCATGGTACAAACCGCCGCCGAAGGGTGATCTCTGACGAAAGTGACAACGACGGAAGCGATGATGAGCAAGAGACTGGACCGTCAGTAATTCGCGCCGGCCAGAAACGTCCTCGTGCCGTTCTGATTGATTCGGAAGATGAAGACAATCAACATCCAGTACAGCCGAGTGAGTCCGGAAGCGAACAAGGTTCCCGGCCATCTCGTGCTACAAATCGGCGTGCACGTCCTGCCATACCCAGCGGCTCCGAAGACGAAGAAGACGATGCACCACAGCCGGGTGAGGAGGTCAGCGATGGAAGCTCGTCGTCTGACCAGGATGAGGAGAGCTCGGACGAAGATCCTCCCCCGCCGAAACGCGTATCGCTAGCCAAGAGGCTGCAGATGGAGTACCAGCAGTCTCGATCAGGCCACCGCGCCACAGATGCCTCTGACGAGGAAAGCTATGGCTCTGACGGTGTTTCTGATGACGAGGACGAGGAGGATGCGTCTGAAGGGGTCGGGATGGTGATGTCCATGGCAGATCTAGGCAATGAAGACGAAGAAGATGATGAAGATGAAGGCTGGTGATATCACGGGGAAGATGGAGCATCTCAGAATACTGCTTCTCTTTCAATGTTCTGGAACAGTTCACGTTCATATGAAAAGCGCATCTGGTCACGTTGATTAATTAGAGGAACATAGTGGTAACCATCTAGAAGATTCCCACAATAGGGCACACCATCTCTGAACATAATCATACACTTCGACTTGGCCTGATTAACGCCATATGACGCCGATGAAGACGTGCTGGGACATAATTAATAGTGTTTGACTGTCAAAACATGACAAGCAAAAGGTCTACCATGGGTTTTATTAATTCAATGTACCCCTGTTCCGCCGGAGAGGGTGGAACAGGGCTGTCATAATCATCTAATTCTCCAAGGTTGGTCTCAAATGGCAGACGTGGTGGTCATTTGCTGACTGCCCAATAGATGGTGTCATTGGCTCATTAAATCCACATGCTGATTCTTGATATAGGTGAAATATCACTTCCTCTCTTGGTGAGTTCTGAATGAGTTCTGGAAGGTGCAGCTCCAGGTCAAGGATGGCAGGTGAGGCCTGGAGATCTCTCCTTCCTCACCACACAGGAAACCAACCACCACTCAAGGCTCCTACTTGAGACTCGAAGAAACCTAACAAATTTCCTCCTCCTCTTCTCCATTTACCTTCCATCCTCCAAACTCAACAACACTATCTGCCTGAGGCCATCATCTTGTGTCGCTCGCACTGGCTGGGAGCCCACCAAGCTTAAAATCATCGGCAAGCTGCCACTACAATTTCCAACAGACCTCATTATGGGTCGATTGAGGGCTCGGCTGAATTCAATAGATCAAGCCTAGCGATATCCTGCTGCCCGGAGTGCTGACAAGACTCGCTTCATAGGCCTCTTTGAGGGCGACCTGGATTTAGACCTGGTCCTTCTCGGCGCTGTGATGATGCGTGTTGGTGCCAAGATCAAGGACGAGGATTTCCAGTATCTGCGCGAACTGGTGCCGCGAATCGTATCTCATGACGGCTACACGTCTCCGCTTGCTGACCTGGGCTTTCGGGGTCCTGGCAAGGCGCAGTTTCTTGCTGCTCTGGACAACTACAAACCTGGTGTTCCTCGTAGCTTGAGCGATCCGAGGTGAGTAGAAAATTCCCATGAAACAGTGTCCGCAGTGCAACTTGAGGATCTCTGACGGAGCCGTCTTGTTAATAGCTGCTTCCACTGCGGAAAGATAGAGCAAGACACTGGCAAGGCACCCGTGCTGTGTTCCCAGTGCAAAGGTGCTTGGTACTGTGACAAAGTGTGTACACTCTTCTAAAACCTTCAGCCTTGTCCTGTTGATCTTCTCACACATTGTTCCGCCGTCATATTATAGGACTGCCAGAGAGCCCACTGGCGTGCCCATCGGTCCACCTGCAGAGGTCTCGACAAGCCTCGCTTCCTTGCCAACGTCTGAGTCCGACTTTTAGGCACTACGCGAAGTGAGAAGAATGACAAGCTTCATTCTTGGTGAACAGGCAATCGAGACGACAAGTGGTGCAGCAAGCGATCGAGAATGAGTGTGCTGAGCAATTTGGAGTTCTGATGGAGTATCGAGCTAATAAACGCGATGTGTATCCAGGCTGGGAGGAGGAAACTGCTCTGGTCTCGCCTTGTATGTAGAAGATAGCAATCCGTTTCTCAATTGGCATGTGAGGTGGAAGAAGTCTTGATTATACGCAATGCATTGCAGACTTTCAAGGCCAACGCAGGTTAGCACCATCTTGTTCTTTGTGACAAAAAGTCGGTATGGTGCGCCGCCGGGCTCAATCGGAGGATTGTAGTTCGGACTCGCGCCAATAGTCCGGGACTTTGTGATGAATTCCCCCGTCCCCCCCAGCCGGTCGTGTCAAAGTGAATCAATGGTCATGACCTCATCATCTGGGCCGAATTCCGAGACAAAAGTTGTAATGAATACTTGCTACTTATAACAGAGTCTGATGCAAGTGTGTCTGCTTTCCTTCAGTATTATTTTTTCATACATTTAGTGACCTCGGAGGATCTACTACTACCACTGCAACAACATCGTCGATAACAACCTTCCAATACTTAATACTCACCTATACTTACCTAGAGTTGCAACGTCAGACGCCCTCACTTGAGAACATGTCGACGCTCACAACTCTCCTCCAAACAAGCTCAATAATCACATCCCTCCTTGCAGCCGGAGGCATCGCAACCCTCACCTTTTTCGTCGTCCCCATCCTCCAATCCCAACCCACCTCGCGGTCCCTACCCGCAATGCGATGGCTCTTCAGCCGGGGCTCACACGTCTTCCCCACCGCAGCACTCATTTCAGCCGCTGGGTTTGGCGCCCTCGCCCTCCAGTCTCTTCCCCTGGTCTCGTGGCGGCAGCTGTGGAGGGAGGTGGCGACCTTGGGGATCAGGGCTATGAGTGCCAGGGCGCCTGGGTATGCTGCGGCGGCCTTGCTATGCCTGAGCATCGGGCCGTACACAGGCGTGGTCATGCTGCCCAACAATTTTGCCTTGATCAAGTTGAACGCCGACGAGGGCGGCTCGAGGAGCGCCCACAGCGCTGAGGTTCGCTCTCCATCGGGCGCAGCAACAGGAAAGGAGGAGAAGAGCGCCTTGGGCTCCGTCGAGGGGGAGGGTGAAGCGGATGAGTTCAAGGACCTGAGCGGGCCGCAGGAGAAGACGAGGAGAGACGGTGGTACGGGAGCGAATGACGAGAAGGTAAGGGCGATGTTGGGGAAATTTGGGCGACAGAATCTGGTCAGGGCGGTTCTGATGGGATCTGGAGGGATGCTGGGACTTCTCACTGCACTGATGTGAGGAGCATTGGACTTGCTGCTGGAGGGAACCGATTCAACTTGAGCCCGCACGGCGGGTTTGGTTTGTGATCTTTTGATTGGGGGGTCTCCGCTCGTCCGAGAGCACAATGTGTGGACAGGGACATTTGCATCTGCAATACAACATAATGCTCTATATGAGTTTGTGTTATGCCACTATTCTCAGGTACGCTACTCGCACGATGGAAGAGGTGTGGCAGCAAAACAAGAACATCAACGATAGAATGAATTCCAAGTAGATGGCAAGGCACTATTGATGATCAAATCGCATCGAAGAACCTCGGGTCATGTGAATACATATCTTACTGCATGAAAGAAACGCGCTGCCAAGACACACTTGCGACCATGAAACCTGCTGAATGATGTTCTCTGTCGAAACTGCAGAGGCAGGCCGTAGAATAATAAGACCGGAGATGGTATAGCCCGCCGCACTGTCACTGCAAGGTGACGTGAGATCGCGCCTCACATTACAACCCCACCTAGCCACCCCCTCAAGGCATCACTCGAAAAACAGTGGGAAAGGGTGGCGCGTGCAGGCACAGCAAGAGGTGGTGGGTACATGCGAGAACAGCCTTGCCGGTAAGTTAAATCCTTCGCCTAGCGACCCCCCCCCCCAAAAAAAAAAGAAAAAAAAAAAGAGTTATGCTCGTGGAGTGGGAAGCTTGGCTTTTCTGACATCAATACGTTTAGAGTGAGGGCATCCTGTCTGTTTATACACTTCTCACGATCGGCAGAGGCAGCCTGCAAAGCCGCGGTCCTCATCAGCACCTATACCGAAATGATTATTATAATATTATGAGACTGCCTTTGGCGTGTTGAAAGTATAAAGTCCTCCAGCGAGCCTTTTTTTCTTTTTCTTCTTTTTCTTACACTTTCAGTCCCATACAGATACTAGCAAGACCCACATTATTTTTTATCATCACTCTTTCCGTCATTAAGGGACAAAAGGAAATCCAGTCGAGAAAACTCAGCCGCCATGTTTTACCGCAACACCAAATGGGCTGAGAGATATGCAGCCGGCCAAGCAAACCAAGTTATGCCAGGCCTAAACAGAACAGGGCGCCGTTGGGACACCGTTTTGAGATATGGCCGCGACGACTTCGAAACTGGGTCTGAATACTTCTGGTTTTACATGCACTATCTTGTCATCACGATTGGGACCCTCCTTACGCTGGCGTTGATCATTCTCATCATCGCCATCTATGCCCACCCTCCAACGGGTAGACACCCAGATTGGAGATTTCTGTTGCTCAGCGTGCTGCCGGTGAGTTCAATCTCTCTCTCTCTCTCTCTCTCTGTCTCTCTGTGCGATCTACACGAAGGATTCACGAGGGCTTCAAGCCGAGAACTGGCAATGCGTGTTCTAACCCAAATGACTGACAAATTTGCTGTGTAACAGAGCGTGGCCATATTTGTCTGGATATGCACCGATGGCTCGGCCGAGACCTGCATGAAACCATGGCCCAAGACGAGGCTGGCGATCGAGGCGATCGTCCTCGGGGGCTCGATAGCTTGCACGTGCCTATTCGGTGCCTTCTTCGCAAAGGTATCAAAGGAGGATTATTTCGTGCACTGTTATGCGACTATGCTTGCATTCTTGGCTGTTTTGTCGTAAGTCTGTTCTTTGCAGAGCACCCCAGTTTTGATCTCTTTCTGGTGAAGCAATTGTTTGCTGAGAGAATCTAGTTTCACTCGTATCATTCGCATGATTGAAATGATCCTCATCGTGCTGGTGAGACCTCGTGCTGAGCGCTCAACGGCAAATGAGCCTGCTCAGGTTTGAGGGGTTCGCTGTAACAGGACATTAGCAAAGAGGCAAAAATCACAAAGGCGTACGTGTTGATTGCCTAAGTAGATATATTGTATGATGTATGACATGATGGGAAACCGAGCGCAAAGGAGTTTGGGGATGCCCGTATACCATTGTTCAATTTATTCGAGAATAGTATTCAGGGATTGGAATGAGAGAGTGAGACGATTCAGAGGTTCTCTCCTCGAACGTTGACGAGCCTCAACCCAGCCGCTTCACCACTCACAAGAGTATAATTCGTCACGATACCCGTTCCATCCCATGCAAAATTCACAACTACACCGCCCCTAATCCTCAACCCCTTGACACTGCCACCACCCCAGGCACTCGGGATAGCAGGACCCAGCACCACCGTCCTCACCTTTGTCTCCTCCTCTGCGCCGCCCGCCAGCGGCAGGTCAACCACCAGCATGCTCAACACGTTCCCCGCCCAGCCAAAGTTCATATCGATCTGGAACGGCGGGCTCTTGCCGGCATACATGCTCAGCAGGTTCGGCGCCACGTTGTTCGCGATGCTCAGCTGCAGTTCCCCGTACGCCCTCGCGCTGTCGTTCAGCCGCGCCCAGCACGCGCCGCGCCAGACCTTCGGCCAGCCAAAGTTCCCACCATCCCCGTCCGCGTCGGTGCCGTCCCCGCGGGCGAGCAGGCTGGCGCGGACGGCGTCCTGCAGCGTGGTGTTGGTGAAGCCGCTGGCGAAGCTGGCGATGGCGTAGCCCGGGTACCAGCCTACGAGGTGCGAGATGTGCCGGTGCTCTGGGTATACGTCGTAGAGGTACGCGTCTGGGACCTTCCACTCCTTCAGCACGCCCTGGGGCGAGTCTGGGTCGATGTGCACGCCGGTGTCGAGGCGGGCGAGGGCGGCTGTGGTGGAGGCGAGGAAGTCGGAGGCGGGCTCCGAGACCAGGGGCGCGGTGCGGAGGACGGCCTCGAGGACCTGGTGGATGAGCTGCTGGTAGTGTGTGCAGCCGGAGGTCGTGGGCCCTTGCTCGGGGCTGTTGCACGGGTTGACGACGAGGGTGCCGTCGTTGTAGAAGCGGTCTTCCTGCAGTTGAGAGAGCCAGAATGATGCTATGGCTTTCAAGAGAGGGTAGCCGGTCTCAACGAGCCAGGTGGTGTTCTGGCTGTAGTCGTAGTGATCGAAAACGTGCTGCATCAGCCACGCTGCCGAGGCTGGGTCTGAAGCAGAATGGCAGAAGAGACCATGTCAGCAAGTGGGATGGGTAGAAAAGAGAACAAGGACAAAAAGGGAAGGAAAAGAAAATGAAAGGAGGACGAAGACACTACGTGAAAGGACGGTGCTGCTCACAGTTTGCCCACTGGGCTGCATTCTTCATGCCTGTGTATCCAAATATATTCATTTCGTCGTGTGTCACCCAGCCTGACCCATTATACAGCAGCTGCGCTGTCTCGCTCCCACGTGGGGCCCATGTGTTTGCCATGTACGCAAACAGAGGCAATGACAAATCTCCCAGGCCTGTCTGCTCGGCGCCCCAGTAGTTCATCTGCAGGTTGATGTTCGCGTGGTAGTCGGCACTCCAGGCCGGCTCGAGCTGCTCGGACCATCTGCCCTGCAGGTTGGCAGGCAATGAACCCGTGCGGGACGAGGAGATGAGCAGGTGGCGTGAGTAGTCAAACATGAGAGACTCGAGGAAGGGATTTGACGTGCTGTTAGTGTAGTGTGCGACGAGATCGGCTGTTTCCAGACTGGACGAGTTGGCCGTGTCTGGGAGATCAAGGACGAATTGCCCCATCAGCGAAGTATAGTCGTCTATGTGGTCCTGCAGCAAGGTACTGTAGGACTGGGCCGCTGCTGATTGCGTACTCTGTTCGACGACAGGACCGGGCTCTTGTCCTCTGAAAGAGTAGTTGCTCTGCGCGTTGCCCTTTGTCTGGTCGTAGTCGGACTCGGCAGACGACACGATTGTGATGGAGTACCGGCTTGGAAGCGCAGGGATGACCAGGGATCCATCATCTTGAGAGCATGATGTACTTGTATTCCCTACAACTTGTGCGATCGAGGTGAAGTGCAGCCCGATAGAAGCTTGAGTGATGCCGTCAAGACGTGTATAGCCCGGTCCACATGTTGAGTTCACCAAGGTGCTACTCATTAGGTCGTTGGACAGGGAGACTTTCAATGCAGGTAGGGCTTCTCCGCTGCTATTAATGTTATACACGCAGCTCTGTGCCGGATAAGAGCAGAAGACCGACGTCTCAAAGCGAGTCCCATTGGCAGTCCATCCAGACCGGTGTATGCCTGTTCTCAGATCAAGCGTCCGTGTGTAGTTTGCATATTCGTCAACGGCTCTTTCAAACGAGACTGTCAGATTACCTAATGTCTGGTAGGATCCGTAGCCGACAATATCGTTGAGGAGCTCAGAGATATCTGGGGAAAAGGGCTTCAGTATACCGCTCGTAATCATTGGGCATATCAAGACTGGAGAACTTACTTCCCGTTCCATTTTGGAATATCCACTCTCGAATGCCAGGCAGGTATTGGTATACAGGCTCAGTCGGGTTCCCACCAGTATAGTTCTACCCCCGCATTATTCAATATTCGTGATCCGAGAGAGATCTGGGAAGCCAGGCGGAAACTCACTGTTAATTCAAAGGGGCCTCCATACCATAAGGAATCTAGGTTCAGCATCAAGGTTTCTGCCCCTGGCGGCCCGAAAGGTATGGCTGTCGCTGCACGTCAACGCTCCACGTAGCGCCTATGGAAAAGGCAACTTTAATTACCTCCAAGTTTGCCATTGCCGAGAGCATAGCCGGTCTTCAAAATATAATCATCGTTGTCGCTAGATCCATATGTGGCAGGGGAACTCGACCACAAAGACGCAGCCACTGTCAGTGGAACGCCGCTGATGAGGAGTGCCAAAAGAATGGATCTCACCATCGTCACGGTACAGTCGCATGCCCCTGTATTAACCTAGTGTAGTACTGTAGAGCACGTTCACTGATAGGATATGACTGATGCACCTGATAAATGGCTGCTTTGTCACGGCTCGTGAACCATAGAGCATCGGACAGTTCACATATTATGTGATTTTGACGTCTTGTTCAAATGGTTTGCATGGTGTGATGGTCCGGGTACCGGTACATTGTTCCGACATAGTCCAGTAGGTTTCGCTGTTGTCAACCCAGAATTTCCACCAATAGCCAAGCTGCGAGAAATGTGAGAATGATGTCTGGTCTTGCGCTGTGTGGAGCGCGCGAGAGAGAGAGTGTGGGTAAATGCAGCACTGCTAAGTAGCGGTTGGAGTAGGTCGACATTGCATGAGGGGCTGCAGGCCGAGCATAGAGCGATATGTTCACCAGCGATGCATGTTTGCAAGCCTCAGTCCATCCTAGCCCAGCACAGCTAGCAGTTGATAAATTTGCAAGGGGTATCAGCAGTCAAGTGTAACTTATTCGAGGTTACTGGAGAGAGGTAATGACACTGTTGTCACCGACCCAAGTTTCCAACAACGCTGCTCAGCATAACCGCAACCTCACGGTCCCAATTGCCAGTTTTTTCGCCTTTCTTTGCAAGTGTGCTTGGCGGTTGACAGCCTTTGACAACACATTCTCTGATAGCCGATGCCACGGTGTCCCTGTTGGTCCTGAGCGTCCTTGCGGACACGCCGCCCCTGTTCAGAATCTCCTGAACCCGCGTCGACAGGCTGCCCGCCATTGTCCTCCAAAAATAGCTGGGCAGCGAGCCGGTCTCGAGGTAGCCAAGCAGTGGCTGCAAGATGTTGCCAAGCCCCTTCTCTGTCGCCAGATTTGGCAGCAAAGGATGCGCTGGAGCTTTGGTAGACTCCAGCACAATCTCGAGGGCGACAATGTTCTGACACCGCGCAGCGACCTCCGCCAGGGTCCGGTCGAGTGTGGGCAGTGCAGCGAGTGAGCGGTGCAGCGAGGCGATACTGCTCTGCAGCGACGTCTTCAGATAGACCTCGAGGGCAAGCAGCATCCACGTCGGTGCCCACTTCTCGCCCTTGGCCAGTGCCGTCGGCGACAGCAGATACAGCGTGGTCAGCGCAGAGATCGTCCTGGCCTTGGCCTCCTCGGACTGCGCGAAGGTGGAGGACCCGGCGGTACTGCCCATGGAAAATTCGCGTATGATCCGCTCTGCAGTCTCCCTCACGGATTTCTCTATCGGGACCGTAACAACATCCTGCAGCGCCCGGATGGCATCTACCCTGTCTAGCCCCTGCCCTTCCTCGCCGTGGCCCTTGTGTTCAAGGATCTCCCGCAGGGCGAGTATCGTGTGCGTGCACCTTACCAGTATCCGGTGGTCTTCCTTCTTGGTGCCCGGCGCCAGCTCTGCGTGCTGGACCTCGAGCTGCCGGCCGAGCTGCAGACACCGACCGACCGCCCGGCCTAGCCTCAGTGTATCCCATAGACGGCTGGCAACCTGCTTGACCTCGTCCGCTTCGGCATGCTTCTGGATGACCTCCTTCTCGAGCTGCTGGTAGCTGTCGTTCAGGCTCTTGATCTGGCCGTCGACCTCCGAGACAATCCTGCCAGATGCTTCTGTCTGTTCCTTGGTATGGGAGAGGAGAGGTATGGCGGACCTGGTGGTCAGCAGGTCGATGTGGGAATCGATCTCCTGTATGTCGAACAAGACGCGCGACAGAGGGGTGGATAGATCGAGAGGGGTGTCGTTGGCATTGTTCGTGGAGAGGACGAGGGTGTTGGCGAAGGAGGCGGGGCTGAAGTCTGGAGCTACAAAGGTCTCGTAGTCAATGTAGGATGGTTCCTCCTCTTCTCTGCTAGGAGGTCGATCCGCTGCGCTGTCCATGGTGCAGGCTATGCGGTGGATCAGGACGCTTGAGACTGTGTCGCGGACCTCGTCGATGCCACGGAGACCCTCAATTGGCGAGGCTTGTCCACCTTGGGATTTTCCCGTAGAGACAGAATAGCCCCTGTAATCATCAATTGGGGCGGGGTGAGAGGATGGCAACTGAGAAGTCTCGCCTGATCGACCTCGACACTGCGTGTTCTGCAAGGGAACTTGTTCTCGTTCAAGTTGTACTGGCTTTCGTGAGAGTCGCATGTGGCAGCTATGGAGACCGGGAGCTTGGGTCACTCTAGTGGCTTGACTGATCCATCAATGCCCCTGGACCCTGCCAGCCCTTGTCAACAGGGTTCTGTAGTTATGTCCTATACTGTACTGTATTGCGCTGTGTGCCACAGTACATGGTACCTGCGTTATCCTAGTACAGCGAGTCCTCGACAGCACTGCAGATCTCGTAAATACACATGACAGATATCTGAAACGGGTGGTGCATATATGAACCATTCTGAATACTTTGGGAAGAGTACAGGAGAAAGTCATACACTAGCCATCAATTTCTCAAGCGCATCCTAGGAACGCAGAGGCAGAGGAACAGACTCGATTATACTCTTCACAGCTCAGTGTAATAACTGTGGCGCCAGGTGAGTACCAAGGTACACAGCGCCCAAATGACGTTGGAGTGGAATGCTCCCCACCTTCCTACTCGAGAGTGGTTTTCCTACCCATCTCGCTTCTCGCCTGCTCGGGCTGCCATTTTGGTTAGCATGCTTCGGTAGGGCTTGGGTAGACTTTTTGGTAAGGCCTGCGCTGCCAATGCTGCGGCTGCTCCGGATCACCGGCTCTTCGCGTCTTTCCATGCGCATTCCTTTCCAATTCCGTTGAGGCTTTTCGACAACCTCTTTTCGGGTTCTCTCCTCTTCTGCTCTAACCCCCCCTCCCTCTCTCTTCCTCATTCCCATCTTCTTGTTCGTCCACAGTCCACAGTTGTTCGTGGTCCCGTCTTCCGCTTCTACACCAACGCGCTGCACGCACCTGCAGAGCCTGCGCTGCATACCGATTTCTTGACTGAAATGCGGTGGACGGTTTCGTTTGAGGAGCGAGCATCCTGATACTATTGCTACCAGACCCGAACAAAGAAGCGAGGACAAGTAGAACCCCTATCGAACGAACCTTACGACCGCGAACAGAGACAAAATGCCCATCTTCGACGCCAGGGACATCGTGTCCTGGCAGGGAGGCGACAACTCCTCTGACACGGTCATTGGAGGCGTCCACTTCAACCTGTCCGCCCTCGAGCACTGGAACTACACCCTCTATTCCAATGGCACCATGTCCAACGGCTCATCCGGCTGGTGTCTCTTGACCTTTCCACCCTACGAGCCCCAATACGTCTTCCCCAATGGCAGCTTCATCAACATGACTTCTTGCTATTCGCCTGTCAAGCCCATCGGTACACGAGCCTATATTGGCATCGCCCTCGCCGCTGTCTACGGCGTCGCCCTGATGTTCACCCTCCTCAACCTCGCCAAACACGGACGCATGTTCCTCCCCGTCGAGAAGAGATTCCGACCGGTCGGCAGGAGATGGCAGTGGTACTGGATGATCGCTATGAGCGCCACCGGCTTCATCAGCCTTATTGTCAACATCGACGTCGACCGATACTACCTCCCCCAGATTCCCATCGTCATTACCGCCTTTTTCTGGATGCTGCTGAATCTGTGTACAATGGCTTGCGTGTGGGAGGCTGTCAGACACTGGGGCAGCTGGATGGAGAGGCAGTATATCGACCCCGACCCCTTCGCCCTGGCGATGGACGACAGAAGGGCCAAGTTCGAGTTCTGGGTCCCCCTCTTCTTCTATCTCTTCTGGTGGCTCGACTTTTTCCTAGTGGTTCCTCGCAACTGGGGCAATATTGAACTGCAGCGCACCCCGGAGCAGACCCGGACGGTTGCTGCAGCTGGTGCGACGGACGGTCGCTTCAAAGGAGGGGCCTTTATGCTCCTGGTCTGCTGGCTCACCATCGCATTTCACCTGCGCCACTCTATCAAGCACTATCGCGAGCGGAACCGGGGGTTCTTCAACCGCACCATCGGCCTCATCAAGTTCACGCCCTACCGCTTCCAGCTGCTCGTTCCGCTTGCCCTTGCCGTCGTCGCGTTCCAGGCCCTCTCCGCGTGGGAGTTTCAGTACTCGGTCTTCGATGTCACAGGAGATCGTGTCTCGCTGTTTGTTGGCGGCTACGTCCCTGCACTGCTGATTTTGATCGTCCAGATCATTGCGGGTTTCGTCAACCCCAATGAGGACAAGGAACTGATCCGCCAGCGCCGAATCCGTGGAGCCGCAGCTGATCGGGAACTGGGCATTGTGAAGAAGCCGGCCTGGTGGAAGCGGCGCGAGAACGAGACCATGCGTGAGCGCATCGCCCGCAATGTGCGTGAGGTTGGTGGAGGTCGTGCGACGGCAGCCAATATTGACAGCGCCCTCGAGACTCGCGCGCGGGAAACGGAAGCCAACAATGCGGACATTGAGATGGGGCAGATGAGCCCAACCTCGGGACCCGCCGCGACCACCACTACGGAGTCGCGACGACCACCTGCAACACCCTATTCCGGCAAATCTAGCAGCCGCCGGTCAGAGTCAGCGATGCAGCACGCGGCTGGTCTCCTGTTCCCCAATGCCGAAGGCTCTTCCATGACACAGACTGAGAGGCTGAATTATCTGATGTCTGACGGCCCCCCGCCACCACCATATACCGGATCTACTCAAAACCAGGACAGAGGTCGACCACAAGGTCATGAGTCGAGTGCGAGGGCGAATCAAGATGCGACCCGGCCGGCCACAGCGGAGCGAAGTCACAGTGCTAATACCACCAATTCTCTCGCTGGTCCACCGCAGCAGATCAGGAGCATGCTCGACATCTGAGTGATCAATTCCTGGAAAATGAACCCTACACCACCACTTTATTCCTTCTTTTTATTTTTTATTTTTTTTTATAACAAGACGACAACACGATCATTTCATGTTGCACAAACTGGGCATTCATATAGGCCGACAGCGAATATTGGGACACGCTCATTTTGCCAACCCTTCCAAAACGGCTCCAAGGTGGAACAAGCCAGGCGTTACGGTTACCAGCATGATTACGAAGAAAAAACAATCTAGTGGCACTTGGACACCGAGTTAGATAGGAGGTTATATACCTCGGCCCAATAGTTCTAATGGATATTCAAGAGCAAAGAAAGCCAATGCATTGGGTGCATCGCGCCCTCCTCGCACGTGTCCTTTGCTGTTCAAGCTTCACCAGTTGCTCCTGCTCAGAGTGCCAAAAACAAACCCGGTGTCCCCCAGACGAACATGTGGCAGTGTGCCACTCACTCATCGCTCCTTCAACAAGTCGCCATTGCTTAGACGGACGAACCAAGGTTTTTTTTTGGCTGCCAAAATAACACAAAGCGTTGTCACACGATGAGAATCACCTTTCCACCACAGTTCTACATCCGGTGTTATCTGTCTTCTATCCTATTCGAGAGAAGTTCCATTACAATCCCACTGCGCAAAATACAGCATTCTAATGTTCATCAACATTTCTTGCCGATCATGGACGCTGATCGCCTGTCCAGCCAGAATGGCACTGCCTCCTCTGCTCAGACTCTGCCGTCTTGGAAGGGCGCAGATGGCTGTCCCTGCCTTGGGCCTCTTGCTGCGCGCTCTCAGAGTAGGCTTCGAGAGTCACTTCTTCTCGTCAAGGACTCTATCATCACGCTCATGTTCGCACCCATCAGTATACCTATGGCGGTGCTCGTCGATGCCATCCGCATAGTCCACGCTCTCTGGCCTATGGGCGACAATCATGTAGCCCCAGTGTCTCAAACACCTGTGAGCAGTCGCCTGCAAGAGCCTTGTGTCTGCCCAAAACCAAACACTTGTTCTTCTTCCGGTCAGTATGGCAGATCTGAGCAGCCCGTCGGAACCACCAAAGCTGGAGATGGCGTTACTCGGCTACCCCGTGAACTTGAAGCCCTCGAACTCTATGAGGCTATCTTCGTACCCGGCGATGAGACGGAATTCATTGGAGTTCTCTACGACAAGGCTACAAAGCAATGGAGATCAACCTCCATGGCTCACGAGTCTCCTCAGCTTGCACGCCTGCGAGCTCGAGAAGAGCGTGTCTTGGTTGTCTGCTCAAGGAGTCTTGTTCAAGCCCTCTCCCTCGGTGGCTGTGGCAAGAGCATGCTGACCGTCAACGATCAGAAGCGTGGTCTGGTCTTGCAGCACCAAACCCTGGTGAACCGTCTCCCCAGCGGATACGAGGTGCTTGGATTTCAGGCTGGCGAGTTGTCTGGGCTGCGCCTGTCTAGCCATGATGTGTTTCACATTCAGAATTTAGAGGACTTCCTCTTTCACGCTGCACGGGATGCTGAGGCTATCACCGCGGCTAGTGGTGGGGCGTTTCTCAAGTCGTGGCTCATACCTCTGCCTAGGTTACTTGGACTTATGGACGACACGGCTGCACAATCCACCTGCAAGCGCGGATTCTGGCAGCTGCACCATCTGGGCTTCGCAACTCAGGTTTATCTGCAGCTGTGGGACCCAGGCCAGTGGAGTCCCTCAGACAGCTTGGACGACGTCGAGATCAGCGATGCCACGACTTGGTTTGAAACGTATGGGCAAGAGATGGATTCGGCTATGCGCGAGGCCATCCTGAACGTGCTTACGTTTCTGTTGGAACCGCCGCCGCCACCATTGCCGCTCCCGCCGGCGGCTGCTGGTACTGGTAGCCGGTCAGGCCCCAAGATATATATCGTCTCTCGCTCGAGCATGACGGCGAGCACTTCACTAATGAAGATTCGAGACTCGACACGAAGGCGCGCACCGCCAGGGCCCATCGACCCACTGCTTCTCGGCAAGGCCTCGCGGCATGTCTTGCCATTGCCACCGCTTCACCACGTGCAAAATGAGCCCGCATCTGATGCTCCGCAACAACATGCTCGAATACAACATCCTTACCCTCTTGTTCCGCCGCCACCATCTGCAGCCAAACCTAAGCTGGGGTATGCGGTCGTAGCTCGGAATCATGAAGAGGATCCCGAGCTCCACTTCTCAGGAGGATGAGAAAGAAGCTCGTATGGGTCTGCATTCCAATAAGAGCCTGTGCAATGGAGAGAATGGTGTTTCTCACCCGCCAAGTAGCAACCTCCGCAACATCATGAAGTCAGGAGAAGAGCCGGTTGGATTTGAGCACGCTTCATGTGCCGGAAACATCACCGACCCGTGCATTGTCAGGCCCAATGGGACGAGCTACGCTCTGTCGGACAGAAGCGGTGTCTCAACAACAACGCCATCAGTTCCCAATTCCATACAAGAGCCCTCTTCTCCCTCTGCTGTCATTTCTTCAGCCGCTCCATCTGTTGTCGATTCTGGGGTCTGCGTGGAATTGCCAACACATAACTCGGGCCTACAACCACAACAGTCGACCAGTCCTGACTTGCCTGGCAACATTCTTCCTCCCTCGGTCCGACCTGCCTTTGAAATGGCCACCAAGGATGATTTACGAAGCTCTCCTGCCACTACGCAGCCTCCAATCGATCCTGCAGCATCTCACGATGACCTTTCGCCCTCGAGATCTGCCAGCCTGGACAGGTCGAGAAACACCCTGGAGAATGGTATCAGTTGGTCGACGCTCCCGACAGACTTGAGCTCGCCTGTCATTGCACGGGTTAAACCCAGCACTCTATTCGGTAGTACCCACCGTCGTGCCCGTCGTACAACAACCACATCACCGTCCCCAGTGTCGCCGCCTCGTGTTCTCAACCTTCCGAGAGCACCAGTCCGGCTTAGTGACTTGACTGTTTCCACTCGACCGTGCTCAGATAGCAGCGTCTGGGCCACCTGGGGAGTTGATATATCCTCGGACAGGGCTACCAATGGCTCTAGTCCGTCTCCGTTGAGCCTCCAGGGCCCTACATGTAATCTTGTACCAGAGCCAGGGCCCCAGGGAATCGAGGCCAATACAAAGCATCCTGTTGAGGACCTACAAAAGGTGGTACTAAGGGAGTCTAAGAGTGACAGCCTCGTGAAGCCGATCGAGTAGGGTACCGATGTCGCCAGCGAAGATCAGCGCACCGCGACCGAGAACGTTGATACCGATGACGACAAGCAGAAGGTGACTGCCGTCGAGGCCAGCAAAGGTGCCAGTGTCCATGCTGTTGCGAGTTGTGATCCCAACTGTCACCAGAGGGGGCGGCCATAGGCCGGCGGGTCATTGCCTGTGAAGTGCTAGATTGAGAAGGGGAAGCCAGAAGCCATGTCCAAAGATCCCATGAATGTGCAGGATGGCTTGACGGGTAAGGTACAACAATACAGATGGGATGTCGATACGTTCAAAGGCTGTGTTGGCGGCGGCAGCGGAGCAGGGATGAAAAAAAACGGAGAGACAAAGGGAAGGGAAAGGTTAAGCACAAGAACAAGCATCAAGCGTGTTGATTACGGATGCCACCACTGAAATGGAGTTATACGGTCGCCCTCTCGACTCATTATTGATGATAGGATCACATAAATAACGGGTGTTCATCTGCCCAGGGGGCTTTCGGGTAGACAGCTTCTCTTCTGGAACGATCCTGCCTTTGCCTGCATGGATATCTTCGCCTGTACAGTCAGCTGCAGACAAAGCCACAATTCTTTTTCATTGCCAGCAGCGTGCGTTCACGATAGGCTAGACTCCTCGAGCTGGTGGCGTCTAGAACTACGACGTGCGAGCCTCGCTCCCCATGTGGATCAGGACTGGGCCATTTTTCTCAGTAAGCGAAACAAGCCCATCCACGATCAAGGGCGTAATGCCCACAGTGAAGAATCTAACAAGCATATATCTATGATAGTGGGCTGGAACTGCATCAAACGGAGATTGAGGCTGGAATTTTTCCGAGTATTCATTTCATAGAGAGAAAGAGAAAGAAGGAAAGAAAAGATAAGAAGAAAAGAATGGTAGTTTTCTTGTTGCATTAAGTAATCAATGTGCTGCGGCGTGGATCGAGTCTGAATGGAACGGATTAATTGTGGTTTGGGATCCACACACCTGTACTGGCTCGCCTCTCTGTTTTCCCTCTTGACACCAATCAATAGAGGCATGATGAAAGGATGTATGTATTGTATGTAAGTGTATATCTATGATTGATCGTCCCGGATCTGCAATTCAGGAACCTGCCCGAGATCACCTGTTTCGTTTTCTTCAAACTCGTCGTCCCATGAAATGTTGACTGCAACCCAGGCGGTGTTTCCTTTGGCGCTGTCATGGGGGGGGGGGGGGGGAGAGCAAAGCAGGCAGGTTCCATGAAGTCACAATCATTTTTGAGGAGGGGGTCGTGTGTGGGCTGAGCGGGCTGCATGTTACCCCCTTGCTCTTGATGAAACATCACGACCGCCCCTAACAGGAGGGCGCATCGCCAGCCCCCCCCCCCCCAGGCGAAATTTGTTCCGAAGAACGAGGATTTCATGTTTTCATGCTTGTGGAGACGAAACATAAAGCATTGGAGAGGGGGAGGCAAGGATTCATGACCCGAAATTGAAAATGATTGTATGCGAAAAGAGGAGAGAGAGAGAGAGAAAGCTTGTGCTTGTATACACCGTCAAGTCTTTTGTCCGATTCTTTTTAATATCTGTAAGTCGTCCTAGAGCGAAAATGAAAGTTTGGTTTCGGAATCTCTTACCGAGCGAAACCACACCAACAAGACTGCGGCTCTTTCTGGACCGACCAAGTGGAGGGCTTGATGTCACTTTAATCAACCCACTTGCGCCTCAGTCCCCGGTTTTTTTTCTCTTCTCCCCCATGCTTCTATCCTCCTCCTGTCATTAGTCCATCCTCTTGCGGCCCCTGAATTCCCCCTCAGGCCTTGGCCCCCCGGTCGTCGCCGTCTTAGCTTTGCCGTCCTCCTCTCTCTATGCATCCATCCCATCCTATGTTGCGATGTTCCGTTTCCACACCAGCCGCAACCGAGGCATGGTTACTCGCTCTTCGCTCTGCGACCCCATGTTACCATGTAACCCATCGCGATGAAGGGGGAGCCAGCGCGCCTCCAAGTCATCTCGGCTCACGCCGACGAGGGGGGGGGGGGGGCTAGCGCTTGGTTCGTGAAGGAGGAGGAGGAGCAGGGCGGCAGGGGATTGAACGGGGGTGTGTCCTATGTAAGTGAAGCTGGGTGGTTGATGGGCAATGCATGCAATGCATCGTACATATATCCAACAACTGTGTCTTCTGACCTTTTTCTTGCCTTCTTTTCCCTTTTCTCTTTTTCTTTCTTCAGCTTTAGCCTCAACGACAAGCAATCCGTTCTTTTGGATCAACAGCCATTCTTTTTTTCTCTTCTCCCCCCTGCAAGCCAGTTCTTGCGACGTTCACTTCTTTCCCAACCATCACCACGTTCATCACCAACAAACAATACACGATCATTACCAAAGGGGCCGAGCCTCCCAATTTTTGTTGATCCAACGAGCATATAGACTCCTTGTCGTCGAAAACTTTCATCTTCTGCTCAAGCCAGGTTCTTTTGCACACATACACCTTCACCTTCTTCATCAAGAAAAATATCATCAAGATGTACAAGCAACTCGCAACCGCCGCCCTCTTCGCCGCTGGCGTCAAGGCCCACGGCCATCTCCAGAGCCCCGAGCCTCGTCCTCTGGGAGCCGCCATGGAGGCCGCCTGTGGCCAGCAGGTCTACGACATGATGGAGTCGGACGAGAACGGCAACATCCAGACCATGGCGCAGACGGGTGCCTCGCAGTCCGACTACGACGCCACCGCCTGCCACCTCTGGCAGTGCCGTGGCTACCAGTTCGCCGACGCCAACAGCAGCACCATCCACAGCTACAGCGCCGGCCAGGTGATCCCCGTCGAGGTTGTCATTGCCGCCCCTCACACCGGAACCGCCAACGTGTCCATCATCAACCTGGCCGAGAACGAGGTGGTCGGTGATCTCCTGGCGTACTGGAGCGTCTATGCCTCCGTGTCCACGGGTGTGGCTGCCAACGACACCTCCTTCAGCATCACCATGCCCGACACCCTGCCCGATGCCTGTGCCACCCAGGGCGGCTGTGCCATCCAGTGGTGGTGGAACGCCGCCTCCATCGACCAGACTTACATGAGCTGCGTCGACTTTGTCTGGGACGGCACCACCGCCGCCGGCAGCTCCTCTTCCTCTGCTGCTGCCTCTTCTGCCGTCGCCGCCTCTTCCACCGTCGCTGCTGCCAGCTCTGCTTCTTCCTCCTCTGCCGCCGTCGTCGTGTCCAGCGCTGCTGCGGCTACTACCTCCGTGGCTGCTGCCGCCTCCACCACTGACGCCGCCACCACCCTGGCCACCTCCGTCGCCGCTGCCGCTGCCGTGACGACGACCTCCTCTGCTGTCGAGGTCGCTGCCACCTCATCCACCTCGGCTGCTGCTGCGGCTTCCGGCAGCGTCTCCTCCTCCAGCTCGTCGTCGTGCGCCAAGAAGCGTGCTGCTCGTCGCGCTGCCATTGCTGCCCGCAACGCCAACAACTAGAAGAAAGTGGGGGTAGCTTATGTTCTTGTGTGTGTGTGTAGAGGCAGAGGAAGAGCTGCATGGTATTTTGGGTAGGAATGGAGTTGGTCTTGGGGTGTGGGTAGAGTTGGGAGAGAGATGAGAAAACTTGTTATGTGTTTGCTTCTCTGTACATACAATATGAAGGTGCTCCTGTGCATAAATTACATGGCTCATTTGCTCAGTCTTGTCTTCTTTATGTTGTGACATGAATGTGCGACCGTCGATTCTAGAAGGAACTGCATATCATCAACCACTTGATGGAGGTAGAGAGTACATGCCTTGTTGAATTTTTGGATTGTTGTGGCTCTGAACTGGCTGGTCAGGTTATTTGCCAGAAATCTTTGAAGCAACGGAACATAGACTGCGCTGAGCTTCGGTCATCTCTAGAGAAGGTGGTAGATTGTAGAGTTAAATGCAAAGAAGCTAGCCCATGTCAGATCAAACTGCTTTGTATGTATAGCTCTTTGTCTCTGAGCGCACCCGCTTTGCATGATGCCTGACACAATGACTATGTGATTCTAGGCTGTGAAGATCAAATTCAATTTGGCATTGTTCAGAGAGCATGATAATTATACTAACCCTAGACTTGTCTGAGAATCAGCAACTGTTTTGTTGCTTTCTGTAATGCCATCACACCTTTAGCAATCATCAGAATTCCAGAACAATGAAGCAGACAGTCTACTAAGAAGACGCTTTTCCCATGAGTTCAGCGTTGGAACATTATACATACCTCGTCACATCCAATAATGGTAAGGACACAAATGAGCTACAAAAAGAGCAGCCCCAAGCCACGCTGGCACTGTCACGCTGCATACAGAGGCCAAACAATAACAAGCCTCCATCGAAGAAGCCCAATAGTCCGGAACGGCTTGATACAATCATCGAGGCTGCTCTAGGAGCAGAACATGCACCTAGGAACTTGAAGTCCTTCATAGTGCGTCTGAGTGCTGAGAGTATCAAGGTGGAGAACTTAGAGCAGCTTGAGCAGGTGTTTGACAGTTCGCAAAGGCACAGCCAGCTCCGATACTTTGGTGGCAGAGCGCATGTACCCACCCGGTTCGATACCGTAGAGCAGACGAGGCCTTACGTCGACGCCCTCAACGACATGCCGCACATCACAGTCTTGTGCTTTTCAGGCGCCTCGCTGTGCGTTCGGGCGTGTGGAGCTCTCGCAAAATGCAGCCTTCGCTACAAGAAGACCCTCCTCGCCCTCGACTTCTGTGACGTCTTCTCGGCCCGCCTCACAAGCGAGATCGCGCCCGCCCTCGACGCCTTCGTCCCGGCCTTCCTGAAGCTACCGAGCCTCGAGCTCATCCGGCTCTCCAAGAACGCCTTTGGCTTAACACGTGCGGGGGGCCGTTGGTCGGGCTGCTGTCGTCACACCCCTCGCTCGAGACCCTCAACATCAACAACGTCGGCCTGGGCCCGCAGACTGGTGTCACGGTTGCCGAGGCGCAGACGCGGCTGGAGTCGAAGGAGACCGAGATGGGCGTGCAGCCGCTCTCGTCTTTGCACTGCGACCGTAACCATCTTGTCGAGGACGCGGAGCGAGGATGCGGAGCGGCCTGAAGTGGGCATGGACGAATGGGCTGAGGCGTTTGCCGCCAACGGGAGCCTCGGTCCTGGTTCATTACTCTGCGGAACTGCGGCCTTCGCACAGGCGAAATCAACCTACTCGTCCGCAAGGGGCCAGTCGAGCTACCGCATCTCAACATTCTATATCTCGAGGACAACACCATCGGCTCTGAGGGCCAGACCCACATGGCTCTGGCCGACGCCGTTGCGTGCTGGCCAAAACTGGAGATATCTGATCTCAACGACAGCCTGCTCTGCGCTAAGGGTGCTGCGCTGCTGATCGTTGCCCTGAAGGCGAGTTGCGGATAGAGCCGCCTCGAGGTTTTGAGGATGTCTGGCAAGAACCTCAGCCGGATTAATTTGCGAACGCTCGCTAAGGCCTTTGATCAGCACCCTCGGCTGCGGCTGGTGGATATCGCTGATAACGACATCGAGGCGGGTAATGGAGGTCACGCGGCATTGAAGAACGTCTTGAGATGAGAGCTCAGATCACAGGGTGGGAATGCGGTGTTGATGAACTCGCTGCTCAGCCAGTGTTTGAGGGTTTTTTATTGACAGATCACAGTTCATAGGACACATGTGGAGATTGAGAAGATGTGAACCCTTGGTTCATTGTTTACAAGTTCTAATTGTGAAGATGATCAGAGCATCTCATGTGTGTACTTGTGGCAAAGGTTGTGTCACTTTCAATACCTCGTTTATTTTTAATACCTCAACATGATCCATACAACCTGATATCGATGGCGTTGAACAAGCACCGACCGGTGCGTCAATCTAGACCCTTCAAAGCTCATTCTAGATGCAAGCCAATATCTTTTTCACATAACATTCAGAAGGATCAAATATGAGACGGTCCCTGAGGTGTGCAGATTACCCATGACATTCTTAATATCGAATCGCTCAGCTCCGTCATGAGGTCATTATGCATCTTCCCCAACCACGACATGGCCCAAACTCATCACACGGCCGAGTCATCCGGAGACTCGAAACATTATTTGATTGAGTCGTGTCAAATCCATCGACAGCTGGACCTTTTGTACAAAGGTTGCCAGATGCCAGGGGGAACTTTCGGACGGGAGGACCAAGATGGGATAGTGAGTGAAATAACAACAACTTTTATAGCCATAGCCCCCTCCTCCTTCCAGCCAGCGCCCTCGCAATCGTTTAAGAATCGAGCACATGATAGTACCGTCCGCTTGGTAAATGGGCCGGCCAGGGTGAGGGCCTGCGTAATCTTTAACAGGGACAGCCAAAAAAGCTGTACGACCCACAATTTACAAGAAATGCTATCGGGGCTGATGCGTCAAACCCTGGAATTTTGATGGGATGGGTCACATCGTGCAAACCTTATTTGACCCGCGATATGCTCTGGTGCCCAGGCTAGAATATTGAACCCTGCATGGAGACTTGAACCCCCTTTACCAACAGGCGAGTCTTGATCGTCAGCCTGTGATGGCTTTTGTTGGTCTTGGTGCTTGACAACGGTTTCATGAGCCTTCTAAGTGTTGTCATGACATTTGATCTCGGGGAGGAAAAGGTGGGTTGAAATAGTATTACTTGTTGCGTAGTATCCATTAACGCCAGAGGAAACACCTGCAAACCCCATGCAAGACAGGACGCAGAGCAGGTAGTCACCACCAGCAAGAAATCAAAATCGGAAGAGCTTCACTCAGCCTTGAACACCTGCAATCAAAAGACGCACCTCTTGGAAAGCCTCAGTCCGGGGAACGCCGGAGCACGAACCCGGCCTGGAAGCTCTAACTGATAATTTCCTAGAGACGCTTGCTCACCAAGAACCATTTGGCGATGGAATCTTCCATCCTTTCCACCAGGCAATGGTGCGCAAAAAAGTCGTCCCATACCGTTAGCAGCAAACAACAAGACAAAAACAGGAAGGACTCCGGAGAGCATAGCCTCGATATATGAGAAGACAGCTGATTTCAACAAAATGCGGGCTAGTCTAGGGAAATATCGAACACCAGTTTGACTCGACGCTGTCAGCTCGGCTGCACTGGTCCGTCTCTTCCCCGCCTGGGCAAGGAACGCAAAGACCACATCGTGGGGCACATAATTACATGGGGTTTGAATCACGTCCAGCCTGGCCCTGGGGTGGCTTGCAGGTTCGTGTACCCTCACATCCATCGGCCGGCAAGGGGAGGGGCATTGAGGAGGTCCTCCTGGCATAATTAAACGCAACCTGGCCGGCGATCTCTTCTTTTTGACGATCGATCTTTATGCGTCTGTGTTCATTTGACTCTCGTTTCTTCTGAATTCTAAAGTTTGTGTTTTTTGCTTTCTTCTAAACCACAGACATACTCGGCACGACTTCCGCATTTCGTGCTTCGCTTTTCCTGGCATGACAAGGCCTACCATGGGATGACCCACTCTGCTCTTCCCAAGTGCTCAGGATCGCTTTTGGCTTTCAGGTCTTTCGCGCGACTCCGCTGGTGAAGCACAACTGGCTGATCGATGTGGGCGGGAATGGCTCCCCCAGAAGTGAACCACGCTCTCGATGAGCAGTCGACGTCGGGGATAATGATGGGACTGGCGGCTGGGCTGGGATTTCTGTGCATGGTGGTCGTCGCAGCTCGTCTCTATACGAGAGCCATCCTGCTTCACATGACCGGTCTGGACGACATCATGATTGTGGTCACCCAGGTAAACATTCCCCGCTGGTTTCTCCAACGTGCATCATGAAGGGCGCAAAAGTGGTTGCTGACAAAGAGATATGCAGGTTCTCGCAACCGGGCTGAACATAACAACAATATTAGGTTCGTGCAACCACGGAAAGGAGGTCGCTTTCTTGAAGGATAGGAAGTACTGACGTTGTGCAAACTAGAGGGACATTTCGGTGTTGGCAAACACTCTTGGGTCTCGGATAAGGAGAACCTCACCCGGCAATTACAGTCCCTCTTCGCGGCCATACAACTCTACATCTGGGCACTTGCCTGTGTCAAGGTCAGCCTCCTGCTCCAATATCGCCGGATCTTCCTGGTCACTTGGCTACACCGCGTGGTCATCGTCATCATCGGATTCGCCGTCGCCTGGAATATCGCGCAGTCTATCCTGGTTTCGTTCGCCTGCGTTCCTATGAGCACCTTGCATCCCTCCATGGCAGACACGTGCCTCGATAGTCTTACGATCTGGTACCTCGCGGCTGGAATCAACATTACAACAGACTTTATTGTCTTTCTTCTCCCGATACCTCTCATCAACTCGTTGCAGCTGCCTGCGAGGCAGAAGTTCCTGTTGTGCCTAGTGTTTGGACTAGGTCTTTTGTAAGTCTCGCCCTGGTTCCGACTCCCTTCTCTGTCCTTTACTTTCCCACCTCTCAGTGCCAGAACAAGTCCTTGAAGCTAACAACACCGATGCTTCAGCACATGCGTGATCTCGATCGTGCGAGTCACAACCCTCCACTACGTCATCGCCACAAATGACCCATCGTGGTTCAGCACCCAGGGCGCGACCTGGTCCATGGTAGAAGTCAACTGCGCCATCCTGTGCTCCTGTCTGCCGACGATCCGATACCTCCTCGCCCAGATGTTCCCATGTCTCGGCCTACGAAACGATCACTCCAAATACGGCGCCGAGGTCCTATCGGGCTCGAAACGCCGCAATCATCGCGCCAGCGGCATCGTACTGCAATCGTTCCAAGGCAAGAAATCCTTCACACAGAGCCTCCGGCCCTCACATACTACCAGCAAGACCAGCCGGACCAGCGGCGCACCGGATGTGCCTGTCGACGACTTGGAGACGAGATGGGGGATTGATGTTGAGAAGAGCGGGCTGTATTACCACAGCAATCACATCACTGCGTGGGTCAGCGCAAATGGGGAGATGGGCTCCTCGAGGTCTCCGATCAGATCGCAACGACGGAGTGATGATGGAGGAAGCGAGCGGGAGTTGGTTGAACATAGAATGTCTGAACGCGACTTGGGTCAACATATATTGGTCACAAAGTCAACGGTTATACAAGAGAATAGGGTGGACGTCCCGGGCACGACGCCCAAGGGGGAAGGCTTGGGGAGAAGCTGAATTTGGACGTTTATAGTCGCTCTAAAACCGTTATCACTGATTCATGAGGGCATTCACACACATTTTAATGATTATAGATATGATTCTACAAATTATCCTGCAGTCAAGCCTCGCAGACAGCTAACTATGCCCTCAAATGGGCGACTTGTTGGGCCACAACATCTGCTGTGGTATTGAGAGAATGGAGTCTGACTCCTGAGACGTGCCCAGCATTATTGTTGATCAGGTCACGGAGTACCTCTTTTCTTGAGATCTTGATTCCATGCCTCTCGAGGCTCAACATTTGATCCGTGCCCACAGCCAGCTGTCGTCGATCCATGAACCCACGTCGACAGGGTTGCAAGTAGGCCACTCTGCATAGCTGCCTTGTGGGGGGGGGGGTTGTCAATTAGAGTTCAGCTTACTGCTTCCCACAATATATCATAGCAATGCGCACAGACAGTGAAACGTCGTATTCTCGGTGATTTTCCCACAAAAAGACGCAAGAAGAGAGGCAATGCGGAACCGCGTCGTTACAAGGTCGGTCGGTGTCTGCTTGGCACCCGATCCGTGAATTTGAGTTTGGGCAGTGAGATCTTTGGGACCAGTGATCACTGGTGATCAGCGAAAGTAAGACCGTTGCATCGATTGTTAAGGCGTATCGGCAATAGACAAGCTTATACATCAATTACGTCTGAGCACTTGGGATCAACATGATCTTCTAATTATCACATGCCGCTTAGCCAGCCACTTGCACATAAAATATATTGCCTGCATGAAGAACGTCGTAGCGAGAGAGACACAAATTCCAGCGGCTGTGGTTCTATGAGATATTAAATTTTAAAGGAGGGTGGACGGACCTCTCTCTCGCCAGGCCATTTTTACCTTGCGCTGACGAAAAGCTATGACAGTACTCATCATTCATGAGTAATAAACCTGACCTCGAGAGATTCTAGGTTTTCACGGTAGCCACCAAATGAACTTGTCGATGGCCTTTTTTAGGACAATCATATGTTTCTTGTATATTCCAGACTCAAAGCAATTATGTACAATGAATTCTACTGATGTATCGCTCCTCGTATCTGACAACACAGCTCACCATCACCACGTAGGCCCATGTTTAGTAAACAGTGGGATAGTCGCTGGAAATGTAGTCAATCAGGCCAGTGGTACCATTCATCGAGGTGGCAATCGCCTGGACGAAAGCCTCGGCAACCATGTTGGCACCAGTAGGGGATGTGTGGGTGTGGTCGCTTGGGTAGTAGCTGTTGACCGTGGCGTTGCCCAGCTGCTCGTACATCAGAGCCACGGCGTTGAAGTGGTCAACGTAGGTGCAGTTATTGCCCACAGCCTCGGCCGCGATCTTCTGGTAGCCAACGAACCGCGGCGCCGAGTAGACGAAGCTGCCTGTCTCCCCTGGAAAGAAGAAGAAAAAAAGAAAGAAGGTCAGTGTTTTGTTGCTCCTTGAAAGCAGATAACATTCCTCGTCCAACCCTCGGGACGCGGAGAGGGAGCAATACTAACAAGGGTTGTCAGGTGTCTGAGTTGACAGGACAACTGTTGCGCCCTTGGAAATCATAAGCTTTGCGGCCTGGATAATGTAATACACAAAGGTGTACACAGTCGAGCCGTCCGCGTCCGAAGTGCAAACCTCCTCGCCATCGCCGGGGCAGTCAGACCGGCCATTGTCGTCAGTCTCAGGGCTGCCGCCATCGTTGTGTCCAAACTCAATGACCACGATGTCGCCCTCGACCAGGAGGTCAGCAACGTCCTGGAAGCGGCCCTCCTCCCAGTAAGACCGTGCCGAGCGGCCTGCAATGGCCTCGTTAACGACAGTGGCCGTGGTGTAGTTTCCGAGATACTGGCCCCACCCGTCCGTCAGTCCATTGTCGGCACCGTCCTTGGCCATGGTGGAGTCGCCGCAGGTGTAGATTGTGGGTGTTGATCGGCGGGTGTGCGCAACGGGCTTGGCCACAGGCTTCGCTGTAGCAACGATGGCGCTCAAGGCGACCAGGGCGTATGTAGAGATCTGCATTTTGACTTCGGGAGAAAAGATAACGACCGATTGGGCTTAAAAGATGATGAGCTAAAGAGTTTGTCAGAGAAAGAGTGTGGGCCGGCCCAAAAGCAGCAGAATGCAAATAAGTCTGAACAAGAGAATGAACGGCTGGCGTTACGGAAAAAAGGGCGAAAAATATACGATGTGAAGTTGAAACAGAAGAAAAAGGACGTCACGATGGAAAAATAGCATACTTTCCCATCAGCGCTTCTTATTGAGAAAAAGCGAGGGACGGGATTTCTGCCCTCCTATTCTTCCGAGGCTATAACCTTCGTTATTGATTAAGGGGGCGGGTCACGGAGGCAGGACGCCCGCCACTGTGGCGCCCGGGCACAATCATGCACGCGCCGAGAAGCCAGACGCGGACGACACCACCGAAATGTGAGCGCTGCCCAGGGGGGAAATGACCTGTTTTCTTGCCCAGCTCTTAGAACTATGAAAGGAAGAGCAGGCTCCGTGATTCTCGAGCTCGAGATTACTAGAGCCAGCGCAGTCACAGATCTCTGGGCCAGTCTGATTACTGCACCATTCTAACTATTTAACAGTACTATGCTCTCTAGTCGTATGACGTTCATGTCGTTTTAAGGCCGATTTATCCCTGCAAGAACCGCGCCAAGCTCGTATGCACAAAACACCATGCAGGGGCGCTCCGCGATGGATTACTTGAAACAACAAGTGGACCTTGACTAGACTTCAGGCGGAAACATCTCCATGAAGACGGTTTACCGCGCTCGAATTCGGATTCCCATTCTTGCACTCATGAATTCTTTCTGGTGTTGCTTCCGTTCTAATCGCCAGCATGTGTCTACCCCTATAAAATTATCAATAGGCTCATTATTGGAAATGTCTCTTGTCACGGCCTTGTTGACGCTGACTCTAGCGCTGCGGGCTGAAGGTGGACTATGGCTTGGAGCGGGTCTTCGGAAACTGGCCATAAATCGAAACAAACCTTGACAAGCAACTAGTCTTCTCCTTGTCTCACAGGACTGCTTGGAAGAAAGTATCCACCATAGTCTGGCTGTGGCACATGGTCGCCTGCCAGAAATGCTTGTTTTACCCAGAGTTACGTGTGAGTAAGTTGCTTCGGTCAATGACTAGTGTTTGACATCTGACGGAACTATATATTGACTTCGTATTTAACATCTCTCGGCTTTGACAATTACAACTTACATGCCAGTATTGGCAAGGTGTCTGCATGTCGAGTTCATCCAGGGGCAGACTGAAATCGGGCCAGAACCCCAGGCCGAGGGTTAAACCTGGTCTCAGCCTCTTGATCTCCACACAACATTATAATCCACGAGGCAGCTGTACCCGCAGTTAACGGGCGTATTCTGTGGATCAGAAACGGTTGACACCGAGGAGCCATATAATAGCTTCTATTGTGACCTGTCGAACCATATTTGTGGGGAAGATCTCATTAGAACTTTGGTGGAGGATTAAATGAGAGGCCAATGTGAGAATGGGAGGGGATCTAGATAGATAGTTTCTTTCTTTGAACGATTCGCATAGGAACAGTCAAGTGCAGTGACTTGCGAATTCCAAAGGATTTTCGAACTGCTCGGCATGGCGGACCGAGCGGGTGAGCGCCCAACGTGCAGATGAGGATCAGAAGGATTTCTCTGCTTCTTGAAGGATACTGGATGAGCGGTGGGTCTGCATATATAGTCATAAACTAGGAATTTTCTCTTATAAAGTGCCTTTGCATTTGAGAAGCGCAAGGGACTGTTTTTGAGTTACTGTTCCAACCCTCCCTTTGAATACGAGTACGTAATATCATCAAGTAGAAGTCGAATTTAGCCAATGGCAATCAAGTTCAGCAGCTTAGATCTCGAGAAGGGATTTCTTTGAGAGCTAACCTTGAAGATCGTTGGTTTCTCCTTGCCTCTCTCTACCTTTTTCTACTTCGTGCAAGGCAGATAGTGATGAAAGAACGGAGCCGAGGGCGGGTGAGCGGGCGGGCAGTTGGTCAGAACTGGATTTCACGGTGCAATATTTGGTTAGTAAAAGCTGATAAACATGCCTAACGCGGGGTGACTTACACACCACTTTGTTAACGAAGATTGGAAGCGCATCTTCTGAGAGTAGAGTCCACGGCAAATTCGGCAAGACTCACCACCAAGTGAAAAAGAAGGACGAAGCATTGCGTCTTACCAGCGTTAATCAGGAGAGCAAGGAGGAAAAGGAAGAGAAAAAAGAAAAGTATTGATGACAATTTACTTTCAGAGACAGATCGAGGGGTATCGTCACTCAATTCAAGCAGTCATGGACTATGGCCAGGACTCGAGCATGAGGAATCGCCGTATAATTTTCTGAAGACCATTGTTTTATGCGCCTATATATATATAACACCCTAGGAATCAACTGGCTCTGTGTTCCACACGCCGTTCCCATCCTGTATACTGTGAAGTCCAAGAATCCGCATGAGCAGTCCGAATCCTGTTACAGATGCAACAGTACATGGTGCTACCAAGAGATTTAGTAAAGATGCCCCTGATGAGAAGGAAGAAAATGAATAGACGGCTGAAGAAAGCCTCATGTCGGGGCCTCTGTGGCAAGCAACGCTAGGAACGCAGGGACTTTCGGGTAGAAAAGGCGGGCCTCTTACTTCGATTCGCGCTTATGCTACTCCTCCGCCACAAGCCTCAGTGCATAGCTATGAAAATGTTAGAATTTTTGCCCTCTTATGATAATGAAGTTGTGGAAGATGGATCGTGCCGAGGGTTGAAGAAGTAATGCAGCATGTTTTCCTTTCGAACATGTAGACAAATCTCAATCTGACTAGCAAAAAGAGAGAAGGAGAAAGATAAAACAAGGCATGGGAGGGGGGCTTGGGATTAGAGCTTACATCGGAAGCGGTTCCAACATCTGCGCGCGCAGACAAGGCGGGCGCTTGAGGCAGTGGCGCTGCCATTCCAAGGAAAGGCATGGCCAGGAAGACTGCCGAGAGGAGAACGGAGAGCTGCATTGTTGTCTAGTTGTATTTTTTGTAAATAGATCGGATCGCTCGATATTATAATATGGTATGTCGCAGGGCGAGTAAAGCGAAAGTGAATCGTGCTGGGTTTGGATTGAATGCCAGGCTAATCTATGCGGAACACGACGTTGGAAAGTGGGAAGCTTATATATCTATGTATTGATCTGAGCGCGTCCGGGACCCAGGTTTTGTTTTTCTCCTGCTTCTTTTAGTTTGCCCTTTTGGTCCCCCTTGCAGGTTCCAGCCGTACCGCCCCTAGCAATACGACCCTTCAGCTGTGATTCCTTCCGTAATCTATAGGTATCCGCATTCGGGTACAGGACCGTTGATAGGTGATCCTCCGTGCACTATTAACTGCCACATTATGTCACGACTGGGGCGCGGGCAAGACTTGCTGCCATCAACCGAGATATAAAGAGTGCGCCACGCCAGCTAAGTTGAGCCTACCCAGAAAGGGGTCGAAAAAACCAATTTGACCTCTGTCCAGGGAATACGCAGGCTGTCCATGGTTGGGCGCACGTGTTTGGGAAGTTGGGAGTTTATGCAGAATCATGCGGAAGTTATCCGCTCGTTCAAAAGCACCTAGTTTGACCCATGTTTCTTCCCCCTTTCATACTGATGTTGGACTTAGGGTTACCAGCATGATTTCACGTGATTTGGCACCCTAGTAGTTGATTGATCTGCATTTCATTACGGCATTGACAAAGGACCCTGTCAAGTAAAACGTTCTGGCCCCCAGGGAGAATGAGGACTGCTGGACATAACTGAATATCTTCTTTGAGATTGGGACCACCGCTTGGCGCCTCGCTTCGCCGACCCCTGCCCAGTTGTTGATGGAGATACCCACCTAGGCCCCAGGGAAGTGCCGATGGGATTGATTACGGTTGTCTCCTTGGCTGTTCCGATCCTTGTGCTATAGTACGTATATGCCAATGAGTGGAACGCATAAAGATATGCTATCTAACGAGACGTTGTGAATCGGACAGATGAATCAAAAGCTTCCTGCATATATACCCCTCGTCGGTTGCAAGTCCTTAGTCAAGAACGATCCGATCGTCCTGCGAGTTTTCTGAAACAGAGAGTTGGCATGGGAAGTCTTGTAGAGAGCGGGTTCATAACAAGGAAGAAGCGCGTGGCATTTCTAACTAGGAAATTTTACACAAATCTCTTCTTTGCTTCTGTCCTCCCTGGTCAGAAGCACGTCCCATGCTACGGTTCCCGGCTTTAATTGAGGGTAGCAATTATGACTAAGAAAGAAGAAAAAGAAGAAGAATAAGACCAATCATCACACGTTCCTATTCCAAGGTCGCAAGACAAAAGCGTAAAAAGTCCAAAAAAAAAAAAAAGGACGTTTTGTTTTATTGGTATAGTATATAATATAACCTAGGAAAGTGGCCGTGAGGCCTGTTTTGTATTGGTATAGACGAGACTGAGAAAAGCGCCGTGAGGCTATAATCATTGTAATGTGTTCAACGCTTGACCCGCCCGGAAAGAAAAAGAATCAACCCCCCAAACAGAGAATTCCAGACATCCATCGATCATGCTAGGATCTCGTCACGTTTTCCTTGCCGTCAACGTGACCCGTGTATGCCGTAGAAATCGTTGTCGAGAAGAGAAAGGTATGTTTGTCCATCGAGCCAGTGAATTTCCATTCATGGTCAATGTCGGATGCCCAGCATTGATGCATTTAGCAGGTAGTGACGCACTATGTAAAGGCCTCGAGTCAGTGATCATGTCCATGTCCAAGGTCCATGTCGGGGAATAGGGATTTTGATATGAGTTATTACTTACTTCGATGGACTGGGTGCTTTCAACAGCATCGGTCGCTGGGTTGGGAACAGGCTGGCTGGCTGCGAGAGACAGCATCATGGAGATGGCAGCAGCGATAAGAGTGGAGGTACGCATTTTGGATGGTAGATTGGGAGAGTATTGACTTGAGTCTTTTTGCTAGGACTGAAGATGATGGTCAAAAGCTAGTATTGTCTTGAAAGGTCTGTTGCTGGTGAAGCTGATGAGATGTTTGTTGAAGAATGCTGATGGATAGAGAGAGAACCAGTCCTCATCTTTAGAGCCGGTGATATCAGGCTCTTAAATACATCTCTGCCTCTAGGGGAGACATTGTCCTCCAAACGACACAGCCCAGTGTAGCCCCCAAAGAGCGAGGAGTCATCACGAGGAGCCTCATGGGGTCCAAGGCACCAACAGCCGCCAGCCACCACTGCACCGAGAATGTCCATCCTCTTCAGTATTACTAGCTTGGAGGGGGGGGGGGGGAAGGATCTTTCGTCTTGGTGTCCCGAAAATCGTGGCAGGGCGGCGGCCGAACCCTTACAAGGGCAACCCGAGCGCCTGGTTTTCCTGCCACCTATCAGCATTGATTGGACCCTTCTCTCTCCCTTCTAGGGTGGATGTGGAATTGGTGCGGCGACGCCGCAGGAACAGATCGAGTCACGCAAGTCACTTGATGACAATACGATGCTGCAGGTAAGCCGACACATACGGGTTGCACAAGCGCAGTTCAGCCTTACAAGGCGGATCCACGTGGGCTCGTGTGTGTAAGAAAGTACGTGTGTGTGTGTGAGAAAGTGGGTGTGAGTGGGTGTGAGAGCGAGCGAGAGAGCGTGTGTGTGTATGAGATAAGCCGAGAACGTAGCGGGGGCCAAGGCACAGAGTCCTGTCTCTGGATTGGTGTGTCATCATGGTAATCATCAACACCAATGGGGCCAGGGGGACAAGAAAGAGTGGGGGTGGAGGAGTGAGTGCGAGGGTGGCTTTTGCGATTTTGTAAGCCAACAAAGACAGGGATTACAAGAAGAAAAAAAAGGCATGAGGGAAAACCGAAGGAGGAAACAAGGAAAAAAAAAAAGAAGGGTGTTCACATGACTGAATTACCTGTCAGACTCGCCGGATTGCGCATCTGCGATTTGGGGTGGAGCATGCTGTGCAGCCTACGGCCTATCACGAAGTGTGTCCGGCTTACTCCTGCGCCCTGGGGGCTGGAAAACCTCAAGGAATTGGATGCGTGCCAGATTGGGACATGAGAGATGCGAATACTTAATTGGCGCGTTATGGTCAAAGATGGACCCAAGATAGGAAAAGAGGCCATTGGAAAGGAAATGAACGGTCAGGAAGGTGGCACAAGGTCATCCATCGCGGCGGCGCTCGACTTGCCCGACTTACTGCAGACACAGCCTCTATGAAGTACGTAAGTCAAATAAGTACGGTACAGTAAGTCAGTAGCTCAGGAAGTGTTTAGTAGTCAGGCAGCCAGACTGTAATCCGAGGCATCTAAGCCACCATTGGTGGTTATTTTTCTCCTCTAGTGATCAGCACTGGATTTGGGAAATGCAGTGAGAAAGAGAGAATAAAAAAATAAAAAAATTGCGTAGTATGGACATGTGCTCGGATCACAACACCACCTGATCACTCAGCCCAAATAAGGCAACCATTCGAAATTCTTATGAGGAACCAACACTGGCGAAAATTAAGAGAAGAAGAAAAAAGATAGAAATTGCCAACAAATGAACCATTTTTGACGTCAAAAGAGATAAAATTCCGAGGCTACCCGAGGCTACTGTCGGTTTCAGGTAGCGAAATAATCCCCATTTAGGGGGGATCATCTATTAATTATTACATTTGTACAACAAGCAGGCTTGCAGCAGCCCGTCGGAGCCCCGCTGGCCGATCGTCGCAGGAGCAAGGTGGTATGCGTAAGACCCGAGTACTGACTACTAAGGCGAAACCAGAGTTTTGCGCACATGAACAATGTAACATTACGCTCTGTTTCTGCTCCTTTTTTCTTCTCCTTCCTCCTTTCCGCCCTCTCTCTTAGTAGAAGTAATTTTTATTTTATTTTAAAAAAAAGGCCTTTTTTTTTCTTTCTTTCTTTCTCTCCTCATAACTCGTCTTCTTCCGAGCCTGAGAGATCCAGACCCAGATTACTCATCTGGCCGGTGATCTCATGCTGCATAGCCTCCACCTTCTCCTTCTCGCCCCATTCGCGCATCCATCCTTGAAGTTCCGTCATGAGTCTGGCCGCACTGCCCGTCTCTCCGCGCAGGTTGCACCGGTCTATGCTCTGGCGCATGTGGTCCTCGGCCAGGGCGCGCTGGTCTTGCTGCTGGTAGAGGCCCGCGAGGTAGTAGTGGCAGTTGAGCTCGGCCAGGAGGGTATATTCGTCGTCGTTGTCCTCGCAGGCCTCGAGCGTCATCTTGTAGAGCTCCTGCAGCCGCTGGGTCGGGATGCGGCGCGCCCGCACCTTTTGGCGCTCCAGCTCTGCCATCCAGAACACCTGCTGGACGGGCGGCTTCTGCTGGGCGCTGGACGCCCTGCGGCTCTCGTAGTCCTTCCACAGGGCGGCCTCGAGGTTCTCGACGGGGATGGTCTCGAAGCCCACGGCGTTGCCCAGGTCGAGCCACGCCGGGACGGTGCGCCCTCTGGTGGATGCGTCGGGGAAGGACTCAAAGGACAGCAGGATGCGCTTGTACCCGCGGATGAGAACCTCTAGGAGGTCCTCGTCGTCGGCCTGGTTCAGGTTGAGCAGGACACGGCGCAGCGGATGGCCCTCGGGCCAGTTCAGGGTGGTCGAGTCGGTGGCCAGCGCGGCGACGTACCGCACCAGGGCTTTGATGACCAGGTTCAGCCGCTGCTTGATGTTCTCGCTCAGCTGCTGGATGCCCGGTATGCTGAGGAGGTTGATGAAGAGGAGGAAGAGGCAGCGCGGGATGGTCATCAGGTTGGAGCTGAGCAGCTGTTTGATCTGGTCAGGGGCCTTCCGCAGCAGGGCCAGCGCCTCGGGCATCTTGTCCTGGGCGATGAAGTTCCGGGCAGAGATGACGAGGTCGTACACGGGCTTGTCCTGTGCATTGCTCGTGGTCACCATGTTCTCCCGCCCCGGATCGCCCGAGTGCGCATAGACATACGAGTGCAGGTCCGTGAGGATATGCTCCGAGACCAAGAAGGCGGCGGGGCTGTCAATCAGCGTAGCCCTGGGCGACGGCGACCGGCCATAGCGGATCATGGTCAAATGCGACGAGGCTTTCTGCACAACATGGGACGGGAGCCTCTTGCGCCTGAGATGGGCGGCCACCCTGTCGAGGCCGACGACCCGCCCCGTGGCGAGCGTCACCTCGGTCGAGTTGCGACGGACGTCCCCTTGGTTCTCGGCGTCGATGATGAGTTCCATCAGCGACTGGACCTCTTCGGTCTTTACGCTGACGTTTTTGGTATAGCCCCATTTTTTCAAGCGCGTCTTGACCATCCTGGGACTGTATTATTTTTTAAAGAAAAATAAAGAATACCATTTTTAGTATACATGTCAGCACTAAAAGAATCCCCCCCCCCCCCCTTGAGGGAGGCAGAGAGAGAGAGAGAGAGAGAGGGTGGAAGGGGCCAGAAAGAAAGAAGGGAGGGAGGGGCGCGGGGGCGCGCAATGAAAGGATCTGGCCACAATGCTTACTTACGTTGCAATGAAATTGTGTTCCCGTTCCATTATTTCCAAGACCTCTCTTAGTGTCTTGTCTTCGTCTATGTAAAGTCGCTTGATTGTCGTCATGTACTTGCTCCAGTCATATCTGCTCGGGGTCCTCCCGGTCTTGACGCCCTTGGCTGCCGACCGCGCCGGAAGAGCAGCAGCAGTAGTAGCAGCACCAGCCGCCGCCGCCGTCCTTGGTATTGTTGTCGCCGAGGAGGCATTGTCGTTGTCCCCAACATCGTCGTCGTCGTTATCGTCGTCATCGTCGCCGTCGTCGTAGTTCTGATCATTGGGAAGGGAGGGGGAGAACATTGTTGATGATGATGATGATGTTGTTGCTGTTGTTGTTGTTGATGTTGCTGAGTAAGGAGAGGAAGCTGAGCGGGGATTGGCGTAGCCGGCTGTGTCTGTCGATGAGGTGGAGGGCGAAACGGGCATGATCAGTGGGTGGAGCGCTGGGGAGCCGCCGCCGCCGCCGCCGCCGGCGGTTTCGCGGTGCCGACCTTGGTTTAAGGCAGCACCAGGAGCCTGGGCGTGTTGGTGGATAAATGCCATTGCGGCGCAGTAATGTGTCAGGAAAGTGAGTAAGGTAATAGTAGAGGGCAGCAATGGTCGGGCGAGACACGAGGCGATGCATGTGACCAAAGGGGTGAGGATGCAGGGTGAGCAGCGATCCTTGTTGCAGAAGCGTTGCGGCAGCAAGAGAGCGCGCGCGCTCTCTCTACTTTCTCTTTCTCTTTTTCTTCTCTGTCTCTCTCTCTCTCTCTCTCTCTCTCTCTCTCTCTCTGTCTCCCCCTTGACGCACGACGCAATAATTTCCGAAGGTGCCGATCTTGGAGAAGGACAGACAAACAACGTAAGTGGTGATCACGCCAGGTCACATTCTGTGAGGGGATGGATGTGTTGTGCTGCTCGACGTTCCGGAACGGCGGAGGAGTAAACGGGCCGCCTTTCTTTTTCATTGGGTGCAAACACAACCTTTGGGTCGGAGCTCCGGGAGAATGAAGAGTGACGTCCTGAACGCGGTATAGTGGTCCCTCCCCCCTCCTCTGGCCTTTTTGTCTATTGGATGGTGAAGCGAGGAGTGTAGCACGGGAGCCCAATCAGAGCCAGCTCACCATCACCCTTCCCCCCTTGGCCTGCAGGAATCTGCCGTACCCGAGGCCGGCCAGGCGGGTCCTCCTTCCATCATCCTGCAGGCGGCCAAGACTGGCCAAGAGTTGCCTGTCTCGGCTTGTGACTCCTCATCAGCCATTACTGTCAGAAGGGTGGTGGGAGACACTACTGGGGCTGAAGAAGAGCCTGGCCAGTGGTCATACAGCCACATCAATGCTCAGGGTCTGGATCAACAGGGGTGGAGAGGCCATTGATTCTTGGAGGGCGTTGCACTGTGAACACAGGCAACATCGTTCCATCGGCCAATTTCGCTGTCGCCCAATCGATCCTACGAGGCTTGTCCTACCCTTCTATTACCTTCCTGCAACAGCTCCTTCAGGATCAGAAGTCCGATCGCATTGCAGCATGGATTCGCAGCTGCGTTGGGCATCTCGGAAGTGGCGTGTGTATAATTATATACTTAATTCAAGCCAATCCAGAGACACAGATATACACCCACATCTCCCAATATAGACAAACATAATTCTACTGACTTATAGCAAAATGTTATTTCTATTATTCATTGCTATAACGCATCAGTAAATTTCCGGCACTTTCGCTGCCGTCCCTTCAGACCCTGAGTGCAGGACCTCAGTCCCCGTCCCGGTCTTGTTTTTATATTTGCAAGGGAGCTTGTCAGCAGGCTATGGCGAGAATCCAATGTCAAGACAGACAGACCAACAAGTAATTTCGCCATAGAAAATGGTAATTGGAATGCTAGCGAGTTGAAAAACTCTGTGCAGTCGATACGCTTGCCTTGATGAGTATTTTTCGTCACGATCCAATTACCAAATTCCTTTTTGGAAAAGAAAGCCACCAAATAAAATCAACCCCCCTCCCTTCCTTGTGGGGCTCGACCAACAGCACTCGAGCCGATGATATGCATACCATCCTTATTCCTTCACCCCTCGTCACTGAGTGAGACGTTTCTGTTCACCGAAAAAGCTACACCGCTGTCCGGGTCTCAAAGCCTCAGAACCGATGACTCACACCTGGTCTGATGAGATTCACTGCGAAAAGGGTTGCGCTCGAAAATTACCATTAAGCCTGGGCTGCTAAGCAGAAACTTGTCAGCCCGTCGTAATTCACCCAGTCAGCAAGCAGTACCAACTCTCTGGTCGCCTGGGCACAACGCAACAGGCAAGTCAATCGTTGCTACTACGTCAGCGGAAATAATTGCCCCACCCCTTTTTCATCTTCTTGTTCTTTTTTTCTTTCCTTTTCAATTTACCTAGTGGATTGCAGATCCAGATTGGAGGCAGCTGGTTAATTACCCTCGGTGACGGAATGCGGTCGTCTTTGGGTCATTTGCTAGTTTTTCTACTTGAGGAAACCATGGTTGCGCCTGAAGAATGGTAGCGAGCACAGCTTGAGGGTGCTCGTGTGGTCTCACATGCGATACTGAATCAAGGCTCCAGCCCCTTCCAACGCACTCTTTGCGAACAACGCCCGAGGGGGGCCAAAATAGAGCAGAAGACGAGATTTCAGGAACTCCGAAGAAAGAAAAGAAGAAGGGGAAAAAAAGGAGAAGAAAAAAAGATCACAATAGAGTGAGAGTTTAATACGTGTCTATTCTCCCTTCCTTACCTGGTTTCTGTATCGTAATTACTGCACGACAGACCGTTCATAAGCCAAAAATCTCAGAGTCGATGTCTAGCAGAGGCTCTCTAGGTAACGTGGTAGGCATCGATCCTCTGTTTGAATGCCAGCCAGTAGTCGGGCAGCCGGTGCTGCGTGGTCCGACAGTCTGAATTCATAGCGCTCCAAATGCACGCCCCTCATGATAGCTCGCCTGGCCTATACTCATCATGTCTTTGGGAACTGTGACCTTCGGAGTGTATTTTTCATACGCAGGCTTAGTTGATCTTCAGTCCACCCTTTCTTTTCCTTCTTCCTTCCTTGCCCCCCCATTCTCTTTTCGTTTTCCTGTCTTTGGTTTTCTCCCGCATTCTTTGAACTGTTTCTCTATCTGCTTGAGCCCTTCCAATTTGAGACCTGCTGTGTTGCCGACGCCCATTTATACAGCCTCCAATGTATGGCTAGGAAAATCCAGGGTTAGGGGTAAGATAGCCTGTTTTCCATTCTCTCCTTGGCTGGTCTTGATGATCTCTCCACTTCCACAACTTATTCCTGCTGGCCTATGGCAATTTTCATGGGTGTTATGAAATATATTTTTTGCTGTTTATATATATATTGCTGCATCTTGATCAACTCACCGTGTTGTGTTTTCTTCTCCTGGACGATATCCTGTCCTTTTCTGTTTCACGACCACTGTTCAGACTGCATCTTACAGTGTGTCTAGTGCTAAATTAAGGTGCTGTAAGAACAACACACCCTACTGAACAGTCTAGCGCTGTAACATTTGACAGGTACCAACAAGTGGCTTGGATGAAGTAATACATCATCTCAGCTCATTTCATACTCCAAACAGCTTGAATATCAAGTTTCGAGTAACTTACTCTATGGTGGAAGATTTTCAGGACGAGAAAGAAAGGTAGTTCGTACCCAGTTACACATATACTGTATTGCAGCAGCACAAACGCCAGGCGCGAAGCTGCTACTAGCCTCACAGTCGTGCCAAGCAAGGCTCACAGCAGCTGGCCCATTTTGTCTCACCTGCAAAAATGGCCACACTCAAACCTCATTCCAAGTTGAGTCAGTGATGGACACTTCCTGCTGTCGAAGACTCAGAAAGAGAACAAGACTGCATTGTCATCAAACTCTGGTGTGTCTTCTTCAAGACAGAAATAACCCTCAACGCTGTGATTATCAACTAGTGGTCGAGGCTTAGCTGAGCTTCTCGAAGGTTCTTTTCACAAGCCTCAACTACGAACTGTAGCAATCGTGTCCAGAACAAAGCTTGGAAAACCTACCACAACAAGCTCCGAAATTGTGACCACAACGACCACATAACGAAGACCAGACTCTGCTCTCATCATCAACACCATCAACATATCACCTCAACAACCTCTCGACTGCCGCAGGCAGGTGACTCCGTGATGGCCGACTACCCCGGCACCAGAGGCGGGCCCGCCCAGACGCCCAATCTTCTACTACGACGCATCGCCGCCGTCGCCCTCGGCATCTTCCTGTTCAGCACCGCCAGCCCCTTCACGCCCGTCTCGTGGCTGACACAGCACGACTATGTCACCTACCTGGACGGGCCCCGTATGGTCGACCGCGTGATCTCCCCCATCCTGACCATGGGCGCCGCCATCCTGCACTGGTACATCGCCTCCGTCGCCTCGCCTCTGCCCTTGACCCTCACCGTGCCCAACCCCGGCGCGGACGTCCAGGTTCGGGACGGACAGGCGCACATCGTGCAAAACGAGATCGTGCTGGGGCTGTGGCTGCCCAGCTACTTCTGGCCGGCCATGGCGCTCGAGGCCGCGCTGCTCTGGGCGCTGCGGTTCGGGAGCTTTGTCGTTGCGCTGTGGATGGAGCGTGGGATACTGGCTGGTATCATCTTCAGCGCATGGGTTGTCGGGTGGAATGCCATGCCTTGGTACAGGAAGGAACAGGCCTGGGCCCTCATCAAGGACTATGTGGTTCGCCTCATCATCATGGAGATGGTGGATGCGGCCTTTGGTGGAGGTCGCAACCGACGACGCCGTCGCATGTGAGGAGGGCCGCTATGTTCTAGCTGGAGCAGTGTGGCCTTGCAAGTCATGGTGGAAGGGGTTGGTATGTAGGCTGACAGTCTGCTGCTGGCCTTGCTGAAGCAAAATCATGGAGTGGTCTGGTCATACTTGGTGGACAATGTGATCACCTCCGGCAAGCTGGTTTGAACATCCAACAAGACATGACTCCTCAACTATCTGGGTACTCCAGGGCCATTTGCAGCTCATCGAGTCCATAAAAAGTCGCGTCATCTTCCAAAATCTGCGCATTGAACGTCAGGTCTCGACACAGGATGTGCTCTGCCGGCCTGCCGGGGCGTTCAGGGCTTCCAGCCTTGACGCGAGGCAACCTGTTCTGAACATCGAAGTACGGTCGACTAAGCAACCTGCACGTCTTTCCCCGCCCGACTTTCCGAACCAACTCACAAAGCAATGAAAAATCTGTCCTCGAATCATATAACTTTTGGAGCTGAATCTCTTCAACCTCTTCTCGAATTCCCATCAACAACGCTGAGCCCCGTCCCCTCTCGGCTTGTCACATTATCTACTATGTGTGTCGTTGGCACCTCCTTTCGTGGGCATAAAGCCCACGCAGTGTCGTGTTCCACGCGTTGCACAGGAATACACTCCACACTTTACAGTCCGCTATACGACCACCCGTCTGTCCTCACAGCCTCGAGGTTGTCTTGGCGCAGACGTGCGCATCTACAACCGGGAGAACATGCGGCCCGTCTCGGCCGTCAACTGAATCGTCCATCCGTTTTCCACCCACGGCTGATGGGACAAGTTGTCAGTTGGTCTACAACATCAACTGGTGCGGTCTGATTTCGTCGGAGACACCCACGATCAGGCAGGAATCGACAGCACGACGACCCTGGGGCGACATGTGGCGAGGACAAACACACGAACGAGAATATACCTTGGGTTCCTTGTAGGTGTCGTCAGGACGGCGAGGAGGGTCACTGCCAGGGGCGCCCACGGCAGCCACGCTGATACCGCCATTGCGTGGGTTGCTTACTTTGAGTTCGAAGGGTCAGCGGGGTGGGAGGAGACGGGGATTGAGGACACACTTACCGGTGACGAAGAGGAGATAAGGGTTTTAGCTTGTGAGACACTGGCCAAGATCGAACCCAATTACTACTGGACTCTACCCTCGTCCACCATCCCAGCGACTTATGTGTCCACGTCCTATCGCGATTTTGGAGTGACTATAATCAGATATGATGACATGAAGTATACTGGGGGAGCGAAGGGTGTATTATGAAGAGACCACTGAGGCTGACACGAGGATATCTACACGATGGCGAATGCAAGCTTGGCGTGCTCTCAGCCTTAAATCAACACAAGTGAACAATTTATTCCCTCTGGACATGCAAAACCAACAGCATGTCATAACGCAGCACGGTGGAGAAATGCATGCGTTTGGGGAGACCCAAAGCCCCCTTCCGATGGGAAACGGGCTCGAGAAATAACGTGTCAGTTGTGAAGATGTTGCCCGGCGTACCGTTGAGTGATGGTATTAATACTGAATAAAGACTTTATTGAAACGTCGATAGACGGGGTATATAGGTGTTCATCATGACAAGACAGGAATTGACAACGTGAGAAAAGACACAAATGCAAGAGGCGAAACCCATCAGACGAGAGCAGAAAAAAGGAAGGAGAGAAGAAGCAGCACAGTATGCGAAGCATGTGTCTCCAAACCCCTGAATAGACCCATTACCGCAAGCTCCCGACAATGCCCTTCATCGCTCTCTCTCTCTCTCTCTCTTCCCCAACGTGACTTATGAAAGTTATCCTCTCACTTCTGGCCCTCCTTCTTGCCACCACCGAGCAGCCCGCCGACCAGCCCGCCGGCGCTCTTGCCACCCTCCACCAGCGTGTTCCCTGCCTTCTTGCCGCCCTGGGCAATAGGGTTGACGACCGAGTTGGCCGCGCCGGGGGCGTAGCTGCCGGAGTCATCCTTGCCCTGGCGCTCGGCGCGGTTGATGCCTTCCTTGGAGGCGGCGTCGCCCACGGGCTGGAAGAGTCCGCCCTGTCCGACCTGGCCAGCGACAAGGTTGTGCACGCCGTCCTGGAGAGTGTCGACCTGCTCGATGCCCGTGACCTTGGACTTGTCGAGGGTGTCTGTGGGGATGGTAGATGGGCTTGTCAGCAGGGTTGTGTGTACATATATATGAGAGAGAGAGAGAGAGAGGGAGAGAAAATAGACGCACCCTTGGTGGTGTAGCTGGCCTTGTTATCCTTGGTGAACCAGCGCAGGTAAAAGTCTTCGATCCACGGCATCCACCTCTCGTACTGCTCGTTGTAGACCTGGGAGCCGTACTCGCCCCATGTCTGCTTCTTCTTGTCCTCCTGGGACAGGCCCTTTTGGGCGTTCTGGGCGGCGGCGTCGGCCATTGTGGGTTGGGGTTGGTGGCGGGGTGGGTTGACGAAGTAGAGGTAGTCTATTGTTGATGAGGTGTCGTTTATCAGCCTTCCTTGATCAGGGAAAATAACCGAGGATGTAAATCTAGACAGAAGAATAGGTGACGACTAACAGATGACAGGAGCGATGAGGCAGGTAATCAGTACAAGATATGTCAACATAGACACACTTTATAATCTTCGAGTCGAAAGAATAGTCCAGATGTAGAAAGAAGATGTGAATATCACATTCTAAGGGTCCCAAGGCCCCTCTCAGTGGCACCTGGCCTGGCCCAACGCAGCCCTTCTTATACCAAAAACCCATCTCAGCAGGTCACCCACGCAACCGCCCTTGAAAGCCATATGATATCAGCCATGCCAGCCTAAGGAAAAGGGCCAGCTGCCTTGATTCGAGCCACACCCTGTCCTCGCCAATATGGCGAGCCACTGATATGCATGCTGTCGTGTTGGGATTGCGTACATACATGCGTTACTTCATTTTTGAGTGGTGTGGCTGGTGACCTGTCGACGTCATATCTTGTCTCGCACGGGTAGACAAGCCTGGGATGACGGGTGGTGTGTGACCCTAGGCAGATCCTTGTTTCTGGCCCGGGGTCAAGCCACACACATACTCACATCTGGGCTGCCGTTTTGCTGATCGATGCTCAAGGTATGTAATACTGCAGTACCTTGCAAATACATTGTGTAGTCATTGAGATGAAAATGGAGATTTGTGTGAGGAGGTGTCTACATCAAGGGTTTTGGGTATAGATTAATGCGGTTCAATAATCAATACTGCAACGCCCCCCCCCCCCCCCCCAAGCTCATCGGCACAAAATCCGTTTAGTTGTCGAGTGACACAGAATCGATATCGCCAGAAGCTGCGCTGTCTCCTAGCCTGATCTACCTACGTCTACTACTTTGTACTATGGAAGGTACAGTATAGCAGCTAACGTCAGCATCAAGAGAAGCACGTCTTTCCATCACGCAGGCGTCCTTTCCCCTTCTCCCTCTCCGTCCCCCCCATTCCCCGGTGACCTGTCTAGGCATCTCAAGATTCCATTGAGGGACGTCAAGACCCTTTCACTACCGATCAGCAATTCAAAATAAAGGAATCCATACTCACCACTTAATGCTGATCATTCCACTCCCCCATCTCTCTTCAAAAAAAAAAGTGGAGAGAGAAACAGGTAAGAAAAAAAAGAGGAACGCCCCACTACAACCCTGTGCTGCAAGACGCGACCCCTCCCCCCCCTTCCCCCCCTGCACAGTGACGACATTGGGGACCTGAGACGCTGGGGCCAGTGGTTGCACAACGGGGGACCATCCATCCATCCATCCATCCTCCACTTTGTTATGTAGTACTGTACACTTATGCATGCATGCATGCATGTGAGCGGCGTCTTTATTCCCCTCCCCTTTCGCCTTCGCTTCTGCGACGCGGTTTTGAATCGGGGCGGGGGGCACAAGGGGCAAGCAGTCGATTGGTGGGCGGGACGTGACTGATTAGCAAAGAAAAAAGAAATACTCGCGGTAACGTCGGGTGACCTGGTCTTGAAATAACGAAAAAAAACACCAAAAAAACCAATAAACAATAAACAATAAACAAACAAACAAACAAACACACACGAAAGAATCATGCAACGGTGAATAAATGCATACATACAGAGTAGGATGTCGACGGAAAAAAGTTAAGGAAGGGGAGAGGGGGGCAAGACAAAGAAAACGCAAGAGCCTCTATTTCGATGAGGAAGCCTTGTGATTTCTACCAAGATATCACCAACTCAAGTAGGCTTCCAATTTATCCTGTGAGTGAGGGAACAGTCGACCCACATGATCTTCCTTTCCTGCCCAAGGCGCACGCGATCGGGTTCCTGGCCCGAATCTGGTCTAGGCAGCGACATGTTCTTCCTACCGAACCTCGGTGACTGACTACGAGTGATCACCAATTGGCGGCAAGCCCGTCAGCATCAGAACACGCTGCAGCAACAAGCGCTCTGATGGAAGGGTGTGGCAACCAACTGAACCTGCTTACATGATGGGACTACACACACGAGAGGCCAGCCTCCATCTCTGATAAGCAGTGGCGTGATCCTTCTCTCTTCAACATGTGGTGATACAGACACTGCCATGGAGAAGAGCCAGTGGTCACACGCAGGACCTCACGTAGTAGTTCCCTTGTGCTGGTCGTGTTGATAAGTGAGATTTGAAGGTAAGAAGGAAGACTATTCTGTGGGTATCAAATCCATCCCATCAGACCAGACAAAATAGTAGAGCCGAGCCCCCGAAACCAGAAAAAATCAGAGTCGCTCACCGCCGTTGACCAAAATAAAGGAAAAACAACCAGACTACCCTGTCCCCTATTCTTTCATGATGGGTCAAGAAGACCTCCCTTCCTGAGATTCCAAAAAAAAGGTTGGGGTATCATCTGAAGAACAGCCAGGAGTGCCTGCCAATCCACCACTGCACCGCGCCATTACCTCCTCTTTCTCCTTGCATGAAAGCGAAGAGCGGGACTGTGCGCAACCGACCTCGACCGTAATGGAATAGTTGGGGAACTGCGCAGAGCAAAGGGAAAAAAGAAAGCGTGTCTCATCTATATTTTCATGCATCGACGCGGGAGGCCTCGTGTATTTTCCATCCGGACTGTCCAAACCAGCAAGGAGCACATGAAAAACAATGGGAATCAATCCAATAGGAGACTGTACCGAACCTCATAGCGTAGTAGAATGTGTGCTGCCGATCCAGAAAGAAAAGAGAGGAAGTAAAAGAAACCGTATTGCAACGAAGACAGACAATGCAAAATCAACGCTAAACAGCAGACAGCATGCGAGCCAACCCAAGGGAGAAAGAAAGGAGAAAATAAGAAGCCACCGTGACAAACGCAAGACGAGAGAGCGTCACCTCAAAGAACGCCTAGCAAACCCGGAGTAAAGTCAAAATGAGAATCAGACTGCCGACCTGGTATCAAAAAACAAAACAATAACAGTATCGTCCACCCAAAACAAAAGGCGGAAGAACATGAATGATGAAAAAAACAAGAACTCGTAACGAGTGTCGTTTATCAGAATTGGCCGACCCGATGCATGTTGAGAACTCTTGTGGATTGTTGTTGAGCAGTCAAAATAAAACGGTCGTCGTCATAAGGTCGTCACTTTTCATTTCGTGTAGTGAAGAAGGATTTTTTATAACTCCTCCTGTGATCATATATGTGCATCAAGAAAGCTCGGGGCCAGGGCGCTCTGCTGGTGTCCACACAAGACTCGACGGGCCTCCTAGCACGCCGTGGCAGTCGACTCGCCAGTCGCGACGGCAACGAGGGCGTCGAAGCGCCTCGAATCAGGGTTGTCTGCCGGGCGGCGATCCGAGTCCCCCCCACGGGCGGGGAACCCGGTGAAAGCATGCAGATTCGGGTGCTCAAGGCGGTCAACGTGAGGCCGTGCTTCGAGGACTCTGTCCTCGTGAACGGTGACGGGGCCATTGTACCATCCGTGCCGCTTGATCTCTCGATTCGTCGAAACCAGGGGCGCTGACATTGTGTGTTGATGACTGCGAGATGGCCCACTGGGTGGGATATGGGAGGCCGTTGGCGGCGGTGGCTGCTGCCGCGGTGGGTGGACGATCTGGGGCTCAGGCTCGAAGCGGACAGTGGGCTGGTACTGTCGAGGCTGCTCGACACGGTCCATGGCCTGGCGAACCTCACTGGCCCAGACTCCGGCACCATCCCTGGCAGGAGGTGGGGTGGTGTTGTTGTTAATGTCCAGCCGGGTGAGACCGCGGTGCAAGCCCATGTCCCACTGCGGCATGTTGCGCCGTTCGTCCGAGATGTTAGCAGACGGGAGCAGCGGCGGCCCGTGGGAGCGGTCGATCATCATGGGAGAAGAACCCCTCGAGGGGACGGCCAGCGGTTGGCCAGGTCGCGGGAGTAATGAGTCGATGCCGGGCAGGCGCACGGTCTGTTGCTGCTGCTGTGGCTGCTGGTGCTGCTGAGGTGCGTTGCTGCTCATCGCAGGCAGCGGCTCAGGACCTGCGTTGAGCTGGGACGATGTGATGACCTGGCTTAACCGACTCCCAGGTGCGGTGAAGTTGCTGCTGTCGGGATGCCAGGTCCTCCTGCGCCAGGCCTCTTCGGCAGTGCTGGAGATGGACTCCCGTCGTGACCAGCCACCTGCCGACGTGGTAGGGGAGCCGAGGTAGCTACCGACAGGTGAGGAAAGCGCAGCAGAGTTGGAAGTGTTCAGGGGTCCAGGCCCGAAGATGGGTCGTCCAAGACCGCCAGGCCCAAGGGGCGACTGGAAGGGATTGCCGCCGGAGGGCACGCTCAGCCTTCGGCCGGGCGTGCGGGACCCGGATGGATACATGGCATGGCGTGAGTACGACGTCACTGGCGAGCCAACAACAGAACCCCAGCGCGGACTGCTCTGACCAGTGGAGAAGGTTGCAGATGTCGGGGTGCTGTAGTCACTTGGGGATGTCTGGCGGTAGGGGAATTGTGTGGAACCGACACTGCGGTAGGATTCAGCGGACAGACGAGCATTCGGGTCGGCCATGACCAGTGGTGGTGGTCGTCTTCGGATGTCATCTCTGGTGCCGTAGGCCGAGCCCAGCGAGCTGATGCTGGCGATACTCGAGGTAGAGAGCGACTTGGAGTGGCCGCGAGGAGGCGCACCCACGCTGCTGGCTGTCGACGCTCTGGCTCGACCGCCACGCTGCACCCTGTCCGTCCGGATCTGCCTTTGATATCTCGTGCCGGTCGCGGCAAGGGAGTCGTAAGGGATGTCCTCGTTGACATGAACAGTCTGGGCATGCTGTCTAAGGTTGTCGAGGCGGGAAAATCGACGTTGACAGTGGCATTGAAATGGACGCTCGCCAGTGTGTTTCCTGGTTGGAAAAAAAGAAAGAAGGGGGACCTCTGTCAGTACCAGGACCAGGACCACAGGTGAATCAAACAGTGAGGTGCCTCATCCAGGATGGGCAACTGGGATGTGGTATGCTTACCTGATATGCCTTGCAAGATGCTCGCTTCGGGTGAAGCTCAGGGTGCACGGGGGGTAGTCTCTGCAATAGAAGCGCTGGTTGCCCTTCTTCTTCTTGCTCGACCGTGTCCCATCGGCGTTGACGCTGCCCTCTCCGTCCGACTCCTCGCCTGCGGTGTCGTTATCGGACTCGTCTACATCCATCATCTCGGCCGAGTCCCTCGATCGTTTCGAGTTTTGAGAGTTGTTTCGCTTATGACCCTTCTTGTCGGCGGTGTCTTCGGGTACCTTGGCATCCTCGGGAAATGATGAGTTCGGCAGCGGCTTCTGGTGAGCCATTGCGTTGCTGCCAAAGGTGGCCCGAGTGGGAGTGGTTGCATCATCCATTGTCTGGTGCTGCGGAGGCGGAATGGATTGAGGGGCTGTGCCTGGGCGGGGGGTAGTAGATGATTGGACTGTCATCTCGTCCTTTGCTGCACCGGAAAACAAGATGCCAGAGGATGGGTTGACGGATCGAAAATTGGCCGCCATCTCGGTCTTGTCTGTAAGTGTGCAGATCTCTCTCTCTCTGGTTTTGTTTTATCTTTTTTTGAGAGGTCGCGGCTGAGCGCTGATGTCCCGGGAAGGGAGAGCAGGGAGGAGGAGGATCAAAGGGAGAAATGGACGGCGGGCGCTGCGCGTGGGGATCCAGTGACCTTTGTGTGAGGCTGAGACGGGCAAATCCCAGTATTCCCGTTCCTAGTGGGAGCGTTCAGTAGGGCCAACAGGGGTAATGCGGGGTGCTTGCGGCGGGAGGCTTGCTGGCTGGCTGGGAAGTCTGATACTGAAGTGCTGGCTTGTTGGGATGGATGGATAGGGAGGCTGACTAGAGATGACGGGAGGCCCGGAGTAGCGATGACCAAGGAAAAAGGGAGGGGAGGAAGAGAGAAGGAGAAAGACCAGCCGTCTAAGGGTCGACGCCGTTCATCCGAACAAGAGGTTGATGACGACTTGCTGAGGAGTGTGGTGGTGGTGTTGTCTTTTTCTTCTTTTTTCTTTCTTCCCTTTCTTCCTGTGATGACTGCCCTGCCCTGTTGTTTTTGTTGGATGGCAGGGAGTGGGTTCTGCGGCCGAGGGGGGGAAAGAAAAAAAAAAAAGAAAAAAAAAAAGGGCAATGGCGGCGGCCCACTCACACGCACACTGAACCACCGCCCCCCTGGCTGACCTTCTGGGTCACTGTTTTGCCCGGGATACCAAGTGGAGGATGGCGATACGTCAGGCCGGGGCGAGACGGGAAGCAGGACAACGAAGCAGCAGGGCCGACAAGCCGGCGTTGTTGTGCAAGCCTTCTCAAGCACCAAATGCCTCAAATAGAGGCCTACCGGTTGCAGCCTTTTCAGTTGTCGTCCTTGGATCTTGACGCCTCAACCACAATGACAGATCGATGGACTCGTGCCAACCAACACAGAGAGAGACTGGCTAGAATAGGCAGGGGGGCTCGATGGTCGGGAAGGGTGGCAAGCGACATGAACCGAACGTGTGCGTTGGTGGAGAGCAGATGGGGAACCAGGTCGATCTCCGTTCGATGATATTTGAAAGCGAGGAAGAAAGGGGAAAAGAGGCCAGGACGGTTGAGTGCGTTGTTGCCAAATCAGATTGGACAGGCGGGGACAGAAAAGGTGGCAGGGGAAAGAGCGGCCCTGTGGCAATGTCGCACTGGTCTGATGCCGCATCCTAGTGCCCTGCATGCAAATCCCCTCGCTAAGGGGAGCCAGCGCTGATCCAGCAAAGATGGGCGGGTGGTGATGATGAAACTTCCAGGGCTGGCCCCTGACGCTGCTCGCCCCTGGTGCTGGCCCTGAGATACCAAGAGCACACCGCACTACCCTAGTGCACTACTTTGTACCGTAGCTGAGTAGTACGTACCGTAAGTACTGGGTTGTAGGTCCTATAAGAAAGGCAAACATTTCCCCTACCAAAAATCCTCTATGTAGCGATAACCATTCAAGACCCTATCCTATACTATATGACATTCCATAATACTAGTTAAGATAGTTTACTATGGTTGCGAGGTAAAAGAGGGTCTCCCTGCCTCTTGTTCGACCTTCCTCGATTTATGCCGAGTTGAGCGAGTGTTGGACATGGGATCTGCTGGCGCCCCTCCTCGTCGTCCCCTCTCGGAGGAGGATCTTTGTGTCAACCTGATTTCTCGCTTGGCTGCAGGAGGGCGTACGAACGAGTAATTACACAACACAACAACAGCACCCTTGTTGCAGCAGTAGTTTAGTAGCAGAAAGGACCTCTCCACCATGATCCAGGAACTACTGTGAGGGTTCAGATCCTGATCGGGTCAAGCCCACTCACGCACGGTCGAGGATGAGTTGTCTGGTTCGTGCCGTGCTGCGTGCAGCCGGGTAACGTGCAGCGCAAAGGAAAAAAAAAAGGAAAGAAAAAAGGGACAAGGGGAAAAAAAGAGTTCCTGGCCGGGGGGTGTTCATAGCCAAGTCTCTCGGCTCAGGCACATGAGTGGTCAATGCGAGTCAATGGGTCATGCTCAAAGTTTCGGTAGCCCCAGGGGCCAGCGGGCCAGAAATAGGTACTGGGACAGCTGGCACGGGGCTAACAGGTTGGTTCCGGAGAATGAGCATCTCGTCTGGCCCGAAGACCCAGATGACGACGAAGAGACTGCAGAGCATGAGAGGATCGCGGGCTGTGCGATCGGAAGCTCCAGACGCACAGGATGCCTTGTCCCAGGGCGCACACACACACACACACACTTACAGTGACCAGAACAAAAGCAGACACATCATAGTCGCAGTACATAGTAGACGATGCCCAAGAGATTGTGGACCCGTGGGTCGAGCGGGGATAGCATGACAGGATACAGAACAAACCAGATCAGTCTGGCACAACTGTGGCGTATGGCTGTCTGTTCTATCAACACTACTACGACGAGTACATAACTGCACTTGTTGCTGCTAGAGGACCAGTCTTTGCCGCTGTCTCCAACAAGGGGGAGGGGAGGTGAGAGAGTCAGATGTCGTCGAACTCTGTTCAGAAGCCGGAAAAGGCAATCCTCCATCCGGTGATTCGGGGTTTGGCCTGCGCGATTCGGCTAACGAGGCGGATAACCAACCTAGGGGGACCAGGCAGACGCAGTCTCCCTCTTGGCCCTCGAGCAGACCCGATTCGTCTTCCTTCCCCCGAGGAACTGACTGCCGGTATATATGCTGCAGTGGTAGGGCTATACCAACAGTTTAGAAGGTCGTATTGCATGCGCGTAAAAGATCAGGCAGGCCCCCTGGCATCGGCAACAAAATCGCTGCCACCGTTTGAGGGTCCAGTGTAGCAGGGCTTGGCCCCTCCTAGGGCGTAGGCTGACATGCCTAGGGCATAACGGATGGTCCTAATACTTCGTTGTGATAGGCTGTTTATGGGCAAGTTTGTGACATGCTGTCGTTGCGGTGGTGATCATACCATGTAACGTGCGTGTACTGCGGTACGTAGCATGGTAGGGAGACGAACTTAGCGAGCAAGGCGCCCACGATGGCGTATGTTCGTCCAGGTACAGACATTACTGCGTGCCGTGGCGGCCCTCAGTAAGATGGGCTGTACCGTAGATGGAATCTGAACCAATAGCTCCAAAGGCGGCGCAGTGTACAAACTACCACTCTGCCTGTCCGTTGTCTGTATCTTTGTCCATCACTTAAGGACGGAGGCTACAGATCCACCCACATTGTTGCCGTCCACGCCCGAGATAGTGGCCCAGAAGCGAGCATTCACGCACAACTGCACCATCATCACTGCAAGCATCCGAAGATTGTGGCTGGCTGATTTCTCTAGAAAGGAAAAAACGAAGACGGGGAAAAAAAGGGAAAAAAATCAAAAAGAGGGTGAAGACGGCAGATTTCATTTGGTACTGCGGTCAGTGGCAGGCAAGGAGAAACCGTTGTGTGAGGAGCAAGACGTGATGCGACGTGGACGAGGACCGGGTTGGTGATACTTTTTCCTTCATTCTGCACATGGAGGCACACAAGCATATTGAGGGTTGGGGTAGCTTTGGGGATCTGAAGTAGGCAGATCCCTGGGGTCAGGCCAGCCTCGACGGGACAGGGGTTTGAGCTTAAGGCCGGTGCTACAGCAGGTTGCAGGGACCTAGGGTGATTTCAGGGCCTGGACTCCCCTGGTGCCAGCACTAGCGAGGCAGTGCTATGGGCGACGGAAACAGCTGTAGGTTCCCCTTGCGTCCTTGTCACCCACTGGAAGATCAGTGTTGAATTTAAGCGTTGGTCTGTGCTCACCTTACCAGGTCGCCTTGGCAGCGCCTCATCCCCAACTAGCGATAAGTCCGTTAGGTCAGCGGCACGCATCACTCAACTCGTTTTTCTCAAGCTTCAAACCACCAATCTGACACTGTACGCGCGTCACACCTCTCCTCGTTCTCATGTACACCAATACCGCAATGATTTTATTATCACTGCCCTTCATGGACAGGCTATAACGCTATAGACGACAGGTATATTAGCTAGGATGCTGTGGGGGTCGTCATCTGCCGACGACAAGGCGGGCAGTGCATACCTTGCTACATCGACGGACACAGTATGTGCATGAGCCCGCCTCACAAACAACTATGATGATGACTATTTACCCGTTATACCGTATTAGGCCCCACATGTCCATTCAGACTATCAATGCTTCATCGCCGCGCTTGCCTGCAATGGCTCAATCATCCCAAGCTGAGAGAGGGCAGACATTTTTCGCACCTCCACCTGACCTTCCATTCTCGACCCCCTCTCCTCGTTTTCCCGGTGCAACATGATGGCTCACCTGCCTTGAACAAGTCAACGTGGTAGTATCCACCCGCGAGCAGATACGAGCCAGAATGTTTCGACTTTCCGAGAAGGGGCAAAAAGGAATCAGTCACGTTGGCGCATCTTTACAGGTAACACTGTACATGTCTTGTTTCATGCGCGAACGGCTTGGCTTCTGCTCCTGCGGTTGTGCGGGTTCCTGACTGAAAACGCCGCATCACCTTACCTCCCAACAAAGCACCCAATAGATGATCCACACTCAATTGTACCATGATACTTGGACTTCGCTCCCCCCCAACCCACAACACCTTACTTGGCCCCAGTGCACGCTCGCGTCGAGAAGCAAGGCTACCGAGCTGGGCTCGTCTGTGCCTTGCATCGTGCCGGAGGGAGGTGGTGTGGTTGGTCTGACGGACCAACTACACGCCTGGCTCTGTTTGGGCTCAAGACCCATGACCACCCGACACACACTCACACACTTTCACTTGCCCCAGTGTCAAGCAGCCGGACGAAATGCTGTTCGAAAGAACCCTCATGAAAGCATCTACACAGAGGTCAACGGGATGGGCACAGTCGCCAGCACACAAAGTATGATTTGACAGCTAAACTGTTGTTGAGTTTGCACCATCTCTCGACCAGTTCCAACAAAAAGATCCACCTCCTCGCTGCGAGTGTGCACAGATCACGTTCATCTGTCCCAGGTTCGGTCCCGACAGCTTGGCTCCATCGCCATCTTGCATTAACATTACTGGTCTAGCGAAGCGCCGGTCTGCATTCAGGCACAACTCGCTAGTCAAGTGTTCCTTGCTATGGTGTCGCTGACGGTCGAATCCCATCGCGGCGCACCTGGTGCTGGCGATCTAACCCGGCGCTATCTGTGCGCTGATCTGATATCACTGGGTTCTGTGATCAAGGATGATCCCATCGCGTGGAGGGTCACTGGCGTGGATGCCTGGCTATCTTGAATTTCGAGGGCCTTGGAATTTCTCCTCATCGCAAACTTCGCCCATAACGGTCGGCTATGGCCAGAACTACTGCTACTACAGTAGTAGCACCTGAATGTGGCCAGCAACAGAAACGAACAGCAGAGGCCGAGAAGACTAGCCGTCTTACCATTAACGCGAAGGGCATACTCGGAACCTGGAATCTGGAAGGGCCATCATTACCATGGTAGTGACTTGTCACTTGACCACCAATTTAAATTCGAACCTTACCTAGGTACTTATTTACCGATTCGCTGGTGACATTTCCATTACTCGCCTCAAAAATGGTTGACGTTTGCGGAATCGGCAAACAAGCGTTTGCGACTAGGACTAGTATCAATATGGTTCGCATCAACGAGTAACTGCTACTACTACAGTGTCCGCAACACACCATCTCTCTATAAGGACCGAATATGGTAGCTCAGCCGCGCCTGTAGAGACATCCTGAGCATGGTTATTGCCTGGCCTGGCCATCATTGAATACTCTTAGACCAAAAGTATGCCGTGGGACAGCTGGCAGTGCACCTCTCAGCTTTAGCTGGGTCTCGCTCGTGGACGAAGCTCCTGGCCCAAGGATGAGGAGATCGAGGGCAGGGTAGAACCTGAGCAGAGTAGAGTGTTGTTGCGGCCGTTGCTTGATGTCGGCTAGGTTCCGTTGCCCTCGAGCAGGCTTTTGCTGGGCGCCACCAGCCACCGCCCAGGATTTCTTATCGGGCCACCTGAACCAGCATCGAGACTTTGGCGTGCTGAACATCAACGTTGGCAGCGTGCCACTGCAGCGCAGGGTATCATGGCTCAAAAGGATCGTCACCCACCTGAGCGCGCCACCTGCAGTGAATGATCTGCAGGTGCCGAGCTGCAACCCGTCACACGCGCCGCCATCCAAGCATATCGTCCGCGTCCGGGACCCTTCAACGGCATATTCCGAGTCTATGCCACTGGTCCAGCTGTATAAAGCCGCACGCCGCCGTGATAGGAGCGGCACATCTGTGTATCTATTCGAAACATACCAGTGACGCATGTACACACGCACCCGCGGCCTAGATGCGCCAATGACAACCTCACCGCGGAGTGGCTTTGGACAACCTGACCGGCTTTGTGATGCCTCGATCTCTTCCTTCTCCCTCCTCCTCCCTCCTCTCTACTCCCACGACCTCGCTGCATGATGGCCCTTCTGACCACCGATACGATTGCCAGCTAACCCCAACAAGGCGCTCAGTCTTTTCCGGTGCTGGCCGCGCTGCATCACTAGCGAGCTTGGATTCACAACTGTTTATGCTGTGGCATTTCCGACGCATACGAGATACGAGTTACCTGGATATCACTGTGGTATTGTATAGAGTTATATGCTCCACCAACCCCGCCTCTCCTATGATGTTGCCATGTTTCACATCTCGAGATTTCGGTTGATGAGATTTGGGAGGGAATTGAGAAAGGCGTCGCATCTGATCTGATAAGTTCTTCTTCTACTGCACGTCGGCCCCGGCGGACTGGAGCCGAGCCGATGTTTCGATCGTCGCCGTCCCGCGCCCCCCTTCGCTTGCTGATGGCAGGCCTCATCTGTTCCTGTTTCACATCCAGCCACTCAGCAGACCTACACAGACGCCCATTCCATACCCCATACTTTGTACAGACGCACAAACGCCCAAGGGTGGCACATGTTCTCCTCCCCTCCTCCGTTTCCCTCGTGGCCCCCCTCTTGTTCTGTTTTCTTTTCGTCCTGTATACACACTTGCCCCCTGCAGGCCTCGCTTGCATGCAAAGAGCGGACTACGTACAAGTGTATGGTAAGGAGGACTCGGCTACCGCTATTCAAGTCAGATTTTATTTGAAGATTCAACAACCACCTCCGTCCCCCTCGTTGGCTTCCTAGTCATCGCGGTCCAAGGTTTCATGATATGGTCGTACTGGATCCGGTAACCTCGGCCCCACCTGAAATCCGGACCGCTTTCACGAGTGACATCGTTCCCGAAAGAAGGTCTGAAAGGTGGCCGGGTCGCACGAACCTTATCATCTTTGGCTTATGTCCCGTCTCGATATTACCTTTAGTTTCTGGTACTAACCCTCACCGCTTTTTGCTTCGCGGTGCCAGTCCCTGTCCTTTCCCGGCATCTTCATGGCCCACCAGCCTTCGATTATAATCTCCATGACGGCAAAGGTGGGCTGCTAGTAGTGGTGTTCGAAGGGCTGGAGAAAGAGAGGGCTTGCTATGTGTAGGCTCCCCTCCTTTGCAGTCGTCCGCACGGCCTTGGGCTGGGGTCGGCTGGGTGGCTGGGCAGGGCTGACTGGGTTTGGCCGGCCTGCCTGCCTGCATCGTGGCCAGGACGTAGACGCCTTCTCTCTTCTCTTCTGGTGCGCCGCCCCATCATGTGAGCATGCCCTGAGCCTGCCCTGAGGGCCGACTAGGATATCCTCTGCAGTAGTTTTTCACCCTAAAGGCAGCGCAAGGCAGGTCAATGCCCGGTCCCCACTTGAGCCGGACGCCCCAACGACAACCACAAGTCACGGCGGCGGGTGATTCTCACGCACACTACAACACACCAGAGGTCAAAGACAGTCTGATCGTCGATGTGACTGCTGTGAGGGCTCTGGGGCGGTCAAGATCCTAGATATTGCCCTGCTTCGACTCCAGCACCGACGCCGCGGAAACATTTCCGTCTCATATCTCGCTCGTTGCACCGCCTTGCCCATGGGTGCGTGTGCTCTGGACACTGCGCTCGTGGTGGCCTGACAATGACTTACATATATTTGAATAGGCTGTGTTGGAGGGGAATCCAGTGCGACCTGTGTGATGCAGACCCAGTGATGGAGGGGCGAAGTAGGCTGGACAAGAGTTACTATGAATATTAAATTCCCATCAGCGAGCAGCCTCTCCTTTGATATGATTTATTATCTTTCATAAGGATCTTGATGAGGTGTACGTAATCATCATCCCTTTTCACAGTACTTGAGGGATTCGTACCGCTCTTGGCCATTTCAGCTCTGTGGGTAGGCAGCCACCGCATGGTTTTCAGCTTGAGAACGAAGAGTCACCGACAACTTCTTGGGTACTTCCCGAAATTGGACGTGCGTATTCGCTTTCGACCGTTAAATTGTGGTATTGAGCAGCTGATTCAGGGGCTCGACGCCAGTCTCAATACACATTTCGATGTCCTCGACTATCAGGCAGCATCGCGAGGCTGAGTGTGACAGGAAGGTCGTCTGGGGAGCGGACCGAGAAATTGGTTCTGAGACGCCCGAGAGTATTATTCCAGGAATAGATTGTATATTAAGGAAGCTCTTCCACTACTGTCAAATACTAAAAAACCAGGCTCATGATAACTCGATTCTATGATTTATCTTGGTGTTGTTCGACCCATACTTCCATCTTGAAGCAACGAGTGCTCTTGCTGTATCGCTTGAACCATCTCTACCTGGAAGCCACATTATGGCGGCCACTTGACTCAACAACCCCACTCCCCCGTTCAACCCAACGTCTTTGAAATTGGCTCCATGGTCATGGTCTGACGCCCAATTAAGAACATCACAAACCTCGGAACCAGCCGAAGAGTACCCAGCTTTGTTCCTCATCAAGACCCACAGCCCAAGTATAGTACAAGCCCTTGCTGGTCTCTACCAAAGCATTAAGTCAAAGGGGGGGGTTTTGGGCCGGGGTAGTTTTGGGCCACCCTGGCCACCCTCGTCAAATACACACACCCATATATATATATACTGTTTATCTATTCTATTCACCCACCACGATGCAATCCTCCTCATCAGTAGGTAATTCGACATCGCTCTCTTCATTCAGACTATCCTCGTGGCGATTAGCCGCGTTTTGAGCTCTCTGTATATCCTCAATCCCTGCAAACTTCGAATTCGGATCCATATCAACCTTTCTTCTTTTACTAGGCCTCAGAGCCTCAATCTGCCTTTTCAACGCTTTATTTTCCTCCAATGCCTTGGCAAACTCGAGGTCCCTCTTCCCATAAGCCTTTTTTATCTTCTTGAATAGCATACGGCGGCCTGGTTCCGTTCGAAGTTGTTGCTGATTCTCTAGCAGCTGATAGTATAGCTGTTTAGCCTTTCGAGGAGTTGAAAAGAGGACTGGCTGGCTTGAGGAGGCTTTTGGGGAAAGACGAGGTGCTGTTGATTGTGCTGAGCCTGAATTGGACTGGGTCTGACGGCTTGGTTGACTGTTCTCGAGGAGAAGAGGGCTCAAGAGGGCTTTTGAGGGTCTGAGAGGCCACAGACCAGTTGCTTTCCATCCAGATCTAATATTCTGGCTTGAAAGGCCTTCCAGTTGAGCTAGACGATAGTTGCTGAGGAATAAACGCTTGCCTGCGATAGTTGAATCGCCCCATTGGCCCATATTGCTGACTTTCTTTCTGTATGCCCGTTTGAGAGATGAAAAGACCCCTAGATCGAGGGGTTGAAGAACGTGAGAGGTATGAGGAGGCAAGTAAATAAGCAGGATATTGTTTTGGAAGCAAAGCCACATAAACTCGTCCGTTTTATGGCTGCCATGGCCATCCAGGACTAACAGCCTGGCTTCTGAGGGGTCTGCTGGCTGGCTATGAGGAATGAAGATCTCTTTCAGCCATTCAACTGCCATTTTATCGTTTGTCCATCCGTTTTGCGTAGCTGTAAACTTCCAATCATCAAAAGGCTCCAAATCAAGAGGAAACCACTGTTGTTGTACCGTTTGGCCCTTGAAAATCACCAGAGGGAAGAGGTAGGCACCTGTAGCTGAGATACACTCGAGGAAAGAAGTCCAGGCTTTTGATCCAGGGTCTTTCCTTTGAATTGAACGCGAAGAGGAGCCTCCGAGGACTAATCCATTTGTTCCTTGGCCCTCCATCAGGCCAGCTTCATCCATATTCCATCTATTAGCTGGCTTAATAGCTTGGATATGAGGAAGATTGAAAAGACGAAACCAAAGCCGTATTACCTCTGTTGTAGCCCCATTCGTTCGTTCAGAGGCAATGCGGCGAGTCTTCCTGACCTTTATCTCTGGATTTCTCTTCAAAAAAGCCTGAGTCCATTGCACCCCGAGGGCCTGAGAGTCTCCCTGGACCTCGAGGATCTGCTGAGCAAAGTATTTGAGTTCTGAATGGCTTGGTGGAACGCCTAGGCTTTCTTGAATCAGGATCCATTCGGCTAGTCTTCTTTCCTGATCAATAGAGAGCCTTTGCTGGTTTTCGTGGGCTGTTTTATGCGATTCCCCTCCTTCTAGGCGAGCCTGAAGAGTACTCCTTGGAATACCCCATTCCCTCGAGGCTTGCCGCTGAGACTTGCCTTTTCTGACAGCCTCAACGGCCTGGGCTAGCTCAAACTCGGAATAGGGCTTCATAACAGTCAGATAAAGGTTTGCTGGAAAGATGAAGTTGTTTGGATCAAAATTGGTTGAGTAATAGCTATCAAACTAAAGGGGGTTGAAGAGGCGGTGAGGGTGGCCAGGGTGGCCCAAAACTACCCCGGCCCAAAACCCCCCCCTTTGACTTATTGCTTCTGAATTCTCCTAATACCTTCATAGAGCGCACGTGTGCATCCACTTTAAGAACAAAGTAGAGCTGGAATGCTTGGACGCCGGGCGAGGGTGTTCCTGTGCAAAGGGAACGGGCATCATAGGTTTTCCTATCTTCCGAAATTATCGAGTCTGGTATGCCCCTAAGCAGACATGGCAGTCTCGCCATGGTCACATGCTTTGGTATTTCCTGGCGTCTGGTAAGGCTTCCAAGCTTCGTTACAGGTCGGGTCGTCCCAAGCCTAGTCCAACAAGGCAGAAAGAAGTAGGAGACTCTAGAAGTGCCTTGTCAGTATGAAAATAATGGAACGCCTCAAGTAGACTGGGAATAAGTCTTATTAATATCTAGTTATGCTCCTCGAGCTTGATTCCACTAGAAATACCGTGCCTTGCAGTCATGATAACCAGAAAAATATACCAGAGTTGCCGTATCCTTCTCTTGGGCTCCAACGTGCTGTGCATGCCTATGAAAACCATCCGTACCCAAGCCTTCCGTCCTATTTAACACAATCTGCCGAGTTCCCTTGACCCCATGCGCCGTATTTCTGAACGCTAGTATGTAATATCCCGTATCTTATAGTACAGGCAAAAGCTCCAGGGCCCTATGCCTCGGGGCTGACAACCAGTGTGCCTGCCCACTTCACAATAGTCCCTTCTCTGCCTTCTCGTGTATCACAGCTCTCAAAGCTTCCCTCGGCAGTAGCTGGGACCTGCGCGAGCATCTTGGCGAAGAAATGGCGCGCCCGAGCATTGCGTTCCTCCCATTGAAAGACAAGACTCTCGGGCACCTTGGAGCCTGCTTCCGCTCCTTGGGCTAAAGCTGGAATGATCTGGAGACGTCTCTTCTCTCGAGGGAGAGCCCACCCTGGAAGATGTTAGAATACTCTTGCGAAAGCACAAGGACTGATTTCCTTTCTCTTCTTGCGACTTCAGGTGCTTTTACAAAAACCAAGACACGTGCGTGCGTGGTAGGAGAAAGGAAGGTTCACTCACAGGAGTCAATAATTGGCTTGAACATCTCGCTTCCATAGCCCTGCCGCCAGTATTGTGGCTTGATTAGAAACTCAGCTTCGGGCCATCCAGAGTTAGATGTAGACATGATAGTGCAGTCTGGCAAGCCACCCTCGCCGATCATCTCTCCAGTCGAGAGGAGAAAGGCACCAAAATACCAATGGGTGCGCGCTTGAGATACAAGCGCCTCGATGGCCTTCTCAGTCTCCTCCTTGTTCCAGTCAGGCCTGCCCCGTGTTTTGGAGTGTTCCTGTGTCTCTGCACACTTTCGAAGCTCGTAGAATGCATCGAGATCGTCTGGGCCAATGGGCCGCACGAGGAGGCGTTCCGTCTTGAAATGGGGTCGCTCGGAGAGGCTGGGCAGCGGGCGCTTTGGCAAAGTGGTGTTGTAGGAGAACCAGGGCGTGACCCCGAGGTTCTGGAGGTCATTTGCTTCGAGTCTCAACATCAGCTTTGGCATGACTTCCCCGAGTCTAGAAATCGATACCACCTCGGTCATGCTGATAGGGCTGGGATGGAGGATTTGTGTGGAAATGACACTCTGAAATATCGAGATGTCGATTTCTTGGGCAAGACAGCATAAAAATATAGAGGGAGATGCCGTGGGCTCCACGAAATCTAGCCAGGGAATAGGGGTGAGTATCACCTGCTACAACAGGCAGAGTTTAAAAGGACCACCGGATGTTCAAGGGGCTGTCCTAACCGACAAGCGTGGCGAGCTCGGCTCGTCTTGTCGCTATGAACAGGTTTTCTGAATTCAGTCTCCTGCATATGAAGTGGGCCGCGCAATGCGTACAAAGTTCAAATGGTCAATCAGAGCTGGGGAGGGGCTTCCGGCATCCATAGCCACTCGGCAGCAGAATGGAAAAGAACTTGCCACACCTTTAGACGAAGCGGATTGGTCCAAGCTGAACCTGGTATTATCCAAGTGCGTTGTCGTAATTTACTTGGGATTACATCGGAGAAATGCATTCCCTTTGCTATCGTGCCAAGAGGGGGCCTCGAGGAAGCACGAGTAAAATAACGCCATCTCATCCCAAAGAAGACGACGATGGCAAACCCCCCTGTACCAACGGGCATTTTTAACTTTCGCATAGTTACATTCTGTGTTCGGGGAGGCTCTCCCGTATACCGACAAGGACCCGTAACAGAACCGGGCCGATCCTCTTTTCCATGCAGGTTGGTTGTCGAGTTCTCGAAGGTGATTGGGAAGAGAAAAAGTACCTACCTGCATGTGCCTATTGGCTTTGTGATCTATCACCTTTTACACTACTGCATCAGCTGGAGTTCATTGCATAGAAATGAGATGGCGAGACAGAACGACAAAGAGACATAAACTTTCGCCATGATACTCGCTATCAGCTTGTGCGTTAGCGCGTCAAAGGCTTCGTAATTGTAATCTGAACTGTTCAGAGACCCTGAGAGGGGTTCGTGGAGTCTGCAGTCGAGACTTGACCGGTCTCCTTCTTTCAGCTGTTCTCAGCTCGCTACTGCATCAAGATGTGACGCGCGGAGAAAGGAGGTGGTTGTGGACTATGAGGTGGACTTGCTAATGCACAACACCTGCCTTGAGGCTTAGCGAACCTGATACAAGACGATAGTAGTAGTCCGGTTATCTCAGTGCCTTGCGGCTTGATAGGGCCACACATGGTGTTGCTGCTCTTAACCCTCATGGGGTGATACGCACAGGGTGCCCATCGGTCTATGAGCGGAGGTATAGTCGAGAAGGCTGGCCAGCACGAGGCCCCGGGCTCTCCTTATTTGTAGAAATACTGGGCCAGGAGCCCTCTTCTCCTTGATCCGCCTCGCCTCCTGAACTTCCGTCGTCTTTCTCCTTCCATTGAATGCCTGGAAGTCGTCCTCACGCAAGAACTCGAGTCGCGCAACTATGATGTCCTCTGTGATCCATCTTCCTGTTTTCCAGGGCAGATGGATGTGGCCCCGAGAAATGAATCCTCATACTGAGGATATCAGACAAGAATCCATCGAATGGGCCACGAGCTTTGGGGCTTTTAGCCCCGAGGCGCAGAAGTCCTTCGATAAGTGCAATTTCAGTAAGGACAGATCTTCCTGCATACGTTTTCGACGACACGGTTGCTGATAGAATACAAAGACCTCTTGACAGGACTATTATATCCATCTGTGACGCGAGGTATGTTCCATTGAATTGCACTTCTTCCTGCTGACCGTACTCGGTGCTGATAAACCTCCAATAACTAGACCAGCTCCGATGCGCAAACGACCTTATGAACTTCTTCTTCATCTTCGACGAACACTCGGACAAGTCACTCCCAGAGGAGGTCTGGGCATAGGTGGATGTGATCATGGACGCCTTCCATCACCCGGAGAAGCCTCGACCGACGGGGGAATCCATTGGCGGCGAAGTGGCTCGACAGTAAGTCCATGAACACTGATCGGCGCTGAGCAGACATGCATGCTGACCGTGGCCTGTTCCAGATTCTGGGTTCGAGTATGCTCCATGTCGACGCCGACATTCCGAAGCCGATTCTTGAAAAATATACAAGACTACCTGCACGGCACTGCTGAACAGGCCGAGGACAGAGACAAGTCACACATTCGCGACCTGCCTAGTTATCTTGAGCTCCGGCGCAAGACGATTGGCGTCCTGTCCTCCTTTGACATGCTTGAGATGGACAAGTCCATCCCAGACTTGGTACTCGAGGATCCCGCCTTCCAAGAATTGCTGGACTTGGCTGTCGACCTAACAATCATTGCCAACGTAAGCCCAACTGAGTAATGAAAAGCATGCCATGGTCCCAACCAGACGCTGACATAATCTAGGATGTCTTGTCTTTTGACAAGGAGCAAGCTGTGGGAGACGATCAACATAACCTTGTTACGATTGTCATGGCCGAGCAGGGCATGGACGTCCAGAGCGCAGTCAACTGGGCGGGCCGACTGCACTCCACCATGACGGACCGCTTCAACGAGCTCTTCTCGCAGCTCTCTCGATGTGGCGGCCTCTTCGATGAGGAAGTAAAGTCTTACATGAAAGGCGTGGGGCAGTGGGTGGGTGGGAATGTCCAATGGAGCTTCGAAGGTGAGAGATACTTTGGGAAACGCGGGTTGGAAGTGATGAAGACGCGTAGCCTGTGTCTCACACCTAAGCTGGGGCAACCCGGGTTGGAGATTGGCCCCGTCATCGTCGATGATGTCTCGATGAAGCAAGTGATAGTCAGCTCAATTACGGAGTCCTAATTGCTCCGTACCCCAAGTAGTCTTACCTTCAACAAGAAAACAAGACAAGGGGACGTAGTTTCAACGATATCAAGGCAACAAGCAATATTTGAACGTAGCACATGGCCACTTGGACATTTGGGATCAAGCAACACCATGGTGTGTATGAAGGGAAGTTTTGTAATCAGTTCCCAGCAATGATATTTGAAACAAGATGCTCAAATGTGATGTGTTCATCGGCAAGGTCCGAGGATGAAGGCTGAAGCCAGAGGCTGTACCCTGCACTAAATAGGGTTGCGGACGCTACCCGAGTATGGTTAGCTTCCGCTTGGAAACGTCGGCACTGTCAGGGTCGACATTAGCCCTTTTCCAGGCCCGCCCGGGCCGGATTGCCTCGACTTACTCTGGTCTCTTTCTACGTATGACATCGCCTTGTTCCCAATAGACTCTGGCGACTTTCCAGGTTATCTTCTCATGATGGTGATGAGTATCGTACTGGAGACAAAAGCCTGCGAGTCTTGTGCCAAATCAAAACGCAAATGCGGCAAGGAAAAGCCACGATGTCACCGGTGCGCTTCGCGGAATCTCGAGTGCTCATATCCTCTGGCTCGACCCGGCTCGTTCGTTCTCCTGCAAGAAGACTCGCCATCGACATGTGAATCACAAACGACGACGTCACCAGCAGCTCTGAGAAATCATACAAGTGATGAGATATCATCACCAACACTTCTTGGCACGCCTGATCTGTGGGATCCGAGCGGCCTCTGTCCTCTTCCCGACTTCGACGTGCCCTTTACTGCCTGCAACACCGAAATCCAGCTGGCCAGACCACCGTCCGCACCATCTCGACATCGCAGCTGCGACTGGTTTCTATCTCCACACGCCAAGGACATCATGGGCTTGCTTGCCGCCCCAGCCGAGCCGCAGAATGTTCCCCCATACAGCAACGCAGTCCTGAAGCGGTTTCACAAAACTATTCAGGCCAACCTCGCCGACTGGGTCTACAAGGGCGCAACCAACTTTATCCATAAGCAACTCTACATGTTTCGCAGACCCCGATGTGTACAAGACGCACAAGGCTCCCTCGCGCTTTATTTGGCTCGGACGGACGAGACCGAGGATGCCGTGTTCCGTACCCTGGACGATCGGGCCGACCAGCTGCTTACGGACGAAGGGAAGCACAACACCACGAGCAGCCTCGACACATTTGGACACCTGTCCAGGATCCACTCGCTTTTAACATACCAGATCATCGGACTGCTAGACGGAGACATCCACCTGCGAGCCAAGGCAGAAAAGCGCATCGATACCCTGGAAGCATGGATACAACAGATGATGGAGAGCCTGCGATTCGCCTCATCATTGCTGTCGGGAAGCGGGGGCAACAACACCTATGCGATCATTAACGTGCTGGGGTTGGGTATAAAAGATCTGTTCACGTCCGAGCAGGTAGCGTCCTGTTCTGAATCACAAGAGGAGATTGTATGGCAGGCTTGGATATTCACCGAGTCTCTCCGGCGCACCTGGGTCACGGTGGAAGGTCTGCACGCTACATACAATGCTCTCAGAAGAGGCTGGGCCTCCTGTTCTGCAGGTATGCTGCTCACGGCGAGACAAGGGCTGTGGGATGCTGGGTCTCGTTATGCCTGGGCAGAGATCGTCACAGGGAAAGATCTCTGGGTCATGGATGGCAGGCATACCGAGATTTTGTTCTCTTTGGCTATGCCGGACGAAGTAGATGGGTTTACGAAGATGTGTATGGAAATTAGCTACGGGCAGGAAAGAATGAAGAATTGGGAAGCAGGGGTTGTCTGTTGAGTACACTAGAAGGTTCAGGGCTGTAGAGATAGGTGGGACTTTCCTTAGACTTATGATCATTTAAGAATGTAGACCAATATATAGACAATTGATACAAGGGAAAGTTAACGCTTAGGTCAGTTTCCTATCTCAGTAACACAGTTTCCTGCAAGACCTACAACTTGTTTAAACACCACCTAAAACCGAAAAGAGGAGGACCATACCAGACATGTGTTGATGGCTGAAGTTGGACAGGTCCCAAGGTCGTTGGTTCTATGTTGGGAATCATCAAGTTTGGCAAGACTTTGAGGTTTGCCACTTTTGGGGCAAAGAGGAGATCGATCAGGGGAGCAAAACAACTCTAGATAGCAATTAACATGACATTGTCACTGAGGTACCTTTTTTGTTCGCTGGGTACCACCTGAGGAGTGGTTTCCTTTCTTCTCACAAGCTATGTAAATTTCATCTCAACAAAGTCCTAAATACTATGCCCTTTTTGGTGGATCAATCTTTGTGACATCCTCTTCTGTTGACAAAGATGGGACGAGCCAAGATGCGATTCCCCACGTTCTTTTCCAAGACAAATGTTCTTGAAATCTATGAGAAGGTACTTGTCTTTGCCATGGTTCGTATTGTCCGTGACAGGTCTTCAGACTCGGCTGTCGTACTCTGAGTCAGCATACAGCTAACTTGGCAAATGTTCATGGAAAGAAAGGAGGCTTTGTCAAATGCTCTGGCTGAAAATGTCACCTCTTTTCACTTCACTTTGGGGGGGGGGGGGGTTTAAAAAAGACAAAAAAGCCCAGGTCTCCCCTCGGCAGGCTGTGACCTGATAGCATCATCTGTACTGCTTATTCATCAGTATTTCTTCACTTCCTACCTACCCATCCAGCCTGTAGACTACCTCGTTTTCTTCATCATTCTTCCCCTGTCAATTTTGATAACCCAGCAGAAGCACAGCTGATATACACTCGCTACTGAACAGGACAATTCGTTCCCACCAGCTTGTCCGATACCCTGTTATGGATCCTGTCTCTTTCTCCCCCCTCTTGTCACAGACAAAGTTCTGAGGTCCTTCATTTTGGAGGATGCCTTTCCCTTGCCTTTCACTTTCAACCTCTCCATCCATCCTACAAACAACTCGCTTCTCAACACCAGCCTCGGTACTACATCCTCCTACACTGAATCATGTCTTTGCGCAACAAAGTCCTTTCGAGACAAGAAATCAAGCAGCAGGTTCATTCATCCCCACCACAGACCATGACGCCTCGCCATCCAAAGCGAGAGTCTCAGGCCCCTGAGGCCCAACAAGCCATTGAGATTATAGACCCAAAGGCCACATTTGGCAACTGCGATCTCGAGTAAGTTTTTGTACATGTCAAGCATGAAGCTATGGATGGTTCACTGACCTGAGTCCCCTTGCAGGCTTCTGAAGTCAGGCGCTCACTCTGATGTTCGAGTCTGCTGTGGAAACCGCGAGTTCCCCTGCCACCGCGCCATCCTAGCTGCCCGCTCAGGCTTTTTCAAGGAGAAGCTTGAGGAGCTCAAGCACAACCAGGTGCGCTTGTCTATTACAACCATGGACTGTCATAGAATCATGTGGCTGACTTCTATCTCTTTCCATTTGAAGGATACAAAGGAGCACAGCGCCGTCCCTGTCCTAGTTGTCCCTACCCACACCTGTGTCGAAGTCGAAATGGTTCTCATCTTTATCTACGCTGGCGGTTTGTCCTCTTACCTTCCTTCCTTCTTTCTTCCTGGCTTCATTTCGCTGACATTTCTTCCACGACCAGAGATCGATCCCAAGTCGGACGATGAGCCCTCCTTTCCCGTCTCCTGCGTCCGCATCTACAACCTCGGCCACGACTTCGCCGTCACAGGCATGGCCGACTTCGCCACCAACGAGCTGGGCAACTACCTCTCTGCAGCCCTCAAGATGATCTGCGACTATCGCCTGTCCCACGCCACCCTCTCCAACGGCCGCAGCGAGATCCAGGACCGCCTGCGCTGCAACAACTTCGTCACCAACTTCCTGTCGGGCATCGAGGCTGCTGCGGACGCCCACCGCCGAGGCACCCGCGACGAGCGCCTGCGCCCCTTCCAGATGCTCGTCGACTTCTTCATCGCCGGCAAGGAGGTCCTCCTCCGCGAGCCCGAGCTGGAGCTGTTCCTGGACGGCGACGTCGTGCCCTCCTTCGCCAAGGTTGTCCTGCTGACCGAGCGCAAGGGCGGTGCCAAGAGCAAGTGGATGAAGAACTTGGTCGCGAAGCCCCCCTCCACCCTGGCGGGCAAGAAGGGCCTATGCTGGGAGTGCGGCTGCGGCTTGAAGAACCTGAAGGAGACGGGCGGCATTGCTTTTGTCAACCCCAAGAGCCGTGAGGTGACGTACGGCCAGGCTCAGTGCGCGCGCTGTTCCGACAAGGAGAAGAACATGGGCGATGATGGCCTTCCCAAGTGGGAGGTGTTTGATCCTCGCAAGGACTGAGGGAACCGCCTGAACATGATACTTGGCTCTAGTGGTGAGCTGTTGGTACTGACAGCATTGCGCTTTTGATCCTGACCCAAGTTTTGGGATTGAGAATGACGAGAGCCTAGGACCTGGGCGTTTTTGCATGCATGATTGCTCTAGATCTATAGCATCTTCCTTTGGCAGGTCCACGTCGACAGAAGCCGCATCTGTACCAGCGATAGAATTCAATCAATTCAGCCATTCATTATATAGCATAGTAGACATCGCTGCCTTGAGAAATCTTAGTTCTCAAGGGAGTTGTGACAGGATGACTTGATGATGATTTGGCCCAGGTTCGTTGATTGCGGAAAAGCATAAAAGCCAGAGTCGATATGCGCCCGAGATACCTGCTACTTCATTGGCGATCATGAGGGTTGTCATGTATCAACGGAGTTCAGGCATCTTGACTTGATCCATCGTTAGTGGTAATATACAGGAATTCTGGAGAGCGGCGATGTTGTTAATCCACCTGACGCATTGATTGCGCCGATGTCGCGAAGATATTTGTTTCGCCGTGTCATGGTAACTCGCGTAAAGATAATCCTGTGGAGGTGGTAGAGATGCAGGACTGCTTATGGATCTGGTGTAGAGAGACGATGGCCATGAAACAGATAGTAGCAACATCGCCAGGCATGTCCACAAGCGTGATGTGCCCTTCATTAAGTCCACGAGTGCCCGAAATTGAGGTCTTGTATGGGTAATGCAGATGTCTTCCGTGAATTCGTCCCCGTACCTTTACCTGCAAGTATGATGAGGCTCGTGATAGTGGTGTCAGGGCATATCTACTCATAGGGATGTAACTAGATCCTGCTGTTTGTCCTTGCCCTTCTTCGGAGAGGAAGCAGTTGACTAAGAGTTGATTGAATGGGAAAGCAGAGAAGAGTTGTTGAAGAGTGTCGTGATGGGCGACAGGAGGTTAGTAACCCAGCGCCCGAGAATGCGACGATCACGAGGAGGGGCGGGCTGAAGTTCATGAAACTCCGAAATCGTGATATGTGGGCAATTAGGAAGAGATTGCAGAGAACCAAGTAGTGTGCTGTCGCGAGGAATATTCACAACAAATCAGCATGGTTTCAATATGTCAACTAGGTATCCTAGTTACCATGATGTAAAATAAGAAACGAAAGTCCTTGGGAACCAGCCACACCCTCTTCCTTTATCCCGGGATCCAACGCTCGATCCACGTTTCGATCCCCCATGACGCAAACCATTGACTGACGAAGCCTGTTTATCGTCGAAAACGGAAGAGGAAACTAGTGAGGACGCCGAGAATCTCTTCGAGATGGGGTCCCTTGGCCCGTGTAGGTAAGTTATTACTCTTAGACGTTATCAGCGGCCAAATCATCGAGGGCGGCCCAAAGCTGTAGCACCTTGCCGGCATCCAAGGCATCATGTCCGTCACCCCACTTCATGGCCTTGAGAATATCACTGCCGAAGGAGGACACCTCCTTGGCCAGGCGATGGACCTTCTTGCTGCGGAATGTGTGCATTCTGGCGGCGCAAACAAAATCGACGTAGGCATGACAGATTGCCTCAACGTCGAACGACTGCTGGTAGGCGTGGCGGACTGCGGCACACAGGCAGTCCTCGAAGCCAACACGCACAAGCTCCTGGTACTTGGCCACACAGAGAGCCTTGAAGTTGAGATTGGGGACGTAGGGAGTCCAGACGGGGAGACCCTGACAGATGGCGGCGAGCTGGGCGCCAAAGTAAGCCTTCAGGATTCCCAGTCCGTGATACTTCAGGGTGTCCAGCTCGAAGTAGTCGGCAGCGTGGGCAATCTTGTTGCAGGTGATCATGGCGGAGCTGTGCTCAGCGTAGTTGATGTTGACAACTACGACGAACTGGTCAGTATGTGTAATTACCGACTGCAACCTCCTGTTGAGCAGGAAAGCTTCCCAAGAAAACTTACTTCCAGAGTAGATAAACTTCAGCACGATACTGATCTCCTTGGAGCCGATATCGTTGAAGAGGATGATGCCGGTTTGGCCCTCCTATACAAAGCTCTGGTCAGTCTTAGTGGATCATTGCATAATAGATGAGAGACCCCCCTCACCTTGAAGACCGGCGACAGGGCTGCACGGAAGTAGGGGCACCGCTGAAGGATGGCACGGTGAGTGTCCCAGACCTGGCCATCCTGGCCGCAGATGACCATGGAGTCGGCGGAATCGCCCGACAAGAAAAGCCTGTTCATCTTGTTAGTCCACCAAGGCGCAGACCATCATAGCAAGGGAGCAAATGCCTTACTGGAGGCCAGCAATTCTGTCATCAAGGTCAGCGGTGTTGTTGGTGTTGGTGGCGTCCATGATGGCGGTGACGAAATTGCGTAGTTTGAGATTGAAGTTGACGGTTGAGGTGTAGTTGGGAATAGAAAGGACTAAGGATTTGTTTGTTCAATGAGGCGGGCTGAAGTCACTTCATATATTCAAGGTAGGCGACAAATAGAAACTCCCGGTCTAGTCTGTGAGCCACTGGCAAGGCATGAGTATAATGAATGCAGATATTTTTTACCCAGAGCATTGTTCCACAATGATCACAATAAAAATGCAACTATGCAACAATACACAAGCAGTCATATGGAGGATGAGACCAGCCATCTCAATGTGCATATCCGGAGCATTCTACAGTTTTTTTCATGCATGCAAAAGGTCACTTCTAGTGGTGACCGGGGATAAGGTGTCGTGCATGGCTGTTGGACGTGTCCCATGAGCTTCCAGCATATTCTATACAAGAACTCCTTTCTTTGATGACAACCTTGATGTTTCACATTATTGGAATGCTCTAGAGTATAGTTACAACATACTTTTGTCTTGATAGAATCTTGGAAGAATGTTGCAAATCATGGCGCAGTGAACTCTTCAGATATGAAGATGAAATTGCAGAGAGCTTTGTGGATCTGTAGTGTATCTTTCTAGGACCTCTCTTTGATTCGTACGCCTTGAGACATACATTTCACATGGTCAGCAAGAACTTGTAATTTTGGTGAGACACGACATGGAGAGTATATGCTGAGCCACCCATGAGGCTGATCCACACGGCTGACAAATACCCTATTTGGTTAATGGGCTACTACCAGGCTACAGTACGCCATAGCAAGTCACACCGCCTTCAGCCATTGCAGCCATTCCTGCAGCCTCATAGACGTGTCTAGACACTTGAGAGTTTTTGTGCATTGCCCAAGTGACGGACTTTGAGTACAGGATCTATTACAAGATGCTATCTTCCAGAGAGGGGTTAGATTTTCAGAGACTGATGCTGAATGGTTGACAACTACACAGCATGAGACCGAATATGATCTTCGTGAAGGTGGAGAAGCTGGTTTATTTGGTGCGAAGACAAACTGTTGGATAGAAAGGAGGCGCTTGACTGGATCCCCGTCTACCAGCAATGTGTTTGACAAGAGGCTCTTAAGTCACTTTACTGCCTTGATTGTGTTTCTGTTTACATGCATGGACCAAATACTGATTGCTAGCTGCCACTCAAAGGCTGTGATACCTAGCTCAAGCCAGAACATGTAGCTACAATTTCCAGCTTTCCTCATTTGTTGCAAGGTATGGAAAGCTGAGCAACGGTCAATTCAACAGAGAAGCATGCCAGCAGTAATTACCTTAAAATCTTCGAGCTGTTGCCTGAAGGACTTCTTGGCAGAGTTCTTACTCTGAATGGTTTAGCACAAGTCTGTTATCTACGTCTGTGGTGCACGACGTTTGTTGCGGGTCCTAACCGGCACTCTTGTGTTGTTCACAGATGCCATAGAGAGAGTCTAGTTTCCTGGCCGTACTCGGCTGATGTTCCCCCAGATGCCGACGAGGCATCCAGCGAGCCGAGAACCGAGGTAATTTTAGATCAGAAAGAAAGAGAAAAAGAAATGAAGAGAATTGCCAAGGCTGTACTATGATAACGTTGCAACAAGTTAAGCAGGAAGGCTGTACGATGCTAACCCTGCACAATGAGTACCTTGTGAAGGGTTGAACAACACGATTGGCGCTGAGAGTATGGCTTCACCATGCGAAACACAGATGATATTTCCGTGAAGACAGTCTCGCGAAGAATTTCAGGATAGAAAGTATAGCTTAGGTTTGCCATTACTATCACGTGGTGCGTAGTTACTTAGTATGTACTAATAGATTTAAAGATTGAGGCTGGGCAAATTTACATATACTTGAGCCCACGAGTATTGCATATGGTTTTATATATCTATTCATCCTCTCCCAAGACCCTTCGCCTCACGAACCCCCCTCCCTTTTCACCCCCCTCCCCAAGACTCACTAGCAAGGACAGCGCAGGACTGGCCTAGCAAATGAGACACGGCTCCAATACTCTAAGAGCTGGTCTCATCACCAGGTAGCAGGCCCAAACGTCTCTCCATCAGCGACAGCAAGAGGGATAGCAGCACCATTGCTGTCCAGGTTATTGAACGCATTGGTGATGTTGGGGTTGCCATCCGCACGCGGGTTCATGAACCATTGCGGGGCATTGACCTTCTGCGGCAGGACCAGCGCAAAGAAGATGACCAGGGTGGAGATGTACAGGCCCGTGTCGAGACCGGCGGACGTGACATAGTTGTACTTGGCCCACCAGCCCTTGAACCTTCTCTTCAGGAAGCCGTTGAAGAAGATACCCACGGCGCTCCAGCACAGGTAGATGTACACGGTCGCGGGAGGGATCTGGCCGGAGCCGCCAAAGATGAGAGGCCAGTGTAGGTAGCGGATCGGGCTGCTGGGGAAGCGGCGCGCGGCGAACCAGGTGAGGACAGGGAGGATGGCGCCCAGAAGCCAGTACCACTGCAGGCCCGAGTAGATACTGCCTGCGCCAAAGACGCGGCCGGGTCCGACCACGCCCCAAACGACTGAGGCCGTGTAGAAGACGCTGGCGCCGGGGCAAGTGTAGCCGTTGGGCTGGTCAGAGTCGCAGATGCCGTCGATGGAGCCGAGGGCCCAGTTGAAGACGGCAACCTGGACGATGCAGGACCAGAGGCAGGCCGACACCTGGGCGGTGAAGGTAACACGAGGCTAAATAAGAAAGGGAAAAAAAAAAGAATGTCAGCATGCTGTTTTACTGCGAAGATGTAGTTCATGATCTTGAAGAGGATGAGTTCAGTCATTGCCTACCGGAACCTTGAGGTAGTGGCCGAGCTTCATGTCTTGCAGGAAATAGAGAGCCTGGGCCATGGTGATGTACCCGTACGTCTTGAACAACATCATGGCGAGGGGCCTGCCGGGGAGCATGTAGCCGACGATGAATTCCGTGAGGACGTTGAGGCCAAGCTGCGTGTTGGTGATACCCTGAACCATGCCAATAGGCACCAGGAAAACAATGGAGATGATCATGGCGATGATCATTGCCCACCAGGTCAGGTGGGTGTCCCAGTACAGGACAGTGACCAGGGACATGGCGAAAAGGATAACGAAGAGGGCGTAGTACCACCAGTTCGGCGTGTCCACGTACTTCTTCATCATCTTCAGGTGGACATCGGCGTCCTGGTTGCGGGCCAGCTTGCCACGCTCGAGAATCTCGGCGCCGTGGAAGATGATGGTGTGCACAATAACGGCGGAGAGAGCTCCAAAGGAAACGCCATAGGTCAGGGAGAAGAACGTTCCCAGGAAAATGGGCGAGTACGACTTGTACTGAGCGACATCAAGCTCCAGCTGGGGGGTCAAGATGCGCGCCACATCATACTTGGCGCCAGTGTTGTCGAACGAATGGGTCTGGTTCCGCTGTCAGTCAAATGGCCTGCAATTCGTAGAGTGGAAAAGGAACATGGAGGGAAAACCTACGCTTGCAATAGGCAGATACTGCGTCCACCAAGTATTGGTATAGAAAACACCAAGGCCGGCGACAAGGAAGAAGATGATCACGCCGATGAGTGTGTTGATGATAGAGAAGAGGGGGTAGGGCAATGGGCTGCCTACAAAGGCCGTAATGATGGTCCAGTCGAACGTGATGGGAAGCTATATTTGAACCGAAGCAGTCAGCATCTATTACTTCTCGGACCAAAAGAGGTCTCTTTCATCGGCCTTGACTTACGAGTCCGAAACCAGCAACATTTCCAAAGATCTGGTTCACAACCATGTTGTTGGGCGCGATCCAGCAGATCCAGTCAAAGTAAGACAGACCCTGGGCTATGAATCCAGGGAACCAATACCACACGAAGCTGCCCGCGAAGACATACAGGAAGTAGCGGTATCGTCCAATGCTCCAGCCGTTGGTTTCAGCAGGGTTGGCCGGTGTGTGGTCGTGGAGTGTGTACATCAGTGTTGTGTTGGCCAGCGTCTGGGGCCAGATCATGGCAGCCGGCCAGATCAGGAACCGCCGGACAATGCCGGCCATGCCAAACCCGAGACACTGCGTCGTGAGGACCAAGAGCATCTGGAAACCCCAGCCGAAGTTTTGCTTGTACATGACCTGCTGGGCGAGCAGCACATCGGTGGCATAGGCGACACCTCCCTGGATGGAGACGTTGGACATCATGACAATGACGGCATGCTCCTTGATGTTGAAGGGGCCAGGGTTCAGGTTCCATTTCACCCCAAAGGTGTTGAACTCGCGGTTCGGCAGGACCTTTGTGAGACTGTCAGCAATTGCCCTCGTCGTCACATTATCGCATTGTTATTATTCGTATACTTACTCTGGCCATACCACATCCCACTGGATAGGCAAGGAGCTGAACGACGTAGACGTAGATGGTGATGGACGGATTGCGGAGAGAGAACAGAAGGTTGACAGCAGATACAACAGTCGTGGCAATCATTCCGATGACCCAGGCTCGGATTGTGTTGGCTGGCATCTCCTCATCATAGTTGCGAACTGCAGCTCTCACTTCAAAGTAGGGAGAGTTCTCCTCCAGGAGCTCTTGCTCGAAGTTGGCCTTCTTTTCGACATCATCGGAATCGGCAATTTTGTTGGCAGCATCCTATAACGAGTATCAGTATACCAAGTATCCGAGAATCTCTTTCTCTCTCTCCCTCTCAATCTGCGCCAAGCGAATCACTCCACACCAAAACGGCCTGGAGGAAAAAAGCCAAGTGAAAAGCCAAGCGGAAAGCGCTGGCACAGTCTCAAGACTTCTCCACACCAAGAACCGTTGAGGCGCAAGCCACTCCCTCAAGTGTGTGCGCGCCAGAGCCAAGCCCAACCCCGCGAGAGAATAGCTAGAGATGCAAAAGAGGAATACATAGTTTATAGGTCAACGTACAATCGTCTCGTAGTCCAAGTTGTAATCCCACTGATGGGCCTTCTTGAACTTCTTCAGCTGATCAACGCTAGAGGCGATAGCAACATCGTCCTCCTGAGCATCCTGATCGACGTTGGGAACGGCTTTGCCATCGGCATCGTACTGAGGCCCGGCGGTGGTCGCAGGGTCCTGCTCCTCAATAACAGGATGGTCCGTAGTGCGCCGCACAAACGGCTTGCGCAGGTTGAAAGGCATCTTCGCGGTGGGAGAAGAACCACAGGCCTTGGGGAAGAGGTTGCTGGAACCAAGGAGAAACCAGTCACGCGATGGTCCAGCCAAGGTGGGTGCAGCGACTCTATTTCAGAGCCTGGCCTCAGACCTGCCCGTACGCTGCACCGACCATGATAAACATCGTGGCGTCCTGGACCCCGGCAAGAACATGGCCAGTCTAGTTCCATTTAGGCGTGGCAATCCGTTGCCAAGTAAAGGCAAACTTTCGATAAGAAAGACCCTGATTGACGGATTTCGAGGCATGATTGCTCTGGCCAAACCCACGATCCCTCCCCACTTTGGCTGAACCCATACATCCCTCCAACGCTTGTCGCGGGATGCTCTTGCATGGGAAGGCAGTCGACACTAAGAGTTTAACTTGTTGTCTCCAGGGCCATGCCCGTCAGTCTAGCTTCCAATCAAGCAATTCAATGGCAAATGGAAGACAAGGCTGAAGGTTCTAGCGCCAGAACAAAAAACTTAGCTACGATACAAGTAGTCTTGGCCCGAATCTTGGCGGCGCCTCTGAAGATAACGGCTAACATTGAAAAATCCACACCTGCCTAGATGAGAATGATTCGCAAACAAGCGTCTTGATAGTCTGCGCGTAGTCGAAACGTTGGTGTTGCTAGCTGAATCGGCCAAGCGGATGCAAGAATAGTATTTCAGAGCGAAGATCTAGTGGCAAATCCAGGCAGCCATATCGTAAAGCAAACGGAGGATGCAGCATGGTTTTGGGAAAGAAGCGCCGAAGAAATGGTCTCGTGTGGATGGCTGGTTGGGTGTCTTCCACTCATCTTTTGTTACTTCGGTCCCGCCGTCACACAGGATCTAACCTGCGAACCACAGTGTTGGGAGTTGGGTGAGTTGCAATGCAATTGAATCGTACTAGCGAGGTTCCATAGGTCTGGGCCATCGAAGGCCATGGCTTGAACAGGTTCTCGCTAAGTGAAATGAACAAGATTGCATTTAACGTTTGATAAGGTTTTGGCTCCTGAGACTGCCTCGGCAACGTGCCATGGTAGTATAAGGGCACCCATGTGGGCCCTACATGTTCTCGTGAGGTGGGTTAATTTTGGAGCATGGCGCCCCTAGTCTTTGTCTACCCGCAAATGAAACGTAATATGTCTTGAAAAGCGATTGTAAGTTGCATTGGATTGTGCGCATCGATCACTCTCGGCGCCATGACTTCTGCAACCTCACATAGATTTTATCTCGGGATTCAGATCAAAGGCAAAACATAAATATCAATTCTCTTTTGACATCATAGGCTGTACGAGGCCAATTGAAGACGTCATCGACCCAATTGTGTACCGATCACCTGAGCAGGCGCCGTCAATTGTCGATCGTGTGGGAGTCGGGTTGGTGGCGTCTAAGCATGCCGCTAGCATCCTCTCTTTCTCTGTTTGACCCTCGGCCTTGCGCATGAAGCTAGACTTATCAGGTGTTACATACAAGTAGTCCAGTGGCTGCAGAGACAATGATAAGAAAGGGCTTGGTAGTTCCTGATCCTTTGGTGTTGGTAGCGGTCCACGAATCAATGTCTCATCATATGCTCATCACATGCGTCTCGTTCAACGTGTGACCAGCAACAACTAAAATCAAGTGTCCGTTGATAAACAACAAGATTTGTAGTTCAGGTCGTATAAAGCAGCTTATCTTTTCTAGATAGACGCTGGAAACATATGGAGCCTATGCTGCCAATGCTTACAGCTAAATCTAGTGCTTACTTCAATTTCAACAGTTCTTTGAATTGCAGAGTCAACGGCTGAAATTATGAAAGTCAATCTGTGATATCGAGAATGCAGTAAGTAGAGACGTCTGCTCGCGATAGCTTTACATCTTCTCTGGCCTCTGGCAGCAATCCCTGTCTTGCACGGCGACTCACGTGTGTAAAGCGTCTCAACACTGGGTACAGCTCAGCAAGTATATGACATTCCTCAAAAGTATATACGAAAAGAAACAAACACAGTTCTCTGTATAGCCATGAAAGAAAAGAAGAGGACAAAACGATGTATCTGCGACCAAGTTCTTCATCCAGGTAATGCTGCGGCCTCACACTTTGGTGTCAACCTCCTAGTAAGTGGCGCCGATGGGGCCGAACTTGATGTTGGAATAGATGACGGTAGCAGACCTGAATTATCTATTAATTACTTTCATCTTCAAGAATAACTACTGAAGAAAGGGACTTACGCGTCTGAAGACTCAACATCAGCAGGCACACCACTGGTGGTAGCGCAGGTACCACGCTGCTTGCCGGGAGAAGATGCATCAGCATCGACCGGGTAGGTCGAGTCGAGCCAGAGCATGTTGGCGTAGTGCTGTAGGCAGGAGTGTCAGTACAGCCGACAGAGTCTCTTGCAATGATGAAGAAGGGGGAAAAGATCAGAGGGCAGAAGCAGAAAAAGGAAAGCTCACATCATCCCACAGGGACATGACCAGCACCATGCCATCAGCCATACCCGCACCCATCTGAGCAAGGCCGCCCTTCTCGCTAAAGACATCAGTGTCGTTAAACTCGACCTTTTGCGCCTTGCAAAAGTCGTCAGTGATGCTGTTGTAGCCCGTGAGCGTGGGCCAGGTCGAGTTGGGCTGCTGGATCTTGGTGCCGCCCTGGATATAGTACTGCGAGATCTCGGTGAGGCTGCTGCCGGACCCATGGAATTGCGTGACGACGGTGAACTTCTGGCTCGTGTCGACTGTGTCGCCGCTGCCGTAGAAGTCCTTGTTACCCATGCGGAAGGGGTTCCAGTCGCACCCGTCCGGGTCGCAGTCGCCGGCGTAGCGGGAAGAAGAGTAGGTTCCGCCGCACTCATCTGCGTTGCACGAGTGCTGTGCTGCCGTCTCACATGGGTGCGGCGTGTAGGCCATGTCCATCGAGTTGGCCTCCCAGACGTCCATCTCCGAGCAGCAGGAGCCCAGGCCGCCGACGCCGGCGTTGGCGTCGTTGGTGGAGGGTGTCCAGCCCTCGACATTTCCCTGGGTGAGAGAACCGTCAGGTGTCAGTATGAAAGGAAGCGTAAAACGCAGACAGGAAATGAAGAGAGAGTGCACGTGTCATGGGGACTATTAAACGCACCTGACCGTTGATGAACTTCAGATCGCGAGGGCACTGGCTGTCGCAGTAGCCAGTTCCGTACTCGGCGCCGGCGGTGTTGGTTGAGTACTTGGCCATGCCGCCATCAGCATCCATGGTGACGAAGTACAGAGCTCCGTTGAGGCCGCACTAGGGTTTCTTATCAGTCCAGAACATAATGACAAAATCTTTGAGAACTCTGGTGAAGAACCAAAAGTACTCACCGGCAACTTGCTCAGATCGACGTCGAAGGCGAACTCGTTGCCGATCAGATCGAACAAGTGGTACTTGGTCGACGATTCCATCAAGTATGTGCGACTTCCAATGTTCTTGCCAGAGCTTTGGGTGACGAACTGGAGAGAGAGGGCGTTCCCGCTCGTCGTAATGCCGTAGGTGCTCGAGTAGTCAGCGCCATCGAGAACACAGTTCGCCGCACAGGTCTTGTCATCCGGGCAGAGAGTAGTATTCCATGTGTTGCCAGTGTAGCCTGTTTTTCACTGTGTAAGCAACCTGGTTATTGTTTCTTTCCACACAAAATATCGGAAGCCGGATAATCCGAGGCCTTTGGTCCAGGTATGAAGTGTGAGGACATACAGTTAACGTAGCCATCCTTATCGTGGACCCAACGCCAGTTGGAATCTAGGCCCCTAATGTCAGCAAAGGGCCTCTGTGTATTGAACGGTGTTTATAACTGACCGATGACAACCTCTCCCTGGTTGGTCGTGCAGCTGGACGGAGAAGTACACGACTGCCAGGTCATCTGAGGATGAGTCTCCGTCTGCTGGGTGCCCACGCCCTGAGCGTTGACCGCTCCAGCCAAAAGGCTGCCAGTGAGAGCGAATTTACTGAACATCGTGCCAAGTTTGTGTGACTATGCCTTTTAACGTGGAAGAGTCTTGTGGGATGATCAGTCACCTTTGACATCTCAGCAAAGTGTTGTCAGTCCTGCTTTTATATAATGTTTCCCGAGGCCGCCAAGACCCAGAAGGCGAGGGATGGCTTCGTCGCGCATGGCCATCTCGCATTGCTAGAATGGGTATGTGGCTACATTGCAATCAATATAGATGAAGGCTCCACCTCTTTCAGTTGCCTGTAGGGAAACATGGCCCGATTTCCGTCCCAGCTTTTCCTAAGCCTGGTGATGAAGCTGCGTATGTGTTGGACGGAGGCAAAATCACAAGCTATGGCTGCAACGTGCACAGGCCGGTGACCTTCCGCAGAAGGGCCAAAGACAGTCAAGAGTGACAGGGACTATTGAAATGGCAGCGACCCCATGCAATCTGAATGAAGCTTTGATGACCGGAGCAACACCGACCTTCAGATCTTCGAACCTGGGAAATGGGTTGAGATCTACGGGGTTGGTAACGGCTGATCCTGCATAAGCAATATAGGGAACCAAGCAAATTCTGACAAGGTAATAAAACTAATACGCCTACGCACATCGCAATTGGGCACGAGAGCACCGGCTATTCTAGCATGAACAGAAAATCGACCAATGGTACATAAGCTGGAAAGTATCCTTCTTGGCCTACATGGACTAACCAGTCCTCATGGATTTAACCCCGTATATTGGCAAAATAGTAGATCTGCACTTTGGGGGTTGCCTTGAACCTGGGTATACCGGTAGCATTCCGCCGCCTGCATGGCGTTCATTCTGGGCGACTGTCTCTGTAAAAAAAATGTATGAGCATGGAGGTTTATTGTAAGCATATGGAGACGTCAGAGTGCATTCCTTTTTGGAGATCATCGGATAGATGAAATGAGTAGGCTTGACATATAGGATACGCTGACTGGTCGTAGTCTTATATGTTAGATTAGGAAGCGATCGCGGATGAACCGGGCCGAGACATCTGTACAAAGCACTCGCGCCCCTGGTGAGAATCTCTTGTGGAACTGTGGAATAAGAACCGATAGTATATACAACTCAATGGAAGATCGAGCCCTGCTACATGTCCTTTGGGGTGATACCCAATTACTCTTTCAGAACCGGGTACAAAATCTGTGTGTCAATTTCCATGCATAAACTGGTGATTACCATGTACCGAACTTGCGGCATGCGCAGGGGGACGCAGATTGCTGACCACCTGACACTGTAGTCTACCGCTTGGTTCAGCCGCTTGGCTGAGAACGTCCTGCTCGGCCCGAGGCGGGCTGGAAAGGCATGATCCACGACGTTGAGATAGAGTTGCGCACGAACCCATTAGTTGATGTATCGTGGCGTCGCCCGCACTGGGATCATTTAGCGCTCGGACTGAGACGCACCGGAGGCTGGGTGGCCTGGCGTCTTGGAACTGAGAGTGGATGTTGCAGCTTCAGGTATGTCACGATAACAAGACACACCGTCGCGATGTTCAGTGGACATGTCCAGAATCGGGCAAGATGATGACCCACCGCGGAGTCTTCTTGTGCCGCTTTCTGAAATGATCAAGGTTAAAACTTTGTTTCAAGAAAATTATGGAAGGGTCAGATGGTCGGTGCCTGCGCTTGTGGCGTACACAAAAAAGGCATCGGTTAAAATGCTGTCTGCTCTTTATCTGGTGGCGTCGGCCTTGGCAGGCGGAGGCTTTCCTACTACGGTAGCTTCAACAAGAGGAATGGTCAGCAGCCTCTGCTAGTGGCATGAGTACTCTTACTGTTAATTAGGTAAGAGATCCTCGAGGTTGTCTGTGAGGACCTGTAACATGTGCCCGGCGGCCTCCTTCCTGTAGAGTCCCTGGACCGTATATAGCGCCGGGTCTTCAATCATACTGACCTTGCTGTCTCGAAAGAGTGTGAGGAGACAGCATCACAAGGCCGCGACATTGACTGTATCTACGAGAAATGTTAACATCCAACAACTGTCGTGATCCCGCTGAGGCCAGGTCTTCAGGTACAGTTGTTCTCATCACGGATCTCGAGCCCTCCTAAAAGACACGCAGTGTCATTATGTTGATGGCTGTGAAGGGCCAAGACAAGTTTTCGTTCATGAGGATAACCTGTGTGCATCTTCAGTCATGATTTTGTCATCTCTGGCGGGGATGAAAGCTGTTATAAAGGCCTGCCACCCATCTCGCTCGTCCGAAGTCGACGAAGTTTCCAGAAAGGGCCAAAGACCCTCGCTCACTCAGAACATTGTCAAGTTTAGATGTGGTCAAAGCTTGACACCCTGAAACCGACATGACGGGCCAAGCCCCTGAACTATTGCATTAATCATTCCTGCTGTACGGATTCATTTCCAGTGGCCCCCCATCGCGAGGGTTAGGGTTTCACATACGCAAGTCGTCGTGTAAGTCTTCTTCTCTCCCCTTTCCTAGGCGGATCCTTATGTCGTCGGCGACACCGTAGGCCCAGGAAGTTAATTTGATTATTTGAAAATCGACAGATAGAATGATGAAAGAAAAGGGGATCACAGAAGTCGGTGGAGGGAGAGGGGAGAATGAGTGGTAAGTAAATTGTAACAGCCAGAGGAGCTGAATGCTTGGACCACTTTCTCATTGATTGTCGGCCAATGGAAGATGGAATCCCTGAAGCTGGGAAAGAGAGAGAAAGAAAAAAAACACCCTCGTTCGAAAATGAAATCACAGGGCACGGTTATCGGCAGCAAAAGGCGGCCTGCCCCAGTTTTATGCAAACTCAAAGGTCCTACCACTCACCGCAGATCGACGTGGTCGCGCAGCTCCAGTCGACACACGTGCTTGGATGAACACCTGTTCATCCTCATACAAACGGCGCTTAACGAGCGAAAAGAGTCCAAGTGGTCCATCACCCAGAAAGGAGAGCACAACTCCTTCTTCTCTTGAGCACACGGCTCAACAAAGGCCTCATTGAGACACTATCAAGTTCACTTCTTGTCTCTCTCTCTCTCTCTCTCTCTCTCTCTCCCTTTTTCGTTCACACGTGTACACTCTCACAACCCCCCGGCCCCTTCTCTCCTCTCCTCTTTCTCTTTCACACTCACACATACCCCACACACAACCACCAACATGGCAGACTGGGATCTCAGCGAGTACGATGACAAGCTCTCATACCTCCGAGCCTTCGAGACCGTCTTCCTGGTCGACGACTCGGCAGCCATGACCCCCTACTGGGATCAGGTCAAGGAGCTCCTCGACCACATCTCGCCCATCTGCGCCAAGCACGACCCGGACGGCATCGACCTCTACTTTGTGAACCACCGGCCCAAGGGCTTCATCGAGTTCTTGCCCGGCCAGTCGGTGCGCAAGTCAGGCTACCGGCGCATCGGCGGCTTCACGCAGCTGCAGACCCGCGACAGCGTGGCCCAGATCTTCGAGAACGTCGGCAAGCCCGGCGGCCGCTGCAACATGGGCGCCCGCCTGCAGAAGCTGCTGAACTGGTACCTCGGCAAGGTAAAGAAGGACCCGGCGTTTGGGGGCTGGAACCTGATCGTCCTCACGGCGGGCAAGTTCGACGACGACGTCAAGGCGCCCCTGGCCGAGGCCGCCAAGCGCCTCGACGAGATGAAGACCCCCGCCCACCAGCTGGGCGTGCAGCTGCTGCAGCTCGGCAACGACGCCGCCGTCAGCAATGCCTTTCGGCACCTGGACGACGACCTCCACCAGGCCGCCGGCACGCGCGATATCATCGATGCCGTGTCCATGGGCACCAGTGGCGCGCTGACTGCTGATGAGATGTTGAAGGTGGTTCTGGGCGGCGTTGTCAAGAAGCTGGATGCATTTAAGGAGGCTGTGCCCGATCATGTGCCCGTGAAGCGTGTGGACACGGACGACTGAAGGTCTTTCGATGTTGTATGGCCCCGTTTACGAGTGAGAGTGGTCGGCCATTGTTTTTCTTTTGGATGTAGTAGTTACTTGTCATTTGCGTCACTACCAGTAGGCAGATACTACATGAAATGGGGCCGAAGAGATTGTCGAAAGAGACAAATAACAATGGCGCTCACAAAGAGGAAAGAAAAGGGACGCAATTGCTCTTGAGACCAACAGAATGAAATTGCCTTTTTCTAGCCCTTCTTTACTTTTCAGATCTTCGTCTTTGAATCTATACCCAAACATCTGATTTCTTATAAAAAGCAAAAGACAGCTCAGGCCAAGCAAGTTCATCCCGATCACAGAACTCCTCGTACGATTTCGAAACCGCCCAGCACCGCATTCTATACCCATTGCAGTCCTTCCACGCTGGCGTCAAGAGATAGCTCACCACCTCCTGCTCCGGAACATAGTACAAGTCGTCCCAAGAAACATGTGGGCGACCCTGCAAGCCCACTAGGACCACAACTTCGTCGCAGAGAGGGTAGTACCGTAGTAGAATGTCCTGCAACGGCGTCACGGACTGCATAATGCTGTTAGCCTCGGCCTCTCCTTCCTCCGTCCGCCCGGCCACGGCGGTGGCCACAAGGTCTAGCTGTCCAATATCCCCCCGCGCCCAGGCCAGCTCTAGCTCCAGTGTTTCCAGGCTCATCATCACCCGCCGCACCCGTCCCTCGTCCACAGCATCTTGCCCCTTCCAGGCCGGCGCATACCGTTTCCGCACCGTAGCAAAGTCGCAAAGGTCATGCGGCAGCCAAAACACATCCGACACCAGAGAAAGATCCAGCCCCAGCATCGCGCGGCACCGGCTTGGCGTCTCCAGAACCTCGTGGGTGCGGAGGAACTGCTCGGCTGTGTGCCTGCCGCTGGTGCTCAGGGGGAGGAGGGTGCGAGCCATCTCGCGCGCGTTCTCGAGGTGGAGATAGGCGCGGTTAGGGACTGTGAGCTCCCAGCTGCGGGTGACGCCGAGGTGCCGTCTGGTCTGGTCGAAGCAGGGCACGGTCTGGATGTCCAATTGGACGATGCGGGGCTTGCATAGGCTTCGGAGGGCCTCGTCGTAGATCTGGAGTTGGATTTCTGCTGGCAGTCTTGTAAGCGTAAGATTTCCTGCTGGGGTTTGCGCAATCGTGACTGGGGTTGGGATTGGTATTGCCTCACTCGAGGAAGCATCACGATCTGCCTCTTTATCCACCTGGACTCTCTTCGCATCACCACCATCGTGACAGTCTCTTGTCAATTTTCTTTTCAAGCTCGTCCCCATGGCTTTCCTTTTCGTGCATTTGTATATCAGTGTTTATGCAGAAGAATTAGAAAGATTGAGAAAACAATTTGGGCATCAAGGAATCCAGGAGATAAGGACTTTTAGTAACCATCAAACCTAGTAAAGCCATACAAAATATTGTCCCTATCTCTTCTCATTAAGACTTTATGTGACACACAAATCTGTCAGGCTCAGCCTTCAAACCAGGCGCATAAGACCATTGTCTGGGTGAACAAAGATGAAGATGATGGAAGACAAAGAGGTGATTGTGCGTTCTAGGCTATTCCAGTGAAAAAGTATATACGACAAAGGGGTTGCATCTTGATACTGAGGCCCTTGAACTTGCTCTCTATCCCTGTTCTCCCTTCTTTGACTCTTAATTTTCGCCATGCTAGACACCTAAAATCTTGGTAGCGATGAATTTGGAATACGGGCGTGGTTTGCAGCTCAAACGAGGTATGGTATGGATTTGGAGCTGCGTAGAGCAGAAGACCCTACTATTCTACATCAAGTATCTAGGTGAATTGTATGAGTCGTCTTCAGAGTTCACCACCGCTCATCAGAGCCATCATCACGCATCTCTTCAGGGTCGTCCAGACCATCCAGACCATCAGGCCATGCACAGCCTATTCCTGTCCCTCAAAAACACCAAAATCCTTCCAGAACCGGTTTAGATACGGCCAGTGATGCCTCTTGATCTTGCTCATGACCACACGGTCGCAGTCGTCTGCGTCCCCGGTTTTCTTGGTGTTTGAGAACTCAGCGTGGATCCCCCTCGTCTTGCCCGCCGCTTCACGCTCCTTCCATGCTTTGGCAAACGGTCGGCAACACGATGTGGGGAAGCCCCACGAGGTGTGAATTCCCTCTGACTTGCGTGACCAGTCTCCGTGCACATCGGGGTATTTCACGCCGGCCGCCTTCATGCAGCGCCAGTCGTCCCGGAGCGGTTTGGGCCAGAGCCTAGACGGATGGTCACCACGTCTGGACAGCGGGAACTGGGCCTCACCGAGATCGGAGAGGGGAGTAAGGGCTTCTCTGAGGAGAGACAGATCATCCGCCGGTGCTTCAGATCCTGACTGGGACGAGTAGGCCATGATTCCAGCTGCGCCGATCAGGGCCGCGAGAATACTGGTAAGCTGCATGTTGGCAAGATACAGTGCTTGTTGGTCTGAATAGGTGATACAACTCCCAAAATTAGCTTCACTGTGAACAATGAAGTCAGTCACTGATGATGATGATACTGACTATGCTGATAGTAAACAGCCCATGGTACTCACAGTGACTACAACAGTGCAAGTGGTGGTCGAGGCGAGCGGGTGATAATGATGGAAATAACAGAGTGCCTTCAAGCCTGATGAATGATGTGATACTTTTTGGTGGGTGAGGAATGGTAGGTTGCTAAGAAGAACGAGGGTTAGAAGAAAGAAAAGAAAGAAAGGGGGGAAAAGAGGAAATCTCCAGGGTCCTTCGATTTCTTGACACATAGGTCTGTGTCGTGACGGCACCTTCCTCAAGGACAATCTTTGCTTCCCAAAACATAGATCGAAATCAGATCATGATGCACGCCCTTTTTCAAATGCGCCTTCTGGCTATTTCATTACTGAAGGCAAGGGCAGTGATAGTGAGGTGGCTTCATCCTTCGGTCACTACCTCGACGATGACAAATAATCATTGAACGGCCCCAATTTCAAGATCCTCCTTAAGATCAACTGCTTCTTCAAGCACCTCAACTCGAGCATGATAACAGTAAGAAAGAAAAGACATCTTCGTGGCGATAAACAAACTTCGAAAGGACGGCGGCACCGTCAGCAGAGATTGTAAACCCAAGGTTGGTGACCCGAACATACAAAGAAATTGTAAATAGTCAATCAAGCTGACAAGATTAGGTAGCTTGCGGATGTTCTCTGTGTAGAATGATATTATGCAGAAACTCTATTTGTCTAGGGAGTCGTGGGATACCGAATCCAGCCAAAGACGTACAAGTCCAGTGCCCCACAACAAGACGTCAAACACGGTCAAACACGCTCTGATCACTTGCCACCATGGTCGCCCATGATGTGGTGTAGCCGCCTGGCATTCTCAGGTGTCAATCCCGCCAGTTCACCTCCATTGCATGGCTGGTTGAACGTGGCGACAGCTAGCTTGTCCCAACTACTTTTGTACTGCTCCCAGCCTTTTTCCGTCTTCTCGCAGCATTTGGAGTCAATGCTGCTGAATGTTACCTTGCCCTCCTTCTCTTTGCTCCAGTCCGCCTTCCAGCTATGATCTTTCTTCATGCAAGTAAAAATGACCTTGATATTGGCTGAGCCCGGGAAGGAGTTGATCTTGTTGATGAGGTCGGCGCCGAAATCGAGGCTGCGATTCGTGATATGGACTGGCCTGGACGGTGGGCAGGGTGCGACAAGTGCAGAGGCGAGAACGATGAGGCAGCCGGCGAAAATGGTTAATGGCTGCATGGTGACGGTATACGATAGCTGAGTTCTCCGTGGTGTGTCAGTTAGGAGCAAAACCGATAATGCGCGTGAAGCTTGACAGAGAAATGATGTTGAAGGTAATGTACAGGCACGACAGCAGGCTTACATAGCTCAGTTGCAGCCAAGAAAGATGTGGTCTCAAAGGTAGGAAATGGAGATGCTGCACATTGAAAGTTAGCTCAAATTCGGACGACCACAGCATCATGCGAGGCAGTCGAAGAGCTTGAAAGGATGAAATCGGACAGCACACCTTGAATAGCACTTACGTGAGAAGCAAAGATCAGTGATCGGTGGTGTTTGTATTGAACAAAGTTAATGTATGTGCGGTGAAACCGAAATTGTAGAAAGGCTGGGGCTTCAAAGACGAGAGAAGAGGACAAACCTGGTTGTTGATGGCTCATGCGAAGAACGGCAGCATGTATTATGGGGAGGGGCTTCCAGAGAGTAGGTCGGCAGTGGCTCCTTCCCATCACTGGTCGCCCTCGACGTACCTGATCAGATCAAAAGCGCAGGTGCGAGGGCAAAGATTGTACAATGTTGTGAGGAAGGAAGAACATTTCGAGCTGGACTTGCCATGATCAAAGTCATCTTTAGCTAGCACCCTTCACGAAGCCGGTTTTCACCGTGCAAATATCGTTGACGAAACCAGACAGAAAGTAAGACATCATGCACAGTGATCAAATATAAACACCCCCAACCCTTTCCCTCTTTCTAGTACAATCTGAACCGTCACAGCAATACGGTATCAATTATCCCAACCCGCCCTCGCGAACAGGATCTAGCTGGGACAAGAATATTTAGTTGCTTCCAACACCCCCGGAAACTTAACAACAAGCGCTGATAACTTGTCCAATACTTACTACAGAAAAAGGATCAGCAGACATCAATCGGCCGTCAACAATTTTGAAATGCCTTGGTTCGATCAACGTTCTTGTTCCTAACTGTCACCCATCTTTAAGCGGCAGACTTGTCAACAATGTTTGCATATTGCTCGTCTACCTCGGACTGACTTTCCTCCTCGTCATCACAGCCCTCCCCTTCATCGTCATTCGGAATAAAGTGGGAGAGGAGATGTGAAACAAGGTGGTCCAGAGAGTAGGAAAGGCTGAGGAAAAGTCATCATCAACTGCAGCGACAAAAATCGCAGCGCAGTTGGCTGTCAACACGTGGGCGGATATCAGAAGCGAACACGTCGTCAAGACGACAGCACCCATTTTTCTTACCATTTGCACCACTCGATCCACACACTCTTATACGTCTTCCTTTTTGTCTTGTGGTCTAATTGTAAATGCACATCAATAGCCAATACCGCAGTCTAATGAGAATTCATATCGAGCTGGCTTGTTCGGCTGGCAAGGCCCACTTCCTCACGAGGATGGGTTCCACTCGAAAATGCCGGGTAGCCGGGAAAGAGAGTGACTTGGTCCTAAATTGGAAAGAAGAATGGATATAGGAGATGCTTTCGGAAGAAAGACTAAACAATTAAAAGTCAGAGATGAACGGTACATGGAGGTGACACGGCTCACAAGGATGGCATGAAAATAGCCTCATGATGCCTTTGAACGTAGGCCAAGATGAAGTCTCCAGGATCACTTCTTGCATGGGCCACGTGCTCTCTGACATCTGTCAAATATTCTACTTGATCACCGCGTAGGTTAGTCTTCTATCCCACAAATCAAGTTCGGCACTAGTACAATCTGTTGATCTCGCACCAGTGCCACCACGGCCTTAATACCAAGCGTTGCTGAGGCTGATTTTTACCCCTAGCCGAATGTACATATTCCCTGCATACATGGCCAGTGTAGCATACGGATGACGTCGGCAAGGAGCGATGAGGTCAGGTCATGCGGGGTCGTTGAGGTCGCGCCCCTGAAAACTTTATGCAGCATCATTTGGCGCCTCACCAGACGGCAGGGCAGGGGGCTGCTGCAGTATGCATGTCAGGGGCTGAGGCTCCATATTTCATGGTGCGTCAAATCTGGCAATGTTATATCATGCCTTGCCGAGTCTTGGCTGAGTGACAATGTGCAGACTTCCTCACATAATTATCCAGATGCAAGTGGGCCTCCACAGGTATTGATGTCTGCAGAAATAACTCTATCGAAATTCTAAAATTTAGTGGCTATAACATCGTTGTGTCTCCTTTGCAAACCATACCATTTTACCGCTGAATTTGAGGAGGGTCATTCAAGGTGGGAAATTGGCTTCATGATACCTGAAACGCTGGACAGAAGAAAAGGATCGTCTAGACATGACAGGGGTGCGAGCCGAAAGCACCGAACTGATCCTCTCTGACCTTCAACATAATTGTGGACCCCACCTGGTAATCAGACGGATTTGTAGAGAGGTCTGGCATTCATTTTTCCGTCTGTTCTTGTTCATCTTTTTGCGGGAGATGCTCGACGATGTGCAGCTTGGCGTCGATCATAAACATTCAGACGAACGTGTTTTCCAAGAGATCCCAGAAGCAGATCTCAATCTTGTGCTGTCTCGAGCACAGAGAAATCCGAAACGTGAGTGTCATGTAGAAAACAATCCCCAGTCGACTGTGATTGTAGCAGCATCGCAATAGCCTCACCACCCCACCCTTGCCTCGGATCCCCTGTTTTGTAGGGCCATCAAGCACTTGCATGATCCACCTCGAGATCCCTGGGCTCAAGCCACCTGGCTCCCCCAGTCCCCGGATCTACGGTCCAGGTCTCCTGCTTCCAGGCGTGTTGTTGAGGCAGCATGGGCTCATCCCGTCTTCGTCTCGACTCCTGGGATAAAAATCTTATAATACCATTGCCGCTGCTGTTTGGCTGTGAGGCGGCTCTTCTGTTCCCTCTCTCTCCTTCACTTGACCTTTTTATCATTCACACAACTATCTTTCTTCACATCGGACCGGGTCCGATTTGCTCAAGGCATTTTCTTTCCTTCAGACCGTACGCTGGTCACTGTCGATCCTTACTTTTCTCTTCGTCTACGGACATTACACTCCCTCAAAATGCCTTGCGTTAGGAAATCTACCCTCAGCTCCGCCTTGGCGGCAGCAACTGCAACTCTCTCAGCCATCAACTCGGCTACTACCGTCTCGCCCCTCTCCTCTGCCACGGCCAGCGTTGTTGACACTACGTCTGCCGTGCCAACCTTGTCGTCAGCAATCTCCAGTGCTTCTGCTGTGGCGGCCACTTCTTCTGTTGTTGCTGCTGTGTCCAGCTCTTCTATTGTCGTGGCTGCCTCCTCGTCCGTCGCCTCCTCCGCAGCTGCTGCCTCGTCGACGGCGACGGCGACCAGCACAAGCGGCAACACGACCTATGCCGGTGTCAACATTGCTGGTTTCGACTTTGGTTGCTCCACTGATGGAACCTGCACTGTTGATGGCATCACTGTCCCCAGCACCGGTGCCGAGCAGATGCAGCACTTTTACTCGGCGGACAACCTCAACATCTTCAGAATTACAGTCGGCTGGCAATATCTTACCAATGCTGTCGTCGGCGGTGACCTCGATGCCACCAACTTGTACGTGCCCGCCTCTCCTTAATAGTGAAAAGAAGTGGAACACTGTCACTAACATAAATCAGCGCCCAATACGATAACTTGATGCAGAGCTGCCTCGCCACCGGCGCCAAGTGCATCCTTGATATCCACAACTATGCCCGCTGGGACGGCGAGATCATCGGCCAGGGCGGTCCCACCAACGACGAGTTCGCTGCCCTCTGGACTTCCCTCGCCACCGAGTACGCCAACAACACCAACGTCTTCTTCGGCATCATGAACGAGCCTCACGACCTGACCGTCTCGACCTGGGCCGAGACCGTCCAGGCCGTGGTCACTGCCATCCGTGCCGTCGCCCCTGACCACACCCTCCTCCTGCCCGGCAGCTCGTACTCCTCTGCCGAGACTCTTCCTACTGAGGCTGGCCCCTACCTGCTGAACGTCACGAACCCCGATGGGTCTACCGACAACCTGCTCTTCGACGTGCACAAGTAAGTCTCTCTTTTTAGTATTTCCGACCCATAAACCGTCTGAGGACCACAAGCACTAACACCACATGTGTTCACAGGTACCTCGACTCTGACAACAGCGGCACCTCCACCGAGTGCGTGACCAACAACGTTGACGATGCCTTCTCCCCCCTGGCCACCTGGCTGCGTGAGAACAACCGCCAGGCTATCCTGTCCGAGACTGGCGGCGGCAACACCGCCTCTTGCGAGACCTACCTCTGCCAGGAGGTTGCTTACCTCAACGAGAACAGCGATGTCTACCTCGGCTATGTCGGCTGGGCTGCTGGTGCCTTTGACAGCACCTATGCCCTGACCCTGACGCCCACGGGTACCACGGCCGCTGATATGGTGGACACTGCTCTCATGAGTGCCTGCATTGCTCGTTAAGAAGACTACTTTCATTGTGGTTTGTTGTGTAGTGGTGGGAGAGGTGGCTTTTCCGAGGGGTGGTTTTGCTGCCTTGGTATACGTGGCATATTACTTGGGCGCAGCAGGCATGGCACATTGCTCTACTTTAGGCGCGTGTGTGTACTTAGTTTCTTCCACATACTTTGTTCTCTTCTATCACAGTTAGAGGAGTTAAATTTGGAATCCTCATTCGTGAACTCTCCCGCTCATCTTGATCGCGGGCAATGCACAGTGTCATTGTACTCTTTAACAACGACGACGTGAAGGTGAGATGGAAAGACTGAACAAAACACAGTGTGAGAGAGATGCTGATCTCGTTTATAAGCTGAACCTCGCGAGCCTACTCCAGATGACTCTGCCTTGGCTATACGGTTCTTTCTTGGCGTAACGATGAGTTGCCCATCTGGCTGTGTAGCCAGAATATTGACAAATCATGTAGTGCGTACTAAAGGAATATGCTCACCTGGGCTTCGCCTAAGCCAGCTTGTGGATCCTGGGGGTGAGGATCCACCGATCAGGGTCCTCCTAATGTAACTATAATAAGCCTGAATTAATTACAGGCCTTCTCATCCTCCTCCTAGAAGGCGTTGTGATGTTGATCAATTTATTTATCCTAACACTGGCAACTCATCAATGAAGCCACTGGCTGAGCCGCGCCCCAAGTCTCCGCATCCCAGATACACGCTTAGGTTTTGTGTGTGTCTGACTTGTACCATCAGGACGAACAGTCCCTAAATCTTCCCGTCCCAAGTTCCTCTGCGACTTTGCCTGCGGTGGATCTGGATACTTCGAGCCCCGTCGCCCCCTGCGTCTTGTAACATTTGCAGAATCCTGAACATTGTCGTCCCAAAAGCTGAGGTTTTTCTGACCAGTTCCTCGTCCCAGAGACCACAAGCTCTGTCTCTTCAGCTTGCGCGGCGTGTCTTCGACATTGTCATGGTGCTCAGCTTCGGGGCCAACCTGGGTCTCGGCTTGGGAGTCGATGTGAGATTCTGTTCGTGTGCCTACCGCGGTCTCAGCATGAGAATCCACTTGAGAGGTTGTCCACGAGTCGCGCTGAGCATGGGTTGGCTCGGTATGTATTGATGATTCGACCTGGTTAAGATCCTGAGATCTCGGCTGGTGCTGAGCCTGGGTTTCCACAGCTTGGCTCGGTTCAGTGGGATCTTTTTGTTGGGGTTCAGTATTGCTCTGGGATGTACCCCCAGGTATGGACTCAGAGACAAGTGAGTGAAACTGTATCTGAGGAGTAATGGTTTTCCCGGGAAATTGACTGCACCCAAAGTTCGAAGACAGCTTCTCCTCCCTGGATGGCGCATCAAATAGTCTGCCTTTCTCCCGATTGAGGGCTTCCGTAGAGGGTTTTACGAGATTTTGGTCCTCTGTCGTGGGCAGAGCATGTGCTGCTTCAGAAGAGGCCTTGGCGGCGCCGACTCGCCCAATACCATCGTTGTGATCATCGTGTTCATCTGTGCTCACCGACACACCGTGTCGCTCCAGTGCCGCAGCTCTGGAGCTGGTTCGAGCCTCAATAATAGGCTGCATTGTCTGCGTTGTAGATGACACATGGCCTTCTTCTATTGGAGTGACTGCGGCCATCAATCCAGGAATGTAAATCGACCTCATATTAAGATCTTCAGACGCAAGGATCGAATCGATGGTAGGCTCGCCCTCATCTTCTGAGGCATGCTCAACAGGAGAGCCGTGTGAAAGACCCTCATTGCTGGCCACTACCTGCTCCATCCCAGACATTGCTGCTGGCTTTGCCTTGTGAGCTGAGCGTGATATGGATATCATGGAAGTATCAGGTGCACGAGCAGAATTATCCTCTTCCTGAGATTGTTTGAACACCGGGTTCATCTCCTTTGGAGTGAGGGTTGCTTCTTCAGGTCTGATTTTGGACCGGCCTTCAAGGGCATTCAGAGCCTCAGTGTGGGCATGCAGTTGGCTGAACCTTCTCCATTGCGGCCGCGGTAACATCGTCCTCAAAGGAGCAGCGATGCTCTTGCGACGTCGGTCCGGGGAAGGCGAATGGTTTCGATGAGTGAGGGATGAGTCTTGAAGGAGGCCAGAACTTGCTTGACTCTGATCCTTGGGTGTGTCACCAAATCCTACAGCGAGAGAAAACCTCCTTATTGTTCGTGCAATGGCTCCATGTTCATCATGGAGCTGTTCCTGAGACGACACATTTGGCGGCGAAGTGGGTCGCTCTTCATAAATGTTGATCTCGCGCTGCAACAGGGAGCTGAGATTAGCATAGCTGCCCGCAAGAGAAGAAACTCGCGACGCTGGATAGGGAAAGGCCCTCATGCAACGAACGCAAGTCTTGCAATCACTTACAGAGTACTCAACGTTGGCAGGATCTGTGCCTTTGAAGATATTGAGGCACCCCACGGGGCTTCCTGTAGATCGCAAAGCCTCGTCTTCGAAAGCAGGAAAAGTCTCAATACTAAGTGGTGAACAAAAAATTGTCAGAGAAAGATGATACACAAATCGGCACAGGTGCTCACTATGCACCATTTCTCTTTACCACGTACCGTATGATGAAGCAGGTACTGGAGCTACTGCTGTCTTCCTTCAAAGTCTGCTCAATATCCTTCCTGAAATTCTCGGGCATGTCGCTGGGGTCCACTGCCCAGAAGATCTAGGATTGCCATAAGCGTGTTTGGGTTTAGTTTTTTTGGCACGTTGTCATTGCATGATACGTAGATCCTGACTTGAGAGATTCCACATGTACTCACATCTGGCTTCGTCCCATATCCTCCATATACCGTCTGGTGTAGGACTTCACATTTCTGTGAGTGAATCGTGGCGATCGCATTTTTTACCCAACTCATTGTGATTTAATACTGGAATCGCACTCTCGATACTGAGAAACAAAGATCCGCGAGCTGAAACGTTCAAATAGGAGAACGCAACAATTATATGATCGGATTTTAGCCAAACAGCTAAACTAAAGAAAGGCGTTCGTTGCGTATGGTTTATAATGTCTCATTCCGCTCCCAGCTTTTCTTTGTTTCGGCCATCTGCTAACGTAGAGCCGGCGGCCGAGCCCATGCGCTAGAGATGTACTACAAGGGCAAAGACGGGTTATAGTGCTCCTAATTCAAAGGTATGTCGAGACTATAAGTTTACTTGTTCGTCACCGCACTCCGGCACGGACAAGGCCAACGATGCCCTAGAGAACTGAGTTATTTGTGTACCCAAAACGTATTGAATTCTAGCCAGGCATGACACTTAGAACATCGACTGATGTTTGAAATAGATTGACATGACTTGCTTTGTTGAGAGGTAAGTGAAAATCAAACACAACCATCACACTACAAGGAACTCATCATTGCTGGCCCCCATTCACCACCGCACTGGCACGATCCTTCTGCCAGGGCAACGGCTCCGTAGCAATCTTGACCGGGCCGACCTGACCCGTCTCAGCATCCCTCTGCCTCTGCCACGCCTCGATGTCGCGGTGGTCGACAAAGTTACCATGCAGACCAAGCTTCAGCTTCAGCGGCAGATGCAGCACCGCGAGTGGGCCCTGCGCCAGGTTCTGCGCGTCAAAGATGGCCACGTCGTTCCTCAGCACATCCAGGTGGTTCATCAGAGCGATAAGGTAGCCCTCTCCCTCTTCGCTGCTGCCGTCCTTGGGAATAAAGGAGGGCTCCTGAAAAGTAACCGTCGGCCCAGCGAAGAAGACATCCTCTTTGCCCTCTGCAAGTGGTTCATCGGGATTCCAGGTATAATGGCCTAGACAGTTGAACAGCCCGCCGGCAGGAGGACCGCACTTGGGAAAGTCATAGGGACGCGTGGGATCAACCTTGGCGAGCCAGAAGTGTTTGTATTTCTTGGTCACCCAGCGGTCATCGATGCGGCTGAATTCGCCATTGGTGGGCCAGGTGAAGGCCGGGGTCACGCGTGTGTTGGTCTTAGCCTTTGGGTCCAGGATCCATCGCGTCGTCGGGCTTCTGAGCTTGCCAGGCTGGCGGATGTTTCCCTCTGGTTCGGGGTCTGGCGGCCACCAGAAAAAGACGTTGCCATCGGCTACTGTGAGGTCCACGACGACATTTCCTTGTTCGTTCTCGTAGCAGCCTGCGACATGGCCTTGGAAGGCTGTGAAGGATGGTTTAGTACGTCACTTTTTATGATCCTCGTCAAGACCTTAATGAGACGGAGAAAGAGGAAAGAGGCCAGTAAGAATGAAGAGTAGACTCACCATTGTCAGCACGAAACCAAATGATGTCCTCACTCTTCCCGCCCCGTCTCGGCACCAGGCCATACCACTGATCCTCGTCTGGATCCCAAGCAAACTTCTCCCCACCACCCTTCATCCTGTCGACGTTCACCTTCAACGGTGTGAGCGGCAGCACGATGTAGTTCTTGCTCACACCCATATCATGAATCATGCCCGCAAACGGCGCCTTATACCACGCCTCCTCCGTCTTCTTCCCGTCCGCGTTGATCGTCCACACCACCACATCGCAGGACCCATCGTTCCCATCCCCACCGGCCTCGTACGCAAAACAGATCATCTCGCCCGTGTCGGGGTCGAACTTGGGATGCGCGGTGAACGTAGGCGTCTTCACCTGGCCCTCAAAGTCATACCGCCCCAGCGTCTCGAGCGTGACAGGGTCCATGGCGAACGGCGGGCCGTCCTCCTTGGAAGCAAGCAGCATGCCCCGCCAGAAAGTGATATTGGTGTTGCTGGCCGTGCGAATCACCCCCTTGACTGTCTCGTTGTCCGTCCATGGGTTGCGGTACCGCCCAAAAAGACTGCCCCGTGCGGCTGTCTCGGCCTTGTACCGGTCCGTCTGGACATAGCGCTGTTTGAGGTCGGCATGCCCATTGGCGATGCGCACAGCGGTTACGGAGCCGTCGCCATTGAAGTGGATATCGTCCTCAAATAAGGGAGGAAAGCGATGGTCCGGCTGGATGCGGTAGAAGGTCCCATTGATGTCCGAGGGGATAGTGCCGCTGACCTCGAGGTCGAAGACGTCGCCCTCGAAGCGGGAGGGCTTGTTCATCCCACGGAAGACATCTGTGTCTGGGAAGGTGGTTGCTTCGCATGGTCTGGCTAGCTTTCCAGAGGCATAGCCGGACCGCTTGATGGCGGGGGCGAGGTCGAAAATGTGCGCCATGTTGGCTTTGGCTGATTCGACTACTGGACGTCAACTATACGTACTTGGGGTATCAATCAATACAGTCATGGGAGGTTTATAATAGTATCAGAGACTGCCTCAAGCCAGCCAGCCAGCCAACCAGCCAACTCTTCTGCTTCTGTGGCAGACCAGCTTATAACCACCAAGGAAATTGTGCCATTTCGGTTGTGAACAGCATTTATTGTAATTCCGTCCCTCCGTTATGATGTTCCTCGTCGTGCCTGTCCGGGTTATTCTGAGGACCCGAGCTCGGCAAATGGCTGTCTTGCCCGCACGGCATTGCGCGCTCAGACGGCCAGCCCCTAATATACTGAATGCTACATGCATATGCAGGTAAAGCTGGGGTGCAGATGATCTCCAAGCTTGTCAGCAACACCAGAAGTACTCATAATGACAGAGTGGAGAGCAAGAGGATGAAAAGCAGATTTACGGTATTACAAAGACTACATATCAAAATAAAGTTTCGGAATTCGAGACATAGCGTATTATATACTTGAGGAATTAATCAGTCAGATCCGTAGCATGCTACAAGGAGTTCAACGTCTAACTCAGCTTGATTACAAGGCTGAGCAAGTATTTATGATCCTAGATGTGTTATACATATCCTCAGCATGTCCTCAACACCGTTCAAAGCTCATTGAAGGCAGAAGGCAGTCACATCTAGAGGAATTGTCATCGGTGATGCTGTTCCCCGCGGACTAATTATGAGTGACAGGTTGTGATATTTGGAGATTGACTGCCAAGGACATTCATTGGAGACAGCCCGTCCACCCGACCACATTCTCTGCAGGTGCTCGCATAAGATATTCCTCAGAATGCGGGGAGCCTTGTTACGGCGCTACTTGTGTATGCGGCAGTTCGCATTGGGATGAAGACTTGACAAGATGGGGTTGAAGATATATTCTCCGCACCCGGTTGAACAGTATGTTATAGTAGGATTACTGGATAATATAATAATTAGACTGCCGAGGCCGAGATTGAGGCCTGTTCTCTGAGCACTTGTTTCCCCCCTGAATAATCATCAGAAGAAGGATACAACCTTACAAGCACACCAAAATACCATACAGAATTAGTGACTTAGCAAGCAACTATGGAAGCTGAACTCGCCCAACTCAAAGAACAAGTTGCTGTTCTCCAGAAGGAATTGACTCGTGTCTCCGGTAATTCCAGAATCTCCCTTCCATTACTGAATTATTAAACAACAAATGCTGACAGGCCGCCCACAGACGAGTCCGAGGTCCGAAAGACACACTTCAAATATGGCTATTACCTCGACAAATGTCTCTATAACGAGGTTCGAATTTGACCCAGACTCCACCACAACCACTTTGCCCAGTTCACTGACCGAAAGCCATCATCAGGTCGTCGACCTCTTCTCGGACCACCCAGACACCTACGTAGAGTTCCTAGGTGCCCGCTACCGAGGCAAAGAAGGCGTCAAGCGCCTCTACCAGGGCCGTTTCCAGCAGTTCTTTGTCAAGGGCCGCAACGGTCCCGTGCATGGCTTCTTGCTGGACCACGCCATGATGCAGGACATTGTGGACGTGGACCCGAGCGGGACGCACGCCTGGGTGCGCATGCGGGCGCTCATGTCTGCCGGCACGCACGAGAGCATCAAGGACGTCCACCCGCGCGGCCACGTGCAGTGGTGGGAGGGAGGTGTCTATGAGAATGAGTATATCAAGGAGAAGGGCATCTGGAGGCTGTTTCGGTATCGGTATTTTCCCTTCTGGCACGGCGAGTTTGAGAGCGGCTGGTCGCACACTAAGCCAAACTATGTGCCCTGGCCTACCAAGACGTTCCCAGAGGACCCCCTTGGCCCGGATGAGATCCTAGAGCAGAAGATGCTCTGGCCTGACACGCGTGTCATCCCCTTCCACTATCCGCACCCTGTGACGGGGAAGAAGATTCTTGATGACGACCTCCGCGCGCCTGGGTGGGGTGAGGACGTCTCGACGTCGGACAAGCCGTTGACGCTGCAGCTGCCTGACGGACAGAAGCGCGAGGGTGCAAAGGAGGGGGTGACTGAGAGCGAGCCTGGGACCAAGATCCTGCCGGAATTGTTGCAGAATAAGGCTGTGAATGGAGCTTAACACAGTGGAAGAAGAGTCATCTTTTTTGTTCATTCTAATCACTGGAATATACATGTGTTCTTTGGAAGGCTCTCTTGAACATCGTCACCGTTTCCACACCACGTCTCGGGGAATGAAGTGGTAGGCTCAACCCATTTTGAAGATTCAAATACTTATCGAAGCTATGAGACGCGAAAGAGATGAAGCTTCTTTTCCTTGGCCAAAAGCTAGAGGTTCACAAGCACCCGACCTCCCTACGCCATCACCCGTCGTCGCTGGTGCCTCAAAGGGTGTGTTGAACATCCTGGATCACATTGGCACTAGCGAAACCCCCTCTTTATCATTCCCTCAGCCAAGTAGGCAAGATAAACATGACTGTTTGGCGTTTAGCAGTGAAACAGCCACGACCCGCCCGTGCTGGGGAATTTCACACACCCATCGTCGGCGGCTGAGAGCTCCTCCACGGGGTCATCGCAGTTCCTATCGCTGTAGATCCATAGCGAGCACGCCTCGGTCTCGGTCCACCCGATGGAGATGCCTGTGTGCGTGTTCCAGTAGGTCAGGATGGAGCCCGAGAAGTATGTGTTGACGGGGGTGTCACACTCACCGTAGTAGTATTCGGAGATGGAAATGGCCAGGACGGTGCTGGCGGCAGTGAGGGAGCCAATGATGGCACCAATGAGTTTGGAGATGGGTGCCATGTTAGTATAGGTGACTCTGGAAGATGGCATGAGTCTTCTGCTTCTCAATTCTCTCCACTTCTCGATTCTGGAGAGAAAGGAGGTGTGGATAGCAATTACTTGAGTTCTGGATGAGCGGGCTTGTTCTGCGATCAATGTTTGTCACTGTAGGCTGTCTGATTTGCGGAAGTAACAACCTGTATCATTGCTGGGAGACTTGAGAAATATTTAGATTCTCCTGGCCTCTTGTTGATTGCTTAAACCTTTATACGTTTGGCAGCACCTTCCTCTAGCCTCCTCAACTTGATCCTGGCTTGGACAGAGCAACTTCATCACATCCTCGCCGTCTACTGTAGCTCTTGCATTTATTAGCCTATTTGACTCCTACGCTCTCGCCTCCTCGGCGAAACCACCATGTAACATTCTCTAAAAGTTTAGGAAGCAAGGTTGACTGCAAAATGCACTGCACCCTCTTCAAGGTTTTCTTCTCAGCCATTACTAACTCTGGCGTGTACATCTCGTACACGGCCTTGTCGTGGCGTCTTACAAACTAAATAATAATATAGTTACGCCACATAACTTTACCTAGCTAGATCATTCTATAATCCACAGTAATAAAGATACGTAATTAAACACAATTGGAAACCTTAGGGCCTCCAGACATTCAACCGTGTGATCCGACTCTCCAGAGTTTTACAGCGATGGGTGTAATGATCAGTAAGCCAACGTATCCCGAGACTGGACAACGATCAGTCTGGGTTTCCAACTCGACTTTGATAGGTCTATATGGCTGTAGGTCTTTTATGATATCTGGCCGACTGTTGTGTAACCAACCTATGGCCAAAAACATCATACAATGCGACAAAAGAGCAGGCAATGGTCTTGTATTCGAAGATAGTCTGTTTGTCTGAGAAAGCAACTGATCAATCCTAATTAATCCCTCTTTTTCAAGGTCAGGCTATCCCCCACACTCCCATCATCCCCACGAATAAATGTCCACGTCAACTCCTTCTCGCTCTCAATAGTCAGCTTGCCAAACCCATAATGCTCGTCATCCAGCTCCGCCGTATACGCAGCCCACGACTGCCCCTCATCAAGCGTGCTGTGGCTCTCTATATTGCCCGCAGCACCGTTGATGATGTGCGTGATGCTCGTGCCAGCATTGGTGAGAAACGTGTTGTTGTTGACAACGCTCATGGTGTCAATGGTGCCGTTGACAGTCAGCGGGAACAGGCGCTCATACCAGTGGATGTGCCCACCAAGGTACAAATCCACCCCGTACTTGAGAAACACCTCTTCCCATGCGGCACGAATATACGCCTGGTAGCTGGCCGTTTCCGTGCTGTACATGGGCCTGTGGCTCATGACGATGACCCAGGGCGTCTTGGTCCTGTTGACAGCCTCAAGATCGCTCACCAGCCACTTATACTGCTCATAGGCCGTGTTATCGTTAATGGCATCATCTTCAATTTGACCAAAGGGACCAGAGTCCGTCACGTAGGTCTCGGCCAGCGTCGGGTGCGTCTCGTTTGGGTTGGCGCCCTCCTCGATGTCGCGGAGGAAAGGCCACTCGGGCGAGTTGGCGTAGTCCGTCTCTGCGTCGAGGGCGATGAAGTGGGCTAAACCGTAGTCGAACGAGTACCAGAAATTACCTACACCACCGGACTCGGGGCCCGGAGCTCGGAAGCGGTACTGGAAGGCGGTGAAGTTTCTGAGATGGATAGTAAGTAATTTGTCAGAATGGGAGGCAAGAAACCCTTACCGCTGCGACGGAGGGCAACTGTAGTACGTCAAATTGGTAGTAGGCAACGTGGAGTTGGCCTCATCGTAATCCAGGTATGCACTCAAGGTATTAGTGTCAGAATCAAATTCCGCGCACGACGCCTCATGGTTCCCTGGCAGGACCATGTACGGCACCTTCGAAGTGATATTTTGCATCCAATTCTGCCATATATCAAAATTCGACTCGTAGACAACCGAGATGTCACCACCCAGGGGGCCTCCTTGGTTAGGAATCTCGCCCTCCGGCAAAGGCGTATTGTAGCTCTCCGGATAGTCACCAGGAGGGAGCCGAGAAGCCGTTCCATTGTAGCACACATCCCAGTCATCCTCGCATGGGAGAATGCCGTCGTACCAGTCGTCCGCATACGAGATGTCACCGCCGTGCCAGACAAAGTTGATGGAGCCGTTGAGCGAGTTCTTGAGCAGCTGGGCGTACGTGCCTTCCGCGTTGGTATAGCCCATATCATTGACAATGGCAACCGTAAAAGGCGTGTTGGTGCCAGCAGCGGCGGCCGTCTTAAAGGTCAATACTTCAGAGGCTGTAGTGCCGTTGGAGGCAGCGATTTGGTAATAGTAGGTCGTTCCCGGCTTCAAGTCCTCGATCTGGACATCGTGGAAATACTGGCTGCACTGCGTGACCGAGACGAGAGAGCAAGGAGGCGTGCGGTCGTAGGTTGAGGATGTCCCCTTGGCCATACAGGTAAGGTTCTTGTTGCCGAACTCGCCCCAGTAGACCGTCGGGTCCTCGTCCAAGCCAAAGGGCGTCTGGAAGTGAATGTTCATGCCATTTGGGATATAGGACAGCGAGATGACATTGATGTTGTTGGTTGGCTTCTCGCTTGCAGGTGTGACTGCTGGCGGCTCGACGAGACGTGGGAACCCGCTGCCCTCGACGCCGTTGACGGACGGATCGACCCAGTCTCCCACCGGCACCTCGGGTCCTGTGTATGGATACAGAGTGTCCACATCGCGAGCCTCTTTTTTGGCGTCTGCAGCTGACACATCTGCCAGTGTTGGTGCGGCAGAGACGGCAGAGACGGCGCTCAGGAGCGCTGCTGCTGTTGTTTGGACTCTCATCTTGACAGAACAGTAACAACAATGCTTGAGCAGGTTCGCTACCGGGGATGGGCAACGGAGGGCACCATCGTTTGTTTTAAGAAAGAAACGGCCCTGGCGACGGGTTGCTTCTTATAAAGTTTCATGCCGCTCGACGATCGTCCGTCCTTTTTCACTCACCGTCGGCGTCACATCAGGAAAGTCGGCAACAAATACAACCTGATTCAAATCTATCGGTCAGCCCGGGTCGCCGGCGTGCATTAGGCCGGCGGAGGCGTAGTATCATTGGCGTGCAGCTTCTCGCCCAATGACGGATCTCATCCGCACCACGATCGTGGGGCAGACGCTGTGGGTCGCTCGGGGTGGATTGGAATTCCTTCTGTGGCCATTGGACGGTTTCTGTTGCCTATCACCAACCACAGCCATGATATTAGGACCTGCTCAACCTGGTTTAGCCTACTATATATTGATCAACGAGACCTAATCTAGCAGCTAGCATCCGGTTCGTCCTGCCCTGCCCCTGGCATGGTTCGCAGGCCACAATACTGCAACGGTACGAAAAAAAACCTGCTGGGGTTTGGCACCTAGCCACGGTTGACCCACCCCACTGGAGCCTCAATGGGTCCCAAACTAGCCGTCCTGCCTGCTCAGGCCTGGTACTAGGCGTTGGTCCCAGCTGAGCGTTACGTTTCTCCATATTCTAGAAATCCGGAAGCCAAGACTACCTGTCAGGTACGATCTCCTCTTGGCAAAGCAGTAGGCGTGCAGTGGCATGAACAGACCACAGCAGATGATATGCAATAATAAAGGGCCACCTCCTATAGTACAGTACGGCTCTCGCCTGGGAACACCAACCTCGGCCCGCTTTAGTGTACCGACTGAAGATGACGGAAGACAACGCTGTGGAGATGGATTCCTTATGCTAAACTCGTACTATGGAACAGCTAAAAGGAGTGACCACTCCCAGCTGACTGGAAATGATGGTGGTCTATATAGACAACAACTAGACAGGACTCGCACACGTACGCATCATAATAATCAACTCAACTGACAAACGCCCTTTAGCCTGCTTTTTCTACTCGACGTAGTGAGACTGCGATTTATTGATTTCTTCAAATAAAATCTAGTACTCTTTGAAATAAATTCATAGACAAGTTTCAGGCCTGTAAGCTATTTCTATTACAGTCTCAACGTGAGAGTACCATCATTCTATCGAGAAAGAATCGTAAACACCAGCCCAATATCAAGAGATGATGGCAATCAACTGATTGCATGTCGCGTGATTCTCCAAGTGAATGGACGTTAATAAGGAGACACGCATGACAATAAAGCCATCATGCTTGGTCCATTAATGCAACAGTTCATGCTGGATCAGAGGGGCAATAACTTTAGGAGCTCCTATGCGCGTGGTAAAACTTAGTCGTTCGGGAATCTAAGCCCTGAGAATATAGACTTGATAGCACTTCAACTGCGCACATCGACAACAGATTTCAATCACTCAGTCAGAGATATCGTTCTCAAGTCCCACGAAAAGAATGTTTTCATAACTGTGGCTCACTACTGTGAGAAATATATGTACAGACAAATTTCCTTGCCTATGTGTGCTTCCATCAAGAAGAAGAAAAGATTCGACATCCAGCTACAAGCGAAAAGCACGCTATAAACTTCGCAAAGAGACACGACTAGTTCCAAACCACATCCACGTAATGAGCACAATAGATTGTTACTGTAGAGGCATTCTCTCTTCAGGGAGCATGTCTTCAAAGCTGCAGCAGAGCTAGCGGTGGATGAGGCCAGCCTTGGTAGAGAACAAAGCAGCCGCCACCTGGGTTCGTGATGGAGGTGGCCACCAAGCTGCCATCTCTTGATGTTTCCAACTAACCAGAACAGCTAAAGACGGTCGGGCCGGGGATCGGGTACGTAGTCGAGGAGCTGTCCCACGTAATCCCCGGATCGGTGGGAGTGTACGCACCGGGGAACGCCACGAGGTCGCTGACAGTTGTCGATCCGCCGCCAGAAACGTTCAGTTGATGGCAGCCTGGGTAGATCTGAATCCCTGGATACGTTCCAGCCAAGAAGACGGCCAGGATCTCGTGACGCACGAGATAGTAGCCGTCTGCTAGACAGGACGGAATCTCATAGGTGGTGCCGGCATTCGGGGCCACTTCGAGCGGGTCGACGGCCCAGATGTCGTTGGCAGCGCCGCCCGTCTCGTATTCGATCATGCCAGACTCTGCAATCTTGAACCAAACGTCTGTGCTGTTGGGCCTATCATGTTGCTTAGTTCAGTTTTTGGGTGGCTGGATGGTCCGGTGGGATGGTTAAATCATGCGCTTACAACCAATCTTGACAGCCTGTATCTGGGCATCTTGCCATATAAGTCACAAGAGCTCCATAATGGCTGTCCGGCCAGAGTGTCCAGTATAAGGTGACAGTCTCGCCAGCGGTCGCTGGGGCATGAAGGGGAGCAGGCTCGCTTCCGATGATACCGTCGGCACTGTCGCCATTACACTGTACGTCGATCAAAGTTACGTCGAGAACTGGGCCGTTTCCAGGAATTTTGCGTGAGATGCGCTCTGGGGCTGGGTCCTCGTACGGGTCCGTATATGGTTGGTAGAACGTATACGCTGTTTGGAGTGAATAGTCAGTTACTTAAGGATACATTTGATAATGATGTTGAAACCTTTGAATTTCGAAATCTATTGCATCTGCACGACCAAAAATCGCTTAGGCATGCTTATTGAATTCTTTCAGATATCGAGGTCTACGATTGAGCGAAGGGTTGGAACAAAGCTTTCCACCCACACGCGGCCCACGTTCTGAGCTTGAATGTTGAAATACTTGCATATTCCGCTAATGGTAGCTGTGGGATTGTCAGAGAAAATATCACCGAAACGAAAGCTGAAGGAATGATTGTACAAGTCTTGTCTCAAGCTTTCGAGCAGGAAAGGGGGGCGCATCATCGAAACTTACCGTTGTCAACGTAGCCATGTCCGAAGACGAGGCCAGCACTCGCCAAAGCAAGGAGACCGTACTTCATCATGAATGGAACTTATTTAATAAACAGAAAGCCACTCTACAAAACGGTAGCAAGAATAAAGTATGTGAATAACAAAGATAAAGGACTATCTTTCAGGCCCTGGCTTCAACTCTGAACGTAGCAAGATAGCATGCGGACGCAAAGCGCATAAAGACTTATAAGCTGCGTCACAGTCGAACCCTTTGAAAACAGAAAGGCTCTTTTAAATACGGCCACCCTCGACCTTCGATGCACACGTAGGCAAATATCGAGAAACTCCTATATCATTTCACCCACGTGCGGCCAGCGGCTCAGCATGGTGAGCCTCACTCCGAAGTTTAGACCCAATCAGGATAACTTGACCCAAAGAGGATCAAGAATACAGGAAGACTCCGCTGCTTACAATCATCGCCAGGCTGTCAGCATTCGTGGGAATGCTGCTTGTGTTTCAAACAACGTGCATTTAATCAATCACGGTGCCAGTTCAGGGGCAACCTTCCGGGGTTGAGGCACCACCCGCCGCCGAGCCGCGCTTCGCAAATTCCACCAACTACATCTAGAACTATGTGCTGGTGGGTGGCCATCTTATTCCCCAGCAGTAGAAATCAAGCCTACGATTTGTTGTCTGCGCGTCGATCAGCACGCACAAGTCCCCACCTCCTATGGCCGAATATCACTTATCACTTGACTTTGAGTTGTATCGCCAAGTCCGAACTTCTTCTGACTTCCTCTTTGGTGTGTGGCCAGCAGTTCGAGAAATCCGAGGTCCAGATTCTTCTCCGGCGCGAAACAGAACGCCAAGACATCGATCGTCGATGAGAGATGGAGGTGAGAGAGTCAGCTTTCCGACCACCCCAAAGTTCTCGCGGCGGTTCCGAGACCCAAAATATCAAGCACACGGCAATGTAAGGGCTGGAGGCTAGCACCGAGATGTTGGCTAGATCAGAGATCTTTGGTCCCGACAAATTACCGCCATTTGCTGACTCGGCGGGGAGAATTAAAAAGAAAGGAAAACAACGAAAAGTAGAACTCGGAGAATCCGGTAATGTTTTTGGAATTGATCAATATCTGAACATTGAAAGGCCAAGATATGCTTGAATAGAGAGAAATTATGGAACAGACGTCAAAGTAAGGGAGAGAGGTAGGAATAGTAGATCCACCATCACCGTAGTGAAAACTCGCCCATCTCCGCCCTGAAAATTTTAATAGGTATCACCAAAACTACCAAGTACCTAGGCTGAAGAGTATTCAGACTCCACGAAGCCATGAGCCACGCCAGTGCAGGATTCAAAGAGAGTCCCATCGTGGCGCAGACTGAATTCTTCCATTGGGCGCCTCAAATGAGGGTATTCGTGTCATTCCTACAATCTCAGATCGAAAGCGGAGATACCGAATCTGTGTCCAGAATAATTTAGCCAGGTCGACCCATCCGGCGCGATTGAAGCCTGTAAGGTGCAAACCATTCCGAAGGGCGACCGACTCGACTAAACCGATCAGTGATCACTGTCAGGCCCGATGAAATCCGTGTTGTTGGCGGACTTGACTCATTGCGCCCTTGATAGAACGGTCTGCAATGAGGGATTAGCCGAGGAATGAAGCATGAATTCAAGGTCATCACTCCCTCTCTGAAAAGTTTAGGAAATACTGCCACTCACCCGTTATTCGACTGGGGACATTCTCATTGCCGTGCTCAGTTGACTCTTTGTAATACATCAAGGGCAGTGAATGCAGGTGGCCTGTGCCGAAGGTTCGTAGATGGGCCAAGGCCTTGCTTCAAACAAGAGTACTGGGACAGTGATCAGGACATTTCCAACTGAATAGCAGCATTCGGAGCATTTCACACAAAAAGAGTACATATTCTTTCAATACATCTCCACGCGCGCAACTCTTCAAGTATTTCCAGGTTAGGCAAAGCATCGAACACCAAAGGAGGCGACTTAGGGCCTTGGCAAAGAATGAACAGTGCCTTTTGGGTTTGAGACAACAATTGCAACGGCCCATCAGATGTCAGCCACTGCTACATGATTAGCACTCCGCCTCGATGCGGCAAGCCATAATATACAAGCTTGCGCCTCGGCAACCATTCGTGGGTCCAAGACAAGGCCACAGTTCCGAGACTTTGCTGCGGAAAATATACCAATCTCGATGGTGATAGAATCCAGAACCTGCATCCTCCCGCCGAGTACCACTTGAAACGACATCGGCGCAACCACCAAAGACTCTTGCCTAGAACCTGCATGATTGATACAGACCCCTCAGCTGGTTTGTACAAACCACAGCGCAATAGGGAGGCCAAGCCACTTTGTACCACAGTATGCACCATCCATTCAAGTATTCCTGTGTGACAATCAGTCATGCAAGTCCCGTGTAGATCTCCCGCCATCTAGAACAAGTCCCCAGACAAGACAGCCGTACAGCAGTCCACACAGCAATACTCTGCTTCACGGGGCGTGTGACCAGCGCTCTTGGCAGGCCCACTCCGCGGCTGTCAGTGAATAACCGCTAAAACTTCAAGCCGCATATAATTCTGTTGCCCGTGAGACACAGCCTTAAGAGTCCGATAGATGGGAGGGCCCATGACCTTCTCTACAATCATCGCAGTGCTGTGCCCGGATTTTCCGAACTCCTGAGGTCGACACTCCATTTATGCCGCTGTTGGTTCCATGGATGTATTTCATCTATCCTCATTGAAACTTGCTGTGTGATTTTAATGATAGGGATTCAGACAGGTCGAGAGTTTGTCCAAGGACCTCGGTTCCATCACAGAGACTGCTCTATTCCAGCCGCTTTTTCCTTTTCTCTCCACTTTTTCTCTGCCTCCTTCTCCTTCTCCTCCTTCTTGGCCTCCTCTTCCTTTTGCTTTTGCTTTTTCCTATTGTCCTCGGCCGCCTTATGTTGAGCCGTGAGTCGGACCCGTTCAGTCTCGGCTACCGCGCAAGCCTCTTTGGTACATAATGGGCCTGAAAAGGAAGAAAGAAAATAAATTGTCAGTCACTGGTTCAGCACCGCCACTGTGTAAGACAAACAGGGCTGAGGAATTTGCATGCCTGTGGATGCCCAGTTTGAGCAACATGTTCCCGGTGCACAAATGCTCGACACCCTCCACTCGCCGTTCCAGTCGTTGGTGTAGGTCTCGACGTAGCCGGGTGGTTTGCATCGGAAGTTGAAGGCGCCCAGCCACCAGGTCGGGTACGCCAAGGTAGACGCAGTCATGAAGCCCAGTATGAGCGTCAAGATTCGAAGATCCCACATCATTTTTGAACAGTGACTCGGCGCTGCTTGAGAGGAAGGGGGCGAGGGGGAATTGCGCGCAGGCTCCAAGTGCCGATCGGCCACGGTGTTTTGTGCTTCTCCTTTGCCGTGCTTTCCGAAACTTGAACAGCTGACTTGATTGGAGCACGGCAATGATAGGGATCCTGAGCCGTGGATTGCAGCACGCTGAAGGAGAAGAAGGATTGTTTTTGTCGGGGCCCGCCCGAGATATTATGAATTGGAAGATCAAAGATGGATGTTGCCTCAAATTAAAAATAAGAAAATCGAGAAAAGCAGGGTTGTCGGACGAAGTTGGGAGGCAAGCCTGATGCAATTGGAGCCCCTGACGAACGCCATCACGGACCCTGCTAGTGTTTCAAGAAAAATAGCCGACAACGTCAAAAAACGGTATTGGGGACGCGCAACCCTTTTCGGGTACGGCATGGTCATTGGAAGTAGAGTCTGATACGAGAGGTCCACCCTCCATGTGCCGCGTAGCCATATTGCCTATTAATATCTAGGCCACACCTCATGCTCCAGTTTTTAACGCCATGACATAAACTCCAGGCGGGCGCAAGCACTTGACACGTCAAAGGTTCTAATAATTACACTTTCAGCCTCTTCTTTCAGCTTGACAGTGTTCTTTAACCGTGTGTGGGTCAAAGGCACAGGCGATGACTTTAATTGGTTCTAGCGCATAATTTTCTATTGCAACACGTAAGATGCTGCGTCTCTTCGACCTGGGAGGATCAACAAGCACGTGATTATAATTTGAATCGTTGGCAACAAGTACCATCTCTGTGCAAATGCTGTTGACAAGAATTAATGTGGACCGACACCATGTTTTCCAAATCTCTCAGCGTTTTGGAAATGTGTGCGTGTGTGTGCGCGCGCACACACAAAGGAAGAGGAAGAGGAGAATGCGATGTTCAACACTCAAAAAAAAAACCAAAAACCCCCCGACTTGAAGCGGCAGCATACTTATTATCACCCATCTAGCACTAAAGAAGAGGCTCTTCATGCACTGGTCGAGATTTATACTAACAAATATAGTATCAATGAACGTTCATCTGGCTTGTGGTACGTATCATATAGTCCTCCGACCTGAAAACAAACTATGTTCAAGCTATGGTGGGAAGAGGCAATTTCCGTATATAGATACTCAAACTATCGAGAGAACAACGTTGAATACGAGAATAGGAAGGGTTCACTTTTTGTGGCGTTGCATGCTACCAGAGCAGACTGAATCACCCGCCGCAAAGTTGGCCGAGGCATCCAATCACGAAACAATCACACGTTGGGGAAAAGCAGAGGCTTGGACGAGCGAGCCACCCTCATTCAAAGGCGGAACTAAGGTAACGTGACCCAATTCGCAGTCTATCTGTATTGCAAGCTTGTAGCTTCCAGATTACGAAACATGTAGGTCTCAAACGCCACGACCAGCGCCGATAAATGGTCTGTTGATTCAAGTAACGTGTTTTCTGTAGACCGCATTCACGCAACTCATGGCTTGGCACACATAACAATATCTCCCTCGCAGCTAATGGAAAGTAAAATAAAATCAAGATCATTGATATGGTTCACAGTGTCTCGATACAAGTACAAATTCTCGGTTCCTGCATTCCACACAGTCTTGTCTCGTTGGTCGCTGAACAACTCTGTCACGCCAGGACCCCTCTTCCAAGGGCCGTTGAGGCAACCCCAGGCGTGCAAGCCACGCCGACTTAGTAGTCTGCTGGTCTACCAGGTCTACCTGTCCGAGCATTCCGTAGGATGTATTATGTGGCGCTGAAACGCTCTCACGTCAGCCGTGGTCTGCAGTGATTGGAATGCGGGAAACAGTAAATCGTACCGGTTGCTTGTCTCTGTCTCAGTTGAGAAAATAATTACCACGTGCGTGCTGTGGTGGTCGGTGCAAATCATACCAGAGGATCTCGTCCCCCGTCTCACTGTATTGTGATCTATTCGTACGGTGACCCTCCTAGCCAGACTTGCCCACCGCCTACAACATCGCTAGTTTGTGTACTAGAGAGCAGTAGACTGGCGGATTTCGAAGACATTTGGTTGTTGTCTCTACTGGCCATCCTTCTGCGCGAGGTGCGTGTGTTATTATTGGCTCATTAATAATGAATAGCTAATCATGTGCTTGGCAAGCCTCTCAGAAGGCAATTTCTGAATATTGGAGTGGCGGCCAGGCTGGACGTATTACTAGAACCTATGAAAATGGAGTGCTAGTGATGACAAAGAATGATTAAAATCACACGGATCACGCAGGAAGTCAGATTAAACAACGCCTCTCTACAGCCTTACGTGACTGATAGATGGTTCGCGCCACATGATTGGCCAGAGAGTTGTGATTTTTACTATCACATGTATTCCAGGACCGGTGTGCTGGGCTCTTACTTTCTTTGCGAAGTGGTAACAAACCTTGTGCGAGCGGCCGCAAGAGGCTTTCTGACGGTCAGATCCTCCTCCCTCCTAGGAACGTGACCAGAGGTGAGTTAGGATTAAGCTCTGGAGAACGTTACCTGAACAGGCGAAAGTGTTAGCTGAGAATGGCGTCGAGCTAATGAATTGAGTCGACTAGGTGACACCACCCCTTCTAAGTTGGCTTCGGTGTGCTGCGCTTGTCCACTGAAGGCTGTAAGACATCTGAACGAGGCAAGGGCATTTGGGTCCGATACCACCAATCCCACGCGATTTGCGACAAGATTGTGATCAATATATAAAGGACCTCGAGAGATCCCGTTTCGAGGAATACAACAGAGAGAAAAATCATCCCAAGCAACTCTCCGTTTCCAAACCATTACAGTCTTCCACTCACAAGCCTTTTAAACAACCAATCACCACCTTCGCCATACGGTAATTCACTACCTACACACTTTTATCAACATGATGTTCTCTCTCTCCACTCTCCTTACCGGCGTGATCGCCGCTGGCAGGTAAGCTATGCTAGCAACCCCTCCTCAGAACTTGATGATTCCAGAATTTTGCTAACGCCATCACTCATAGCGTGCTGGCCTCACCCATTGCTACTCCCGCCGCCGCCGCCGCCGCCGCCTCCACGTCCTGCGCAACGCCGGTGGCCACCGTTACGACACCTGCTCTGCACCTTGTCTGCCGCTTCGCCTGCGTCAAGCCCACAGCTACCTGCGCTCCGGGGCAGCCCACAGCCCCGGTTCCCAGCCCGCCGACGACATCTACCATTGCACCTGCCGGTGCCTGTACTGTTACGCTAGAGGTAAATTCAGCTCCCCCCCCCCCCCCCCCCAAATCAGACCTAAGAACTAGCCCCCACGTACCTCAATGGCACTGTTCTCTCTTTCCCACTCACTCACACTCTCTCTCTTTCATTTCATATGTCAAACGTCAACTGATCACGGTATTATCACAGGTGTTTTCAACTCCGGCCTGCAATAACTGCGCTACGTGCGTCAGCCCCGCCGCCACTCTCCAGGCGAGGGAGACACAACAGCCGTCCATCTGAGAGGGCAACTGGAATGGTACTCAGTACTTGTATGCGCACGAGAAAAGCTTAAAATGCTGGGAGGAGGGGGAAAAAAGGACAAGGTTTAATTGAACGAACGGCAACGAGTTGGTAATGTGAAAAAAGGAAGGGGGCTTGAAGATGGGGCGTTTTGGCATCTTTCCTGGAACGATAACATCATTATGGCACTTGTTACGAATGAAAAGCTTAGAGCTCACAGCTGAGGAATCTTAATGGAAAATGCATTCATCCAATTACTCGACCTGCCTGCTGTCTGCGTTCATGATGACACATTTATAAAATAGCACCAATCATGGTATTTCGTTTGGAATTATGAAAGGGTGAGGAAAGATGATGATACCCTCCTCAGCTACGTTTGAATTATGTCAGCATGCTTTCAGGTAGGTTTCATCCTAACACCCATGCCACTGGCCTGTTGTTGACCAATCTATCCTACCAGACCCCATTCTTAGCCACCCTTCTCTTGGAGCTCGTCAATAAGTAATCATCCATGTGAACTAGCAACATGAATTGATACGTATATACTTGGCCTTTCATGGCAACTTCACAGGTGGTTTGGCCCCTCTGCAACTTTCTCCCAGCGATAATCAGTGTTGAGTCCTATTGTTTGTCCATGATTGGCTGTAAGGCCAGTATTTTACTGCCGTGCAAACAAACACACCTTGAAATGCAATCCCTCTTTTCTTTTTCCCAGCCCCATTTTTCCTCGAGGCCACTCATCGCTCTATGCCTTTCTCCGTCTCCATCTTTACACACACATACACACACACACACACACACACACACACACACATCAAGTACCGATTTTTTACGCGTATTGCTCGCGCGATACTAATTACCGATAGAGGCATGTCAACATGGCTCAGGTGCCCCCTCCACGGCCCACAGATAACACGGATGATGACCTGATGCCCCAGCCCCTCCACGGCACGCATCATCATCCTCTTGACAGGGCCGTTGCCAACCTTACGAACACCATCACCAGTAGTACCGATGCCAACGACGACGATGGTGGTGACCTCAACACGGTGGACGCGACAGAACTCGATCAGCCAGCTCGTATTCCTGAAAGAGCGGGCAACCCTGGCCCTGTCGCGTCTTTTGAGTCTCTCCATGGTCTTTCCAAGCTCAGGGAGCGTTTTGGAATGAGCCCAACGAAGCGCCAGAGCCGTGTTCGAAAGCACTCGCCTTGGGTGGGTCACCCTTCTTTGAACGTCTCTCCTCTTGACCCCTCATCCTACCCCTTGCACAACACGCAAACAAATTCCTCTTTTCCCCTTCTCTCCTTTCGAGTTTGTTTGGCTGGGAGAACTATCAGATTTATGCACCTCTCCACGCCGTCTTCCACTCCTCAACTCACCACATCATCACCCTCTTTTTGCAATCATACTGAGTCCATTCCAGAGAACTTCCCCGCCCAGCTACTCACAACCATCTTCTCAACTTGAAAAGGAGCAGTCAAGCATGCCCTCCATGTCCGCAAAAAGCTCAAAACGTCCTCTGCCTCCCGGTCTGGCGTCCGGCAACGGCTCGCCCCTGAAGCGCCAGTATAGTTTACCGAACTTGACATCTGCCGACGACGAACCTCCCTTCATGATAGAGCCGCGCCCACCAGCGCCCACCAGGCGCTGGGCTAAAGGCAGCAGTACCACGCGTTCAACTTCATGCGCGTTCAGCACCGACAATGCACTTTCAAATGCTAGCAGCGACTTGGACAACCACATTGATTCAAGCCTATCCAGTGCCAGGGCAGATCGCCGCGTGGGAGAGCCAGATACCGAGCAGGATGAGCCAGATACCGAGCAGGATGACCTCCTGCAGCATTTCGAGCGAATCAAACACGAGGTATTCACTTTTAGCGCTGCCATGGAGTCACATCGAGTCTCTGGAGTGGAGCAACGTAACATGCTCTTGGCCCAGAATTCCCAGCTGAGGTCCTCTCTGGCCCATGCCGAGGAGAAGCTCCAGTCCGTCATGGAAGAAAGGGACCACAGCAGGGCCGAGAAAGAAGATGTCGAAAAGATATTGGTCGAGGTCCGAGGAAGAGAGAAGACCCTGGAGGCCGAGAGGAAGGACCTCATAAACGAGGTTTGCGCAGAAATTGAGGCACATCGTCAGACAAAGCGCCAACACATGGTCATACAGAGCAGCCTTGAGACCCGACTCGAGAACAGTACGAAGCTCTCTGAACGGTATCGACAGCAGCTCACTGAGAGACGGGAAGCCCTCGAGAAATCGGAGGAGCGCCAGCATGACTTGGAGAATCAAGTGGAGCAGATGGACCTCATGCTCAGAGAAGGATGCCGCATGATCCACGAGCTCATATAGGTCGAGGTCGTCTCTCTCTGGAGGACGGGCCTAACATTATGTGTGGGTGTAATTTGGCTGGAGTGTGTAATTATGTGACCAGACTGCGCCTGATGAGCACATTTCCTTTCCTTTTTCGTCAATCAAATTGGAATACCTGGCTGTTATGTATGCTCTCTAATGACATCTTCTCTGCCTTTGGTGGTGTCACGTTGTTCGATCGTTGGCGAGGTCCCCATTATCAATGACCCCTCGTGAGTGCTCAAATGCCACCTTTCATCCAGCTCATTCACATAACCCAGTGGGAATCAAGTCGAAATCCTTAAAACGCTGGTATAATCTCATTTAATTTTTGTTTTTTCTTTGATTCTTTTCCCAACCTCACTATACATCTATCGGACCCCCTCCACCTTTGTCGCCCGTCCAAACCAATGTGCGCTTGCAACAAACGCACCAGTCTATCAGTAAATGGTGCAATTATCCAGGTTCTGCTGAAAAAGATCCGAAGTCTCGACAAACAACGGCAAATACGTCTGCGTCGAAAAGTTCTCATTGATATAATACGACACATCCGACTCATCATACACCCCCGCGCCTGCAGTAGCATTCAGGTACGCCAGGATATCCGTCTCGATGTAGTCGATGAAAATCAAGTCAACCACGTCGGGAAGGCTGCCGTTAGTGGGGAACCCGCCGAGGGCCTGGAAGAAGTCTGGGTAGTCGTAGTAAGGGAGGGCGGTGTGGGCTGTGTCGTCGCCGTCGGTGCCGAAGGCGTCAGTGGTTACGTAGCCTTGGGTTAGGTCTATGGTAGTAGTCTGGCGGCGGGTGTGGCCTGCGTGGGTGTGGGCGTATTGGGCAATCTCGCGGGTTGCTAGAGGGGAGAGGAAGGGGTCGGTGCAGGTGTCGCGAGACTCCATGGTTACGCTTGTAGAGTCTCGCTTGTAGACGGTGCCGTATGTGTTGATACTAAAAGAGGGGTCAACTTAGTGCTCTTCATGTCTTTCTTTTTCCTCCAATTCTTTCTTCTTTCTTTAAAGACTAGTGGGTCTGGGTGTGTGCGAGGGAGTGGAAGAGTATATGAAGGAGAGACGAAGAAGAAAAAAAGACTCACTAGTCCAAAGCACCACTGGCAAGGGAATACGGAACATCAGGAATGTAAACAAAGATATCATCAAACGGCGAGACAATATAAGCATCATCCCAAAGAAAGGGACCCTTGTGAAGATCAAACCGCACCGAGCCAGTGTTGATAATGTTCACCCGTGCCTTGTCCGACCGCGTCTCATTCACCACGGCAGCGCTCAGAGCCTCGCTGAGCAGGCTGTAGATGCTGCCAGAGCTGTTGAACTCGGCACACGACTGGCACCACAGCTGAGGCGAGCAGCCCAGCTGGGCGGTGAGGTTGAGGGACAGCCTGTAGTCGTAGATCTGGTCCGTCGTGTTGATCCCGCGCTGTATCTCAAAGGCAGCTGGGTCGGCGGTGTAATTGGCGAGGCCGGTGGTGGTCTGCGAGCCGGAGGCGTGGTACTCGAACGTCAGGCGGTTCCAGTCGAGGTAGCGTCTTGCGTACGTCCAGGGCGAAGTCGAGGTGTTGGTTGCCTTGCGGGCTGGATGGGGCACACCCTCTGGTGCAGCGGTGCCGGTGTAGGCGCTGTTGTTGGCGGTGAAGCCAGACATGGACAGCCACCCCAGCGTTTCACAGTAGCGACCGCTCTCGAGGGCGGTGGTGGCCTCGTCGTAGACCTGGAAATCGCGGATGTGGCTGTGGCCGCCAAAGATCTGTACGGGGGTCGAGGGGTGCACGGCGCGGATGGCGTCGACGACGTACCCAAAAGTGCCTGTTGTGGTCTCCTTCTTGGCGGTGTTGTGGCCGATGAGGAGGAAGAGGTCGACGGGGCCCGGCGGGGAGGCGACCACGGATTGGAACCAGGTCTCGTTCACCATCGTCTCGGCAGGGATTACCTTGGTGACGTTGGTGTTGCCTGTGAAGTCGTACAGGATTCCCATGGCGAGGATGCGCAGGCCGTTCTCGGTGGTGAGGTACTTGTACTGATGGCCCAGGTAGGTGAACTCGTTGGTTGTGGTGTTGAGAACCTGGACGTTGGAGGTGAGATACCTGTCGCCCCAGACTTTGGAGAACGAGTCGTAGTCTTGGTATGCAATGTCGGCGTAGTAGAGCTCATGGTTTCCTACGCAAGTAATCAGTCTATGGATATAGAAGATGCTGAGAGGAGGAGGAGGAGGAGGAGGAGGAGGAGGGAAAGACAATGAGAAGAGTGACTTCAAGTTGCTCACCAATTGTCAAGAGGTCGTAGTCGAGCTTCTCGAACACGAGGTTGGACAGCTCGCCGTCGACGGTGGTGGCATCACTCAGGCCAGCGCCATCGTGCAAGTCTCCCGTGTCAACGACCAACAGGTCCACACCCAGTGCCTTGGCCTTGGCCCTCATGTGCGCCGTGAAGGACACAAAGTCGCCCCAGTCAGCACCATAGTTGGTCTCGGTCAAATGTCCCTCCAGCCAGCCGTGCGTGTCGGTCTTCAAGGATTCGTCAGTACTCTGTGTACATGTATACATCTCGTTGCGCAATTCGATGTTTCTGAGGCTTGGGTTTCTGATACTTACAGTGTGCAGGAAATTCAACTGTCCCCATTCCAGGGCACCCCGTGTCGGCCCATATGTGGCGTTGTATGCATCAGGCTGCATACGCTTCACGTGACGGACATGCTCGACGCGGTTGATGGGGCCAAAACAGCTATCGCATGCCTGTGCCTCGAGAAGGAGGCAGAGGCATGCGAGGACGGTGCCTGTGAGGCTGGCTGGTCCTCTCATCTTGGTCAATTCCGGCCGTGGGTGGACTCGCTGGGCTTGTGAGCAAGGTGAGGTGCTTGGGAAAGCCAGTGAGAGGACGAGGGCAGGAGATGAAGATCACTTCCACCGGAACATGGGACTCGATGATGCTTTGGCTTGGCCTTTTTATGTCCTACGTAAGATAGGCGGGCGATGGGCGGGCCTCGCCGGTCGATCTATTTAGTGGGGTAGTTTGTCCACTGCAGGAACAGCGTTGCATTTTGAGGGTCAAGTACTTGAGTACATTTTGGATAAATCCGAGAGGGTGGCATCCTCCCTTCGTAGATACTTATTTGTACATAAAGGTCGATCTACTTGGCACTTCAAGCTGAGAATAATTAGACATATGCGAGTAAGATATCGTTCACAGGTTGAAGAGGTCATAGATATATTTACGAACTCATTTCTTATCAATGGTTGCCCAAGTATTGCGGGCGTTGCTTTGTGTGTTTTTATTTCCATTCATGAGCGTGTATATCGGTTTCGAGGCCGTCATTCCAAGACCCTTTGAGGGTTGTCTAGACTCAAGTAATTCAGCACTGTAGCCAACGACTCTTGCCACACACGCGCTACTCTACAAAACCTAACACAGCGAGATCAAAAGTCTGGAATGAGACCTGGGAAAAGCGTTTCGGTAGCCCGGCCAGGCAAGCAAATGATAATACCCCGCCATCAAAATGGGCTCAACGGGCAAGATAAGCCACAAGCCAGTAAGAAACACACGTGGGCGATCCACTTGCCCAATCTGGCAGGTCTTCTCATATCACCTCTTCGTTCTCCGTCGACGCAGCTACGCCACAGTTGCAGCAGGTGGGTGTGTAAGTGAGAGTGAGTGGTTAAGCGTGGGGACGATGGAAGGTGTTTATTATGTAACATGAATCCACTGGGTGGGCTATGAAAACCCCAGCTTGAACTATGTACTAGTAATACATGTATAGCATCTACTATAATAGTCTGCTGCTCATGAGCTGACACATATCGTACAACTTCTTTTCAAGCGGCACACCACAAAGTTTACCCGCCAAAGGTCCTCTTGAACAAGACGAACGAGTCCCACTGTCTCCGTTCTATGCTTCAGCCGGATTTACTACTTACTTGTACTCATTCCTGGAGGGCGGCTCAACATCGACTTCACCGCTTAAGGGCAGGTGTCGGTAGGATAGTTGCAACTCTCATTCCCACCAGAAATGTCCACATTTGTAAAGGTAAAGTCGGAACAGCTCCCTTCGGCGCACAGGATATAATAGTCATATGCATCACTTAGCACCGTCCCGGTCACATCGTCAAACACGATATTGGTCACATTGACACCGTTGGTAGGGATACCCGTGGGCCCGCCGTTCAGATAGTCCTGCTGCACGTCCAGCCCGTAGATGCTGATGCCTGACATGCTGATGTTGCGGTACGTGACGTTGTTCACAGAGCCAGTGGTGCCGCTGTTCGTCTTGATGCGCACGCCGTTCTGGCTGTTGATCACGACGCTGTTCTCGAAGATGACGCCGTCCACCGTATTGTCGGACTTGCCACCGATCGACCCAATCGACAGGCCGTGTCCGCCGGAGCAGTACATATCACTGACGGTGATGTTGGTCCCCGAGGTGACGGCCACGCAGTCGTCCTGATTGTAGACCTGGATGTTGCTTAGGGTGACATCGCTCGAGGAGGAGATGTCGAACCCGTCGCTGTTGTGAGCTGCAGCCAGGCCGTCCGACAGGCTGTTGGGAGCGTCGCCGGCTGAGTTGTTGAGCACGAGGCCGGTGACAGTGAGGCCCGCATTCCCAGACATGTAGAAGAGGTGAGTCGGCCAGTTCTGAATGTACAGGTCCTGGATCACGCTGTTCTCCATGTCCTGGACCACGAAGAAGTGGTCTGGCTTGTCCGAGCCGCCGTTGGAGCCCTGCCCATCCCAGTAGGCGGCGCCATTGCCGTCGATAACATGGCCTGTTGCTCCGGTAATGGTGATGGAGGAGCCAGACACGGTGATGGGGTCAAAGTCCGCGTCGGGCGTGTAGCCGAAAGAGGTGGTCCCGCTGAAGGTCACCACCGTGTTGTCTTGCAGGCCAGTGAGGTCGAGCGCGGTATCGGCGGGGAAGGTGAGATTAGCAAGCTCGATAGCCGTGCAGGAGGCCACGGCCGAGGCGACCTCGTCGACTGATGTGACGACGCATGTTGTCGCTGCCGTCGAATCGGTCGAGGTTGGCTTTGATGTTTCTAGTGTGTTCGCCAACACCACAGCTGGAACAGCAGCGAGGGTGAATGCCCTGGTCTTCATTTTTAAGATCGTTGGAGGAATGACTGGATGAGGTATAATTATAACTGACAGAAGTGACAAGGCCTGACTGCTGTTAACCACTCCTCGCTGATGATGCTGAGAATATAAAATATGTTGAACAACGAGGTGTTGTTATATAAAGACAGACTGATAACTAAGCCATCGACAATCATAAATAGGCCCACTCCAACAGGTATTTCTCCGTCTCGGCACTTTTCCTACCACACTGGAAAACATGGGGTGTTGGCCAGCCGAGGGCCCTGGAAATGGAAGAGTTTCCACATGGAGAGATGTTTCCCGTCTTGGCAGGATTCAAGACCAACAAGAGAGATTTGACTGCCACCAAGCGAGAAACCTTCATGGCCATCTCTGAGGGAGAAGCTCCGAAGAACAACCAACTGGCTCTGTATCAACATCGTATTGGTCCTCTCTGTACAGGTACGATTCGTTCGAGTCAAGCAGCGGCGGTGGAGTCTCCGTTTCGGATCACCAACCGGTTGGAACTCTATGACATTCGACACAATATCGAGGAAGAAATTGCTACACCATCATGAATAAAACCTGAGTATCCTGGTGACCTTCAAAGGTCGTGCTCGGCAGCGAGAATCTTTCGAAGGTCACTCACTGGTGGAACAATTCAGCGTGGGCCGCGCGCTATTAAACGATAGTGTTGTATGGCAGGACGACTTTGTGGCAACACCTTTTCATCAATGACAGGTATATTGTCCAGAATCATCATTACTGGCTGTTGTAAGACAAGTACAAGCATGGTTTGTGCTGGCCGTTGGAGGAAGCACAGCTGCCCTACCATAGTTTACGCAGGAGAATGGAAAAGGAGAAGGAATAATGACATGTGATTACGATGCATCCAAGCGCCAGCTCCTTACCACCCTAGACTTATCAGGGTTAGGGTCAGGACACCCCACTGCTTTGCCTTGCCTGCCGGGCAAGCCCACAAAAAAGTTCCTGGCCCAGTACACTCGACTTTTCTCTCCTCTTTTGTCTTCTCTCCTCGACGACTTGAAACAAAAAAGAGACATTGACCCTCCAAACCTGCGCTCCAATATGGGAAAGGAACGCAAGTCCAAGCGACAACTCATCCGAGACGAGAAAAAGGCCAAGAAGCGTGCCCGCGAAGTCGACAATGCCGAGGCCAAACACGAGAAGAAGCGTCAACGCCTAGAAGAGGACGATGGTGTCTACGCTGACGGCGGCGAGGCCAATTACGCAGCAGCTGCTGCTTCTAATGGCGACGACTACCCTGCATTTCACGATGCCGAGGGCCAAGATGGGCACCGTGGCCCGCCCGTCCCGGAGCGCGAGTTCTTCGGCATGCTCGCCGACGAGGAGCAGGAGTACTTCCGCAGCGCAGACGAGAAGCTCGAGACCAACGACTTTGACTCGGACGAGGACAGGGGCTACTTCTTACAGAGTCTATACCGTGAGGCTGTGGGGAAAGAGCTGAAGCTCGCGAGCAGCCAGTCGTGCTCGAGGCTAATGGAGAGGCTCATCCTCCTGAGCAATACGAAGCAGAAGAAGAGGCTGTTCGAGGCTTTCGCGGGGCACTTTGTCACGCTGGTCACGCACAGGTTTGCGAGCCACTGCTGTGAGAAGCTGTTTATACAGTCGGCACCTGTCGTGAGCCGCGAGCTGGGCGGTATGGAGGAAGAGGGAGAAGAGGAGGGCCAAGGGCAAGAAGGCGAGGGCGAGGCCGAGGAACAGGCACCAAAAGCGCTGATGGAAGAGCTCTTCCTCCTGACGCTGGACGAGCTCGAAGAACATCTCAGCTACCTTTTGTCTGACAAATTCGGGTCGCACGCCCTCCGAGTACTGCTCGTGGTACTGTCAGGGCGACCGCTCGAGCAGGTGTCTACCAAGTCCCTCCTACAGAGCAAGAAGAAAGAACACATCACAGTACAGGGCGCATCGGCAGATACGGCAGAGATGAATGCGCACGTGAGGGTAGTGCCGGATTCATTCTCCCTGGCAGTACAGAAGATCCTAGAAGACACGACGGTCTCCATGGATACGACCGCCCTTCGGGTGCTGGCAACACATCCAACCGGGAACCCGGTCCTACAGCTTCTGTTGGAGCTGGACATGTCCCTGAACGGCAAAGACAAGGAGAAGAAGGACCAGCTGCTGATCCTCAAGCTGCTGCCGGGCGCACCGGACAGCCTGGCCGACAACGCAACGCCTGCGTCAGATTTTGTCAACTCGATGATGTATGATCCTGTAGGCTCGCGGCTGCTCGAGACTATCATCGCACACGCCCCGGCCAAGATCTTCAAAGCCCTCAACCTGCACTTCTTCAGCCCACGCATCCAGACCTACGTGCGCAACGACATTGCCTGCTACCCAGCTATCAAGGCGCTCAGCCGGATGAGCAAGGATGATCTGAAAGAGGCGGTCCAGAAGATCGTGCCAGAAATGCCAAAGCTCGTCGCGGCTAAACGGCTCAACGTCCTCAAGGCGCTGTTCGACCGGTGCCAGGTGCGGCAGACGGGCGAGGAGCTTGATACGCTGCTAGAAGCTCTCTGCACTGCATACGGCTCAGCCGATGGTGCAGCTTTGGTCCCGAAGCTGTGTGGGCTGGAGACCGAGGCCGAGGCCGACAAGGAGCAAAAGAAGTTCCAGCCCTCCCTTCAGACCGAGAAGCAGAAAGCAGCCGCCATCTCCCACGGCTGTCAGCTCGCGACCACGCTCCTCCACATCCCAGGTGCACCAGCAAAGGCGATCCAGATGTCTTTGCTCTCCCTCTCTGGCGACCAGCTCTTCCACCTAGCGACGTCGACCACACCGTCCATGATCGTCATCAAAACCGCACTCTCGTCCCCGGCGCAGACCCCCAATTTCCACAAGGCCCTCGTCACCAAGCTCGCCCCCAAGGCCATCGACCTTGCGCACAGTCAGATCGGCCATAACGTGGTCAATGCCATCGTTTCGATCCCCTCCAAGGCCAGACCCACAAGTAACGCACAGACAGGTGTGGTGCCGTTCCACGTCAAGGAGACGATGATGACGACGCTTGCGGGCAACGAGAAGCAGCTGCGGGAGACGTGGACAGGGCGCAGCGTGTGGCGCACATGGAAGGGCGACCAGTGGAAGTTTAGGAGGAGCGACTGGATCCGATATGCGAAGGAGGTGGACCCGCAGGTCAGCAGTGAGGAGAAGATCTGGAACCGCGTGGCCGACAAGAACCGGAAGGAGGAGCAAGATAAGAAGAAGGGTAGGATGAGGAAGGAGAGGGCCCAATAAAAATATAAAAAAAAAGAGTCCAGGAGAAAAATCAATGATGATTAGAGAAGAAGGAAAGAAGGAAGAAAAGAGAGTCCAATCGACGCCAGCCAGCCAGCGATGAGTGATACCCCAACAACCAAAATATATGTAAAAATCGAAAGGCCCATGTCACCATGCACATTGTGAACAAAGAACGAGCGAAGAGTAGAAGGTCACAATATTTACAGGAAACTTTCTCAGCTGCACCCGGCAACTAAGTTTTGCTTATTTCTTCCTTCAACACCCACGACAATTATTCGTTCATTCGTTTTTATGGAGACGGGCACTCTCATCTGCAGTATACTATGCATAATGTTTACAATACAATACGGTATCAGTTATAAGGAGACCCGACCCACTCACTCACTGATCGGCACGACCTGATTTTCCGGGACGAACACGTTGGGGGGCCCACAACAGCCAAACAAGCACGCTGTGTGGCACGAGGATGGGAAACGCAATGAAACCATAGCGGACCAACAAGTATTCAGGGCACTAAGCCGAGCTGGGGATTATTTCCGTGTCCTGTGCGTACCAGGTAGTTATGTCCGACTCTTTTTGTTCACAGGCTGATTGATCAAGTGCGGGCCACAGCTGGGAATGCGGCGACTTTCTCTCTCTTTTTTAATTCTTTTGTTGTCTTCTCTCTATTTTCTGTCTCCCTAATTCCGCAAGCCTCAGCGCAGGAAAGGTTTCAACAACCCTGTTTCCCATATCGAGGGAAGCGGGCCCCCGCTTACGCGCATGTGAAGGAGGAGAAGAAGAAGAAGCCTGTCCTCTCTCTGCACCAGACCAACTGAGGGAGCCAGTGAGTGAGTGAGTGAGGTGGTTTATTTTCAGGCGCCTTGGGGGGGTTTTTCTTCCATTAGTCTTTTAGTAGGTCGACCCACGCAGGCAACTTTTTGCCCTTAGGGCCTGTGCCTCCCGCTGAGGGGAACAGAGAGCTCTTCTCTCACACACTTCTCTACCACTCTGATTACGGGGCGATCGGAGCGATCGGGTCAGTCAGCATCGGGGTGGCGTCCTGAAAGGGGGGGGGAGAGAAACGTCGGGGGCGGATGAGCACAGCTTTCTCTACTATCTCAAGTCGTCGCACAAAGCAGCAAAAGCCAGTCAGCCGCCACCCCTCCTTCGTTTTGGGTCTCCGTTTGGTCTCCATAACCTAGCTGAAGGGGACCCTCTCTCTTTTGTCTCCCCGTCTGGAGGCGCCGATCATTTGCGGTTCAGAGGGCGGGGGAAGAAGATCTGATTCTGAGAGTATGGACAACACGCAACCACCTCCAGCAACGACGATCACCGCAACACCGACACCGATCAGACTGCCGCCTCACCAGCGCCATGACCAACAGCACCAGCAGCAGCACAGCCTTCATGGTGACGGCGACGCCAGCACCAATATCAGCACCACCGCCACGATAACGACGAGCAGCGCCGCTGATCTGTCGAGTAGCGAGCTCACCTTGGCCAAATTTGTCCCTATGGAGACCCCACCACAGCCGCCACCAGCGGCTTCCTCCGAGGCCACACGCCTGCGTCCAGCGCCTGGTTCTCAGGAGTGGGAGGCCCACAAATCCATGATCAACGACCTGTACATGGGTAGGAATCTCAACCTCAACGAGGTCGTCGAGCAGATGAGGCTGTCCTGTGACTTCATCGCTACGTGAGCCAGACCCCGCCCCCCCCCCCCTTTTTTCCTCTTTTTGTTTTTTTTGTTGCATTTGTTTTGTTTCGCACGCTCCTTCTCCCTTTCTCTCTCTTTTGTGTCCGTCCAGTCGTGAAAGAAGAAGAAGAGGAAGAAGAAGAAGAAGAAGAAGAAGAAGGCGGCGGCGGCGGGAGAACTCCTGTGCTGTGTTGTGCATGTAGTAGAGAAAATGAGTTTCTTCCGTCTAGACAATGACGACGATGGCAACAATAACAACACCAACAACAACTAACCAAGAGAGTTTAATTATCCTCGTTTCGCAGGCCCAGAATGTACAAGGCACAGTTTGCCAAATGGGGTTGGTCCAAGTACAACTGCAAGCGGATGAGGAGAGACGTGTCTTCCGGCAAGCCCGTGGTGAGATCCCAGGGCAAGTCATGCTACCGGGTCAAGAAGCATAGGGGCGCGGTGACGACAGCAGCAGAAAAGGAAAGACAGGACTCACAGGACTCGGGCACAAGCGCAAGAGTAGGTCCTTCAGGATCTTCCTCAGCGCAGCAGACACAGGACTCAGGCGCAGTTGTAGAAGTAGGTCCTCGAGGAACCTCCTCCTCCTCCTCCTCCTCGGCGGCGGCGGTGGTGCTGGCGGTGACGGCGACGCATCAGCCTGCATCCGCCCTCCAGCTGGCCCCGTCGTCCTTTCGACCATCGACGGCGACGATGCCTCCGCCCACACAACCGTCCTCTGCGGCGGCGGCCACGACACAACTCGCCAGGAGACCAATATCGTCGTCGTCGTCGTCATCAGCGTCTCTTCCCCAGCACATTCTCCATGTCAACGACACAACACGCTTCATACAGTCCATCCTGACGGACATCCGCAGCCATGTGTATGAGATCTTCTCGCGGAAACCAGACTGGCACCAGTCCAGGGCCTCCAAGATCGGGCTGATCAATGCGTACGAGTACACCTCGTACGACCACTTTGTGATCGCCATGGACGCCTTCCTCAAGAATGAGCACCACAACGGCGGCGAGATCCTGCGACAGGCCTTTCTGGAGGTCGAGGAGGCTATCCTGACCGACTACAGCTCGACCTTTTACTTCTTCTTCATCGACCTGCCCGACTTGTTTCTGCACTACGGCCGCCACGACATCCTGACCATCCTGCTGGGCCACATCAAGCGCCTGACAGGCGCCATCACCCTCCGCGAGCGCATCAGCGGCACTGGGTTCGCAAGCCTGCACGCCCTGGCCGAGACGGACCCTGGCGTCCTGCGCCACTACATCTCGACCGCCTCGGGCCTGTGGTGCGACCTGCTGTCCGAGCTGCGTGGGTCGCGCGACAGGAGCACCTTGCTGGCCCAGAGGAACTACCTGCGCCACAACAGGAGTGCCGACCATCGATTTCGCGTCGGCAGGCTGTGCGGGGACTATGTGGTGCTGCTGCGCGACGTGCACCAGCAGTTTGGGCCTGGCCATGACATGTCGCGCCACATGGAGGACGTCATCCTCTCTACGCAGATGGTCCACGACTTCTTTGTCGACGGCTTCGTCCGGCAGAACGAGACGTTGGTCGCCAGCCTCGAGGACAAGTACCGCATCGGCAGCCCTGCGGCATCCTCTGCCCTGGAGAGTCTCGTCCTGGCCGGCGGCAGCCGCAGCAGGAGCAGCGGCAGCAGCAGCTCCGACGGAGACGAGCCCGGCTATCATCCTGCTGCCCCAGTCGGGGTGCTCGCCCCGCAGGGCTGGGACGTGCTCGACAGGAGCATCCGCAGCAACTGCTACCACCGCCTGTCGTACTACTACAGCCACCACGGCGACGCGGACCGGGCCAATGACTACTCCGCCAAGGCCAGCGAGGGCTGGCGCGACACGTTCTGGCACCTCGAGGCCGAGGCCCAGCTGGTTGCTGCGGGCAGGCATTTCGAGGCACAGTCTCTGCGGCGGTGCAGGCTCGAGGCGCAGTATTTCCACAAGCTGCCGGAGAATGATGAGATGATCTTTGGTGGGTGGCGTGGGATGGCCGGTAGTCGTGCTGGTGGTGGGAGCTGGTCTGGCACGAGGAGGACCAGTGATGGGACGCGAGGTTGATGATCTTTTCTCTCGAGGTCAGAAAGATCTACGGTGTCTCGTGTTGTCCTGAGCTTTGGGTTGGGAAGGTCTAGACGCATACGTACGTGGGCCATGGACAAACGCCAGGACAGGACGATTCCCCAATAATGAGCCATGATCTCTACGATACAAGCGAGTGCATGAAGATATGTTGGCAAAGATGTGGGAGAGGGCGCATCAACCTGCACAAACGGCCAGTAAAGCGCAGTCAGTGGTCACTACCTGGCTTTACAACACAGCTTGCCAGTCCATGTTCTTACCCCAGGAAACTCATTCACCTATCGACATGGGGAATTCATTACACAGGGGCTGGGCTTCACTTGAAGGCCACAAGAGCTTTCACAGGTCACTGTGCTCGGAAAAAACAAGGCTATCCGAAGCCCACAATGACCTAGTGAATGTGAACTACCAGTCCAATGGCTGAGCACGCCCACCTCCCTTTTTGATTCTCAATTCGACAAGAAAAGGAGAAAGAAAAGAGGAGGCTACAAGCTCTTTCTTGGTCCTGACCCACCTCTTCTATTGTCCCACATCCTTTCACCAACAATTGCGACAAGTCCAACTAGCAAACCACAAAACTCTCAGACTCTGCTCCAAATGGGACAAACAGCATACCTGGAAACTTGAGATCACAACCTGCTTTGGCACCAAAGGCAGCATATGTTGCACATCCTCCCTGCGGGGGCTTACAAGACAAGATCCATTGGGCGAGAACAAACCCATCACCACCAAAGCAAGAACGGCAACAATAACGAACCCAAGTATATCAGAAGAGTTTGATTGGAATAGCAAAAGAGAGGACGAAAAGATGGCACCCAAGCTCCCCGTCTCCTTCACTTCCATCAAGACCGCCCTCTGCCTCTCTGCCACCACCACCAAGGGCGCCTTCTCTGCCACCGCTGCGCTCCCACGGCCCTCTCTCCTCTTGACCCGAATCTCCAGACGCTCCGCCTTTTCAGCCGCCACCGACCCTGTTCTGGAGAGCACCATTGCCAACACCACCGCCACCGCCACCACCATGGGCCGGTCAGGCTACGACAAAACCAACATGAGAGACGCACAGAACCCGCGCGTTGCTGGCACTAAGAAGGAGACAAAGGCTGCTGCCGATCTCCTCACAGCGCAGCCTCACCCCGTTCTTGGCCCGAAACAGACCCAGAGCGCCAAGACGACCTCTGCATCTTCCCAAGAGCAGGCCATGTCTGCTGCTCCAATGGCCCAGAGCAAGGCCCAGGAACGATCCGGTGCGTGCCCTTTCTATTCCTGCTCTCATGCACATGTAGCCAGATGACCCACACCACCACACCCCATTGCCGTACAGCAGCAGGGCCAAGCTGACCATGAACGACCTTTGGTCTTGCTAGACCTACCATTCACGATCCACGTACCTTTCGAGTGCGAAGGAGGACAGTGCGTTGACGCAGAGGACGAGATTCCTGTGCCGTCTCTCGTGGGCCGGGGTTGGACCTTCTGGTCGTGAAAATGGGGGGTAGCCAGTATAGGGTGGTTGGCGGGTGTTTTATTCTTCACGGCAGAGGTGACACCTACTTGCCTGGGACAACTTGGGAGAGATGGAGCTAAAGAGGTTACACGAGTTGATGTTGAAAGGACCGTGACTCACGCCTTTGGGGAAAAGGAAGATCAGTGAGCATCGGCATGGAGTCTCCTCCCATTTTTTTTAGAACCTTCACTCGAAGAGGAAGGGAAAAAAGGCGCCAGAGTGTGGTGAGGGCCACGTTTTGCTTGTGATCATCCAAGGACATTCAGCAAGGCTCAGAGCGATTGTCAAATTGTGGGAGTCAACACTGAGTTTGGTCCAGGTCGCACAAACAAATGAGTGAAAGAGAAAGACAGTACCGGTAATCAGTCAGTCAGCCAGCCAGTCAATCAGCTGGTCAATTCATAATAATAATCATTGATATTTTAAACTCACTACAATCGTATGTCAAAATTGACAGGGACCAACCACATGGTCAAACAAGGAGAAAAAAAAAAGTTAGGTTTTGGGGGGGGGGGGGTTCTCGGAGATATCAAGTCCCAGAAGTTCAAGTCCAGACTTCAACAATTCAATCCTGAATCAATAAGATGGCGAGCGAGGTAAGCGATTGAATATTTGTGTTACATATAATTATACCCATTCAGTTTTTGAACGTGTCCTCCTTTGTTAATTACACCTCGATTACCACTGCTCATGTATTATTGTTCCTCAAGCCAAAAAGCAATAATAAAAAATATGAAACGTAACTGAACTTGAACTGCCCAGAAACTCGGAACGATAGTGTAACAATCGCGTCCATTATCCAATAGGAAAAAAAAAGAAAAAAGGAGGTAAAACCCAAACTTTATACTATTGAGTTGAGAATACACGCTCGTTGGGTTTTTGTATCCCTCGACTTTCTACTTTGCTTTCTCTCTCCTGCCACCTCTCCCCTTTCACCCTCTCAGCCCAAAGGAATGGATGTTTCTTTTCTTTTTCCCCCACACCAAAAGTCGCCCGTCCAGCAATTTCAAATGATTTGCACAAATCAAAAAACGTTCCATGACTGCTGTTGCTAGGAGGGGGTATTTACTGCATTTACAAGGACAAAACATCGCCCCCAATTCAAGGACCCATACCCCCAAAACACCGCGTGAAGAGCAAGGTAAAGAAAGAAGGGAAAAGAAAGAAAAGAAAACCAGGTTGAGTGGAACTGAACTCTAAAACGATAGCTCCTTGATGCAAATGTTTTTGTCTTCTCCCCAATGTCCAAAATGACAACAACGGGCTCCAGTAACCAAGAAAAACCACACAAAACAGTGAGAATAACCAACAGTGTGATTCAAGACGCTGCAAATAAAAGCAACTTCGGCGTCTGCCGCCCGGCAGCGCGACGTATGTTCATAGTCTTTTATAGACAGTATGAAGTTTGTGAAGACAGGAGATGATTTTTTTTTTCCCCCCTGCTCTTCGCCCTGCTCTCTCTCTTTTTTTATATTTTTCTTAATACCATGGTAGACCATTGTTGTTGATATTGTCGGCCGCCTCCTGAGAGGATGGCATGTTGAGGAAGTCATCGATGTTGAAATCTCCCGTAGTAGGAAGATCAGCAACCATATTGCTGGCGCACCAATCAAAGGATGGGTTGCTCTTGGCCATCTCATACAGAGCCAGATCGTTATCAAACGTGGCGGCCGGTGTTGTCTCAGCAGACGCACGCGGCGATGCAGAGTCATGAACCAAGGTGGGACTGATGGAAGAACTGTCTCGTGTCGCGTGGCAATCGGTCGCCGCGGAGGCAGGCTGGCCGGTCGCAGAGGCTGACAGTTGCGAAGAGATCCTCGACATGGGCTGGTTCGGGAAGGGCACAGAATGGCGGTGCTGGTTTCTCGGAGGCGGTGGGTCTTGTAAGACCATGGGAGTCTGCTGAGGGCCAAAAAGCCCCGGGTTGTCGAGCTGCCATCCTCCCTGCATATTGTCCATCCACGCGCCTGCAAATATGTCGTGCAGGTTCTGTGGCAGCTGGGAGGTGAAGTGTGCCGTCGGTGGCCCTGGCGTGGTAGTCAATGGGGCATCGTACTCTGACCGCCGGCGCTTGGACAGCGGCTCCCCTGAAGGTGTAGTAGCCGTCGAGTGTCCAGGTGTATGAAGCGCCGAGCGCAGTCCGCTCGACGCCTGGCGCGCCCGCCGCAGGCCTTGTGAGGCTGCATGATTGTGAAGAGCTGTGTTCACGTGCGAGGAGCCGCTGCCCGCCTCGCTCGCAGCAACGGACTGGGAGCGGCTCGTCATGTGGTCCGAATTGAGTGGCGGTGACATCTGTGGAAAGTTCGTGTTGGGTGTCGTCATGGGACTCGCGACGGAGTGCGGATGGAGGCCAAAGGTAAACGTAGGACTTCCAAGGGCCGCAGGGCTCATGCCGGGTGACAACATACTGCCAGGAGTGGAGGCAGTCTGGCCCGTCAGGGGAGAGGGCACGGCGGCGGGATGGGCAGAGGCTGGAACGGGACGTGATGGTAACGACGTGTCGATATGGAGGGCCTGAGCTGGTGAGTCTGTGGCCTGGTGAGGAGGACGAGGAGGTGCGGCTGCGTAGGCCATGTCCAGCTGCGAGTGCACTGGCGGTCGTGTCATGGCTCCAAAGATTCGCTCAAAGTCACGCTCGACCTGAGCCACGCTGGCGCCCCTGGCGAGGAACGATGGGTTGGCGACAGACTGGTGCATGGCTGCCTGTATGGTGGCAAAATCCTGGAATTTGGATGGCAGGTCTCTCCAGATGTTGGGTCGTGGCGGGTCATCCTCCTCCTCGTACATCTCCTCCTTGAGGACGACATCCTCGCTGATCTTGAGGCCCTTGCCGGTTCTCTCCTTGTGGATGATGGAAGCCATCTTGGCTGACTGGACACGGGCGTCGATACTCCTGTCACTCCGTCTCGACGCGGCGATATAAGCTCGTTCCTTATTTTCCGAAGGAGATCTCTCGCTCTGCTGCTTGAATTAGGATCTGCTCAGGTACACGGCGCTGGAGGAGGGACGAGGAGGACAGAGAATCGTGGCGAGTGGCAATGATGAAGAGTCAACAGACAAACAAACTGACCTGTCTGGGTTGTGGCTTGCCATCGGTGGCAGTAAGACCGCCTGCACCGCCGGGTGGACGAGCGTTCTTCACCATTGTTGTTGTATAATGTTGTAATAATTATTCGTTCCGGGTGAGTAATGTTTGCTGTGATGATATTTGTGATGCGAGATAGATCAAGCGTTGTGGAGATGAGATCTTCTCGCGTCGTGGTGTGAACACTGGGAGAGGAGTAAAAGACCTGGGGTTCTGGAGGGGGTAGAAAACAATACTTGGGCTGGAACCGTTGTCTCAGAGAGAAGGAACTGAGGAGGGAGGGGGAAGATAGGGAAGAAAAATAGATCCAAGCTCAAGTTTCCAAAACGAGAGAGGCGTGGAATGCGCCTTCGTTTTTAAGCTGTGGGGGGGTGGTCTCGGTAAGAACGTGGCCGGGAGTGTGAGTGTGATCGAGGGGAAACGAATCTGCTTATAGGAAGTCAAGCAGTTCGCAGGCCAGACAAGGCGCGAGACCCAGGACCTAATAAGTTGCTGCACCCACTCAAAGCGCCTCCTCTTTCTCTTTTTCTCTCTTTCTTTTGCAGAACGCGCGCGGGGCGAAAAGGTCAGGCCCCAGTGTACCGAGAGGATGCCCCAGGGCTGTTTAGGCGTAGAAGCTAGCTGCAGGTGGAAAGTAGCTAGGGAGTTATCTTGTTTTCCTGGACGCAGGAGTCCGTCTTGGGTTCTTGAGAGAAGGGGGAAAGGGACAGGGTCAGGCAGATGGGCTGGTACAAAGTGACGATAGGGCAAAGGGCTAGAGGACCGGTCACAAGCATTGACTATGCGTGCTATGGGAGAACCATTTCTCGTACTACTACTACTCCAGGCACTGGCAATTAGTCACAACCATCCTGAGGGCGGAAGAGCAAAAATCCCACTTGGCGGGGCCCCACCATTATGCTAGTTGTCAGTGTCTGTTCGCAGGACGAAGCCAGCAAAAAGTGGCATGAGTGTTTTCGATCTACATCCGATTGAGAGCCGATGGTGCCAGAGATGGTTGCGGGAGATCGATCTCGATCGGCGCAGCAGGAAACGGGCTGTTGTTAGTAGAGTACTAGCCAGCGTAGTGCTACATGCCATGAAACTTATGTACTTTGCTATGTGGATAGCTTAGTCATAACCTAAAATGGTAGTGAGCTCGTCGGGGTTAGCTGATAAAGAGTGTGGGAGCTGTTCCCATACCATGCCGAATCCCACTGTGGCTCGCTGCGCTGTGCTGTACTTGTTGGACGGTCTCTCTTTTTCCACCCGGACAATCAGCTGCTCGAAAGGATGTTAGTGATCAAGGGTCAATTCTAGACCACTTTTTCATAAACAAATTGTAAAGCATATGTGCAGAGAAAAGAAAAGAGAGAAGAGGAGAAGAAGAAAAAAACAGACAAAAAAACAATCTCGCGGGTCAGCCGGAGGAGCTCGCATCCACCCAGTTTGTTGGTGTGGTCGAGCTACAGGATGCAGCCCGAAGCATGCTTGCAGGACGCCAGCATGCTTTGCGAATAGGGCCAAAACTAAGGGCACCACATGTACAGTACCATGTACAGTGACTTGTGCACCAGAGTAAAGCAAAACAGAGCTTCCCCGCTGCAACAAACTGTGCACAGCCCAGCAGCTGCTTGAACATAAGATCGGTTGAGTCGGCAGGGTCCGGATTTGCCTCTGCGTCGTTCCCCTCTCCCACCACACCGTTCTCTCCTTGGATTTTTCTCCTTCCCCCTCCCTCTCTTGTTTTTTCTTTTCCCATTTTGATTTCTCTTTATTCTACTTGTCTCCCACTTGATGTAGATTCTTTTCATTGTTCTTTCTTCCCTTCGAATAAAAAGGCGGCCCCCTTTTGTTATTCTCAAGATCAGCATTCTTCGGGGTTAGCAGGTCTTGAATTTCAAGTCTGGCCCACAGGCGGGACAGCTACACCTGAGACACACGGACGGCCTGTACGGACTGGACCCTCCGGCTCAGCAAGCTGGTACGCTTGCTAACCAGTGGGCCCCTCCCTAACACTGTCCCTGCCCCATAGGACGAAGACATCTATTGGCACGACTGGTTTCGACGGTACAGCAAATCTCAAGCTGAGCACTAACAAGCGCCTCATAGGCTGGCTCCTCCTTGGGCGAGTGACCAACAAGCTTAGGCTATGGGGCAGAGGGAAAATGGATTCGATATTATCGTCTCTCGCGAGCAGCACGGTTCACTCGCCTGTGTTGACCGACTCCTGTCGTGTTTTTTCCCTTCCGAGGTCGAGACCAGCGGACGGACCAAGAACCACACTCCCTATCGAATTTCCCTGTAGATTTCCCTGTGAATATGGCGTCCCCAGTAGCAAGTTTACCGTGGCGCCCCCTGCGCTGGAGCTCAGATTACTAACTTGGCGGGGCTCCAACTGCGAAAGATTTCGGAAATGTTAGTTGCCGGGAACAAAGACAATCAGTATTACCACAGAGGATCGTTCCCAGGTCCTGCCTGTCAAGATCACAAATGCCGGTAGTTGACAAACCTGAGCTTTTCGTCATTGGCATCGCCCCTCGCTCCTTTGACGTCGATTTTCCCCCACGGGCCCCAACGATGTCATCTCCTAATTGAAGGGGGAAGAAAAAAAAAGGAAAAAAAAAAAAAAAGCCCAGTGTTCATCACGTCTGCACTCGCGGCTGCAATATGAGCCGTTCTCTAATACCTTGTAATACGTGATTGTGTTCTTCCCCTCATACTACATTCGCCACCCTCCGTTGAAACCTTATCGGGCTTGCTATTCTTCCCTCCAGGGGTGCGCCTCCCAGCCTTTGTTCTCTTCACTGCCAAGATGGGCATGTAGCGCGAAATAGCTCCCCATGGGCAAATCCAAAGAATCCCATCCTTCTCTATCATGGCATTCCTGCTGCTTCCTTCCGACTCCACTTTCCCTTCCAGCCAGTCGGATCTCTCTCACCCAGCACATCTGCCTGCTCATTCGTCAAATCCTTCCTCCTCGTGCTAGGTGGGCGTCGAACTATTGCCAGAGGAGGCTGGCCGAAGGCGTTTTGTGTGTGTGGTTGTTGTGTGTGGAAGAAACGTTCCCCAACAGCCCGCAGTGCTCTCAGCGCCAGGTCGTCAGGAGGCGCGCCATGGTTGTGCATACGTGTGGTGGTTGTGTCTTGCATATGAACCAGGGGGGGGGGGGGGGTTAACAAGAATTCACGTTTCTTGTTTTGAAAAGCTATTGCATTCGCCGGGATTCCTAGTTCAACATCTTGCGTGCACTTTGCTCGGCACACACCTTTTGGCTGTCAGGCAGTTCTCTTCTCTCTGGCATTCTCAAGAGCTCGGCTGCTTCCAGAGAATGGAGCGTCTCTTGACACGAGAGAGAGAGAAGAGAAGAGGGTTGTATGAGAAGAGAACTTCCGATTTCCCAAACCCTGTCTGCTCCACTGCTCTGTTCCAAAACATCTACGCGATCAACGGCATGTACTGCATATTCTGCCCATCGGTGAGAGTGTAACGCCGTCCTCGTTGTAACGAGATCGAAAGAACATTTTTCCTTCCGATCTAGACAGGACCCTTCTTGACGTCGAAGGTGAGGCCATTTCCCGATCTGCCATTGACAGTCACGATAATAAAATCCCTCTCAAAGGGGCGCATTTTGGGAACCAAACCCTTGGCAGCAAGAAAAAGGCTAGGGGCTGCCTGCATGGGCTTGTTCCTGTCAACCGATCTCCAGATGATGGGATCGATACCACCTGCAACCCTAGGCCCTGGTAGATCTTGGGAGGGAAAGGAAGGGTAACACACGACCCAGGAAAAGGGTCAGCCTAGGCGGGAAGAAGGAAAAAGAACATTGAAAAGACTTATTGGAACCCCATGCTTCTTATTTTTTTTTTCTTCTTTTCTTCTTCTTTTTCCATCTTCTTCCCTTTCATCCCCACAAAAGTGGGTTTGATAGAAGCAGAGAAGCCTCCTCACCCGTCCTGATCCTAGTTGCTATTGCATCATTTCTTCTTTCAAACCGCCCAAGTCAATCGCCGCCCGCCCCGGCGTCTCGGGCTCGATCGAGCTTGTTTAGGGCCTGTTAAGTACCCACCCATCAGCAGGCGAGATCTTCGTTGTGGTAACTGCAACCACGATGCGTGTGTCCCCTCCACAGGATCTTGCAGATCGAGAACTGATCATTTAATTTTACTTCTTCCTTCCCGAGGTTTTGTTGATGATAAGGGACCAGGATCTCAAGGAAAAAGGAACATGCCCGTGGTAGACACAAAGTATGACCATATCATGCCGTTCACACACTGCCCGCTCGAATTGTTTTGTGCTGCTTGATCAAGGAGGCATTGTCTGAGAGTTCCTTCCATCCATGTGCTGTGCGTCTGGTCCAAAAGCAAACCATTTGGGCCCGAAACACGCTGTCTGTCTCTCGGTCGGTCGAGTAGAAGCTGAAGGGGGGGTGGGGACCATAACTCACGATCAATGCCGTGTCCAACTTAGTGGCGATGGACTTTGGAAAGATTGCATCTCACGATGTGACCCCATACATCTATGGTAGCACTGGCTGTACCATAGTACCAGCTAATCCCCCGCCTGCAGACCGCCTGCATACCCACTCACTGCCACCCTGCTATCGACGCCAACCTTCTAGAAGGAAAAATCAAGAAGGAGAGAGGGAAGTGAAAGAGGGGAAAAAGAGAAACAGAAGGGTACATTGACAAAGTTCCCACATGGAACCACTGCGGGTAGCCTGACCAAGATAAACGAAACTCCCTCCGATCTCCGCTACCATGGCGATTTCTACCACTTTAGCCAATCGCCAAGCCGGGCAGGATGAGGAGGGTGGGTAGGAAGTACCAAGAGGGAAAGTGTTTCGCGCGATCGAACGTGGTCATCAGTGCGAGGTCAGCAGAGCACGCGTCGTCCTCTTCTTCACCTTTTATGTGTTGGTCGGAGAAGAGAGAGGTAGACGTTGCCCCCCCCCTCGGACTTTTCATCTTCCCGTCCTCCTTGCCATTCGGCATAATCAGCACGATAACTACCATGGTAATGTTCCCCAGCATGCGGCCAGACTTCATTCCCATGTGGCTTATGCCTCTAATCATTTCTGTGTGTGTGTCTCGTCTGTCGCCCCCTCTCCCCCCCCCTTCTTTCTGTTTCTTATCGTCTGCCACTCTCCCAAAGTTTCCCTTCCCGAGCCGCCCCAGGTCCAAGATCTCACCAGATCTGCCCGTCTCTCCTAATCGAGCCTATCCTAGATGGGTGTCTCTCATGTCAAGCCAGGGGCCAACCCAGTGTCTCGGGAGCTCAATGCCCCACGATCTAAACTTTAACCTATTGCCTACCAGCTGCAAAGCCCAAACCTAACCGCCCCAGCCCCAGCCCCCCGACATGTCAGTGCGAGGAATGTTTTGCACGTTCTGTCCATTTGTTTGTTTGTTTGTTTGTTTGTTGAAATTCCACAACACACTTCGAGTATTGATACGCCCTGATTTCGAGAGCCATGTGCTCCATGATGAGCGCCCCCCCCCCCCTTTTCTCCCTCGCTGCCCTGGCAAGTCTGGCTTGCGTGAATTGAAAAGCCCGTCATATCATCGTGAACACTTAGCTAACTCCTTCGCTTTCCTCTAAATCCAACCCAGCCTTCAGTCCCACTGGCCACCTCATACTAAAAGCCTATTCCAGTGGAACACCTGCGGAATAGCTTCTTCTCCCCTGTCAGGAGGATGACGTCGCAACAGCTAGAGAGCTGAGCATGCCCTGCTCTTTCTCTCTCTCTTCCCTTCTTCTTCTCCTCACCAGGTACTGCAAGCGGAGCACAGAGCTGAGGGCTACACGGCGCTACCCCAGCTTGGCACAGTGCTGGTGGCAGCAGGAGACCGCTCACTCTCTTTTTCTTCTCAAGACCAGGCCAAAAACACATGTGCCCCCCCCTTGGCGGATGCTTGTCGTTATCTTTTTTTCCTTTAGTCTAATTTACTCTCTCTTTTCCCCTCTCTCCCTCCCTGGGCATCCTGCTTTCGATCCTCGTACAGGAAACGTGCCGAGGGATTTCGGGGGGCGAATCATTTGTACAAGGGAGGGGCCAGGACGGGCGGCAAGGGGGGGCGATGGAGAAATTGGAAATACTACCGGAACCGTATTGAGATGCCGGGGCTCCGCCTTTATACGGCTTTCCCGGGTCTCTTTGTGATTTTCCTGTGGCCTACCGTAGACGGTATCTCTCTACTCTGCCACTTTTTCTCTATGGATTTGTAATTGTCTCTTTAACTGCCCCCCACCCTTGAACATGACCGAAATCGTTTCGTCCGGGATGTCAGTCACATCCAAAGTCGACTGGGCAGGAGAACAAATTAATACATCCAGGGCCACAAATTGCCCAAATACTTATGCACCGTGCTGAAAAGAAGAAGAAGAAGAAAAAAGGGTCTCACACAGAGACCATCCCCCTTCCCCCTCCCTTCACTGCTACACATTCACATTTTTTTGGTCCTGTGAAAGAACCGGAAGGGCCCAGAAGCAGACTAGCAGACATGTTGGTTCTTCTTGATGCACCGGCGCGTAGGAGCTGAGTAAACACGTGACGAAGCGAGAACGGGGAGGAGGTGCCTTTCCAACCTGAAAGCAGACCGGTCAAGGACTAACTGTGGTTGGGGAGATGCGCGAGCCCTACCGAGGAAAAAGGCTATACTGTTTGATGCTCTTTCTGCTTTACCCGATTCGCTACCCGAGTCCTCCGTTTCGTGGTTTTGCTGTGCTGACTGCGTACATTGTTCAAGGAAGGGTTGCTTTTTCCTCCCTTCTTCTTCTTTTGGCTTGCCTCTTAAGGGTTTGGGGTTACTTTTATAGCTCTGGCAAGGTCGCAGAGCTAGGCTCAGTAGCCGCCCAAGGCTTGAATTTCACCTCAGATTGGTTTTCGTTTTTATACGGCCAACTTCGCTGGCCAGACCACTAAACCACCTCACCAACGTAGCCGAACCAGAAAGTTCTTTTGGGTTTGACGCTGTCAGTCAGCAGTCAGTCAGCACAAGAACCGAACTAAGAAAACGTTCATGACAGCAGAAACAAGTTGGCTCTCCGTAGCCTAACAAGGAAAGGATGGGAGCAAACGAAGAAAAAGCGCCGAGGGGGTATCCTTTTTGACAATTCACCGAGTGGCCTTGGCGGATTTCTTCTGATTCGCCGCCGAATTAGTTCTCGTCCAAAGTAAACTTCTTTCCCACTCCCTTAGCATCGCAGGGCTCGGTCCCTTTCTGACCAACTGCTGTCCAAAGGGCACCGAGACTCGACCGGCGCTCGAGCGAGCGCTGTCTAGAGGGAATGGGGCATGGAAAAGAGCAGGCCAGTGATTGCTCGGGGATTACGGTTTAGGGAGGGATGTCCAAGGAGGGAAAAAGGAATTTTGGCCGCCTGAGAGCGATCCTAAGGGCAGAAAGAGAATGGTGCAAAGAGAAAGCCGAAGAGGGGAGGATACGTATGAGGTGAGGAGGAATAATCAATACAGATATAGGGGACGCAGAGAAGGACCCCTACAAGGAGCTAAGCTGGAGTGTGACGTGTGAATCCATACACAATGTTGCCATCTCATGCCAGCTTTTTGTCCAGTCTCATCCTACCTGCCTCCCCCTCGTCAACAGCATGGCAATGCTATATAATATGGCGGTAGAGGGATTTCTCTGAAAACCCTCATGGAGGTCTCAACAAAGGGCGTAAAAGTCAAAGAGGGAAAGAAGTAGGTGATAATATTACGGGGATTTTCTGCAATGATAATTATGCAATGCCAACATGTTACATAAGAATGCGCCACAACAGCCTCAAGGACATATTGAAAGACAATATTAAATGATTCACATTGATATCACTGAACCATGGCTAAAATGTCAAACCTCGTCCAAAAGTGGAAGTCATTTGTGCAATTCGGTAGTATAAATTTCCGTCGTTGAAAACGAACAAACCTCAACCAAGAAGTCGTGTTCATCCATTGAGCTCCTGCCCAGCTTAGGACTGAAGCAGAGAGTGCATATGCTCTGCATCCACTGCCTGCGTCTCATCATTATTGTACAGTCTCGTGTCTCTCTCTACACAGCACCAGCATTCCCATGGTCCGCTTAGCCATCTTCGCCTTCACCATCATCCCCCTCTTCGCTGCTCTGGTCATTCCTCTCCACACTCCATGGACTCAACATCAGTCGATACCACTTCTCAATCGGCCCATCGCTAGAGGCAGCACCAATGAGATCGTCATCTAAATAGATCTCAGTCACCTCGCTTGCGTCCGCGGCTGCAATCTGGTCATCTTGAGTGACTCTGATCGCTGCCATCCTTCCATCTGCAAGCGGCTCGCCACGCTGGTCTTCCACCCTTGATGTTCCGAAACGGTGTGGGCCTTGGGCGAGGATCTGCCCCGGCTCACTATCGACGACCTCTCTGAACCGGAAAGACTCATCACGTGTGGAAAACGGAAGCTTTCCCGCCCGCCAGGCCGCGTACAGGTGTCGTACGCAGGCAGGAGACTTGCCTCTATTGATGCCAGCTTCGCCGAATGAAGCCCTCTTCCGAAGCAGTGGCGAGCGGGCTGTTCCTGGATGGCTGGACTTGCCGGTTTCGAGGTCACCAGGAACCTTAGCAAGGGAAGTATCTACCGAGTCGCCCGCAATTGATTGTGATTCCTGCTGTGAAGTCTCTGCATTCTGCATGCCTGTCTGAGATGCAGGTATCGGCGACATAGGGGCTTGGGTGTCTGGTCTAGATGCGGACCTGGCTGCTGAGATAGTCGTGAAAGTTGGATTCGGGAATTCATTGCAGAGGTGACCTCTTTCGTCAAGGGTTTGTGCCCACTGCGGCCAGTCCGGCAGCAAGTGTGTCTCGCCAATACTAACTTTGCCCACATGAAATGTCTGCGTCGGTAGGGTGTTCTCAGAATGCGCGTGGCTGTCTGTCTCGACCAACCCAGCCACCAAGGGATTTTCTCTGTCCCTTGTGCCTCGATCAGGCTGATCTCTGCTACTTTCCTTTCGGGGCGATAGTTCCACTCTGCCGCGGAATGTGACCCCTGGAGCGGTAGGAGGGGTTCCGTCATGATGATCCAGGGGCTTGTCAACCAGTGACTTGAAGCCGCTGTGTCTGTCTACGTGTGGCAGATCTGAGGTCTGTCCGTGATCAAGATAGAGCCCAGAGCGGTGTGAAATCTCTGTTCGTGCTGAAGCGGTATCAGGGGTGTCCAAGTTCATTGCATCCTCTTCGTCGTTGTATGTCTGTCGATCGCCTGCACTGCCCAGATCCAGCATACTTAGATCTTCTGGTGTGTCGTGGCCCAAAGATGGTCTGGTCGACACCTGGTCCACGTCCACATGCCCTCTTCGGGATGACGGGACCACGTCTGCGTCTCCTTCGGCAATGTGTGGCGCTGAAATACTGTTACCAAACAACGGCCGGCTCAATGTTTCGTTCGTAATGACGCCGGGGGTTGACAGAAGCGATGCGGACGTCTGGATAGTGTCGCGCTGCTGCTCGTGGCACTGGTGGGAACAATGCGGCCGCTAGTCGTCTCGATCCTCCACGTGAATCACATGAGCGTCTTCCATCTCTGTATCGGGATGAATGGCCTTGTCGACACCAAGATTATGTGGACCTGCAGAGGGATCATGGATATTGGCGGTGGTATTGGTTGCATGCCCATACCCGTCTTTAGCTGAACCTCTGGTTGTCAAACTGCCAGTGGTAGCCTCGCCTGTCTCGTCTGCTTCTTGTACAGGTGGAAAACGTTCCGGTACGGCGACCATCTTTTCGATTTCGTCCAGGCGAACGTATGCAAGGTAGTAAGGACTTCCACTCGAATTCAGCTCTGCCAGTACCTTGGCGCTGTCGGACTCGCTGTGCTCTGTGACCGTGTCGTCGTTGTACTTGCGCCAGACCTTCTTCTTGAAGTCGTAGATCCACACCCAGTAGTGCCCGCTCGTGAGAATACCTCCGTGGCAGATTACGGCGTGGAGACGATAGCCGATTTCGTGTTGGTCGGCGAAGAGTGTGGAGAGCTCATCCTGCGCCTTGATCTTGTCCAAATCAGCCTTTTCCTTGACGCGCCGAGAGGCACCAGGGTCAAGATTGGCCAGCTGGACCTCGCGCTCCGATGGCTCACCCATGACACTGTCGCGGCTGACATTCGAAGGGAGAAGGTTGTGATCGGCCAAGATCTTCTGTGTCTCAGGATCCAGGATCGAGACAAACTCGTCCTCGCCCTCACCCTCGCCAGTATTGTCGACACTAAGAAGAGCATCCTCATACTGATCGACATTATCGTTGATGATCTCAAAGCCCGCCTCTTTGACGCTTGCCTTCTTGAACTGGTCATTGACCTTGGATGGCTCTTGTGGCGGCTGACCATTCAAGGCCTGAAGCCTTCTCTTCAGGTTCCAGCTCCGCTGCCGCCTCTGGAAGATGTCGGACTCGCTCGGACCATCCATGTATCGGTCCAGCCACAGCGCCTCGGGAATCTCGACAATGTTGTTATTTCTGCCCAGTCGACCGTCGATGTTCTGGCTCCGCTGGATGTAGACGTGGAGAATGGGTGACGTCCTCGTGATGGAAGTGAAAGTTTCGTGGCCATCCTCCTGAAATTCTTGGTCGAAGCTGCTATCGAGCGCTGTGTAAAGGTCGACTTTGCCTTCGGGTGCCGGGAACGCGGTCATCCATCGGGAGAGATCATCCACAGTACGGTAGTCTGACTTGGGCTTACCCGTCTTCAAGTCGACAGATCTGATATACTTTCTGCTACGCCAGTAGAATGTCTCCGTAATTTGATCCGTTTGCTTGCCCGTCGTCGCGTCGGTTCCAGTCGGCATGATGGCAGCGTGGAGGTGCTCAAGAATGTTGCCCATGACTTCTTCGACATCCTGCTGGTCAGTTCCGGTGACCTTTTCGTTGCCTAGAGCTTCGACGATCTTGTCTTCAAGGGTGGCCGTGTCTTCGGCCTTCGTATCGCCAGCGGGATCATCAACCCCGCTCATCTTGACATCCGAGCCATCTCGTATCTCCTGCTCTCGGGTGGAAGATCGCCCGCGCGTGGTAGAAACCACGCCCTGACTTGTCTCCTTCTCGTCATCCTCAAGGGGCGATCGCTGCTTGGCCGGAATGACAGGAGGGACAGGCTTGCCATCTTGACGTCCGGACGTCACGTAGGTCTGACCCACATCCTCGGTGTTCTCATCCACCAGGGTTCCGGAGCTCACATCGCTAATGCTGTCAAAGTTTTCCAGGACGGGATTCACCGTGATCGTCGGTCCGGCTGGTGGACCTTGGGTTTGCTGTGCGGACTTATGCGAGGGTCGGTCGGGGAGGGGTGGTGGGGGAGGCAGGTCGTCGTCGTCTGCATTCGGGTTCGGCAGAGGGCCCACGAGGGGGCCGATAAATGCGGTCGGCTTCTCCTCCGACTTGCGCTCTACAAGCTTCTCTGGAGTGTTGAGTGCTGCGAGAGCAAGGCGTTGTTTAGGCGTGACGAAGCGTGCCTCCGACGTCTGGAGCTCATGGAACAAGCCGCGCATCTCCTCGACGAAGTTGGCCGCCAAGAAGGCCTCGCCCTTGTCAAGGGTTGACCCGCTGCCACCAAGACGACGAGACTGAATATTGGCCTCTGTTGGCTCGAGCCTATAACTCTCCCAATTCATAATGACGTCGCGCACGGGCACGACCGTGTGCAAGTATTGGAGAATGCTGTTCAGGTAACAAGTGTTGCGGATGTTCGCCAGGCCAGCCGGAAGGGTGTAGTTGATGGCAGGCTTGATTGCGTCAGTCAACCAAGGCTCACCAGCCAGCGACTGTTGCTCCGAAGCAAAGGAAAGGAGGCCTTGATGATTGCCGTGTGACTCGGCCACAAGCCTGGCGGCCGAAGCCACCAGTATCCTGTCGAATGAGCTGTCGGAGTCGTCGGCGGTAGCAACCAGATGGGCGTGGACGAAATCGGGATCTTCTCTGGTCCCTCCTGCCCCTGCGTCAAATCCGATAAAGCTCAACGCTTCGGCAGTGCTGTCAAAAGTGCAGACGCGATCCATGATTGGCCGGCTCCTCCTGGCCTTGCCGATGATGGAAGCATTGAGCCTGGCTGCCTTGGTGTCGTCCGGACTTCGAGAGTTCGCGAGGGCAACGTTGAATGCACCTAGTACCTGAAGGACAGTGCAGTCTTCTGGTAGGTCAAAGTACCGCAAAGCTCTGGAGAGCGGTGTGCTCGGTTGTACATCCTTCTTCGAGGCCTCGGTGGCCCAATAGATCTGCTCGTTTTCCAGAAAGAGTCTCAGATCGGCGCAAACGGCCTCTCTGCCCTGACTGACATGACTGATGGCCTCAAAAATGGCCTGACGGCCGGCCGGATTCGTCTGATTCTCGCAGATGCAAGCATACCAAAGTAAGAGCTCATGCATGTCCTTTACGACCCCCAGGGTATCGAACATCTGGGCATCGTAGTCATCCAAGTTCCGAAACGTCGTCTTCGTGTAGTCAGCATCAAGAAGCTGCATCAAGGTCTCCTTGCTGGAGCGGTCAGCCTTGACGTCGATGGGTGGCTTAAGGTGTTTGGGCATGTCTGTGAGGAGAAAGGCGAGATGGATTCGGAGAATTTCGAACCAAGCCCGTTTCGATTGATAGGGCGTGATCATAAACGATTCCGGGGGGTAATCCTCCAGCGTAGGCAGCTGCACGAACACCTCGTCGTCCTCGGCGTAGCTTTCGAAATCAAGGTAGTCCAGGATATCCATCTTGTCTGAGAAGCACAAGGTGAAGAACTTGTTGCGGATGGACACCCTACGCTTCTCCTCCGGGTTGAGGCTGACGACATCATTGAGGTATTGTAGTAGATAGTAAGAAGGAACAAGCTTCGGGAGCCTGTCCGGGGACAGAAGGTCTTCGTAGCGAGCTGGCTCGGCAGCCATGAATTCGTCCAGCCTCGCCCGCACGGCAGCCCGATCGACCAGAGCTGCCTCGAAGTTCGCTGGCAAGCGCGGCTCACACTTTTGGAGTTGGATAGACAGCTGACAAACGCTGGCAGAGCATCTGAATTCAGCTGTGTATGTATTTGGGTAGTATTTATCGCTGCTCGTCGTTTCGCGTGATGCGACTGGGACGATGTGATGCATGCGTTCGATGCCCGGTCGACAACACGTTCCAGCGAACTGCACGATAAAGGTGAAGGTCGCCTTACACGTCTCACAGATACATACAACGACCTCCTCCTCGGCATCGATTCCAGTCTGGCTGGTAACGGTGTGTAGATTGTGAGCCGGCCGTGAGGCACTGCAGGCGAGGGCAGGGCCCGCGAGCGTTCCACCCATCAAGTCGGCAATCCATTTTGCGGCCAAACGACCTTGCGCCCGGGTATCCGAGTTAGCAGTTTGGCCTTGTTGAGCTCGTAAATAAAAGGTGGGAGAGTGAAGAGTGGCAAGAACAGCCAAGCAACATACCTCGTCTGCCGAGATTATCGTGGACTGGGTCAGCATTCTCTGCGTTTAACTCTGTATATGGCGGAGGAAGACCCTGCGAACGGGTGTGGGGGCCAGTAGTGGACTCGCCCATCACAGCCATGTCCAGGGACGACTGAACCTGGTTGTTGTCATCAGTGTTGGCATTCTCGGATCGCTGACGCTTAGGTGGTGGCGGGGGAGAAACAGAGGAGTGTCGACATCTTGAAGATGGCATACTTAGTAGGCTGTGTCGGTATTGTTATTGCGTTGAAGATGATGTTTGGGGATGGGATGTGTTGAAACACCGAATCGGCAGGGCTATGTTGTCTCTACCAGGAGTGAAGCTCAAAGCGCCTTAGAGGAGGGCTTCGACTGTTGTATGTGAGTCTGTTGACTGTAATGACAGAGATGACTCCTGGTAATGGCAAATGGTGGTATGGTGCGGTGTGCTGTTGTGCTTATATGTTGCGGATCTTCTTGGATGCGTGCTCCCTGCTGTGAACAAAGAGGTGGTCAGGTTCGGCAGCTCAGGGTGCTGTGAGCCTTGAGTGGTCAAGGCAGAGCTGATGAAAATGAGTGAAAGACTCTCGTTGTCGAAGTGGTCTAGGAACTTTTTTGATCCTGGACAGCAAGCATTAGTCACTGTCTGATGCTTCATGCAAACAGACCTGCATAGTCTGGTGCCAGTGTATCAAGCCACAGCAGTCAAGGAGCTGTGAGACTGGACTGAGACCATCAAAACTCACAGAAGAATGATATTGGGAGAGGGGCAGTTTGGGTTGTTCTCAAGATCAACAACAAAACAGTGAGTGGTGAGTCCTGGTGATGATGTTAATGGGGGATTGGTGATGATGTGGTGCTGTTGCCTGCGGAGGAGGTGACGCAGCCTCGTCGCCTCGTGAGGTAAACCAAGAGCTAGCACCCACCTAGAACAGGGGATCAGGGGTGGTCCAATACCTTCTGTAAACCGTGGTCTTAGGCGTCTGGGGTGTTGGGGTACAGGGCCTGGGTTTACAAGGTGGGGGTAGGAAAGTGTACTGTACGCACCAGCGTTTGCAGGGAAAGTGCTGGACTGGTCTGAGGTTGTCCAAGGAGAGTCCAAGGAGAAAGACCTTCAGGAGCATGGAATGACTACTCTTGGGGATAATAACAGAGTGATGAAAGGCGCATCAAAAGACTGACAGTAGGAATTCTGGCATGCAGTTGCTAAAGACTCCAAAGAGGATTCACCTTGAGGACCTGCTGGCAGTTGTCCGAAATTCACTAGGTTGGAGCTTGGTTGGCAGCCCCACTTCAAAGAGAGGGAGGGAGGCAGTCGGGGCCGGCCAGGGTCTGAGTAGCAGCCCGAAGCCAGTATCACGTGCTTGAAAACGCTGACTCAGCAGATACAGCCAATTGCTGTGATTGGGTTAGCTATCAATTCAGGCCTGCTTTCAAGCTCCACCTAGATTGACTGACGGAGGCTGCAACAAGCTCGCAACCTCAAAGGCATCTGTCAACCAGCCCGACAACCAATTGACCTCCCCCTCCACCCCCTCCCTGTCGACAGTCACAACAACACCGGCACCTACCATCCGAGATGGCGCCCCACGGTGAAAGCGACGAGTATCACCCGGGTGACGCTCTCGCAGCAGGCGTCAAGGGCGCCATGATCACGGGTGCTGCAGGCCTCTTCGCCGCCAGTGTCAAAAACGCGACGCGCAAGACGAACGTCGGCGCCCTGAGCGTCTTCACCAAGAGCGGTGGATTGATCTTCACATTCAGTATGTATCTGTCTGGGAACCTGGGGAAGCGGTGATGGCGATTGGCCTTTGGGGGCAGGAAACAACAGCCTGTCGATTGACTGACATCTTTGCGTAGCTGCCGTCGGCGGTACCTTCGAATTCTTTAAACAAGCGTCTGCAAACCTGCGCCAGAAGAACGATCACTACAATGCCGGTATTGGCGGCTTTCTTGCCGGCTCTTTACTAGGCATGAGAAGTATGTCAAATATCGATGCAACGATCACGTCGGATTAGCATGGAAGAGCAGAGAGAGAAAAAGAGAAAGGCTGACGACATTTTACAGGTGGTCGCATGTCCGTCATCCTGGGGTACGGTGCCGCCACTTCGGTAGCGCTGAGCCTCTTCGAATACTCAGGCGGCAGTCTGAGAGGAAAGACGCCCGAGATAGCAGGCATGGATGCTGCCGAGAGGAGAGATTACCTGCGGAAGATCCGGAGGAAGCCGATTGAGGAGACATTGGAGGGAGTGGGCGAGGGTCGAGGTAAGTGGACTTTTCTTCTACAAGCAGGCCGAGCAGAGACTAACCCCCTGCAGGAATTCAACCACCAGGCTACCAGGAGCGTCGGCGGGAGAGGCTCAAGGAGAACTACGGCTTTGAGGTCAATCCTGTGTCAGCAGATGTGGCATGAGTGCTGGTTTATCCTGCTGGCGTGTACATACTAGAGCTCCCAACCCAGGAGCAGGATCTGTCAAGGACTGAATCAATTTTTGTTTTCTACATCACATTGCAGGACCCAGCTGTCCTGACCGGGGGGCTTCGTGCTGGTTGCCTGGACTGACTTTTTAGAGCATTCCAAGAGGGACAGTACTGTTTTCAGGTCCTACCTCACTCACCTTCATCAGAGTAAGTTGGCCTCCATTACACCTCTCCATCCTCCCCTAGTACCATGATGTCATGTCATAGAGGCTGTTTATGAATTTGTTATACACAAGCATGTTTATCTTTCACTCACCTACATTGTTCATTTGTCTGAGAATCACACCATGGCTTTCTAATATTTCCCCTCTTGGGTGGCAAACAACATCTGACTAACTCCATTGTGTAGCTACACAGCAGCAAATCTAGCAAGTGCTGAGGGGTATCTGGAATAATCTCGGATAGCTCTCGGTATGTGTTACCCTGCAATTGGGGAAATCCCTTCTAGAAGATGGTCTTGCAGAAGTATCGAACCATATTTAGGTCATCCCACCCAGATGGACAACCATTATGGCAGGCTGCCCGCAGAAAAAGGTGAGCCGCCCATGTTGACATCCGCCCTCTTTCTTTTCTTCCTCCCCCTCCCCCCCTTCTTCTTCCTTCCTATGATGATTTCTCAATAGAGGCTGTTTATGATTCCATATGATTCATCAAACTCACCTACATTGTTCTTTATTCTGACTACTCCCCTTTCATCACTCTTGCCAAAACCTTACCTTTCTGGGCGAAGTTGACGCTGATTTGTTCACACAGACCCTACAACCTGTCATCGCCTGCCGTTTCTTAAGCTCTTGCTTGGATTCTAAATACTAGAAGCTGTAAGTATAACCTCGTTCCCTGGGCCCCTCTCCTATTCTTCCCTCATTTCCATGATGATTTCTGAGGCTGTTTATGATACCATATGATTCATTAAACTCACCTACATTGTTCTTTATTTATCTGATCCATACACAATCAATTTGTTGCTGCATATTCTGAAACTACATGATGGAATACACCGCTGATTGACCAGACAGGCCAGCGTACTCTAGTCACTCAAGTTCAAGCTGACACGTATTGAAACAACTCAAAAATCCACAGTCCATTGAATTTACCTCTTCAAGCCAAAATCTTCAGTAAAAGGATGATGAGATACAAGAACGAATCCAGCCAAGACTCCAGACACGACACGTGTGCTCAACTAAGAAAACGCCAGCAGTCTTCATCTCCCCAACACCATCTTCTTTTCTAACTCTGTGTCTCCCTTATAGCTCTAACTCTAGCTCTGCTGCTGCCCTGGGTGCCTCACCTGGGACTTCCAGAGCCCGTTATGGGGCCATGTCCAGTTGCTCAAGAAGGCCGGGTCGATACCATCCTCAAAAGCCTGGGTCCTTGCGTTGATCTGCTGGTTCAGCAGGGCCTGCCTGGCGGCGGCACCCTTGTTGCGCAGGATGGGAATGCGGTCAATAGCATCCATGGCCAGACTGAACCGGTCAGTCTGGTTCCGGATGGCCAGCTCCAGCGGGGTGTCGATGTTGCCCTTCTCCTTGTAGCCCCTGACGTGCAGGTTGGTGTGCGCGCCAGGCCGCTTGTACGTCAGGCGGTGCACAAGCCAAGGGTAGCTGTGGAAGTTGAAGATGACGGGCTTGTCGTTTGTGAAGAGAGACGTCCACTCGCTGTCGGTCAGGCCGTGCGGGTGGTCCTCGTGCGAGATGAGCTTGAAGAGGTCCATGCAGTTGACACAGCGGATCTTGAGGTCCGGGAAGTGCTGGAGCAGCAGGTCGATGGCGGCCAGCGACTCGTGCGTGCTGATGTCACCACAGCTGGCCATGACCAGGTCGGGCTCCTCGCCGGCGTCGGTGGAGAACTGCGGCCAGATGCCGATGCCCTTGGTGCAGTGCTCGATGGCGGCTTCCATGGGCAGGTACTGCAGGTGGTCCTGCTTGTCGGCGACAATGACGTTGACGTAGTTGGCAGACTTGAGGCAGTGGTCCATGCAGGAGAGCAGGCAGTTGCCATCGGGCGGCAGGTAGATGCGCACGACCTCGGGGGACTTGTTGGCGACTACGTCGAGGAAGCCTGGATCCTGATGAGTGAAGCCGTTGTGGTCCTGCCGCCAGACGACTGCGGTGAGCAGGATGTTGAGGGAGGCAACCTTGACGCGCCACTCGACCTCGAGACATTTCTCGATCCATTTGCAGTGCTGCGAGGTGGGGGTTTTGTGTGTTAGCCAAAAGGGTGTTGCTTTCATGTCCGTCTCGGATCTGTGTGAAGAAGGGGGAAGGGAGAGGGGAATCACTACCGCCCCCTGACTTGACGTACCTGGTTGACCATGGAATCAATGACATGGATGAAGGGCTCGTAAGAGTTGAGCAGACCGTGGCGCCCGCTAAGGATGTATCCCTCGAGCCAACCCTCGACGGTGTGCTCGGACAGGATCTCCATGACTCGCCCATCTGGGGCCAAGTGGCCACCATCAGCATCCTCGGGGAAGTACTCGCCCATCCACACCTTCTGGCCGGCCTCGTACACCTTGGCCAGCTTGTTGGACTCGGTCTCGTCAGGCCCAAACAGGCGGAAAGACTTGAGGTTCTTGGCGACGACATCCCGCAGGTAGGTCGACATGTTGACCATGGACGGCGAGAAGGTGACGCCCGGCGAGTCGACCTTGATGGCGTAGTCCCTGAAGTCGGGCAGCTTGAGCGGCTTCTTGAGCTGGCCGCCGTTGGCCACGGGGTTGGCAGACATGCGGCGGTTGCCCTCTGGGCAGATGGCCTTGCGCAGCTCATCGCTGATCCTGCCGTCCTTGCCGAACAGGCGGTCGGGCTCGTAGCTGCGCATCCACGCCTCGAGCAGCTTCAGGTGCTCCGGGTTGGTGCGCACGTCGGTGATGGGGACCTGGTGGGCGCGCCAGAAGCCGGCGAGGTACTTGTCGTCGATCTTGCGGGGGCCGGTCCAGCCCTTGGGCGTGCGCAGGACAATCATGGGCCACCTGGGCCGCACGGCCTTGCCGCTGGCGCGGGCCTCGGACTGGTACTTTCGGATCTCGGTCACGCACTGCTCCAGGGTGGCGGCCATGGCCTGGTGCATGGTGTCGAGGTCGTCGCCCTCGACAAAATACGGGGTGTAGCCGTAGCCGATGAAGAGGTTCTCGAGCTCCTTGTGGCTGATGCGCGAGAGGACCGTGGGGTTGTTGATCTTGTAGCCGTTCAGGTGCAGCACGGGCAGGACGGCGCCGTCCGTGATGGGGTTGAGGAACTTGGTGCTGTGCCACGAGGTCGCGAGAGGTCCCGTCTCGGCCTCGCCATCGCCCACCATGGTGAGCGCGATCAGATTTGGGTTGTCAAAGACGCTGCCGAAGGCGTGGGAGATGGAGTAGCCCAGCTCGCCGCCCTCGTGGATACTGCCTGGGGTCTCGGGCGTGGCGTGCGAGCCGATGCCGCCCGGGAAGGAGAACCACTTGAAGAAGCGCTGCATGCCCTCGACGTCCTGGGACTTGTCGGGGTAGACCTCCTCGTACACGCCTTCGAGATACGACTGAGACAGCACGGCAGGTGCGCCGTGGCCCGGGCCAGACACAAAGTATGCGTCCAGGTCATACTTCTTGATCAGCCTGTTGAAGTGCATGTAGGTAAAGATCTGGGGGGGGGGGGGGGGGAAATGTTGTTGTGTTAGCCCTTTGTTGAAACACGACTCAAATTTCTGCCTCTTCCTTCAAACAAACAGAATCCTACATGCAGGAAATGAAGGGTGCTGTTACTACTAACCTGGCCAGGGGCAGAGCCAAAGTGACCCAGGAGGCGAGCCTTGATGTGCTCCAGCTTGAGAGGCTCGCGCAGGAGGGGATTGTCACGCAGGTAGATCATGCCTAGTGACAAATAAAGAGAGGCTTGGAAGAAATCATTGTACTGTGCAATCTCCTCCTTGGAGAGAGGCTCGCCCTTGACGGTAGAGCGAGCCTTCCCGAACGGAGAGATGCTCTCGATGTTGGACTCCTCAGCCATGATCAGGCGTTTGGGTGAGAGGGGGAGAAAGGAGAGAGGGGGGGATGGGTATCCTTTCGTATGTGTGGATTTGGGAGGGTATATTATTGTTCTTGGAAGATCTGATGTTGTTGATGAGTTGAGGAGAAAGACCAAGAGGACCAACGTCCAGGTAGACAGACGACAACTCTTAAAGAGGTTGGGCTGTTTATATATGAGTAAGAAACCCTCCTGGAGCTCTCCCTAGCTAAAACGAAGAGAATCGTCGGTTCATGGGCTCATAGGCACAGAGCCAAGCTCGGCGCCATACGTGCTTAGTCTTGGGAGGGAGTGGGGTGGCCACTGGTATCCGTTCCGCATTCATGCTCCACAGGTTCACCAACCAGGACCGAAGACGTTGCCATGCCTGCTGGAACCACACACGAAAAGAGAGGGGAGGGAGAGATAGTGAGCGGGATAGAGAGGGGTTGGTGGGGGTGAGAGGGGGGGGGTCGGCATCGATCATCCTCGCAGGCGGTTGTCGCTAGGGGCCGGTCTATCCGGCTTCCGAGAAGCTCTTTTCCATTCAAGCCTCCTCCTGCAAAAGACAAAAGTGAGTTGGCCTGGCTGGGTCAGGAATCCTTCCTTCTTCTGCACCAGAAATCTCTTGACAAGTGGACTCTCCTACCAGGCATACCACATGCCTAGCAGAGGAGAAGGCCCGATGGCCTGGTACCATGAAAGTAGCACATGCCACATGGAAAAAAACCTAGATCAGTTGGATGGCCATGTTCGCTTACGCTGCGTGCAGTAATGGTGGCCTGATTCTTACGTGCGCCGCCCATGGAAAGTAAAACGTCATTTCTTCGCGCCAGGACTTAATAAGCTCATTGGGAGACGGGGGGGGGGCTGCCCTGGTGTGTCTTTCAGGACGACGATGAGAAGGAGGGTTTGCACTAATCCTTTCCCTCGGATACTTCGCCTGTACGTGCTTTTGCGGTATCCGGGCTGCCCCCAAAAGCTGCAAGAATTGCCGGCCCTGCAATCGGTCACTCTTGGGCCCCGTGGATAACCCTTCTATGCTTTTTTTGTCCCTGGTCGAAACCCCCTGCTACTTATTTGCAAGGGAGGGGGGGTCGAGAATACAATGTTGCGCCAAATAGAAGAGAAAGATCAACAGATTGGTGGCTCTGTTGGATCAAGAAAGAAGCGGTCTCGGAACAGCGTCGTGTGATGAATATGATCATTTCCAAGGGCAGAGAGAGGAAAAGAGAGAGGCGAGGCTGGATCTCTACGTGGCATTGGGCGCCACTACGGCCTTACCAGGACATCCAAAAACTTACTTGGGCCTGCGAATCGAATGGTGGGCTACTGCGCCTCAGCACCAAAAAAAAAAAAAAAAAAAGGGCGAGCGCATGTAGAAACACCTGATATTGAGGGGTTTTTTTCCTCGGTTGTTTTCTTTTTGTTCCCTCCCCCCTTTCCTAGCTTTTTCCTTTTTAGAAGGTGTAAAGATACAGGGTCTCAATACCCCCCCCCCCTCTTCTCTGTTTTTTTTCTGGGGTCACCCTTTGGAATGAGTGGTAGCATGCATATGGAATGGTGTGGGTGATCAATGAGCCACCTATCCGGATCCGACCTGTCACTGGCGGTCGGTCCCGGGGTTGTGGTCCTTTTCCCACAAACAACAGAGATCAGCGGATTCTACTCCGGATTTATTTTCAGGGGCCCCACAGGCAACGTCTGGAGATTCGCCAAATCTTACTGGGTGCATCTGTCAATGAGCGTGTGACTACTTGTGCAACAGAAGGTCACGAGATAGAAGGGAAAGAAAGACTTCATGTCGTTGCAATCAATATTTTTTTTCCTTCGAGGTGTATGGGCCTCGAACACGACGTCCCTGCTTATTTTGCCTTTCTTCTCACGCTCACTCATGCCATCTTTGTCATTGTTCTTATCGCAGGAAGCAAAGACGCCCAGTCATGACCACAACTGGTGCCACGAGAGCCCGGGAGACCGACCGCCTGATCAACATAAAATAGGTCGAGCTTGGCAATCTGAATCTCCTGTTTATGATGAGAACAAAGGGTCAGAGTAATCGAGAGGCGACGCTGGGCACACGAGATTCTGTCTGGTCAGACCCCAAACAAGGTGCGTGGGGTCGGGGGTCTGCAGGGCGTAGACAAAACAAGAAAAATCAGGCCACTCACTCTCACGAAGGCTTCCGAGGCTAGGAACCCGGCGCTGCCCCAGATATGCGGTGCCATGTATGTTCTTTTTCCCCCGGCTTTTTCAGTGGGACGACAAAAGGTCCAAGCAGGTTCAGCAACGAGATTGTAGGACTCGTTTGCCTTCCCTCCTCCTCCTCCTCCTCCTCCTCCTCCTCCTTCCCGATCGACCATCATATGAAAGATTGCAGTCCGCCAGACAGCACTCTGTGGCCGGCCCGATTCGCCATACTATATCATCTTCTCTGTCAGGCTGGACCCTGCTGCACTTCATCGCCGATGATGGGGCTGACTGCCACCCTGAGAAAAGACAACTCCACTTTCAGCCAATTTTTCATGCTTGTCATCCGCAGATCCCTTCTGAACGAAGGTTGACCATGTTTCATGCTATGTAGGAGCTGCAATGGCCTCATGGCTTCTCTGATCCCGTTGAGTGTCCTTTTAGTCCGGGGCAGGTGCATAAGGCTTTGCACAATGGTAGACGCGCCATACAAAGAAGCTCAGACGCAAGGCGGAAGGTCAAGAAAGCCGCAATGTTTCTGTTGCAGCTGTGGCTACTCTTTCGCTACCAACGGAACCCTAAAAGGCTATAGGATTCCGTCTTGCTTGCGTGCGTGATATCCTGGTGGGGGGGGGGGGGGGTTCATGCACGCACACCCAACTCGATTTCGAGGCCATGCATGTGAATGACTACGTGTATCCGGGATAGAATCTGATTTGCCGTCTCTCCACTTTCTCCCCTCTCTTCTGCGCTGGCCTCTTTTTTTCTTCTTTCTTTTCTTTCTTTCTTTCGATAAACGGCTACATAACGCAAGCATTCTTGATCAAGCAAGAATCCCCGAGGCTCCGGCGGCAAACCCTGGATAATATTCATCCTTTCTGGCTGATAGAACTAGCGGATAATACAAGTTGCGTCCAAAGTGGGATATGCCAATCTTATTACTGTTTTTTCTTTACTACCTTGCCATCCTCTACCACCGTGCTTCCCACAGCCCGACAGCTCGACGATCTCTACAAACATGCCCGCAATGGAACCCAGTCGGGGATGCCTGAAGCGTAGACATACGTGTCTACACTTGTTGCAACGTTGCTGAGATAAGGCTGTGATCTGTCACAAAACGAATCCGGGGTAATTGATCAGTCGTCTGCAAGACTCAGGCAGGTGTATGTATACGTAGTACCTAGTGTAACCACCCACTGGTGCTGATCCACTTCTTGATTTTTGTCGTCTGTCAGCCAGTTGGCTGTCGCCGTTTTTGAAGACAGCCAAGTGTTGAAGTCTCGGGCTCTCAGATAGCTCAGGCAAGTGTATTATGAGTCCGGCGGGGGTCTGGCGATATAATTATCTTTGCTCAGATTTCGAGGGAGCAAGAATTCATGGCCAGAGCGTGTGGCCGTCAGCCACTAAAAAGCATGACATGAATTGGCGAGCCGTCTCTGCCATGGTGATTGGGCTGAGCGGATCTATGATTGATCAAAGGGGCGCCTGATTACTACATGATCAAGCAGAACGATGAACTGTACCGAACGTATGCGGTAATCATATCCCGAACCTCGTTAACATTTTAGAATTAGGTTACTAAACTCAAGTGTATCATGTCTATATCGCGAGTGCGCTCCCCTCAAACAACCCAAACACCGCCCTGACCTTACGCCGATTTTTTAGGAAATTCCGTACTGCGCGCTCCAGCGCATCTCTAATCCGTCCTCCACAGTGATGCCCACTCCTATCGCTGCGAGTTGTGTCCCCCCCATGGTCCAAGTACACATGAGGGGAATCCCCGTCGACCAAAGCCCAGAGACTCATACATCGAGATGGGCCTCAGAGCCCACCTCCTGCATAGTTGAAAGCGAGGTGGTGCTCTCCTTTGTGGGCTCATGCGGGCTGATGACACGGCTCGGGTGGAAACCGCAAAACAAGATGGTGACCAAGACCATTGGCACGGCATCAAACACATACAGCCACCACTCCTTGTCCTGAATGACTCCATTGGACCCCGTAATGTACTCGGCCACACGATAGATGGATCGGATCAGGATCAGGCAGCTGCTCGCGTACAGAACGTACAGCAGAGCCTGCCAGGGGGCACTGGTCGTCTTGGCCCGCATGGTAGGGTACTTCCGGATGCGTATGTGGAACAGCAGGGCGACGATGACGAAAAGGCCGAAGAAGACGATCTGGACACCGAGACCAGCGACGATGATCCAGTTGCCCGTCTTGATCTTGGACTCGGACTTGGCATTGGAGAGCATGGCGCCTCCGCCGCTCTGGATGAAGAACGAGAGGACGTCGCCCATGACGAACACCTTGGTGAGCCACTTGGGCGGGACCATGGAGAACTGCTCGCCGTGGAGGAGGGTGATGATTCGCCCGAGGACCATGTAGATGGATGCTGCGAAGAAGGTCGGGCCGAGGAGGAGGAGTAGAGACTGGATGATGTATGGGGTCTTGGTATAGTTGGGAGCCTCCGTCGACGAGAGGATGCGTCCTATGTAACCCACGCCTTCGACTGTTTGCACATTGCTTATTAGCTTGTCTGCGCCCAACACAGCCGGGTAGGAAACAACGAAGGAGGAAGGACAAGAAGAAGAAAGCACTTACAGAGACAGCCAATGACGAACGGTGCGAAATACCAGGTTCGGTGCCTGAGCAAAAACCAGATCTGGAGAGCGGCTACGATGAAAAACACTACGCACATCACGATGGCTGCTGCCATCGATGGCGTGTAGTGGTAGAAGACGAAATCCGTGACCGCCATCTTGTGTGTTGAGTTTTTGTGAACTGGCGGAGGATGTAGATCAATTCATATGAGGCTAAGGGGGCTTTTTGAGGATGATGGAATGGCAGATTGTGTCTGTATGTTTGCGATATGGACAAGGCAAAATGAATCCCACCAGATGAGGGTGGAATTCATCATCTTTATATCATCTTCCATTTCAATATGTTATTGCTGTTGTTGTGAGTATTATGAGTTGAGGATTTTTTTTTTTGGCTTCGCTCTCGCTTGATGATTCCGACCGCGAAAGAGAACCAAGCTCGCATGATCCTATGAAGCCTGCGAGGCTTAGCTGCGGTCTGGCCATATCAATGAAGAGCCTCAACAAAACCCAACACAGGTTTGGGACTGGTGCAAAGAGGCTGTGCGCTAAACATACGTGTCTGAACAGTTTTCCATAAAAAACGCCGGATAGGGCTGAGCGTCGAACACGCGTATTGGAGTCTTTCAATTTTTACCGAGCTCATAGATACGAATACGAGATAATTCAAGCACCTGCTAGTATTTCTGGACCAATCATATCAATTCGCGACGTCAAAGTCTAGATTGTATTCAAGCTTTCGCTACAAGCTTCGACACAAGCTTTCGATGCTAGGTTTGATACCATCAATGAGCACATTGCTGATTGATAGAACCAGTAAATGACTCGGAAAGGTTTTTTTCTTTTCTTTGTGATAGTCTGTTTTCGTCTTCCCAACGGGCTACTCAGGTAAGCGGTCCGCCAGCATCTCCATGGGCCATTGCAACCAGTGAGCCCATTCAGGACCCAGAAAACAAGAGACGCTACGCAGGACAAAGACGGCAGCATCGCCAATGGCCCAATGAGTCCTCCCGGAATCCAGCAGGACCGCGTACCAGCCCAAGACAGCTACAGCCTCTGGTCTTCGCTGGCTCAGCAGGTCGAAGAACTCATTCGGGAAATACGCCCCCCAGCAGAAGATCAAGCGGAACACATTGTCGGCTCGTGGAGACTGTGCCAGCTCGTCAAAGCCGACCTGCAGGAAGTGGACTGCCGTGCGGCAGGCTTCTTTGGCGATCGGGTCGAGGGCGGGCGTGATGGATATGAGCTGCCGCAGCATGTCGCATTCTTTTCCTACCGTGGACGAGCGCGTGGCGGCCCAGCTCCCCTCCCGCACAAGGGGTGCCAGGTCAGACTCGAGCAAGATGGTTGATGTCTTGTTGTAGATGACCCTGATGCCTCTCTGCACCTGCGCTGATCGTATGAATCGCTCCAGGAAAGCAGCGGCGTCGCCCTCGCGGTTGCCGAGAACATCAATTAGAAGATGTCGATTCAGCAAGCCGACAAAGAGGATGGTTGCCTCGCAGTTTGTCTTGTCGATGATTTGTGTGGCGTTGAACAACTCTATGGCTTTCGTCTGCAGCTGCACCGCCTGGCGCGAGTAAAATTGACAGCGATCTGGACGGAGGTGGGCGAGATGCTGTGCTGAGATGGCCAAGATCTGATGGAGCAGACATGGAGTTCCCAGACTTCTCTGTAGGACAAGGTTTGTCCCTATTCCGAGAAGCTTCGGTGCCAAGTCGGGTGTCATGGTGGCAGCTGTGCTTGTTGCGAAATGGACCAAGAGCTCCACGTGGTTCATATTCACCTCCTGGTCTATGTCGATTTGGACTGCATCCTGAGGATGGTCACTGGAGCCCGGTCCGGCAACACCGGGGAGCTGTACCTGGCACACTGGAACATCCGATGGATGGGACGATGCAAGGTCTGGAAGAGTGGATGGAGTAGACCAATCAGACGAAGGATTGGGACGCCCTAGAGTACCCAGCGTGTCTGTAGCGACAGTATCTTGGCAGACTTCTCCATTGCCTGCTGAAGATGGAGAGTTGACATTGGATGTTGCGATGGGCGTAACAAGGGCATTGTGTGATTGGCGTGCGCTGGTAGCATTGCGGCTTCTGCTCGCTACAGACTTGCTGGCAACAGCTTCTGGGTACTTGCATGGACGGCCGACAACTTTGCAGTTACCACAATTCGGCTTGGTCTCGTCACACTACCAGAGGAACCAAGTCAGTACATTGGCCTGATAAGTCCACTGAAAGAGCAACAGGGTTAAACCGTTGATATTCGCAGCGTACCTTCATATGGCGCTGCTTGCAGCCCTGACAGCCATTGCGGGACTTCTTGTGTTGTGCTCTCCGCCGTTCTCCCATCATTAGTATGCATACTGGTGTGAATCTAAACAATGTGTGAGTGAGAGACCGAAAGCAAGTACTCGTATTGTATAGCTTTGAAGCAAAATCTGGGTGTCTAAGTCTGGTGCGAGATAGACACGTACCGTATTCGGCAGCGGAATACGCGTATTCACAGTGGATTCGTATAAATAGTATGCAATCACAGTGGGAGGAATCAGGATTCAGCCTGCATATGTGGAGTCCGAGCTTTCAGCTCTATGCCCAGTTAGCCTATGAAAAGCTCATCCGACACATCCTAAATCTTATTTGCCCTGCAAGAGTCAGTTCTTATAACATGCTATAGCGGGAGCTAGACTTGGTTAATGCACACACTTGTCTCATGAACCTATCATGAAAGATATAAGGTCCAGCTAGGTCTGAGACACAGGCGTCGTCTTTTCCCCGACATCTATAAGCCTAGTTCGCTTAGTAGCAAAAACAGCACATTTCTCTGAGTTGTAAGAGAAGAGAATTCATTCTCTGCCATTTACTCAAGATCTGTAGACATTGCGAGTTTGATTATGTTTTATGCTGAATGTGTTGGATTTAGCAAAACGGCTGCTCACACAACTCCACAGCACGTGCTATATGTTCAACAACATGGGATGGACCGCCTGAAAAGGTAGAGGGGGTTATTATAAAGAAGGATTTGTCGTGATTCTCTTCACGAAGAAAATTTTTCACAAACTGGTAGGTGTGTAGGAGGGAAAAAAGGAAGAGCTGGTTCTGAAAGACTGCCAATCTTTTTTTCACCAACAGAATCACGAGTCCAGGACGAGTTCTGCAAGACCATGAACTTAACCATTGAGTCGAAGCTGTTACAAATCACAGGCACCCTCTCATGTGTCACTGCGAGAGTTAGATGTAAACGCATGCCCCCCACCCTACCCAGCACCATGAAAAGAAGGAAGGTGCGCAGACATGGAGTTAAGTCATGGCTCTCATTCCCATCTGGATACAGCGAGGGCGGCGTAAGAAATGAAACGTGCCATATTTGACATGATCAGAGAGACCCCTGATGATATGCCATAGCACAGCTCCCTCCAAGAACAACTTGAACGAAAGGAAAAAGAAAAGAAGGAAAAAGCAGGTTGGGACTTGATGCGACAATACAATCAAGCAGTAACGGGTGGAGGCAGCAGTGTGGTGAGGTCTCTAGACAACAAGATGACAGAAGAGTCAATTTGAGCATGCCTTAGCAGGCTACTTACTATAGTGTATATAGGAATTAGCAAGCGTGAGTAAAGATTCTCATTATAATATATTTTGAGCCGATGAGTTCTCGTTGTTGGAGTTAATACTCCCCCTTCACTTGTCACTTAATAAGGCCCTCGCTAGATTTCCGCTGCCGCTGCATGTGTGCGCTGTCTGAAGGCGTACATGTATTTGGTATGACAGAAAGCGGATAATTAAGAAAATAGCATGGTTTGTAAACCTTGACGCTTCAGTCAGTGAAGTGTCTCAAGTGACGAGAACATGATCTTGTGTACATGTTCTGTTTTCGCTACATAATGCTGGAGAAGGATCTGAAGAGTACAAGTCTGAACAGTAATTAGAGAATTAGAACTCTCATTGGGCATGATCACGTGGTCCTTGAGTGGTTTTATGGTACGACATGCGTTGAAAAAATATATATTACTGCCTTTCTGAAAGGTCATGATATTATGCCCAAGGTATTAGATATGCAAAGCAATGCAAGGCGAAGTCCCATGGTCTGCCGATACAAACACCTCTCTACAGGTTGGCGAGCATAGCAGCACCACCAAAGAGAGCACCCATGCCGACGGCAGCGGTCTGGACGGGGCCGTAGTTGCCCGATGCGCTGGTGCTGGCGCTGCTCGAGGCTCCAGAGGCCGAGCTGGCGGCAGAGCTCTGGGCGGCGGAAGCCTTGGACGACACGCTCGAGGAGAGGGAGGCCAGCTCAGAAGACAGCGAGCTGGCGGCGGCGCCGGTGGCGGTGGAGAGGGCGGAGCCGATGGAGGAGGCGCGGCTGGCGCCGTCAGAGGTGATGGACGCCAGGACGGATGTGACGTCGCTGTTCACGGAGGAGATCTCGCTAGCCAGGGCCGAGGAGATAGAGGACGCGGCGCTAGCCAGGCTGCTGGTGTCAACGGAGGATCCGGTCACGGCGGGCGAAGATGAATCCTGAGCCTATTATGAGTTTGTTCTTGTCAGACTTGTGTGTGTTCCAGCAGACCATGTGAGTTCAGGATCAGGGATGGAACATACCAGAGCCATGGAGGCGAAGGCGAGAACAACGGCGGTGAAACGCATCTTGATGGGTTGGTGTGGTTGTGTATGAGTGACGGGACTTTTGGTAGCACGAGACGATGCTTGTGTATGTCAAAGTTGGAATGTAGTAATATAGTATCTTGGAATAACCGGAAGAAAAGATGACTCTCAACAAGCAGTAGGGAGTTTGTGCCCTCTTTATATAGTACCTACCTTCGCACACACGACCTAGTAACGCCTCCGACCGCCAGCCCCCAGATTCCAAGACCCTAGCTAGGGCTAGTCGCACCATGTATACTAAAGCATCAAGGTATTGACGACATTTGTCCAATGGTGGGGTGCGCACGTTCGGATGGATCGAAAGGATCTTTCTTGGAGCTCTTCGATCTACGTACACAGCCGGTACATCGAAAGCTGAAGCCTGGAAAAGGCTTGCTTTGTGTACCTCGGGGCTAAGTACAGTAAGGCGCGTGTCCTTTTGCAGGGCGGACCGTGCGGGTGCTTGCATCACTGCTGGGGGGATTCCCATGTAGTTTAATCTAGTTTAGAGGGAGACAAAAAAAAGTTCCGACTGGTGGCCATTGTTCATGAACCAGGATTAACAGGTTTCCAACAACTTTCGACACTTACCATCTTCGTAGGCCACGAAAGCACACATCTTTGATCTCGCCTTTTACTTGGAGCAGCAGTAGGGGAGGAGGAGGAGGAGGAGGAGGGAACTTGAGCCTACATAGACCGTCATCTAAGAGTCTCTATTGCACTGTAACACAGCAACGCCATGTAAGCACTTAGGCTGTGTGCTCAGTCACCAAACCACTGCCGTGACACAGCTAATTCCCTCGGAATCCTGAAAGGCAAGCATCCGTCATCGGAGCGTCTTGGCAAGCTTTGGGGGGGTGTTTTATGTACATACATTTGGCTCATTGTGCGTGTACATAATACCCTGGTGAAGGTTAGAGACCATAACCTTGATACATAGAGTCTCTGCTGTCTGTGAGAGTGTGTGAAAGAAGCCCTTTGTTCTTGTTCCCCCTCGGCTCGCGGCGTCTGGCACGGACTCCGCCACTGGCGCATCGCGGATCCCCGGAAATAATGACGGCATTCGTCGTCATAAGAAGGGCTGCTTGGCCCCACTGTCGTGAAATCCATTACGAAAAAGAAATGGCTTCTTTGGGCTGAGGTGAGCTGATCTCCACCAGGCTTCAAGCCTGTCGGGTTGACGGATGGCTGGGCTGTGTTGTCTGAGGCAAAGGAAACGATGCACAGAGCAGCAGCAGCAGCAGCCCTCGTTGGCCGGCTCGGAACGCCGCAGCCTGGACGTGCATTCCTTAATCTTGGCATCTTTCCCGCCTCCGCTTTCCTTGCTTCAGAGTCGTAATCTGTCGTCCCCCTGGCTGGCTGCACTCTTAACTGTTGCTGTATAACACGGAGACCGGAGCATGCACCCCAGGCGGGGAAAGTTCCCACCGGGAGGGTGTCTGGCGGAAGATCAGAGCCCCTTGAAAGCCTTCCTTCAGCTTGGCGGCTGCGTGCAGATGCATTCTTGATGTTTTACGTTCATATGACAAAGTGCAAGCCGCTCGCGACATTAGGATAATTATGCCCCCAACCTTTGCCAGCCCTTGCGTAATTCAGGAGGTTGGCCGAGCGCCACAGGTTTTAGTGTGTGTCGCCTCAAGCTTCGGGTCTGTTTCGATCAACGGACCTTACAAATGGCATCATTGTCTAGGATAGACTAACATGTCGTTGCTACACAGTTTCCATGTAGTGAGGCAATATGGGTGCCGGGTCTCGGTTGCCGACTGCATTTGGTAATCTGCACCTGAACGAGGTTCAAGTCAAGGGAGGATGGTACATGGGATGCGAAAGTCAGGGGCTAGACACGTCTCCGACAGAATAGCACTGTGCTTCTTGGCCTACATTTAGTGTCAACCGCCCAGAGCGGGTTGATGAGAAGCAAAAGAAAAGCAAGGCCGCTACTGGGCAGTCGTGGTATGTGCACAGACTTCGTGAGCCGTCGGCAGCACTGCGGAAAATCTCCTGCAATTTAATGTTCTTGATGGTTACAACTCAATATCTGACTGTTACCGTCCCAGCAGGGACGTAGCAGATTAAGCGTGGCTAGGTTGAAGAGACTATGACTGTAGTACTTTTAATAAATCGACTCAAGTCTTCAATTGAAGTGCCGGTTCGCAATAGTACCAAAGGACAGCAGAAAAAGAGTGACATACCAATTGTGACATCCAGGCGCGTGTCGTAATTGATCAGAGCTGGAGAGTAGAAAGTATGCTATCCAAACAGAACCTTTTCATTTATTCCACGCCTTTCTTAACAAGTATGAAGCAAATGTACCGAGAGGCAGATCGAATGCTAAGAAGTGCAAAGTGTGGAAAAGGCGTTTTAGCAAGACATCTCATGTCTTGCACGGCGAATTTTAGACCTGATCAAGTCAGAGTTTAGTGTTAAACAACATTCCATATGCGGCTTTTGAATTGTATTCAGCATACATGAATCTGTGCAAATCGAGACAGCCTGGGTAATTTCTATACTCAAACTATTATACCTTATAAAGCGTCTAGTATTCTTTTGAATTCAATCGACTCAATCGATTTGGGATGTCGCCGGCCCCATCCTTACCCCAAAGAGCAACGTTTCGTGGTCTGCTGGCCTGTCCGTTCTCGAGACCACCGGATCTGTCAGCAAACGTGCCGATAGACATTGCTTCACAAAAGACACAGGTGGCCGGAATTAAGGCCCAAAGCCCATAGAAAAGGCGAGTCGCCGAGCCTGCTTTTTTGGATGTCTGACAACAATCTCACCCCCAATCTCACCCCGCCCCCCTTCTCGAGACTGTGGTTCAATCACACACCGGCATCCGTGATGTTTCAAAGGGCAGCTGAGACGAAGGCCTGCAATCCAACAACGCAGTAAGATTCTGACGTTTATAGCCGAGGGTCCCCCTTATCCGGCCTAGGCTTGATTATGGGACAACGTGTGCATACTGCGGTACGCTATAAACGGGCTTACGTCGTGCTCAGCTGCAGCAGGACGAGTTGGGGGGCTGCTGTCCTAAAGCAGAAGCGATGGCACATGGGCAACATCCGAAATGGGACAGAAAGGAAGTAGGATGGGAGATGGAATGAACGTCGAAACGCACATCTACATATCGGACGTTTTTCGAAAGCACACGAGGAGAGTGCGATAATGACATTATTTTGAGATGTATCGCCCTTGAATTCATTGCTACATTACAGTTTTCTCGAAAAGCCATGCCATGCAGGGTATTTTGATGTATTGATTAAGACTTTTTCTTCTTCTTCTGTTCCTGTTTTCCTATCCGAAATCGTTGGAAATTTCATTTTGCCTGGCGTTGAGTCTGGTATTCGAGTGCGATAACGCCAATCCATAATTACATATATGCTATCGCAGTAGATTGCGCAGGAAGCAGGAGGCAGGATGGCAATTATCTGCAAACCTCATCAAGGACGCGTATGCGCTCGATGCTGAGACGCTCAGGCACATAGGATGCATACAAAAAGCATGTAAGGAATTCATTGCATTCCATCCAGGCGCAATCCTCTGCATCAATTTGTGCATTTAACCCAATCCACCAAGATAGAGCACCGGCGCACGCCGCATCGAGTCTCGTCCCGCATTCGAGCAGACAGAGAAGAGATGACGACGGGAAACAGCATGACAACCAGGTAAATCTTCAAAGAGAAAGGAAGCCATCAAGAGATTCGAATAACTTTCTTGCCAAAAATTGGTTTGGACAGGTTGGTATTTCAGGTTGGTGAGGGGCCGCGGCCATGTACGCAACCAGGAGGGCGTTGGAAGGCCGCGTGGATAGGACGACACGCGAGGCTGACCACTCCTCACCCGATTAAGCAGCCCACCCCTGGGCCCTTGGCCAACCAGTCAACTGCTAAATTTGATCCTCAGTATCATCGAGTTATGAGTTTTGAACAAGCAAGACGAGGGGAGGAGAGATGGCAGCGCATAAAAAGAATGCCTCGTTCCCCCCTCCCCCCCCCTTTGCTTTTGTAATGTAGACATCTTCTCCCTTTTGCGGTCCTCCAACAACCAGCCATTCTCTCAGAGCTGACGATCCTTTTCTGTGCCCTGGCGGCCTTGGTATTACTTGCCTTTCATATACACGCTCATTTGTTATAGCCATTCTTTCCCATCTTACGAAAGGTTCAGTGTGGTTGATCACACACAAACACAACCATCATGTACACCCAATCCCTCTTTCTCGCCGCCCTGACCGGCGTAGCAACAGCCAGCGTTCTTCCCCCGCGGGACTCCTCCCCAGGCGTCAACATCTACAACATGGGCTCCGCCCAGCAAACCTTCTACTTCTGCAACAACGCCGCCAACGGCGACGGCACCGCCGACCCAGGCTTCACCTCGGGCACCTCAGGCTGCTCGAACCTCGTGACCTCCGTGGCCGTGGCCCCGAGCGCCTCGACCACCGTCGCCCTCGCAACGACCTTTAGCGGCCGCATCGCCCGCAGCACCGACACCCCGGCCACGTGGGTCGAGGTGCAGTTCCAGAGCGGCGGCACGGCGTGGGGCGACGTCAGCCTGGAGATTGGCTGTGACGGCCCTGCGCAGGTTGGGCCTGCGTCCGGCGGCGGCTCGGCGCAGGTGGTGGGGTTCTCGACGCCTGCTGATATCGTCAGTGGTGCGCCGGACGGGGCCACCGAGACCAGGGCCGATGGTGTCAAGGTCATCTCTGCGCCTTACTCGGAGGGCCAGGTGACCAACCAGGCCGCGGCCGACTATCTGCTGAGCACAGTGCCGCAGGGCAACACCATGGCGTACATCACCACCACCTCTGGAACAGATGTGACCACGAGCTCCAACAACCAGCTTGATGTGACGTTCTACTAGACGACAGGACGATAGGGGGCCAGGGCGGAGAAGAAGGCGGTAGTAGAAGGGGGCTGGCACTGAAGGGTTCAAACCTGGCGGAAACACTGGCGTTAGCACTTGATTTCTCTCATTTATGATTTTGTGTATTTTCCCAAATCTTCACTTCTCTTGGACGGCCTTGGGCCTCTTTTTGTTGTTTTATTTACAGGTCGCATTGAGGAAAGGTCGTTGGGGACAAGAAATCTTTTTTTTTTAAAAAAAAGTCTTTTCTATTTTGCTTCCTTCTTTCGATTCTCTATCTGGGTATCCATTTTGTATGTCTCTAGCTTTTAAGCTGCAGCTACCAGCTATCGAATGCTCGGACGGTGGAGCATGTCAGCCTTTATCTGAGGCAATTTTGTAGGAGGGGCGGCCGGAGAGGAACCTCTCTGCTGCCCCAGCTGATGATGGCCTGTTGATTGCAAGAGCCGTCATGCTTCTTGGGATTCGGAATCATAGCAGGGCGAGATCAGGCGGGTCTGGGCGTCGCGACAATGTTGAGTCCAGGCACGCCTTTCAGACCCATCTTTCCGACAAGCCTCTTCTCGACAGGCGGAACCGACGTCGCACCCAAGCCCTCGAGAGCAAACGTGTTGCCCTGGCGGACAAGCTCTGCAGGGGTCCAGTTCAGAGTCTTCAGGTGCGACTTGTAATAGCCAAGCCAAGCCCGATACACCTTGGCTTGCTTCTCGGGGTCCATGTCCCTCACGATCCTCATGACTGAGGCGTGACCATCCAGTCCGGCAGGCGTGTCTACGAACTTGATCATGGACATGGTCTTCCTCGGGAACTGAGCCTCGTGTGAGGTGACCACCAAGGTGCCCCGACCTTCTGCGCCAGCACGGGCGGTTCGGCCGAGGCGGTGGATGTAGGCCTCCTTTTCAGACGGAAGACCAACCTGGAAGACGTTGGTCACGCCGGGAAAGTCCAGACCACGAGCGATGACATCTGTGGCCACCAGAATTCCGCTTTTGGCTTTCCGGTATGTGTCTGTGTTCTTGGTGCGCTTACTCTGCGTCATGCGGGAGTGGACCTCAGAGACGGGGGGAAGGTCGGGAAACAGTGCCAAGACATGGCTGTAGAACTCGACTTGTGCTGCCGTGGGGGCGAAGATGATGGCCTTGAGCCCATTGCTTCCGACAGTGGCCATCTCGTGGCGCAGGGCCCCGAGGACAGCAGTGGCGAGGTCTGAGAAGTCCTGCACGGTGACGAGGCGCTGGGGCACGTGCTCGTGGGTCTGGGCCTCGCCCTTGGGGATGGTGGAGATGAACTTGTAGCCGTTTGACAGTGCGATGCTAGCGAACTGCTCGACGCGCTGGTTGATGGTGGCGGAGAAGAGCATGCCCTGACGGTTGGTCGAGGCCTTGTCTGGCAGGTATCTCACAATCTTCTGGATATCAGGGAGGAAGCCCATGTCCATGAGGCGATCGGCCTCGTCCAGGACGAATGTCTGTAGGCCCTGCATTTTAGCCTGCAGCTGCCCGCCCTCATCACCGAGGTAGTCCAAGATGCGACCAGGCGTGGCGACCAGGATATCGCAGCCCGCCATGATGTTTCTGAAGCCAGTCTTTGGGTTGGTTCCTCCCACGGCGATCTGGACCTTGTACCCAGGAAAGCGGGATAGCAGGCGCTTGGCGTCTTCTGCGATCTGGATGGCCAGCTCTCGCGTGGGAGAGATGACGAGGAGAGAGACGGGGCGAGACGTGGCGGAGGCTGCTTGCGAGGTGCGGCCAGGGTTGGTGATGAGCTTCTGAATGGCAGGAATGAGGAATGCAAACGTCTTGCCGGTGCCAGTCTTTGCCTGGGCAAGCATGTCGCCGCCAGTCATGGTATATGGAAGGGTCTGGGCCTGCACGGTGGTCATCGTCGTCAACTTGAGGTCCTGGGTGATCGTTTTGAGAAGCTCTGGGTTGATGTTGAACTGGGCAAGCTCTTCGAACCGATCTTTGCCCGAGACATTGTCGGGTGAGGCTTGTGTCGGTATCGCAGTCGCGTTGGCCGTCGTTGCGAGGGAGGGAGAGGGCGAGGAATCAGAGGAGAAGGGGGCAGACAATGATGGATTCTGCTGCTGGTTTGTATTCGGGTTAGGAGGGCCGCGTCGGTTGCGATTGCGGTTGCCGAAAGGATACTGTCGCTTTCGAGAGGAATTATTCCTCGAACCACCGGCGGTGGACTGACCATTTGAGCCGTTCATGGTCAAGAAGAGGGTGGAATGAAGGCGTCGAGATGAAGGAGACTGCAAAGTGTTGCACTCAATTCCACAAGGCACGCGCGGCTGCTGACAATATACAGGTCTGACGTGACGAAGAAGCGCAAATCGACGGAGAACTTGCGACATGAGGAACGAGATAAATGAAGGAGAGAACAACCCAGAAGTGAGAGGGCCGAGAGTGAAAAAAGATGACAGGAGAGGAACAATGAGAAGGGAAAGAAGAAAAAAAAGGCGAAAGGGGCTGCCGCACTGGTGCCAGGAACAGAGACTTTCTATAGAGGGACGCCCCCAAGCGCCTTCGAGAATTGACGTCTTATCGCCTGTGTCCGATAAGATTAGCTGATAACGGGTTCGCCGATGACGGTGCCGATTCTCGTCTCTCCAGTAGTAGTAGCCTGAACCGTCTCCGATCCTTCCTCCCAAATGTTTTCACCTGCTCGTCATCCTTTCAATGCAGATGGCAATTCATCACCTGCAAGCTTTTATTTGAAGATCAATGCAGGACGGGGACGTGTCTTTCTATTTCTTTCTTCTCTCTTTAGTATTCTTTTCTTCAGAATGGCTACATGATCGTTTAGATGGCTTTCATACTCTGGGCCTGGGCGGAGAGGTGCGACTTACCTAACAAGTGAGTCCCACAGAGCACCGCTTCGCCCGAACTGGAACTGGATCAGGCAGACACGGGATCCACCCTCATTCACTCACCTCGCACTCCCCTTCCCTCTCTACCTCTACCTATCTTTTAATAGATATGGATTTCCAAGTAGTATCCTCACTGCCTTACAGCGAGGAGGGGCAAAAAAGTATAAAAGAGGGCTCCCACCCTCACTCTCATCCGTCCTCGAGGAAATTCCAGCTCTTTAGCAGTGCATCTTGACGCGATGGTCCTGGTCTAACATTGCCTTACCCGATACCTCTTCTCTTCTGTCCTCTCATCTCGGTCTCCTGCCCATCTTGGTACCTCCTCTGTATCCCCTTGACTTCTTCTTGCCTGCCTCTCCAGACATGCCGCCCCAGCTCAAAATCCACGTTCAGGGCTCCGGCTCTGTCTTTCGCACCGCCGAGCGTGGTGTCCTGTACATTGAGATTGCATGTACAGGCACAGACAAGGTCAGCGTCTCCTCCACCGTCACCTCGACAACCGAGAGACTTGTCACTACGTTCAGGCAGTACGCGCTTAAGACCGAGGACGGCCTGTACCCTCACCCTGGCGCAGGCATCACCACCTTTGCTGTATCCGCTCCCACCACGCACTCCTACGTACCTATGGAATGGGTCGGCGATGAGCATAGGCCTGCCGCCAGGCAGTACACTGTCATCACCAACGCAGAGGTCGTCTTCCGCGACTTGAGCTTGCTCGCGAGGCTGGCCAGCGACATGACGGCCATGCCCAACGTGGGCATCGACCGAACCGAATGGAGGCTCACCGACGCTACTAGGAAGCTTATCACCCGCGAGGCTAGGGTCAAGGCCATGGAGAATGCTGTGGAGAAGGCACGAGACTATGCCTCCGTCGTCGGACGGAACATGGTGGCTGTGAGCATCGATGATGGTCCCTCCAATGTGACTTTTGCAAGTCCGTTCCGCTCCGGTGGGTTTGGAGGCGTGCGCATGGCTCCGATGCAGCAGCAGAGGCAGATGCAACCACAGCAGATGCAGACGCAACCACGGCAGATGCAGATGCAACTACAACAGATGCAGCAAAGACTTGCTCAGGCTCAAGCTGCTCAGGCTCAAGCTGCTCAGGCTCAAGCTGCTCAGGCTCAAGCTGCTCAGGCTCAAGCTGCTCAGGCCCAAGCTGCTCAGACCCAAGCTGCTGGTACATCGGTCGAAGGGCCCTCCCTGGAGCCTTCGACCATTACCGTCGATGCCCAGGTTGATGTCAAATTCGTGTCCACGGACGGCGAGGAGGTGGATATGTCCCTTGGAGACGACTGAAGCCTGTGTGTCTCATCAATTTTTCTTCGGAGCCTAGACAATTGATATTTTTCCTTGTTCATCCTGACTTTCGAAACGAGTTCCTCCATCCAGTTCAGTGTGTAGTGAGTCAATCTCGGCTATCCTCCACGGTCTCCTAGGCGCCATAGATGGCATTCTAGTTATCAGACGTGTTATCTTGGTCAGGCGAGAGTTCTCAATTTATTAGGATGACTAAGGACGAAGGATTGACACTACTTATAGAAGGTTTTTATAAATTCCTCATTCATGCTATTAAGGCTACAGGCAGCAGCGCTAGGGCATACTCCATCATAGTTAAGATAAGAATACACCCAAGTCGGTCGATACTCATTCCGTCAAATTACATTAGAATCCCGTCAGCTCACTATGGAGAAGCTTCTCATGTACGATTTCTATTGATTTTCTCCTCCATAATATCGGGCAGAGCACGTATCAAAGGAGTCGTGCTCTCTTTTAAAGCTGACGCGATGAGGCGCTTCTCACAAGCAGAGTTGCCGCGGATGCCTGGAAGCCTTGGGCGCAAAGATTCACTGGCTGCCGGCCGTCGCTACGGGTGCACTAAAAGCTGCAGTGGCGCCTGTGGACCCAGTAATTATAGGTACTTCAGTAGCGCTGATGTAAGGTGAACCTCGCACTGGACCCTCTCAGCACGCGACGCAGTCTCGATGGGTTCATTTATATACCGTGACACAGCTCGCCCGTACCGCTCACTGGATTTCTGTACACCTCGCCTCTATTCTCAACTCATCGTTACTTTGCACATTTACCTACCTTGACGGTCCACTATGGCCTACAACTGGCAGCTCTGGCTCTCGGCCCGGCCCACGCAGCGGACCAAGTCCGTTCAGAACGCCACTGTGCCCTCCGCCGGAGATGCCATCCTCTACGAGTTTCCCGTCCACAATGGCCTGAGAGCCGTGCGCGAGACCCACTACCTCAGCAACAAGACCGTCAGAGATGGGAAATCGGGCCCTCCGCTGTAAGTCTGAGTGTTGAAACAGTAAACGCGGCTGGGATGAAAATGAGTCCAATGCTGACGACGATGGCTGAGGGCAAAAGTCATATCCACCTGCGGCAGAAGGAGACCTTTGAGGTGGAGCAGGGCGTGCTAGGTATCGTGAAGAACGGTGTGGAATATGCCATCCGCAAGGAAGATGGCCCGGTCTCGGTCACGCCTGGTGTCAGGTAAGCCCCAGGGTTTCGCGGAAGAAAAAAAAAGTGAAGAGGAAAGCCACGAAAGAAACAATCATCTCACAAATGTGGATGGAACGAAAATTGTAGGCACACATTCTGGACACATGCCACGTCGCAGGAGGACGTGGTCTTCAAGGTCTGGGTTGAGCCTCAAGACTTGGACCACGGCTTCGACGAGAGCTTCATGCGCAACTTCAGCGGGTACCTGCGGGACTGCGAGCGGGACAAGCTGGCGCCCTCCCTGTTCCAGATCCTGTTGTTCCTGTACGATGCCGACATCGTCCTCACGCCTCCGTTCTGGTTGCCTCTCTGGTTCTTGGTGTCTCTGCACCATGTTCTTGCGTACTGGGTCGGGGCTGGTCTGCTTGGGTGAGTTGTTGCGCTCTCGTCTTTGTTGTTGGGTAGATGGCGTTGACTGACCGCGGTTATGTTTTGTTTATGATCTAGCTACAAGGCAAGTTATCCCGAGTACAGCAGCCTGAGGAAGTAGGGGTACCATAAACGAGAGGGTATGCGCGCCTCAAAGTATTGTTATCGACGTGTTTGAGAAGAGGTCATCTATGTCCGCTCTGTTTGGAGTGGAGAAAGTGATGTTCATGAGCCCTTGCAGGACATTGTACTGAGACTTAGTTGGCTAAAGACTGGAATTTTGCAAAGTAACAAGTAGGAGTCTATTAATACCCGTGGATCTGAATTTACACCTATCCTCGCCTTCATCAAGGCTGTGCTCCCTGTTCCATTGCTCACTGCTAAGTTCGTTGTCACTGACCATTGATGCGAACCTTGGAAGCGCGGAGTGGTCGATGTTGAAGTTGACGGTGTGTTGACGGTACCCTGTCTGTTCAAACGATATATGTAAAGACAAATATGCATGCATATGTATATACATTCTAGCGACTCATAGTTTCTCTATGAATCTTAATATAATTCTATATACAACTCTTTCTTGGTGGACACTATTCGTACAGTTGATACATCGAGTGATGCGCTCCGATTAGCCCAAGGTAAAATCCAATATGTCTCGGTTCTTTTTTTCCCCCTGAAGCATGTGTGTCGGCGTGGTCCTACACCTACCCAAACTACACCATGCCATATAATACAGATATATAATACAGACCTTTATACATTTGAAATATCAAATTTTTGCGCGGCTTACCAGCTCGATGTCGTCGTCAAGAGCTGTCCTCGACTCTTCGTTGGCTACCCATGCGGCAATACTGGCTGCAGCCTCGGCAGCGTCTTCTAGATGCAATTGGAAGAAGCCTTGAAGCTGGGAAGGGGCCAAGGTATTTTCTGGGATGTGCCTTGCGAATTCAGACGCCAGGCGGCGCAGGGCAAGGTCATACTCCTCGGGGCTCCCACCAGTAGCCGCAGCATTGGCAGCATCTGCTGCATCCACACGAAACATCCTCAGGAACATCTCCCCGGCTGACTTCTGGCTGATGTTGCCGAGATGAACCCTCATGTCGACCCGTCCCGGGCGTACGAGGGCGCCGTCGAGGCGGTCCGGCTTGTTTGTGGTCATGATCACGATGCGCCCCTCCTGGGACCCCACGCCGTCCAGGACATTGAGCAGGCCCGAGAGGGTGCAGTTGGAGGTGGGACTGCGGCTCCCAGACCCGGCGGTCCGATCGTCCCTTTCGTGCGGCGCATCACGGTCCGCCCAGACGGCGTCGATGTCCTCTAGGAGCACAATGCACTGAGGAGGGATCTCCTGGAACATTTGCTCCAGATCCGCATCGGAGGCTACACTGGGTATCTTCACCTCGTAGAGATCAAGGCCGAACTCACCGGCAAGGGCTGATGACAATGAGGATTTGCCCGTCCCCGGAGGACCATAGAATAGATATCCTGAATAGACAGACAGTCGTCAGCTTCTTTTCTCCTATTTCTCTCTTCGCCTTGGACGCTGGTGATATGGCATGCGTGAGAGTGGTAGGATTGCTTACCTCTGCGATACGGCATGCTCCGGCTCCGATACCGCCTCTGGGTCTCAGGATCAAGGTACTTGCGAATGTCGGACAACAGGCGCTGCTTCACGTCCTCGTCAAAGTGCACCGTCTCCAGCAGTCGGATTGGCTTGCGCGACTTGGGCTGCCATGAAATCCCATAGCGATCCCTTGAGTAGACAGTGACAAAGTACTGAGTCTGCTGGTCTGCGTACTCCCGACAGGCCCTGATGAAGGACTGGATAGGCTCGGCAGATCTCCCGAGACAGCTGATGGTGAGCTCTTCGCCGCCGATCCCGTCGTACCCAGGATCACACATGGAGGCATTGAAGCTCTCCATCGAGCGGTTCAGGATGAAGGGTCTCCCGCAGTGCCAGAACCATAGCGTCTCGAAGTGGGGCAGATACTGCACGGCCCGTTGGGTCTTCTTCAGGGACCCAGACTCCGAGCCATCACCACGCCCGAGCCTCGTTTCGGTGCGAGCCGTGAAGAAGCGGGTGTTGTTTCGGGGCCGGACAACATTAGCCAGGACCCAAGACACAACATTTCTATTCAGAGAGTCCCTCCCGGGTATAACGACGGATGCGATGAAGAAATGCCGAATCCAGGTGTAGGTCTCGTGCCAGGCACGATGCAACAGTCGCCATCCCGCAGGAACCACACCTGCAATGGCGATGATGGAGCCGAGGTGAGTTATGTCAAGGCGGGAAAGCGAGGGCCAGTAAGATGTTGCTGCCGAGAAGATCGATGCAAACCCATGAGGTATGTGGCCTGAGAGTCGGACAGTAGGTATTGCGCCTCCCGCATGGAAAGGCTGAGCCATGGCCTTGAGGTGTGAGAGGCGCCCTGGAGAGGGTGAGACGAAAGATAGGGGAGGGTCGGTCGCCTCTCAGGCCAAGGAGAATTGATGGGAACAGAAAGGATTCAGGGGGCAAAAAGCGCGAAAATATAAATATGTGTTACATAATGAATGAAAAGAAACGTGGGCTGAGTCACCATCTGCCTGTGATGAGAGAGAAATAAAGGTGAAGAAAGAATCATGTGTTGTATGAGAGAGAGAGGGAGTTTGATGAGATCAGGTCGGAAGTTTTCGCACGGCCTAAACTGCGATGGGAGCCTGCCAGGTGTCAAAGTAGTGCCCACAGCTGCTTGGGCTGAGCTGGCAGCTGGCGGCGATCTCCTCCCGAACACTGAAGTGATAGTCGTGTCCACCCACTCAAGTTGAGAGGTATATTAATTACTACATAAGACATATTATCCTTTTACTCAAAACATCATTGTAGGGGAACACCGCATCATTATTCTCTGTGCTTATTTTCCCGTAGTGCTCTTACTACCTTGATACAATGCATAGGAATTATGTAGACCATGGCGCAACTACTCACTCTTAAGTACTCAAGTCCTTGTTTGAAGATGACGGTTGCATTAAGACTTGGCAGGAATTCTGTTTGGGAAGGCACACGTCCCCTTTTATGTGCTTTAACGATGTTGTACTGTAAGATTGTGAATTCGGTCTCAATTCTCATCTCACAATGAACTCAGATGCCACAGAAGCCTGACGTCGCTTAATTATGTTTCAATTGAATTGATATCACATCACACATATAATTACCATTCATTGATGATGAAGGATGAGAATCAAGACAGTGCCCTCTAATGGCTACGGCACAAGAAACAAAAATAGACGTGCGTGCTTTTAGACAGACGTCATTTAGATTTGTGGTATGGAACACGGCATCATGGAGACGGAAGGCAACAAGATTGACAGCAGTGAGTTTTGACATTTCTGGACTGTTGTCACTTTTTATATATACACGTACACTTGCGCCCGGTGAACACATCCAAGCCCCCGTCTTTGAAAAAATGATTTGCACAAGAGAAAGAAGAGAACAACCCCAACAGCTTCACCTTCGACAAGCTTTTCCCGCCATCATCAAGCTCATTAGAACATGTCCCAGGAAGGGTCTGGTCAGGTATTGATACAACACGAGATTGGACCAAAACATTGACTTAACCGACGTAGTCGCAGGTGACGGTCTCGCCGCTGGCGCTGCACGAGGTGTAGACGGTGCCGGACTGGCGGATGTCAATGATGGAGCCGGAGCCGGCCTCGATGGTGGAGGAGCCAGAGGTGGCGTAGGCATCAGTGAACTCGACGCTGTCGAAGTCGGCGAAGGGGACGAGGCTGAGACCCTCCTCGAAGTCCTCAACGATCCACTCGGCGTCGTACTCGCACAGGTCGCCCTCGGTGTTGGTGAAGCTGTAGGTCACAGACTTGCCGGTGGTGACGTTCTCAATGACGGCAGTTCCCTTGGAGGTGCTGGTGGCAGTGACGGTCATGGTGACTGTGTCACCGGCATCGATGGTGATATCGAAGTCGTAGGCGTAGTCTGTGATTTACATCCTTGTAAGCAAATTGTTTTCTGTAGACTCGTGCGTGTTTGCTAACAAAGCAAACATACACAGGTCAGGGGATGGGGAGCAGGGACGGAGCAAAAGGAAAAAAACGTACCAGGGTACCACTCATACCAGGCGTCGAAGCTGACATCGCCAGCATCGTAGCAGAAGTCAACGCCGGTCTGGAGGATGGCGGTGTCGCAAGTGTCACCGTCAATGCCGACCCAGGCGGAGGCGCAGTAGCCCTCGAGGGCAGCCTTCAGGCCGCTGCCATCACCAGCAGAGGGGGTGGGGACGACAATGGTGCCGGTGACGTAGTCAATGCCGGTGCTGGTGTAGACAGAGCCAGCCCAGTTGGTCGAGTAGGAGACGTGGCTGGTCTCGTTGTAGGTGACATCGCTGGCCTGGATCCTGGGCTGCGAGTTGCGCTGCGAGGCACGCTTGGCGGCCTTCTCGGCGTGGCGGGCACGGCGGTGCTCAGTCAGGCGGGCACCGAGGGCGACCTCGGCGGTGGCCAGGAGGGCAATGGTGGAGAACTTCATGTTGACTTGACGAGAGGTCGACGAGAGAGAAGACTTGAGACTTGAGATCGAAGGAGCTGATGAGACGAGAGCTGCTGGGATGAGGAGCCGAGAGAAATGGAGAGACAGGAGGGCGAGGTCTTGGCCAGATTTATACTCAGAAGGTCTCGAGGCGATCAAGGGCAAGATGCGATGGATGGAGGAACGAATTTCCCAAGAGACCGTTGGCCCGTCGGCCATCTTCGAGCCACGCGAGGCGACGACATGACAACTGTGGAACCACGATAATGGAAAGACCACCTTCCTGATACACCTGTAGCATCCAGTTTCCTATAGGGCACAGCGTAGAGTTGCATCCTCAGAGGGATATGCATGCAAGAATAGAGGTGCACGGCATTTACTGCATGGGGCGCTGTGGACTTGCATTGGTCGGACACGTGCAGAATCCATTTCTAGCCCCGATAGCCTCGTACGCCTCTATCCTGCTGCTCCCTCGTAATCCCATTCGTCAGTCTTTGGATTGATTGTAGACTAGTATTTAGTTGCGTCCAGGGTGTTCTGTGAAGGATAATTCCCTTTGGCGATGCTCTGTGACACAATTCATTCTCTGCTCGCCATTCTTTTTATACCGCATCTTACATCCCCCGAATTCTTAGAGGCTCACACAGACATAATGGTACACACACTATTAATAATGCATCAACGGCAAGCCCTTTGCCAAGTGAAATATCTCGGATGTATGATTCCGATCAACTATGTGGATGGTGGAGGTACATGTGGGCACAGAGGAGCCACCACAGCACCTGGGACCTGCAGGGCTTCCTACAGTATTCACAGGTTGCTCTGTGATCCGAGTCCTGGAAGTCGCTGACCTTCCATAAGCAGTACGATCTGCACAAGGGCGTTTCCGCGCATCTAGGATGGACCCTTGGATTTTGGAAGCCCGAGGATGCGAGTAGGGTTGTTTTGTTTCCCGGGCCCCCAGTTACTACGTACACAGCATGATTTGTGTGGATCATCTCTGGGGATATCATCTCTGTTTCTCTCTGGAGTTTACTTCTGAGTAATCAACGTCTTGTTCAACGGCTGACAACTGGAAACATCTTAATCGGTATTGAGTTTCCTGGTTCAATCATAGACTTTGAGTTTAATAACCCTTCGGTATTATACAGCCATGTGCACATACGTATGTCGGTGGCTACATCGTACTACCTTCCTGTACAAAAGAATATATGCATACATCGCTAGTGTGCGAATCTTTTCTATTTTGGCAGACAGTGTTACCATCGACCTGTCGGCGGCAATTGGGAAAAGAGCCGATGGAACCTCTGAGAATCCATCTGCTGTTCGACCCAGCTTCCTTTTAAAGTTGACGTGCATCCGAGTGGCACTCCCAGTGGGTCCCGCCGCTGCGTAGTCAGCCACGCAAGAGTGATCCGATCCACCGACCATGCGGAGATGGTCAACGCCAACTCCCACCTCCCGCCGGCTGTTGGGCGAGGCTTATTGCCGTTTGTCTGTTGGCTCTCGGCCTAGGACCTGCATTGGGGTGCTGCTGCGGTAGCTCCTTTACAGTGCTTTGCGGCTGATATGCCCAAGGCGAACAAAGTCTCTGGGGGTCTATAAACGCGCAGTCCACATATAATTGTTACATATCATATAGGTAATGTTTCATTTTTATGGGGTGCTTCTATGGCATCATTGTATTATGGAGGCGGAATTTTTAATCAGCTCACAGCGGTTATAAACGGTCAGTAAGAGTGGACTGGTCCGGCCTGCCTGCTCCGGTTGCGTGCAACGCAGACTGATTACCTGTTCCAGTTCAATCCACAATATCAACGTGGGTTGATCACTTCTCAGTCAGTTGGTTCTCACATGCCAGCTCTATCTCAGAGAATCAGCAACGAAAGCAACGTACGTGGGTCGATTCTATAGTGCCCAATGACGTGATACCGACGGTACGTGGGAGGAGCTCGGACATGGCGGCCATGAACAACTTGTTCGGGAAGGAGAAAAGGCCGTATGGGTACTTGAGAATGCATGAGCCTCTTGAGTGGTAGGTGGTATGACGTACAGACCATATAGTCCTGGCCACGAGGCTATTGCACCCCAAAGAACCACCTGTTCGTCTCGTGGCTCCTTTGGCTAGAGACTTTCTAGAAGCTTGGCTGCCTTCCAAGGTTCGTCTGGCGGCCACCAGCAAAAGGGTGGGTAGCCATGAAGGCGACCCTCCCAACCGAAGTCGTTGCTTTCAATCAGAGGTGGCGTGGGGCCTTATCAACTCCAAGCCATTTGCAAGGGGTTGCCATTCTAGACCAGGCCGTGCTTTCATCACTCTGGATGATTCCAAGCCGCAAATGGACGTAGGCTATAAGATCTGCCGATTGGACATTGGGTAGTCAGGCGTAACGAATCAGATTCAGGCTTTTGACTTTCAAATTATCATCGGCTTCTTGGCATCAGAAACTGAAGGTGGTATTGCTTCGTGATCACGTTTGATGTTGGCGGACAATCTTTGGACTCCGATTGTCGTCAGATCCAGTGTTGCCAAGAACTGTTGGTCACGATAATAGCATCCCATCGAACACGTCAAGGGGCATTATCGCGTATTGGCATGCTAACTTATTCATGCCTGGTCCAGACCTCGCGTGATCTTCATGATCATCTTTGGTCGAGACTCTTCTTCCCCAGATATGGGTCGCAGGCTGAGAGGACGCAGATCATCGTCGTTTTTGCGACCACGCGGTGCTTTTGTCTGAATACGCCGATTGCCCTAGGCTCCACGCTTTGCTCCAGCTTTTGAATTCTGCTGTTTCCCTGTTGGTTCTGTGGGCGGTTGAGCAAGTGTTTGTGTTGTGTCGCATATTTTACATGTACTATGAACCATTCACAATTCGTGAAAGTAACATACCTCAAAGTTCATTGTCACTAGGCATCAGATAGCAGTCACCTTGGTCCTATCATCCCATGACACCTTCTCCTCTCGATCGATAAATCCTTGATTACAGATTTAAGTGGTTGGACAATCGTTGTGATAAGGCATTACGGGACTGAAGTGCACAGCGATCTGTACCAAAGAACATTCACCGCCATCGAGAAATCATTTATGCCATACGACCGGTCACGATCAACGGCGCTCCGCCTTTATTAGAAGTTGGCGTAATAATTCACTAACAGAAATGTACCAAAAACCCCTTTTGCCCTGCTAGATAATGATAGCCTTTATGTCATGGTTTGGCAGGGTCTTCGGGATACGAAGTAGCAATTGTCTATCGTCACCAGCTTAGCCAGCGAGTGAGCCGTCAGAAATGAGCCATACGTTTCCCTCCCAAGGTCTAGTCGGCCTATATTCGACAGGGGCAAAGAAGTCCAATGACCATATCCTTCTTCTACTGATGATAGTCATCTTGACTGCAGTTGCTGTCCTCCACCATAAAAGTTGAGACACAGAAGGTCATAACCCAAATCATTCACTATCATGATGCAGTCTAGTTTGTAGTGAGCTACAGGAGGCCACTTTATGATAAACATGTGCAATACGCAACATCTGCCATATGACTACCAAAAAAACAAGCCGTTAACCACTCCTATGGATACTGGCCGCATGACGAAAACAGCTAGCAAAGACCCCGTCTCACTCCTTAGCTACCTTCGACCATGCCCTTGCCAACATGGAATTCATAGCGGAGTCTGTTAAAGTCACTGAGAAAGATGAACTCATACATTTCCTCGCGGGCTGCATGGACGCCAGTCACCTCAGCAATCCGGATCACCGATATCCCTCCTCTCGGATGCAAATGATCACCCTTTGGTGACGTACAAATGAACCACCGGCTTTCCGCCCGGCAATCCAGTCCGAGTCTTGTCCCACCCTACCTCCTTGATCTGTTTATTCATGTTGTCCTCCTCATCTGCACCGAAGCTCATACCTTTGTACCACCGCCCATTCCCTCCCTGGTGACACTCTGTTACCCTGTTCTTCCTAGGGTCGGGGTTCACCGCGCCGAAGCCCTTGAGCAGCGAGGCGAGGGTGGTGTTGGTCGGTACATGCACTGTATGAAACGGCCAGACGAAGTGTGGGGGTAGGTTCCAAGGGGGCGTGTCTCCGGTGCGGAAGACGTGGATCTTTGTGTGCTCTGAAGGGAAAAAGTAGTTGTATCCGGGCTCACAGCCCACACCACCGGTCGAGTTAGTCATGTTTGCCGCTGGTAGAGAGGCGTCGATGACGGGCTGCCCCGTAGCCATGCGAGCCGTGTTGGCAAAGGCAGGTGGTTGCTGTACACTGGCCGGTGCCAGAGGCTGCTGGGCAGCATTCATCATCGGGTAAGTCCAGGGCTGGTTACCGTAGCCCCAGTAGGGATATTGCACTGGAGGATAGTACTGTGCAGCACCGTTAGGATAGGGAAACGAGTAACCGCCGTAGGCCTGTCGGCTGGTCGGAGGAGGAGGGCCAGTATCACGACCCCAAGCTGGATTGTGACCGCCGCGGGGATGCGCCATCATAAATGTGGCTAATGCGCAAACAGTGTCAATGATTATGCACGAAGGCCCAGGGAGTGTTTTGTGGTCTCACAAACCAGCTGTGAAGGTATTGGGATAATATGGAGCCCAAGGACCGTATTGGCCGACAAGTGGGAGCCCGGGAGGCGGAGGGAGGGCCTGGACTGGTTGATGATTCCAGTTGTTTGACTGTAATTGTTGATGCAGATGCCAGTATGAAGTAGGCCTCGGTGCTAAACTTGGTGTGACTGGGGGAGGTCGAGGATCTTCTACAGTGATGGTGTAGTCTTGAGGCTGTTCTTGAAGGCTCAAGTTGCGGAGATCTTGGTCAATGCTAAAGAGTGTCTCTGTCCAAGTAGTGGTAAGCGAGGAGAATGGGAGTCTAGGAAGACAAGCTGGTTTATATAACAATCAAAAAGCAGATAGAAGACTGAAGGGTGAGACATTGGTTGTCATTGGATTGTGGTGTCATTCAGGAGAACAACTCATGGTATGGCCCTGAGTGACTCCCAACTTCAAAATCGTGTTCATCAGTGCTAATGACTATAGCCACACACTTACCAGTGATTGGGTCGCGAGGAGGGGGTGGGCCGGGATCGAAACCATGTACCGGACTCCAGCCTCTGGGACCAAAGTTGGTTCTGAGTAGGAGGCAAACCTCCTTGTGCCAGACAACTCGATTAGAAAGGTCGTAGAAGCTTGCAACTATGAAGCAAGACCAGCTGTTATCCGGGGGATTGACCTCTAGGTAGAGACCGATGATGAGCTTGACAGCCCCTCCAGGATAGGGGCCTGACAAGATATAATGAGCAAACCCTCTATTGATTTGTGGAAAAGACATGGGAGGATGGCAAGCCGGAATTTGTCGTTGCTTTCTCTGAGATTCGGAGATGAGATGCTCATTTAATATGTCCTTAGCGATAGGAGCGAAGACTGCTGTGTTGTTAAGTGGTGTGATTGAACTCAAGTATATGTTCAAAGAACATTTGTAATTCTGTCAAGCACAAGGGCTGCCATTAAATACTTGTTTGAGTACTCATCATCCAAATGGTTTTTCCACCAGAGGAAATTGTCTCCAACGACTGAGTGACAACACTGTGTTTATGAATCGTGCACAGTCTTCATATGCTACGCCGAAACAGTCTTTATGAAGAAGGGAGCAGAATATAGGCAGGGAGAAGTCAAGACTATCGGTTCATTATTCTTGAGTGGCTTTCAAGGTGAAACTCTAACATCACCCATCTTCTGTCATCATATGATAGTTGGTCAGTCATGAATTCTCTTTGTCACAATCATGACTTTTGGGTGGAGGTGATCATGATGAGAAATGAGAGTCACTATTTAACAAATATCCTCAAGTGCATCAGTCTCAAGCTTCAGAGGTGCCTTAATAGGTTAAATATCTCTGGAAGATTTTGAGTGAATACACATCAACCGTCACTAGTCAATAACAGTCAGTTATTAATACTCTGATAAGGATATGTAAAGCATCCTTGACTGTAGCTGTCCCGTTTCAGTAATGACTCAAATGCCTATTTGATGTCACACGCAAGCCATATTGCGTGGGGGCGTTCTTTGATGAGCTCCTAGGAGAACCGGTCTGTGTATTCACAAGCTGTCATTGATGATCAAGCTGTCGAGGGATGACAGCTATCTCTTGAAGACGCAGTGCTGAGTGATCATCACTGGGAGCAGTCCGTGGCTCTGCTATACACCATAATGATGCCTGGAAATAGTAAGTAGATAGAGCTGGACCTTATGCAATTGCTACTTCTTAGTATTGACCTGAACACCAAGAACCACTTGCAGCTGACCCGAATTCACCCTTTGAAAAGACCAGATTTACGAATTGGATCTCTCTTGGCTATACTCACTATCTACCACTCGAATTTGAGGCCCCATTCACATCAGTGTGGTCATTGTCATCTGCACCAAGCTTCACACCATTACTTACGATGAAGTATTTCATCTTTGGACATTGCCTCAGAAATGTCACGGTCACTGGGTGTGCAATCCGCCTCAGCACATTAGAACTGTGACTCGGAAAAGACAACAGACAAGGACAGACAGACTATTACCTGGTACAATTACCATCTGTCCCCTTTGGCATAGACCAAACCAAGTCTCTCTTAGGCGCAGTTCGCTCTCAGTCTGAAGAACCACTGTGACTCGCAGCCAGCCAGAACTGTTGACAGGCGCCAACAAAAGAAATTGAGAAGCCCAAGAATAGCCCAGCCAGCCTAGATGCATCACCCGCTTATCACAAGCCAGTTAAGACTAAAAACATTGTGGTCCCTGTAAAATGTGAATGTCCACTTGTGGGCGACACCAATTTCATCAGTATGCCCCCCTCCCCCCTCTTTTCAGCAGTGATATCCCTGCTACACATTGCACATATTCGTGCACACGCCTGCCTCCTTCAGGAAAATAAACAGAACCTGGCAAATTTGCGCATTCGACACTGCAACAAGAAACACACAAGACATTCACGAGAGAATCGGCCGCCTTTCAAGATGTCAACAGGTCTTTCTAAACATGTATTGGACCCCGATCAGACGCGTGGCGCAAACAAGATACTCCTCCATTGCATGAAGAAGTAATTAATATGTAGTATCTCAAGCGGGGTCGCAGTGACCCGCAGACCGAGCCGCAATAGCTCCGAAGGAGAAGGAGGTCGCAGTTTTAGAAACAAAGTAAAGGTGGAGGTGGCGAGTCCATCGTTGTTGGCTCTCAAAGTAGAAACGCGCAGCAGGACAAATTTGCCTGGCTCGCCCAAGAACTCAATTTTGGCTTGAAAAGATTACATAGCGTAGTCTGCTCGTGAACTCATTTTGTAAGTATGTAGGAGAAATGAAGGTAAACTTGATGGGAACATGAAGAGGAAAAAAAAAAAGGAAGACAAAGAATTGTATCCTTCGATGGTACTACTCGCTTTTCCTCTGGGTATTATATGCCAAACTTCATCTTTAGGTCTTTAAGAGTGTGCAACTTAATACACCATCACGCCAAAGCCCACCTCACTTCACTGCCTGCCACACAAGCCTGTCTCTTCCTTCTCAATCTTCACCATTACTACTACAACTCCATACCGTCCCGGTCCGCGACAAACTGCCTGTAGTTCTCCCTCGTCCAACGCCTCGCCGTCTTGCCCCACCATGCCATGGGAAGACTCAGAGACAGCGCGGCGAAGGCCAGCACGCCAGCAGCCACAAACGTGTACAGAACACCGTCGGCATCCATCCACGGGCTCGTGACAAAGCTGAAGATCATGCCGATGGTGTTGTTGATGACGGCGACGCCCACCATGCCCTCGAGGACCATCTCAGGGTAGGCGTCGACGAGGTATGCCATGGACAGATCGCCGGCGCAGCCGTAGCCAAATCCGATGAAGCCAAGGCCGACATAGGGCGCGGGCCAGGCCCAGCCCTCGCCGGATCCGATACCGAACAGGAACATGCCGGTCGGGAAGAAGATGGTAGGCAGGATCATCAGCCACAGCCTGCTCTCGGCCTCCATGATGCCGCCCTTGCGGCGCGTGATCCACAGCGTGAACCAGTCGCTGCCCCAGCCGGCAAGGAAACAGCCGATGACAGAGCCGATGACCGTAGGGATGTTCATGTTGCCCACCTCGCCGTCGGTGTAGTTCCAAGGCGGGCCATACCAGTTGTCCTGCTCCACGGTGAGGTAGAAGGTGAGCCAGGCGTTCTGCGCACCCCACTGGATGCCGGCGTACCAGACGGCTGGGAAGGTGAACACCTTGAGGGTGTGCAGGAGGCGGCGGGCGTATTGCTTGAAGCCATAACCACGCAGGTTTCCTGCAGGCGTGATGATGGCGATCCGCTGCCAGTACGTCTTGGCCTTCTCGGGGGAGGCGAAGCCGCCGCTGCGCTCAACATCGACGGCCGTGGGCGTGGCTGCGCCTTGGCCAGTAGTTGTGATCTCTTTCTTCTCGGCGAGACTGGAGTCGGGAAGTGCGCTGGCAGTAGCACGGTCTGAGAGGCCCAGGCCGTGCATTGTGGTGTACCGAGCGCGGTCGAATGCTGTCTCCTCGAGGCCGAAATACAGCAGGATCAAGGTGCCGCCAGAGAAGACGGTGCCCATGTAGCCGACCCAGCGGTAGCCGAGGTAGCTCTGCGCGATGTAGCTTGCAATCAGCGAGCCCATGTAGGTACCGATGCTGGTGGCCAGCACGTAGATGCCGATGGCGGCACCAGCTTGATGCTCAAACCACAGGTCCATGAGACTGAGCTGGACAAGCGCCTCGGCGACGGACTCGCTGGCGCCAACGAAAAGCTGGCTCCAGATGGTGTCGCTGGCAGTCTGGGCCAGACCAAACCAGAGATTCCCTGCAAGGCCCAGGACCATGGCGAAGAGGTACAGCAGCCGGCGTCCGTAGAGATGGACTGCCGGAGAGGACAGGAGCGTCCAGTAGCCAATACCAATGAACAAGACACCGGCACCCGTGTTGAAGTACGAGTAGTCGATGCCGAGCTCCTCATTGAAGCCGTCGCTTGCGGACCCGGCATCGTTAGACGTCGCTGCGGTCAGTGCAGTGATGAAGCACACGAGGGCGGTGTGCCAGATCTTGCGGGCAAGAGACCACTGCAAGGGGTCGTTGGGCGAGTCGGTAGGCTGCGGGATGAGCACGATGTCGCCGTGCTTCTTGAGAGAGGTTGCGTCGCCGCCGGGCACGAGGAGCATATGCCCCTCGCTGTCGAACAGGCGGCGCGTGCCAGGAAGGTCCTCTGGATCATCTTGAGTGAGCGTGGGCTGGAGCCCAGGCTGGTACTCGTTCAAACCATTGTCGGATAGTGGTTGCTGGAGAATTGCAGGAGAAGCTCCAGCATCTGCCATCGGGGTGGGGGATAGTTGCGCGAGATTCGCGGCTGATCTATCTCGAGCGCCGTTTGGGTGAGGTGAGAGAATTTTTCTTCTTCTTTTCCCTTCAGTAATAAAAAAAAAACAGTATAAATGACGATGCTTCCCGCACCGGTAAGGCCTCAGCACATCGTAGGGTATGTTGCAAGTTTATACCAAGAAGAAGAGGAACAGGAGAAGACGACGTCGAAACAGTAAAACAAAAACTGCAGATGTCAGCGGTGAAGATCCAAAGAAAGGAGGAAATTTTTCACGGGGCAAAATGTGTTTAAAGGTGGGCCGCGAATATAGGTCTTTATCTTCTTACGTGCCCTGCCCTTCGCTTCCCCTTATCTTTCCCAATGCGCCCACAAGTGAGTGGGACACAAGGGGGGGTCGATCTGCGACAGGGGAAACCATCCATCAAGCTCAGTCTCCTCTCTCTAGGCCAGCATATTTCTCACTCGCTAACCGTCCACCATCCAACATCTTAGTCCTGCCGTCTCCCCTAAACCCGCGAGGGCTAAGAGAAGAGGGAAAAGGTGCACCATCTGGCCGGCTCTCACCGTGTGCTAGGCCGTGTTGGGTTTGGACAGAACAAGAATCGGAGCATCCGCTTCTCACGTTGCATGAGGACTGCGTTACTAGCATGACATTGCCTACGCGGCGTTGGGCAAGTGATGGGCAAGCCCATAAACCACTCCCCCCCCCCCCTCCCAATTTGTGCTTGGTTGTGTATGCTGATGGGTGGGTGTATGCTTGGTGTGGGGGGACTTTTCTCTCGCAGTCAGTCGGCCACACCAGGACAGGACTATCGGTTAGAAATGTCGGTTGCGGCTGCGATCGGCGGTCGGTGTTATTGGAGAAAACAGGGCTGATTGGCGTTATGCGACTTTTGTGTGTGTGCGACCTTTGGCAATCCCTGCTTGTTCTTCCCCTTCCGCTCTGCTGGAGGGAAAGTTGGCAGATTCGAACCAAAAGCGCTGCTGCGTTGAGATGCCAAATGACATGGGGCATCAGTTAAGGAGAGTTCAAGCTGTTTGTTGAAACAGTCGAAGCCAACGATTAGAGAGGCGAGGTTGCTGGGCCCCACGAACATCGTGAAGAGCCGATACGCATGTTGCACACCATGTCGAGGGTTTTCTTTGTTGGCAGCCGATGCCGTCGCTTTCCTCGTAGTTAGTTTACTGTCTCAATCATTAGTCTCTGCCACGATGCGCAGCCCGCCCTTTAGGACCTCGTTTCTCCTGAGCTCTTCGGCTTGCTGCTTGAGCTTCCTCTTAGCTTCAGCCTCAGCAACAAGCCGCTTCAGGTAGACCTCGGCCTCGACGGTAGCGCTGTACGCAACGGCAGTCCAGCTCCACACGTTTCTTCTCTCGGCATCAGCACCCGCCGCCAGTAAGGTCCGCAGCACGAGCAGGTTGCCATTACTGCTGGCAAAATGCAGCGCCGTATTGCCCTCCAGATCGCTATTCCGGACCGCCTGCTCGGGCCCGCACGGCACGTAAGTCAGGAGGATCTGCAGCACCGTGTCGTGCCCGCCGCGGCTCGCCTCCATGATGGCATCTCGACCCCTAATGTCGCGTCGCAGGATCGAGTCGGGGTCGTGTTGGCTCAGGAAGTGGACGATCTCGGTGTGGCCCGCGGAGGAGGCGAGCATCAGCGCAGTTTGGAAGTCATCGTTGAGGGCGGGCAGGTCGGCCTCGTGGCCGAGGGAGATGAGGAGCTTGACGATAGGCAGGTGGCCCAATGAGGCGGCGAGGTGCAGGTTCGAGTTGGACAGGCCCTCGGGTGATGTGTCTGGGTTGTGGAGGAGCTTTGGATGGGATTTGATGATGCGCTTCACGAGGAGCGCGTCGTTTGCGTGGATCGCCCGTCGCAGGCGGAGGGGAGCGTCAATCCTGGATGGGATGGACTCTCCAGATTAGTCACAGGCCAAATCTTGAGGCTTCTTCCAGATTTGAGGTCTGCAGGTTAGAGAGATGGAGAGGGAGCCTACATCTTGGAAGGACGGTGTTGGTGGTAGCGAGGTAGTGGACCTCGGGAGATTGGGTCATGAGCTGTCAAAGGTATCAACAGTTGACGATCAGGCGGGTTGAGCTCTGGGATCCCTAGGCCTAGAGTTGCTGAAGAGTTGGAGATGCTGTACTATTGTAGCAGGTGACAGAGGATGACGTACAGGGCCAAGACGCCCCATCAGGTCAGTTGTTACAGAGCTACCCCCGCTAGGAGACAAGGATATGGGATTGCTGATTACTGATTGCGGGGAAGGGGTCAGTGCAGGACTGGGAATGCTAGGCTCTCTCACATCCTGTTTCAGGGCCTACCAAAGTACTGACTAAGTACTTGAATTATGTTTCAAATCACGAATATAGAGGTCGAAATATTCTAACATGAATTGATTTCAAAATCTACCTCAAGAGAACAAGGAAAAGTAGTATAAGATAGTCTATACTCGGCTTGAGCTTAATTTACGCCTTGTAAATGAGTTCTCCCCTCCTCCCAGTTTATCCTTGAGCATTGTGTGGTGATCGGAGGTTCGTGTAATTATCTTGTCATTTTCATTCCCTACTTCAGCCTCTTCAGCGTAAAAACGACTTCACGTTCGAAGACTGACCTATTGTGGCTTTACCTGAGATGATATCGAGGAGGCTCGCTTGATCATGAACCCTCGGAAGAATGAGCCAAGTGCGTCAACTTCTGCTCCTGGGATAACCATTGATATGACTGTATTATAATGAAGTTAGTTATGCAATTGACCTTGATTGTCATTGTTGAATACTCGCATTGATCAGGGCGGACTACAACAATTGTAGTCTCACTTGTGCCAACACCAAGCGTATCAAACGCATGGCCATGGCCGGAATTGTAACTCATGTCGTCGACGAAGACTTTGTGCAGACCTTGAATGCAAAGTCAGTGTCAAATTGTGAACAGATGAGAACCAGAAACGCTCACTTCGAATTCTATATTTCCCAGTCACGGGCTTAAACACTTCAGGTATCTGTACCAGCTCAATGTTCGTGCGCTCTGCTTTGAGGACCAGCAGGGGCTCGATCAGACTGTCTGGATCAGCTCCATCGGGTGTAAACTCTTGGATGAGCATCTCAAGCTTTCTGCCAACGTCTTCGAGACGGCTCTGTATAGTCTTTTGCTGAACATCCCCGTCAAACACAAGAATCCTCCATCGACAGTCTGATTTGATCACGCTGAGCAGCTGGAAAACCCTTGCGTCGCTGTACCTGACGACCTGTGCGCTGGGCAGCCTCATCCCGACCACTAATTGCGGTCCCGTCTCAGCATTGCTGACTGGACTTGTCTTTGCCACAGCCATCTGCGTGTCGTGGCCCTGAGAAGGCCAGACAATGATGTTCTTGTCATATCTGTACGCCTGGCCGGCTGTGTATCGTCCCGCCTTGACAAACGCGTCTCTCACCAAATTCGAATCATGCCCAGCCGCGTCTCCACGACCGCTTGACTTGAAGATCTGGGTCCACTTTCGGTCGAAGTCGATGAGCTCCGTGGCCGTCTTCTGTCTCTCGCTGACGTACGTCCTCACCAGATCCTCGCTGGCTTGGCCTGAGAGATACGCACCGAGCTTCCAGCCGATATTGTACCCATCCTGCAGACTGAGATTCATGCCCTGTCCAGCCTTTGGGGAGTGCGTGTGGCATGCATCACCAGTCAGGAAGACGCGGAATCGCTCGTGAAAGTGATTAGCCAGTCGCTGTCCTATGGCGTATGCGGACCACCACCTCGTCTCGGCGATCTCCAGCTCGTACGGTCTGAAGATGAGCCGTGCGCGGTCGTGAATATCTTTTTCGGTGATCTCGCTGGCAATGGTACCGGGGGGGAATTCGATGTAGAACCTTGAGATTTCATCACCCTCGCGAGGGATGATCATAAGAGTGCCCGAGGTGGACTGAAGAACACTCTTCTTGCGGATGTCAGGGAAGGTGGTGCGTGGGAAAATATCAGCAACGCCCCAGATGGCATTGGTCGAATCGCCGAGCATGCTGAAGCCCAGAGACTTCCGGACTGCTGAGTGTGCACCATCACAGCCCTGTCAGGAGCAAGCAGTGTTAGCAGCCCTTCTCCTCGACAGTTTCTCTCTCTGCTGTTCCAGCAAGGTTTAGAGGCACATCAACTGACCAAGGCGTACTTGGCACGGAACAAGACTTCCATGCCATCCTTTCTCGCAGCCACAGTAACAGGATATGCATCCGGGTCATCCGCCTCCTCAGAATCAACCTTGACATTTATCACCTCATGCCCATACTCAACATTCGTCCCGCCACACCGCAGCATCTCATTCGTGATGAGCTCATTGATGCGCGTCTGACTGAGGATAACATGTGGCTGGTGACTCAAACCAGGCTCCTTGTCAGGCGCAAAATGAGACCTTTTGATGCCGCCGCCGCCGCCTTCCCCATCCTTCCCATCCGCATCAAGGCCAGTGTTGCCATCAGGCCCCCAGAACGCTATCTCCAAGACATGATACGACTCCCGCAGCAGCTCCTCTGAGATGCCAAAACTCTCAAAAATCTCAACAGTGCGGCACTGCACGCCGTCGGCCTTGCCCACCACGAGGGGGCCGTCGCGCGCTTCGAGAATTAGGAACGGGATGTTGTATTTGGCCAGCCACAGGGCCGCCATTAGCCCGGCTGAGCCGGAGCCGCATATGAGGACTTCGGTTTGACGGACCTTGCGTGGGTTGGACATGGAGGATTATATTGCATTGGGATGCTTTTGATAATGGCTCCCAAGTCCAGGGGTTGCTGAGAGGCATTCAAATGTGAATTATAAGTATAAAGGCAGAGAAAACAGTCTAGGGAAACGGTCTAGGGTGTTTCGTTTCTCCGCACAGAAACCGCTGCGCGTTCCCGTGCTCCACATGGATGATGCGCACCGAAGGACGGCACTTGAGTATTACGAACGCCATGGGTATGGGCAAGCATAAGGCTTTCATAAGACAGGCTACTCACGATGACTAGTGACCGATTCACAGTGTTGGATTTGAGTTGATTATGAACCTAATTATATTGATTCAGAGAAGGTTGGAAAAGATAGCATACAAAGGCCGAATCATGTTTTCCTTTCACTGATACAGAAATATGACATCTCCACAACTCATGTCGTCTCTGACTGTTTCTGTTCGTTTTGTTCCATTTTGCAAGACAAATAGGAGCAGATCCACAACTGCACGTACATTGCAAGTCGTCGAAATATGTAGGTCCGTTACTGGGCCCAAGTACTCATTCGTCATTCTTTCTCAGATTCCCATTCAAGGAGGCGTCTTCATCCCCTTCACACCCGCTGGCTTCAACGGTGGGCTAAGCATCTTCTTACCTACACCGTCCTCCCATTCGACAGTGATATCCCGCCCCTCGTTCCACTTGGTAAGCGTATCCCACTTCTTGCAAGTGTGGATCGTATTGAAGTTGGGATGCGGCACTACCAAGAGCGAACTTGTTAGCTATCTGGACCAGATCGAGCAGCAAGCAGGAAGAGTTCGGCTGAAGGGGAGGGAAAGGCGCATACTTGACCTGCCCTCGACCCAATTGTAGGTCAACAAGCTAATGTCCCCATGACACATGAGCGTCTGCCGCAGCATCTCGACGCAGTGGCTCAGGTGTCCCTGAACAATAGATTCGGGCGCCCCAGCGAACGAGCCCTCGTGCTTGTCGTAATACTCCCTGTGGGTAGCCTTGCGGAGGAGGTCGACGCAGTGAAGCTGGTGGAAGACGTCCAAGGAGGCGAGGTACTGGCCGGTGCCGTGGTCCTTCTCGAGCAGGACTGGGTAATCGTGAAATTGATTCACCGCCTCCCACTGCTCTTTGGTGATGCCGATGGCACCGCCTGCGGGACCTAGGACTCAGTCAATGTCATCCTGACCATTATAAAGAAGGAAAGAAAGGATCTTAGTCTTTCATGGGTGTTTTCTCCCTGAAGCTTGTGAAAAGAAAAACACTTACCGTCTGTAATCTTATCCCAGGCTGCGTCAGTCTCTGGGCCGATTCCCGTGTACTCGTTCTCCCAGCCAAATGTTCCCTTGAATCGTTGCACTTCATACTCCACACCTTGTTCCGCGTCAGGTACTAAATTTAAACGAGAGTTCAGCGTCAGCAGGTCCCCTCTGATTCAGAATACAACACGATCCTCTCTTTTTGTGCGTATATATATATATATATATATACATGTAATTGAAAAAGACTCACGCCACTGGCCTAGCAACCTGCCGCACTCCAACTGCCGTTGATGAAGCGAGGGCTTATGATAGACCGTCAAAGTGAAAAGCACACACGAGACGCCAAGGAGTATGACCTCGAGCCCGAGGCGCCAGTATCTCCTGAGCAACGACCTTTTCACTGGTGGCTTCCATTCCTCATCATGAAGGAAAGACTCTTGCTCGCTGGAGCCGTCGCGGCTGGCGTCCTGACTGCTCTGCTCCTTGCCACCATCATCGCTGACGGGCATGTATGAGGGAGAGGTCATCTTCTCCTTGGGAGACAGAAGACCATTGGCGATCTGGGAGAACTTTGGGAGGGCCATGATGAATGGGAGAGTGTCTCAATGACAATGCTAAAGGGGGAAGTGCTGTGAAGGGGGCAGGTCATAGAGAAGCAGAACAGAACGGCAGGGAACGAAGCTGCACAAATAAGATACGAGGGGTATCAGAAGATATTACTCAAGAAACACCTGTTGGATGAATCTCATCACGTAATTTACTCCGCTTCTATTATCTCAATGCTGACGGATAGTGGGACCTTGGCCTCGAGGCATGAGACTAGAATGTGAGTACGTCGATCACCAACAGTCCTAGACTGGACAGCATCATGGGATCAAGTTTACCCTGGTAGTTGCAGCTGAGGGAGCAAGTTTAAATGCAAGATAGGAGGTACGTCGGCTCAATTTGTGCGAGTGTGATTCGTTATGTTTGGTGATCACCTCATGTGTCTCGTCCTAGACGCTGCAGCATGAGCTCAACGGTGGCGGGATAAGAGGAGAAAAAGAGCATGAGAACTGGATCGACTTATGCAGGTAAGATCTCATATAGGCAGGAGAATGCGAGTTGTGTTGGCAAGCATCGGCAGCAGATCGCTTCCAGGCCCTGTTCATGAGTAATAGTGTGACCATCAGCAAGTCTTATTGCAGATCTAGTGATAGTATTGACTCTTAGAGAATCTTGGCACTTGGTCTTCTGGTAGACTCGTGCCTATCTTCTCTTCACTGATTGTATACAATTATGTGCCGCATGAAATGAAAAGAATAATATAAAGAACCAGAGGTGGCCTGATTCTGCATAGACCCATTACTGCTGAGAAGAACAGCTACCTCGAAATCTTCTCATCACTCCATACCTAGTCAGCATCATTCGTATATCCTCAACACGCAAACTGTCGACATCATGAAGTTCTCCACGGTCATTGCTGTGCTTGCTCAGGCGTTCGCCGTCTCCGCGGCCGCCATCCCTGGTAAGTCCTTAGCCACAGGAACCCAAGCACTACGGCTCACTACAAGAAATATCAATGAGCCAGTGGCTGATGGAGAAATATAGAAGCTGCCAAGCGTGACGAGGACTGGAACGCCGCGGCGTGGTCCAACTTCATCAAGACGTATTTCGAGGGTTCTGAGGCTGCCAAGCGTGATGAGAATTGGAACGCGGCCGCTTGGTCCAACTTCGTCAAGAGCTACGTTGACGGAGCCGAGGAGGCCAAGCGTGATGAGGACTGGAACGCGGCCGCCTGGTCTAACTTTGTGAAGAGCTACGTCGATGGTGCCGAAGAGGCCAAGCGTGACGAGAACTGGAACGCCGCTGCTTGGTCCAACTTCGTCAAGAGCTATGTCGACGGTGCTGAGGATGTTAAGCGTGATGAGAATTGGAACGCTGCAGCTTGGTCCAACTTTGTGAAGAGTTATGTCGATGGTGCCGAGGACGCTAAGCGTGATGAGAACTGGAATGCGGCCGCCTGGTCCAACTTTGTCAAGAGCTACGTTGACGGCGCTGAGGAGACCAAGTGATTCAGGACATACCTCGATCTTTGGACCGGCTGAGGACGTTTGTCTACTACCAGGACATTCGTTTCATGGCCTCAATAGTTGCTACATGTAATTAGTCATTCATTTGGGAATAGTCCTCTTAGCACCATGAATATGATCTGTGGCTATGCAAACACATTCATGAGACAACGTGCTCTACAGTTCTCTTCTTCTTCTTCCTCATCTTCCCTCTCCCTCTCTTCTTAACAGACTAAAAGTATGACACGGACTAATCCTATGTCTGGATTCACCGTGTACCATGATCCCTATGTGATGATGAAGACACGTGGGTTATTTTTAGGTTAGAAAAGAGCCACGGAGGTACAAGTCCACCAATCACATCAATCATCATTCGAAACCAAGAAAAAAGGAGGAAGGTAATCATCATGGTTCTCATACCCTTGCCTTGAAAGTTAGCACTAAAAAGAAGCAAGACTGGATAGTAAAGTTTCCCGAGGCAATATGCAAGGCGAGTCGTTTGAGGTATGGCGCAAACCGGTCTGGTAGCTCACAAAAGGGACCATGGTGACTCTTTAGTGCTGAGCCCCAGGGGTTTGTGAGACCAGCGTTGTGCGAGACCAGCGTTCTGTGCAGCAGGCAGATCCAGTCTGCCAACAAAACTGGTTAAAGAGCGTGTTCACGAGATATGACCACTTTGCATATGCACAATACGATAATGTATTGTCTCGGTTTACAGAATCTCCAACGTCAAGAAAAAGCTGGAATGCGGCTCTGCAAAAATGGGGCACAGTTCGGGTTGCTGTGGGTTGCATTTCCCTGAATAGTGGTAAAATCTCAGCGGACAGGGGACTTTTTGTTTTGTGGAGTCGACTCATCACTACTTTGATTGGCGATCTCATCTAAGTTCTTTAATGTGCTATACAAAGTTACAGGGTGTCTAAGTAGTGTATCATGCATCTGAATTGCAGCGAAAACAAACTATCAGGTCCGGGGAAAACACGGCATCCTTCATCTCTGACGCCAATCTACTGTAACCTTGACACTCCACGAACCGGTTTCGACTTGTTCTTCCCCGCCCCTCTGACCACATCAAGTATCCACACACACCAAGTCAGCGCCGAAGGAGAAAGAAAAGCCCAGACCTGTCATACATTCCTGCTTTCTTACTCTAAATCTATCTCTCTCTCTCTCTGTCTCAGATTCTTTCAAGTAATAGCCAAGGCGGATAGGATCGGGCTTCGAGCGCGGATGCGCGGTCCCCACAAGACTAAAACCCAGGGGACGACGCCCAAGGCCAGGCCGATGGAGCCAAGTAGACAACCAGAACCCGTGGGGCCAAGAGTATTAAACATGGGCTCAACGGCCAGGGGCAGACAGGCAGCAAAGACATTGCGGGTGAAACTCTGGGCAGCGATGGCAGAGCTGGCGTAGGTGTGGTAGGTGTCGGCCAGGTAATTGAAGACAGCAAGGTAGACGGTAAAAATGCCAAGCGTGGTGCTGCCAATGGAGAGCACAGGGACCACCCACGGGATCGAGGGACGGCTCGTGGCGCCGAGCCAGAAAAGGCCGGCGGGGAGGAGCAGGGCCTGGAAACAGGCAAACACCAGCCGGATCTCTGGCGGTGGCGTCGTGGTCAGGGCTGCCACGTCGGGCCCACCCTGTGCCCCGCCTGCGCGCAGTAGCACGCGGATCCAGCCGAGGGTGTGGCCTCCCGACGACGTAGGATCGACCAGGAGGAGACCATCCTGCCATACTGCGGCAACGGTGCCGAGCAGGGATGCAACGATGACGGGGGTGAAGCAGAGGCCAGCCGCTTGTGCTGAGAAGCCGTACACCCGCTCAAAGACCAGCGGGATGATCTCGAACGTCATGTACAGGATCGACCAGGCAAAACTCATCCAGATGGAGAACCAGAACACGACGCTCTCGGTTACCAGAAGCTGGATGGGCCGCAGCAGGGATGTTTTGACGAGCTGTGGGACGGACGCTCGATCCTCGTCGGCCTTGACCCTCCACCGGATCTGCACCACCCTCCTGCTCCTCGTCAGGCTGCTGTCGACCGGCTTGTCTTGGTCGCTGGCTCGGCAGATGGTCCATGACTCAGACGCAGACGCAGAAGGAGAAGAAGGAAAAGAAGGAGGAGGCGGGGCTGATTGTGAATGCTGCACGGCGTCATACCAGGCGTTGAGCACGCTCGCCTTCCGGCTGAGCAGCACATTGCCTCTTGTCTCAGGGAAGAACAGGCATAGCGCGGCAACCATGAGGGAGCAGGTGATGGTCTGGAGGTAGAAGATCCACCGCCAGCTCAGGTGCTGCTCGATCACGCTAGACACCAGGGGCCCAACGCCAGTGCCGGCCAGTGCAGCACCGGTGAAGATGGCCATGGCGGTGTTGCGATCCTTTGCGACATAGATGTCACTAATCACGCCGCCGACTACGGCACTGAAGACGGAGCACGACATGCCTGCGAGGGCCCTGGTCACCAGCATGCCGGCAAATGACTGTGTCACAGCCGATCCCAGCTGGCTGACAGCAAAGACCACGCCTGCAGTGACAAAGAGCGGCCGTCGACCGGTGATCTCGGACAGCGAGGCGAGTACCATGGGCGCCACTGCAAAACAGAGCGTGAACACGGTAATTCCACAGTAGACGGCGAGGTTGCTGACGCCCCACTCGGTCTGGTATTGAGGAGATCCTGCCGTGTAAGCGCCTGGCGTCCATGTCGTGAAGAAGGTGGAGAGGCAGGACAGCCAAGTCACAAAGGATTTTCGGGTGCGGGACCAGCCTTGCGGGTCGGAAAATTGGGATAAATGAGGGGGGCGTGGTGGCACAGGCGGTTGGTTGTTGTCATTCTGGGACAGGATTCTTGGCTCTGCCGGTGACAAGTCGGTCGAGAAGGTAAGATACCTGTATTCGATCTCGTCATGCACGTCGTTGTCGCCTTTGCCGCCCTCTTCTTCTCCTCCTCCTCCTCCTCCTCCTCTCTCACCGAGGTGGATCTCGTCGGGATCACCCATGGCTGGAATCCCAGGGTGGGTTGGATGTTGCGAGAGAGCCTGGAAGGAGTTGGCCTGGCTAATAATGAATCGGGACTAGTTAGTAAGTACTCATATGGCGCAGTTCACCGTCGAGGTGGTATGCTTGGTCCTCGGAGGAGAATCCGCAGGAAGATGTCATAGTAGGATATTGTTGTGCATTACTGTCGAACGAAGACAAAGGATAGCGGCGGTCTTATAAATTGGAGCCGATGCGTCTTCATTGGTTATCTGTGCGGTAAGACGGAAACACGACGATCAAGGGTCTCATTCTTTTTCCATGCAGCTGCAGCAAGGGTTTGGATGACCGTTTTGTTCCAAAACAGTTAGTCTTTTGCAAGACTTGCATGGCTCTACTGCACAACGGTTCCTTTGAAGGACCCTTGAACCGAATCCTCTCCCGCCCCCCAGAAGCCGCAGTGCTTTTTTACGTAACCTCACCGGGATTGCGCTCGCCCTCCTGGCAAGCAAGAAATCAAGACAGCCTGGTACAATATGCCAGGGAAATTGTCTCATTCTCCTGTTTGCTGACCTCAAGATCCACATAACTAGCCAAAAACAAGTAAAGAATAAGCAAAAGAGGCAGTGCACGTTGCCATGCGGGAGTGCTTGCTACAGGCGTAATACCGTTGTACTTTGGCTTTTCTTGTCTTGTTATCCATAAAACGGCGCTTAGAATGCATTCAACGTCGACTTAACCAAGTGACTATTTGCAGGACCTAATCCTCATTGGGAAACCAAAGCGAGTTCATTCATGAGAATTCAGATCTGTACTTTTATCTACCACCCTTGTATCCACCTTTTTTGTTGCCTAAATCCAGGGGATCTTTGTGCGTAGTAATCCACCTTTCCACCTCCCCTCAAGATGCATCTATCTTGTACCACGAGAGTAGTACACAGTAAGTATCTATGACGACTATACTAAATTCTAATTCTTTAGCAGAAATCATGTTATGCAACATTGCGCGTTCGCGGTTCACGCCTCCCCCTGAGCCCACGTAGCACGATCCATCTCCACGCTGTACTTGGCAAAAGGACTGGCTTGTCTCAGCCTCTTGCTATACCGGAGGAATACCCAGGGTGCCAAGCAGAAAAGTACCGAGACCCCAGCCAGGATGGATCCGGCATCGTTGGCGCTCAAGTTCTTGTACATGGGCTGTGCCACAAGCGTCATCAGCCCGGAAATGATGGCTCTGACAAAGGCCAGCCCGGAGAAGGCAGAGGCACTATAGAGCAGGTAAGAGTCTGCCAAGAGGCCGCTGAGTGTGTAGGCTATCTCGTTGACGGCAAACCCGATGGGGACCAGTGCCAGCGTAGGGACGATCCATGGGAGGCTTGGTGCTGCTGGGGGAACTGTCCATGCGAACCAGAAGAGCCCGATGGCAAGGGCTGGGGCTGCAAAGGCAAAACCCATGATTTTATCTTCACTGTGGAGGTGTAAGTTGTGTTTGTCAGCTTCTCGATATTCGCAGGGCATCGTCTGTGCGACCAATTGATTTCAAACTTACGGTTCCACGGGCTCTTTCGCCTGGTGACGACGCCGCACAACTTTCATATCCCAGAAGCGCGGGAGAAATGTCAAAAACACCCCACAAGCAAGGGCCAGAAACGGCAGCGAGGCCGTAGTCTTGGTGAACCCCATGGACTGGTAGATGCCGCTGGTCGATTCCGTGAACAGGTAGATGATTCCCCATGAAATGCCGGAAATAAAGGCGATCATGATCACGAGCGGCTCTGTAAAGAGAATGTGCGCCGGCCTCACAACCACCAACTGCGCAAACGTTCTCCACCCTCCTGCAGCCGAGTCCGCATTGTTCCACCTCAGATCCTTCACAACTCCGATCCGCTCCTTGGCGAGCAGCGCCACTCTTCGCCCGAGCAGGACGCTGGGGCGGCTCTCCTTGACTGCTAGGAGGCCCATGGTGAGCGCGCCTGTGACTATAGAAGCGCTGTAGTATACCCATCGCCAGCCTGCATGAGGCGCGGCAATGATGTACGAGGCATAGATGGGCCCCAGGCAGAGCGCAATTGTCGTTGCCGCGTTCCAGAGCACGACCACCCACACCCGAGCTCGAGTGTCAAAGAGGTCCTCAACGCTGCCGGCGATAACAACCGAGGGTACAGCTGATGCGAAACCCGTGATGAAACGACCGACAAAGATGGTGGCCGGCGAGGACGACCCTCCAAGTGATATTACAGCGCAGAATATTGTGAAGGCAGCTGAAGATACGAGATATGGGTATCGCCTCCCTGCCAGTTCCGAGAAAGGAGGTATAAGATAGCCTCCTATTGCTTGACCCAGTTGATACCTGTTACAGGAAAACAAAAAGATTAGAGTGTCTCATTCTCGTACAAATGAATATGTGAAGCTACAACTCACATGAACGTGAAGGCAAACAGTGCAGTGAGCTTGCTCATTCCATACTCGGGCCCAGCAATATCAGCAACCGCTGCCTAGATTGAGATTAATACGAGATTCAATAGCTACTAGAGAGTGTGAAGACGAGCAAAACTTACTCCTGTAGTGCTTATAACAGTCCTGAAGGATTATCAGAGTCAGTAGAAAATTGAAGTGTGGTTCGTACGACACTTACGTGTACAGTTCCAGTAGAATTATCAAAGCTGTGTCGTAGATTTTGCGCTTAGTCGGCCAGTTTCGAGGATGATGTTTGCTTCCTCGAGCCCAGCTGATCACTCCATTAGACTCTCTTTCGAGGCCATAGGAAGCAAGAACATCTGCCTCATCCCGAGGTGTTGTTTCGCGTTTCTCAGAGACATCATCTTCAGAACTTGAACCCAGCTCAGTAAGAAGGGTCACCACAGTCGGCAGACTCTTGTCGAGAGGCTTTCTTTGATCCATGATGAATCTGATGAGGAAGTGAAATTGGTGCGGGATTCCAGGGCTTCAAGATCTGCAAGACAACAACCAAAGCCCTTATTGTATTCCAACCCATCATCCAATTTCATCAAGGTAGTTATACTGCCTGGTCATCGTTTGGAAGTACCACCGTCCAGACTGTAGATCGAGTCATCCCCATCCTATGATCAGGAAAACTCTTCCCAACCGGCATACGGCAGACCTGATCTTGTCAGCTAATATTACGAAATTGTAACTTCTCGCCTATTACAAACGTACCGAGTTTGAGTCAGTGTGATTCCTCGTATGCTCCATAGAAGGATCGCAATGAACTGCCCAAACAGGGCAGCTCGTGAGGCAACGGCAAAAGGTCCCTGAGGGTTACTGGGCCTAGACCAGAACATCAGATCCTCTAGATGGCGACATGTCGGTGAGTCTGACGAAAGCGTAAAAATTCAAAACGAGAACCAAGTCCCTAGCCTGTGAATTTGCCACTCCGTCGTTCCCCGGATCCATCGAGAGTGTTGAGATCAAAAACGTGCACGGAAGAATTCCTGAATGAAGTCTGGACAGCCCACACAAGTTGGATGTCACAAGTACTAGACGGTTTTGTGGGTCTGGACATGTCTTTAAGTCATCCTTTAGACGTGTCTTGGCTCTGCTAGGACAATTGGTCAGGGGGCCCCGTAAATCTTGCAATAGAACCCGCGTAAGAAGTATGCATGCATGGGCAATAGCTTCTTTTTTAGGAGAAGAAGGCGTAGCACTGCTTGCATTACATTACAAAACAGAATAGGAAAAAAAATAGGACCTGCATACGAATCACACCACTCATCCGACGTTACTTACCGTCGGCTGTACAATGGTGCTCATGAGTTCCCTTCTTGCGCAACACCTCCACCGGTGCCTATGAATTTTGCTACCTCCTTGACCCGCACGGACTTGTGCAACGAAACAAAATACCTAAAAAAGACGTGACAAGACGCAAGTGATCATATGTGTCTGACCAGGGTAGTGCTCACCCTCCTCCCTTACCCCGCTGTGAAGGAGCCACAACTAGCGGACTGTGCTGCTCAACAAGGTCCGGGCCATAAGACATACTACCGGCTTGTACGACGAACAGGACTTAGAGGAAAAGCCGGCCGCCTTACTCAGCCTTGCAGCCACGAGAACAAACCATTAGTAGCTCGAAACTCTGAACCCATGTAGACTCAAATCCTTCCTCATCACGGATGTTGTCTTGGCAAGATCTGATTCGTCACCCGGGCTTTGCTCCATGGACCAAGTTGGCATACCTTGTCACTGCCTTGGAAAGAAATTTTACAAGTCGCATGGTATACCGTCTCTATCCCTGCCATGCATAGCGGAGTATTGATTAGAGGAATGTGTGAGTGTGTTTTGCTACCATGCAGGATCCAAGTACTCACAAATCAATCCTGCACGACTGTGACTAAACGTCAAGTGGCGAGTGAGGCTTCTTGACGGGTTTCGGCAGGTGTTTCCGCAGGCAGAAAGCCAATATAAAACTCCCAACCAGATTTAAATAGCTAGGCAATGTCTTCGCCGTATGATCTTGGTGAAGTAAAGTCATCGGGCTCATTATCTTTATAGATTCCCTTATTCACAAGATACCATCTAATTATCTTCCCTCACCTAGCAGTTATTCTCGTCCTCAAAATGGCTACGCATAACGACGCTTCGACTGAGTACTGGGGCCAACCTGAACTCACAGGTGCTGCATTCGATTTCCGAAGTAAGTCCATAACATCTACTGTTATCCTTCATAGCTTTTTCTCTGTAGACAGCGAGAACAGAAAAGAGGAAGAAGTGGGTGGAAAGAGTAGAATGTTTGAGTATCGAGACAGGAGATTGCGCGGAACATATTGCAGAACACAAATTACCTTGAAGCCTTGAACTAACTTGTATAAAAGGCGATGTGATAACCACACCCTCCCTCGGCATGTTTGACGCCATCAGACGAGCCACCCTCAACGACGACGTCTACGGCGAAGACCGAACTACGTCAGCCTTTGAGGAGGAGATGGCCACCATCTGCGGCAAGGAAGCTGGTGCTTTTGTGATCAGCGGTACTATGGCGAACCAGCTTTCGCTTCGTACGTTGTTGAAAGAAGCACCGCCATATTCCATCCTGACAGACGCTCAGTCTCGTGAGTTTCTGTCCTTGAACACATCTGTCTCGGGTGCACAATTCGCCAAAGAGAAATTGGCCTTGATGAGTGATTACAGTTCTGACTATCGAGACACCTTGCAGACATCATTCACTGGGAGGCCGGTGGTGCGGCCTTCATCAACGGTGCCATGATCCAGCCCATACGCCCTCTCAATGGCAGACACCTGACGGTCGAAGACGCGAAGAAGCACGCAGTGCTCGCTTACGACGTACACAAGACACCCACACGCGTGGTGAGCCTTGAGAATACAACGGCGGGCACAGTCATCCCACTCGAAGAGCTCCGGCGTCTTAAGGCCTGTTAGTGTTTCCCTCATTCCCTAAATCCTGATGATTCCCCGGCTCTAGGAGAAGACATTCCTTCTATATGATCTAGTCGTTAAATGTGACCATAACAGGGGCCGAGAAGAACCAAATAGGAGTGCACATGGACGGGGCGCGCCTGTTCGAGGCCGTCGCCGCGGGCGGAGGCTCGCTGCGCGAGTTTGCGCAATGTGCTGACCTCGTCACGCTTGACTTTAGCAAGAACCTCGGTGCACCTATGGGTGCTATGGTCCTTGGATCGAGGGAGGATATCCGGAAACTGAAGCGAACTCGCAAGGGCCTGGGCGGCGGCATGCGGCAGGCTGGCGTCCTAGTCGCTGCGGCGCGACAGGCGGTCGTGGAGAACTTTGGCCTAGGAGAATTCGATACAGTCGGAGCCCTGGCCAGAAGCCACGATATCGCTAAGCTGATTGGGGACATCTGGACACAGAGGGGCGGCCGCCTGCTCCGGCCGGTCGAGACTAATATTGTGTGGGTGGATCTCAAAGCACTTGGAGTGAAGGAACCCGAGTGGAATGCACTTGGGAAACGGCATGGCATTCTTCTGGATGGGAAGAGGGTCATGTTCCATCACCAAATTTGCGATGAGGCTGTGCTGCGGCTTGAGGGCGTTATAGATGAGGTGCTTCCTGTTCAGACGAAGAGCAGTGCCTCTCATGACGCCCAATTCGACTCGACTGTGATGGCCAAGCTATAAGCGACAGTAGCGTACAGAGGGCGAAAAGTTTTGTCATTTATCATAGAAACATAGAATCAAGGATCAACAGACTGCATTATTCTGAACAATTCACAATTGGACAGAGAACATTTGTCACAGAATCAATCCCTCTTCTTGTCTTTCACTGATCTCCACTCCATCGCAATACTGCCCAACATCGATGCACTTGCCAAGCCCACGGCCAGGTACCACGTCTGCATCAAACTTGTGTCAAAGATCCCCAGCGCCCTCTCCAAGTTCGCCTTGCCGACCAGGTTCTTTATGTCAGTGAGTCCCATGTTATTCACAGCCTCAGGGCTGAGGCCAGGTACCAATACCCTCAAGTTGGTGCTGAGGCGGTTTAGAAACACAGACTGCGCCGCGGCAGTGAAGACTGCGGGCCCAAACTGCTGGGCGAAAATGATCACGGACAGTCCCAAGGAGGCATCCTTTGCTGGCAGGACCGTCTGCACTGCACTCTGAGGTGCCTGAAACCCGATGCCGGACGCAAAACCCATACAAGCTGTGTACCCAAGCATCTTTCCGGTGCTCGTCGTCGTGGTGAATGTAGTCAAGAGACCTGCGAAGATCGGCATCATCGTTGACGCAAAGAGCATAAACGGTGTGTAGTAGCCCACAGAGCTGACGGCGGCCCCATGCAATACCATTGCCACCAGCATGCCGACCAGACAGGGGACCATCATGTAGCCAGATTTGGTAGCCGTGTACTCCCTTACTGTTTGATAGTACGTTGGGAGATAGTATAGTATAACGCTGATGGTGGCATTCGTGCAGGACGAGAAGATGAATCCGGCGAGCACAGATCGGTTGGACAAGATACGAGGCGGTAGTGTGGCCTTGTCACCGCGGCGGTACTGGTCGTAGCCGAAAAGAACGAGCAGGACGGCGAAGACTACAAAGAGGCTCACAACTATTCCGCTGTTCCAGGCGTAGGTCGTGCCGGCCCAGGACAGAGCGAGGAAGAGACACGTGAGGGAGGGGACGAAGAGTGCGTTGCCCAGTAGATCGAGCTCGATGATCTTCTGCCAGAACGGCAACTTTGGCTGGTGGCTCTGGTCGATCTGCAATGTGAAGGCGATGATGATGAAACTGATGGCTCCGGTCGGGATGTTGATCCAGAAACACCACCTCCACGACAATTTGCCTATGATGAAACCGCCGATACTACTTATCGTCAGAGTCCTGTTACACGGCCCAGCCCATAGGTTTGCCATACCAAAACGAAAAGATCGTATAGGCTGAGAAACAATCACTTACGAAGGAGCAGCAATGTCAGCGACGCCCTCAACGCCTCCCAAAGCTCCAGCCACAAAAGGTCTCTTCCTCAATGGGACAACATGCGTGAGCATGTAGAAGCAACCCTGTATGGCTCCCGTGCCACCGAGACCGCAGATGGCGCGGCTAACGACAAAGGCCACAGAGGAGTGAGCCGTGGCGCTGAGCAACGAGCCGCACATGAAAATAGCCACGCTGCTGAGAAAGACCGGACGCAGTGGGAAGAGGCTATAAATCTTGCCGAACATGAAGGAAAAGCTGCAAGCGCACAGTCTGAATGCACTTGAATACCAGCCCACGTCACGTATAGTGTGAAATTCGTCCGTGATGGACGGCACGGCTGTCGAAACGATGGACGTGTCCAAGCCTTGAAACAAGAGGACGAGCGCGTTGCAGAGGAGAATAAGCCAGAACCGGACTCCGCTTGGGTATTTGGTTTCGTCTTCTGCTGTAACCATCCCAGAAGTCAGCCTGTCATCCTCAACGTCGTCGATTTGGAGGTTTTCCGTCGGCCATCCTGTCTGGGGTGGTGCTGCCTCATTTCTAGCAGACTGGCTTTGAACTGGTACGGGCGCCGTCAAGGTTGCAGGGGATTCAGTGTTCGTGGACATATTGAAAATGCGCTCGCGGATGATGTAGAGGAATGCAAGATGATGTTTTGAGGAGGGGGCCAAAGCCTTGTTATCCGTGTTGATTGATTAGAATGCGATTCATCACAATTCCTCTTATTGGCGCGGCTCGAGTTTGATAAGACGCCAGAACAAATAGTCATTCTCAGCGAGAAGCGTAAAGTAAGAAGCATCAGTTAAAAGTTGGCCACGTCATGTGGCTGTCTTACAAAGTAAGACGGGAGGACGATGCATCCGTGAAGCGGGAATATGTTGAGACCAGCGTATAATATGACCCACTGTATTTTTCATGGAGCAGCCACATGTTCAAGTTCTGGGAATCTTAGCAAATCCAAATACATTCAAATCAAGGGACGTTCTGAGGGGGTTCCCTGGCATTGTGCCGACTTGATACACAGTGGGAACTGCCGTTACGATGTCTTTCGTGGTGTCATTGAGACTCCTCTTGGCAAGATATGATGACTATTACATGGATAATGAGGGAGGTGCCGTGAATGGATAAGTTCAACAAAGGTGGTATACAGAGCCTTGTGCTAAGAACAATTTGGGTATCTTGAATAAGAATATGATGACATTGTTCCACAACACCTGTCTGTATTGCGAGTGTCGTAACAATGGGTGGTCCAAACTGCTTTGTCATTCCAACCAGGTTGCTAAAAGAGCGACAAGAAAGGCATTGTCCTCTAGACAGCTATCCTGAAAGCAGACAGAGCATACGCAGCTGTGGCTACTTGGGTAGCCATATTAGCTTGAACAATTCAAGATGTATAAATACTGCATTGCTTCAGACTGACTAGACCTATGTCCTCACCCTTCTCATCAACTAAGCTGCTCACTGCACGACTGCCAGGTAAGTGTTCTTCAGGTAAGAACCCCTTCTCATTTCCAAGCGCACCAGCAGCCAGCATAAGTTTCTTGTCGAAAACCACAGTCGCTCTTGCTTCCTCACACATCATGTCTTTTCTTCTCGAATGCGCAGGCTGCAGGGGCCAACTCGATGCCAATTTCGCTCTAAGTGGGCATGCCATCGCAGTCCTCCCTTGCGACAATCCTGCTTGCTCTCACTATATCCCGTCTCCTTGCTCTAGTATAGACTTGAAGATGGACATTGATGGTGATGTTGACATGGACCGCCACACAAATGTGGACATGCACCTCAAAGTGGACGTCGAAGGCGACATGGATGTGGACCGGGATATGGACCTGAACAGTACGGACCAGGATGAGGATATGGCTATGGATACAGGCCTGGAAATGAAGGTAGAGCGAGATGCGGACGTCACGATGGCAGGTTGCTGAGCATTTTGGTCGTGTTGCGAAGGCACAGAGGACTACAAGTGTTGTCTTAGTACGCGGCGTACATCACAGATGAGAGCTACTAAAGGTGAGTAAGTTCTCTATGAGACACGGAACGGGTGACTACTCTCAGCTGGCTGGGAGTGGCTAAGGTTCATGTAGCAGTCTGACGGTCGGACTGACACATGTTTTCTCGTGAGGATTGTCACGCCTCTGAAGACTCCGTATCAGTCGATACTGTGGGGAAGAACCCCAAACCCTGACCACTTACACATATATAAACACTCCTTTTAAGCGTCTTCTTTTGTTCATCGTTTTAGAAAGCAATCCAATCCATTCTTTCAATACTCACTAAAGCCATTATATTCCCCATAGATATAGCCTCCAAGTCTTCAAAATATACCAAGGGATAATATGCCAACCCCCCCCCCCCTCAACATGGTTTGTTGCTCACCAGAGTCCTGGACCCTCACTGCCTTGACGTGACCCCAATTGATTGACGCCGCCGTTCAGCACCCATGAAATGACAGCCCAACTTGGGCCCCAGTTGCTCCGCCAGCCCGGGTACCTGGGATTGTCAAAAGTCACCGCCAGAGCCTCAGCTAAGCTTCCTCGCTGATGGGATCAGCAGCCGCCGGCCACATCCAATCGCGCCTGATGGCACACCCGCTCACGCAGGGCCATCGTTAGGCTGGTTCGATCTGAGGACAGCCCGAACAACTGCTTCCCCCAAACAACTCGGAAACGTCGCATGGACGTGCTCGGAACACATGTAGAAACGGTTATCTTATCCTCCAAGAGATGTAGAACACCTCTGCTTGCAGCCGCCAGCAGTCTCTGAAGGAGTTCCTTCAAAAACCGCCGGTTAGTCCAACCGTTTCGCCATGCATCCCAGGAAGTACCTCCAGCCGCACCAACAACGACCTGGAGACACACGTTAGCAATACACTCTGGGCAGAGTGCAATGAGGAGATGCGAATGAGGCGGGGAGACGCTGAGGGAAGCAGAGGGAATTCGAAGCTTAGATAGGAACTCACAAGGATAGCGGGTCCGGTAATTATATATCTAAGATGTTGGATAATGGTGGTTCGCTCCATTATCGCTGTTGTATCCCCTCCCCAAAAAAAAATCATAGGAAGAGAAATATTGTAGTTGGTGTGAAGAGAGGAGAGAGAAAGAAACATTTCCGGGTACTCGGGGATTGGAAAAACATCCTTATCCAGCGGACGCAGTCATGGAACTTTAGCAAGGAGTGAGCGACACCTTCGTGAAGTTTTGGTAAGAAGTAAACAAAGCATCGTCATGGTAGGCTAGGTAAGCCACTTTGCCCTGCCCATACGAGTGATCCTGCCAGCTAAGTACTCTCTACCTTTCCTGGCTATTTCGCATCTGCAAAGCATCTTCAAAACCTACTCAAATATTGTGCACTAAGTCTGTTACTCTGCTCACCAGAGTAATACATTCTATGGTCAAGACTTCCGACATTTCTCTTGTATAAAACTTTTGGGGTTTGATAATCCCTGAACTACTGCGTCCAACCAACTTATAATTCTGGCCGCCCTTCCTTATAATACGTAGTATAAGCGCCTGCCCAAGCCCTTTTACAATCGCACATGTGTCTCTCGACTTCAAAAAACCTAATCCCAACGCGGCCTTTAGACCCTCAAATGAACTCCAAGGTGACTGATGTCGGCAGGGTCTCTGTAACAACACCTTCACCTTTCTCAAACCTGACCGGCTGCCTTTAGAGTCTTCATGCAATCACGGCAGTAATCTGCAGCTCCTTTAGACCTTCATCGACTGCTGGGAAGAGATGATTAATCTTCCTGGCGGCAATAGCATTATGAGGGCTCATGGAAATACATTAGCGAGGCTTGCTGCTGTCGCCAGTGCTACTCACAAAGGGGGGCCCAGCCATGTTTTATCTTCCGAACTGAAGTCAGATGCTGTCAATATGTTGAAGAAGAACTTACTGAACAGGCTACTGAAGATTCAGGTAAGGAAGAGCATTCAAGTATTCTCTCAAGCCTCAAGAATGCTATGCCTCTAATACATACCCCCATCACTGCACATGTTCCTTCTCCTCTGCCCTCGGGATTCGGACCATTGTCGCCGTAATCAGCGCCCCTACCAGCGCCGCCGCCAGCCCAAACCACCAGATTGCCCTGATACCACTCAGCCCAATCTCCCCCGTCGGCAGCGTCTCAACCCTCGTGCCGATTGCCCCGCTGACACTGGTCATGACCGCCATGGTGAGATTCTGCACCGTGACCAGCAGGCTTCCCGCCGCGCCCTGATAGCTCCTCGGCACACTACTCGTAATGAAAATCGCCGCGGCCGCAAAACTCATGTCAGGGCCGAACGTCGCAAGGGCCACGCCTGGCATGGATAGCGCCCAGTACTTGGACGTTGGGGTTTGCGAGAGGAAGAAGACGGGGCCGAGGCCAAAGGCGATCATGCTGGCGGTGAGAATCACATGAGTGGGCACGACGTGCAGAGTCTTGGAGACGATGTAGGCGGCGAAGACGCCGACGATGCCGTTGGGGAGGAGGTACAGGGCAGCGGTCAGCGGCGTGGCGTTTTGGTAGCGCTGCCAGAACTGGATGGCATAGAATTGCCATGCGCCAGCTATGTTCAACGTATTATAAGTATGATATTTGAAATCCTCTTCGAGGGGGGCATTGAAAGAAAAGAAGAAAAAGAAAGAAAAAGAAGAAAAAAACTCACAGTACGCTCCAAGGCCCAGAAAATACGAAACGAGAAGGGCAGTAAACCCGGGTGTCTGCCAGAGTTTATTGGGAATCAGCGGGCGAGCGACCCGCTGTTCCAAGAAATAAAAGCCCACAAGCATAAGAACTCCGAGGATAATCGAGGAGTACGTGTATGGATTCCAGTGCGCCGAGGAACCCTGCGTGAGGCCAAAGACCACCAAGCTACACCCCACAGACGCCAGGGCGGCGCCGGCGTAGTCGAACTGGCGTAATGATGGCGCTTCAGTATGGAGACTATCCCTGGCTGGCCGCAGGAAAGGGATTGTGAGCTGAGCCGCGAGTGCGCAGACTGCAAGGAAGACCGCCGTGCTGCCAAAGATCCACGGGAGGTGCGAGCTCAAGGCCCCAGCCTGCAGACAGCCCAGAAGATACCCGAACGGCGAGCCCGCCGCCATCAGGCTGAAGACTTTTGTCTTGCGGATGCCGGGGCTGTACACGCGGCCGAGGATGCTCATGGATGCCGACACGAGCACGCCGACGGCAAGGCCCTGCATCGCTCTCGAGACGAAGAAGAGGATCTTGAGCCGCGGGCTGATCGCCACAGCCGCCACCACGCTCCACACTGCCTCCCAGAGGAACGCTCCCACCATGAGCGGTTTCGGCGGCGCCAGGTCAGCCAGCGAACCAGAAATCACGACGGACAAGCCGGCTGCGAGCATAAAAGCACCGATGAGCCACGGGATCTGGGATGGCGGAATGCCCAGCGCGGCGCCGAAAACAGCTTGTGTTACTGTGACATGGCCAATGAGGAGGGCGAAGACGAGCTGGCCGGCTGTGCAGGTAAGGACGAAGACCACTTCTGCGACCAGGTTCGGGAGCTCAGGAGGGGCGCCTTGGGCCATGGGGAGGCGAGGACTGCCATGTTCTTGAGCCAGGCCGGCGGGAGAGGGACCACGATTTGCGTGGCTCTGGACGTGGACGAGTTCGAGAGTTGCGCTGGGGTGAGACTCGTTGATAGTGCTAAGTGCAGACGGAACTTCATGAGGCCCTGCCGGGCTTGAAAGACTTGTGTTTAAAGAAGCATGTCTTGTAGCGTCTTTTGTATGGTTATAGCTCGTACTCTTATCCTCCGAAACACTCCATATGCCTGCTGGATGCATAATTGAAGCCATCGTATCAGGTATCCGTTGGATCTGGAACACTTCCTTACTTGCTGCGACTTTGATATGACTTTTAGGAGCACTCGAGACCCTGCTAAGTGCGGGGTGCTTCCGAAGCAACCAGAGCGAAGATTACGGAGCTTTTCTACGCATCGCTTATGCATAACTTTAGCTTAGCACGTGATTTAATATTATGCCTTGGTCTGAACTCCTTTTGAAGATTTCACATTACTATCTTGATTACATTATCTCATTACGTTGTGTCTGTGTACCGCCTGGCCTTCTTCGTGCTCACATCAGTATCCAGCTCAGCGGCAGTAAGATCCCGCGCCCGCGCCTCCATCACAGCCAGATCCTCATACACGGCGCCGAAATACGTCCCGTTCCAGCCAATCGTGTCCGCACTAGCAGGCGTCGTCCCGACACCGTAGTCAGCCAGGTCCTGGTGCGGGGTGGTCAGCTCCTCCAGAGCCACCGAGTAGTTGGACGAGAAAAAGGGCTCCTCGTTGGCGAGGTTGTACTGCATCGCACACACGTCAAAGTGCACGCTGGGCAGCGAGGCGTAGAAGAGGTCGTACTTGGGGTCCAGCGCGTCGGCGAGCGACTTGACGGCGCCGTCGGGATGGAGCACCGTCCAGGGGGCGCGGCACCCTTGGCCGATGCAGGCCTTGAGCAGCAGCATGAGCCCGTTCATCCTCGTGTGCAGCCGCGCCGCGTCGGCCGTGCTGTTGGTCTGCAGCGGGCTGAGCTCGTACGGGTCGGCCACGAGGTCGTACAGCTCCGTCTCGCCCGTGCACCAGACTGCGTACATGTAGGTGTAGTCCTTGGAGATGACCCTGGCGGTCTTGTAGGTGTTGTTGCCTAAAAAGGTGTTGGCGTAGCCGAGGTTTGTGGCCTCGATGATGCCTTGGCCCCAGTATTCGATGTTGACCGTCTCCACGTACGAAACATCGGTGCCGGAGCTGTTGGTGGAAGAAGTGTCGGCTGCGGTCAAGTACGGGCGCAGGCTGCGGCCGTCCAGGAAGCTGGGCCATTCGGACTCATCTAGCCCGGCAAAATCGAGCAGCGTGGGGACGATGTCGATGTGGTTGGAGGGCAGGTCCGTGTCCAAGCCTTGCGGCACGCCAGGGCCACGGATCGCAAAGGGAACATGCGTATCTTCCTTGTATGGCAGGGTCTTGCCGCAGGGTACGCGGTGGTTCCCGAGATGATAGCCATGGTCGGCGCTGAAGATGATCACGGTGTTGTTCAGCTCGCCGCTCTGCTCGAGGATGTCCATCAGGTGGTCCACCATCTCGTCTACGGATTTCAACGCTTGGGCTCGGGCACGCGCGTACTCGTCGACAACCTTGATCACGGCGTCGTTCATCAGAGGCAGCTGGCCGACCCACGAGGGCTTGTTCTGGACGGCTGGGTTGAAGTTTGGCGTGCGAGGCGCAGTCACATTGGGGAACAAGTCCATATGACGAGCTGCTGGCACGGGCGCCCAGTCTCCTGTTGTGTTGAAGGTAGCATGAGGAGCAGTAGGGGCGACCATGAGGAACCATGGCTGCCCAGTAGCTGTCTCGTTCGAAATCAACTTTTGGACTCGGTCGACAGCCTTGGCGTGAACAACGTCCTGCAGATACGACCCGTTGTAGTACCGTGGCGTGGCGCCGTCTACAGAGAAGACGGGCGTGTTATAAGTGTACATCCACGGGTCGAGCATGCCATCAAACCGATCCCATCCGGCTGGGGGCGTGTCCCAGTTGTAGATGGCATACCCGTTCATGATCTTGCCGATGAACTCAGACCTGTAGCCAGCGCGCTTGAGGTAGTGAGGGAGGTAGTAGTCGTTCTCTCCTGATAACTGAAACTTTTGAAAGCTTCCTCCAGGCAGTGACACGTATGTGTTGTTGGTGTTGTGAGCCTGCTGGCCACGAAGGAGGGCCACCCGTGACGGACAGCATAGTGCCACGGTTGTATAGTGATTATTGAATGTGAAGCCTTGAGAGGATGTATTGTTTAGACGACTTTCTACGGCCTTTGATCTCCAGAAATACAATACACCTTCTCAATAGATAACTTACCTTGATCAAAAATACGACTACTCACGGCATCGATATAGTCCAGTGACCCCAGCTCGATATCCTGATCATCTGTCAGCACGAACAGGATATTCGGCTGTTTCGCCTGCACGATGGACGCTGCCAGTGCAGCAGCGAGAGGAACAAATGACAGATGCATAGTGAAGGACGGCTAAGTACTTAAAATAGGCTTGGGCTGTGATGACTGTGAGGGCACCTACGACAAAGTCGATCTTGTGTCATGCTCTGAGTGGCGACAGAATTTTATATTTATTTGTCCGCAGGACTTACCGCTCTCCTTTTCCATTTTGAGTGATCAACCACATGCATATCACCATCCCTGGCCACCCGGCATCCGAGAACTTGTCATGGTCAGGCCTCTCTGAGAGGCAAGGCGTATATTATGGCACTATGTGGGCCGATTGCGCCATACTTTGGTATAACGGCTTTGCCAAGCAGTTTAAAATCAATATGCCTCATTATTGTGCACTTTTTCGCCACGCCAAGCACGACAGTGACTTTGCAAACAGCAGCAGATTCCACTTCAAAGACAAGGGTATTGCTCTACAATTGTATTCATATCCACAATCGATCAGCAAGTTGACAGTCCTCTATGGTATGTTTCTTTGGATCTGGCCAAGAAAAAAGGTGTTTCTGCGGAGATCAGGTTCGGTAACTTGCAGATCGGAGGGTCTGCTTCTCAAGAGTAGTACTGTATATACGTAATAAATTGTAAAGACGTTGGCCTTTTTATCATTGCGGGTCAGCACTTTTTTTTGTGGAAAGAAAGGAAATTTTGATATGATGACCGTTCCGGTGGAAATGTGCCACCGGCACACGGATGTTATGTTACAGTTACTATGATACGATGATAAACATGGTTACTTTGAGATAGATGGTTTTGCTTTTTTGGTTCTCTTTCTTTTCTTCTTGCTTTTCATGGGTGAGATCTAGCATCGCTCGATGCATGTGGCTATTGATTTCGATGAGCCTGGATGCCCTTGATAAACACGAGTTCAATTTAATTGCTACCACACAATCCAACCTTATTCAGTGCTGCACGGTCGTTCTACCATCTCCTAGCAAACTTTGGTCCCTTCTTTGAGGTTCCAAGTAACTCAAAATGTACCACAATTGAGTGAAACCCCCAGTATACGCATCCAACTTACCTCTCAACGGAGAGACGACCTCGGCAAAGCCAGTAGTAATCCCACAGCACTCTAGTCAGCCCCCGCAGCCACAGCGAAAATACAGCAGCCACATGTCATGAAAATAGCAAGATGGTTTGCCTAGTATCTCGCAGCGTGATACTTAGATTGTCATGTGCCACGTTTTACAGGCGACAACCGTCGTGAAGGTGGCAGCGCCTATTCATGGGGTGGCATCTTATGGAGTTTTGACCTAGCCGACCCGAGGTGCCGGTGCTGTTGACACGTGCTCGAGTTCGATACATAGGTGATCTGGCTTCTCATTGCCAAGTGAATTAGACTCTAGATTTGAGCTCTCCAGATAGCCTGCCATGGTGCTGTCAAATCTAAAGGTTACTAAGTAGGCAGGACGTCAATTTGGAATCTTGGCCGTCAATAGTCACAGAGGGTAGGCAATGGCTTATCGAGCTTTTGATATGCATTGGTAGTACAGAAAAGAGAATCTCATTACATAAAGTCATTCATTATCAATAACACCAGCCCAAGCCCATCCAAACCCCTATTGCCCAGACAACCACGTTTACCAATACATTAGATCATCAACCGTACCGCAAACACCATCAGTCAGCCTCCCAGACAATCATCCAGTATCGTCTTTTATCTCCAAGGCTGACTAAGCGTGAAGTTGACAGTCTGTGTTGCCCCGATGCCCAACTGTTGGTGCTGTTGTGGCTGCGGCCTTCTGCCGATGACATAATCCTGGTTCTCGATCGTGACGGACTTGGTCATATGGCTGACCTTGTACACGCCGACCAGGCGGGCGGCCAGCTCGAACATGTTATTGCGGAGCGAGATGACGATGAACTGAGCGTTCTTGGTGCGCTCCTTGATGTAATTGGCGACAATCGAGACCTGCCATGTGATGTTAGTCTCCATGCAATATATGAAAGGAATCTCTTCCAAAGCTTTTGGCGTCATGTAGCAAGGGAGGTACTTACGTTTCTGAAATCCAGAGCAGCATCGATCTCGTCCATCACGTACAGCGGTGTCGGCTTGTAGTGATGTAATGCAAAGACCAACGCCAGACTGCTGAGGGTCTTCTCGCCACCAGATAGGTTGCTGATATTCTTCCAAGACTTTTTGGGCGGCATGACGCTGAAGAGGATACCTTCGGAGAAAGGGTCCAGGGAGTCGACAAGCTCAAGCTCTGCGTTGCCACCCATGGTGATCATCTGATACATCTCCTTCAATCGAAGGGAGATCATGCTGAAACCTTCCATGAAACCTTCGAGGCGTAGTCGCCGGAGTTCATCACACCGCTTCTTGGCGGCATCACGCTGAGTAACAGCTGACTGCAGGTCCGATGAACGAGCTGCATGTTCCTCGACACGGCGACGGTACTCGGCAAGAACGCCAAGGTCGACGTTGACGTTCTGAGTCTTTTCCTTCAGGACGAGGATCTCGCCCTTTAGTTTCTCCTTGCTCATGTCCTCGAGCTCATCCTTACTGTATCTGGGCAGCGTCTTCTTCGTTCTGCGGTCTCGGATGATAGTATTGTCAGGCTCCTGCTGCTGCTGCTGCTCCTCCTCTGCCTCCTCCGCAGCATCGGCATCCGTCATTTCCTCGTCCGAGTCCTCAGCTCCGCCGTCGGCCTCAGCTTGTCCGTCTTCAGGGGCGGCAGCCTCTGCTTCGCCGTTTGTTGTAGGCTTGGGCGCGCCGGCAGACTCTAGGTCCTCAATATCCTGGAGTCGGAGTTTAGACAGCTTCTCCTCCCAGTCGCGAACCCTCTTCTGGTTCTCAGCAAGCACCTTCTGGTTTTCCTCGAGCTTGTTGCGCATCTCGATTTCCATGGCGCGTGTGGCATTGAGCTCAGCCGTCTTCTCGTCCAGCTCAGATTTGAGCTCGGCAATCTCTTGCTTCTTGACAGCAAGACCCTCCTGAGCCTCCTCAACGCGTGTCTTGAAGTCCTCGGCCTTGTCGCCAGAGTTCTGGATCTCCTCCTCGAGCTTCTCGAGATCACGCAGTGCCGCTTCGTGTTCCTTTGTGGCCTTGGCATGGTCTTTGGCGAGCTTGACCTTTTGCTTCTCTGCCTTGGCCTTCTTGACCTCGGCATTAGAAGTCTCCTCGTTGTGCGATGCGATCTCCGCCTTCAGACCATCGACCTTGGTCCTCTGGGCACGAAGCTTTTCACCACCAACTTGCATGATCTTGTCCTGGAGCGCCTTGATTTCTTCCTCGACGGTGGCCGTCTCGCCATGCAGCTTTCCGACCTCCTTATTGAGACTCTTGATCTCCTTCTCAAGGGCGGCGATCCGGCTGTCGTCAGCCTTAGACGGCTGGTGCTCCTTGCCGAGTTCTTTGATGCGTCGCTGGGCATCGGCCAGGTTCTTCGTAGAGCTCTCGATCTCCAGAGAAATCTTCTGCATCTTGGTCTCCAGCTGGGGGATACGGTTCCTGAGGTCACGCAGACGTGTCTCGCACTCGCGTTGGTAGTCAAGAAATTCTTGGAACTTCTGTTCGAGGGAGTCACGGTCGCCCTCCAGCTTCTGCACCTGCTCCTTGGTGGTGTCGGCAACGAGCTTCGAGGACATCAAGCCCTTCTTGACCGTATTGCCACCACCGGACATCGTACCGGACTTGTCGATGAGCTCCCCATTCAGCGTAACCACCCGCCATCTCTTGGCGCCATAGGCAATGCGGTTGGCTTGGGCAAGGTCTGTGGCGACCAGGGTGTCCTGCAGAGCATGATAGAAGGCCGGCCGGAATCTGTCCTCCTTCGGCTTGACCAGGTCGAAGAGCCGCGGAGCATTCTCTGGTGTCTGGATCTCGGAGAGATCCCGAGACCTCAGTTTATCCAGACACATAAAGTTTCCACGGCCCATGTTCGTCTTGCGCAGGTACTCGATGCACTGCTGACCTGCCTCCACAGTGTCGGTGACAAAGTTGTCCAGAGCACCACAGGCGGTCGAGATAGCCACGTCATACTTCTGGTCGATAGCGCCCAGATTTCCGAGGCGCCCGTGGAAGCCGTCGATACGGCCAGACTCCTTCATTCGCATCAGTGCTGTGAGGACATTGCCTTGCGTCTGGGTGGCCGACAGACTGGACCGAGCCTCATCCGCCTTTTGCCGAGCATTGGAGACCTTGGAGCGGATCCTGGGCTCTTGCCCGACGAGCTCCTGGATTTCGGACTCGACCTCCTTGGCTTCTTTTTCCAGCTCGACCTTCTCTTGCTGGCAGGCCTTGAGCTCCTGCTCCTTCTCCGTCCGGCGTGTCTCGATGGAGGCGATCTTGCTTTCCATCTCTTCGAGGGCAACAGCGCCAGCATTTGCCTTCTCCTTGAGGATGTTCAGCTCACTCTCCGCAACGGCAATGGAGGACTGCTTCTGGTTGATCTTGTCCTGCCAAGGCTCAAGAGACTTTTGCTTAGCTGCGATCTGGTCCGAGAAGGCCTGTGTCTTTCCCTTTAGGGCTTCACGGATGTTGGCGAGCTCAGCCTCCTCTTCCCGGATCTGCTGCTCAAGAGTAACAATCTCCTCGGCGCGGCTCTGAATATCTTCGGTGCACTGCTCGATGGTCTCATCGGCATCGACGCTTGTCTTTTCGGCATTGGTGATGGTCTTTTCTAGCTTCTTGCGCTTGTCCATCAAGAACTTGCGCTTCTCATCGAATTTGACGCGTTCCTGCTCGAACTTGGCCATCTCCTTCAGCAGAGCCTGTGTCTCCTTGTCTTGTACCTCGTATTCCTTGTTGCCTTTGGAGAACTTCTTCTGCAGCTCCTTGATGATGGCCTCGCTGCCATGGTGTTTCTCGAGTTCTTCGTCCAACTGCGACTGCAGCTGCGCGACGGCCTCCTCCGTGACGACCACGTTGTCGTTGCACTCGCTGATGCAGAGCTGGTAGAGAGCAGATTGCTTCGTCACCAACTCGTTCTCGTCGCGAATGTAGGCCAGTGCCTTCTCCTTCTTGTCTTCGAGACTGTTCCTCTCCTTCTCGACATGCTGGACACGGCCACTCTTCTCCATGCATATCTCGTTGAGCGTCTCGACCTCGGTAGCGGATTCCTCGATTGGTGCCTTGTATTTAGACGTGCCGATGATATCCTCGAGATACTCGAGTAGGCCATCATCATGCTCATTGGCTGCCTTGGGTTTCATCTGGGCAATCGACTCGACCTCACCCTGGAGAATCAGGAACCGCTTGTGGTCGAGGTCGACGCCGCGGTCCCTCAACAGGGTCGTTACGGTTGTAAAATTGGATGTCTTGCCGTTGATATAGTAGCTGCTCGAATTGTTCTTGAAAGCCTTGCGCGAGATATAGAGCTCAGAGTTGGGTATGACTTCGTGTCCGCCGCCGGGCTAGCGAAAGGGAGAGAGGAAAAGTATGTCAGCGGACTAGTCAACGAAGCTTCGGCGGCTTGGGAAAAACATACATGGTCTAGAACCTCGTGGAAGTGCACAGCAACCTCGCAGTGATCGAGATTTGGGTACTGCGCGGAGTTGTGAATCAAGGCCGAGAGCTTGCCCTGCCGCATCTTGCTGGCGCGGAAGCCAAAGACGAACAGGAGAGAGTCGATGACATTGGACTTGCCAGAGCCATTGGGGCCAACGACAGACGAAAAGGACGCATGGAACGGCCCGACCTCCTGGCGTCCAGCGTAGCTCTTGAAGTTGGTGAGGATCAAATATGTGATGACGAGACGTGGCTTTGGAGTCGTGTCCTCCACTTGGGGTATGACCATCGTGCGCGACTTGAGCACAATGTCCATCGGCTTGTCCATGACCGCATCCAGCGGCTTGATGGGCTTGACGGTGTTGAGCAGTGTGTCCTCGATGGCGCGACGCTGATCATTGCCAACGGCGTCCGTGATGTCGGCCAGCGGTGTCTGGAAGCGATCAGGGTCTGGCGTTGCGGAAGGCCTTGGCGTCACTATCGGTTTCGCCGATGATGGAGGCTGCAGTTCAGGTGCAGGCGTGGCCCTCGCAGGCGTAGCCCTTACAGAAGCAGGCGCGGCATGCGTGGGTGTGGGTGTGGGCGATTCAGCCGGAGGGGGAGCAGGCGGCGGAACGCTCTTGCGCTTCCGACCGGGTGCTTTCTTCACAGGCGGCGCCTCGTCGATGTCCATGGCTGTATCGTCTGGCTTGGCGTTCTCATCCTGTCCCTGGAGCTCATCCTCCTGTTCTTCGATGCTCGGCTGGACACTGGGCTCCACAGCAGGCGCACTGATGGCCTGTGGCTCGACACTTTCTTCCTTGACCACATTTCTTCGCGGCCTGCCACGCTTGCGTGCCGTCGGGGCAGGAGCAGGCGCCACTGTCGTCTGATCCGGATCAAGCTGGGTTACGTGAGCGCTGGAGTCGGCAGCGGCAGCGGCAGCGGCAGTGTCTCTTGCGACGCTCTTTCTTGCGCGACCTGCCCTGCGGCCAGTCGAAGAGCCGGATGGTGGTGTCTCAATCTGCGCAGGCTGCTGTGTGGTGGATCGTCTTGACCTGGCCACAGATGCTCTACCGACAGACTTGCGTGGCGCGCTCTTAGCCGGCACAGGTGTGAAGTCATCTTCGCTCTCTTCTGCAGCAGACGGCGAAGGGGAGGCATTGATATCGTCGTCGGAGTCCTCCTCGATGATTTGTTTTCGCTTTGCCGCAGCTCGTCGGGTCGGTCGCGTCGACATGATGGGCGCGCACTTTGTGTGGGTTAGGATGGATGACAAGCGGACAAAGCGACCGTGTTGGAATGAAGATATGCAAAGCTGAGAGAAAGAGTGAAGGGAGTTTTGAAGAGGGGGCTGCAGAGATGTTGTTCCTCCGCAAACTGTGGGTGGGTTGGGTTGGTGGTTGCGCAGCGTGGTTGCTCTGTGGTCCTGTCGAAAACTGGGTTTCACTGTAGTAAACAAAAACACGCGCTAGACGAGGGGTGAGAGCTCCACCATGCAAACGTGCGCGTGTCTGGACTGATTCCTGCACACACTCTTATCTGTTAGTATAAGGGCATATAAACCACCCACTGCACTAATATGTACGATAAGCTATCGCGATCGCGGACTTGACGAGGGCTGTCCCAACTTTCCTTCAGCCAAATCAATTTCGTGATAGCACTCTTCCTAGTGTTCCCCAGGCAAAGAGACGCCGACCTCGTCCAAGGACCAATACACAATCCCAACACAATTCAGATGGAAGACTATACCCACTTCCACAAGGTCTTTCGACCAGAGTGGGGATCACCCTACGCAGATGCAGACCTGGCGCGCGACATTGAGACCGTCAGGAAGAGCTTCAATGGCGTCCTCTTCATCGACCGCGTCTTGCGGGCTCTGGGCATCACCAGGTGTACGTCCTCGCTACCACCAATGTTGCATCCTGTTGCTATTGTTCTTGGCTGTGTGGGCTTAAGCATCTAACTGAGGGCCTCTCATCTTGTATTTGTACAGCCAAAGCTTATCCGCCCAGAAACGAAAAGGGCATGTATGAACTGCACCAGCAGATTTGCGACAGCAGATCCGTGGTCCACCAGAAGCTCTCCGTCTTCTACTATCTCCTGCTCGACCTCGACAGCTCACAGAGCCGCGCCAGCCATGCCGAGAATTTTGCATACCAGTTCGGCGTACCAGAAAAGTACAAGCTGTTCATGAAGGGCCTCTGGCTGTTGGACCGTGGGGAGTTTCAGGTGCGATCTCCCTCTCTCTCCCATATCCGCTTGACTGCAAGTCGACCCTGTGATGGCGCTGCCGCTGACACGTCCTCGTCTACTACAGGTGGCCCTTGAGTACCTCGCACATCCTTCCCTGGTCCCCGAGTTCGCAGACGACATCATCACGGTCTTTGTGCAAAAAGCCAAGGATGACGACTACAGCCTTGCCCTCTCGTACTACCACGCCGTCCAGCCTGTCCTGACCAGCTCCACGGCCCTGTCACATCTTTTCGAGGCCATGGCGAGGACGAGCCTGACGGAGGCGTTCTACTTTTCTCGTACAAAGCCAGAGCCGACAAGACATCTGCTGTTTGAGCAGCTTATTGCGTCTGTACTGGGCGGTGCGAGGTCTGGCATCGCCGCGAGAGCCACCGAGCTGGTGAGCCTGCCGCTCGACGGCGCCGAGGAGCAGTGGTTCCAGGACTACCTTACAACGGGCAACGGTCGCAGGCTGAACAACGCAAAGGACACGGTGCTCATGCGACGGGTGGTGACGGGCCGGCATGCTGAGTCAATGAACGACAAGAGCCTGGGCAGCCAGTGGGGGGCCGTCCTGGGAGGTTTCAAGAGCGGCATGGGTGGTCGGGTGTCATAGAAACGACAACTTCCTCCGACCATGACCAACATGTGCAGTGTCTATTCTTACTTTTAATTTGCATTTCATAGCGCTGGCGTTGGGTGAACCGAGGATTAGAGAGCAGTAAATCCACCAAAGGAAAAGCTACTTAGGCTCAGCAGATAGATCCCATTTCGTTCTAAATTGTTTCTCTCTTTTCTCTCCTCATGCACTCAACAATGGCGGCTCGACCACCCCAGTCTGCTCCACGAGCCTCTTGTAATGCTCCGTCCTGCGATGCCTATCAAACGCAAACACCCTCTCCTTGCCCTTCCTACACTTGGCCAGATCGATGGTCGCCACCACCAGCTCGTCCCCTTTGCTCGTGCTCTCGGCCACAACATGTCCGTCCGGGTCATAGATGATGCTCCCAGCGATCAACGCCCCTCCATCTTCCACACCACACTTGCCCACGTTGATACTAAAGCACGCGTTCGTGTAGCTGCCGCTCTGACAGCTCAGGCGGTGGTGAAACAGCGCCTCAGCCTCCTGCTCCTCGGGCGTCCCGTCGTACTGCCTCGCATACGCCGTCGTGTTGTACCCGTCCAGCACAATCTCGACACCCTGCAGGCCGTAACACCGCCATGCCTCGGCCCAGCGCCGGTCGTTGCAGATGATCATGCCCACGATGGGATCGCCTCTGCCCTGCTGCTGTGCCTGGTCGTCCTGTGCGCTGCTGCTGTCGGTCGACGACGACGAGGCCCCACCGGCCCGCAGCGCACCCTCCACAAGCCCTGGGGCGCGGAAGGCTTGAAACCCGAGGTCTCCAGGGGTGAAGTACCTCTTCTCCAGCTGCTGGTCGACGCCACGGCCCGTCTTGTCGGGGATGGGGTCCACCGTGCCCGGCAGATGCACCTTTCGATACTTGCCCACGACCCGCCCCTCCACACCGGAGTAGTACAGCGCACTGTTGTAATCTCTGGTCTCCCCCTTCTCATCCGTCCACCGTTCTGCATACCCAAGATGCACGTCCACCTTGCGCTCCCGCGCCCGCTCAAACAGAGCCCTCACTCGTGGGGAGTCGACGACGGCGTGCGGCGAGGCGTGGGACTCGGGCTCGAAGAACTCGGCCTTTTTGATGGGGTCGTCGATCTGGTGGCGCGGGAAGAAGGTGGTCAGGGCCAGCTCGGGGAAAACGACGAGGCGGGCGCCCTGGTCTGCGGCCGAGTTGAGCAGGGTGAGCATGCGGGTGAGGATGGACTCGCGGGTGTCGGCGAGCTGGTTGGGGCCCATCTGGGCGGCGGCGACGGTGACGAGGCGGGGTGGGATGGTCATTGTGAGAGTAGTTGTGTTTCAATGTGTTTAATCTTGAGACCTCCTTTTTGTTTGTATATGAGTTACTGTACTTATTTTCTTGATTTTGTCTTCATGTAGTATACTGATTGTGTAAAGTATATGTAGTAATTCTACTTTTCAGTCAAAAGAAAACGACAAAAGGCTGTCTGAACAATGAGAGCTCATCACTATTTGATCCTCTCTTCATGTCTCAGCAAAGAAGCGAACCCTTATCAGAAACAGCAAACAAAAGAGACCGGCTGGCGATGCCGAGCCTCGGAGTGATGCCGGCACACAAATGCACGATGATGACTTTTCCCGGCCCGTTGCGACTAAGTCAAGTATTTCAGTAGTCAATGAATATTTTCCCCACTCATACCGGATTTTAACAGCATACGGTGTTCTGATACCGATTGGGCAAGGCTTATCTTGCCTATGCATAATGATGAGCTATCCCAAGTATGGGACGTTGGCTGGATTGTCACAGGGTACGGTGAATGTCGCTCGGGCGATAAGTCTTGTTGCCGCTTTTCGACTGAATGCCAGAGGAGGAGACTCGGCACAGTGTTTTTATTTACTATTCACAGCTCACGGTTCACTAGTAGTTTCGAAAGAAAGAGAAAGAGAACTCAATTTAATCATATAACATGAGTCAAGAGGTTCAATATGTTTGACACGATTATAAAGAATGGCCGCATTGTAGGTGAAAATTCCACATATACAGTAATGAGTCCTTGTTATCATGACCATTGGATAAGAGAGTAAACAACGGAGGAGTCTTGGGCATGAACATGAGCCTAGTTAATCTTCAAATAGGTCACAGCAACCGAAGTGCTACCACTGGGCCTCGAAATAGGTATCAAAGACGGCACGATAGATTGCATTGGTCGGACGCTACAAGCAGGTCAAAACACTCAGATCGTCGATGCTGAAGGCGCCTACATTACTCCAGGGTCAGTCTCCTTCATGATTGTGATAACACCATCCTGTTCAGAAATTGTATTGAGTATATATTGACCCCAAGAACAGCGGCGTCGACTCTCATGTCCATATAGAACAAGACAACTCTCCCACAGGCGACACATGGGAGACAGGCTCTCGCAGCGCCCTTGCAGGAGGCAACACCACCATCATTGCCTTTGCCAGCCAGAAGCGCCACGAGGACTCCCTCTACCCTGCCCTCGAAGCCTACCACAGGAAAGCTACGGGAAATGCCTACTGTGACTATGGCTTCCACGTCATCCTCACCAACCCGACGCGGACCGTGCTCGAGGAGGAGCTGCCCTTGCTCGTCGGCCGCGAGGGCATCACCTCGGTCAAGCTGTACATGACCTACGAGCCCATGAGGCTAGGCGACGCCGACCTGTTCAACGTCATGATGTGCGCGCGGTCCCTGGGCATCACGACCATGATCCACGCCGAGAACAGCGACATGATCGCCGCCATCACCGAGAGACTCGCCGCAGCGGGCAACACAGGCACCTTCTTCCACGCCGTCGCCCGCCCGCAGATTGCCGAGACGGAGGCGACCTACCGCGCCATCTCCCTGGCCGAGGTGACGGACGCACCCGTCCTGCTCGTGCACATGTCGGCCCCGAGGGCGGTCCAGCACGTCGCCGACGCCCAGGCCCGCCTGCTGCCCATCCACGCCGAGACGTGCCCGCACTACCTGTACCTCGTCAGCGAGAGCCTCCGCTCGGGCGAGAGGGACGTCGAGGGGTCCAAGAACATCTGTGCGCCGCCCCTGCGGCACGACGAGAAGGACCTCGAGGAGATCTGGCGGGGCGTGGCCAACGGGACCTTCACGGTGATCAGTTCCGACCACGCGCCGGCCACGTTTGACCACGAGTGCGGCAAGAAAGGGCGGGCGATGGAGACGGCGACGGTGGATGCGCATGGAGTGATTCATGCTGACTTTAGAAAGGTTCCCAACGGCCTGCCTGGGATCGAGACGAGGCTGCCGCTGCTGTTTGATAGGACCTTTGATCCCTCTGCGTCTGCTCATGGGCAGGGCTTTTTCGACGACAAGATCCGCATCTCCCTGCCGCGGTTTGTCGAGCTGACAGCAACGAATCCTGCCAAGCTGTATGGGCTTGGTGATCGCAAGGGCAGCTTGATGCCTGGGTTTGACGCCGACTTGGTCATCTGGTACCCTGAGGAGACAAACACCTCGGTTGGCTCATCGACGGAATTATCATTCCCACACGTCGTCCTGCAGGATGGCGAGAAGAGGGAGGCGGTGAGGTTTCGGATCACGAACGAGGTTCTTCACCACAGGATTGACTATACGCCGTTCGAAGGCATCGAGGTCCGCAACTGGCCTCGCCTGGTCTTTCTCAGGGGCAAACTTGTCTGGGATAGAGATGGTGCCGGACTCGTTGGTTCCAAGTCGGAGGGACAATTTTTGAAGAGGGCTAAATCCAGCATCTTGACGGGACAGATGGGAAGACGAGCTACTGGTATGATGGACGGCGAGTGGAAGTATTGGATATAAACTCATGTCAATTATGATAAGATGCTTTTTATGAAAACGACTTTCTCTTCTGCACCTAGGTACTTAAGTAGATAGGCTGATTCATGAGCATGAGAACACTCTGACGTTGGTGTTTGCGTATACTTTTTTTTTTGAGTTTCTTACTCCCGTAAGGAGAAACGTCTCATTTCTCAAGGACAATTCTTCATGCCTTAATGGTTTTCATTTGCCGTATGATTTAATTATCTCTAACCCAGTAATTGGAATGATTTCGAGGCCAATACAAAATGAAATGGGCCATGAGCGCAACCCCCACCTGCTCATTCTGATAAGACCAGTGACGCATAGATCACAGAGTCAATCAAATATACTATTCTTCAGATGATACTGTGCGATAAACCGTCAAATCAACTACCCTCCTTTGGAGTTTTGCGTGCTGAATTGAGAGGGTGGCAACTGGCTGTCGTGAAAGCAGTCCTTAGTGATGTCACTGCGATGATTCGATGTGACAAGGCAGGACTTTTGCGCAAAATCTCAGGGCAAAAATCAAGATCTTGGCTTGCATGCGCACCTTTCAAGACAGGCAGTCCTAGATGCGGCACGGATCTGCTGCCTGTCGAGGGCAAACATTCTGACTTTCTACTAAGGTTTTACGTCATGTGAGCGATGATCACGCGGACTTGGACGGGTCTCGCGGCATACTTTACGAAGGTTTTCGCCCCCAACATTGATAAGCTGATTCTTCTAGAGCACGAGACTGCCCTGCACATTATACGAGAACATCATTCCACATTATAGTTATAATGCTATCGGAACCTTTGTCGAGGCAACAGAAAAACTCCACCCGGCAACCACATCAACATCCGTGTGCTTGACGTTCTCACAGACCCAATCGAAGAGGGAGGAAACAGAAGACACAGACCACCCCCCCCCCCAAAAAAAAACACCGCCTACAAAATACAAAGAAAGAAAAAACGAAAGAAAAAAATCTTTGAAATCTCATCAACTTTTGTGTCGCAACCTTGACTCACGGTCCCCATGGCCGGATCGATCTGGGACACCTTTTTCGGCGTGTGCGACGTTGTTCTGGAGAAGATTGGAGGGGCATATTATAAATTCACACCTGGCAATCCACTTGGACAATCGCACGACCACAAGCAAGAGTCGTCTTCTGCAGACCATCATCATCACCACCAGCAACAGCAACATCAGGAGCAGTATCAGTATCCTGAGCATCATCACCATCATCATCATGAGAGGGACTGAAAGGCTAGGGTGTGATGAACCCATATTTGTCAGGGAGAACAATGCTTGCAATTTTAGACGTGGAGGGTTAATTAGGTCCTGTAGTAGGGGTAATATCAGAAAGGAATTGATTTTGACGAAGTGTGAACGTGCCTCTTTCTCTCAGAAGAACATTTGAAGCTGTATTTAGCATTCTATGACGGCTGCTCAGTGGTTTCCGGGCTTGGACCGGTTCAGCTCCGGAGGAATCCATCCGGATCGGCCCCGTTGTGCCGGGTTGAGGATCCGCTCGGACCGGTCCTTATCAACAGCTTACTATCAGCATGCATCTTCAACCATTTGACCTCCAAGAAATCAACATCATGTACCCCTGGGTACCAATGAACAGACAGGTTGAATCAAACCACCAGCAAGCAGTAACAAACCATGTCGTCCCACTCTTCCACCGCCCTCCTCCTCCCCTCCGTCACTGGCAACAACACCCGCCCCATCTCCATCCTCCTCATCAATCCCAACTCCACCCCCTCCATGACCGAAGCCTGCCTGCGCAGCATCTCCCTCACCCTCCCACCACACGTCACAGTTCACGGCTTCACAGCTCCATCCACAGCCCCGTCTGCCATCGAGGGGAGGACCGACGCCGTCCTCTCGGCTGCAGACTGCTTCCGGGCCCTCCACCCTTTACTATCCCCTACCACTCCCACCAACCCATCGACCTCTCCATCTCAGCCTCGCTTCGACGCCTTCCTGGTGGCGTGCTTCTCCGCACACCCGCTCATCCCCATGCTGCGCGAGGAATATCCCCAGCCCACCATAGGCATCATGGAGGCGGCCCTGTACGCAAGCCGGATGTGCGGAGAGAGACTGGGCGTAATCACCACGAGCCAGAGGAGCAAAGTCCTACACGCAGACACGATCAACACGACATACGGCCTGGGCAACTTCTCGGCGGGCTGTGTGGCCTCCAACATCAACGTGCTGGAGCTGGAGTCGAAGCCCAGGGACGAGGTCTACGCGAGTCTGGTGGGGGCTGCCAAGGGGCTGGTGGAGGACAAGGGGGCGGATTGTATCTGTCTGGGCTGTGCGGGGATGACGGAGATGCTGGAGGTCTGCCAGGCAGCGGTGGGGAAGGAGAGGGAGGTCATGGTTGTTGATGGGGTTGCGGTGGGTGTGCACTTTCTTGTTGGGCTGGTCAGGGAGAACTTGGGCACGGCTAAGGGGGGAGGTTATCGGAGTTCAGCTGCTGGGAGGGCAAGAAGACAGCAGGACTGGATTTAGGAGGGTGGAATTTTTGTCCATTCTCTTTTGTTCACATTGGGTTGGTTCGCTATAGAGTTCCAACATGGCGTGTGCTCCCACGCAAGCTTGACGTGGCGGGAGAGACGGCCAGTTTGTGCACAGGATCGAGCGCGCGCCCGGGAGTGTCGGCTCGTCTTGCCCGTCCAGCTCCTCGACGCCTTTCCTTCGATTCCAAAAGTATGATTTCTTCTTGAATATTTGACTTGGCCAGCGTTCTCGACGTGAGGGGGTCACCTTGGCATTGGGTCTGCGTCTGCAGCAGTCCACTTCTGACTTCCCCCCTCCTTCTAACCGGATCAACCGGGTTTAACAATGAATGAATAAGTGGTAAGTATGCAGGATGTGTGGATATTTCTGCATTAGCATTGGCATATTTCTCCTCATCCGATGGATGGCAGTGTGTGGAGACCCCGCCCGTAATCCTTCTCAATACGTTACTGCAGCCAAGATTCTGGGGAAATCCGGGGTGCAGATCATCTGAATCCTAAAACAGGATGGATCGGGAGGGTAATCTTGGTATCGAATGCTGTCTTGGAGCTGATTCCCTGTCCAGATCTTCTCCTCTCGCTGCTCTGTTCAACGTCTCCTCTTCTTGGACAGTTCGGCAGATGTCGTAATATTTGGGATACGTGCAGTTATTACTATGCAATATACCACACAGCCTGTTCTTTATTCATGTATCAATGCATGTTCGTTTCGAAGGGCTTTCAGAGGGTCGTATTGCAGCACGCCGCTGACGCTTCTCCTTTTCGATCTGAGACACGTTGAGTGCGACACCAGAGGGAACCATTGTCCCTTCCAGAGTGCTTTGATAGAGGCGAATATAAATTCCGTCGGCAGTTGTTGGAGTATCCCTCATGTCGCAGCCTGATCATCCAAAGATTACCACCAATTACGAGGCTCAGCTGTCAGCCCCCGCAAAAGAAGAACCAGAATTCACACCGATCGAAGGTGTGTTTCCCCTCATATTCCGTCCATCGCTCTGTTGGGCCAAGCGAGCTGACGATGAGGTGCCAATGCGTGATTGCAACCCTCAACCGTCAAGAACAATCCCTGCAGTCGGTTTCTCTCGCTCACACTCTCTCACTGTGAATGTGAGACGGTCGTGTAAGCTGATTGGGCAATGCAGGAAGAACTGTTTTGAGGAGGACGTTTTCCTGTGCCGTCGTCACATCTCACTGTGGAGAGACCCCTTCTTGGACCATTCGCTTGCGTTTGCCTGCATATAGGATGCGCCAGTAAGGAGGGAGAAGGAGGAAGAGTGAGGAGGAAGTCCGATTTGCCAGGCTAATATGTGCAGTTTGTATGCCAGCAGCAGAGCATACTGACCCATCCTGTTGCCGACGACCCGTATCAGATACAGATTGTTGTGTTCCTCGCTCTCGCCCACTCTTCTACATACACACACTACTATCTCTCTCCACGATTTCTCGCACCTAGATTCAGAAGCCTTATTCTCTCCGAGAGGAAATAAGTTTGTCCCAAGTCAACCTATCTAGTTCTTCTCATCGGGGCATTCGCAGCATGCCTTGTCACAAAGATCAGCCAATACCATGCGTGCCCAATACGCCGGGGCAGGGTAGGTCTCGTTCAGAAAAGTCTAATTGATTCCTCCCAAAATATTATCAGTCGTATTGTTTGTTCCCTCTCCCCGAAGGTGGCTCAGATTGCAGATGATCTCGACAACATCCGAGCATCATTGGTGCCCGCAGAAGGGGTTGTGAAGAGGGGAAATGCAGCGAACCCCAAGTTTGTTTAGGCACACACCAACACCTCGCTACTGCATTCAGTGTGTATGTATGTATCCTTACTGTACAAAGTTCCCCCTCTCCCCCTTGGCAAGAAAGGAGGAGACGAACGAGCGGAGAGTTACATTATTGTACAAACGGGTGTTTCTCGGGATCGTGGCTTGGGAATATTTGGAGATGGAGGGGTAGATGCTTATGGCTTCATGTAGGTTTGATGCTGCATTGGGATCACCCACGAAGTGGCAGCTAGACAGTAGAACCGGGTTCCCGTCAATGAGATCGTCCAGAGTCTTTTTTACTTCTTAAAGAGGCTTACGAGTCCCCTCTTGGAATGTTCATGTCTCCTCTTCTTCTCCCTGTCTCTTGTCTCTGCGGGCATTGGTGGTGGTCAATATCAGCCACATATTTTGTAACCATATATCTATGATCCCATACCTTCACAAACTAGTAATCATTCAAGCAAGACCAGCCAGCAAAGATGGGCGAGTTCATTATGAATCCGCCCTTGAGCACGCTCCCTGAGGAGTTTGACATCATTGTCTGTGGCGGGGGTAGCTGCGGATGTGTGGTAGCTGGCCGGTAAGTTGTATTATGATATCAATCAAGTAATTGCTTTTCTGTATGCTGAACAACGCTTGACACTTCCCACAGGCTGGCCAACCTGGACCATAATCTCAAGGTTCTCCTCATCGAGGCCGGTGAGAACAACCTCAACAACCCATGGGTCTACCGTCCCGGCATCTACCCTCGTAACATGAAACTGGACTCCAAGACGGCCTCTTTCTACGAGTCTCGGCCCTCCAATTGGCTGGCTGGCAGGAAGGCCGTCGTGCCCTGCGCTCACATCCTAGGCGGCGGCTCGTCCATCAACTTCATGATGTACACGCGCGCCTCGGCATCGGACTATGACGACTTCCAGGCCAAAGGCTGGACCACCAAGGAACTTCTCCCGCTGATGAAGAAGCACGAGACATACCAAAGGCCGTCTCACAACAGGAATATCCACGGCTACGAAGGGCCCATCAAGGTCTCGTTCGGCAACTACACGTACCCCATCAAGGAGGACTTCCTCCGGGCCGTCGAGACCCAGGACATCCCCGTCGTTGACGACCTGCAGGACCTCGTCACGGGCCACGGCGCAGAGCACTGGCTCAAGTGGATCAACCGAGACACGGGCCGCCGAAGCGACAGTGCCCATGGGTACGTCCACGCCACCAGGGCTGTCCACTCGAATCTGTACCTGGCCTGCAACACCAAGGTTGACAAGGTCATCATCGAGAACGGGCGTGCTGTCGGGGTTCGCACTGTGCCTACCAAGCCGGCGGGGGGCAAGCCGCAGGGCCGCATCTTCAAGTCGAGGAAGCAGATTATTGTTTCTGGCGGGACCTTGTCGTCGCCTCTGATCCTCCAGCGGTCTGGTATTGGTGACCCAGAGAAGCTGCGTGCTGTGGGCGTCGAGCCTATCGTTGACCTTCCTGGTGTTGGTCTCAACTTCCAGGACCACTATCTGACCTTCTCTACCTATCGTGCAAAGCCTGGCACGGAGAGCTTTGACGACTTTGTCCGTGGAGACCCAGAAACCCAGAGACGTAAGCCATCCTGACTCACTCACATTCTATATATACCTATCCCTTTCTTCCCTTCTTGTATCTATACATGTATTAATCTTTTACACTTATCTGCTTAGGCGTGTACGAGGAATGGAACCTCAGAGGCACCGGCCCCCTCGCCACCAACGGCATCGAGGCCGGCGTCAAGATCCGCCCCACGGCCCAGGAGCTCAAGGAGTTCGAGTCCTGGCCGACCCCGCACTTCAAGGACGGCTGGAAGTCGTACTTTGAGAACAAGCCCGACAAGCCCGTCATGCACTACAGCATCATCAGTGGCTGGTTTGGTGACCACATGCTCATGCCCGCGGGCAACTTCTTCACCATGTTCCACTTCCTCGAGTACCCCTTCTCTCGTGGCTTTACGCACATCAAGAGCCCTGACCCTTATGCGGCGCCGGACTTTGATACTGGCTTCATGAATGACGAGCGGGATATGGTTCCTATGGTGTGGGGGTATATCAAGTCCCGCGAGACGGCTCGTCGTATGGATGCTTATGCTGGTGAGGTTGAGGCCATGGTATGTTGTCGCTTGTCTCTTTTCTTCTTCTTTTTCTGGTTGTTCTCTCTACACACTCTGTTCGAAACTGACATTTAGCAAAAAAAAAAGCATCCCTTCTTCGACGCTGATTCCAAGGCCCGTGCCCGTGACATGGACCTAGAGACCACCAAGGCCTGGGCTCTCCCAGGCAATCTCTCTGCAGGCATCGGCCACGGAAGCTGGTCGATGCCTCTGGGCCCGGCCGAGACCAAGGCTGAGCCAGGTATCATCAACTCCAACGCTAAGGAGGTCCGCCAGGAGCTTTCCTACAGCGCGCGCGACATCGCTGCCGTCGAGGAGTGGGTCAAACGGCATGTTGAGAGCACCTGGCACAGCCTGGGCACGTGCTCGATGGCTCCACGGGAGGGGAACAGTATTGTCAAGCACGGAGTGTTGGACGAGCGTCTCAATGTCCACGGGGTGAAGGGGTTGAAGGTTGCTGATCTTTCCATCTGTCCTGATAATGTTGGCTGTAAGTGTGATTGATGGTTTTTCTCTTCTTCTTTCTCCACTGTCTCTATCGTGATGATGACGACGACTAACTCAATCTACCCCCCAGGCAACACCTACTCGACGGCCCTCCTCATTGGCGAGAAATGTGCCGTCCTCACCGGCGAGGACTTGGGCTATTCTGGCTCTGCCCTTGACATGAAGGTGCCCGAGTACAACGCGCCCGGCGAATTGAAGCTACCACTTCGCCTGTAATGAAGCCTGCACATTGTCCATGAAGGTTGGTGGGTACACTTGTGAGCAAGATTGCAAGGGCTTGTTGACGATGGTTTCCTTGAACTGAGTCCCTACTCAGGCGGCTTCACTCTCTTATTCTTTTTCCTTTAGTATGATTTCATGAATTAGTATCAATGCAATGCCCCTCTTTCCTTCTTTCTTCTATCAGACACGTCTACTTTATGATTTAATTGACTTGCGAACGTCTTATAATGATATACAATTTCCAACGCACTTATACAATCTCATGAATCTTTATATTTTTTTCAGGCCAGAGAATCTTTAGTATTACGTGAACTAAACATATATACAAAGAAGTGTGTATCGAGGTGTGGTATCAAGCGCTATAGTCTATGGTCCAGAACCAAGAAATAACAAGAAATATTCCAAAAAATGGTATCAACAACGACGTATCTCAAACATCATCACTACCCAACAAGCTTCCCCTGTCTCTTCTTTTTTTCTTTCTTTGTGGTAACATCTTCAAGTTGGAGAATATTATTTAATCCTCTCTACACCAACAACGCAACACCAGCAGCGATAGCGACCAGCGCAATTCCACCCGCCTGCAGACCGCCATGGACGCTCACCCCAGAGCTGCTCACAACGATACAGTCCAGCCCAGCACAAGAGCTCGTCTTGGACGCAGCCGCCGCGCCCCCCGTCGTGCTCGCACCACTCGTCACGGTGGCGTTGGAGGCACTGTAGAAGCCTGTGCCCGCGGCCGCGGCGGCGGTCTCGGTCAGCCAGTCCAGGGAGATGCTGGTGGGCGCGGCAGTGGCGGTCTCGAGGGCGCCGCCCATGTCGGTGGCGGAGATCACCTCGGTGGTGGCGGAGGACTGGACGGTTGTCTTCTTGGTGGTGGCGGTGGCGGAGGAGAATGTGCTGGGCGCCTTGGAGGACGCCGTGGTCAGGGCTTTGGACGCGGTGACGGTCTTGGATGTGCTGGCGGCCTCGGCTGTGCTCTCTGTGACGGCGGAAGAGGAGGACTGGGTAAAGGTAGAGTGCAGGGTCAGGTAGTACGTCGTGGACCTCGACGCAGCCCCGGTCTCGTCGACCGGCGAGCTCCCTGACGTCTCAGTAGCCGTGACGGGGCAGATGGTGGTCGAGACTGCAATCACGACTGTGGTCACATCGCCGACGCTGCAGGCTGTGGTGGCATCAGAGGCGCACGAGGTGATGGTGGACGATGATGTGGAGAAAATGGTGCTGGTTGAGTAGTGTGTTGCGCTCAGCGTGGACGTGAGATATTGGGTGATGTGCGAGGTGACGGCGGCGCCAGGCTGGCTGGCCGTGGTGGTAGGGACGGTGACAGCCGAGGAGGAGGAAGAGGGCACATCAGAGGAGGAAGGAGGAAGAACTGAAGGAGTTGTCTGGGCCTCAACGACAGCAGCGCTGCTGCTGGCGGCTGCAGCAGCAGATGAGGAGGCCTCAGCGGCTGTGATGGGACAGATGGTTGTATCAACGGTCAGGACGATGGTTGTCTCGGAGCCAGTCTCATCGGTGGAGACAGAGGTGGCATAGATATAACCAGTGGAGTGCGAGTGTGTGCTGGTGATGACTGCAGCGGCGTCACCGGTGGGTGTAGAGCCGAGCGTGGAAAGGAGGACAGATCCTGTACCTGCCAGGAGTCCTCCAGCCTCGCTCGTGCTTGTGGTGGTGGGCGCCACGGCAGTGGAAGAAGCAGAAGAGATGGCGACAATGACTGAAGATGATGCAGAAGTTGCGATGCTGGTCGAAGAGGCGACAGAGACCACAGAAGTAGAAGAGGCGATAGAGACAGTGGAAGAAGCTGCCGCAGCACCCAGCTCGTAGAACTGAATCCCCTCCACCATGAAATAAGTCTCGGCAAAAGCCAGAGGGTTTTCAGCAACATAGGCAGAACAAGAGTCCCCAAAGGCAGAGCACGTGGCGTCCCAGATGGTCGAGGAGCCCGCAGTATCGCCACAAAAGTCAATGTCGAAGACGAGCTGCTGGTTGGCAAACGACTTGCTCAGGTCACAGTTGTCCTGCTCGACGAGGAGAGTCGGGTTGCCCCAGGCGCTGGAGCTCGGGTCCGGCGTGCCGGCCGTCACGTCCGCGGGGACGGAGGTAGGGATCCAGCTCCAGATCTTGATGGCCGAGTCGGTCCACTCCATGGCGAAGGTGGCGCCCGTCACGGAACCCCAGACGCCAGAGTCGTCCTGCACACCGCAGCCCGTTCCCGTGTCGTTGTTGTTGCACTGCTGGGTCAGGACGGTGCCCGAGATGCCCGACTCGGACAGGAGACAGCTCCCAGCGAGGGTCTCGTTGGTGTGCATGGCCATTCTGTTGTAGCCCATGAGATCCCACCCCTCAAAGTAATCAATCTCGCCCATAGTCAGCCAGGGACTCCCGTACGACCAGAAAGCAGGCCAGGCACCACACGCCTGCACCGGCATGTGCGAGAACTTGGCGATCATGAGGCCCTGGTTGTATGTGGCCTTGCTCGTCATGCGCACGCTCGAACGGCCCTTGCCGTCTGCATCATACGTGCTGTTGATGTCGGGGCCAATGTACATCTGCCCGTCCGATGTCGTCGAGATCAGGCCCAGGGACTGAGCATCGGTCTGGCTGAGGTACTCGACAAACCCATGCGTCAGGTCCCACGAGTCATCGCTCGTGTATGTGCTGACGAAGAAGTCGAACTTGTCAAAGAAATTGTCGGCCGTGTATTCTTCCGAGAGCTGGTATGTTTCTGTCGCGGCCCTCACTGCACCGGCGCAGGCGACAGCTGCGCCAATCTTCTTCACCAAGGATGGAGCCATTATCTCGATGGCTCCTGTTCGAAACGAAAGACAAAAAAATAAGAGAAAATATAGAGAAAAAAAAAATCTTTAAGGAGGGACTGGTAAGTTGGGTTGGAAGAAGAAAAAAAGAATGAAAGTGGACTGTCGTCGACGACTGATACGCCCAACTGGGACTGAGGAACAAAAAAACTATGCTCGCAACCTCATGCGACGAGAAAACAACTAGAGAGAGACATAGAGAGACGGAGAAAACAAAACATCAAACCAGCAAAAGCCTAAGGGCCAAAAGAAAACAAAACAAAGGCGTTGGCTGCCAGGGGGCTTTTACAAACCCAGGTCACATAGCCGCTCAAGCGCGCGCACAGCGAAGCCCCTTGGATGGAGGAGTCGTCTGGCAACACTCAAATCTCGCATGAGCGGGACCCACCACCAAGCCATTCGACTAGAGAAACCAGCCAAACAGAAGGAAACAAAGACGGCATAGCCCTGCATTGCCGGGAGACCTCTCCTGCTGAGCGCTGCGCTCTCAGTGGGTTGGTCGATCATCTTTCAACGGGTCCCCACGGGCTTGTCGGACAGGGTCTGTGGGCTGGTTTGGCTCAAAGGGGCCACGCGGTATCCCGGGATCTTGCATGAATGGTCAAATGGTTGGGTGGGCAGAACTGTTTACTAACGTAGCAACACACTAACGTACTTCGCAGTTGCTTTGGTAGAAGGAGAAGATGACATGTCTCGAAACAAGTGCTGTGATCGCTTTTGCCAAGCTCTTGTCATCCGAGGTGTGAAGAGGGCTGAAGTCGATATCATGGCCAATACCATGGTACCTCGACAATGCTCTCTCTCTCTCTCTCTCTCTCTCTCTCTCTCTCTCTCTCTCTCTCTCTCTCCAATGACCAAGACCTCTGGGCATTGCCATGATGCCGCAGTGTAAAAGTGGTGAGCGAGAATCTCCGTCCTTCAGGGGGCCGTCATGGTGCTAGCCGAAGCTCCCCCTGCCTGCTGTGCCAACCCACGTCGAGAGAATTGCATGCGCCCGACTGGAGGCCTGGCTGACGCTTCGAAACCCTTGTACCACTCAATCGCAGCGAACTGACCAGTCAGAATAAACTGCTTGTGCCCCAAATCGCCCTGATAAATGGGTAGTAGTCCCCGCTTTTGCAGACCAGCCAATTGCTGGGCATAATAAGGGTGAAAGGCGGTAAATTGCCCTGAGCCCAGAATCGCCCGCGTCCCACTCCAAAATATATCACCTTGCCCTGTCAACGGCTTTTGCGGAAGGACATGTTCCAAAGATACCATGAACAGAGAGCTATGAAGCACCTTAAACGGAAGCACGTATCTCAGCGTGGCCTTTTACCCAGACCATCATCTCCGGATTGCGTGCCCAGGTTCAGGAAGGAGGGTCGATGCAAGTCGGTGGCTCCACAGCGGGGATGGGTCAGGGGCTTGAAACACACCAGAGTGGACGCGCAATTCCATCCTGAGGGGGGGGCATTGCGCGCTGAAGAGATACCAACAGCTGGCTGCGTAGAAGAATTCACCGAGTCATCCACAGCAGACAAGTCATCAATCTGTTGCTTCTTTTCTCTCTCAAGGCAACTCCACCGTACATCATGAACAAGAAGAAGGCTGACAGATGAAGTCGGCCTGAACCCATCCATCCTTGACGACATTCTATTTGTTTTGTTCCACCCAAAGAGCATCAAGTAGAGATCATTGAAGTATGAACTCCAGTGCCGATTGAACGTAGAGTAGAGAAGGATGGACAGGGTGAGGAGAAATCATCGTGCAGGCAAACATGAGGTGAGGTTGCAAAACGACTGATCAAGGATCTTGCTCTCAAAGAACTCAAGGCCTGAAGATCGACTGACTGTGGCGAACCTGATGACATTTTGTGTCTACAATAGGTCACTTAAGACAACGTACCCGTGTACGCCCACCCGAGCCGATCCTCCACGGTCGAACTTCAAGTTGGAGATGGTGACCAAAACAGCCCTCTCAAGGTACCAAGCCTTTTGAATAGTCATGAACCCTACTATGGCACGTATGGTATGATGGGGAAATTTGTCTTCCAACGTCACAGAGTTTAGAGTTCAAGGACAACGCGGTAACGACCATGATTAAGGCACGTGTAAGGGACCCGACACAGAGCACGGGCAGCCCCGGGAGTCCGGCATACCGACCCCGGCTCACTGACCCCAGGTCTCATCACCGGCCTTTACGGTGGCGAGGATCCAAAACAGCCTCTTCAACGGCGCAACAGTGCATGGCAACTACTTATGTAATCATAGTATGCGCTTTATTTCGACTGGAGAAAGACAAGCCACAAGACACCTTTTAATCTTGCCCTGTACGCGTGCTTTTTCACACCGCCTCTAGATGCTATGGGATGATGTACTAATCATTTTGATACCAGCCTCTTGTACTGAAATTCGAGCCTGTTTCTGATATATCAGAATCCCAGTTGGAGCATTTTCCCTTAGTTGAGGTCAGGGACTTGCGCTTTCTGACTGATCTGCATCATAGTGCCAGCGTGCCAGCCGCACATGTCGCAAGAGTGATCACCAATGTAGCTGCAACGGCTATGCGCTTATCTCTCCACACGATGTGACTACTATAGTATACGTCCACGGCACTTCGGCTTGGTGCAGTAGCGAGTGAGGTAGTGAAACGTCGCATTGCGCATATGTGGCATCTCTGCACTTTTCATGAACACCCCTCGCAATGATCCGTGTCATAAACTTGACAGGTAATCGAGGCTTAACACACCCACGATTCCTCCTTCAGTTAGCTGCACTATATTTGCCTCTTCATATACCGAGATGGGTAATGTTGGCATTTTGTGGCTGGCATTTATATGACCCATGGCATATTGGGTGGTGGTACAACTGGGAATTCTAGCGATTGGTCCATTATGGTCAATGGTACACGGCACCTGGATAGCTACAGACGCACAGCAGACTTCAATACTTAAAGGCGTCCTTTTATCATGGTAACAATCGCTCCACTTACATGGTATAGCTGGTCACAGGCTAGATGAGAGTCCGTTGACTTTCGGACTTCACAGTCTCGTGCTCATATTGTTCCTTGCTTCGTCCGAAGTTGACAGCTATAAGTCGTGCCGATTTGGCCGTTGAGAAAGTGGGCCGACACCCATCGCAGCGTACCATCGCCTCCTTAGGCAGAGGTTTGGTGCAAATGGCTCTGGCTGTATAGACTGGATGGGTAAATATTCCGTACCTTGAGATGCCCTGGCTGGAATTTCGGGGCTTAACAACTCATCAGCCGAAGATTGCAGCATAGCTACAATAATGAAAATAGAAACCAACAAGAGGAAGGTTGGTGTGAAGGTCAACTCTCAGATCAATCAGTGTGATTCTCTCATCGTCGTATGCATATAGGCAGTGAAGGTGATGTCCTAAAAAGAAAATAAGGCCACATGGTTCTTCCACGTGACCGTACGTATATGCTAGAAATAGAACAGTAATAGCGCCGAGTCTTGGTCATCCCGGGCGGATGGCCACGCCGCCCTCACCCATCCACCTCCGTGGAAGAACGGCTTAGTACCATGTAGTAGTGAGGTCGTATGCAGTGCGACTATAGCAAAGACAGCGCAAGGAGGCCAATCTAGAACAGGGTGTATTTTCCCTCTCTTCCTTTCCCCAACCTTAATCGAGCTTTTATGGAGTGTTGATTTTTTTACTGGTTCTTCCGCCTTGAGTATCGAACGATTTGTTCGCGCCATCATCTGATTATCGTACGATTTTGTCGAGACTTACTCGGGTCCCCGGGGTGCATGCAAGCATCCTTGTAGCGGACAAAGACTATAAGACCAACACTCGCCGGTCCCTCGTCCTCCAACTTATCAAGTTTCCCTCCTTTCTCTCTTTTATTTTCTCTTTACTCTGTTCACTTTTGCTGAAATCTGGCGTTCCCATTTTTTAGGGGTCAAATGTCGACTCGCCTTCAGGGCAAGCCGCCAAACGGCCATCATGTTGTCGTTCCCTTCCACTCGAAACACACTCAAGTCACACGTTTCCGGCAAGCATTGAACATTTAGACATGGCGCCTTCAGAGGCATTAATTCATATGGTACAACATGGCCCTCTAAACCCCCTCCCCTTTCCTCCAGATACCTACCCACCCATAAACCAATTTCAAATCCGCCCAACTCCCCCGCCCCCTCAGTATTCGGCACAAATTCGACTGTCGTGCGTGAGCGAGCCTCTCACGTCGGCGTGTACGTAGTTTGGGGCGTCGTAGAAAGGCTCATCCGTGGGGGCCTTCGTAAATCGGTGCGGGGTCGCCGCCTCGAGAAAAATGAGGCGTGAGAAATGTCCCCGTCGCCGTCGTGCTGTAGTGCCGTGCTGCCCCCGGTGGGCTTCCGTCGACGTGTCCCCTTGCTCGATTCGGTCGCTGCGTTCGTTCAGGCCACGCTGTCGGACCCTACTATGGCCGTGACCTATCACGTCGTTAATATTCCAAGCACCAATTTAAACTTTTATGGCTTTTCTTTGCTTCTTTTGATGGTATGAAACACCCCAGAACGACAACAATAACAAAAAACACCGCTTCAAAACTCCGTAATTCAGAGAGAGAAAGTGTAAAAGAAAGGATATCAAAACAGCGAATAATTATAAAAGACAAAGAATGAAAAGAAGAGGAGTCGCGCGGCCCATTTCCTAGTAGGCTCGCAGCTTTGATTCTACCTTTTTCGCGAACCGCCTCAGGCATCCCTCCATACCCTCTGCATCCTCTATGCAGTGCCAGTGTCCTACGCCGAAGAGGACCTCGAGCTCCGTCTTGGACGGGGCTCCCCACCTGTTGTCATGCAGGGCACTCGTTAGCAAAAAGAACGTCGCATATGCAGACAGCCCCTCCCGTGTGTGTGGTGTGGAGTCTTGTGGGGTGGGATTTGGTTGTAGAGGGAGGGTAAGTTTCTCGGGGGGGGGGGGGGGGGAAGGAATGGATCCTTGGTAGCGCATGAAAACTCTCTTTCTTTCCTTTTTCTGGAAAGAGAAAAGAGAATGGGGGAGGGGGAGGGGGACAAAAAAGAGATGGGGGAAACATGCTCATCTCCTATCAAGGCCAAATCCTCCAGACGGGCGACCTGGTCCTCCTGTCCAGCGACGCACAGAAGAGGACAGGTGATCTTGTTGTACTGGGGAACGGGCGCATCGGCGATGGCCTGGGAGAGCGACTTGTAGGCGTCGGCATTGGATGACTGGATGAGTGATCGGACAAAGGCCTCGGCGGTCCTGGTGGCCTTGGATCCTGTTGCCCGCGTGGGTATGTCTACCGAGTTGACGATGCCCTCCAGTCCATCTATATATATACACACCAAAACGGCTCCTGTCAGCTTTCATAGTACCGAAATTGAATGGAACGGGCGAGAAATATGAAGGGCTTGGACTGACCCTGCTCAATGACAGCGACTCTGTGCTCAAAGGCCTCCTTGGTCTCAGGGCCCGGGCAGATAGGGCCGACGGAAACAACGCCGGCAACCTGGTGCTTGACGGCAATCTCGCAGCAGACGATGCCGGCCATGGAAGAGCCGATGATGATAGTCCGGTCCAGGGACTTTCCGAGACTCTCGAGCAGCGTGATGCAGTCGTCTGCGATCTCTTCGAGAGTGTGAGGCTTGCCGTGGTATGGTGACTGGCCGAATCCTATAGTGAGGGTGGGGGGGAGAGGTCGTGCTCAGTCAGTCTTTCGCGGTTCCCGGAGGAAGGAGGGGCAAAGTCGAAGGAGGGGTTGGTGCTCTCTCCTCTGAGAGGTGATGATATGTTCTCATCTCGGACTGAACCTACCTGGAACATCAATGGCCAGACACGAGAAGCCAGCATCGACGAGGTCAGGAATGACGGGCGACCAAAAGCTGTGAGCACTTCCGAGACCGTGGATGAAGTACAGCGTAAGGCCTGCCCTGCTGGCGGGCTTCCAGCTGTAGAATAGCGTCTTGCCGTTGATCTCTGTAAAAGGCATGATGGCTGAGTTTCTGTCTTCTTCTTCTTCTTCTTTCCGTCTTTTCGGTTTGCTCTGGTTTTTTTTTTTTTTTGTTGTCTTTTCCACTGTCACTGCTTCTCTCCTTTTTGTTGTTGTTCCTTGACGTAACTTATTGGGGGGGGGGTAGCGGTCAAAGACATGCAGGTGAGACAATGAATCAGAAGAAGAAAGGAAGAATTACTGTAGGGCTGTGCCTCCTGCAGTGTCAGGAAAAAAGTGACAGGGCCCAATTAAGGAGGGGGGTTTATACAGTAGTACACAGGGACTGGCTATCACCCTCTAGCCCAAAACAGGGGCATACGAGGCGTGAGCGCTGGTACTGTTTTGACATAGTCCACAGGCCGGCTCCAGCTCCCAGTTCTTCCCCCCTCCTCTCCCCGACCCTAACGCTGTCTACTACGTCTTCCCTGTCTCGTTGGAAGCCAGCCTGACCCGGCCTGGCCCTGAACTGACCTGACTTGAGAACTTGGGACTATTGAGTTCAGGGACTGGAGGGTTCGCCGACAGGGATTTGGGCCTCGAGCCTCTTCTCTCAATTTGTCTCTCATTATTTTCGCTCACTCTCTCACACACACACCTTCACACTTACTCTTCGTGCCCAATCTCATAATGTTCAGGGGTTTTTCTTCTTCTAAGTCATTATCAATCCATCTTTGCATCGCACCCCAGGTCGAGCAAGGCCCACGCAGTGTCTTAGCGTTCCAGCAAGGGTCTTTGACTGCACGAATCAAAGAGGCACACCTCATGCGAGGATTGCATGTTAATTACTATGGCATGTTGTAAGTATTGCGGTTAATATCGCACACATTGCAACTCCCAAGATTCTCCTAGAAGCCCGCGCGCGCCCTCCTCGACTTGCGCCCTCCAAAGGACCATAAAATCAGAATAATCCATTCTAGCAAATTTCCACAAAGGCCGCTGGACTCGTCTGGAATTAAAAGAACCCCACCACCAACCCGCCCTTCCTCTGTTTCTCATGACTTCCTCGTGGCTGCTCAACATCACCTGATAAAAAGAATCGAGACCTCCAGGCTAAGGAAGGCGGGCCGCGGAGGCCCCGTGCACTTGGCTGGACTATGGGCTTCTCACCACAGGCTTTTGTGCCCAGTGGATGAGGACTCGCTAGGGATTCCCTGGCACCAAGTTTCAACGGCAAAACTATGGTTCGCACGAAAGCCACACTCCGAGGGCGCGGAGCAAAACTGAGCGAGAGAGGTGGTCCGTTCGTGATTACACAACACACACACAAAGGAACCCCTTTGGGTCTGAATATTATAGTGGGACAATGAGAAAGAGAATCACCAATCCTCCCTCCAGCGCAGGACTGGATCCACCATTGTGGGATAAGCAAGCTTGGCAAAGGAGGGTCTGACAGCCCCCTCTGGAGAAAGTGATGGCTCGCTTGGAGGTTCCTCCCTTGAGATTACGACCCTTCACCTCCGCGAGTCAGTGCGCCTTGTCGTGGGATTCCAGCCGAGGTTCCACGCGAGCTATTCTTCCCACCCTTTCCAGAACGTACTACTACGATGTATAGTGCGCCGTTAAATTAATTCCTCTGGTATCATCAGAGAATTATCTCGCTTTTGTTCCGTGCTTACGATGGATGCGTCATGTCGTTATCGAGCACCACGCCAGCAGGGCACGGGGCATCGACTTTTTGATGATATTGGCATCCGGCGAAAATGGACCGCTATATTACCATGCTGAATTACCATGGCACATATCAAATTTGTCAAGAGGACACCCTCGAGCTTAACGCTCGGTCCCTGGGTGATGTTCATAGACGATCAAGGATGACCGCAGCAGATTGACGAGCTTACTATCTATAGCCAGAAAGGGGATTCGTGTGTGCAGAAAGCAGAGACAGAACTGATAAGATGAGAGGAGAGAGAGCTCAGAGTCAGGAACACACAGAGCTTACACTTCTGCCTTGTCGCTCCATAAAACCTGACAAAAACCTGATTCCAGCTGCTGATCTTCTGCTAATTCACCACAGTAAACCTGGGTAGTACTACTCTTTTACGTGAACGGGACAGTGAGGAGAAATTGAAAAATAAAAAACGACAAAGACTCAACAGAAGTTTTCGTCGACTTTTTTTTATTCTTTTCTTTTTTTAACCTTAACTCGGACAAATGCATACATATGTCCGCCTCTGTCATCCTAGCAGGCGCCACGTGCTCTATTGCAGACTACATACTTGGTAAGTGCCAGTCCACGCCCCAACCTAGTGCCCTGTCGAGGGCCAAGGCAAACCATTTCCAGGGCGGCTTTAGTTAGCGCTCGGCGTGGGTATTGTATAGCACGGGCTGGTGGGAACAATCATGAAGGCCCAGAATGTCTTCGCCGCCTTCGCTAGCCGGCTGTCTGTCCTTTCGGGGCAGAAGAACGTAACCGACCTGCTGGATTTAGCTGTGGAGTAGACCCAGCAGTTCAAGAGGAGTCAGCTTTATATGGTCAACTTTCGTTGGACGTCGAGTTGCTTCCCTGTCACTTATCTGCATCTGAGGCTCGTGTGCTTCGGGGTCTACCCATAAGGCCGTCCCCCAACTTTCGTACGCATTCTGCCCAACATGGAGCGAAACACCAACCGAAGCATAGTCCTTTCATCATGCTCTGAACAGCATATTGCTGCTTGTTGCTAAACGGCTACGCAATGGCGTGTTTTGGATCTGTCGATCTTTCTGTGTGTGGATATCAAGGTTGATTATGAGCTGGTTTCCTGCTCAATTGTAAGCAATTCTTGGCAAATCTCTACCGCGTACGTGATGTGACAAACCTTAAGCATCTTGTCACATGGGGGAGTGTCCAACTGTAAATATGAGCACGAAAGCCTTATCCTGATTGGTTCGCGAGTATCGGCCAATTGCTCCCGCCTCCAATTCGATGCAAGACGAGGGCGAGAGAGAAGTAGTGGACATAGCCCAAGGATCTGATGTTGCCGGTTACTGGGTATGAATATACATCTATATATCCTGATCCTTCTCTTCCTTTTCCCGAATTGTGTTGTTTTCTTTCGGAGGTACAACTTCAAGTGACCGCCAGGGCTGCTCGAGCGCAATTGGAGCGGTTCAGGACGTCGTATTTGACCACAATGGTTCATAGTGTTTACTCCTATTGCAAGTCGAGCAGAGAATGTTCTGGAAGATGACTTTGAGAAACAAAGAAATTATTCATCGTCCCATAGCCGTCGGCTTGTAGCAATGACGCGAGGCAGATCTACAATAGAACGAAAAATCAGAGAAGAGTCAAAAGACAACATGTGCAAGAGTTTGAACCAGTTTATGAAGACCACCATACAGACCACACCATCTCAGTTATTACTATGATTGGCATTCATGTTTATGCCCTTCTCATACAGTGCATTGGTTGATAGTGACTGATTATCGTCTTCCAAACTTCTACATTAATTAAAGGATCTCTCGCGTTAGACAAGCATTGTTTTCAATACACACACGTATTCGCTAGGAGAATCAACTGAGGGTTTCAACCTTTGGCCTAAGTATGATACTTATTAACCCATTTCGTCTGATCATGGTCCACCAACCTATGAGCAGCATCATCAGAACCAAGCTGTTACGACAATGTGTTATAATAACAAGTAGTAGTGATGTCACAACTTCATTGCAATGAACATTGAATACAAATTACATTCTAGTTGTTTACTTAGACTATATACAAGATCGCGGATCTATGCTTATTTACGCGTACCCCCCCCCCCCCCTTTTTTTTTTTCTCTCTCTCTTCTTTCACTCCCCGTCCCTGCTGTCCACTGTTTGTCCTGCATCTTGCGGCAGAGACAGAAACAGAAAAGACACATTAGCTGCTGCCAAATTTGCGCACAGTGGCGTCCAGCGCCTTGGCAAAGTACTCGACATTATTGTCGTTCAGGCCAGCGATCGATATCCGCGACGTGCTTGCCATGTAGACATGATGAATCTCTGTAGTTCAAACCTGTCAACAACCATCAAGTTTGGAGTGGGAAGTGGCAGTAATTGATCTTCCCAACTTACTCTCGAGATGTACGACTTGGGCGGGCTCAATGCCCAGGTAGCCAAACATGCCAGTCTGCTTCACGACATGCTCCCAGCTGCCGGGCGTGCCCAGCCTGGTCAGCTCCTGAAACAGACGCCCTCGCATCTTCAGGATGCGCCCACTCATGGTGATCAGGTCCTGGGCCCACTGCTTCCTGATGTCGGACGAACCCAGCACGGCCTGAGCAATGCTTGCGCCATACAGAGGCGGGGTACTGATGGTGGCGCGCTGGGCGTTCTCGAGAATACTCTGAATGGTGGCGGCCAGGCTGTCGGCAGCGGCGACAAAAAGCACAGCGCCGACGCGTTCGCCATAGAGGCCCATTGACTTGGCAAATGAGAGGCAGATGGCAGCCTCGAGGCCGAGGTCATCGATGAAGTGGCGCACAGCCCAGGCATCCTCGTCGACAGAGCCCGAGTTGAAACCGAGGTAGGCAGCGTCAAAGATAGGGAAGATGGCCCGGGCGCGCACGACGTCGGCGATCTCACGCCACTGCTCGCGCGTGGGGTCGCAGCCCGTGGGGTTATGGGCGCAGGCATGGAGGACAACGGCGGAATTGGGCTCTGCGGCGCTGAGGGCGGCCAGGAAGGCCTCGTGGTCGTAAGCGCGGGTCTCGTTGTTGTAGTAAGGCGCCCAGTGCACGCGGAAGCCCATGGTGTCGAAGAGAAGCTCGTGGTTGGGCCAGGTAGGCGAGGTGATGTAAATGTTGTGGATATTGGTGTTGGCTTTCTTAAGGGTCATGCCGGCGAGAAGGAGGGCGCCTGTGCCTGAAAGCGACTGAACACCTGCTATCTGGTTGGGGGGGTTTGTCCGTCTTAGATTCTCTCCTCTCAGCTCGAGACAACAAAGAAAAAAGATCACTCACTCTGCGCTCTGCTAATGCCCGCGAGCCGTGGAAGAGCAGCTCAACCGATGCGTCGCGAAAGGCCCTGTGGCCCATCATGGGGAGGTACTCGTGATCGGCGCCGGCGATCTTCTTCTTGGCCATCTGAACGGACGGCAAGACCCAGGGCCTGCCATTCTCATCGCGGTAGGCACCCACACAGACGTTGATCTTGTCTGGGGAGTCGTCGGCGTTGTAGCGCCGGAGCACTTCAAAGATGCCGTCGGGCTCGACAGACTCGGCGGCGTCGAAGTAGGAGTTGTGGCTGACGGATCCCATCTCAGGTTCTGTTCGGTGTGGAAGCAAGGTACTCTTTGCAGGTGGCTGGGTTCTCTCGGTGTGTGCGTGCACGTGTGTGTCAATTTCTTTGCTCACCGGGATGATCTCGGGGTGCTGTCTCGGGAACGTTGGAATAGTGTTTTTATTGTCTAGCATTGACTGCGGATATCAGCGGCAAACAATTTTCTTTGAGTGGGACCCCGTTCGCCGCACGCCCCAGCGATCCAAGTGTCATGTCATCGCATCGTGATGGGGGCGTCAGAAGTCGCCTTGGGCGCCGACCTCGGCCACATAGAAAACTTCGAAGGATTCTTTGAGAAGGACTGGATGCATTACACCCCATTGGATGAGGCCAAACCTGCAGCCCACGATGCCATGTTCCATCCACGCTCCATAATCTGTCCCACTCTGCATGACGGGCGGTCAATCAGAGTGTTCGGCTTGGGCCAGGGACGGGGCGGGTCATCAATCGAAGGGTTAGGGTTTCCAGTCCACCGTCATGGGTCAGTATTTGTCCTTGCAGAGTGCATAAGCACGACCTGACTGTTGTAAGTAGGAGTATTGGAATGTCCGATGTTTCGACAAGATACTTCATCGCTGATGGGCTTTCGCAAGGTTGTCTGGTTATAATACGCTGCAGTGGTAGGTGAAAGTCGAGGTCGTTGGCCTTGGGTTGTTGAGTTGCTGTCCTCCAAAAGTCCTCGAGTCTTTGCCTGCCTGGCCTTGGTTTCCCTCTCCTTTCCACCAACAGCTGATTTCATCGACAAAATGTCCTGATCAGCTTCCGTCGTGCGACCCACTGCCAGCGGGCCGGGGCCACGGAAGCGGAGTTGGCTAAGACGTGCGGAACCCTTCCGCCAAAGCCGAGCTTCCGAGTCCCGCAAGCGCGGATGCTGACGCCGCTACTCGGGTTGCCTCCAGACAGGCCAGTTGAGATACCTGACAAGGCGCTGGAAATGGTCAGCAAACATCTCGGCTGTCTGGTCCTTTCTTTTGACTGCTTCGGCGAGCGTCGAGCAGATGCGCCGGGTCACCCCATACACAGCGTCATACGCCGGGCTGTCACCCGTCGCGGTAGTCGGAAGATACTCTTTCGCGCAACGCTCGACTTCAGCCTCATCGTCGCGCTTCTCCCAGTCGACAAAGGGTGTTAGCAGACGCTGAGCGACCTCACGAGACGCTTCGACAGGCTTGTCGCCCGATCTGGCCAAAAAGGCGACCTTGTCGGCGTACCTGGCCACGGTTTGGTCGACAACTCTCTGCCAGTCGTGCGTAGCAGCACTGGGCTTCTGGCCGAGGATGAGTCTCTCGATGTCGTAGCGGACTGGGTCGAGTTTCTGGCTGGCGATGTGGATCAGGCGGGGGACATGGTGTGTTCCTGACGAGGCCCTGTTAGCTATCGCGGGTCGGATCTGTGGGACCTGCACTCCCCCCTACCCTCTTTCTCAAGTAGTCCACGGCCCCCGTGATCAAACAAGTCCAGTCCATATGCATACGCAGAGACAAAATAATCGAAGTTTGCCGTTGCACTGCGAACTCCGATGCCGCCAGACCTAGAGATTCCTGAGCCCGGCGGGCCTTGGCCTCGTCTGTGACCACCAACAGTGGCATTCGTTCGCACTCTCCTCACAAACTCGAGCCCCTCCTCGAAGCTGCACAGGATAACCTCAAAGTCGCCACCTAGCCGCATCAGCCCGTCGACCCGTCCCCGCCACTGGTCACTCGCAAACTTGCAGAATGTCTGCGCACGCTGATACTCGGCCTCGACGCCACCAGAGGTCGTGTCGTTCAGAACGATGCGGTCGCCAAAGTCAAGGGTACCATCCTGGCCCTTGGAAGCGGAGTGTCCATCAATGTAGAGCAAGTTGAGGTCTTTGATCGTGTTGTACGTGTGGAGCCAGCCAGCTAGACCGTCGCCTCCGTCGTCTTGGTCGGTCATGCCGGCGGGAGCAGGGCCTGGTTGTATGACTTTCTGGTACTCTTCGCCGTCGATGCTATTACGTCGGCGTCCAGGTTCATGGCCACCTTCTCCCAACCGTCGACTACCACGGCGTTTCCGAGCGAATACAAGTGAGAACTCGGGATCGAGGGCCAGAAACTCGGTGCCGTTGACGATTTCTGGTCCAGGATTGCCATGATACAGCAGCGTGCCTTTGGGGATGTTCGCCAGAAATGCAGACATGCCATTGCCACCGGCGTTGACGGAAGAATCCCATTTCCTCAGCGCAGAGTAAATTGCATTGAAAATATGGCTGTTCGCTAGACCCTCGCGATGGCCATCGAAGCCCAAGACAGCTTGAATGCTGATCAACAGCGCCAGACAAACTCTGTGCCCCTTCATTGCGCAGGTTAGGGACGGAAAAGGGACAGAGGCAGGTCGATCTCATGAGTGGATGCAGGATGAGTCCTGTGTTGTATGGGCCGTTTGAGGGTACCATCTGTCTGTAAGGTGGCATTTCAACGTGCCTGATACCTCCGAGACCGAAGGGGTCCGCTCGGCGTTGCGGGTTGATCTTATCTGATCCATCATGTTGAGCTGATTGGCTGGTAACAGCTACCTACGCCCCGAGGACCTCCATGGCAGACCATATTTGTGTTCGTCGTCGTCGTCGTCGTCGTCGTTGTCGACTTGTTGATGCTGGTGTCTAAAAGCCGTCTTTTCTTGCCTTGACAGAAAGATGTCATTTCAACGTAAAGGCGCGCTATACTTCTGTGTGGTGATGTGATAACCTTGGCAGGCAGACATCGCGTGAGGGAGGATGAATTCAGGTCCCCATCGCAGGAGAGCGCCATCCTCGCACCTTCCAAGTGCCGAAATAGGCTTGGATGAGCTACGGTACTCAGATTGAGAAGGTGCGTTCTGACCTGGAGAGTAACATACGATGAACATGGTTCACGTTCCATGGTTACATAATCAGATCAAATATATACCTGGGGGATTACATAATCTCGCAGCTTCCTCTGCTCTCTCAAGCCCAGCTTCTGACTTGGAGCTTTTACTTCTCTACACATCACATTGCTTCCATCGCCAACTTCTTTGTCTTTCATATAGTTATGCGGCAAGCCTGTTCCGCATTGCATTCTCGCGGGAACCATTTCTTCGGCTTGAGATCCATTTCGAGTTCCGCCTTCTCCACCAGCGCACGCCTCCAGCCATAATGTCATCATCTCGACCAGAAACGCTTTACATCTTGTCGAAACAATTGATGTCCGACACGTAATTTCGTACTCATTACCGCAGTCACTGGATTCTATGGCGAGTACTTTGGGCTTGGGATGTCTGGGCCCCGAGCTCAGTCAACATACCATAATTCCGTGCTCTGAGGAGATCGCCGCAACACAACAGGACTCTTGTGTGGTGCAACTATCGGCTAGAGAGAGTCACGACCTTGTCACAGATTTCTTCAACGGCCAGAACGGCGTGATTCTTGTCGGAGGCTTCCTCGCCGTGGACGAGAGACGGTCGTCTCTCCGCCACGATCTATTGGCAGACCAGCTATCGAATCTGACTTTCGGAGTCTTTGAGAAGCAGGAAGGTTTTATCAAGGCTCTGCGTGCATCTGCATTACCGTCTTCCTATGTGCTTATGTCACCGCTTCCCTCCTTGCCCCAGCCAAACCTTTTGGGTGCGATTGCGCAGCACACTCGTCCGAGAAGCGACGGCAGGGAGGCTGTTGACTTATTTGGTCCCTCGAGAACTCTGGAGTCTCCCTTCGAAGATGTATGCAGATTGATGGAGAGTCTGCATGAGCAACGATTGTTGGATATGCAAGCCGGGCGCCACCCTTCTGTTTCCGTCTATCGGCTCATGAAGATCCCTCGAGACGAAAATTTAGTACGCCTTGGTAGAATCACTCGCACAGAACTTGTACGGAAGCAGCAAGAGAAGTTGTCGAACTATGCCCGTGTCACTGATACCCTCACTGCAAACTGTTGTATTCATGGTTCCATGTGAATCAACTCGGCTTCCTCATCGCCCCCACCTTCTTTTTCTTCTTCTCTTCAAGTCACCTGTCATATCATCCTGGTGCACCAGTCTTGGAGGATGATTATCTAGCTGTGACCTTGCTGATCATCGATATTGAGTAGCCATGAGAACCTAGGTCTACAACCTCGCGCGGCCCACGATCGATGTGGTACCTGCTCGACCTGTCTAGGTCAGCAGGCGGTACTACCGAGGTGGTCGCCTCCCAAGGTGGATGAGATCAATGTCACAAAGGTAACGCAAGCGGTGCCACGAGGGTCAAGTCCAAAGTTGATGGCCAAGTTTGCCATGAGCGTCGCGTCGAGGCAGATACGGAAACTTTAATTGACAAAGCACCTGGATCTCGCATGTATGCGAGGCTGTATATTCAGAGTTGGTCTCCTTATGCCCCTATCCAGCACCTGATTCTTGTGATGTGGGCTTCACAAGGCTCTCCCACTACTGACTGCTCCTAGCAACCCCGGCCCATTATACTAGCTAACGTTTGGCTATGGGATTTAATGACGGTCTTTTAACGTGTACTGTGGAATACCGAAAGACCAATGTGATCTCTGGATCCCTGTCCCTTCTTCTTTGGCGGTGGCCAACGCCTTGTCGGAAGCCTAAGGGGATTGAGCAAGCCAAGTGCCATGCGCTATCCACTTGAGAAACGCGGGTATACGGATAAACCATCGGATTCGTGCGAGCCTTCTGCACCTCTGCTTCGCATCTGGGTTTGCCTGGCGAGGTGGAGAAACCGTCTGAGGGGTTTCACTCCGATGGCGGTGCCGCCACTCCCTTCAGTTCGTTATCCGTCCACTGCATCAAGGCTTCTTTCATCTCATCATCTCTGGCAGTCGCGCCCTCCTTGTCGGGCACACCGACAGGCTCATAATATTTCCCACTGACTACATTGGGGCTCGTCGCCGTCCACAAATGATTTCGGGCACCCTCGTCCGGGTCCACACTGAGGAACGGAGCGAGGGGTGCAGTCAACCGGACAAGAAGGCTTTCTTTGCCCAATTCGGTTCCCATCCCGGTGTTGACCCTCCCAGGGTGAAGTGCGACGATATCGATCTCCGGGTGAAGCTTGGCGAGGTGCTTGGTGAGATGGATGAGCGCCAGCTTGCTCTGACCGTACCTCCTCAGGTAACCCTTCAGAAGTGTCAGTATTCTGGGTCTCAGGCACGCAACACCACGTCATCATTTCCGGCTCTCGAGATGAGGACCTACCATATCTGCGCAGTCGCTCTTCACCTTGTCGAAGAGTATCCCTCCCTTGGGTGCCATAGCCCATCCTTCGCTGCTTACGATCACGAGCCGGCCCCGCCTGGTGGTGGTATCGCCTTCACCCTGCTGCTGCTGCTGCTGCTTGGCCGTGCGTAGCATCACCGGCATCAACAACCTGGTCAAGAGTGCATGGCCAACGTAGTTGATCCCAAAATGGCTCTCGTACCCTTCCTTCGTGACGCCTGGCTTGACGCGGATGATGCCTGCATTCAGGATCATGAGGTCCAGCCTGTCCTCCTTGCTCGTGAAGTTGGCCGCGCACTGCTGCACGCTCTCGAATGAGCCCAGGTCGAGATCCAAGAACCGTATCTCGGTCTTGTTTCCACCCTCCTTCGCAGCGCCCACCCCCTCTTTCCCCTCGTCCCCATAGGCGTCCTTCGTGATCCGAGCTACAACCGCCTCTCTACCGCCCTCGTCCCGCGGGGGCAGGTCTGCCACATAGATCCGAGCGGGGCGGCCGTACTTTGCCAGCTGCGTCGCTGTCACGCGACCCAGATCCCCTGCGGCTCCAGTGATCAAAACGACCCTGTCGGCCAAGGACGGGATGTCGCGGGCCGGCTCGAAGGAGGCAGGGTTGTGCTCACTCTTGGACCCGAAGATGGTCACGCGCATCATGTTGCGAAACTCCTCCATAATGAAAAAAGAATAAGAACAGTACTGGAAGAAAGGGCGAAAATAAGGTAAAGATAGAAATGAATACAAGAGAAGATGGATGATGTCAAGATAATGGGCACACGAGACGCTTTTGTTTTTTTTACTTGAGCCTTTTCTCTCAGACACACATACACACACAGAGACTAGGGAAAGGGGGGGTTGGCAGATCTAGCGCTCTGCGGTCATTTGGGCTGTAGTCGCGAGTTGAAGAGATGAACGCGCAACCTGCGACGGCCAAGGTGGGACCGCCGCATTTCTTTCGAGCTCCATCAAGAAAGGCCTAGGTCGCCATCGCGGATACGAATACGATCACGGTACTGGTGATTTAAAGGGCAGATCAATGCAAGTGACTACTCACCAGCACTAATTGTCTGTCTTTGTTCCCCGCGTTACGTCGGGAGGGCGGTTGGGAATAGCACAATCAGTACTTATAGGTATCTTAATCTTCTAGTGCTAACAAGGGTTCAACTAGGAGATAGGGTAATTGTGTAATATAAGCCACTTTTACAATGATTCGTTTGTATATCAACCTTTTTGGGAACATGCACTGCGTACAAGTCACCTTGTTACAGTCATGAAACGTTCTTCATTGGACTTCTTTTGGTATTACCCAGACAAGACGCTGAGACATGGCTTTTCCTGTTGCAAAAACTTCAATTTACCCTCCCAAGAAGCTACAACTGCCTGATTGATGAATTGCTGTGCTTGATTTATCGGATGTCTATCAGCATTCGGGCTTTGCAATGCATCTTATTTACGAAATGCTGGATCTATTTCATCATCTACCGACGCTTCGGCATTTCCTTGAACCTGACAAGCCGGTGGCATGACAAAAGAGGGGGATGATCTTCATGCTGCTTATTGGAGGAGAACCCCAACGGGGTAGACGCAGTGGTGCGTAGATGGCAGATCGAATGCATGCGGAGGAACCCTGCCTATAATCAGCACCTCATTGTAAGGTGTGGGCTGCTAGTATCATGGTCCAAGACGGCTTCAACGATGGGATTTTGTACTGTGCTTACATGATTGTCATCCATGTGTCCTTCTCTTTGGAAGGCTGTCGGGGCTGCAATAAGTCGCCCACTCCTCCTTTAAACTTTAGTGAAGTCACTCCTGGCTTGTCTATTATTATATGACCCTCCATCTGTCGTCGACATGGGTACAGGCCAGAGCAGATATGCCAACGCTGAGCTGAACACCACCGTGTCCTGGTCCACCACGTCCTGGACCTTGACCCTGATCCTCTTCCTGACCGTCTCATGTCTCATTCAAGCCATCCGCAATCGCTTCCGTCCCTCCCTGCGCAGGATCCCGGGACCCTTTCTCGCAAGAATCGCCGACCTTGACCGGGTATGGAGCTGCGCACGCGGGGAACAGATGAACTACCACCGCCGGCTCCACGACAAGTACGGCCCTGTAGTGCGTGTGGGACCAAACCACGTCTCCTTCTCAGACGGTAGCCTGATCCCCCAGCTCTATGGGTTCGGCAGCAAGTTTGCGAAAAGTGATTTCTACAAGATGTTTGATATTCGCACCAGAGCAGCAGCGAGCAAGGGCTCGACGATGACGACAACGACCTTCTCTGAGCGCGACGAGCTGCGCCACCGCGCCTTGAAGAGACCCGTCGGCGCCGCCTTCTCGATGAGCACGATGAAGGAGCTCGAGCCCCTGAACGACGTCTGCTCCGCCATCCTGACTCGGAAGCTCGAGGGCTTGGTCGGCCGGGACACAGACCTCGGCGACTGGGTGCACTGGTACGCCTGGGATGTCATCTCCTCCATCACCTTCTCGCACCGGCTCGGGTTCCTGGACCGGGAGACGGACATCCACGGCATCAACCGCGCCATCCAGGGGCGGCTGGTGTATAACAGCGTGATCGGGCAGGTTCCGTATCTGCACGGTCTGCTTTTTGGAAACGCCTTGTTCAGCTGGCTTGCTGGGTTTGTGCCGCGGCTTGCGGTTCTGAACTCGTCGAGCTACATTGTGGATTTTACGAGGGAACAGTTGCGGCGGTATCAGGACAAGGAGAGCAATACGGTCGAGGCGAAGGATCTTCTTTCGCGGTTCAAGCGGTTCAGGGATGGGGAGCAGGTTATGAGCGACGCGGAGTTGCTCATGCATGCTTCTGGCAGCGTGTGAGTGGAAGGCTTTGATTATCTTTCCTTCGTGAACGATTTGGCTTGAGAACTGACGTAATATATGCTACTTACTCGATCCATTTATAGCTTTGCTGGCAGCGATACCACGGCCATCTCCCTGCGGGCTCTGTTCTACTATCTCTGTCGGAACCCCGATTCCAAACGAAAACTCTTGGCAGAGATCGACGAGGCAGAAACCGCAGGTAGACTATCAGACCCGGTCACGTTCGCCGAGGCTCTGGAGCTTGAATATCTTCAAGCCATCATCAAGGAAGCTCTCCGTAAGCCTACCTTATTCACCCCTAAATTCACGAGAGCAGGTATTGTATACGGCTCTGGACTTTATAATTAAGGCTGAGCATGTCCCTCGTTTCCAGGTATACACCCAGCAGTCGGGCTTCTCCTTGAGCGGATCGTTCCTCCAGGAGGAACACAGCTGGGCGATGTCTGGCTCGAAGAGGGTACCGTGGTAGGTATTAACCCGTGGGTCGCCACTCGAGAGAAAGCTGTGTACGGGGAGGATGCGGACACCTTCCGGCCTGAGAGGTGGCTTGAGGCTGGGGAGAAGGAGTTGAAGCTGATGGAGCGGAACTTCTTGGCCGTCAGTAATTTCCTCAGTCCCTGTTTTTCTTTCCTTTCCCACGGTGTGAGCCTCTGGCTGTGGCCCATGCCTTACATCTTTGGGTCTTCCACGGCTAATAGTTGTTCATTCAGTTTGGCGGTGGAAGCAGGACTTGCCTGGGCAAGAATGTGTCTCTGCTGGAGATTTCCAAGTTGGTGCCGCAGCTCCTTCGGCAGTTTGACTTTGAACTCTCTTATCCTGAAAGGGAGTGGGAACTCTATGACTATTGGTTTGTCGCTCAGAAGGGGCTGATTTGCAGAGTGTCTCGCCGACAGAAAGAGGGATCGGTCTGAAGATCGCTTGATAATGTCATTGGAATACAAGTCACGACTAATAGAGCCAGGACAGTCTGTGCTTAGCTTCAGATTAATTCATCAAGAGACACTGCGCTGATGAATCACTCCTCAAAGTCAACACTGTTAGCCACAGCAGACAGTCCTTCAAGACACCCCTTCAGCTCCCCAATTCTCATCTCTAGCGCATCTATACTCTGAGCCCCAATGGGCAGTCTGAAGAAGTCCTTTGGCACCCCCTCAAACACACCTGTCCCATCGATAGCAGCCACAATCACCGCTGCCGCCCTCACTGGATCAACCTTGAAATTCCCGAGATCCGTAATAGCATGCATGACAGCTTCCACGCTCGTCCCCTTGTACTCCTCTCGCAGGTCCTTCCCCGCCTGGCTCTGGTCCTCGCCGTTCTGGACAAATGACGTCCGCATACCCGCTGGGCTCACCACCATCACACGAATCCCGAACTGCGCGACCTCGCCTGCCAGCGACAGCGAGAAGCTGTCGATCGCACTCTTGGAGGCTGCGTAGATAGACAGCATCGGCAGGGGAAGGAGCGCGTTTGAGCTGGAGATGTTGACGATATTGCCACCGCCGCCTTTGGCCCTCATAATAGGCACGGCGAGGCGCGAGAGGCGCATCGTGCCCCAGAAGTTGGTCTCGAGGATGTCCCGGGCGGCGTCCATATGGATGTCCTCGACGACGGAACCGACTGCGATGCCGGCGTTGTTGATGAGGGTGTCGAGACGGCCGTTGGGGAGGAGAGGGAGGATGGTGTTGTGGAACTGGGCTTCGAGAGTGGGAGAGGAGACGTTGAGAGCTGCCCACTGGCCACCGAGGTTGGTGATTTGTTGGACTTTGTCGGGGGTTTTGGACGGGTTGCGAGAGGTGGCGATGACTTTGTGTCCTGCTTTGAGGGCCGTGATGGCTATTTCGTAACCGAGGCCTGAGGAGCACCCAGTGATGAGATAGACTTTAGGAGTGGCCATAGTAGGAACTTAATGAGTCCAAGACTGTATCAGAGTATTAATGTGGTTTGTGATATTTGAAAAGCTTTATGGACGTTGCAGTGCTCGGACAAATGGTCCTTGATATGAATGCCTGCAATAACTGGTTTATCCCCCCTCTGAACCAAGTAGAGACCTCGTATTTATACACATTTCCAGCATCACAGTTACGAGGCATCAATATATCACTCTCAGCAATCTGGCCGTGAAAGAGGTCCGTTGGCTGATCCAAGCATATAGAGCCGGCCTGATTCTTCCTCCGCGTCGGTGCTGTGCGCCGCCGATACCGTGTTAGGACCAGGGGTCCAGATCGGATTGTCCACCGTAGCTCGGCCGACTCTTGTCAATAGCGTACTATGCGCGGCAGCCTGAGAGCTTGATTGTTTGAATTCAAAAAATTTCAAACACTTCCGAACAGATTTGACTGAGTATTGCCTGTATACTGGCTAATCATGTCTAAGATCCTTCACAGCAAATGATTGACATTGCTCCTCAGCAGATATGCCACACTGGGTTTACTTCAAATGATTACTGGATTCTGGTTTGTCCTTATTGTGAGCTCAGCCACTATAGAATCTGTGATGTCCAAAACATGAGGTTGGTAGATCCCTTGCCCCCAGAATACGCCTGTGCCAGGAAGCTTGCATGCTAGGTCCTGCTGCTTGAAGCAATAATGATTTCCTCGCATAGGGAGGTTACACGGGCTAGTCTGACATGTTGGGGAAGCGAAGAATAGTGCAAAGTCCCGATTTGGTCAGAGGACAAAGACAGTGTCAAAAGACATACAGCTGCCACATGTTGTTAAACCTGGCTTTTGTTCAAAGAATTCAGAAAGCAGCTGGATACCTGGAGACATTTTTGGCAAAGACTTTGTCCATGGTAGTTCTTACCCATTTGAACAGCTCTTCAAAGATCTTGTGCACCGGGAGTTGCATCCGCAAGGAGAAATTGGGGCCTTGTATGAAGAACAATACGATTGTCAAAATTATGGCTATTCTCTAGCTCATGATATAAATGTGAAGTCTCAGCACCACGTTCCCCCCCGGGAAATGAAGGTGCAACAACCACCCGTCATGCAAAGTCGAAGCTTCTAAGAGAAACTTCAGTTCCAAGGGATCTAGTCGAAGTGTTCCCTGTGACCTCCTGTTTAGTCGACCTTTATCTTGGCTCATTAGAAGCAGAGACCTTGTACTGACATTTTACTGACATTTTACACCATGGCTAAATGGGCTGGATCAAAGAAGCACTGGGTGATTAGGGGCGCAGGAACGCTCGAATCCCCAAAGGTCCTGGTGACCATGCCTGTCTCGTTGTATAACAGTGCTCATACAGGCCGAAAGGAGTACAATTACCGAATGGTTGAGAATGTGGCCCTCTCCATGGGGTTTACGCACGCCGAGATTGTACACTGGAACCACAACACCCAGTTTGAGCGGGACGCAGAGGGTCACAAGATCCTCGACCGGGACTGGAGCACGGGCAAGATGTGCGGGCGGCTGTCGCCTGCAGATGCCCACATCACGTGCAGCTTCAGGAACACCGCGAGGCCCCACGAGTACTTTACCGCGCACGTCTACGTCGTCGAGGACAAGTTCAACGTCCCACGGCAGCTGATGCCGGTGTCGGAGAGGCAGTATACTTCTCCCACCGACTGGGACTCGCCGCAATTTTGGCAGGTTTCTTTACGACACATCCCTTCTTACTACTCCGAGTTTGAGGATAGCGACTGCGAGAGTGATCCTTGGCCTGAAGGCTTTGGTGAGGATGCCATGCAGTGGCCGTTGTCGCCTGACATTATCGTCTTGAGCGGAGACTCGTCGGATGCTATATCCGTTTAGTGGATGGTGCTGAGACGTATAAACCTTGGCTCGACCACACTATGGACGAGGCCATGTGGCCATGTTGAGCATCCACATGTCTTGTTATATAGGTGAGTTCTCGAGGTTTTCTGCGTGTCGTACTAAGCAGACCGTGCATTGTATAGTAAATCCTTGATGGTTCGTTACTATCAACCGAGATGGTTGATGTGCGAAGAGAGTCTTTTTTGTCTGTTATTATATTGATAGACGATAGGATGAAGAGTATAAGCAGCACATACATAGCATAACTTAGGTTGTTCTTTATTCATGGTATGCGTAAATGGAACTGATTCAGTGCGACGTTATCCGTCGTGACAGACATGGGACATGGATCAGCCCCATTTAGCCTTCTCTTTTCCCTTGTATTGAAATCGTTTGCTCGGTACTGAACAAGACCGGATCTCAATATTGGAGTAGGTACTTAAGTAGAGATAAGTGGATGGCAATTCTGGCCATTGCAATTTGAATGTGTTCGCGCCGTCCCCACATTTTGAATACTGACCATTCCAGAGCTCATCAATAGTCATTCCTGTGCTGATTCAATGCGAAACTACGTGGGTCTCGTCTTTTACCATGTGATCTACGTTAATGCATTGACAATTTCATCTGGTATCGTAGATGGAACTTCCCAAGATGTTTCCCTGCTATATTTGAATAAGTTTTCAGGGTGTCTTTTTCCTGCGCTGTCGATCTCATCAGTGCAGATCTTTCTAGGTATCTTGTGGTTGGATCCCACTATGGCCTATGCATTCGTAGATCCTGGTCTTGACGACATGGGATGATCGAAGAATAGAACAGTTTGGAACCTCCAGGCTTGCAATCTATCCTAGACTGATTGAGGTCTGATCTGTGCGACGTGACCTGCTCTGGTGATGCGAGTCCCGGGGCACGAAGATCGGTTTGCCCTGCGACCGTTTACGGCCGTGCATTCAGTAGCATAGTAGCACTGGGAGATTATAGCAAACACCCAGTGCTACGTTGTGTTGATCTGCATGTAACAAGAGACGTGATTGTGCGCCGAGACGTTGTCTGCACAGTATTGAGTTGTTGTAAAGGGGCGAGAGAGATCCATTTCCCGGGAAGAAGAAATGAGTGGGAAAAAGAAAGAAAAGAAACATGAAAAGGGAAAAAGCAAGGTCATGTCAGATCAATCAGCAGCCATTGATACTATTTAAATGTTTTCCGATTTGGCCTTTGGCTTTGCTTTACTTGACAGTGGTGAGAGAGGAACCGAGAGAGGTCGATGTCAAGGCCAGGCCACCATGTCAGCATAAGGCGTGGTTGCTCCTTTCATTCTTGGCGCCTCCATCCCAAGACGTTTGTCTGATCTCCCGGCTGACCAATCGCAGCGAGTTTGTGCCTGTTATAAAATGGGTCCCTGCATTTTTAGGTGGCTGTCCGGGGCGGGCAGGGTCCAACGCTGCCGCCGTTGCCGGCTTGGCGTGCAGCGTGCATGCGTGCATAATTGGCGGCCCTGAAAAGTTTGTGAGCCAGTGGGCAGTGGCACCGCCTTAGTGGTATCTCGATGGCCTGCGTTAAGCCTAATGCACTGCAACTCTCCCGCTACGGCAATTAAAAAAGAGAAAAGCAAAAATAGGCGCCCCTCCAGAAGAAGGGAAAAAAAACCTCACCCCAGGGGCAATTTAGCTTTTGCTATGATGAAAAGCCCTTGCCGTTCTGAGCCCGAATCTGCAACGCTTCAGTAGGAGCAGGCCAAACACACACAGCCCCCAGCCCCCCCTGTTCCACCCCCCCAGCGTGCCCACCCCCCGGCGCCTTGCCCTGGTAGGCCCTGCTGGCAGAGTCATTCCCCTGACGACATTTCTCAGACAACTCCTTGATTTTCTGCCGCTTTCCCCGTCATCAGCCACAACTAATCCACCCCAACTCCAAACCGTGTTTTACCTTTCTTTCCCCCTTGTTGATGTTGGCCTTGCCTTGCATTGCTGCATTGCATCGTCTTCCTCCCTCTCGTTTTCCTTTTCCATCAATTGACAGCGGTGAGGCCTGTGGACCACAAGGTTAACCTTCTACCCACTCACTTTACTTGATCCTGACAGTGCCCACCTTTTTCTTCGTATCTTTTGACCTTTCTCGTCACGTTACTCTGTGTTGTGCTGCAGACGGACCAAAATCAGGGCCCTTGACAGCTGAGCTGCAGCGCTGCACGCATCAATTGCATCATCACTGGCACGATACGATACGATACGATACGATACGAAGTCGGTCTTCCCATCTGAGTATCAACCATCCAACAACTTCCACCCTCACGTCGACAACGTCCTCCATCAAGAAGTTTCGACGTTTCTTCCATCGTGACACCATTTACAGCATCCCTTTCTGAACCCTCACTCGCTGGGTTCTTTCCCCTACTTCACTTCAATCGTTTTTGGAGCGTTCGGCCCGCTCTTCGAAAGCCCTGGGGTAGATAGCAAACCGAGGCAGGCTGTGGACGGACCACCAGCAGGGACAATAAAAGTGTCAGGGCAGCGGCGATCGACGACGTGACTCGACACGAAGCTGAATCACCGCGAGCATCATCGACGCATACGCACCTCGATACCGTTCGTTTATTCAAGAGCAAAAGCACATACAAAGGGTCGAACCAGATAGGAACAGCTGGCCAAGATGGAGAGAACACACCCACGAGACATGCAGTCAATGGCAGTTCGCGCAGCAATCAAAAAGACACGGGACGCCGCAGCCGCTATGCACACCACTGCAGCATCATCACGTTCTACACACAGTCTCCTCACGCGCGGTGTGAGGATAGCTCGATCCCTCCTTACCACGCGATGTGTCCAGACAGAGAGTCTCAACACCTGTGAGAAGCCTGCTGCATCGTCGGGCACGGTTCTGGGAATAATTATTGCGTCTGGGTATGTTTGCCACGATGATGCCACTGCGCCTTGAACGTCGGTACCGATCAGGTCACCACTCCAACGTTTTCCCCACCTCACCAGTTCCCTTGTCCCCCACTATCATCTGCAGCCAACCAAGGTGAAAAGAAAGTATCCTGACCTTCTCTGCTTACAGAATTGTCGGTTTCTTCCTTGTCCTGGCCATCCTGTACTGGCTCCACCGCCGCGGTAAGAAGCGTGATGCAAACGAGTTCGCCAACGATCCCCACGAGCTTTCCGACTACGGTCTCGACGATGCACCTGTCACTAAGAAGGGCGGCAAGAGGGGAGACGGTCTGAGCGCACCCGACTTGCAGCAACACCGCCTGTCGGCACAACAGCTGATGGAGGCACAAAACCCCTTCGGCACCGGCGCCGAGCTGGCCGATTCGGACCGTGTCGAGAGCAAGGGCTCCCCGCCGCGGTATCCCGGAGACGCTCACGTAAAAGCGTAGGGTGTGAACAAAGCGCTCCGAGGGGCACTGGATGCTTGGGACAGGTCTTGGCGTGTTGAGAAGTCGTCCACGAGGTATCTAGGCACCACGGCGGCATAGGACAGGCGGCCGCGGGCGTACGACCTCGGTGTCGACCTGCTACCACCATATTCCAAGGGGAATTTCTCTGCAGCCACCAGACGTCCAGAACATACCTGGGCGCCAACGATAACACGGACCTTACCCATCTCGAGAATGGTGATACCTTGGAGGAGGTTCATGTGGAATACAATATCCGAAACACGAGGAAGATATGAGCTGCTCGGGGTGACACTTCTGGGCAGGATCTATCACATCTGCGGCCACGCCCATATTCGTGGCCGCAGCCGTTGAGGACAGCACAGCAGCCAGCTACAGCATTGCGAGTTTTTCCTCTCTCTTTGCCTTTGACTGCCTTTCATGATGCATACGGAGGGCCAGCCGATGATTTTTCTTTCTTTTTATATTTCCAAGGCGTTAACAGACGCTGTAGGGTTGGTCTGACTGGTCATTACCTCCCACTGGCTCTTTCATTCTCGCCGTGCGCCAGACTCTTCCATCAGGGGAAGAAAGGTGGGAGAGGAGGCATGGAGATGGGCACGCGCACATTGGTTTTTAGGGAGGTATGGACTGTCAATAAGGGCGTTGGTCAGATCATGGGAGTATGAGGTAACGAAGAAGCAATAATCAAGTTATTGACGTTATAACATCATCATTGTTGGTTCTGTGAAAAAGTTTTGAGTACAGCCGAGGCCGACACTGCTGCGGTTGAGCGTTTCATATAATTCTTCGAGTTCGTGGTGGGTGGTTGTAAGATTGTAGACTTGTACGTATGGCTGGGACGCCAATATCTTGCTCTGTTTATCTGCCTTGCTCGTCCAGTCGAGGATCCATCTTGTAGCCGGGCTACTATGGGAATCGCACCTTGGAATGATGCGGTGAATAGAACTGGTTAGTCGAGCTTCCATTCTGCCTCCTTTCAGAGTTTCTCTTCCTTTCATTCTTGGATTTGAAGGATACAGTGACTGAGCCCAATGAGCATAGTCGGAAACGGGCCAAGGTGTATATATGATTTCGTGCACATATCAAGTTGACTGTTGTCATGCTGATAGCATCTCAGTTTTTCACCAAGTTGAGAACGTGAGTACTGAGGTTTGGAGTTGAAGACGTCGAATTCCTGTTTTGGTCATTGCAGTGTGTATATTTGATTCATTCGATGACCTATTACATCTAGATACGCTTGTTTGAAGTATGTTTATTTGATTTGGCTCTGGCTTCATTCTAAAAATTAGGTACGTTTGTCGCGAGGCGGGTGCACGGCAAGTGAGCATGTCGAAGTAATCTTTCTATTTGGTTCGTGGTTTTGTCCATCCTATCTGCCTGTCTTTCTTGTTCTTGCCAGCCAAGAATCCAGGAAAGGCATAACACCGAACTATGAGGCGCAAGTCTATGTATAATTCTATCTAAACCCGAATACATAGGCTGGGCAAACGAGAGGTTATGTTGGACATGCCATTTGTGCCCCCTCTCCCTCACCCCACTTAAACGGTGCGAACGTTTGTTCCGCTTGCCCGATTTCTTCTGATATCGCATCCAAGAGTGTCCTGCAGGCGTCTAGGGCAACGTATAGCCACCATCTATCACAAGATCCGCACCAGTCATGTAGCTGCAGGCGTCCGAGGCGAGAAAGACATATGCCTTGCAAAAGATGATAATCACCTGTCAGTATCGATACATTTCACATCTGGGGTTTCCTCGGTAAAGCAGAAACAGGAGGGCTGGTACTCATCAAGCATCATTAAAACTTACACTCTTCAGCTCCGCAGCATCACAGATCCTCTTCCCAGGAACCATGCTCATCCAAGCATCAAACCTCTCCTTGGGCTGCTGGGTCAACATCTCCGTCATGACAAAGCCAGGGCTGATACAGTTGACGCGCGCAAAGTCGGCCCACTCGACAGCCAGGCTCTTGCCCAGGTGCACGGCAGCCGCCTTGCTCGCATTATACGCGGCCTGCCTCTGCGGCACATTCACAAGCGTCGCGCTGACGCTGGCCGTGATGATGAGGTTGCCCTTCCCCTGCTTCTCAAACACCCGCCCCGCCGCCTGCGCCGTCCACATGACCCCGTCCAGGTTCACGGCGTTGTTGCGCGCCCACTGCTCCTCCGTGTACTCGAGGGCGGGGATGTGCTCGTTCACGCCCGCGTTGGCCACCACAATGTCGAGCCGGCCGCCGCCGAACCCCTGCGCGACCTGCTTCTCCAGCACCTCGGCGACGTTGGCGCGGTTGCCGACGTCGCACGAGAAGGTCGCGATGCGCACACCGGTCGCGGCGGAGATGGTGGCGGCTGCTTCGTCGGCGGCGGCGCGCGAGGTGCCGTAGAGGAGGGCTACGTCGGCGCCGGCTTCGGCTAGGCCGCGGACAATCTCGAGGCCGATGCCCTTGGCGCCGCCCGTCACAGCGGCGATCTTGCCGGCGAGGGAGAATTGGGTGAGGACGGGGGTGTTGACGTTCTCGGGCTTGAAGAGAGGCATGGCTTGGTTGGAGGAGGAGGAAGAGGAAAGAGTACAAAGATGAAGAAATGGAGTGTCTGTTATGAAGGCTTGTTGTTGGCTTGTGTAGGTTGAGTGAGAGAGAGTGTGTGTGTGTCAGAGAGAGAGTGAGGAAGCAAAAGAATGTGAGAGAAAGCACAGGGCGTGAGAGAAGTGGAAAGCAGATGAAGATCAAGCTGGGCAAATGCATGTCGCCGATTACGGCTGGTACACAGGTTCGTCTGCATGGGCTGCCCAGGTTATGCCCATGGGACTTGAAAGAGGAGATCATAACGGGTCTTTTTTGGTTTCTCGTGTGTGTTTTACTTCTGCCGCGACAAACGCTCTTTCTTACATTCCAAATGACGTCGATTTGCATAGCCTGGCGGGCTTATGTGTGGGCTTTTCATTTTTTTTATATTCATCTAAGTCTTGACTGTGTGTGTGTGTCCATGTTTTGCAGTGAGTGGATTTAATGTATGAGGAGGCTCGCAACACTATGACGGTAGTGGGACTGGTCCCGTTTTCTCTTGTAACCTCTGATTGCATGTGCTCTGTTGGGGTACAGTAGTTTACTTGGTACGTAGTGGAGAATGAGTCGTGCGGTTAAAATAACTTGGAACTCGGCTATTGTCCCTGATTGCCTTCTACTTTATCCGCGTGGGGGCACAAAACTTTGCATTTTCGATTCTACTGTATATTCATTGAGAGGTCAGTCTCCTCCCTGCTCTCTATTTTCTCGAATGGAAGGGGCTTGTACTGAACTTCTGGCCAATCAGTATTTTATACTTACTATGCGATAGACCGTTGTAACTTGTAGCTGTAGTTCATTCGATAATTACATCGATACCATAATATATATGGACGGACCACACCGATTATAAGTAGCACACACTACCACTGATCGATCATCTACAGTGCAGTGTCATACATAGCCGGGGCAATCATTGACCGAATCTGGCAATGAATCCCCTGGACCCTGGTTAGGACCTGAAATCCTGACATGCCTTCCCCAGGTTTTCTCCTCCTCCATTTATGAACCCAAATAGCATTCCCCGCGAACACCCCAATCTCGACTGGGACAGGCCTCGGAAATAACATATCCACCTTGTTCTGCTTTCACCCCTCACCTCTGAAAACTCTAGCAAAGAAACTTGCTGCTCGGCAAGTCGGGAGAGAGACACACGATGACCCCAAAATGATCTTCACCTTGACCTGGGGTGGTGGTAGACCCACCGAACCAGTCCCAACATGACTACAGAGATGGGAGCTGAAATAACGATCTCGAGGACGTAAAGGCCTCATGCCATCTTCTCACTTCTGCTCTCTCTGTCTCTCTCTCTCTTCCACCTGCTGGAACTGAGGGATTGTGGCATACGTCCTCAGGATGATGCGTCTTCACCTTCTCGAGAGAGCTCTGGCTCTGGTGTCACTACTCCTCCTCCTCCTACCACCCCTCTGGACTGCCGTTGCCGTTCAAGCCACCCTCATCGCGAACCAGAGTGACTCTTACCTCCTGATCGCCAACGACAGGCTCACAGCTGCCGTCAACAAGTCCTCTGGCGCCATATCGTTCCTCACTCTCGACGGCCAGAACCTGTTGGGCACCGAGGCGACGAGCGTCGTGACGCCAGGCGGCTCGACAGGCGATGGAGTCAGCGGTGTTGGGCCTTACCTCGACTGCTACTGCACGCCCGAGGGCTCCTACACCCCAGGCGCCGACAATGCCACGTACACGCTGTACCAGGGCGTCGACTCGTCCAACCTCTCGTACGGCGGCATCTCCATGAGCCAGGTCTACGTCCCCACAGGCATCGTGCTGCAGCAGTACTGGTTCCTGCGCGAGGGCGAGACGGGCCTGCACACCTTCAGCCGGCTGTATTACTACAACGAGACGACGCCGTCCGCAGGTGTCTTCCAGGAATTCCGCACCTTGTTCCGCCCAGACACGGACAACTCCATCTGGACGCATCTCATCACCGACGCCGACCTCTATGCGCCCCTGCCCACGCCCGACCCGGCTGCAGGCGACCTCACAGATGCCTACACCGTGCAGGACGCCACCTGGTACATTGGCAACCGCACTGCCGACCCGTATGTCGAGGCCTTCTCGGACTACTTCACAAAGTACACCTTCTCGGCCGTCTACCGCGACCAGACGGTGCACGGCATGTACGCAGACGGCTCTCTGACGCCCGACAATGCCACCTTGGGCGCCTGGATGGTCATGAACACCAAAGACACGTACTTTGGCGGGCCCACCTGGTCCGACCTGGTCGTCGACGGGATCGTGTACAACTACATCATCTCCAACCACCACGGCGACCAGGCCCCCAACATGACCAGCGGGTTTGACCGTACGTTTGGCCCTTCGTACTACCACTTCAGCCGCAGCGAGCAGGGACACGCCTCGTGGGCCCAGATGAGGAGCGAGGCCAAAGTGTTTGCGGATCCTAGCTGGGACGCGGCGTTTTATGATGACATCGCGCACCTTGTGCCGAACTATGTGCCCTCCTCGGGTCGAGGCTCGTGGCGGGCCGTGGTGGAGGTTCCCGAGGGAGGAAAGAGGGCGATTGCCGTGCTGTCGGCGAACGGGCTTGATTTTCAGGACAATAGCCAGGACACGGAGGCGTACCAGTACTGGGCGGACATCGACGCCGGGACGGGCGAGGTGCAGATCGACCGCGTCAAGGCGGGTACGTACAGGCTTACTGTGTTTGCGGATGGTGTGTTTGGGGACTATGTGCAGGACGACATTGTGGTGGCCGCGCAGGAGACGACGGATAGCGGCACCGTGACTTGGACGGCTGAGTCTGCTGGGACTGAACTGTGGCGGATGGGAACCCCGTGAGTATTACATTATTCTCGAAAGAGAGAGAGAGAGAGAGAGAGAGAGAGAGTATAACTGTTGATGGGACATGCTAAACTCACACTTTGCTTCCTTTTCTTTTTGCTCTACTTATAGAGACAAATCTGGAGGCGAGTGGCTTCACGGCGACCATCCAGATCCAGACCACCCCCTCCACCCACCCGAATACCGCATCTACTGGGCCGCCTACGACTACCTAGACGACTTCCCCGACGGCGTCAACTTCCACGTTGGCACCTCGGACATTGCAAAGGACTTCAACTACATCCACTGGTCCGTCTTTGGCGGGTACGCCAACGCCCTGCGGCCCGTGCAGGTCGAGGGCGACGGCAACATCAACAACTGGACTGTGACCTTTGACGTCGACGCGGGCCAGCTGGCCGGCACGAGCGAGGCTACCTTTACGGTCCAACTCGCCGCGGCCAAGGCGGCGAGTGGGAATACGGATGTGTATAATGCAAGTCAGCCGTTTATTGATATTCCGTATAATGTGGTTGTGAATGGGCAGCCGCTGGAGACGTGGGTGATACCGTGAGTATTTTCCTTTTCTTTTATTTTTGTTTCTCCTCCTCCTCCTCCTCCTCTTCCTCCTATTAGAGTGCCTCCGTGACTCAGCCCTTGTTGACCTGAAGCCATAGCTACTACCAATCGTCATCCTGTGGCGTGCGCAGCGCCGTGACTTGCTACCACCTGGCCAACAAGTGGAAGTTCCCTACGAGCTACCTTGTCGGCGGCGACAATGCCACCAACGAGATTATCCTGAGCCTGCCGTATAATGCGACGGATTATGAGAGTGCCGTGCTGCCCAAGAGTATCTATGTGCAGTACGATGCGCTGAGGCTGGAGGTGAAATAGGATAGTTGAGTGTAATCAGCACAACATGGTAGCCGACTCTATTTCTCGCATGTAAATATGCCTTGGAGAGAATACAACTATATAAGGACCCGTCCAAGTACATGTGTATATGTGTTTAGACAACGTTCTTTTGGCAGTCATTTCGAGCATAGTAGAGCACATGTTGTGAAAATCACTGTCGAAGTTTATCACCATTGAAAGTAATTCGCCGACGATCTGACAAGTCCATCCATTTGCTTGTGAATAGTCCTCAGTATTATACTGTCGCTATTGATACCTCAGCATCGGTACATGTTATTTCATATATGTATATATATATATACACATACCCTCAAGACTCTACTCTGATCAACTTCAATGCACAACCCACCCCCTGTCGTAAAAGGAAGCTCATGTCTGTGCCCCAGCGCCACTCCTCGCGATGATTGGGCGGGGCCAAACATTGTTAGAATCCATCGTGAAAGGGGGGCCCGTCCTCCTCCGGCCAAGCCATCCTGAGTTTAGCGTTGTAAGCCGTCTGCAGAAGCGCTAGTCGAAGGATGAATACAGGTCTGAAGTAAGGTGCGGCTTGAGCGGGTGGGGGGCTCGTCTAATAAAAATATAAAAGAGACTACCAGACTGAAGAAGACCTGGATGTGATTGTGTGAGGGGTTTGTAAGCCGGTTGCACACATAGTACACTTCTTGAGTATCCTTTTTTACATTTCTCCAGCAATTAAAGCGCGTATTTGTTTGCGTATACTTGACTTGCCTCGTGGGTCATCGCGATTGGCAATCAACTTACATCAACGGCAATACAGTCTGGCACACGGGACCACAGGAGGACACAGTCGGGTTTACCGTGGCCATGGCGCCGATGCAGTCGCTGCAGCACGCAAAAGGACCCGAGGACAACTGGACGGGGTTGAGAGACAGGGCAGAGAGGAGGAGGCTGCAGACTCGGCTCAATGTGAGAGCTCACAGTCAGTGCCCATGATCCTTTTCCTTTTTTTTTTTTTTTTTTTTTTTTTTTTGGGTCATGAACCTGGCGAGGAACATATAGTTTGAAACCTAGTAAACTCACCTCTACGCAGGACGACGCAAGGCTGCCGTCACTGGACAACAGCAGCACGATCAAGTCCATCAGGGCAATGACATGGTGGCGGCATGCAGAGCATCCGATCCTGTCGCCAGTGTTGCTGGTCACCTCGCAGCCAGACCAGGACCAGGACCAACACCACTCACACCAGCCTCGACACAATATTGCCTCCAACGCTCCTCCTCGTCGTCCCAGTGTTGCTTCCACCACCCCATCTTCACAGACCATATTCACCCCTTTCCCCCACCACAGGCCTACCAGAACTTTCTCCCCTCCTCTCTCTGCTCCTCCTCCTCCTCCCCCCCCCAACAGCACCGCCTGACCAGCCCCTTTCCCCTGTCGCGCGACCACCTCATCCCTCTGATTGAGTACAACGTCTATCGCGCCAGCCTGACCAACATCTACATCCTCTCCCTCTTCAGCCTGCTGCGCAACCCGAGCTGCATGGCCATCCTCCAGCCTGCGCCTCCACTCTTCCCTGTTCACGAAGACAACAACAATAATGACAACCAAAATGCTGCTGCTGCAGGCGTCAGCACGAGAAGCAACAACAACGACAACATCAGAAACGTCCCGGATTCCCTCCTCCCTACAGAGCTGCAGCGCACCACACCGCACGAGCTCTGGATCGACATCCTCCCCTCTCCTCGCATGCGCGACAACGCCATCGCCGCTGTGCGCGAGGGCAGGCTTGTCGAGGACGGGATCTGTGCGGACGTGCTGAGAGGGATGTGTGGAGGTGTCAAGAAGACGGGGAAGCGGCTGCAACCTCTCGAGGAGGAGGATGTGGAGGAGGAAGAGCAGCGGCGGCTACGGCAAGGGGAAGAAGAGGAGGGGCCGGAAGCGAGGCTGATCGTGTGGACGAACCCGTGGGAGGCGGGTGGGTGGGAAGTCACGGAGGGGTTTGTGCGCAAGTATGGGTACTTGCTGAAGGGGTGTGAGGATATTTTGGGGGCGACGAATCGGTACCGGAGGGAGAGAGGGGATGATCCTCTTGTGTGGGAGGTGGAGTAACAGTTTCTCTTGGGTTGGGTTGGTGTTGAGACTTGGGAGATGAAGGCAGACAGAATGTTAACCTGTCTCTGCATATTACTTACCATAATACTTAGTTAGTAGTCTTTGATCCCATCGTGAACTGGATATTGATATTGATGTTATGGTCTACATCCGTCTGATGAATAGGATTTCTTCTGCACGTGTTTGAGGTTGTCCGGTTGTCTGTCGGTCCCGACCAACTTATCCGTCTATCTAACTTGGTCTTCAGGACCTGGTTATACAGATTTTGCTGTATTTAGACCCAACTCGTCACTTTTTTGCCTGATGACGACGCCTCGTCTGCAGACGCGCAACACCAACTCATCCTGGCGCTGACCCCGCCCCCATTCTAGACCCCAACATCCTATGTGGCTGTAGCAAGGCGAAAAAGATGATAACGTAATCTGGCAATAAGGATTCTAGATCCCTCCTGCGCAGGGTAGAGGAAAGCTCAACAAGAGAAACGAAAGCAAAGAAAAGAAACAACAACCAACCAACTCATCCTACATGAGCGTGGTGCGGTATGACGACGACTTTTCTACTGTGCCGTATCTCCGGCCCGTTGCGTGTCCTCCTCCCCACCATCCTCCTTTAGTGCCGAGGCTCATTCCCGAGAAGCCACCTCATCGTGACCTCACCATGTGGATTTGAACCTATCCACAAGGAAGAAGAAAGAAAAAAAAAGAAAGGAAAAAAAACGAAAATGTATCATCAGGATCTTGAGAGATCGCATGTCGTGTTTACCACGGAAAAAGGAAAGGGAAGAAGAAACAATCCGGTAAGCGAAGGGCAGGGAGATGTGGATCTCTTTTTCCTTGTCGCTAATCTTTTCTTTGTCGACAGGGAGGATAGGAGAATTCGTTAGGGTCCGTTCGAATCCTTTGTCGTCCAAGTCGGGAACGGTACCAGGAGATTTGCCTCCGCCCAGTGCAGCGATAACAGCGTGGGAATTGGCACACATGCGGTTATCTTTCCGGAATACCAGGGGGTTGATGGGTTTGTCTCGTCGTTCCCTTTTTGCGTATGCATGCCCTGAAACAAATTAAACAGGACATGATGGAGGACTCGCTGCGGGTATTTCCCCCGTTCCGGGAGACCTTTCTGTGTTTCACACATCCATTCTTGGGAGAGGTGGAGGTGGCCTACTGCTACCGTAGTATTCCCTCGCAATGTTTCTTCTTCCTTTCTTTTCTTTTATTCGGTACACTACATGGATCGGGATGGATAGACCGACTTGTCGGGTCTGGAACTTCGACTGATCTGGACGAGGGCTCGCGTAGGCGAAGGAAACCACACTTGCGAATGATACTGATATGGAATCCTGGCCAAAAACGTGCAGGTAGATGCGCACGTGTTGGCAGCGCAATCCCCAGAGACAGATAGTGCTGAGGGAATTGATCAACAATCTCTAGTATCTCTCTAGCCACGCACGGGGAGCTTCCTCGTCCTTCTTCAAGGAAGAGGTCTTGAGCTACGATGCCCGATAATCTTACGTGCATGCCGAGGTCTTCTCTTCGCGTGTCTGGGCAGAGAGATGCTCCCGTACTATAAGTAATGCTACTACGTACTGAGCAGTAGTTAGTGCATAGGGAAACCAGTTCATCAGTCCATAGTAGCACTACTATATGTTAGCTACGAAGCCAAAGAAACGCTTGGCTTCAAAATTTCTAAACGGGCCGCGGAACCACCGGCACAGAGTTACTAAGTTTAGGTACTCGGTACCCCCACGTGGGCTCCATATTTACTACTTATAGTACCCATGCGGCAAGGAGAAACAACGTTGTACTGTGGATTTGTTGCGGAAAGAGATGTAACTGTGGTAGATACCATGGTAGTAATCTAGTTCTACATGCGGTAGTCTGTACTCCCTTACGGTGGTAATCAAGCACCTTGTCGTCCCCCCCTGCTCAGATCTTGGCGCATCACAGCGATGATCCCCCCCCAACGTCTCTATGCCGTGTTACAACCCTCACATGGTGAGTCGCGGGTTCCACAGTCAGGCCAGCTAAGCAGCCAGCCTACCATAGTAGTCAGGGCCTTTCCATCTCCTCGGCTTGATGTCAAGCACGTGGTGATTTGAACAATAAACCTGATACCATGGTACTGCCACGATATCCTCTAGTTTGTTTCCCATTGTCTCGGGTCTTTGTTCTGCTCCCATTCCCGTGCCGAGACAATCTCTTAGCACATGCAGAGCCGCACAAGCGCACCATTAATAACCGGCTTTTGAATCACTCACCCACTGGGCTTGGCATGTGGAAAACCCTAAGGAATAATGAGAGTCATGATTCCAATCTTGAACACGAAAGGTGGAAGCATAAACAACAACAAGCTTCAGCCACACCCTGAAAAAAGGAGACAGGAAAAAAAGAGCAACCCACAGCCGGCATGACCGTCATGCTCGTCCACAGTCAGGAAACTTACCCAGAATGGACCCAGATTGAGTTGGACCCCAAATCACCGAGTCCTTTGACGCAGGGTTGCCAAAACAGCCGTCGTATTCTAGCCGAAGGAGCCGACTAAAAAGAAAAAGGAAAAAGAAAAGTAAAGGGAAGAGGAGGGGGCGAAAAAAAAAAAAAAAAAGAAGAAACCTGGCCTGCCTCAACATCCCTACCAGCGATCTCTAACCTTGATTCTGTGGGACTCTCCTCCACTAAGAGGAGAGAGAGAGAGAGAGAGAGAGAGAGAGAGAGAGAGGAGAGGGACAAAGGATCCACCGCCTCCGTTGTGCCCACTGACGCTCCTGTGACCGTGACGAACAGCACGTCTTGCGCAATACTTGTCGTGCATCGTACTTTTAGAGAGACTCGTTGGTATCTCGGCTTCGTGATAGGTCAGCCAGCCTCTTTCTTCTGCCTGGGCTCCACTCTTTACATACTATGGTACTCACAATGGCCCCCCCCTGTAATTTTCCTCGCTTCTCTGGTTCTCTGGCGCGTTACCTGGCCATTCCTATCATCGGAGATGGTGGGCTGACGACTATGCCCTCGCGTATCGCTCAAGGTGGTCCGAGGTGGCTGAGCGGAGAGTATTCCGCCTTCTATTTTTTATTTCTTTTTCCTCCTCTGTATCACACACACACACAAACCATTTTTGGTTCTTGGTCAGCAACAAGTCATCTCATCTACAAATACGTGCGGTTATTCCAAATAGGTACTTTTCTTTCTGAACTCTCGCAAGATTACTAAACTAACAAAGACACACGGCCCTCCCCTTCCCTCCCTGGTTTATCAGCAACAATGCTAGGGTTATAACCACAGGGATCAATGGCCACGCCTCGATACGACCTCCTGAATAAGGTTGAGGCTCTTGGCTCTTGGCCACCACTCGCCCCGTTAGGATGATCCCGGAAAGAGAGGGTTCTGAGGCGTGTGTCTTGCTGGGACCCATCTTCACGATGCTGACGGCCCGCAAATCTGGCTCCACTTTCAAGGACCCATATCTTTTTTTTTCTTTTCTTTTCTTCTTTTTTTCTCTTTCCTTCCTCTCGTCTCGCCTCGTCTTTTCTGTCTTGGTGTTCTATGTACTACCACTAGCGGCCAAGACGAATAGTGCCATCGCTTGAACGCTTAACCTGTGTGCCGTGCCATTTCTCGGCCGGATCCCGTTGCCGACCGAAAAAACGCCTCCTTTTTCCTGACTAACAGACTAACAGACCCTCATCGCCGCCACTGACGATGGCGCATACTTTAAATCGTGATATGGGGTCGCCGTTGGCTACAACGGTCTTGACAACACCGACACCACAACGACGACGACGACGACGACGACGACAACAACAATCGCGACAATAATGGTGTGAAGAATGATGACAAAGTTTGAAGATAAGGCTAAATGGAATAGATGGTGTGTAGGCCAGTAACTCTAATCCATCCTCTTCCCACATACATCTCTAGCTCGCTCACAAGGTGGTGTGGCTCGTGATGGGAACTTCCTTGGGCCTTTCAAAGACAAGCTGCTTCCCAAGCAGGAGATAATGAGAGACTAGTCATGTACGTACTACTCTGGAGAACTATGCGGGCGATGACTCTTGGAAAACAAGTGACAGTGACATCAGAACACGGGGCGCAAACGCTCACAGCCCTCTTTGTGTGTCCACATCTCGAGGGGTGCTCCCCTTTCCTTTCCTGTCTCCTCGAACCGCATTCTTCGCTTCGAAGGATCCACAGCACTGGTCCCACAGCCCTGGGAGACCCACGGTGTGTGTCGGCGTCTAGGATACTTGCTCTATTCGTTGCGGTGGGTAGGTCTTCATGGTCAATGTACCCATAGTATTTTGGGACAGGAGTGCGTGCTATAGGCTGGCAGGTGTGGCTTTTCAGTGTACATGGGATGACTACCCGCTGTGAGTGTGCCGTCGATGTACATGGAAATACTCCGTCACTTACTACGTACTCTCACACACACTTTCTCACTCTCTCTCTACACAGATTTGTCGGCGAGCTGACCTCGTATCTTACCCTCCTGAGGTGGGTCAATGTGTGTTCTTGAGAGGGTATCCCTCTTGATCCATCCATGCAAGCTTCGAGTTTGTATGTTCTGTTTTTGTAGAAGATGGCTTGACAACAAAACTGGATTACCATCCGCCCCTCCCCTCCTTCTTCTTTCTTTGCTCATCATGTTTCTCCCCATCTGGTAGGGCTGAGTTTCTTCTTGTCTGTCTGTCTGTCGTTCTCATCATAGTTGCCACTCGTTCGTTCGTGTTTCCCAGACATTCGCTCCATCTTTCCCCAGACACTCGCTACCCAGACACATTAAATCATTTTCTCTAATTTTTCCCCCTCCTCGATTTTTCTTTTTTTGATAATTCTTTATACTATTATTGTTCAAGAAAGGACACTGTCTGGTAAAAAAAAAAAGATAATACCTGATGAGGTAATCGACAAGCCTCAGGGACAAGCAAGATGTTCGTCCCCCAGAGGTTCACCCTCCTGCTTCTTGTCCTCAGCAGGTTTTCCCTCCCATGCTGGGCTCTGAGGTACTACCCAGAGTTTGTCGACTACAACCTCAACCAGAACGAGAACACCACCAACCCCCTCGAGTACTCTGGAAAATGGGAGGACCACACGTTCCACGCGTCTCCAGATAACTGGCGGTTCCCCTTCTACACCCTCTTCCTGGACCGGTTCGTCAACGGCGACCCAACCAACGACAATGCCAACGACACGGTCTTTGAGCAGGAGGTAATGGGCACGCAGCTTCGGTTCGGCGGTGACATTCAGGGCCTGGCGGACAGCCTGGATTATATCCAGGGCTTTGGTATCAAAGGCCTCTATGTTGCTGGGTCGCCGTTTATCAATCAGCCTTGGGGGTCGGATGCGTACTCGCCTCTAGACCATACGCTTCTTGACTTGCACTTTGGAAATATCACCGCGTGGCGGGCTGCTATCGACGAGATCCATAAGCGTGGCATGTAAGTATTCATTCTTTGGAGAGAGATGTTATTACTACTCTTCTAGGCAACCGAGATGAAAGCTTCACATGATGCTAATCCATTACCTATCACTTCATCATCTAGGTATATCATTCTTGACAATACTGTGGCCACCATGGGCGATCTGGTCGGCTTCAAGGGCTACCTCAACAAATCCGCACCCTTTGTCCCCGAGCACGAGCACGAGGCCCTGTGGAAGGCTTCCAACGGCCGACGTTACCACGACTTCGACTTCGGCACCACCTTCAACTCCACCTGCGTGGACTTCCCGCGCCTCTTCTGGGACAACGGCTCCGACGTGCAGGAGTCCGTGTACGAGACCTTCGGAGGCTGCTACGACGGCGACTTTGACCAGTTCGGCGACACCGAGGCCTTTGGTGTGTATGCCGACTACAGACGACAGCTGACCAAGTTCGCATCCGTGCAGGACAGGCTGCGCGAGTGGGTGCCCGATGTGAGGGAGAGGCTGGAGCGCTTCTCTTGTCTGACGATCCAGATGCTGGATATCGATGGGTTCCGGTATGACAAGGCGACGCAGGTCACGGTGGATGCCGAGGGCGATTTCTCGTCCAAGATGCGTGAGTGCGCGCGCGAGGTCAACAAGACGAATTTCTTTATTCCTGGAGAGATTACTGGTGGTAATACTTTTGGGGCCGTCTATGTTGGTAAGTCAATGTGTTTTGATACATACTTTTGTTTCAAGGGTCGAGAATCTCCTTTTTGTTGGTCTTCCATTCGCTGATTCCTCTGTTCCCTCTTCACAGGCCGTGGTCGTCAGCCAGCTCAATACCTTGACAGCATCGAGACAGCAGCCAACATGACCAACGCCACCGCCTCAGGCCAGGACATCTTCATCCGGGATGAAGGACAGAATGCTCTGGACGCTGCAGCGTTCCACTACTCCATCTATCGCAACCTTCTCCGGTTTCTGGGCATGGACGGTGACATGACGGCCGCCTATGATCTTGACATTGACTTCGTCGAGGCCTGGAACACGATCATGCTCACCAACGACATGTTGAACGCCGAGACGGGCGAGTTTGATCCTCGACACATGTTTGGGGCGTCGAACCAGGACGTGTTCCGGTGGCCTTCCATCTCGTATGGTGTGGAACGTAACCTCCTTGGTCTGGTAAGTAATCTCATCACAAACATTTACAGACAGACTTGAGATGACCACTTTTTTTTCTTTTTACTTCTTGCTAACCAGTTCCTATTAGTACATCACCACCCTTCACATGCCTGGAATCCCTCTCCTTCTCTGGGGAGAAGAGCAGGCCTTCTACGTGCTCGACAACACAGCTGCCAACTACATGTTCGGCCGTCAGCCCATCGCCTCGGGCCCAGCCTGGCAGGCCCACGGGTGCTATTCCCTCCTCCCCGCCACTCTCTACTTCGACATGCCTCTCAACGCCTCTCTCTATGGCTGCAGAGATGACACCGTCTCGTACGACCATCGTGACCCCAGCCACCCAATCCGTAACGTTATCAAGCACATGTACCACATGCGCGAGAATTATCCCGTCCTGCAGGACGGCTTCTACCTGCGCGAGCTGTCCAAGTCTACCGAGGAGATCTATCTGCCTGGTTCCTCAGGCGTGGGCACCGAGACGGGCCTGTGGTCGACGATGCGAAATCAGTTTCTGGGGATCCAGGATCTTGGGGATGATACCGCCCCCGTCTGGCTCGTGTACCACAACCGCAACGAGTCATACACCTACAGCTTCAACTGCAGTGATAACGACACGGCGCTCATCAGTCCCTATGACGAAGGGACAACGGTCAAGAATCTCTTCTTTCCGCACGAGGAGCTGAACCTGACGGCATCCAACGTGAAGCTGGGCATCAACGGGTCGACAGAGTACAACGGTTGTTACGACAGCCTCACCCTGGACCGATTCGAGTTCCGTGCTTATGTGCCCCTGGAAGACTGGGTGCCTCCGCCGCCTATGATCACCAAGTTTGAGCCTGGCCACGACACGAGGATCTATTCTACAGAAGAGAGCACCACGGTGGCCATCAGCCTGCACTTCAACACGGATATGGAGTGCGATGCCCTGACGCAGGCCATCAACTTCACCTCCAACACGCAGTTTGGGCTGACCCCCTCCATCGATAACTCTACTGTGTCGTGTGGTGCCGTGACGGACTCGCAACCAGATTATACAGGCATCATCGCCTCGGCATGGGCATGGTCTGCCAATGTGACCAACCTCGCGCCTGGAATCCACCAGATCGCCGTGAGCAACGCAACCACCGCAGACGGAGGCTCGTACACAAACGCCGTCGACCGCTTTCTCCTGCGCGTGGGGGACACAGCCAACCCTCTTGTTTTCCCCACCACGGCAAACTACTCCAGCACCCTCCTCAACCGCACAACAGACGGCAGCAACGACTTGACCTTGACCCACAGCGCCCCTGGCGCCAGCTGGTTCCGCTACACGACCAACTGGGGCTCGACCTACAGCAGCTGGATGCGCTACGAGGACAAGAGCACCATCAGCGAGTTGGCATGGAACGGCACTTCAGCCCAGGCCTGGAAGGGCACCCATGTCATCGTCCAGTACTGGAGCCAGCTCCTGGGCAGCAGCAGCTACGTGGTGCACGCCGACCTCGACTACAATGGCAAGGAGAGACGGTTCCCTCACCTGTGGGCGTCGGGCCCCTTCAACCAGTACGGCTACGACGCGGGTCTCGACAACACCATCGAGCACACGGCCGAGTCGCTCTGGGAGTGGCACTACATGGACGAGTGGCCTGCGTATTTCCAGGTCAGCGTGTGGGGGATGAACCCGGACAGCCAGCCCGATCAGAGCTTTATCTTTGGTGACGTGGATTACGATGGTGTGCTGGACCGCATGCCTCCCTCGTCGCTGACCGAGACGGATATCAATATCACGGCGTACCCGCCCAAACCGCACTTGGCATATCGGCTGGTGATCCAGGACTCGACGCTGAAGTATGGCATCGTCCCTGTGGGGAACATGTGGCTCCAGCTGATCCTGTACGTGCTGCTGTGGATTGTGCCAGTTCTCTCGGCAATGGTAGTCGTGCACGCCTTCAGGAAGTCGTTCTACAAGATCAAGTTCAACGAGGTGGGCGTGGGCCAGGGCTCAACCGTTGCCCTGCTCGCCCAGAAGGCCAAGAGCGCGCTTCACCTGGGCGGTGAGAAATACCAGAGCATTTCCGCCGCCTCGAAGACCCTCGTCGTCCCAGGAGCTGCTGGTCGTGTTGTCGCAGCAGGTGCAGGGGCAAGCACGCGCAGAAAAGTGCTCATCGCGACCATGGAGTACAACATTGACGACTGGAACATCAAGATCAAGATCGGCGGGCTGGGCGTTATGGCGCAGCTCATGGGCACGGCGCTGCGGCACCAGGACCTGGTCTGGGTGGTGCCTTGTGTGGGCGGGATCGAGTATCCTGTCGACACGCCTGCTGAGCCCATGTTTGTGAAGATTATGGGCCAGTTCTATGAGGTGCAGGTGCAGTATCACAAGCTGGAGAATATTACCTTTGTGCTGCTGGATGCGCCCGTGTTCCGGAAGCAGACCAAGGCAGAGCCGTATCCTCCTCGAATGGACGATATGGAGAGTGCTGTGTATTACTCTGCATGGTGAGTAACTTGTCTCGCTCTCTGTCTCTTAAAGAGATGCGAAGTAGGTCATATGGTTCTTTGCTGACAGTTTGGAACAGGAACCAGTGTATTGCAGAGACGATGAAGCGTTTCCCTGTCGATTTGTATCACATCAACGATTACCACGGTGCCTGCGCTCCGTTATACCTCCTCCCCAAGACCATCCCTTGTGCACTATCTCTTCACAACGCAGAGTTCCAGGGCATGTGGCCTATGAGAACACCTGAGGAATGCAAGGAGGTGTGCGAGGTGTATAACCTTCCCGAGCAGGTTGTGAAAGACTATGTTCAGTTTGGTTCCGGTAAGCTGAACTTGACTACTAACTATTTTTGTGGAATCCTAAGACAGTCTCTCTCTAATTATTGGAATATAGTTTTCAACCTTCTTCATGCTGGTGCAAGCTACCTGCGCATCCACCAGCAGGGCTTTGGAGCGGTCGGTGTCTCCAGGAAATACGGTGATCGATCTTTTGCGCGGTACCCCATCTTCTGGGGATTGTCCAAGGTCGGACAACTGCCCAATCCTGATCCCACGGTAAGTTGCGAAACCACGCTTCAAGCTACTCCCCTCTCATTTCAATGATTCTTTATTCCTTTCTTTTTTTTTTATATATCAAAACTTCATACTAATTACAATAATCCCCCAAATTATAGGACACTGGCGAGTGGAGTGCCGACGCCCTAGTTACCGAGAAGCCCACCATCGACCAGGACTTCGAGGCCGGCCGAATTGAGCTCAAGCGCCAGGCCCAGGAGTGGGCTGGTCTGGAGCAAAACCCCAGGGCCGAGTTGTTTGTCTTTGTGGGCCGATGGAGTCTGCAGAAGGGTGTCGACTTGATTGCGGATATCTTTCCCTGGGTGCTGGAGCAGTATCCTCAGACCCAAGTGATTGTGAGTTATTCTCTCTCGTTGTTTCTGTCTCTTCTTCTTTTGATTTGTAGTAAAAGACATGGAAAGCTAACCAGACCATCAGTGCATCGGCCCTGTCATCGATCTCTATGGTCGATTTGCCGCCCTGAAACTGGCCAAGCTGATGGATAAATATCCCGGCCGCGTCTTCAGCAAGCCCGAGTTCACTGCCCTCCCGCCTTACATCTTCAGTGGTGCTGAGTTTGCCCTGATCCCATCTCGAGATGAGCCCTTTGGCCTGGTGGCTGTTGAGTTTGGCCGCAAGGGTGCTCTGGGTGTTGGCGCGCGGGTGGGTGGTCTGGGCCAGATGCCAGGCTGGTGGTATACCGTGGAGAGTACCAAGGTATGTTCATATACTTATGCGGAGCACTTGTTTGCATGAAACTCCTCATGAAAGCTCATACTGACAATCAACTTTTCCAGGCCTCTCACCTTCTCCATCAGTTCAAAAACGCCATCGTGGCCGCCCTCAAGACCGATACCGAGACCAGAGCTATGATGCGTGCCTACTCTGCAAAACAGAGATTCCCCGTGGCACAGTGGCTTGACAAGCTCGAGACTCTCCAAAACTCGGTCATCAAAGTCCACGACAAGACGGCCCAGAAGGCCGCCAGGAAAGGCGCCGGGTTCATGGCCAGCACCAAGAACCTGCTCAGCCTCAGCCCCAGCCCGAGCAAAGAGAATCTGGACACTGCCACCGAGCTCCAGCTGCGCGACCAGAGGCCTGCGTGGATGCTGTCCATCACCGACCTGGGCGATAATTCGACGATTCACGACCCCTCCCGTATCAGTACAGCGTTCAACTCACCGGCAGCCTCGAGGCCTGGAACACCTGGTTTTGAAGACTGGGGATCCCGTCCAGACTCGCCGTCCATGCAGTCCTTATCCTTCTCGCGGCCTTTTGGCGGCCACGCGAGAATCGAGTCTGTCCAGAGCATAGCGACCATGGCGAGCCTGCCTCTCCCGCTGCCCAACTCACCTTTTGTCATGCAGCATAACAATGCCAGCCGCGCGTCCATGCTCAGCCTGGACGAGGTTGTCGGCGAGCGTCAGGACTACAAGCTGCAGAAGGTCGACCCCTTCTTCACTGACAAGGATGGTAGCTTTTATGCCGCCTTTGAGCGCAAGCTGGCCTCGCTCGATGCCTCCAACTCGGCGTCTGAGCTGTGCATCGAGGACTTCTTGATGCGCTCCGAGAAGGAGTGGTTCAACGAGTACCGCGACGTGAGGCTCGGTCGTGGTCGTGGACGGTCCTCGTCGCCAGCAGGGAGGGATCGCTCCAGAGGGCGGTCCACAAGCCGGTACGAAAGATCAAGGTCTCGTCAGAGGGCGACGCTGGGTCTGTCCATGGTGGGCGCTGGCGGCACCACTACAAGCAACCGCTCATCCCAGCTGCGCAATGCCTCGTCGCCCTCGAGACGATCCGTTGACGTCACCTCTCCTGATGGTTCCTTGGAGGAGAGCAGCAGCAGCACCGTTGTGGGAAGAGACTCTGGCTACGACGCCTTTGAGATCCCCAAGGACTACATCCCCCCGACGGGTCTGAAGAAATACCTTCAGTACCAGCTGGGCGAGTGGCCCGTCTACGCCATCCTCCTCGCCGCCTCGCAGGTCATTGCCTCCAACTCGTACCAGGTCACTCTTCTCACGGGCTCTGTGGGCCAGCCTGCCTCGAAACTGTACACCGTGGCCAGCATCTATCTCGCCTCCACCATCGTGTGGTATGTCCTCTCGCGCACGGTTCCCCTGCTGTACCCTCTCGCCATCCCCTTCATCTTCTATGGCGCGGCCTTTTTCGTCCTCGGCTTCTCTCCCTTGGCCACCGATTCCACTACGCAGGGCTGGGTCCAGAACGTCGCCACGGGCCTGTACGCCTTCGCTTCGTCCTCCGGCGGCATCACCTTTGCCTTTAATTTCGGCACCGATGGAGGGTCTACCATCTCCTCTTGGATTATGCGCCTTGCTCTCATCCAGGGCGTCAGCCAGCTTTATACCATCGGCCTCTGGGCCTGGGGCTCCGCCGTCTCTACGGCCGCAGCCGACGGAGACTCCGAGTCCATCGCCAACAGCCCTGTCCTCCTCGCTGTCTGCCTCCCCATTGCCTTCCTTCTCTGGGCGATTGGTACGATCCTCTACCTTGGCCTCCCAGATTTCTACCGCGAGACGCCAGGTCCCGTCCCTCAGCTGTGGAAGACGCTGCTCCGCCGCAAGACCATCGCCTGGTATCTTCTGGCCGTCGTCATACAAAACTACTTCCTCAGCGCTGTGTATGGCCGCAACTGGTTCTTCCTCTTCTCCTCTTCCGCGCTGCCTATCTGGGGCGCCGTCCTGCTTGCCCTGGGTTTCTTTGTCTTCATGTGGGCCATCCTCCTCTTCATACTCGCTCGCCTGAGCCGTGGCCACCCTTGGCTGTTTCCCATGTTCGCCGTCGGCCTTGGTGCGCCTCGCTGGGCACAAACCTTCTGGGGCATCTCCCGCATCGGTCTCTGGCTGCCCTGGGCCGGGTCCGCCCTCGCCTCCGCAGTTGTGTCTCGTCTGCTCTGGCTGTGGCTCGGCTTGTTGGATGGCATCCAGGGCGCGGGCATTGGCATGATTCTCATGTTGACACTCACACGTGTCCACGTCGCCGCTGCCATCGTCGGGGCGCAGGTTCTGGGGTCCATTGCGACCATTGCGGCGCGGGCGAGTGCGCCTGATAAGCTAGGGCCTGGGCCTGTGTTCCCGGATCTCTCCAAGGGAGCGGGTGCGGTGGTGGGGAGTGCTTGGTTTTGGGTGGTGCTCGGTCTGAATTTGGGCATTTGCTTTGGGTATTTCAAGTTCTTCCGCAAGGAGCAGGTTAGTAAACCTTGATACGGTTTGCTTTTTATGGTGTTCTTTTTTTGCTTTGTTTGCTGCTTGGGAATTATACATACATTACATTCTATACACTACATTAGAAAGAGAGTGTTTCAGAACAAAGGATTTGGGGATGGGATATATACTAGTATAGAGATGATACACACTATAGCGATCTTGATTCTTTTTGATAATGTTAATTCCTCAACACTGAAGAATGACTTCACAACCCTTGGTCCTCTTAAGTGACTGTGTCGCTATGCTTATCTGAGTACTGCCGAACTAGGACAGGGAGGTCCTATCTTGGAGTGACTTCACAAGGGGAGCGCAGGGTGGTTCTTCATGCAGGCTCACCACTGCCTTGCATGCCTTGCAGTATCATCACAACTGAGAATTTGATTCTTATACATAACAACTTTTCTAACAGGGGACGAAGGAAGAAAGAAAGGAGGCTGCTGAGATTGCGAATACGCAAAAGCAGGGAATAATCCAGACACAGACAAACAAGTTGCCATACCTAGATTGTATATGGTGATATTCAATCTACTTATTACATGATGCTACCCTATTCTTCAGAGCTGTCTCCTGAATCCCTGCCGTAGATGATTGCAGTTGCTCTCACCTGCTCCGAGTCCCACAAATCCGCACGAGGGAGACTGATCTGGTGCACAACATTTTCTTCTCCCTTTTGTCTCAGTAAAATTGGGAATAGTTATAGGAAATGACTCTGATCACTTGGCCCTCCGAAAAGTGCTCACTCTTCTTTCCTTTCCCTCCTTGTAAAGCACCGGTGACTCTCACGGCACGAATACATTTTGAGCAAAGCCCGGCTGTGGGCTGACCTGCCCTCGCACAGGTACCCTTGCGACAGTCTCAGCAGCGAGGCGAACCACGTGTGCAATGTCTTGTTCCATCCACCCTCCACCATTTCCCGAGGCGGGTGCGACTTGAGTGGTCAGCGTCTGGGTGGCTAAGTGTACAGACCCAATTTGCCGGTGTGTTGCCAGGTCTTACTGCTGGACGCGACATGGCTTGCCAAACCCTGCTTGCTTGTGGCTGACTGGGAGTGAAAGAAAGACTCGGCATCTGAGGGTCGAGGACGTATCGTTACTCTTGGTGTTGTTGGGCGTTCTATCACTCTGCCCTCAGTCTTATGTATCATATTACCTCGCAACAGCATATCATTCGATGTAGTGTTTTATTGAATCATAAAAGGAAGAAGCAGAAATTTCGCCTTATCTATATATCTGCTGATAATCATCCAATATTACCCGCACAGCCCTGGTGACGCAGAGCAACAAGGCATGCAATGGTAGCATTGCACCAACGTCGGCTATGGCAGTCCGTGTCACTACTGAACTTTGGTTACTCATCAATGAATGGCTATATCAGCAGTTATAATGCAAATCATATTGCAGCCCGTTTGCCCACCTTGGAAGGAGTAGTACCTGATGCAGGATCCCGTCGGACCTTAAACGATGGGTGAACTCATGGAGTTTATTTTTCTGTGCTACGGTACGCTTCCAGCCTCGCCTTCGCTTGACGTTGAGAGTGAGTGAAATCTGAAAACCAGTTCACCTCATACGAGACATTACTGTCAGAGTTTGAACAATTTTTGGGGCTGAAAGTTTTACTTTCCCCCGTCCAATATATACTGCCATTTTGTTGGCGAGTGACATTTTGCCAATATCCCTATTTCCTTCTCCCTTTCCTCCTTCAAACCCATATCTGAATGCCGATTACTCACAATCTATTCAGTCCTTTTGTTCGTCACTCTCAGCTTCGGCCTTCTTTTCCCTTTCATCTCCTTGTCACTTCGTTCATCTCAGAGGAAACCCTTCCACAACAACAACAACAACAACAACAGCAGCATAAGCATACCAACTGCCAACCTCGTGAGCAGGTCTTCGCTCACTTTCAGCATTTCGAGATGCAAACCCTCAACATTCTTAGGCACGTCACGACGGTGCTGCTGCTGCTTCTTCTGGCGCCTCTCGTCCCTGCCACTCACCCTCGCCTTCTCCTCCCATCTGCTCAACTCCCCTCCTCTTCCTCCACTATCAGTCGTACCAAGGATCACCATGACACCGCAGATAGCCTCTCCACCGTCTACTCAACCCGCATGATCAATTCCATCATCACCCGCCAGCAGGGTCTCGTCTCCAGCGGCCAGTCCACTTCCACCCTCGAGTCGGGCATGATCTCCCTGGCCATCCAGGCCTGGCTGGACCTTTATGCCCCGTCGTCCTCTTCCTGGCCGTCGCCCCTTACCACCAACAGCAACAGAACCAAAACCCTGCGAGACGCCACCGCCTCCACCGCCGAGAAAGCTATTGCTTTTCGCGACTACGTCGGTGCTATTCTGGATGGCATCACTGCCACGGACGGGTTTACCAACGTCACGGACTCGGAAAGTCTGCCACTGGACAGGTTGACTGTCGCTCAGGCAATCCAGAGCCTGAAGGATACAGACAGCGCCTCTTCAACCTCAGGACATGTAGTTCCCTCACAGAGTCACCAGAAAGGGCCGGAGAACAGTGACAATAGTGGCAGCAATAATAATCGGACTGATCCAGCACCAACGTACCAGGTGACGTTGCAAGAGTCGTTGGCTTTGGATGTGTTGAACTTGAGTCTGGCTATCCAAGAGAGGAATCAGTATGGTGGATTCTGGTAAGTCATTTATCTACCCATCCTCAAATCTTCAATTCAAGAGAAACCCTCCACTTTTCCCAAGCATATAAGGATAATCTTCTCATATACTAATCACATCAAAAGGTATTACGTCTACCCCTCCTGGTCCTACCTAGACGGCACCGTCTCCTTCCTCCCCTTCATGTCCGCCACCCCAACACACTGGTCCCCCACCGACGCCCTCCTCCAGATCCAGCTCCTCTACGCCCACTGCCAGGACCTGACCAACCCCACAACCCCTCGCTCCGGCCTCCTCGTCCACGGCTACGACGCCTCCCGCACCGCCGTTTGGGCAAACAATTCCACGGGCGGCTCTCCTTATGTTTGGGGTCGAAGTCTGGGTTGGTATCTGACAGGCCTCGTCAACGCATGGGAGGTCTTGACAACCACTGTGGATGAGCACGGGCAAGTCCCACCGAGCAGCAACGACGGGAAAGGCAGGGGAGGAACAAGGCGTGTGGTTGCAGATCACTGCCGCGGCCAACCTGACTGTGCCGACTTGGTAGCCACCATACAAACTCAATTCACCACCCTCGTCGTCAACCTCGCACGCTACGCCGACCGCGACACGGGGGCCTTTTGGCAGCTGCCTACCTTGCCTGGCCGGCCGGGGAACCACCTCGAGTCCAGCTCGACGGCGCTCTTCTCGTTTGCTATCCTCAAGGGGATTCGGCTGGGGCTTGTGGGGGATGAAGAGGTGCCAACGACTGCTTCTTCTTCTTCTTCATCTGCTGGGTGGAAAGATGGTAGCAATAAAACTACCACCAAGCCCTCCTCTTCTTCCCCCTTCATATTCTCTTCTCCAAAGCGTATGAACGACAGCAACGGCACCACCTCCCCACCTCCACCACCTTCTCCTCCGGTGACAACCACAACAACTCTGAAGCAGATAGCCCTACGCGCCTACACATACGCCACCCACAACTTCGTCATCGACTACGGCAACGGCACTCTGGGCTACAACGGGACTGTCACCGTGTGCAGCCTGAACTCGACGGCTAGCTACGAGTACTACGTGAGCCAGCCTGTGATTCTCAATGCGCCGTTGGGGGAGGCGGCGTTTGTATTGGCTAGCTTGGAGATGGAACGGTTGGGGGATCGAAAGATTGTTGGTTAAACTACGGGACTGTAGGTCCAGGCAAAGACTGGAGGATGGTAGAGTAATAAATGATGATTGAGAGACTGATACACTTTCATATTTCAATTCTGAGCGTCAAAAACGAAAGTTGAACTGGCAGATATTACAGGGGGAAAAGCCAGAGGAAGAGACATCACGCGGACTGCCCCATCACATAACCGATAATTCATAGCTCTCAAAAGTCTCAGATGTTTCTCTTGAAGCCCTCATAGGAAACCATTAGATAATGCGCAGGTTGTTTGTCATTGCATCTCTGTTCTCGTTCTCTTTCCCTCCTATACTGTGACCCTTGACCTGTATCATGACATGTCTATTGATTAAGTATCCAGTCCGTCCCGTCTCCAAACTCCAGGCTATCTTGTATTGTATCCTGTCATTCTGTAATGCTTGTCTTCTGAGAATAGACAAGCAGGTCAATCTTTCTCTTCGTAGGAAATGCCCAAAAGGAAAACAAACAAGTCCCATGCAGCGCCTCGGATATTGGGCAAGCTTGTCTTGCAGACGAAGAACTCTTCAGTACCCATATACCCATTCAGATACCCAAAGACAGAACACTTCCACAGTAACACCGAGACATTCCTCATGCTTGGTAGGTATTGTGTATCCTCGCCTCAACACACAAGTCTCACTTGACTCCGCGTGACGAAACATCCATTCCAATAATTATCACCCTACCCCTCGAAGAAACGCCCCAAAAGATTCGTCCTCGATTCGTGCGACACACATTGCCAGCGGAGCCACCACCTACCGGCCCCGCTTCTCCGCATGATCGCGAGTATCTTTCGGCGAGACTTTATCCTTGCGCCGTCTAGAACCAGAGCCGCTGCTGCTCGCCTGCCGCAGCGGGCTTCGCTGTCCAGCCGGCGCAGTCGTACCTGCAGTCGTCCAGAGCACGCTGTTGCTGGGCACGGCCGCCCTCTGATGTGCGCTGGGAGGACTGGCGGCCTCGCTGCCTGATGTGAAGAAAGAGCTCCGTTGGAGCGCGATGTCGATGTCCACGTCCTCGTCCTCGTCCGGACCGTCTTCCCCTACAAACGTCCAGCTTTCCTCCTCGGCGTCATCATCCACAGTATCGGAGCCATAGTTGCTCGTATGCCCTGCGGCGGCGGCGTTCTTTCCTGCCTTCTTTTCGATGAGAGATTTGGCGTATTCCATGTCGCGGTAGATGCATTGGATTGCCGTGTCGACGCCATTCTCCTGGATACCACATTTAGCAAGATGATGTAGATATTGAGGGACGAAATCTCATCGAAGATCATGACACTTACCTTGCGGATATTCTCCCCCAACACCCTCGCCTTGACGATCATCCTCTCGGAATGAGTCGCTTCCCACAGTGCCCGTGCAAATGAGTTGACGCCCCACTTCTTCAGCAGAATGCCCACACCAAGATCCTCGACACGTCCTCCAAAGAAGAACTGATCGCCAAAGAAAGGTCGAATGATGGTGGGTATGCCGGCACGCAAGCTGGCGCCCGTCGTACCTGATCCACCATGGTGCGCTGCGGCGTCAATTTGGTTGAACAGCCAGTCATGGGGAGCTGACTTGATGGCGAGGATCTCAGGCGGGAGAGGGATCTCTGTCGTGCCGTGGGCGGTGGGGTTGCCATCGCTAGTCGTGTGGCCAGACTGCTCTCCGGAGGCAGCTCCCTCCGCCTTGGGATCCAGCCGGTCACTCCAGCCCTTGCTGAGGATACACCTTACATCGGCCTTAACAACAGCATCGATGATCTCGCGCGTGAATTTGGCTGGGTTGTCGAGGATAATACTGCCGAAGCCAATATACACCAGCTTCTTGCCATCCTTGCGAGCCTTGTCGATGAAGGCGACAAGATCTGCAGGCGGCGTCCAGTCCTTGCCGCCTTCGTCGAGGAACCAGTACCCAGTGACGCGGATCCAGTCACTGTAGTCCATCGGAGGAGGGACAACCTGTGGAGAGAAGTTGTAGATAAAAGGCACCTTGTTTGGCTGCAGCTTCTCAAGACTGGTGCTTGGCAGGCCGAGGGTCTTATTTCGCCATTTATTGATCTGGTGGGCCGTCGCCTTCCAGAATACAGCATCAAAAAGGACGTACGTGATGAGATTGTACGCGCCGCCCATTTTGCGTTCTGGCATCATGAAGGCGTGCGGATAGGCTCTGGTCCTTGTCCATGGCATGCCAAAGGCACGGAAGTAGGGAATGCAGAGCTTCTCCGCGATATGGATGCCTCCCATCGCAGAGGGGCTCTCGATGAGCACGTCAGACCCTCTACACGCCAGCCAGCTGCTGCTGAGAAGGCCGTCGAGCCAACTTCGCATAGTTGAGTTTGCCTTTTGCAGAAACGAGACTGTGAAGGTGCCATTCTCGATGCAGAGCCGCATCAGCTCGCCGGGATCCCCCTCGACAGGTGCAAACTCAATGCCGTGCTTCTCAATCCAGCCCTTGAATTCAAGATGGGTGGCAATTTTTGGCTTGTGACCTTCGGCAAGCAGCCCCTTGCAAAGTGCAATGTAAGGCTGCACGTCACCACGCGAACCAATAGTCAGACAGGTGACTCGAAGGGCCTTTTCTGGCTTGAAGTTGACAAAGGACGCCTTGGGGTCATCGAAGATGATAGTAGGTCCATCAGATCCGGTGGAGGCGTGTCGTGGAAGTGTCAGTTCATGTTCCGGAAACTCGTCGTGTCGGGCCTCCTCGAGAGCTTTCTGCTCGGCTACGGCCTTCTCCGCCTCCTCTCTCGCCTCCACATCCAGCTCGCCAGAGTCGCGCAGGAATTTCGAAGCTTCTATGCCTTTGTGTAGGAAGGCAGTCAGGTCGTCGCGAAGGGCTGAGTCGCCAAACTCGAAGAATAACTCCTCGTGCCCGCGGATCACAACTACCAGACCAGCATAGCCCAGTCGGAAACCACTGGATTTGGTCACGTTCTCGATATCTCGGATCGGTAGAATAAGCTTTGTGCGCGTGCCGGGCATGAGGCTTCGAAAACACAGTGTCCGGTCGCTGAGGTAGACCTTGCCGTAAAGGGGAAGGACGCGCATGAAGTATCCGAAGTAGGTGGCCCGCAGCCTCTCGCTCCTGGGCAGGGCGAAGTGTATCTGGAAGCGATCCTCTGCGATCCTGTCTTGCTCCTCATCATCGGGCTCTTCACCAGTCTTGAGAGCTGCATGCTCATCGTAGTGCTTCTGGCCGCCTTTCCACATGCCCGACACCTTGCCGGCGTAGCCCATCGATTCTGTGGCAAGCATACCGCTCATCTTCTTGGAGTGGCGGGTCAGGTACTCCGCGAAAGCACCTACTCGCTGCAGGGGATACGTTCCAATCTTCGTGATGGTCTCCAGTGTTGCGGCTGGGCCCTCAAACTTCTCCCCTGATGCTGGGTCAGGGACGTGTCCCGTCGTCGCCGCATGGTGCGGTTGGAACTGATCCAGGTTGCCAGCAGAGAGGTGATGTTTTGGGCTTCGCGGCTGGTGTTCCCGTCCTTTCGCTGAACTGGACCTCTGTACGGTGGGGCTATGGAAAACATCACTACCTCGGAGTATCTGGCTGGCGGACTGATCCAGTTCGCCAGAAGTCGTCATGGCTGAGAAGCTCACGATACTGGGGTCTTCCGTGGACTCAGCATACGAGTCTGCTGACTCTAGACGCTTACCGCTACGACGTTGTCGGCTCAGGGAGCGTTCTCGATCTCGGCTGAAGCTGCGCCGAGGCGAGGCATCGCCACGGGGGATATCTGTACTCCTGCGTGTGAATTGCCGTATCGCGTCGAAGCTGCTCCTGGGGTATTCTCCGCTCCCACGAGGAGATGGACCTGTGGGTGACCGGGGGCTGTGTGGTGAGAGTGTGGCCCTCACATTGTCACGTAATTTGCCAGTGCGTATCTCGGCGGGGGCGGAAAGCCCGGGTCTGTTGCCGATATAAGAGCTGCGTTTGGAGTCTCCTTTGGAGTCACTGGGAGTTACTGCCTGGTCTGCCTTCTTGGCCTCACTTTCACGGCGTTGCTGTACGGCATCCTCGATGAGAATCTTGAGGACGCCGATGGCTTCCTGCCCTAAGCTGAAGAACGAGAAGAAGTACTACTTGACATTAGCGACGAGGAAACAACAAGGCTTGGAAGGACAAAGGCGATTATTCTCACTTCGTCGATAGCATACGTCTCGTCATTGTCAATGACGCGTATCTTGCAGGTTTCGGCAAACTCAAGCATCTGTGTCTCCTCGATGTCAATCACGTTTTGAATCGGCAGGCTGATCTTGACGCTATCGCCGTCATTATGACTCCGGAAAATGACGCGCTGTAGACACTTGACCCATTCCTTGGCGCTCTGCGCACTGTCGGCCCGGAAGTAATATGTGCGGTGGTCTGTTTCCAAGGTAAAGTTGACGCCATCCTTGTCCTTGTCCGTCACGGAGGCGGAGATGCCATAGCGAAGATCGATTTGGCCGTGGGGGAAGTAGAGGTTAGACGAGTCGCGGTAGTAGGAGAAGACATCGCCTTTGAGTCGGAACCAATATCGGTTGTATTTTGGATTCCGCTTGCCCGACTTGGAGAGGTGGCCAGACTTGGTGACTTCATGCTGGTATACTGTAAGCGACGTCGTCTCGGCGACCAACCCGGGGGGACTAACCGCCTTCTTGGGAAGGTAAGCGTAGAAGCAGATGTGCTTGGATGTGATGTAGATGTAGCCCTGGAGGAGCACGCCCTGAAGCAGCCAGCAAGGATACTCTGTTGTATGATATGCTGTCAGTACCAATGCCCATTCCTTGCTGTCGATGAGACGGGGGTTCTGACCTGCTATAAGCTCCTCGGGTTCGTCAAGCTCAAAGATGCCCTGCAGCCGTTTCGAGAGCTCCGTGGGTCCTGTCCCTGTCAAATCGGGGGTCGCGGGCCTCACATCCATCGATCCTCGCTCGAGATCCGAACTCGGCCGTGCTGCTACTTCTGCGCGGGCTTCCAGCATGCGGCTCATCACTGGCGCAAGGCGATTCCCATCATGTGTGCTTGATAATACTAGAGCCTCGTCCACGGCAGATTCTGGCTCTGACTCTTCCTGTATCTGTGTAACCGGCTTCTTCTCGTCTTTTTTGGACCGGCTCTTGGACGACAGCCTCGATAATAACGGGACTGACCTCATAAGTTTGTCTCCGCTGAACCTCCTCCTGTGGCTCCTTCGACTCTTGGATCCCGGTTTCGTCAGAACGGTGGTCTGTGACATTGGATTTGCCAGCGCATCATGCCTGGTGTGCTCCTCACGACCTGATTCGTCGTCACGGGAATCGTCTGCATCCTCCTCTTCGCTGCTGTGGCCCTCGAAGCGGTTGTGGAAGTCGACCTTGGGCCCGGCAGCAGCGATGAGACCAAATATGCTTTGATTCAAGTTGACGAACGGGCGGTTGCCCCCGAGTCCAACTGGTAACACATCCTCCTCCTGCTCGTCATCCTCCTCTTTCCGCCTCAGCTGGTCTGGGAAGTCCATCGTGTGAGAATGGGGAGGATGTCGCTTCTGTAGTTTGCGGTGGAGGGTTCGACGTCGGGGATCGCTAGGTGACGGGCTGATCGGAGACAAGGTGATTGTAGGTGATTGCGGCAACGAGGGCTGTGAAGAGATGGATAAAACAGGGCCTCGTTGCTGACGATGTGTGCTCCTCCGAGGTTCTGGTTGCGAGGAGGCAGAGGGCTGAGGAGGAGCAGAGGTAGGAGACTGAGGCTGTTGTTGAGGCTCCATCGTGTCTGCATGGGCCTAGACAGGCGGCAGCCCACCCCAAAAGGAACGGATGCCTGCAGGGTAGCCTGCAGCTGCTGGGGGTGTGCAAGTGGTCGGTGGGTACCGTATGACGAAGGTGCACAGGCAGGTATGCGGCTCTGGTTGGGCAGACAAAATTGGAGGATACTCGGATGACAGTTGATGGGCGGCGGTTGGAGAAGTTGCACTATCGGATGCGCATCGTACCCTGGATGTGTGACTTGTAGGGGATTGGAGGAATCGCAGCCTAGAGTGCTATGCTGCGCTTGGCCAGACGGACCAAAAGATCAATGACAAGAGAATAAAGGTTTCTCGGGTCTGACAGGAGAAGAGATGATTAGCCGTCGAACAAAAGGAAAAAGATGGCCACTCAGTTGACCGGGGTTCAGATGCAGCAGGATATGCAGAGGGCGCCAGCCTGCAGATGAAGGAATAAGTGACCAGTCCGTGTTTTGCTAGAACATGCATCGTCGCTCCACCAGCCTTGGGGGTTTTTCCTTCTTTTGCTAACTGAGTTGCTACCATAATATGCGCTGTGATGGATGTATCGCGCGGCTAGCAGATGCAGTCACATGCCAGGCTGACTCACCCAACAAGCGATGACCGATGTCTTGGTAGCAGGTGATGATGGCTGGCGATGAAGATGATAATTGACGATGGTGGTAGAGGATCGATCGGGGACAGCTGAGACAACAAACCTCTTGAATTGCAGAGACTTCGATCCCAGCGTTGATGTTCGAAAGAAAGCTTTGCGAGGGGTGCAACAGAGAGGAAAAGAAAGAGAGGAGAGGCTCTGTCTAGTGGAGGCTCATGGGCTAGTAAATATTAGGAAGGATAACAGGGAATGCAACATCACTATGGATGAATATTTAGACCTTTGTCTTTCTCTGTAATATTTGTGTGCTCATCCGGGACCGGGAGCGAAGAAAGAGATCCTCTTGGACGGGTCACGAACTTGCCTGTGTACGATCTTGAGCTGCAAGTAGTTCTTTCCCGCTAACTTTTGCACCATTTCAGCTTGTGACGAAACCATCCAGGTCAGTACGCCCAGTTCAGCAAGCCAGGATGATAGAGACAGGTGACAGCGGGCCCCCCTGGCACAATTCAACGGGGATATGATTGGTCAAGATAGTGCTCAAGCTCAGGGTCAGCGGGGCCGCAGGGTATGTCTAGCGGCAATTCTTATCGATAATAGTGGGTTTCAGCGGTGCCTTACGGGGACCTGTTTAGTGCCGTCATCGAGCTAGAGGCCCGCGAGGGACGACGGGCTGAGGTCGGCAGGTCGGGTCCATCGGGTCCTATCCACAGGCCCATCAAGGTCACAGTCCCCAGGGGCGAGCAGCTCCTGTGACAGAAAGACCCGTCACATGTCAACATGAAGAGCCATCATTCAGTCCCTTTACCGACAATGTACACACAACTTTTTCTTGCTTGCATTTTTTGCCCCCTCTCTTTTTCATCCCAGCTTGCTTCTCAAAATTCCGGCAGGACTAGGTGATTACGAACACGAGGGGCGTTTAGTTTCATGCGAAGCGGAGACGCAACATGGGCGAACCGGAAGGGTAAAAAGCGAGAGCGAGGCAGGGCACATGCTAAGACAAAGGCGATTGCGAACATGATAATGCGAATAAAGCGCCTCTCAGAAGAAAACGTGGTAGTAGGCTCTGACAAGAAAGCGTCTCAAGACGCCTATCCATATACCCAACTCCGAGCTTTTGGCCGACTGAAGGGACCGCGAAAACCAAGAGAAAGGAATACGAAACCTTACAATCATCCAATTCTCACATCCAAAGACATACCTTCCCCGATGCCGTCCCGCCCACAACCCAGTTCTGCGTCGGATGCAGATGCGCCACAGCCGGCACGGCCGTGATGCCCTCGCCGTCCAGCTGCGCCAGCTGCTCACCGTCGGCGCCGTAGACGTCGACAAAGCGGTTCATGTTCCCGATCGCAAGCTTCGCGATTCCGTCTGCCGGGTGCCGCTGCCACTGGGGCTTCAGGATCGTCACCCACCGGCCCGTCTGGTTATTGTGCTTGACCACGTGCGTGGGCTTCATCTCGTCATCGCCCGCCGTGTACCCAGCCTTCCATCTCGACGCCGCCTCCGAGAAGTCATAGATCTTGATCGTGTCGTCGTACGAGCTCGTGGCCACGTGGCCTGTCGGGCTCCATGATGCATGGGAGACAGAGAGCCGGGAGACGTGCTCGCCGACGGGGTGTGGATGTGGAGATGCCTTGCCGGTGATCTTGCGCAGATCCCAGATCTTCATGGTGCGGTCCAGAGAGGCTGTGGCCAGGAGGTGCGGAGCCTGAGGGTGCAGCGAGAAGCCACCAATCTTGGCGTCGCTGAGCTCCCAGATCTCGGCGTCGTCCTTCGTACGGAGGTCGTACCGGCCAACGGAGCCCGAGAGGGTGGAGAAAATGATTGTGTGGGGATCGCTCGAGGCCATATCGATGGAACTGATGGGGAGGTCTTGCTCGTCGTCCGGCCCGAACACTTGGACCGAGACCGGTGTCCCCGCACCAAGGTCGAGTTTTCGGATAGTCGAGTCGTAGGAGGCCGTGTAGACTGCGTTGAAATCTGTGGAGGGGAAGTGGAAGGACGATATAGTCCTCGTGTGCGTCTTGAAAGCTGATATCACGGGTGGCTCGACGGAAACTTCGTCCTCGTCCTCGTCATTGACCTCGGTTACCTCCTGTGAGGCGTCAAAAATGCCCATAGCACCCTCCTTATCTCCGGCAAAAATCAAAGGCTTCGCTTGTGTAGGGTGGAATCCCATTGAGTAAATTCGCTGCGGAACAATTTTGATATCTGGCGAGAATAGAGATTAGCAAAATAGTCTTGGTGGCTTCCGTACCTGCGATAGTGTTGTGATCGACTTACCATTAACAGCCCACTTATCATACATCTCCAGTTTGTTCATGCTTTCTCTCAGCTTCTTCAAATCCTTATCCGTAGTCTTCTTTATATCGTCCTCGTCAAACGTCCGCACGCCAGGATCAGCCCCCATCTTGGGCAGCAGAAGTCCCAATGAATTAATATTGTCATTAAATTTCCTGCCTTCGACCATAATACTGTCCAAGCTCAGGTCGTCCGAAACCCTAGCCTTTTTGGCCGGCCTTTCCGGAGGAAGCAGGGCGGCCGGGACATTGTCGTCGCGTTCTCTCTTGACGGGATCCTGACCCTTGAGTCGTGAACTCGCCCTTGTCGCAACGGTAGGTTCGCGCTTCGGTCTCTCACTCCTACCGACAGGAGATCTCTTGCGTCGCACTGGCTTGGGTGCAGGAGGAGGCTTTGCAATTTTAACGGCGGACTTTGAGATGTCTTTGAGAATGGCTTGGTTGGCGGCGATGTTCTGCAGTCTACGCTGCTCGAAGAGGGACACGCCCTCCTTCTTGGGAGGCATGATTTTTCTTCAAAAATAGATATCAGTAGCAAAGATCTTCAGGATTGGAAAGTACGAAGGGCAGTCACTTTGAACTTGACAAGAGCAGACTGGATGTAAGGAAAATGGAGTGGGCTGTGAAGCTCACGGCGTCATCAGATTCTCAGACTAGAGAAGAAAAAAGGCACTTTAAAAGAAGAGACGCGTCAACTTTGGCGCGATGGCCGGCAGCCATTGACACAGTGACGCCCTTTCGCGAGTAGCACGCGCTAGCACGCTCCTTTCCAGGGGCCCGAATAGGCATGGCAGGGCACCAATTCACAGGGGTCCGTGGTGGGTAGAATGGCGATAAGCATGGCTCCGTCTTATCGGGTGGGACGACCCCTGTAAATTTTTTAGTCCGTTCTGCAACCTCAACTTTCCAATCCAAGCCGTAATTTTGCCTGCTGTATTTTCTTCCTCCCATCACGAGTTAACCAACAGCGCTCTTGGTGAGAGATTGAATTATTGCCGAGATGCCCACTACGCTTACTCCATTTCTTTATCAGACGGGTACCCTCTCAAGGTGCGCCAGGGCGGCAGTCTTGCGATCCAGCTTCCACACGACCTCCCGGCGGCGTAAATATGAGGACGATATTATCCCCTTTGAGCTGCCACCAGATCTCGAGAATCCCACAAAGAGACAGGGTCGTCGACAAGATACAATCACGCCGACTGAGCGACTTACCTTCGAGAATATTTTTAAAGAGATCGCACAGAAGGGCAGGAAGCCCAAGCTGCCTAAATCCACCCCGACCAAGAGTGACCAAGAAGAAATCCCGAGCATCCTCACGGCTCTACAATCGGTAGGTCAGGATGAGGATAGCAGGGATCAGACAACCTTCAATGTCAACTCCATAATGGAGGATGCCGCCTCGAGGTACAGCAAGGCCCAGCCGTCCATCCGAGGGCTTCACCCGCTATCCCCACTGGATGCGACGTACTCGGCAGCCGAGCGAGAGAAGGCCCTGCTGCGGTTTCCGCCCACGCTACGACAGGCTGCGAGGATGGCCTTCGGCATGTTCGAAACGGTGGAAACTATGCCTACAGTCCAGCTGGAAGGTGGCAGAATGCAAAAGCTTGGCTCGTCGACAGAGTTGGACCCGGTCGAGACAGTTGGGGCTGGAAGCGGGGTCAGATCAACCGGTGATCAACTTGCCAAGACATTGGAAATCGAAGCAAGGCGCGGCGAGGAGCGACTGCGGATCAAGACGCGGATGGATGCTGCAAAGGATGACTTTGAACTCTGGGACGCTCTGGAGCATGAAGTCTTCCCTCTTGTCCATCGCCTGGGCATTAAAGACTCCCCGCCAAACCCCGCCTTCAAGCCAAGGAAGGTCAGGCGCTCTAGGAAGAAAGAATTGGTCGAGGAGGAACCTGAGGTCCAGCCAGAAGCCCAACAAGAGGACGTGCAGCAGGGTGCGACTCACGCCCCCTTGGACATGGAGGTCTATGGGCCCATCTACCCACAGCTCCTGCTGGAGGGTCTCGAGATGCTCGATACCAAGTTCGCCCGTCCATCTCCCTACGTCGCACACCTCCTCCCGCGCGTCAAAGAACTCGGTCTGGTATCGTACGTCCTCGGTGTGAGCACGTCGTTTTACAACCGCCTGATGAAACAGCTGTGGAACCGCTATGGCGACGCCCAGGGCGTGTTAAACCTGCTTGAGGAGATGAGGCACGCGGGCCTATATTTTGACGAGGAATCCAAGTCGGTTGTCCACCGTATCGAGATGGTGTACAAATCCGCCGACGAGGGAGCCAAGGATTTCTTTGCTGCAAAGCTGATGGACATGCCCGAGTTCGAACCGATTCTGGCTGGCAGGCTGAGTCATTGGGTGAGCCACATCGACCGGAGTATCAAGGAGAGGAGGCTAGGGCTGGGATTCTGACTTGATCATGGATTCTGACTTGATCATGGATTCGCGCCAACGTGAGCTATCTCTGGACGGATGAAAGAAAAGACACAATTTCTATTCCTCTCATTGCCTTGCGTGCCTCACAGTATACCGCTCATGACTTGTCGAAATAGGCCTGCTGATGTGAAAGACAAGAGTGGTTCATGTATGACATTGACCGCATGACCAAACACTTGGTTCTTCATCCACATAAGCAAACTATTAACAGGATGAACCAAGAACTCTGGTGATGCATCAATTCCCATAAGTCGTTGCCAGATGCGTCCCCATTCATGCCCATCTCCCCTCGGATATTCCATCATTTTTTCATCTTTGTCGTCCATCATACAACATCATCACTTCAGTGGGCAACTTGTGCCGACATCAACCATTACTCCTGAGGTCCCTCGACTAACCGTCCCTCATAATGTCTCGAATCTTACCCGTCACATTGTTGAGGCCGAGATCCTTGCCGACATAGAACTGCGGAATGGCCTCCCCATTGGTCCACCTTTCAGGGCCGAAGCCTGTGATCATGGGGCGGAAATCACTTGGAACATTCATGATTTCCAAGCACGCCTGCAGGTCGTAGTCCCGGCCTGGCACTTGGCGAGCAACAACCCTTCGGAGAAGAGAACAAGAGTTAGTCCATGAACAGTTCTTTGCCAGAGCATGACCCCATAGTAAACATAATGTGTACACTCACCATCCACGTTGCTCGTCAGTATGAACAGTGAACATCATCAGCCTGCCAATTCCGCTTTTCCCAAGCTGCAGAATCCCGCAAAAGTCGTCCGCCGTACGCTCCTGTCCGAACGCAGCAGCAGACCAACCGATATAGGTTTCAGTAGGCTCGTCGGGGCGAACCATGGTCATGCGGAAGGTGGTACGCTGGTCGACGAGAGCTCGTATAGAAAACAGGGTGCTGCCAGTGATCTCGAAATCTGGGCCTAAGGGGTTTCCTATACGATGAAGAGCCATCTTGGCGCCAGGGTAGAGCATGCCCAGGCTGGCCAGACATGCGCCGCGGATGCGCATCTTCCTGGGTGGCGGCTGGGTGCGGCCATCGTCCTGGTCGCTTTGCAAAGCTTGGTCGTTGACAATGCTGCTCGGGAAGGTGATGTCTTCAGCCTGCAGCTCCAGGGTGGCGCTGCTTTCCCTGCTGTAGTCACGCTCAAAAGCACCTAGGCTGTCCCTGCCGCCCGGACGATGGGCAGGATCTGGGGCGGTCTTTGGGGTTTCGTTAATATTTGTGCTCAGGCGGGATAGATTGGGTGTATGGTGCACCTACCAGGTCAACGATCTCACGGCGAAAAGACATCTTTGTTACAGCCTCAACAAGACGAGGGAATACCGTTGACAGTGTGTTGCTCAGGAACGGGGACGAAGTCGACTTGGCAACCTTACGAATGGAAGGACCTCGAGTTGGTTGACGTATGTGAACATAGGTGTGAGAATGGACGATGAGATGTGATACATGGAGCACGAGGAAAACACAGGAAAAGAAGGTCTAGTTGATCTTCAGAGAAACCAGATGTCAAGACGGAGAGGGTATTGAGGGGGAAGAAAAAACAGGAAATGCGAAAGAGGGAGGACGCGTTTGGGAAAACAATTCAGCTGACTAACGCATCTGGAGCTTGAATTTGTATTTACATTTCTCGAAACTTTGGGTTCTCTGCTAGAAGCCTCTCGAATCTCAAAGTTCCAAGACTGAATTCCAAAAAAGCGAGCTTTATGTGCTGCTTTCTTACTGGAACTGCTGCCGAATCGAAAGTTATCTGCTGCCATTTCCAATACCCTGCCTCCGTCTCGACCACATCACTTTTACCAGATTATCCTTCTCCTTGAATTTTCTTTTCTTCTTTCGGTTGTGTTCCAAAAAAAAAAAAAAAAAAAAAAAAAAAAAGGACTTTAAGATCAGCTAGTCACCAAGTCATCATAATATGTGGCTTTTAAGGAGGACGTCACTATGTAGACCCAGGGAGGATGCAGACAGTAAACGTAGATAATCGAGACTTGACAACTGTTTGAATCCCGTTTTCAATTGCTCGTCCTTTTCGGTCGGATTATATCACGATGTACCACCCAATCTAAGTCATACTCAAGGGCGTTGTCGTAAGCATTCAAGCCGCGGGTTGCAACAAGGTCGGCCACGAGTGTCACCGCTGACTCGGGCTGCAGCATTGTGGGCTTCCACGATCTCGTATGCCACGAGCAAAAGTACAGAGTTCGATCCTGTGCTGCCGTTACAAGGATGAGCTTCCTCATCCAAGCTCAAAATATGTGGTCTCTATAGAACATCGTATGGTATCAACAAAACGGTAAAGGAATGGAGAACAGTACTGTCGCATATTCCAGGAGCGTCGTCACATTGTGGCTGACCGTCTAATATCAGCCGATACATATGTATTGCCTGTCGTGTACAGCACTCTCGTCTTCATGTGCTTACTACGCATTTTGAAATGCAATATGCCCATAAATCCGTAAGAGAGATTGGGAACGCAATTCAGCCTAACTTTTCTTAGAAAACCCCATTCTGATTGCCAGAGTTGGTCTGGAATCGTACCTGCCCGTGTCTCGGCCTTTCGAAGACGGCGTTAGGGACAATTCAAGCAGAATCTTTTGGGATTCTTTGATGATGATCAGCAGGCAGTAATCTGAGCTACTTTCTTCTGATTTAAGTGGAACGCAAGCATGAGATCTATGGTGATGAAGTAGTTTGGGCATGGGATCTGCTCTATAGCTGTTGGAAGCCCCCATATGTTGTTTCTGCGCAACTTCACAAACACATGCGCAGATAGGTAGAAGAACGTAGAGAGTGCCTCAAAGACTCAAAGTTCCATTACCCAACCTAATCTCCTCGATTCTCCTCCTCTCCCCTTCCGTCCCCCGCCACGTCCGACCATGAAGGTGCTTCAGACAGACCTGTTTCCCCTCTCCAGGATAATACAACCAGCACGCCCACTTCTTCCACACCCCATCTTTCATCTGGTTGCGCGCCCGTTGCCCGATATGGTCCTCGATGAACGCGCCGCGCGGCATGGCCAGCCGCGACGGGAAGATGCGGTTCAAGTAATGTGCGGTCGAGGCGATGTGTGTCTTGTCGTGCCAGAAGAATAGAGGCGTCAGGGGGATGACGGCTGCCTCGGACCCAGAAGAAGACGAGGACAACAATGGCGGTTGGAAATCTCGCTTCAGGGCGGCGGTAAGGCGCCGCAGAGCCGGGTAAGGTTGGACGTGGTCCGAGGTCGCGTAGTCGAGCATCCTGATAGACGGCAGGCAGACGTATCTGACCAATGCTAGCTCCTCCTTCTCCTTCTCTTTCTCTGCACTTTCCTCTGATGCCCGCATGACCTCCACGATCGACTCCACGGGGATGCTGGCGGCCAGGCTCCAATCGTGTTGCTGGATCCACACATAAGGCGTCTCGACGAGCCTCAGTGCCGACCTCACTGCCAGCCCAAAGCCAAGGCGCTCTGTAGGCTCGATGAACGTGACCCGCCTGTCATTGGTTCTCCAGGCCGTGAAGGCAGTGGTGTTCGGGTGTTCAGGCGTTCCCCAAGAACCAAACTCTGCCTGTCCTTTCTCCGCCGTCATAGGCATGATGCTATCAGGTGATTCCCCAACCTTGGCGCCAAACCGTCGCAGAACGACTTTTTTGACGTTCTCCTTGTACAATGGGTACGTTGCAGCACGCTCGGCAGTCACGTGGCCTTTCTTGAGGCGGTTCGCTGGTCCTACTTTCTCGTACGTGTCCAGAATAACCACCACTCTACACGCAAGCAGAACTGGACAGTATTCGCAGAAAGAATCCAGGATAGTGTCCACAAGCTCAGTGGAAGGCGCTGAGGGTGTAGGCGATGTGGTGAGGATGACCGTCAGCGACTCGGAGATTGGTGTCGTCGACCTTAATTCGCACCTTGGTTGGGACATCGTCACTACTCTGCACCTGCAGGGCAGGGTCTGGGTCTTCCTGTACAGACCATGCGGACTGTCATCAACCACAGGCCAGCTGCCTCTGTTCTGTGTCGGGATGAGCAGACGACGTGAGGCAAAGTTGAGTTGACGCTGCAGAAAACGAACCCACAAAGTGCTGAAATTTCAGCGCTGATTGGCCATGCCTTACAGTTGATCTAGGTTTCGCTACTGTAGGCTAGGCTGTCAGGCACTCGGCAACCCCCGAAAAAGTAAGTCTAGCGCCCTGGAAATATGACCGGGGTCCCCTGGTGTTAGTCAGTGGTTGTCCCCCATTTTCAATCCGTACGACCTTCGTTTCTCATGCACGTTCATCATGTGCAGAGCACCTGGCAACATCATAATTTTGAATATGTACATTATGTAGATACAATCAGTTGATCTCTCCGGGATAAGATCAATTCCACTGTCTATTTATTGAACCTGCCTCATCCACCCTTCCTTGCCACCACCCTAAAACTTGAAGCCCTCGTCATTCTCCTTCGACTGCCTCCTCATCCTCTGTCGCAACCATCTCAAGTAAATTCTGTCCCTGCTAAACCAGAGATACGGAAAAGAGAACAAGGAAGAAAAGAGAAGGAAGGGAAATCCTAACCAACAACTCAGTGTAGGCCGACCCTTTTTACGCCCGATCGCGACAGGAATAAAACTGATGACTTCTGATGCCGCCAGCGTCAAATGTGGGCTTCCTCTTAATCCATAGTTTTAGGCGTCATGGCCACATTCTCAACTGGTTGAGTCTGGTGTAATGATAATGTCCAGGGATAATTCTTGTCTGCAGGACAGCCTCATTGTTTTAGGTCATTCGTCACACATGCAATTCCTGGTCGGGACATGGCAGCAAAGACGTGAGAATACTCCCTGGGTGTGTGAAAGCGTATGAAATTCTATTGTGTGAAAATCGGTCCGATGAAGAATCAGATAGTTTGTCACCAATCGCTGATCGTGAGAGAATGTGAGGTTGCAGACCTGCATCAAGTAACTCTCCCTACTATGTCTCTCGAGCTCAATATGTTCCGGCAAATGATAGAATTACTGCCAGAATCGAGTAATGGCCTGCAGGATTCCAGAAGTACGAAGCGTGCGAAAGAAAGTGCATTTTACAAGAACGTTTTAAACAGCGTGAAATTTGAATGCTCATCGAACGTTTTCCAGCCCATGGTACTCAAAACGTCTTATGTGTTGCCCTGCCATCCCTTAGTCCAATGACTCAATCCTCACGAGTTCTTCATCTAGGGAGACCCAACTATCCTTATGTCTTCCAAGGGCCCGAGAGGAATTGACCAACGAACTTGTTGACAAATTCTTGATCTAGAAGAGGAGGGTCAGCCAGAGCCTGAGAGAGGCTCCTGGCATTCTCGGTAACATATCGTTTCGACGGCGCAAAACTCTCCTTGTCATACTTGGTGGCAAAAAAGTCCACAAGCCGAATAGGAGGGTTCGCAACCGGGTCCGGATTCGATTCCCTCAGCCTACGAATCCACTCCTTGGGCTCAACCTCCTCAAACTTTAGCCCAGCACCACGAAGAGCCGGCAGCAGATCATTCGTCCAGCTAAACAAACGATGATTCGCGACGTTCGCAAAGAGACTACCAGCTCCTGATAGAGAAATCTCCGACACGCCCTGCGCCACGACATCAACAGGTAGCCACGATGGCTCCTCCTGCAGCTTGGGCAGAGCGCCCACCGTCAGAGCCGTCTGCATGCACATGACGACACCCTCAGTTGCGTTCCACACCCCGTGTTCCGTGTCTGCCACGATCTGTCCAATCCGTAGCACGCGCACGGGGACCCCTGATGTCTCGCCTGCCCGCGCGCAGATCGCCTCTGCCACGGACTTGGACTGGGCGTAGCCCATACCTTGGGCCCACTCGGGTCTGGGCTCGGCTTCGGGCACGGGGCCTTCAGCATCGGGATGGCGGACTACAGCGCTGACGGAGGAACAGAAGTTGAAGGACGGGGTGGTGTTGGAGGAGGAGGAGGCTTGCTGGCATAAGTTTATGAGGTTTTTGACGCCTGCTAGGCTGTCCTCAAATGTGGAGAGCTTGATGTTGAAGTTGACTGGCCAGGCGGAGTGGATGACTGCGCGGAGACCGGAGCACACCTCTTGGTATATGAGTTTCTCAAGCCCCAAATCTGCCCTGGACAAGTCGCAGGGGAGGGAGATTATCTTCTTGCGCTCTTCAGGGGACAGACCGTCATACACTTTGCGCTGGGTCATGGACTCTGTGGTACGCTTTGCTGCGATGTCACTGTCGCTGGCGCGCACCAGACAGTAGACCCGTTCGATGGAGTTGTCTCGAACGAGTTTGGCGACGAGGTGGGCACCTAGCGAGCCAGTCGACCCTGTTACAAGGACAAAACCGCCATCATTCTGACCCAGATTCTTTGGCGCATCTTGAACCTCAGATTTGAAGTTGCTGTACTTCTTGACAAGTTCTCGCATCTCAGCCTCGATATCCTCTGTCTCTACGTCACCCGCGCCAAGCAGGTACGCAGACAGCTCACGGACAGATGGGTGCTCAAAGACGACATTTTGTGTGAGCTTTCTGGCAGTCTTGACCGACTTGAGCAGCTCAGCCCTGATCTGGATCGCGCGCAGCGAGTCAACACCCAAGGCGAAGAAATTAGTGTCATCGTCGAACTCCACGCTTCCTTGAGCGCCAGCCGAGGCTTTGGAGAGGAGACCACGCAGGAACTCTCGGAGCTGCTCCTCAGACATGACCTGTGCATGTTCGTTCGAGGCGTTGGAGTTGGTGTAGGCCGTCTCCATCTCCCTGGCAAACTTCTTGTAAAAAGCCTGGCGGATGATGCTCCCCTTGTCTGTTGTCGGATACGCCACATCGTGCGGCAGAATCACACACATTTCTTTGGACAGCTGAGCGAACGCGTCGTTCTCTGCCTGTGTCGCGTCCACCACGGCCCAGATCTCATCAATTATCTGTTCTGGACTCCAGCCAGCTGTTGCGGGAGACGGGATGACGAGCAGGCCTAAATAAGGCTGCTGCGCGCCAAACACAACTGCCTCCGTCACAAGCCTCGAGGACCTTATTTTGCCCTCCGTCACTACCGGATTGAACTTCTCGCCATTGACAAGAACGATGGTGTCGTCCTGGCGCGCAATGTACTTCCATGCGCGCGGTATGGTCGGGTGCGGCTCGAACAAGTCTTTTGTGCGGTATGAGCCGTCGTCCATGTTGGTGGCTGTCTTGGCTGGCCAGCCTTGTTTGACGCAGCATTCGAAGAGGCCTGGGCCCTGAGGGAGCCAGAAGAGAAAAGGAGCCAGCTTGTCGTTCTCGCGGACGTAGTTCCAGGCCTTGTCGCCTGCTGGTCGAAAAGAAGTCATGAGCTGGCCAACCTCGGTGCTAAAGAGAAATGAAGCGTTGTCAGTGACATTGAACTACCAGCAAGGAAAGAATTCATTATTAGAACGCACGCTCCATAGTGGCTGACGAGATTCACACCGTTGTCCACAAGTAAATTTCCCAAGTCATCAGGACAAGCCGATCCACCGTACATGACGACTTTAAGCGCTGCCAAGATCTTCATTCCCTCGTCGCTCTCAGCGAGAAGCTTGAGCGCGTAGGGCACGCCGTAGAAAATCTCAAAGCTGTAGCTACGCATGACGCTGACCAGGGCGTCACTCGTGAGCGGCAGGTCGGCGTTGAAGAGGTGGATCTGCTTGCGAGACCACACAGCGCGGAAAAAGTTGCAGATGCCATGGTTATGGTAGAGAGGAAGGGTGATAAAGGCTTTCATGTCAGGGTGGACAGAGAAGTTGGACAGGGCTGCGCTTTGTTTCTGGTAGATGGCCTTGGGCACACCCGTCGATCCTGTGGCAGTGGAGTGTTAACAGTTTGTCTCATTATCTTGTCGATAATAATTATCACACAATAATCACAGGATAATGAGGAAGCACTGGTTCGTCCTTGCTTACCACTCGAGTGAATAATGTAGACAATCTCATTCGTCTCAACCTTCACATCCAGTGCCGCATCCAGCTGCGTGTCCACATGCACAGAAACCGGAAATTCAAACACATCCCGCGTAGGCATATCCAAGACCCGAAGCCCAGGCTTCACCTTCTCTACCGCCAAAGCTGTCTCGACATAACGCGGATCCGCAATCAGGAACGACGTCCCCGTCGCCTCGATCAGGGCCTCAATCGCAGGTGGCGGGATCCGGATCGACAAGAACAGCACCGTATGCCCGGCTTTAAAAAGCGCCAGTAATGTGACGAGGTACTCTAGATTCGATGGGCCCAGTAGGGCGACTGTGGTGCGCTTCTGGGCGGAGGTGGTCCTTGTAGGGATGCTGGACTCGAGATGTCTTGCGACCCTGTAGGCGAACACGTCGAGCTGCTGGTAGGTGTAGTCGACGTAGTCCACTCCACTCTTGGGATAGGATACGATGGGGAGGTTGGGATAGGTTGTTGCTCTTGAGCGGAGGAGGGCGTCAACAGTCTGTAGCGCGGAGTCGTCCATCTCGACGTGTTCTGCTGTGGCTGACTCTTGATCTGAGTGGGATGGATTGGTGAGTAGAGGTGAAGATTTGGGGACGACAGCAGCAGTGGAAGCCATGGTGATGATTTTGTATAGACGATATGTAAGTAAGAAGATTGTGGTTGTCGAATTTCTGCTTCTAGCCAGAATAAAAATATAATATCAATTAAGACAGCAGCAAACTGGATTCAAATCCTGTATATGAGTATATCCTTTCTTTCATCTTCTGCTTCATGCTCTCCTGTCATTTGTCCACTATTGAGTCGCATGATCAACGTATCAAGCATGGTTGAGGCGGCGGATGAGGAGGAGTAGGAGGAGGCCCGCCGATCACGCTGGCCACTACGGCTTTCCGGGTTGGTGATTACCGAGGTGGTCAAGGACATATACTTGCGCAGCGTACGAGTCGTGTGCTGTTTCTCTCCAACAGTATCAACTTATTTCCGACGGTTCTCCAAGTGATCAAGAGAGGCTCACTTTTTACCCAGCTTTGCAACATTTACCTGGTGGCACAATATATGATCATCAGATATACACTGATGCTGCCTCGAGTCCAACACTCTCTCAAGTTTAGTATAGACACAATAAACGTTGACTGTCATGACCACAGAGCCGGAATAACCTCGCGACTTGTCTCCGGCGACTAGTATACATTCGAATTGAGGTGCTCCACCCCCGCATTCGATACTACATGAAGATACTAATTCAGTATGGCGATGGCACGATGGAAACCCCCACGCTGACGAAGATAAAGTCACGCTGAGGAGTCTAAAACAGGTATGACTACTTGCGAATAGCCAAAAATCAATTAACAAGTTCCGGATAGGTGAATAAACTGCGTCTGAAATATACGAAAGCGTCAAGTTGAAGGTTGAGGTGCTCAAATGGTGCCTCGTGTAAGAATGAATGGAAATGAATTGGTAATAGCGAGGCAATGAAATACTCTCAAATCATACAACCATACGAGGATGTCGTGGAGGCAATCTCCAACTCCAAAAAACGTGCTCACTCATACTTTTAGTGTCTGGCCAAAAATCCACAGATGAAGCGCTAGCCAGTTTTGTTGAGTAAAATGAAGGGAGATCAACATGATGAGCACGTTACGTTCTGACAGAAATGAAGAGTGCCTTCTTCTCAGACTACAACAGTATGTTGTAATGGATATAGAATGATCGTAGAGCAAGGGTGGATTGTTGATGACCACAGCAGGAGAAAGAGACCCTCGAGACAATTACAACGGCCTAAGAGAAAAAGTGTTGTTGAGAAACAATTGAAGGGACATAATTCAACAGCTTCGACATTGCAGATGCAACTCTCCAGAAGAGATAATCTGCAGCTCACCCATCAAGCGAGTACCCAACCTCGCCCGCCTCCTGACCCAACTTGACCAAAGCCGACTTCATCTTGTCCGCCCTCACCCTTGTGTGCTCGTCAAGCCCACTAAAGTCCACCCGATCAATCCAGTCCCGCAGGCCATGCTGCAGCACATTCCTCGCCCGCAGCGTCGACCCGTCCACATGTCCTGCGCTCCCGTGCAGCGTCAGCCTGTCCACCTTGGAATTGTAGGCACCCCGATGCAGGATATTGTTGTTATAGAAGACCACATCGCCCGCCTTGAGCTTGACGACAAGCTGGCCCGGGATCTCCTTCTCAAAGGGATCAGCAGCCCTCTCGACGTCCGTCCTCGCGCGTGCGTGGCTGCCCGGCACGACGATGAGGCTCGCATCGTCATACAGGGCGAGGTTCCACTGCGCAGAATACGCGGGCTGCCTCAGCCTCTCCAGCTCCTCGTCGGGCGTGGCCGAGGCAGGGATGTCGTCGCGGTGCCAGCGCAGCTCGAAGTCGCGGTCCGGGCGCACCAGCAGGTTGAACAGCTCCATGACCAGGTCGTCGTCGGTGCACTGCAGCAGCTCCCGGGTGGGCGCCACGACGGCGTCGCTAAAGTACATGGCCACGAAGGTGGACGAGCCTGGCATGTCGGGGTGCATTATGCCCTGGACGCCCCAGATGCCCTCGTCGCGGGCGATCTCGGGCGTGTTGCGGGGCCAGGGCGGGAACTGCTTGGGGAGGGTGCGCACGCTGGGCCACTTGCCGGCGCGGGCGAGGGAGGTGGCTTGCTCGGCGGCGGAGCGGAGCTCGGTGAGCTGGGGGTCGGTGATGGCGGAGGGGATGACGACGAAGCCGTCGCGGTTGAGGCGGTCGAGGAGGGATGTTGCTGTCATTGTGGGAAAAGTTGTGTTTGTGTGCCAAGGTAAAAGTCAAGTCTAGAATGTTGGGTGAAAGAGAGGCGAAGATGAAGGAAGAAAGTACTTTGTTGTGAACAGAGGATGAATTACTTTGTCTTGATGAAGAAGGGCGTGGACTGAGGCTGTTTTAATATGTGTATACTATGTAATGTCTTTGGCTGAAGGGACGTTGGTTTAAAGTTGGAGCCCTGGCTAATGGTGAATACTTTACTGGTGATGGAACTCTGTGATTGCATGTCTCGCACTGTCTTTGTGTGTGTTCTTTGCATCGAAAGTAATGTGCACCAAGACTGTGCGGATACTGTAGAAACCATTCATCACCTTATCCTCAGTTCATGGAACGTTGCAACGTTTACTGAGCCGTGCCGCTGTGTACAACTATTACAAAGAGTGATCTCTCCTCATGTGTGTACGGAAGTCATACTTTTGGAGAACCACATGAGGCTATTTGCTTACTTGCTTGTCTGGTTACGTAGGATTTATTTGCTTGCGTTCTTAGCGCGTACTTCCATCATGATTTCTTCGTCTGTGTCTCTCTCTTCTTTTACGTGTGGAGTGGTTACCGCTGAGATAATGATGATTACTCTATTTCATTCTCATATTGACTTCTTTTCTTATGATCACTGTATCATTGCAAATAGAGGCTAGGTTTAGCAGCACACTTCTCAACAACGATAGCAGCCAAAAACGGAACAGACGGCATAACCCAGGCTCAAGATAAACAGGCCCTTGTGGCTTGAACTGTTCCGACTGCATGCATTTTCCCGGCATCGACCCCGCTTCCATTTTCAGCTCGTATAATGCGTTACACCCTTCCTCAACCCGGTTCAGGTCCCGATTTCTAGGCTCTGGATTTGTCGATTTCTCCAAGCAGCGTTGCAATACCTCTAGCCATGCTGCCCATGGTACGACAGCGCGCATAGGTAGCGCGTCACGATGCTGCACGCTGCCTGCAACGTTGACTAGGAACGCCTGCGCTGCCGGAATCCAATGCTGCCTGGCTCTGTCATCTTGTCGCCTCTGTCCAGGTCTCTGTGCTCCCATGCCTCCTCATCTCGACGAGTCGGGTTGTATATTTCTCACCCATCTCATAAGCGGTACCGAATCCCGACTCTTTTGATTTATAACCACTTCGTTGCAGAACAGTTCAAGTTGAGACATGAATAGTCAATTGAGGTTTCACTCATATCACCGCATTCCTAACACTGCATGTCCTCTCCCCGCTCACTAAACTGAACCTTGGTTGGAATCTGCTCCATAATTATCACAGTCTAAACCCTATTAAAAGATCCATTCTTTATTTACCTATCATTTCTAGATTGACACCACAGGACCACACCAACAATGCTCCTCATCCTCCTCACCATGGCTGCCTTCAGCCAACTCCTCCTCGCCTCCCAGGCTCAGGCAGGCTTCGACCCACCCGGCATCCTCTCTCCCTTACCCCCCATGGGCTTCAACGACTGGTCCCGCTACATGGGTGCCCTCAATGAATCCCTCTTTGTGCAGACAGCCGAGGCGATGGCTTCCAACGGCCTTCTCGCCGCCGGCTACAACCGCATCAACCTCGACGACGAGTGGTCTCTCATGACCCGTGCCGCCAACGGCAGCATGCAGTGGGACCCAGTCAAGTTCCCTCACGGCCTGCCCTGGCTGACGGCCTTCCTGCGCGAGCGAGGCTTCCTCCCTGGCATCTATACCGACGCGGGCAATCTTTCCTGTGGAGGGTATCCGGGCGCATACGGTCACGAGGCCCTCGACGCGGCAACGTTCGTGGGCTGGGGGTTCGAGTACCTCAAGCTGGACGGGTGCAACATGCCCGACGCCACTGAGGAAGGGTATCGTGCGGTGTATGGGCTGTGGCACGATGTGCTGTCTGCCATGTGGCCCAACCAGATGGTCTTCTCGCAGTCAGCGCCGGCCTATTTCGCCGAGGCCGCCAACCTCACAGACTGGTACACCGTCATGACCTGGGTGCCGCAGTTTGGCCAGCTCGCACGGCACTCGCGCGACACGCTGGTCTGGAACAGCACCAGCTACTGGCCCAACATCACGGGCTGGGACTCGGTGCTGTTCAACTACGGCCAGGAGGTGCGTCTTGCGCGGTTCCAGCGGCCGGGCTATGTCAACGACCCGGATTTCCTGAACGTGGACCATTTCGATTACACGGATGACGAGCGGCGCAGCCACTTTGCCCTGTGGTGCAGCCTGAGCGCGCCCTTGATCCTGAGCACGGATGTGCTCAACATGACCGAGGTCGAGCTGGATTATCTTACGAACCGCGACCTCATCGCTGTGGACCAGGACCCGCTCGTGCAGCAGGCCACGCTGGTGAGCCAGGACGGGACCTGGGATGTGCTGACGAAAAGCTTGTATAACGGAGACAGGCTGGTCACGGTGCTGAATCGGGGCAATAGCTCGGCGGACCTGACTGTCTCATGGGCCAGGATCGGCATCTTCCCAGAGGACCTGGCCACGCCGGAGAGCGTGATCGTAAAGGACCTCTGGACGGGCGAGAACTCCACTGTGAGCGTGAATGATGAGACGGGAATCACTGCGAGCAGTGTTCCCTCGCACGGCACTGGTGTCTACCGCCTGTCGAATCCCTCGCCTGGTGATGCAATCCGCACGTACCCCACTGGCATGATCTTCAACACATACTCTCTGAACTGTCTGACAGACTCGACGTCTGGCACCGTGCGCTGGACGAACTGCACCGCTGCTGACGCGCAGGTGTGGAGGGTTCGGCCGGATGGACATGTCAACAGCCTCCTTCAGCCAGATGCCTGTCTCACCGGTGGGAATAATGGGTCTGTTGTCTCTGACGGGGCTGGATGTGACGTTGGGAGCGCGAATCAATGGGATCATTTCATCTCGGGGAACCTAATCAATGCCGGTTCGGGTCTTTGTTTAACGGAGGATCAGAGCGAGGATGGCAGTGATGATTCCGTAGCTTTTGTAGAGGCTTGTGGATATTTGACCAACGAACAGGTCGTTGCTCTTCCTGTAGGGGTAGCTGTATAGAAATGAAGAAACCCAAGGCCTCATTCCCATCCATCCAACTTGTAGACCTGTTGTTTCCACAGTAAGACCTCGATTCCTTTCTATGCCTTTCCATTCCCGTCATCCAAAAGCTCACTCCGCCCATCAACCCCAGCCCATTTCCTCACTCCATCCCCCTCAAAAACTCCCTCATCCACCACCCGACCAGGCCAGCAGATGTGCTCGCGCACCCGGAACCCCTCCCGCCCCTCTTCTGTACCCCTCAGCCCCTTGAGGAGCTCTGGGAACAACATGATCATGTTCCGCCCTTCGTCCATGATCGGCGTGTGGCAGGTGCCACAATAGACCTTGCAGGGTGTGGAGTGGACGGGCTGACGGAGGGTGGACGAATAGTAAGCCAGTCCTTCGGTGCCGTTGGTGAAGCGGAGGTCGGACTTGTGGAAGATGGTGGCCCATTGGAAGGCGGCCTGGTGGGGGTTAATGGGAGGTAGAGGAGTTGTGGGTCGAGATGCAGAGGCAGAGACAGAGAAAGAGATTGAACCCAGAGTGAAAGATGAAATACCAATGACTACCGCAATGGCGGATGACTTACCGCATGCATGGTCTGACAGTCTTTACAGTGACAGTACTTTGAAGCAAGTGGTTTTGCCCGTCCCAACAGATAGTGTACCTTCCCACAGTGACAAGAGCCTTCCCATTCTGCCTTGAAGTCATCCTCGCCCTCCGGCTTCCGGTATGGGTGCTCTCGTTTCCATGCCTCGTCATCCATGGAATCTAAGGGTTGAGGAGGTGTTGAGGCCTGACTTCCTGAGGCTGGAGGGGGAACGGTTGAGTGTGTAGATGACATGTTCATTGCATTTTAAATTAACGATAGCTGGTGGAAGATTGTTGCAGGATGAAGGGAGTGTGACAAAAAGGGTCATTGGTGTTCAGGCTAAGAGGAGAGAACAAACTGAATATGCTGATGACGTCAAGTACCAGTCTGCAGTCTTGAATTTTTATCTTCACACGATTTTCTTAAAATCTTGAACACGGGACATTGGAAATAAATTAATAAACACCATCGACTTCTGGTTGTTATTTGACATAAACCTCAGTCGGCTTAAGTGAATCTAGATCAACTCCATGCTCCGCCAAAAGCTCCCGTGTGAAAACCTTTTGGGCAAAGTGGTCCAAATCAATGCTTCTTGAACTTTCTTTAAAAGTCCGCAATAATGGTAAGATCTTGGCAATTGCCGACATTCTCTCTTCCATGCCCTGCGTGAATTTCTCCCAATCCCAATACTTCTCGTTTGTGGATCGACTTTGTATTTCTGGCTCAAGTTGCACGGGGTTGCCTGCCCCGAAACGCTGATCCATGATCTTCTTCAGCATAGAATTGATTAAGAAGGTCGTCTCATCTTGATCGCCTTCGTGTCGCGCCTGGAAGGAGGCTCTTTCAACTCCCACATGACGAAAGATGGTGTATTTCGCGTCCTCGAGAATGTCCCATGTGGTTCTGAACCGGCTAGGCATTGGGAAGATAGAATTGGCCCTTGTCATATCAGACTCGGCGCGAAGCTTCTCAAATAGGTCGAAGGTGATCTTCGCCCAGTGTGTGAGATGTTTCAAGACAGTGTGCATGGGTTGACCCAAAGTGTGCCGATATTCCGGCACATCCTGCTTGGGGGTCTGTTTTCCCAACCTCTCGTCCCGATCGTGCAGTATGAACAGACTCAACAAGTCGCCACAGAGGCTTCCGGAACCTAGATGAAAATGCGACTGACTTGAGTCTTCGACAAGCTGTTTCCAGGTTGTACCTTCCAGTCGGCCTGTAGCAGCAAGCTCGTCAATGGTGAGTTGCAATAGCCCCTTGCTGTTCAGTATCCGGAAACCTCTGCTTGCATATAGCTGCCACTTCTGCCATAAAGAGTGCAGGCTTTCAAAGTGCCGAAGCAGGAGCAACACATCCTCAATATCGGTATCCGCGAGAAGAATGTGTGCTGACGATCCAGTCTCATCACATAACAGCTCAGCTGCATCGACTGCCACATTGGTCTCCTCAGAAGCCGCCCGTAGCGATAAGATCACTTGGTAACAAATACTCTCTGAAGCAAAAAATGAAGACAGAGAGAGACGATGTTTAATGTGCAAGATCTCCCCATCACTTACATGGATATAAGGCTGACCGCTCTGAACAAGTGAATATTCATCTGGAGAACTATTGACAACCCCATCGCCACCCTGGTAGTCAAATTCGTTTCCGAGGTTGTCATCAGCACCGTCGTCAATTGCACCGCCACACCCCAGAATCAATAAAGTGTCATGGTTGGGCAGTAAAAATAATAGATGCTGTCTGTGAATCGGTCGCACACAAGCTGTTGGAAAGACAAAGTCGCACCGGGGCCCAACACCTCGGCCCTGGTGTCGCCATTCCGAACTTTTCGACGCGTTAGAGAGACACCAGAACCGGGGCTCATTGCGGAAGCGTTTCGACCCTAAGGGCCACTCGAATGCTCCTAGCAGGTTGACTCTGCCCAAAAGTACCCCTTGAATAGCCATGAGACCTGCGCTGAAGAATCTCGGAGAGGGGATGGCATTCGGCTCGGGGACCTGTCGGGTTGGAGATCTCCAACGTTGCTGAATGGTTCGTGTTTTCTGCCGATCCATACCGTTATAATCCAGGAAAGATCGCGGACGTAATCTCTCTGCCTCCGTTACTTGGCATCGGATCCAAATTTGGCTGGCGCAGTCAATTCGAGCCCAATCTGGGGCCCAGGTGGGTAGAAGATAATTTGAAGAGACTTGTTGTGTGGCGAGCTCCAGTACAGACGCTACCAAGCCCTTGGTGATAAGGTAAGCTGCGATTCCAGCGTACACCTGCCTCGTACACAAGTTGTAATCCGCCACGAGGTCATCTTGCAGGTTAGAATTCAGGAGGCTCAAGAGGGCGAAGATCCTGTCGCGGTCGTCTGCACACTTGCACGAAACAGTATCTAGTATCAGGATCAGTAGGCGCTTAGCCTGATCTTCGTCCTGGGATGACTGCTGCTTTGCAAACCGGATTTTCGAGTGCCCGAGCCAGGGAGCATGCGGAACGACTAAGTCCATGATCGGTTCCAATGACCTATTCGCGAATGCTGAGATGTGGACACGCCTGGAGCCACAGTATAGCTCGAGGGTCTGAGCGAGAGCGACCTCTTGTATGATCCACATTCGTTGGAAGTATGGACGCTTAAATAAGTGCGAGATGCTCCATTTTTGTCTGTCGTCGAGTGTCGTCGTGCCTTGTTGGGAAACTTTGCTGAGCAGATCCATGGCCATATTGCTGCAGTTTTCTTCAGACTCTTCGCCGAGGTACACAAGCACTGTGAAGGCTCGGGCGTAGATTCGATGCATCAGTTTGACCTGTCGCGACCGCTCATCTGGGTCCTCCTGATTGACGCAGATCGCATCAACCCAGATTGTCCGGTCAGTGGTGGGGTCTCGCAGGCGCGAGAGAGCCATTGCACAGTTGTCCTTGATTTCCATGAGACAGTCGCGATCACTGAGGTATAAGCATTTGAAGATTCCGTTATCTTCGTCGTCGTAGTTTGCCCAAGTGTATGACACCGGTTGATACTCGACGCCGTCTGAGAGGCGGACCTTGCGTAGTGACCCCTCCAAGATGGACCCCGGGATGCCCTTGTGTAGAGTCAAGAGTCTGATCTCATCGTCGCGCAGCTCTCGCGCGTCTCTCAAGACATCGATCTCCATTCCATTGTATGTCTTGATTTCCGTCTTTGCTGAAGGCGAAACACGACCTTGACTCTCAGGGCCAGTGTTGTCGGCATCATGGTAATGGACAGATTTGGGCCAGGCCAGGCCTAGGCTTCCAGAAGACCCGCTCTGCTCGCTTGCCATGTTTGCTTGACTTGAGTGCAAAGCTACTTAAACCGCCGGATAGTCCATGTGATAAAATTGGTCATACAAGCTAGATAATGCGCAGTAATTGTATGACTTGAGGCAGAGTTTGGCTTTGCTTGCGAAGGATTTAAGAATTGTAAAGAATCAGCTTTGGAGAAAGGAAGCAGAGGTGTGGTGTGACCCATCCAACATGATCATGTGTCGTCACTCATAGAGCTTATGGAGGCACGAGATAAGAGCTGCAGGGTTAGGGGTACCTCGATGTCGGATGTATGTGGAGGGGACGAGTAATCACGTCTGGTATGCTGAAGCATCTGAATATGAAGCCAAGGTCTTTGTATGACTCGTCAGATTTCTTCATACCCAGAGTTAAATCAGATCAAATTGCTAGGCGACCCTGTCAATCTTCATCTTGTTTTTCGTCGGTGTGACAGCGTTCAGTCGAGGCTTTCTGAATGTTACCATCGGTGTTGCTATCGGTTGACTTCTCTATCTTGCGTGAGAGGGGCTAATACTGTAGCGTTCACTCTCCCGAATTTAATAGCAAAGGCTACTTGGTTCATCGTGTTTATCGCATCACTTGAAGTAATATAGAAACTGAATGGACCGGGTTGATCTCCGTTTCAGCAACACGTTTTCCAAGCGGCCGTCCCGCATGTGATTGTTTCTTAAACTTGACTACACTATGTGATTGATAACATAAAGTAGACATTGTAGTAGTCCGAAGTTCGTGTCCCGCTTTTTTGCGTAGCCATGTTCTGTGATCAGCATGTTGGAAGGGCTATGAAATTTACCCGCTTAGAACTATCTTCTGAATACAGTTTTTACCAGACATCCCGAGTGCCAATTCCATGTAGCTGTGCATCCGTTTCGATTTCCGAGGGAAATAGCATAGAAGCGGTCGTTTCCAAAAGCTCATCTGTCCAGGCAGGCCGCGGGATATGCTGTGATCCGATGAGCATGGTGTTAAAACGACCGTAGAAGCCCCAAGCCAAACTCAGCAAGGACAGAAAGTAATAAAGCCGTGTGTCCAGTAGAAAAGACAAGAACAGAGCCAATATCGTCATGATAATGAGAGCCGTCTTGATCAGGCTGTTTATAGCCATCGGTATAGTGGAAGGGGCCATGCGAGCATGGTTGGCGTATAGGTCTAGCAACCTCGTTACCAAGTAGTCGATGCAACGGCGAAGCTCAACCTCGGCTTGCAGAGAAGTAGGAACAGTCCAGATCTCGGAGAGGATCTCGTCCTCGGTATTCGGAATGCCAATACATGTAAACAGACGAGTGCAGAAAGTCTGACAATTGTTGCTGACAGCATTATAGTCCGATGCCATGCTATCAATCACTCTTTCCGCTAATTTACATCCAGTAGTCATTAGGTATGAGTCTGCAGAAAATTGCAAATATTGCGGGGGAGGTGGAGCAGTAATGGCTTACCTTTGCGATGTATCTCTTCATTAAAATATGAAGTATAGCCAAGAAGCACTGCTGCCTGTAGCGGTTCCCACTTCTGGCGTGACTCAGTCGAACTGTTTTCGAAAGTGTTTCCCTCGATATTGACGGTGCTGAGAGAGATGCTCTTATGGCCACGTCTTGGAACAACCTTGAGTTCTAGCAAATATCTTGAAGATCCTGCGGTTGGTGCTGCGGCTACTCGCAGGTCACATCCAAGTGATTGTCGACTTTTTGTCTGTCCATCAGCGCAGATTGGCGAGTCGATTATGAGAGCCCAGTGGCTAATCATAACCCACTGCGGAGCTTGCTTGTAAGTGGCGAACAAATTCCATGGAAGAGAACCCAGAAAAGACTGAACATAGGCAAGGGAAGCTGCTGTGCTGCCTTTGACCAATGCTACTTGATCCAATGACCTTGGGACCAAGTATATAGGTCTTCTCTGGGTCACTTCTAGTAGTGTTGAAGATTGTAGAGTCCGACTGATGACCAGGTCACGTATTAGTGGGATGTGCAAGACGTCGTGTGGTCCCGGATTGAGAATCAGTCTGAGAGCACTGCGTCTGCACTTTTTCTCGACTTTCGGGAAGAAGACCAAATCCAGCGTTTTTTCATGTATCTCAAAGATTTTAGAGTTAGAGCCTTCCAACCCTATGCCATAGTGAGTTGTGACTGCGTCGAGGTCTTCTTGAATACCCGGTACTCGATCTGTATATCCGAACATAGCACTGACCTTGTCAGCTGCTAATTTGAACTGGTGAGCCTTTCGGTCTATGTATGTTAGAAACTTAGCTTCATCTGACACTGGCGCGCCTTTCACAAGGCTCTCACAGTGAGTAATAATGATAGCGATAAGCTTCTTAAACATCAAGATAGCTACACGTCTGCCAGTACCGGGCTCATGCATTAGCGAGATTCTGTATACAGCACTGGTTCCGTAAATTCTGATTAGCTACGAATTATATGTTAAAACCACGCACGTGACAAGAGTATACTTACGTGTATGCCCTTTCAAATGTTCCCGAAGAGGCTGCTCCGTATTTGTGTAAGAGGTTTACATTCTGTTCGATAGTGTTCATACTAGTTCCTTATTAGCTACATATTTCGCGGAGTTAGAAGGGTTTATCAACGCTTACTGTTGACTGATGTTGCGGATTTGCTGAGGTCGGGCTAACCGTCTGGGAGGGCGAAGCATGTTGAACAGCCAATCTTCGTTCCCACCCTTTTTGTCCTTTTCGCGTTATGTAGTTTGGATAAGAGAGAGAGGAAGAAAGAGGGAAAGAGAGAGCGAGAATTATTGAACACAAAAACACGTGCTGTGGAGTGACAGCATGCTGCACAGCCACTTTGCTTCCCAACAAAACTGCATGCCCACCAACTTCTCGGTCAGGGTTGAAGATCATAGATGCATGGTGAAGAATGTGCACTAGCTTCCAAGCATGGGGTTGATCCTAGACTCAGCCAGCTGTACAGAATTCTACAGCTGCCTCATCTCAACGAATCGAGAATGTTTCCGTCGCATTTTGATGAAACACGAGAAGCTTGCTGAGCATCGATTAGACACAGACGACTGGATTGTAATTCAACTTCACAGGTTCTCATGATGCTGCGGCGGCAGGAGGCCTCTGCAGCTGATTCGTCAAACCTATGCTGGCGCCCAGCTCAGCCTTCATTTTTCTGCGCTATCCATGCAGTTTGCGCTGGTTGGTAGCTTTTGATAAGTTACTACCGGTGTTTCCGAGACGCTACCAATATATTCGCCATGCTTATCCAGTTTGCTTCGTACTTGCTATCAAAAATACTTTTCGTACTATGTACCTCACGAGGACAGCCAGCCCCTTAACCAACATCGCAGCTCTGCTCAGGAACATTATAAGCTATGGTTACAAATGCAAGACTCATCCTCGTGGGCTGGAGTCAGCATTGCTAGCCGCCACTCCTACCAGTGCTTTCCACTCATTCAATTCAGCATTGACTTAATGATCTCTGTTATAGTATTTTTTTCATCTATTCTGTCTACTACTTGTATTGGCCTCATAAAAGCTTTTTTCTACATATTACCTCTTCCCCTCCAAAGAGAATCAGAGTTCAAGGGCGAACTTTGTACAATCAGTGCAAAGCCTTACTATCAATTGTGCGCGCCGCATTCTCACTCACCTAAACTTCTGAAAGTAGACTCAAGCAAGATGATTTCGATATTTTCTCCCTGGTCTACTTCATCTGACTCGATGCAAGCTTTCATCGATATGAGCCTGGATGATCCCTTAGTAGGAAGTTGGAGAGATAATAAAATTACAGAGCTGAGTACAGTCAATGTCACGGTAAGGACTAAACTCATACAAAGTCTCACATGTTTTGTAGACTTCAATTATCATCTTTATTCAGAATGCAACTGAACAAAAACTTAGGCAGCTCTAGTTGCAGCTGTAGCCAGCGCAGCGCTATCATGGCAGGCCATTGACTCAGCTGCATGGACAGTACTTGCATTATTCTATGCATCTCTCATCATGTCCCTCACCGCAGTGACGATTGGGGCGCAGCAGAGCATTGCATTATCTCGTTTAGGGGGCCATCGAGTCGGGCTGGGCAACCTCCAGAAAAAGTTGCGGGGAAAGGTAGTTAAACAGGCAACTCAAACGCTGAATGTCAACAAACACTCAGCAAGCTACTCTCAGCTTTATTTGTGGCAACTACCTGTCATGCTGCTCAATGCCAGTATTTTGATATTCCTGATCGGCCTGTCTATTATCATCTGGAGCCAAGCTGCTAGTCATGAATATTCGGGAGATACTATGAAGGTGGGAACATCTCAATTCATTGCCTCGAGAACATACAGCTAACTTAAAAAGCAGATTGCAATTGTTACGAGTTTAACAGGAATATTTGGGATTGGAAGCTATATTTTCGCAGCAGTGTGTCTTTATGCTTAAATAAAGTACTGAGTTGAAAAAACATGACCGTGCACTTCGCCTTTCTAACCAGATAGCTGAGTTGTGTGAGGGCAAAAAAAGATTGCATTGCTGAGCGCCGAAGAAGAAAAGGGAAGGAAGAAGAACGCCACGAGGCCAGCTATCTGAGGCTATCAACAGGTCTGGCTGTTGGCTGGCTGGAGGGGCCGTGCACGGCTCTGGGCCAGTGACTCACTCACCCTCGCACATGAGTTGGATATTTATTTGAAGCAAAAATAGTACGCATGATTTCATAACAGTTTATCAAACGTATACTCTCCTGATTAGCTGTCTTATAAACCTAATGCCAGTTTCCGTAAGCGTCACTCGATCTGTTGCTGAATCCTGATGTTTGGCATCTCCTTCCTACCGCTGAACGTGGTCCGGGTTGTGGCCTGGTAATTGGACATATCATAGCAAATAATACTTGCCAAACTCCGGGACGTGTCAAGCAAATGCATGTTAGGGAGGCTTATGCCAAACCTGCAAGGTGGCGAGAGAAACCATAGATACTTGTTTGCTTCAAGGTTGATGGACAAGCGCGTACATAATCTCGGAATGGGTTTAAGAAATCATGCCACACTTGCAGAGTGGTAGCAACAAACGAGTCTGACTTTGTGAAAGGTAGAAAGTTCCTGTTGAAATTCTTCACTGATTCGTCTACGAGGGATGTATAGGTTCGATCAACTACTTGCATTTCACTACACCTGGCCACTGGGAGCAATGAAGACGTATACATGTCAGCAACCTTTCATACCTCGCAATGAAGTCGGGATTTTGAAAAAGTATTGTCGACTTAGGTAGGCACCAGCAAAAATTCTAGTAAGCAACGATTGCCCCGGAAACAACCTACACATTGTGATCAAATTGACAGTCGACATCACGAGCACGGTTCTGAGGCAACCTCAAGTTTAAGAATATTTCCAATTTTTGAATTTTCAAAAGTGCCATTATCCTACCAGGTTGGGTATCCTAATACAAATTATAGCTCAAACCATTCCCATCCTTCCCATCATCTCGCTCCACCTCGTAACGAGTCCACGTGCAACTTTCTTCCTCCTTACAGAGCAAAGAGAGCAGCCGCCAGTCCAGCAACAGCCACCAGCGAGCCAGCAGCGACCTTGCCAGCACCGGCAGTAGCAACAACAGACGAAGAGGCAGACGCAGGAGACGAGCCAGAGGCGACAGAGGAGGGAGAGCTGCCGGCGCCAGTGGTCGACCTGGCGATGGTGACAGTGCCCAGGCCACCGGTGGGGATGGTGCCGTTGCCAGTAGGGTAAGGCTTGCCGGTGACGACGGGGATGGAGCTCGAGAAGGCAGACGAGCCGGGTCCTGCGGCAGACACAGACGAGGGAGAGGCAGGAGAAGAGGCGGCGCCCGAGGCAGAGCCAGCGGCGGAGGAGGAGGAGGAGGAGGAGGAGCCGGGGGCGGAGACGGCACCGGCGCTGCTGGTCACAGCAGAGATGTAGGAGGAGGTCACAGTGCTGCGGGCAGGGCAGTCGGTGACGGTGGCGGCGCAGCTGGTGATGGTCACGTACTCGGTGGAGAAGACGGTGGAAGAGCCGACATCCTCGTTGGTGGGGACGGACGAGGTGGTGACGGCCGCAGAGGAGGTGGAGGCGACCACGGAGCTGGAGCTAGAGGCGGCAGCGGCGGTGATCTGGAAGGGGTTGGAGTACTGGAAGGTGGCGCCAGTGGCGTCTTCGTCCCAGGTAATCTTCAGGCCATAGGTGGCGTCCGCGCCGAGAGAGCAGTCGACAGCCCAGGTGTACTTGGCGTCGCTGTTCTGGATGCCGCCTGAGGAAATGAAAGTGTTAGTTACACCGGTGCACTACAATTCATGTGCTCACGGGAAAAGATGAGACTCACTGGCAATGACGGGGCCGAGCTGCAGAGTGCCAGGGGTGGCGCCCTGGAGAAGCTGGATGGTGATGGTCTTGTCGTACGCAGCAGTGTAGTCCCAGTTGATCACGTAGTTCGAGCAGGCCGGGACAGCCTCGTTGGTGAGAGGCGTGGTGATGGCATCGAAGCCGGGCGTCTGGGCCGCAACGGCAGAGACGAGAGCCAGGAAGGCAGCGGCAGAGATCTTGAAGGCCATTTTTGTTGGAGTTTGGGAGGTTTTTCTTTTTGTTATATTATATTAAGATGTGAAGATGGTAATTAGTTGTCGTGAGGGTTGAGTAATGACCAACAACAAGCAAGCGATAGAAATTAACGAGCGTGAGGAGTGATGAAAAAGAATGAAGAAATTGTTTGAAATGAGTGACTGGCAAAGCGTTCAAGAGAGTTTTTGAAGAACTTCTACTTTTCTGCTTTTGCGGTGAGGACGACGAGGTGAAGAGGAAAAGAAGGGTCACGAGCTGGAAAGATGGCAAAGTCTGGGGGCTGAGCAGTTTTATTTTAGACCTTAGACTGGTGTCCCAAAGAGCTAAACTATCGTATGCCTCGTTCGGAGAGACCCGTGCTCCCCTTCGGCCCCTGGGTCCCTGGGTTCCTGAATTCCTAGGTACCTTGCTGAGGGGGCGCGCGCCAGGTTGCCCAGCCTGTTCAGGGGGGGAGGGAAGAGGGTGTGTCTGTCTCTTACTCGCTTGTCGCCCTCTGACCTCATACGCATAGTGCTGACTCGTCTACTGGGTAACCAAATGTTGTCCCCCAATCCCACAGGTTCCGCCAAGGCGCCGCCGTGATGGCAGGGGCAAATTATGACCAATTGGACCCTCTGACACGCTGTGCTTGTAATTTCCGGCCAGCAGCTGTCGACCAGCCCAAGTAGCATGGGTTAAATGCTACGTCGTAGAGTTTATGGGCTTTTGGAAGGGGGGGGGGGGAGGAGGAGGAGGGATTCTGCTGGCTAAGGCTGGCTGTTTTAAGGCGCAAGCGTTGGGTTTGCCAGGTTGCCAAAGTAAATGTGGATGAAAGGAGCTCCACTACTATGTAAATCTTATTCCAACTTTTGTGCAAGCCGTCTTTTCTACTTCCCCTTTCCCGGGCCCTCGGATCTGTCAATGCGTTCCCGCGTTGGCCAGTTGACAGGGCCGATGCGACCTTCAATAAGGTTATCCTGTTGTTTATCGATTCGACAGATCTGCATTCCTAGGTGTCTCTGCGCGCAGCACTCGGGCCATGATGATCACTGGGATTTTTCTATGTTGTTATTCTCTCCTTCGTGTCCGCCTTCGTTCTCGCTAGGCAAAATATTGGGTCATTCCGCTGGCCCAATATTGAAATCAAAAGGTTTCTTTTGAACATTGTTAAGCTTCTAGAAGGCAATAGTGGTATTGAACATAATTTTGCGGCCTTGCTCGGAGATATTCTTCCCAGACATTTCAGGGGTTCTCAGCCCCATGAGCAATCATTCGCTTAGTGACCAGAAATAGGGTTACCCCCCCTCCTCCTCTTCTCCTCTCAAAAAAGGTCCCTTCTTTTCCGAGGTTCTACAACCTCATCAAGTAAAATGAAAACCTCACTCAGCCATCCTCGGTGGGATCATCAACACACACACACACCCACCCCTCTCGCCGTGTTGGGGCCCGCTGTCAGCCTTAAGGTACATGCATAATGCAACGTTGCCGCTTGGTCCTTGTTGGAGAAAGGAAGGTGGGGGGGCAGCCCTGGAGGAGGAGGATCCTACAAGGCGACAGGGAGGTGTGACAAAGGCTTTTGGGCTACATTGCCCCAAGGAACCATCAGCGCCCAGGGCCCCGCCCTCATTTCGCAGAATAGCAAGAGGAAAACATAATATTGGAACTGGAACTGGCGGGTTTGGGCGGCCCGGTTTTCTGCCACCAAAGACACCCCGTAGAGCTAGTCCATACTTGTACTATGGTAGATCTCATGAGACAATCACAATTCTGTGTACTACATACTATATAGTACTACTATAGAATGGCTGCAAAAGAGCTGGACGATCAGTTGAAGATCGCGATGAGAAAGGGCCGTTCTTTCTCCACGTGCATGTCGGAGGTAGCCCGTTACAGTGGATTCAACAAAAGTGGAGCGCCTGCTGTGAGTGAGTGAGTGAGTGATGAGTGGGCGCGCTGCGACATTGGATACATAGTACAGAAAAGAAACCTGGCTTGTCTTGAATGGGCCATGCATTGTGACATTTGCTCCTCCCCCCCCCCCCTCCCTCTCTCTTCTCGTAACCCTTTTGCCCAGAAACTATTGACTTGTTGTCGCAACGATGGTTTAACAAGGTCAACGGTTGATGTTACCGTTTTGGGACGCGCTCGTGTTCAAAGGTGTCTTGAATACGAACTTGTCAGCAGATGAACTGTCAAGATGGGCTCCAGGTCTTACTCAGGGTCTCAATTATAAATTACACGGTTATTCCTGCTTTTGCGCTGACTCATGAGTAATGCTCAGAAGAACAGACTTTAGGTCTGGTTATACGGTACCGACTACGAAGGTGAGATCGTGGTGATGACCTAATTACGTGACCATCCAAGGTTTTCTGCAAATTTATCCGGAGACGACACAAATGTTACTTGTTGTGCTGAAGACTTGATTTCCACGCGAGATGTTCGATGAACATGTCTAGTATTAAGTAAGTCAAACCTGCCAACAGTTGACGACGACCTCTGCCAAATCGCTAACGTTACGACGAAACCTTGTTTAGTAAAGTTGAATTTACCTGCAACGTATCCCAAGAACGTCATGAGTGGTTATGTCCATGCATCCTTGGAATACTTGCTCACGTGCTCGAATCAGCTGGACAAAGAAGCCCAAGCCAGCAAAGATGAGTGCATGCAAGCCTTTCTCGAGACAAGTGTCATTGCGTGGGCATCGCACATCGCCAAGGCGGCGCATAATTCATTGTTGGTAATGTAATGGATATTTACAAGAGAATGAGAGGATCAAAACGGGCGGGCTGGCCAAACTGGCCCTCCGTCCGCTCCAACAGCCCCGAAACCATGCCATCCAACCACTGGAAGGAGGCGTTCCTTGGTCTGCCGAAACCGAAAAGAAAAGAAAAGAAGAAGAAGCAAGATGGTCTCATAACGTCTAATTGTGACCAAGGAAGAAGCCAACCGGAAAATCGTCTACAGCCACAATTGCTAAAGGAGACATTTCTGCTACCGTCCGAGCATCTCGTGACTGAAGGTGGCGTGCCTCCTAGTCACGAGATGGCAGCCATCGTCGCCACCCACGATCAAGAGGTTGTGGGTGTCTCGCCGATGCTATGTGTTGGTAACGGGTTAGCGGGTGGTTCGTGTTCATCATGTGAGTGTGGGATGGGAAAGGAGTTAGGCTGTCGTTGTTGTTGGCGTTGGCCACTTACACATTGCCTTCGGGAGTGTATCGAGCGACGACATAGTAGCCACCCGCGCCGTCCGAAGCGATACCCATCCCGACCTCGGTGGTGCTGGACCAGATGATCTGGGCTATTGCAGAAAAGAAGGAGGAAAAGATCAGCATCAGACCAACAAACTCTTGCATCATTCGGCAAAAAAAACTTACTGTAGTGCCCATAGTTCTCAAACGCGCTGTCGTCCTCAATGGCCTCCCCGCTATACGAGCTCTTCTCATCAACCCATGCGGTCGCCGCGTTGGCATAAGGGTCGCTGGCATCGCTCTGCCAGTACAGGTTCTCGCCCTGGCCCGTGCCGCTCGAGTGCACCAGGTCGCCTGGCGAGCCCAGCGACGCGAGGTGCTCGGCCCAGCTCTGGGCATCGCTGGCCAGCGTCGTGCTCCACGTCAGCGCCGTCTCGCCCACGTCCGAGCGAGCGCCGTTCTGTGTGTCGAGGGCGGCTGACTGGTCCGATGTGAGGCCGGAGCTGGCGGTCGAGGAGGCGGCGGCAGCGCTGCTGGTGGTGGAGGGCGTGGCGCTGGTGGTCACGACGACGATGCTGCTGCTGCTCGAAGTGGTGGTGGGGACGACAACGGCGCTGGTGGTCGTTGGAGCCACGAGGACGGATGTCCAGGTTGCCGAGTACTTGGCCGCAATCGAGACTGTGGAAGAGGATACTGCTGCCGCACTGCTGCTTTGGTGATGCTTGGGTGGGCACGCCTGGACGACGGCACCGCCGGCCACGAGGAGGGCCGCGAGGGCTGGGCGGGTTGAGAAGTACATGTTGAACGCGATTTCGTTATTGGTTTGGTTAGGTGTGTAGGGACGGGAAATGATCGTTTGTAGTTGGTGTACTTCGTTGTGTTCTTGTTGTTCTTTTTGGCCTGGATCCTGCCGCGATGGGAATAAACCTTGAGAAAGGATTGAATGAGTGACTGGGCTCGGGACTGGCCTGCGGCGTTGATGTTCAAAGGAGTGACGAGGACGAGTCTTGCTCGATGGTGAACAGAGAGGGTGAGAGAAGGAGGAGGAGGAGGAGGCAGGAGAGAATAACAGCAGCGTAGAAGGATGCGGCTCAGATATAAGTTTATATCTGATCTAGACTTCCCGAGCCGCCAGGGTTGGTGTGGTCGGTTACTAGTCATACATACTTTACAAGAGGAGGCATCAAACCCATTCATTCCATGTCACGTCATGAGCCCTACGCAAATGCTGCTGCAATTGCTGCCTCATGGAGCGGGGCTGAAAAGACTAACCCTCCCCCCCGCCCCCCCGGCCCCGAGAGCGGCACAGAAGCCTGTGATGGACTCCTCCCCAGATCCATCGGAGATGTGTTGGTTTCAAGCAGATGAAGCCGCACCTGTGCTGATAAGCCTGTAATGTTCTGGCCCCATCCAGCTCATTTGTGATGGGCGGACGCCACCGTCCTTGGCCCGGTCACAGGCCCAGGCAGGCCACCACTGGGAAGCAAGGAGGAGCGGGCCCACGACAAGTTTGACGTGCCCGTCCTGCACAGACAAGCATCAGCACATACAACGGCGTGAACAGCTCCTCGCCTGTTGTGAGAGAGTCCCAGCATCATCGACATCATCCTGGTGGCTTGTGGAAGGATGTGGCTGCTCTCGATCCGAGGGTGGCAACATCATCGGACTGAACGCCTCGAGGAGGAGGGGGGGAAAAAAAGTAAAGAGACTTGTTAGTGTTTAGTGTGGAGAGGATAATCTCAACGGGCATCGGGGCAAATAACATGCTGACGTGAGTTTTCCATGAAAAGCGGACTTGACACTATATTGAAATTGATTTTTCTCATCGGTGCTCATTTCCCCAGCGCCTTGGGGCGTTTCAGAAATATGCTTGTATAGTAGTTACGTGCTTGTGCGATGGGCTGCAGGGCTGGTCAGCGGCATGCTTTTCAGGGGTATTGTATGTGACCAGGGGTGTTATTATTGTAGCAAACAGGGTCTACCCTTCAGAAGGACGCACCTCTCATCAATGTAGGACGAACGCTACTTTTCTCTTTTCCCCGGAATATTCTTTCCCAGGTGCGTAATAGTGCTTTTACCCCAGACTCCCGCTTGGCTGTCTCACCTTGGTCAGGTCACGCACACGGTAAATGTTTCGTCACTTGCAGACGGGCTATCTCGATTCTGTGTAGATCTCGCGGGATCGGGTGGTTTAGGCGAGTACATGAACTACGATGGTATAAAGGTGTGATACAGTATGTTCTGCAAGTAGATTGAGAAGAGAAGAGCAGACTTCTCTGTGTCCATAGCACACCGAGTCTGGTCCTATGGACCCCCGGCTGGGCGGGAGATCGTCGATTAAAAGATTGATACATAGTATTAAGCTTCCGTTGATCCTGTCTAGAAAAGGGGCAAGCGCCGGCAATGAGCAGTGGTGGGCCAAGGCGAGACCGTTGAGGGTTGGCTGCATCATGACACAATCTCCGTGGAATGCTTGCGCGGTGGGGACCAACGCATTGCTAGTATGGTCTGTTCGTGCAACGGGTTTCGAGGTGTGATGATGGGCCTTGCGCCTGGAAACTGCCAGCCAAGGGAGAGTGAGGATGGAGCCATTTGGTAAAGTCGGTGTAACCGTGAGAATGAGATGATGTCCAGTGCTGAGGAGCCAAAGAAAATAATAGGAAAAAATCTTCAAGTCCTGATGCTTTGTGACTTGAACTCAAAAGAGATTACGCTCATTCTACTATAGTACCTGCAATTGCTCTTGAGTACCCACCTGCCCACTCGCTTTACCCGGTCCATCCACCGCGGCAATCTTGGCGAGTCTGCCGGGCTGGAGACGACAGTGCATATGGGAAAGGTGACTTGCTTGCCTCGGCGAAGGTATTGATTGCCCAACAGCTGCAGCCATGGCACCTACATTTGAAAGAAGATGCTGTATGCAGCGCTGCCAAGATGTAGGATTGACCTAGGAGACACCGCCTTTGCCAGCAATCACTTGACTTTTTCCGCATGAGAAGTTTACAGCAGCATCTTGCTGATGCGTTTATAAGTAGACCTCTAGCCGCAGCCACCGAGCTCCAGCTTTTCTACCATTCGCCGTTATACTTCTATGACCGCATCTGCACAGATTAGACATAGGGATTATATTTGGTGATCTCTGGGTACTTTTTATTTTATTTTAAAACAGAGCTCTGGTCTAACGATACTCGGATTTAATCCCACTTGGCATTTGATTTATGGTTTGGAAGATGCTGGACAATCATCACGGTCTTGATTCTACATTACGTACTGGCCAAGCAAAGAGGCCCATCTAACAACATTGAAGCGAAATAAGAATGCCCCCATATTCACAGGCTTCTCTCACAACAGAATTTGTCACGTACTGCCCATTCTAGCTTCATCTGAATACACAGATTTTTTCCCCTCTTGTCAAGGATTGCTTTTTCTTCATATTCAAACCTCAGACCAGTCCTCGTGACCCCCATTGCTGCTGAAATGGACGCTAAAACTCAAAAGAGAGCAGTGTGCAGCCGGTCATCCAATGCCGAGGCCGCGTTGCCTGAGTCGGATTGCTTTATTGACAGCCTTCGACCGCCTAAACCGCCACCGACGGTCTGCCCTTACGCATGCACGTGGCATGGTCGGGCTCAACCACATTCTTGGACACCCTTTTGGTTTTCTTTCCTTTTTCTTCTTCTTCTTTTCTTCTTCTGCTTCAGTAGAACTCTTCTTCGTTTCCCTGAGACATCGATGTTCCACTAGATTACATAAGATGCAATCAATCATATCAGAATTGCTATAGCGATTGGAGGAAATGTTGGGCTTGTCTCAGCCGAGAATTTTTAGCCCAAGTTTGAAGCCGGAGCCACTGCATCCGCAGACTCGTCAGCAAGGTATCAATTCAGTTCCAAATAGGCCTTTACGGGTCGCGTTCCTCCACCTTCAAGAGTCTTGACAGCTGATGACTACGCGTGCGCCATCCGAAAATCTTTTACGTGTGTGGACTTGGCCCATCGTGACAGGCGGTCACAAGGGCTGCCGACCAGAATAAACCACAGAATGCCGATGGTTTTGAGACAGCGACGGGCACTGAAGGATGTCTCTGTGGCGGCAGATAGTTCCGACCGCTGACCTCGACAGTGCACTCAGCTTCCCGATGAAGACATGTTTGCATGTGTGGTCGACGATGGCTCCCAAAAAGAAGTCGGGCCTGAGCTCCGGGATCCACCGCAGAAGCAGCCAGATCGATTGGATCGGTGGAAATCCTCCTTGAACCTTACGTTCAGCGTGGGAAACGGATGACGACAGCTCATAATTCTGGTCACACAACGATAGGAGTCGGCTTCTATATGTGTGATATATATATATGTATATGTGTGTGTATACTATGCAGATATATAAAGACGCGGGGCAAGAGACAGGAAAAGGAAATGTGTCTCGGCTGACCAGGCTCGTTGGATCTACCTCGTCCCTCCTTGTTTCTAACCTCGCTCCAAAAAGATGAAGTCGGTTATTCTCGCTCTTGCGTCCGTCACAGGCGCCCTTGCGCAGGGCGCTGCCTATGCTCAATGTGGAGGCACAGGATGGACAGGCGCCACGACCTGCGTGTCTGGCTACGTCTGTACCTATGAGAATGATTACTATTCTCAGTGCCTACCTGGCACGGCGACCACGACGGCCACAACCATTGTCACGAGTACGACGGCGGCGGCCACCACATCGACAACAGCACCAGCTGCCACCTCGACCTCGTCGGCCTCGGGAAGCTTCAAGTGGTTTGGTGTTGATGAGTCCTGCGCCGAGTTTGGGAGTGACGATTATCCAGGTACATGGGGAATCGATTTCATCTTCCCTGATAACTCTAGCCTTCAGGTAAGGCATCTTCATTGATTCGTGTCTTTTTGTTCCTGCTTTTCCTCTCGGCTTTCCCTGTCTATCTCAATGTGGTCCAGGCGAGGACACTCTTTTCTTTCTTTTCCTTTTTAATTATCCCCATTAATGACAAGAGAACATAGACACTTCTGGACCAAGGATTCAACATCTTCCGTGTGCCGTTCGCCATGGAGCGTATGCTCTCCGAGGAGGACCTGACCAGTGCTCTTGCGCCGGCGTATCTCGCAAACTACACGGGCACAATCAACTACATCACAGAGAACGGAGGCTGGGCCATCATTGACCCGCACAACTATGGTCGTTTCTATGGCGTAGTCATCGACGACACGTCAGCTTTCCAGACCTTCTGGGAGAATCTGGCAGGTCAATTCAAGGATAACTCCTATGTCATCTTTGACACAAACAACGAGTGAGTCTGCATGCCATGCCTGCGCCCACATGGACAAATCAACTTCGGGCCTCTTCTTCCATCAATCTCAATCTTGGCGAAAAGGCTCACACTCGTCTGGAAAACAGGTATCACGATGAGGACCAGTCTCTTGTCTTTGACATGAACCAGGCCGCGATCGACGGAATCCGCGCTGCCGGCGCCACATCGCAGTACATTGCTGTCGAGGGCAACGCCTATACCGGCGCCTGGTCCTGGACCGAATACAACACAGACCTCGCCAGCCTGACCGACTCGGAGAACAAGATCCTATACGAGATGCATCAGTATCTGGACAGCGACAGCTCCGGCACCAGCGACGAGTGCGTCAACTCGACCATCGGCGTGGATCGCGTCACCTCGGCGACCCAGTGGCTGCAAGAGAACGGCAAGGTGGGTATCCTGGGCGAGTTTGCAGGCGGGCCTAATGATGTGTGCTATGAGGCTGTCGAGGGCATGCTGGACTATCTCCAGGAGAACAGCGACGTGTGGCTGGGCGCACTCTGGTGGGCTGGTGGTCCGTGGTGGGGTGACACTTTCTATGCCTTCGAACCTCCATCTGGAGAGGGTTATGTCTACTATGACTCTCTTCTTGAGGAGTATGTTCCATCTTAAGGAATTGCGTGTTCTCTTACGGCGGAAAGAATTGCTTCAGTGTAATTTGAAAAGAGTTGGCTTGTATATATTCACTTTCTTGACGTATATATTCTGAAAAAACTTTTAAAGATGGACCGCTATATCTCGGTTCTCCTTCTTCGTTTGTGTCTCCCTCTTTTCTTTCCTTCTTGATCTTCTCGAGCAGAAGAATTGGATCCTCACATCGTGGCGCCTGCTGGTTCCTTGCCCTGTACTAGGTTAGACGACGGTTCGGCATCGCCTGGCTTGACCAAAGATATCGTCAACTCGGGGTCTTGAGAGTAGACCCGCAGACAGACTACACAGACGGCGTTCCACCTCTCCTGATCATCGGCCTCGGAATCAGAAGATTCGGAGTCGGAGTCATCGTGGTCCTTCTCGTCTTTATCTTCTTTCTTCTCCTCTTTCCCCTCACCCTTCCCATCTTTCTTCTCATCCTCCCTCTTTTTCTTATGTTCATCCTTTTTGGAAGCATCATCAGTCTTCTCATCGCCCTGGTCACCCTTGTGTTCTCCAGTGCTGTTTTTGACATGCAGGGCAACCTCCTTCGTAGGGCCACCCTTGACTCCGTCGTCGGCCTTGGGAGGGTCTTCCTTAGCGAGACCCTCCTGTGCATCCTCAAACTGCTCGTTCTCCCCATCTTGTTCGGGCTTTTTCTCATCACCATCTTTGGTGATCTTCACATCCACTTCTTGTTTTGCATCGGGCTTCGGGATGTCCACCTCAACCTCAATCTTGATATTGGCTGCCTTCTCTTTCTTCTTGCGCTCCCGCTCCTTTTGCTTCTCCGCAGCCTTCTGTGCCTCGATCCTGAGATCCTCGTCCGGGATCCCGCCCTTGGCGTGAGCCAGATCGTACTGCATGCCCACCTGTCTGAGCTTCTGCGGGTTCGACTCGGCAGCTTGCTTGACTAGCTTTTGGATAAGCGGCTCGTCCTTGTCCCTCTTGGCGGTGATCTTGGGAACAACCTCGTACCGACCGGGCTCGAGGTTCACCTCGCAGCTGACGGAACGGTTTTCCCAGTCGTGCACGGGACGAACACGGCAGATGTATTCGCCTTGGGCTTCGTTCTCGCGCCGGAGGAGGAAGTGAAGACCAAATTTGTACTGTCCTGCTAGGCCCGTGAAGTATCGGTCATCCAGCTGCAATGTGTTGTCATGTTAATTAATGATCTTTGAAAAGCTCACATTTTTTGTCTTACATCTTTTCCGCCGCGGGAAAAAGAGGAAGGGGGAAGGTTGATGGATACGCACCTGTGATAGCACAATAACCACTATTCCAGGTCTCTTCGCCTCTATGATGAATGAGCTTCGCGAGTAACCTGTTATCCAGGACACGTCGCAGCTCGTCCACTGCTGAATGACAGTCCACTTTTCGTCAAAAAGACGTGTCCTGTGAAGGTATTTGAAGGTCTCCAGCATGTCCTCATAGAGCATCCAGAACACACCGTCGTCGCCGAATTTATAGTCCAATTTTTTCATCCACTTTGATATTTCAGTCAGCAGACAGTCATTTTGTTGGCCATATCAATGTACGATCCAGAAAAAAAGGAAGAAAACGGTAGCACTCACGTAGGGCGTCCACTCGCTCGACCCATCAGACCATCTTCCATTCCATTCACCAAGACCATCACTTGGACTTCGATGTCCCCAAGGGTTCCTATGAGAGTTGGTTAACGGTGCCGTTCATCGCAAACAAGTCCACAACATTTCCCATACCTGATCTGAACCAGTCTCACTTTGCCGCCGTCCTCATCAACCTCCTCGGTTGCCCGAAGAATTGAGTACGCATGACCCAAGACCACCCCAGAGGCCGACGACGCATAGCCCAAGGCCGACAGTGCAAATACAAAGTCCCCATCGCCATAAGCCAACTCCTTCCACAGCCTATCTTTGCTAAGCACTCGCTTGTTCGCCAAGGTCGTAGTGACCCCACCCGTCATATCCTCGACAGCCTCACCGCTCCATCCTCCCGCGATGGCATTGTAATCACCATGCGCCTTGGCATAGGCCTTCTCCATCAGCGGCAGCCAGGTCTCGTTCGGGTCGGAGCAGTGGCTGAAATACAGCGCCTCTGATCCGGTTTGTTCCTGTCGTCGGTACTTGCGCGCTTTGCTTCCTGTTGGGTCGTACGTGTCGGTCCACTGGCCAAAATCGCATGCATTGAGGTACAAGTTGTCATCGATCACCACAGAGATCCATTCCCCGTCACGGTGGAAAACGAAGCCATACACGCCGCACTCTTCGTCACGGGCCACGCAGACCTTGTTCATCAGGTCTTTTCGGTGGGCAATGGTCGCAACGGCTGCCAGCCACCAGCAGTCCCCGTTTCCGCCCTGCTGGATATCCGACGAGGAGAATCCGTCGATGGTGAAGCTGGGCTCCTGAAAAATCCAGTCCAGCCGATGAATAGAGCCAGGCATGTAAAATTCGCCCCTCTGCACACCGCCCCTTCTTCCCCTGCTCCTCTCCTGGGCCCAGCCACGAGGGCTCCTCGACCGTGACCGCGACTCGTCTCTACCAGATTGGTTCACATCGGGCTGCTGCGGCGGTGACACATTCTCCTCCTCGACGTACTCGAGCCCGTTCAGACAGTTCTTCTCGCCGTCAAAGTCCGCCTCGATGTCGAAGTCGGCGTCGGTGAACTTCTCGTTGGTGCGGTGGCACTCGCGCACGATCTTGGCCACCTTGTCGCGGCAGCCCCGAGCGGCAGTCTCATAACTCTCGGCAGCGTTACGGGCAGAGGATGCGCCTCGCGGGTCCGGCTGCTCTGGCAGGAGACTGGCGTAAAGGAGGCGTGGGAAGATGGAGGTTACTTTGCTGGGCTTTTTAGTGAAGAATTTGGCCCAGAATTGGTTGATGTCTGCCTGGGGCCCTTTGAAGGGCTTGGAGGAAGTGGACATCTTGCGGAATGTGTGAGGGATGGTTCGCGATAGCAATAATTATTACTTATTAGCCGTCGTTGCTGATGTCGTAAAAGGATAGAAAGTGGAGGTAATTAATATAATGTTATGCCACTTCACATTCCGAAGGAGGAGAGATAGGCGGACGAGATTTGTCTTGATTGCGGCTGAAAGTGGCGAATCTATATCTGATACCTGCCGACAGCCTTCACATGATTGTATCCTGCCATTCGTGAGACTGTCTAACATCCAGCTAAGCAATGCAGACACCCATCGTATGGCCTGAGGGAATCATCAGCACTTGCATTAGCGCTTGTGATGCAGGCTTGAGCTGCGCTTATGGGGCGCAGGCAATGGAGGGCTGCCATTCGCCCCTCATTTCAAACCAATGGAAGATTACTTTTGTACATAAATGGGTGGGTCAAGCTGAACGTCTCCTCGTCAGAGACTTCTATTACCCCCTGCCATGGTGTGTAGTGGTGACCGAGCTAGAAATGTAGCAACGTCCGGCATGCACTGAGCGAATTGCAGGAAAACGAAGGAAAACGAAGGAATGGATTCCTCATCCATGACGTGGCGTAGAAGGAATGCAACCTTGCTATTGGCATATGGGGGGTGGGGGGTGGGACGAGGTACCTTACGATCCCATTCAAGACCATGGTAAAGAGGTTACAATAAGGCTCTGGAATGACTCGAAACAAAAAACTATTCCCATGTTGAATACTGCGCTGTGTAAATGTCAGGGATCTTTATGAAATGTTGCAAATGTGTCACCCACGACTCTTTTGTGTGAATCACTCGAGAGAGCAGCAATGCAGAAACGGGTGTCGTGTTTATCCTTGAATCTTGAGTCCTCCGGGGATCAAGTCTGATATAATTCACTCTCGGAGTGTCACATCAGTAAAAGATTACATGCGCTCTTCAGCCTCATTATCCCTCGATTAGTAATATGTACCGTTACAATTCTAGCGATAGCTTTTCATAGCTACAACTCACTGTTGGGTCTAATGACGGGATGCTAATGCAGTTATCACAACCTCGGTTGCTGACCCTTTGTGATATATCACAAAGGGAACGCTTCCACACAGACAAGGGATAATGTGTAGAGGCGCCGTGATTAATATTTTCAATACCTTGTACGCCAATGTATGCTTTGAATGCTAAATTTTGACTTCATCCCCTCCTCCTCCCCTCTTCTCTCTCGCGTCATGCCATTTGATTCCTTACTTGATGAATAATCGTCCCCTGATTCCGAATGGCTTTTCGGCAGACTTCTCATGCGATTTGATGGTTTCCTCGTAGTCTCCCATCATGTCATATCCTTTCAGTGCTTGAACTCTCTCCGCCGTGATCACAAATGGCTTGGGAAGAGGCGGGTACGGCGCAACCAGCGACGGAGCAGTCCATTTGACACCCAGACTGTCCAACACAAGGGGCGTCAGATATGCCGTAGCCAAGAAGATGCGCGGCATGCCGTGACCTCCAAACCCTGCGGCGATGAAGTGTCCAGCACGGTCAGGCGCAGGCCCAATAAACGGAAAAGCGTCGGCCGTCACGGAGACGACACCCGTCCATACTCCGCCTTCCTTAGCCGGCAGAGCAAGCTCGCACTCATCGGAGGAAGGCCAGCCCACAACCTCTTCTTTAGGCCAGGCCTTCATGTACGCAGGCACGCCGGGTAGGTGCTTGTCGTCCTCGCCGCGCTTGAACCACTCGCGGGGATACTGGGCGATGACAGGCTTGGCACCGCCGAGGATGAGGGCATTAAAGGGAGGAGGGAGCTGAAGGTGGTAGTTCCAGATCTCGTCGTCGAAATGTTGGGCTCCTGTGTTCTTGATGAAACCCTCGGGAGCCTTGATGGCTCCGACTGTGCTGACGGAGGGGGAAATGATGTTGGAGTATTCTGGGAGAAGGTGCGAGGCCCAGGCGTTCTGTTTTTGGTAGACAGTATCATGGATTAGCAATGGCGATGATCGTATGGGACAAAGGGAAGAGGCTGTTCGCGTTGGAGTTGACGAAAACTTACCGTGGCGTGGATGATGGCCTTGGTCTTGGTGCTCCCTCTCGGTGTCACCACGGTGATCCAGCCATCCTCGTCTCTCTTTGATACCTCCAATGCTGGTGTGTTGGCTTGCAAGTTCAGTTTGCCGGTAGCCAGCCCGAGTCGAAGAAAAGCATGTACAAATTTGTATGGCCAGCTGTGCCAGAGTCAGTACACGGAAGCCACACAGCTGCGCACGCACCCACGTGCGATGCTGAAAGAGTTTGAAGCACATACACTTGACCAGTAGGATGAACAACGGCTCCAAGACAGCCCTTCATCTGGGTAAAGTCCTCGGCCTCCTTCGGGTCCTCGATGAGTCTGCACTCCCGAATGATCTCACCATCCTTCCCGTGGTCCTTGACAAAGGCTTCATAGTTCGCCTTCAGGCGCGTCCATTCACCCTCCGTCATAGCCGCGTCAAAGGTTTCTCCAAACTTCAGGCAGACCTCTTCAGAAAGTCCTTCCTCTTCCATGGCTGCCCTGAACGCATCCAGATGTGCCATCTCGTGCTTGATGAGCGCCAGGGCGCCATCTGCTCCAAATCGCTCTGACCAGGCGATGTATCGTGAGTAGGCATGAGGTCTGAGCTGGCCGCCTGAAAGAAAAAGAAGAAGAAAAAAGTCCGTCAATGGCTGTTCTTTAAAAAGGGTGGCCTTGGCTCGTGCTCATAGCACTCATATGAGGTTCCTCACCATTTCTACCCGTAGCACCACCACAGATATCCCGCGCCTCTAGCATCAGCATCTGGGGAGTTGTGCCATCTCTAGCAGTGTGCTGTAGCGTGCTTGTCAGTACTTCTATTTTTGCTTGGCTAAATCACGACTTTGTTCTTGTTCAGGTCAGAGAATGCCCACCTTATGAAGCCAGTATGCAGCTGAGGCTCCGGTATAGCCACTGCCGACAATGACAATGTCGGTCTCCTTGGGAAGCTCCGGAGTGGACCTGAAGTCTCTAAGGGTCGAGTCGGCGGCCTCGATCCAGTAGGACTTGGAAGGATTTGTTGTGGGAAGAACCATGTTGCTGTTACTGTTGCTGTTCACTTCGGTGTAGGGTGAAATTCAAACTAGCTTCTGAAGCGCTTCCTCGATGATGCTGTCAAGCCGTCTCTCCTGAGTGGAAAATGCGTATTAATCAATGAATTGGGTGAAGGACAGGCCGGCAAATCCAGTTGGGGTCAAATCGCAAGACACCCAAACTTTAATCAATCATGAAGTGTTCGGGTCGCGGAGTTCACCGTTTTTTTTGTTTTTTTTTAATTGAAATCAGTGGTCGCACGGTACGTATGTAGTCAAAGTAAGCAGTAGACTTCTGGACATACTTTACGTTGCCCTTATGCAGCCATGAATGAATGTGGCGTGGAACGACGATGGCCTCATTTGTGGAGAGCCATAAGCTCTGCAGCCACAAGCGGCAATGGTCTTGGGCCCTCCGCTGCCCGGAAGGATACAAACAAGCCGGCCCGCTAACCAACAGTCAAATGAGACCAGTCTACCCGGTGCTTGCCCATTCAAATGCCGGGCTTGCCCGTCAGCCTGCAAGTCTGCACGTCAGCGCAGGCCCACAACGGCCAGATAAGACGTACCGGCCCGGTTTCCTCACAGGTGGATGATCTTTGTCGGGGTTTGAGGACTACCGAAGTTGGGGCAAGACAAGCAGTGCTTAATACTATACTGCCGTAGTTATGTGCTAAGATCAATAAGGGCCATGGAACACCTATCGATAACGAGCTCACATCACAGTGACTAACACAAAAGATAGATGTGTTTGGTCAAGATATGTTGTATAAGCATGCTAGCATATTCATGCCCACGCAGTCAAGACTTGGGAACAATCATTGGTTGGGAACTGTTATCTCAGCATTGTTCTTGCAGTAATTAATCAACAAATAAACCTTGTCTTCTCTCACGCCTTATTCAACCGCCTTGTTCTCGCCCTTGACCGGGTCCTCAATCGCATCGACATCAATCTCAGCGGGCGCTTCCGGCACCAGCCTGATAAGCATCACCATGCAAGGAATAGCCAGAGCCAGCACAGCGCAGTTGACGTAAAATGGATGCCGAGGATCGCTGCCGGTCATGGAGTTGATAGAGTACGAGACTGCCTGGCCGGCGGTCTCAAAGGCTCGGAACAGACCACCCGTTCTGGCGCTGGACTTGACGTCCGTCGAGAAGGTGCCCAGAATCCAGTAGAGAGACAACTGCGTCCAGTAGCCCGTGGTGAAGATAATGAGGTAGGGAACGTAGGCCTCTGCCCACCTCTTCCCATCCAGCACGTAGTCAAGAGCTGTCTCGGCGGTGCCGAACTTGCTGTACTCGATGCCGATCCAGATGAAGCAGGCGACTTGGGGCACAAGCCACAAGATAAAGGCCATCCACGCCCGGTTGGTCTGAGACCAGCGCTTGGTGTCGAGGAGTTTTCCGTAGATCATGACCATGATGATCGTGACGATGGGGACGATGAGAGTCGAGAGGGCGCGGGCGCGAACGGAGAAGTGGAGGGACAGATATGTTCCCATCGTACCTCCGTAAAAGAACGAGTAGAAAGCCGGGATGAAGACGAGCCACGTCTTTGTCCGCTTAGCGTGCATCCAGAGAGCTCTGAACTCCTCTCCCCAGGTCACAGTCCCCGTGGAGGGCACGGGAGTTCCATCTCTACGACGGACTTTCCTCGTGGGCGAGAGCAAAAAGGCCCAAAAGACGCCCGTGCACTCAAAGACCACGAAGATGATGTATGTTGCCCACGCGATGCCGCCGGCCGAAGAGGACGAGTAGTTGGTCGCGAAATTGATGGCGCCGCCAATGACACTGCCTGAGCTGCGCATCGCGGACCAGATTCCGAGATAGAGCCCTCGGTCGTCCTGGTGAGGGTACGACAGCATGGCCGTTGTCTCGCCCACGTAGAGGAAACCGCTGGTGAAACCGCCCAGGATGGTCGAGAACAGCAGATACCAGTTGACCGAGTATTTGGCGCTGACGTAGTAGGAAGATCCTGTCAATGGGAACGTTACTGCGGCAATAAAGCAGCTCCATTTGATGCCGAGCTTGTTGATGAGAGGACCGCCGATGAGAGTGACGAGGCACCCGGAGGCGTAGTTGAGAGCGTTGGCCAAGTTACTGAGGTAGGCTTTTGTTTGTTGTGAGTTAGCAGGAGCTTCATCATGACATATACATATGACAATTCAGAACACTTACGAGAAGAAAGACCTCCACCGCCCAAGTTCGAGATCGCATCAGACATCGCAGGACCAACAAACGAGATCGCACCGAACCTATTCATTGTAAACCATTTGTAAGCTTTGGTCCCGTTAAATAAAGAACGCCCTGCTGCTTATATTCGTATGAGCTGCTCTCTCTCTTGCTCTCTCCAGCTAGTCAATGCGCCCAATCGGAGGCTGCATTCATAGAGGGGAGGGGGGCTGAGGTGACAGCCTCACCACGAGATGTTTGAAATAGTGACACGTACAAGATCATCTGAAATAACACGCCACGGAAGAACTTGGTGAACTTGCTACTGGACAAGTAGGCGACGTCGACGTCGATAACCTCGGTGGCCATGTTGGAGTCCACCCTCGAGATGGTCGGCTGCTCGCCTCCCTTGTCGCTGTCAGCGACAGCGACCTTGTCCTGGGAGTCCATACTGGGCTGGTGCTGGGCAGTTGATCTGTGTCTGAAGGCAGGTTGGCTTGCAGCAACAGCAGATGAGGAAACTCTGTAGTATGTAGGAATTGCAAAGTGGGATTTCGGGTCCATTCATATGAAAATCGAGGGTGACCCCCAACTGCATAAACACACATCCATCGCCCCGTGCGTGGGCCAAGAACTTTCGGGGTTCATGACAACCAATAACTCCTGATTGGTGCTCCGTTGCACTGGGCCTCTCGTTTATGTTTCATTGAGCAAAGAGATAGGCAGAGTGCTCCACCATCTGTACCATAGTAGCTGCTACAAGGACGTAGTGCCTAAAGTGCCACTGAGTTTATCCTAGACGGTCAAGGGTGCTGCTATGGCCAGTGCAGGGGGGGCGGGATGCGCGTGACACACTGCACGACAAAGTATATCAATCAGCCTTACTGGACCGGCAAGCAGCGCATAACACTACCCGGTCTGGTCTGATAACGGGTATTCGGTGAGGAACACCACCTGAAGTGGTAGATATTGTCTTTCAAACCAGATAAAGTTTCAAGATGTATGTTACGTGTAAACGGGCCTATTTCTTCCAATACTTGGTATCTATCAAGATAGCAACTGGAATCCAATCAACAACCCTTGATGAAAACGCGTGGCGAACCCTAGGCAGGGCCAAGATACGCGACAACGATCCGGTCTCCAAGTATGCATATCGCGAATTACCGTAGTCACTATGAAATGGGCATGAGTCCTATCGCAACAATGTTGAACAGGAGATATGAGAGATCGTGGGCGACGAGGCCAATGTAATCACGATATGGACAGACGGGGTTCCCCAGATTGGGAGGAATTGTTAGCAGGGCTGTTGCTCCGAAGCACTGGTCGAGACATGATCGTATTGTTACATTTGCCTTATTTATCGTGCGGTTTAGCACAAACAGCACCAATGGCAGCTTGTGAACAAGACGTCCTCGCCTCTCAGTCATGAGACTTTCGAGATCGTTCGCTCACGCTGAGACCCTGTGAAGTGAGGACATTTGCACTTCCCTAGACCAGAGAATCCATGGGAGCGCAGGCGATACTCGATCTCAAAGTGAAAGACATGCCAAAATAAAAACTGTTCATGTCGTGGCATTCTTCTTGAACAATTCCTGACAATGCGTGGTTACCAGTCAGTCCAAGTTCTAGAAGAAAACAGTAGATTCGCTCCCCATAGGGTGCCACTCCGTCAGTCAAAATGTGACCATGCCGCTTCTGTATGACATCGCAGAGAGACTGTTGCTCATTCAAACACACCAGTCACCCTTTGAGATCACATTTGTGGAGGACCGAATTACTACTTAAAACAGCAATACATGATGTTTGATGTCTCTGGACTTGAGCAATCCAGAGATCATTACTATCGCTCACCCAGAATAAATGCAATAACCCTTCTAAAAAGTGATCTACAGCCTAAGAACTAATCCGCCGACGCCACCAAAACGATAATGTGTTTCACGGATGGCAATCATAGCCATGGCGCCACCCCGGCCCGGCCTCATCGAACTGGGCATTTTCGCCGGTCTCGACGTGACCGTGTTCCCACCCTCGAAAGCTGGGGATACGAAGTCTTGGACCCTATCGATCGCCGTTCCCGGCTCGAGTACTGGGATGTCAAGCTTGGATCTCGGGTCATCGCCAGCATGAGGGGCGAGCTCTCGGCGTCGGGGGAATATGGGAAAATGTACATTCGTCAGTTCAACCTGGACGGTGACAAGAGGTCGAAACGGCCATCTGCAGGTGAGGTCATGCTCAGTTTCTGGATTCACACTTTAAGGCTAGATCCATATCTTCTCTGGAGCATCACCACCTCTGTCGTCTCGTTTAACTTGGCCAACGATCTCACTCGATCCGTGTACACTCAGATGCACGGGCAATTGCATGAGCAAATGAGGATCAGGAGCCCCGAACGGAGCCCAGGAGAGAGGAGGGCATTCGGTGACCTTTTGTCCTCGGCGAACGGTAAGAGAGCTCAGAGTCTGCTGAAGGCCTGTGGTAAATATGAGCAGACTGCTGGAATTCGACGCCAGGTCGAGGCCTTTGATTATATTCCGAGAGACATGTTTGACGATAATACCCGGCAGTACGACTTAGAAATACGGTTGAAAGAGGCCCTTCCATAGCACGTGATTCTACTCGGCTAGCTAGAGTAGCTTGAAGTTTCACATCCTTTCCGTCTTCCAACACTGTCTCTCGAGGAAAAATTAGAAATACGGACAGGAGACATGAGAGAAAACATGCAACGAAGCGGATAATGAGTATTCGATGTAGAGATTAGAATATCAAGCATTGGCGTAACACTACACATAAGTCTCCTCAAGAAACGTGAGAGTTACTCGCACACAATTGGTGCAACGATAGTATGTGGCTCTCATTAATAGAATAGAACCAATGCTAATCAATGGCTCTCCACCCCATAGTAGAAACTTTACTGAATATCCGGTATAGACGAAGAGTAAAGCACCCTACACCACTAGAAACAATGGACATTAAAGAGAGGTTTCACAAGGTTGGTGATGGATGCCGTTCTCACACCGATCCACTGCCCGTCACAAAGTGATGCAATGTTGACATAAAGAACGACTAGCCAAGGCAACACAGTCAAGTCACTCAAGTGTAGCAAGTCACAGGATACTTAGGCAACGCACACTAGCACAAAGATGACGATTGTGTAAGGGGAAGTATAAATTCAGCTATTGATGCGACCAAAAACATTGTGGAATTGGTCACATTATGACGAAAAGGCCCCTCCGTACCGCATCAATTTACTCAGTTAGTGAACAGTAAGGTGTACACGACACAACACGTACACTCAAATTTCAACACCTCAGAGGAAAACGAAAACAACTCGGCACAATTTTCATCAATGTTTTTCAGTATCTGAAGCCTTGCAGCATCAAAATCTGCCTAGAAGCAATGTGCTTTCTCAAAGATGATCCTGATAACAGCGACTCTGGCGACCCTCCCAGACTGGCGCGCCAAAACCCCCGCCGGTCTCATCGACGAGACCGTCGCCCTTCTCTACACCGCAGCCCAACTCCTCCAGACGTAGAATTGCAACCCTTGAGCAGCCAAGCGCAGCTCCGGCAGAACGGAGATCGTTCGGCATTGGCCACATCGCTCAACCAGTGGGACTACATGGTCCAGCCTCCTCCGCGAAACCCCTACGGTGCGCCTGGATCAAGCGGTTCATTCTACGAAGTTTTATACAGGCACTCTATAGTCACCAGGCTCAGGGTCCTCAAGAAAAGCACAGAGCTAGTTGTGGAATACATTAACCTCAGACAAGACCCGCGGCCGCCTGGTACGAGACCCTACGCCAGCCAGTTGCTGCTGGCCTTTTGGAACGACACGCTCTACCTGCGTGGCGACCGCCTCAGGAGGCTGCGATTCGCGGAGGTGACCGAGCCAAGCGCCAGGGAGATTCGAAAGCCCGTGTATCACATGATGAATGGCGGCAGTGTCAAGCATCCGCTACACGTCAACAACTGGTCCCAGGACCCACGCGAGCAGGATGCGTTCGAGATGGTTGAGAAGTCCAAGCTTGGAAAGATTGCTACTTACATGTTGGACGCCATTCGTGAGCAGGAAGGTGGGGAGATTGCCGTCGTGCGATTTGAATTTGACCCCACAGGTAAAGTCAAGTTCGACCTTGGTATTGTCTTTGGGCATCGTCCTATTCAGCCGGATGGCAATGAAATTGAGGCTTCGGTGGCGTCGTCATCGAGAGGATAAAGAAAGGTTGTGCATGACAAGCAAGAAAAAGGTGATTGAGACATTACTCGTTTCTAGTGGGCGTGTAGTGCAGGAGTATCTTGGCCCATAGATCATACAATCACACTTCAATCCATCACTCCTAGAACCCAAGCGGGTATCGTCATGCTGACTTTACTTTGAACGTTGATTGATGAATTGGGAGTGTCCACCCCGAGGTTATGGAGGGCGTATATCATCTTCCGCCTACCACAGTGAGTGGAACGCAGCCTGCTTTATAGTGGCCCTCCCAACATTTCAAGCCTTTGGCCTTTTGGGAAACACGCTTTCGGTTCCTTTTCTGACTGTTACATCACGCGGGAGAGTCGGCTGTATCGGTGTGCTTCCCATTCCGTACTCCCATCTTCCTACACCTTTTCTTGGATACAGACTGAAGACGCTGATGATATAGTATAGGAAACCCTCATGAAAGGATTTGTTAGCTCCACCGACAGTGACCCTCACAAGTGCATCGGGTCAGCTCACTTCCCGTCTACAAATACATATTAGGCTGTGAGGCTTTGTGTATGATGATGTGTGCTTAATAGCGTCGAGATGGCACCCAGCCAATCACGTACGACTTTATACATACCGCATTGGGATATCTGAGCTACTAAATCCCTGTCAACCATAACATTTGACCCCGAGAAGCTGACATGAGAATGATCTTGATTTGTATCTTTTCCCTGTTGGGTTTACTCTCTATGCTGTTCGCAATAATAGGTAGAGAGCTCCTGGACTTCTCTACCTCCTTTATCTCCAGTTCTGATGAGAATATAATTGATCCTTTCTGTCTGCTCACCCGTGACATTTTCATTCTCACATTCCCTTATGGTTAACACCCTCCACATCTTAATCAGCAACATTGCCGTCGCCCGAAAGAACCATTCTACAATGCCTCGCTCCGAAGACCCTCGCAAGAGTTTCGACTGGGGCCAGTACTTCCCGCCCAAACCAACCTTCACCGACGCCTCGATCCCCTCCTCCCTCGCCGGCAAAGTCTACATCGTCACCGGTGCCAACAGCGGCATGGGCAACACCCTCGCAGGCGTGCTCTACGCGCGGGGCGCCAAAGTCTACGCCACGTGCCGCACCACAGAGAGAGCCACACAAGCCATTGCAGAAATCAAGAAGGCCGAGGCCAGATCGCAGGCTAATGGCGGCGAGCTGGTGCCCCTGGTGCTGGACCTGGCGGACCTCAACAGCGTGCGGGAGGCGGCACAGACGTTCCTCGCCCGGGAAGGGCGGCTGCACATGCTGTGGAATAATGCTGGGGTGATGGCGAGTGGCGGCAAGGAAGAGGCCCCGGCGCGGACGGCACAGGGGATTGAGCTCGCTCTTGGGGTGAACTGTGTGGGAACTTTCCTGTTGACGCGGCTACTTACGCCGGCACTGGCGACGGCGGCACGGGAGGCTTCCACAGTGGGCTCCGTACGGGTGGTGTGGTTGTCGTCGTTTGGGCTGGAACACTTCGCACCGAGGGGGAAAGGGGTGGATATGGACAATATCGACTACGAGCGCGAGACCAGGGGTGGGATCGACCGGTATGGGATCAGCAAGGCAGGGGACTGGCTGCTGGGTGTCGAGTATGGTCGGCGCCACGCGGGAGACGGGATCGTCAGTGTGGCCATCAACCCAGGTAATCTCCAGACAGGGCTGGCGAGGGATCAGGGCCTTGCGTTCAGGACGCTCGCTGGGCTGATCACGTATCCTCCCATGAATGGCGTGTACACCCAGCTGTTTGCAGCCTTCTCGCCGGATGTGAATGCTCAGGTGGACTGGACGAGAGACTGGAGTGAGTAGTATCTTCTTCCCTTGGTATCTTCAATATTGTCCCATAATATTCTTTGAGGCGTCACCAACGAGGCTGACTTTTTCCTCTCTCCCTGTGTGTGTTTATAGTCGTGCCCTGGGGCCGCATTGTCCGAGTACGTCCTGATCTTGTCGAGGCAGTCCTGCCGCGTGAACAGGGAGGGAACGGGAATGCGCAGGCGTTTTGGGAATGGAATGAGAAGCAAATCAAGGATTATCTTTGAGCTAGTTTCGTGTTGAAGTGAAGGAGGGCTATGTTTAGCAGTGAGACGGGCTACGTGATGGAAGCCAAGCTTGAACATGTCTTTGATGTGTGGGTAAAGCCGTAATAAGGTTCTGTTTCATACACTTATTAATAACCGTACACCCCGCCCGTCTCGCCATTTGTAATGTCATAACCTCCACCACAAGCTTCGATGCTAGTACAGTTCTGATTCTTGGAAGCAATCATCATGTCCATCAGCCAGTTAATGCCCTCGGCCCTGTACGTGTCTGGCTCCACATAAAGCGTCTCGTTGATGGTAAACACATAGTTTTGCGGGTTAGGGAGCGTGTACCGAGGCCAGGTCGGCGTCGACGGGCTGATATCCTTGATGAGGGAGTTTGGATCGCCGCTGTTGACAAAGCCAATCCACATGGCTGTCATGGTGTTGGCCATATCGAGGAGTTTTTCGTAATTCGGGCCACCGATGGGCGGAACGGTGTAGCCACTTCCATCGAGGTCATAAAACGTCAAGGCCACCTCTGAGCCATGTGTGGCCCCTTGAAGGTCGGTGTACCCGTTAGGGACCACATTAAAGTGATACCGGTATACGCTGGAATTGAACGATGCCATGGCCAGGGTGGTCAAGCGAGTGGGCGCGTCCATGATAATGTCGGAGCCCACAGCGCATCCTCGCTTGTCTGTACACAGGTCATGTCAGTTCTCTATGTGCTTTTCATACCACAGGACTCGATCAAGTTTGCTCAACGAATAAAATCTCAAAGCTCACACTGATACCCGACGCTTGCCGGCGGTCGGCCAGCATACGTGGATGGAACTCCGATCTCTGGGATATCGGGATACAGCCAGCCAATCATGGACAAGCTTGTATTGTCAATAGTCAACATCTCGTCGACCAGATACTCGTTCAGATCCGTAGTTGTGTTAACACCCTTAGGGCCGACGGTCGTTCCCTCGTCAAAATTGGTACCAATCAGATAAGGCACTCTAGCAAACTTTCCTGACTGCAGGAGAACGCTGTTAGGCTCAGGAATGAAGTCTCCGTCCACCGCAAACATGTACTCGCGTGGAGCGTTAGATCCGAACGGATTGAGAGTGCTGTTGTCGAAAATATCAGCGAGCGTGGCGTTGGAGACTTCACGTAGACACTGGAGGCTGTCCGTAGCGTTACTACAGCCGGCGGCCTTGACGAAGCCGTCGTAGGTTGGCTGCCAAAGGGCCGTGTTGGCTGTCGGAGCATACCAGACCGGTGCACCACTCTCGGAAATGGCCCCGCTGAAGAGATTCCCGTGGTCACCTCCGTACGCCAGGAGTTGGAGGCCAACAGACTGGGCACCAGTGCTCTGGCCCTGGATCGTGACTCGGGAGGGATCACCGCCAAAGGCAGCGATATTCTCCTGGATCCACGCAAGCGCAAGCCGCATATCGCGTAGACCCAGATTGGTGTTGAGAGAGTCCTGGATCTCCTGGCTGTACATGAAGCCCCAAGGACCAAGCCTAGTAGCATGCATTTCTTGTCAACAGCCGCAACGAAGAGCGCAAAGATGGTTTGCCTGCAGGAAGGAAGGAGGTTTAGTCAGGATACAAACCTCGAGTTCACCTCAACTCCGATGATAGGAGAGCCGAGATAGGCAGAACGCTGGACAATCCCCGTTTGATTGAAGTCGGGCAGCCATCCGATTCCGCCATTGGAAAAGCCGCCTTGGGTGAAGAAGACCTTTTGTGCTTATAATTAGCAGAGGACAGCATTGCTTGTGGGAGAACGAGCTGCAGCTCATGGGGAAAGAAGACCTTACCAGTACAGGCAGGTTTTCAAGAGTGACATTAGACGGACGTATGACAGCTAGGTATAAACAGTCCTCGGACATCTATGAAGTAGAGATCGTCAGGCAATGAAACGCTGGTTGGAGAACGATTGCTGGGGTTTCTCAGCTTGCATTCTGAGTCTCCTCAATGGAGCTGCCACCTCCTAAATTCATAAGGTTGTGTAAATCAGTGGTCTTGATCTTCCGAGTATACTCAAGTATTGCATGTAAACAAATGATGGGACGTGATCACGCACCTGTCGTAATGCACTGCTTGGGATAGCTTGTAACCACCCTCTCGCCCTCCCAAGTAGTATTGAGACCCTGCGGTTGTCTGAATCTTAGATCCCCTAGGGGTGGTTGGGCGTATGCAACACCATAGAAGTTATCCGTGTTGAGCACCGGGTCGTTGAAACCGACATACGTGCCATTCTTTACCGTAACGGTTGGAGCCGCCGCCACGTACGATACCGCCACGCAGTGAGCGACCAGAGCGAAAAGGCGATATCGAAGAGTCATTGTAGCAGGTAGGGCGTAGCTCGTTGATGCTCACGGGCTAAAGGCTGACCGCTGGCAGGATTGTAACTCGTTGCGCACATCAGACGTGCCTCGCGTTGAGCAAATGATACGATCTTATTCTTTTATACTTGCACTGCTGCCCCACCCTGCATTTAGTAATGCTCGAACCACCCTGCTTTTTCTTATTATTTCTTCTTTTTTTTCCCCTTTTCATCCTTCCGGCAGTAGAAGTAGCAACCGTTTCGTTGGTACTTGTTCCCTCTGCACCAAGTCTAACGAACTCATATAGCAATTAAGGTTTAATAAAGTATCAACTCTGAACGTCTACAAACCACCAGGACCTCCTTGAATCCTGTGATTGGTTTCCCCGCCTCGTTTTTAATGACTCGTCCCCACTTGCGGCTTTGTGTGTTGCCATGTCCGAGAGCAACCTACCTAATTCCGCAGGGCTCACCCGCTTTTCTCCAGGAGCACTGCAACCATATCTCGGTGCCCTCCACTGTCTCGGCCAAATATTCTTTTAAATGCCAACGATACCCTCTTTTGCCAACATTGAACTGCAAGAGTATACGCAACAGATAAGACTTTCGTTTACAAAGAGGTGGGATCCTGGTCCTTGGTAATAAATCTGACCACTTGATACACGAGTGCATCATTGAGAGTCTCTAGATCACAGAAAACCTTCACATATGCAATTCCCTCTCAACTCCGTTATCCTCCCTACTTGTCAATAGCCCAACAGCACTGATTTGATGATCGTGTCCGTCCTCGGCAGATCAGCCTTTCTAGTACTAACGCGAGGGCCTATGCTGGCTTTCAACTACTCATTCCTTTCTTTCTAACCACATGTGACAAGTGGCGGTTGGCACCTTTCCTGGCTATTCGACGTCACAACTTGACGATCAGCGGATCCTCTCCCTTGACATGCCTCCATCGATTTTTGTCGACTCCAGCAGGGACCAGCATCCCTTCAGCAAAAAATCCTACTTACGCATCAGCCGCTCTGACAGCTCCCATCATCCCGGCTCCCACGGCGTATTCCACACCACAACTTCGTGCTTGCTTGCCAGCATCCCCTCCTGCTGGCAGCCCGAGACATCATTCTGCAGCTCCTCTAGATCGACCCTGGTGGAGAGTAACGAGTCGATGATCACGGCCAACCTCACAAGCCAGCTCCTGTTGGCGCTGTTGTTGCTTTCCAAGCTCCGCGAGACAAGTATGCGGTTCTAGAGGTACTGGATATCGTGATCACGTTTACTGGGAGCCCGAACATCTAGCCCGTGAAGTTCGAAGAAAGAAATGCCCGCAATATACTGGAGGCGCTCAGCGAAGCCAAGGCGAAAATGATGGATAGGTAGGATACCCTAACCCGACCAACTTCCTCTTCCCAGCTGCATCAGCATGCTCTGCAGGTGTTTGTGCAAAAATTGACCCGCTTAGATCATCGTAGGTACAATATCTCCGGGATGCTGCTCTCCTCCTGGCCATGCGCGAACTCGTGGCCGCTCTTAGCAAAGCCTGACAAGGCAGGCCACGTGGTCGCCTCGGTCCTGAATCCCGGCATCGTCTCACAGCTCTAGGAAATACCCGCAATCATGAAGGTCGGGACATTCATGGTGCAGCATGGAGAGCGTATCAAAAGACGGTGGGCCGCTCGACGATCGAGGAAATCAGGGCGCTCGTGCGTGCCGCGACTGGCGGGAGGGAGACGCATGGTCAGTATCTCAATGACTGCAAGGTCGGGAGGTACTTCGGAGCCCCTTAGTCCGAGGGAGGAATTGTTCATTATGTGTGTTCCTAAGAGTGTATGTTCGTGTAGGCTGCCGCCCTTTGTGAACAGCCCCGAGGGCATCGAGATGCAGAAGCGGGTCTGGAGGGAGCTGCTGTGGGAGCTGGGCTGGAGCAGGTCTAGCCTGGCATCACCAAGAATATCTAGTAGTAGTCTGCTCTGCCTGTCCGGAAATTCCAACAGGAACGGAAAGGCGGATGAGGTTTGTAGACGATAGCAGTCTGGAGAGTGGGCGTTGCAGGCATCACGAACGCGATCCGCACAAAATCATCATCCACCACCCATGGCAAGTATAATCAACGCTTGAGAAGATGGCAAGCCAGCAAGTTACGTCAGCGATGTATTACGTAGGAAGTACAGTGGGTACTATGGTAACCCCTGTACTTCTTCTTCCCGAAGAAGTGGTACGTACCTCAAGCTGCTCAGTTCTTTGTACACACTACTCCTTTTCAAATTTTCACCTTAAGAGCAAATTCAGAAACTAAACGAACTTGAGTTTTGGAGTTTAAGTATGTTCAGTGGCTTATTTTCGTCACAATCTCTCCAATTGGCTTCCAGCAGGGCTTTTCTTTCAGTTGACGGACGCCTTGCCATAACTACCTGCGATACAGCAGCACGTGATATGAACACGATACTATTGCGGCTTCTGCAGCTAGGATACCCTGAACATATCATCCTGGATACGTCATTTCAGGGCAAGTGGTACGCTGCCTTCCACACAGGCTGGTAGTAGTAGTACCATGTGGGCTGCCGGTGGCTTCGTACCATACCATCGCGGCTTCCTCCCATCGTGTGTCCCTCTTTCCGTCTTGTGTCGGCGGGTATGTGATGTGACCTTAACCTTGTCCTTGCAATGTTGATCTCTCCTCCTCCTTGCTTCTGATTTTTGAAATCCCCCCTCTTCTTCCTCCATCAATCAAGGTTTCTTCCAAAGAGGGCTTACCACCACCCCGGAATCCCCAATCCTACTCCCTTCTAGAGAAACATGCCCCGCCATTGAGCCCACTGGCTCGTCATGGCTACCTTAACCTTCTTTCCATGCTAACAATGGTCTTTCATTTGGTTTCGTTTCGTTGCTTTGCTCGCTGTATTCCTTTTTCTCTCTTCTCTTTTCCTTCTCTTGAGATTTATACCACAAACATCAAAGGGCCCTATAGCAACTCTACTACTTCTACTACTGCATTACAGCCTGCATCTCTTAGCTACAAAGTAATTGTTATCTTTCTTCTACAGCTACCGCCAATCGTCATCCCCCACCATCAGATCCCGGCCCCCTCCCTGGATGGATGCGACGGTATAGGACAGGCTCTGTTCCCCCCCTGATAGGCCCCACCAGCTCACCCACCACCTGGCCCTGCACGCAGTCCTCCTCTTCACCGCCTGGCTGCTTCAACAACTTGTCATTACCAACTGTTCAGGGCTATCCTGCACCACCCACAGCAGGAATCTAGCCCCCGACTGCAACCATCAGGTCATCATAGAGGAGAAGCAGAGCATCTCTGATCAGTACTGTGGGCTGGTACACATATACGCACACACAACAGGACAACCCCACGCTGCCGCATGTCACATCATCTCGTGCAGCTTTCCCGCCCCACCACCACGACCTAGAACAGTCCTTGACAAAGGGGAACAGCTCTGTGGCTCTCTGTCACTCTCTACGAGGTCGGCCCAGGGCAACCAGGGGTTCCTCCACCAGCAACAGGGGCAGGAAAACATTCCAAAGGCTTCGATTCTCTCTCGATTGCTACCCTATGACCCACTAGAAATTCATACACATCTCGGCTCCGCCTGCCTCTCCCCCACGGCCATACCCACTCCAGGTCTCCTTATTGCAGCTTTGCTGATACCACCCCTTGGCGTCCATTCGCCCATCAATCACAAGACGGAAGACTATAGAAAGCCTCGCCGTTGACCCCTGGAACGCACCCGTTATCCCTGGCCCTCAGCTCAAACAAGGACGACGAAGACGAGGAGGACAGCGAACACACCATCCTCCTCCTCCGCCTAGCTACTCTACTTCCTAGTGACAACCAACGTTCAGCTCTACATCGAGCTCCTCCTTCAGCTTGATAGTCTTTCAGCTCTACGGCAAACGTAGTCCGCAAGAACGCACATACCTCGCATCTGTCCTCGTCGGGTGTTCAAAGAAGTCCACCAGCTCGTCTTGGGTTATCGAGATTGGTTACCCAGTAAAACACGAGGTCACGATGGCAGATCAACCAGGCTCGGGTTCAGGTCCCGGTCCAAGCCTAGGTCCAGGTCTAGGTCTAGACACAAATTCGGGCACAGTCAAGGGAGAAGTCGCCCCAGCCGGATCGGGACACATCAAGTTCTCCACTCCCGCCGCCCACTCGACCGCGCTTGACTCGAAGAAAACCCCCTCTGCCTACCAGAGACCGCCTCCCCTGGAGCGGAAAGTCACCGACTCCTCTCTCCCAGCTCACCTGAGAGAGGCCATCATCGACGTCCCCGTCACCCCAGGTATCGCCGCCAGGACCTACTCGCCAGAGTCCAGCAGAGACAGCATAGAAGACGGCTCCGAGAGCCCAAGCTATTTCCAGTCAAGGCCTGCCGCCGAGGTCGCATCCCCACGACCCCTCCACGACCACCACGACCACGACGTCACTGTCACCACCACCACCACCACCGACACCAATATGGCTGGCGATTCCCAACAGGGAGCCAATGTGGCGGCGCCTCTGTCTGGTCATGACATCCTGCGCCGCATGAGCAGGTCGAGCCGCGACAGACAGGTCTCGATCAGCGATATCCGCTCTGCATACCCTTCGCTCGCCCTGAGCGGTAACGTCATATCCGCAACTTTCAACATGCCACACTCGTTGAGGTATCGTAAGGGCGCTGACTGGGTGAGTTGTACCATGGCGATGATGACGATAAGATGGAGACTTTGGTAGGATCATAGAAAAAGAGCAGAGAAAGGAAGAAGAGAGAGAGAGAGAGAGAGAGAGAGAGAGAGAGAGAGAGAGAGAGAAGAGAATGAAGAGAGAGAAGAAAGCAATTTGTGTTATGGCTAGTCGAAAGGGGATTGTCTTATTTTGTTTATTGTTTCTCTGCTAACGAAAGTCCTTGCGTATGCAGGAATTAAAAGCCCGCCGTGGCCAGTCTGCCCTCTTCGACGGCCTGGCCCACCTCTCGTCCGACCAGACGGCCTGGAATCACACGACTGTCGCGTGGACGGGAGAGATCGATGCACCATCGGATTTCCCCTCGCCACCAGAGACCCCTCCTCTGACGACCGCCCACCTTCCCGGCCTGAACAAGCTCTCCGCCCCTGTTCCAGTGGACAAGGAGGAACCCACCAAGCCAGCACCGCCAACCCGCGATGGCCTGTGGATACCAAAGGAGGACATGCAGCGGCTTGAGCAGCAGCTGGGCCACGACAAGAAGATCAAGACGGTTCCCGTATGGCTGGCAGACGATGCTGATGGGCAGGAGGACGGCATCCTGCTCAAAGACCAGGCACGGTGGAGGCGCTACGCCGACCACGACCTCTATACGCTCTTTCACTACAAGACCCCGGTCCCCTCGGATGGGCGCAAGGAGCGCACGCAATGGGCCGACTACTACCGCATGAATCAGAAATTCGCCAACAAGATCCTTGAGCTATACAAGCCGGGCGATATCGTGGTGGTCCATGACTACTACCTGATGCTCGTGCCCAGCATGCTGCGGCAGCGCGTGCCCCACATGTACATCAGCTTCTTCCTGCACTGCCCGTTCCCCTCGAGCGAGTTCTTGCGCTGCCTCCCCCGCCGCAAGGAGGTCCTGGAGGGCGTGCTTGGGTCCAACCTGATCGGGTTTCAGAGCTACAGCTACAGCCGCCACTTCAGCTCCTGCTGCACACGCATCTGCTCGTACCCATCCGATGCGGGCGGCGTCGAGACCTTCGGCGCCAGGGTCGAGGTTGGCGTCTTCCCCATCGGCATCGACGCCAAGAAGGTCGAGTCCATGGCCTTCTGTCCGGCCGTGGACGAAAAGGTCAAGGCCCTCCGCAAGCTGTATGCGGGTAAGAAGCTCATAGTGGGGCGGGACCGGCTCGACAGCGTGCGCGGCGTAGCCCAGAAGCTCATGGCCTTTGACCGCTTCCTCGAGCTGTACCCCGGCTGGCGGGAGAGGGTGGTGCTGATCCAGGTCACGAGCCCGACCGCCTCGGCCGGCGACGAGGAGAAGGACGACCCGGAGAACAAGATTGCCAGCCGTGTTAATGAGTGGATCGGCCGCATTCACGGCACCTATGGCCATCTCGGCTACGACCCCGTCCAGCATTTCCCGCAGTACCTCAGCCAGGACGAGTATTTTGCGCTGTTGCGGGCTGCAGACATCGGTTTGATAACTTCAGTCCGAGACGGCATGAACACGACAAGTCTCGAGTACATCGTCTGCCAGCGCGACAACAACGGGCCCCTGATCCTGTCCGAGTTCAGCGGCACGGCGGGCAGTCTCAGGGATGCCATCCATATCAACCCCTGGGATCTCTCGGGCGTCGCCGACGAGATCAACAATGCCCTGGTGATGGAAGACGAGGCCCGGCTGGCGATGCAGAAGTCTCTGCACGATCACGTCACCTCCAAGAATGTGCAGCACTGGATCGACTCGCTCCTCAACCGGCTGGTCCACGTGCTCGGCAGCTCCAAGAACGTCGTCTCCACCCCGCTGCTGGATCGCGCCATCATGCTGCAGACCTACCTGAACGCCAAGAAGAGGCTGTTCATGTTCGATTACGATGGCACGCTGACGCCCATCGTTAAGGAGCCGTCTGCCGCAATCCCCAGCCAGCGCCTCATCAATACGCTCACCACGCTGGCATCGGACCACCGCAATGCCGTCTGGATCATCTCGGGTCGGGATCAGGCCTTCCTGACACAACACCTGGGCGGCATCAAGGAGCTCGGCTTCTCGGCAGAGCACGGAAGCTTCATGAAGCACCCGGGCTCCGACGAGTGGGAAAACCTCGCCGAGACCTTTGACATGGGCTGGCAGCCCGAGGTGATGGACGTGTTCCAGTCCTATACTGACAAGTGTCCCGGTGCGTGCTCAACAAACCACTTCCCTACTGACTTCTTCCCCGCGCCCTGGTTCATTATGCTGACTGGTCTCTGCTTTATACAGGTTCCTTTATCGAGCGCAAGCGATGCGCTCTGACCTGGCACTACCGTCTTGCCGACCCGGAACAGGGACCACACATGGCCGAGGAGTGCCAGAAGGAACTCGAGGCAACGGTGGTCCCCAATTGGGATGTGGACGTGATGGCGGGCAAGGCGAACGTGGAGGTCCGCACGACCTTTGTGAACAAGGGCGAGATTGCTAAGCGCCTCGTCAACAGCTACAACAGCGACATGAGCAACCTCCCCGGATCGGCATGCGAGCCCTCGGCTGCTGACGCTGACAAGAACGGCAAGCTGGGTTTTGTGTTGTGCCTCGGAGACGACACGACAGATGAGGACATGTTCCGGGCCCTGAACGGGGTGAGCGCCACGCCGGACCAGGGCGAGGAGGCCAAGGTACAGCCGGAGCATGTGTTCACGGTGACGGTGGGTGCCAGCACCAAGGTCACGCTTGCGAGATGGCACCTGCTGGAGCCCAACGACGTCGTCGACTCGGTGGCGCTGCTGGCTGATGTCGGAGCTAATGGGACGGGCACGGCAGGTGGGACCGCGTTGCACATCGGCGAGGTGAACCTGGCAGCTCTGAGCGCCGTCGAGGGGCACGTGCCGACGGAGTGAAGAGGGCAAGAGTATATGTGAGAGACAGACAGAGACATGGATAGACAAGACAATTGGGACATAGACTGGTTGGAGTTTCTAAAGGCAGGCAGGCAAGAGACATGGGGGAGAGACGGAATGAATGCATCGCATCGGATGGTCGGTCGGACGGTACGTACACGGCGCTTGCTCATGGGAACAATAGGGCAGGGAGGCTTGAATACCTGGGCTTCAATTAGGATATGTGAATGTGTGTATCTGTACGCGCGCGCCTAGATGGTCATCAGCGTTGATAGGGTGCCCACAAGATTCCGAGTTGAGTTCCTAAGAAGCATTCCCGCCAGGACAGAGAGAAGACTGGAGGGTATCCCAATTGATCTGCATGACGAGACAGTTGGCGAGTACAGACTGAGGAGCTTCGATGCTATAGACATGTGGCAGGATAGATAGAATCATACAGTCTGTGTGTCTCTCTGTATGTGTGTGTGTGTGTTTCCCTCGTGCTTTCCTCCTTGCTGGAGGTTTGCTGGTTTACTTCGTATGTCAGAACATGGCAGCAAGTCATAACACCCGTGTCTGCCATTGTTGTCGTATTATACCAGGGGCTTATACTTAGCTCCTTGTTCTGCTGACCGCCTGCTTGTTTTCGGCACCGATAAGGCCGAACCGAGGGAATAAAAACGGCAGTAAGCCTTTTCTTAGTAGCAAATTGAATACTGGGAGAGATTGGTTCGAGAGGGAGATGAGAATACAGGGAATATTTTACTGTCAAAGTGGACTGACTGATAACACACGATATACATTTGAGAAATCTATATCGATATACATGTATGTGTGTATTTATATGTGTGGGGGAGAGTGTCATGTTTGCTTTGTGTGTTTGTTCACATCTTAAATTGTCGCAGTCACTTTACAGGTCATCATTTGAGTAACCCCGGGAGCCAAACTGACCCATCAAGAAACTCCAACCATTCAGTCTGTTCCAACACCCTCTCTCTCCCTCTCTCTCTCTCTCTCTCTCTCTGCTCAGCTCCTCTCCTTCTCACCTCCCCCACCCCTCCCATCATCATCACAATGGCGCCCAAGCCCCCAAACGAACACCTCCCCATCGCCATCATAGGCGCCGGCATAGCAGGCTTAACCCTCGCCCAAGCCTGCCGCCGCCACAACATCCCCTTCCGCCTCCTGGAGCGCCACCCGCACGGCCACCGCCGCCAAGGCCACCGCTTTCGCGTCTCCGAGGAGGCCTTTGCCGCGCTGCGCGATGATGCGCTTGCTGACGACAGGGAGCTGCGGGATCTGCTGGTACGGACGGCGCCCTGTCGGCGCAAGGAGGGGGTTGCGCAGCGACCGCCTCGGTTTCCGGATGCGAAGACTTTTGAGATGGATGAGCGGTTGCTGGCTAGGACGACGGCACATGTGCATTCTGTGCCTATCGATCGCGGGTGGGTGCGGGCTGTGCTGGAGGAGGGGCTTGGGGATGCTGTGGAGTATGGGAGGGAGTTCCTGCGGTATGAGGAGAAGGAGGACGAGGGCGAGGATGGTCGCTGTTTTGTCAGGGTTTGGTTTACAGATGGGTCGTTCTTGGATGCCAGCCTGCTTGTGGGCGCGGATGGTGTGCGGAGTCTTGTCCGACGGCAGTTGCAGCCTGCGAGGCGCCTTTTGGATCTCAACAGGTGGATTGTCTGGGGCCGCACGCCTCTGGTGGCTGGTGCACATAAGAGCGGCGGAGACAATGATACTGACATGTCGTCGTGGCTTATGGCGGTCGACAAGGAGGCTGGTGCGCAGTGCGTCGTGGAGGCCATCACATGGGACGATGAGGCCAGGCAGGCCGCGGCAGATGCTGGGTTGTCGCCCTCGCTGCTGGGGGACTACTCCTACTGGGCTATTGCTACGGCGCCAGCATCAGGAGAACATGGGTTGCCGCAGACTGCGGAGGAGACGAGGGCATTTGTGGCGCGGATTACAGAGGGTTGGCATCCGCGGCTGAAGAAGGTGCTGGACGGGGCGGATTATGGGGTTGCGACTTGTATTCCTGTTGTGTCGAGTAAACCGGATATTGAGCTGCCCGTGGAGGGGAATGGGGAGAGGAGGAGGGGGAGGGTGTTGGTTACGATTATTGGGGATGCGGCACATGCTATGAGTCCTATGGGGCAGGCGGGAGGAGATCTGGCGATTCGGGATGCGGTGGATCTTGCTAGGGCTATTGCGAGGGGACGGGATGAGGAGGAGGGGGAGGAGCAGGGGAGGAGTTTGATGGCTTTTGAGAGAGTCATGGCGGCGAGGGCAAAGGAGAACCTTGAACGTGCGTTCTCGAACGGGCGTAGGTTCTGGGCGAAGGAGGGGTATCGTGAGGTCCATCTGTAGGGGAATGCTAGAGCTGATAATGTTTGGCGGGACAGGTAGAGATGGACTATACATATTTGGTCGGATGGATTTATAAACTGTTCTTGTTATGTTGTGGTATTTTATTGGCTCATGAGCACGTGTGAAAGATCTTCAGTCGAGCACAGTGAGAAGACTATGAACACTATCAACTCAGATATAGTAACTACTGTGTCTCACCAGAGTGATTTAGTGTAGCATTGTATCAATTAGATAATATCATGACTATCTTAAAAGCCAGTCTGAGGCCATGCTTGAATAATTTTGTGGTGGTATCTGGTTGCATGTCATCACTCCTCCCTCCAACACCAACTAAGAACTTCCAATGACAGGTAGTACACATCAAGACTTGACCCAGCATTAGCTGATCTTGAAGCTCGGCTGATCAAGAGGCTGGATCGCCCGGACTAATGGCTCAAGCATATAGGCCAAAGTGCTTAGTGAAGAGTAAGTAGCGTTGGTGGCTAAAGTAAGTGATTGGTGCGCAAGATTCATTTTGTCGGACTGGATCGGTTTTCTTATTTCTTCTGGCCCCCCGGCCCGGGCGGGTGGGCGTCTGTGGCCGTACCGTCGCTGACAGGATGGTAAGTGGAATTATTCATATTGTGGTGAAGAAGAAGATGATAATGATGGTGGTGGTGACACCTTGGCTACTGCGGCTGACTTCTTTTTCTGCATATTAGGCACGGTGGTTCAATTATAGCGCGGGCAAGTACTGGGCCGAGAAACTTTGGGCCAATGGGGATATTACAAAGTATTCCACCGACGAAGATGTGTCTGACCATATCATCGAGGTGTCAGAAGAGGAGGATTCAGAGGGGTGAAGGACAAAGAGGTTAGCGATGGGGCGGTGGAACAGGTTGTTGTTACTTTTGAACGACTCCAAGACAGAGGATTTCTGATTATTGGACGACGAACAAGACTTCTTTTGATAATGCATCATACCAAAGTCAATCGTTGTCATCTCTTGGAGCGAGGACGGCGCCCCTGGACTTCTGTAACTGTACTCACCACTTTCCTACTGTCTCGTCAATACTGACCGACGTGCTGAGTTTCTACCAAACAAACAGCCAATGAAATCATGTGTAACATGGATATACTCCTGCATGAGGTGGGTGGACATCTCTCTGGCCCATGGCCACTCCTCTTTATGGGACATCCCAACGCAGACTCATTTCCTATGTCCTCAGAGAGAGACGCGATGCGTCTGACAAGGCCCTTGACGATAAGTTTGTAGAAGGACACGCTGCGCAAACCTCTGCGAGATACTTTCTGCGGTCTGTGAGTAATCAAGACGAGACCGATTGGAGTCTGTCAGTCGGTGAAGAACTGTTAGTCTCTGAGGATTTCTGAAGATTACTAGTTTCATCAATAGCTCCACTCATCACTTCGACAAGCTGACTTCTCTTGTTGGGGCATGGACAGTGTATGAATTGGGTCATGGGCTGAACGGCACGCGCACCCGGGACGATCCTCAGTGGGTACAGCTGTGGACACAGGTATGGGCGCAAAATCGGGGGATGCCAGACTGTGGGATGGGTCTTCCCGCAGGACTTTACTTTCTTTTGTCTAGACTCACGTAAAACAGTTCGGAAGATCCGTCGGTGGATGAAGCAGTCATTGCAATAGACCGCTCACATAAGAGTGTCTTGGGCTCTGAAAACCATCGTCGCAGGAGGAGGAGGAGGAGGAGGAGGAGGAGGCTCAAAATCGATTTCATGGGGGAAAAGACGAGGCCAAGTAAAATAACTGGGCTAGATAAAAAATGCCATACTATCTACACATACAGTAGTACCACCTTACCGAACAGGGGCCTGCAGCAGTAAGATTTTGTGAATCCTTGGTAGCGAGCTGCGTGCATCCAAGATAGATATGCAAATGAGAAGAAAGAGACAGCAAAAAAAAAACCCTCCGATTCCCACGGGGCACTGAGGTGGAACCATCTCGGTTGTGGGGGGGGGGGGGGCGGCTGTCTTGCAGCAAGCAGCACCAGAGTTTTTGAGTTTCTGGGTTGATGATCAAAGGAAACGGCCGGATCTGCAGCCACCACAACAGCCCACTGATTACGAGAGGGGGTAGCAGGGCGAGAAATGACGCGTGGCGTACTGTTATCAATATGTTAAGAAAAACATGTTAAAGTTGTACATAGCACGTGAGTGAGTGATTTCCTGCGAGACCCGAGCAAGGGGGGGGGGAGGAAGAAGAAAAGAAGAAGAAAAGAAGGAAAACGAAGGGAAGAATGAAAGAAAAAAAGCAGGGAACAAACCCACCGAGATCGACAGGGCTTAAGCCCGCCCAGAGATCGATCTACATAGTACATGATAGCAGCTGCCTGCCCAGCTGCCCTGGGAATGGTACCATACTATAGTGATGTTGTGAATCAGAAGGAAGAGACACAGATAAAAAGTATCCAGTGTGGACGTGTGGGAGTGAGACATTATCGCAAATCAAGCCCACCTGAGCAACACTCGGCCGAAGTAGCCCTGCGACTGGGCATTGTTCCAGCTAACCCTGAGGTGTGGTGGCTGACTTGTGTTGTTGGTGTTGGTCTCCAATTAAACCAGCCCACTTCCGGGGAGTTGACGGTTCCTCTTCCCGCTGCACATTTGTGGCCGCAATCGTACTAGGAGAGACAGGACGGCCCCATGTGGACTTGCTCGGCGTTTGAAAGCTGTTAATGGAGGACGTTACCGCTGCGTCCGGGATCCACATCCTCAACATGGTTGTGTATTCCTTAAACCTCGCAGAGGTGGTGCGGGCTGGGGGGGCAGTCGAGATTTTGTGAGCCATGCATGCACGCTCTCAAGGCACACACAGCCCTTAGTCGCGCCAACTCTCTCCATGCAAACTTGGTCACGCCAACTCTTTCCCACCATGATCTGCTTCCTGCTTCCTTCTTCTTATCATACTGCAAGCTTGTGTCTTGTCTGAAAAGGGAAAAAAAAAGGAGCAGCGCTCTCTCTTTGTGAGGTAGACACACACTTACAGTTACACCCGACACGCACTGAACTCATTCTGGAGGACGACGGAGAGGGGCCTGAACCAAGTACAACCGAAATACACAAACACATACACACACACGCACGCACACACAAACACACACACACACTCGCGCGCGCTCTCTCATAGTCAACTCATACATTCTCTCGGTTGATATAGATATACTCACATACATATGCTCACATATACTGTACACACAGATATATGTACATGTATGCTGTATATCACCAGATTGCATTTATGTGGTCCCTGACTCCCTGTTGAGATCTTCTCTCTCTTCCAACCCCACTCACAATCCTTCCTCTCACCATGTCGACGTCGACAGGCACATCCGGCACCTCCGGCACCTCCAGTAGCCGGAGCACACGGAGCAGTCACAGTCTCCCGCCCATCACCAAAAAGGCCGGCAGGATATACCTAGACACCACAGGTGCCGTTGTGGCCTACCCATTTCCCATCGACCTAGCCGAGACCCACAGGGAGATCATGTTGTCACAGCTCAACACAACCATCTTCGGCTCCCTCATTCTGACAGAGGATCTCATCCTCGGCGAAGACAATCCTCCGCCCCGCCGTGTGCTCGAGGTGTGCTGCGACACAGGCTGGTGGAGCGCCGCACTGCACCAGCAGCTGCAGGAGAGAGACAGGCCAGTAGACGACGACGACCATCACGACGATCACCACCAGGCAACGGAATTTGTGGGCCTGGACATCAAGCCGCCCCCGCCTGACGCTGAGACGTGCTATGAAGGGATGGGCATGACGTGGGAGTATGTGCAACATGATGTCAACGATACGCCGTGGCCACTTCCCGATAACTCGTTTGATCTGGTCATGATTCGCAATGTCGCGCTTGCTTTGGACTCGAGTAAGTACTCGCAGCTTGTGCAGGAATACGTGCGTGTGCTGCGACCTGGCGGCACACTCGAGCTGTGGGAGCACGACTACAACATCCGGTCGATGCGACCCAGCATTCAACAGCGGCAGCAGCAGCAGAACCACGCTGGTGGAGGGGATCAAAGCAAACTCGACAAGTTGGGACTGTACCCCATTTCCGAAAGCAGGGACTTCGGTCCAGCCAGCAACGCCTGCGTGGCCGAGTACAACGCCTGGATCAAAACCGCCCTGGCCGATCTACACCTCCCCACCATGCCGTGCAGCTACATCGAGACCATGTTCAGCGGCCACCTGGTCGAAGGCTCCGAAGACCTGGACATGATGCGCGTCGAGCGGGTAGCCGTACCGTTTGGTGGTGCCGAGGGCGGTGTCAGCTGGGAGCAGCAGCAGAACATGGGAGGTCCGCGTATCCTGACTGCCGAGCAGGAGGTTGTGCGGCGCACGGCGTTGGAAGGGTTTGTTGGCATGGTAGAGGCATTTGAACCGCTGCTTCGGGCTGGGGGTGAGCTGTCGCAGGTGGCATGGGAAGATTGGATAGGGAAGGCGCGGAAGGACTGGCTGCAGGATGGTGGGTTTGGACTGGGAGAATGTCTTGAGTTTGGCGTTTGGAGCTTGAGAAAGAAGTGAAAGTGTTAGTCAAGGTGGAGTGTAGGAGGAGGAGGAGAAGACGAGGGTAGAGGCTGGCACGCGTAAGATGCCCTCCCTCCGTCGTCGATACCAGGACCATATCACACTCATCTCGTCCTTGGTGAGCTGTCGATGTGTTCATCATGCGATTCAAGCCGGCGACCCCTGAAGCGCTTTTTGGGCCGTTCAGGCTCGTGGATGGAGCAAGAGCAAGTCTCACCATCATATCTGGAGGATGAAGAAGCTCGGGTCTGGAGTTTTGTCAGACAATTGAGTAAGCAGGTACAAAGGGACCAGGGCTCTTACCCTATTATGCTGGGGCCTTGCGGGAAGAGGCTACATTAGGGACTGCGCTACAGAAGGAACGAAGGCAAGAATGAAGAAGGAAAGAAGCCATGTCAGGCTGGCTGCAGCCTTCTCAGGTTAGGCAAGGTAGGTGCTGTCTAGCACGCACGGGCTAGTGAGTTACTGGCCTGCCGTGCAGATGACATTCTACCATCTACGCCTACAGTACACAAGGCTCATGGGTGGTCATCAGAGGAGCAGAACCAACGTTTTCCTTCCTGCTCAGAGAACTCGTAGTCTATGATTACTGTGGAGGTAGGCTAAAGGGGAGGCTGAGGACGTTGAAGAGATTCACAACCATTTATTTACAACTGAACAGCAGTGAATGTTACATTGGCAATGACAAGGAACGTTCATCGGGAAGGCTACATACATATTCCCCCCCCCCCCCCCCTACGTTAAGGTAGATCAAGCAAAGGAACATGAGATGAACTCAAACGAGCTGTTTAGCCGTCGATGCCGCTGAAAGCCAGCGTCGCGTTTTGGCCATTCACGTGCTTCCTAGAACACCCGACGTCATTTAAATGTTAACCATCCCATCCATCCACCCAGTGACACGCACCCGCCACGAGGTACAGTGGTACTGAGCTTATATGGTGCAGTAGTACATGGCACCAGGACCAGATGGCACCCGCTTCAAAGCTTTCCCGGACCCCACATTCGGCCCAGCTGGAGGAGGGTCAAAGTTATCGCGATCTGTTCCATCAAGCAATAATTTGAGTTATGCTTGCGCCGAACCAGGAAATTGAGAGTACAGAAAACTGTTTATTATGCTTTGGCTATCCGAGAGAATTACCACACATCGTTCGTTTGACGCGAAGTCGCGAGTGCGGATCGTACGACGGTTTCGAAAGGAGCATTGTAGTACCATGGCGATTCTCTTCTCGCCCCTTTTGGTCGGAAAAGCCGGACTGCGGTAGAGCACATGCAGCCGCCCTAATTCAGTGCTGCTGCAATGATCTGGATCTCTACTATGCATCTTTCCCCAGACCGTCATGTGATGGATATGATGTTTGTTTCATCGCACAACATCACTGTAAATCCTGATAGAAGAGGTTTTGAGTATTCACTGGGTAATTGCAAACATCAACCCTCTCTGATGAAGACTTACGCGCAGTCACAGGCCCTGGATAGGCTTTTACCCGGGCCTGTTCTGGACAGAACAGACGAGCCGCCTAAGCGCCATAGTGTTATGCTAACCCACTACTAAAGCACCACTACTATGGGCCAGCTGCTTATTCCACTGCCCCGGATTCGACGCTTCTCCATTTTCTGGGGAAAACAAAGAAAGAGGGTGGAAAAAAGAAACCAGAGACGGCCAGTCAAACTCTCGCCATTTCACAAGCATCAGCCCATCTTCAAGCCCATTTTCCCCACAGTCTGGCATCGCGCCTCGGGTCGCGGGCAATGGGCTTGGGGGGAGCCCTTTGCTCTATTTAGTGCGTGCGATGGGGGAGAGATTGTTCCTCCGCCTGATGGTTTAGAGGCTGCTTGATCCCTGTTCGATCTGCCGACTGTCTTTCCGTGTCGATGGCACAGTTAATCCGCAGCCGCCATGACGGGCTGTCGGGGGGGATGGAGGGGTCTCTAAGTGGGAGGGGTTGTATAGTTTAAATACATTATCATGTCTCTTGGCTCGCGGCCTTTGTTCTGGAATCAATCGTGACTCTTTAGTCTTGTCCTTCTCCTTTCTAATATTCTCTGCCCGCCCCTCTTCCTCTTATTCACTCAGTACTCAAACCACTCACTCAACCAGTTTACGCCGACCAGAGTGAGACCAAATACTAGACGAATTCATTAAGCATCTGAGTAGCGACGAGAAAGTGAGTTAGAGAAGACGCAGAAAGACACACACACACACACACACAGAGAGAGAGAGAGAGAGAGAGAGAGAGAGAGAGAGAGATAGACGACGACGACGACAACAAAAATGGCGACTACCACCACCAGCAACGGGACCAACGGCGGCACAAACGGCACAAACGGCACAAACGGTACCAATGGCGTCCACAGCGAGCAACAGAGCAGCAGATTCGACCCCAACTTCACTCAACATGTCGTCAATCTCATGAGCCCCGAGACCAAGCCCAGACACAAGCAGATCCTCGGCTCCCTCATCCGCCACATGCACGATTTCTGCAGGGAGGTTGAGCTCACCCAGGAGGAGTGGATCATCGGCGTCAACTACGTCAATGCCATTGGCGGTGCCTACCAGAAGAACCGGAACGAGGCGTGGCGGGTGTGCGACATTCTGGGCATTGAGTCGTGAGTAGTAGAAATATGCCTCCTCATCCTTTTTTCGGACTTCAAATTCTGACATTTTCTCCGCCCCCCAAACAAAGACTCGTCGATGAGATCAACCACAAGATCGTCACAGACAAGGGCCTCGAGCCCACCTCCTCCACCATTCTCGGCCCCTTTTGGTCCCCCGAGACCCCCTTCCGCGAGAAGGAGGACAGCGTCATCCTCAACATGCCCTCTGACGGCCAGGCCACCTACTTCCACGGCGTGGTCCGCGATGTGGACACCGGCAAGGGCATTCCCGACGCTGTGTTCGACATGTGGCAGGCCAGCACCAACGGCAAATATGATGTCTTTGACCCGGAGAACCAGACCCGCCACAACCTGCGCGGCAAGTTCCGCACTGACTCTGAGGGGCGCTTTGCTTTCTACTGCCTGAAGCCTACTGAGTATGCTATCGACACCTCGGGGCCTTCGGCCGATCTGCTGAAGCTCATGGGCCGCCACCCCAACCGACCTGCGCATATCCACATTATGGTGAGTTTTGTTGTTGTTAATCGTGTCGCCATCAAAAATTGTTTTGTTTTCCTGTCGCTGACATTTATCCCTCTTTTCTCTCGCAGGTCACACACCCAGAGTACGTCGGCGTCACAGCCCAGCTGTACCCAAGAGACGACCCCTGGCTCGAGACCGATGTCGCCTGCGCTGTCAAGGATGACCTGCTGCTGGATTTTGTGCCCGTCAAGGATAATCCCAAGTGCACCCTCGACTGCGAGTACAACGTGCGCCTGGTCTCCAAGAAGTACAAGCCTGATGCCGAGATGTTCAAGACGAATGCCAATATTGTGGGAGGAAAGTAAAGAGGCAAAGAAGAAAATAAAAACCACAGAAAAAAAGAAAAAAAGAGGAAGGAATTGAGGGAGAGAAGACGCAAGGGTTGCTGAGGACGTTTCATTATGGGCATTTCGATGACAGTGCATATTTGATAAGCGAACTATCTTGGCAGGGCCATTTACGCCCCTTATTCTATAACTCGAGCTTCCAGATGTTGTTGTGTGACGCACTCATTCGCTGATGACGGTGGGGGCGCAAATGCACCTTGTCTCACTCCTCTCCCGGCCAATGAGGAAGAATTAAGGGAACCACATAGATTGGAGGGCATATCGTCGATTGTAGCTTTGTTTAAGTTTGCAATGAACTGTGGCGATGTCTACGCAAAATCGGCATCTTGACAGACAAGATCATGGAATGGCATGGCACCCCGAGCACCGTCTTCATGTCACAGCAGGTGACACATCTCGGGCTGGTCTGGCCCGCAATGTACCCTTGAGCATGCCCAACAGGCCGTCACACGACGGTTTTAGATTGCGCGTCAAATACAGCAGAAATTCTATCCCAGCTGAACTTCTAGAACGCCAAACGCTTTCTCAATACCTCCTTGAAAGGACACTGCACACTGCCTCCCAGGTGCCACAAGACTCCAAATACAATGCCGCACACCACATGCGCCCACGCGTCTTGGCCAGACTGTAATGCGCCCCTTTCTCCCATCTCCCACCTCCCCCCTTAACCCAATCTTTGTTTCGTTGTACTTTTATTCTTGCTTTATTTTTTCCCCAAGCTAGCCCCTGCCACCGTTGTAGTCCGCGCCGCCGGCTTTCCTCAGCACGGTGACGATATCGGCGTGCCTCAGCTCCTTCTTGTCGTCGGTGCGGATCTCCTTGCTGTAGTGCCGCAGGATCTTGGACTGCACCTCGCCCGCCTCGGTGGTGACACGCGCCCGCCGCATCATGCCTGCGGAGGGCCCCATCCACGTCACCAGCAGGAACTTGGTGCGCGTGCTCTCCGAATCGTTGGCGTACTCGACGCGCACGTAGGCGTACTGGATCTCGGCGTCGTCCAGCTCTGCTCGCGCCGCCACGATGGCGTTCTTGGGCGCGCCGCCTTCTTCCTGCTCCGTGTCGTCCCGGTCGTCGACGAAGCACTTGTCCGTGCCTGTCTTGGTCAGGCTGAGCTTGTTGCCCTTGGCTGCTGTCACGATCATCCAGGTTGTCTCGTCCTTGTCGTTGCGGACGGCCTCGTAGGCCTCCTCGATGGCTCGTACTTCGGGGGATCCAACGTTGGACATGCTGGCAGCCGGGGCGCAATAATCAGAGGCGGGAAGGGGAATTGGTAGGCAGGATCAATCGATTGGGTTTTGTAAGATCTAGACCGTAGTCATGGACATAGGGGGTTGATCGTCATATATTGGACGGCAATTGAGGAGAAGACGGAGGGGTGCCAAAGGAGGGAAAAGGGATATGAGCTACTGCTGGTGAACCAGCGCCCCTCTTGTCCCTGAGAAACGTGTCTGGGACCCTGAACCCCCTGTCACCGCTCTAGACAGCCTCTCATGCCCTCTTTACGCTAACCCTGAACAAGCACCGAACCCTGCCTGATCGATTCGATTCTTTTCTTGATTGCCACGAGAATACAGTTGACCATCATCGACAACTGAGAAGATGAATAACGCTAAAAAAAAAAAAAAATACTGTACGGCATTTAAACACTTTGTCAAGGGGGGAGTTTCTTAATTAGGGAGAAACGGTACGGCGAAGCGAGAGAAACTGAACTCTGTACACAGTGTCGCGTTGCCGAAACAGGCTAGTATTATCCTCGGTAGCAGCCGGAGTGCTTACTTAAGTACGTAAGTACTTACTTACAAACAGCTCCTGCTTTCGCAGACTTGGGACATGCATCAAGACTCATCTCGTCATACGCCCAGCAACTTTCCGACTCCTGAGGCAGCATATAGCAACCAATCTCCTGAGTTCACCCTTTGCCTTGCCAGACTGCCTGCAGATCGCCAACTTTCCTGCTCAGCATTGTCTGTGTCTCCCTATACTGCAAGAGCGCACTTCCAATGTCGATTCGTCAGTCCTTTCAGGCCCTGCGCTTTGCTACGAAGACGACAACATCTCTGCTAAATAAACGAACATTCGCGACGATGGCAGAGCCTGGCAGCCTAAGTCAAGGCTCTGGAGGTCCCGTCGAGCATGTGATTCGAGAAAAGGTGCGATGAGACTCCCTTTCCCCTCCCTTGCCCACCAAAAGGCCAGTCCGTTAACCAACGCTTGGACTTCCCAGATCACGAGCCACTTTGCACCATCACGCCTCGAGATTTACAACGACTCCCACCTCCACAAGCATCACAAGGCCATGGCAGACAGCACCTCCGCAGAGACGCACTTTCGACTTGTTATCACGTCGGGCGAGTTCCGCGGAAAACCCCAGATCAGGAGGCATCGCATGGTGAACGAGCTGCTGAAAGAGGACCTCGCGCGCGAGGGCGGCATACACGCGCTGCAGCTCAAGACCATGACGCCTGAAGAAGACGCGAAAAAGCCGCCGCAGCAGGGAGAGGGGGGTTCTAGCTAGGGAAGACAGCAGACATTGCTTTCAAATACAGGCCGAGCGAAGGCTTGACTGGATGACTTGCTTAACGATGTCGCAGTAATGATACCCCATTTTCTTTCCTTCAGCACCCATTCACCATTAACATATATCGACCAAGTATTCCTGGCCATCCATCATGAATGCGCCATAATAATTCCGTGTCCTCGAGAATTCCGGTACAACTTCAGAAATCTCCTTCTCATACTTCAACAAATCTTCTAACTGAGTGTAGTCTTGGACGCCTAGAGCCCAATACAACCGCTCTAAGTGTCTCATTAATTGGATCGTCTCGTCGTGGAGCACGAATTGCATGCATATCAAGCCGTGGATGAAGCTGGCCTTCATCTCAAACACCACTGGCATAATCGTCAGTCCGTGCGAGTCTGTCCACGTCTTGGACCAAGGGGCCACCTCTTCCAAATTATTCCATTCAGCAGGTTCGTTCTTCAGTCCAGGACCAGCCGACTTGTAACGCCATACTTGTTCGTGTTTGGAGTTGGAGGGCCACGATTTCTTACGACTCAGCAACATCGACCCGTTACCATCCCAAAAGCTCGATGGGACGTTGAGCCGGATAGGTGGTACACCATTGTGATCGTCCACAACCTCGCCATGAAGATCTTGCAGGAGCCCTTGGTCAAAACATTGCGAGATCATCCACGGCATGATATCTCTACATGTAGCCAGGGACCAGATGATTGGGAGTATGTGCCAGTATCTAGGACCATGCAGGCCACGCTTTGACAAATACTCGTTCGTTGCAGCAGAGAGGAGCGAGCAGTCTCGGTCGGCTAGCAACCAGTACCGATGAGACTCCTCCAGATCGCAGTCGAGCATGTCTCGTATCTTTCGAACCCATCGGACAATGCTAGCCTGTGGGCCGAAACACGAGACGTCGTCAAGCTCCATAAGTGCAAAATCCGGAGACTCCGATGCCGATCTGTGTTGCGCGAAAGGTTTCATGAATAGTGCTTTCAGCATACCGGATTGCTGGATCCATCCCCATGTTTGGATGTCTCTGCAATTGATGCTCACAAATCGACATATTGCTACCAGGCTGGTGCGCAGCTGGGGCGGCTCGCTTTCAGTGGAAGATGGTTGTTTGGGGCTCAGACCTAAGGTCCTCAGTATACCATCCCACCGGCCACATTCAGTTCGTAGTACTAGAAAGATGGCTTCCTGATAGTCCGCGTGAAGGATAAAGAGATGATCTTGCTCAGGTTTGATGACCTCGTCGAGGCGTGTCCGGGATGCTAGGCAAACCTCGATCTCGGTGCCTTCAAGTCTGAAGAAATTGGCGTCCTTGGACTGAGAGTACAGCGTGGGTGCTTTGCGAAACGAGAAGGCGCGCTGAACCCGAAGTGCTTTGAGTGCCCCGGTCGAAGCGCACACCGAAGCCCCATTGTCCCACATTGGGCTTGAGGTCCTGATATCAGAGCTGAGGTTGAAGAATGAAGTGGGTTCATCGTGTTCGTTAGCTATCTCCTTGCACACAGACAGGAAGCTTTCTTTGACATCATCCACGGCCGGCTGTACAAACTCAGACCACGCCTCGAGTGATTCCCATCGTGGAACCCACGACGGTTTCCCGATAGAATCGCCGTGACCACGCGCAAATTCCAGGAACCAGAAAATCTTCTCAACCAGCAGCACATGCGCGAAGAAGCCGATCCAGAGCTGCTCGTCGGATAAAGAATAGTCAAACTGGAGTCGCCCCTCGGGCTGGTCATGTCGGATCAAGCCGAGGATACCAAATAACCTGTCTCTGGGATCTGTTGCTTGAGAATACCGCACAATGGATAGCGCTTCAAGGGTGTCTGTGACTCTTAACGACTGCTGTGAAACCATGTGGAGCCACGGCATCACTGCCCTCTCTCCGTCGAGGACAGGCCGAATCTTCTTCATGGATATCGCTGGGGTACGCGAGTCGGCCACGAAGTCTGCGTGGCCGATCCGGATCACCGCCTGTGGTGACAAGACGAGCTCCTGGATGATCCAGATTCTCGTGAAGTACCGCAGCGACAGGACCTCTTGCATGCTCTTCCTGGCTGGGGGCTGGAGGGGCGATGAGCTGAGCTGATCTGCGTGCCAGGGGAGCTCGTGCAGCCTGTGGCGGGTAGGAAATCGACCCCCTTCTGCTTGGTTCTCCACGATGTCTGGGCCTAGGTACACTACGACTCTTGTGCAGTTGCTGAATATACTGCCCATTTTTTGCACTTGTTCGTTGCGCTCGGGGATGTCTGCCTGGTTAATGCAGAGAGCATCGATCCAGATCAGCCGTATGCCTCTTGTGGGCCTGGCGAACCGGAGCAGTTCCCAGCAGTTCTTGGTGTGCAGCGAGACATCCCAGTACGGACCGAAGAACACCGGGCAGCAGGCTGTCGAGTCTCCATCCTCACCGGCCCAGGTGTACGAAGCCGTCTCGTACTCTGGGCAGTTGTCGTCTTCGTAGGTTTCTAGGTTGAGATGGACTGGGTGGGAGGGGTTAGTGGTTGGCGTCAGGCAGGCTAGGCGAAATTGATTTGGCGCGAGTCTCTGGCCATATATGAGCGAATGGATAGACGGCGGTAGTCCATCTGAACTATCTTCGTTTGAGGGACCGTCCGTGGCCTTCTTTTTCTCATTGGTGGACGGCTGTGTACTACTTGGTTGCGGACTGGCGGTTGACGGCGACGACAAAGATTGTGGCCTGACGAACCGGACGCTTGAAGGCCATCGCAGGTTTAGGTCTGTAGTCGCCTCTTGGACGTTTTCTTTTCCTGAATTTGCATCGGCGTCGCGCCTGGATGGTGTGTGCTGCTCTGAGACAGCGCAGATCTTCTCTAGGTCAGGCGCAGCGTGACATGCTGTGCAACGAGGCGTATTATTGTTCTCCATAACCACTGTTGGGCTGATGCATGATGGCTTATGCCAGCGAGACGGTGTTGCTGCAGTCATGGTGAGTTGGATGTCAATGATTTCATGATAGCAACTCGCTCATGTAACCTCACAGATAGTTAAGTAAGTAGTTATCCGCCAAATTGTTCCAGGTCTCAGGTGGGGTTCTCACAGCCTGCGCCTCAGCTTTGATTTCTCGATCCTCCTCAGCATGTCTAAAGTGGAAAAACTCAGCGGGGCACTGCAGATGTAGTGCCATGTGAGATGCTTTCTGGGCTATCACATTTCGTGGAGGGGCGCTTTTGATGCAGATTGGCCGCTGGGTGCCTGCGTGGGGCGCATGCATGCAGCAGTTAGTGAATACGACCACAACATGGTAGTCCTGCGCAGCCTTGTTTCGACACTTGCAAATCCTCTACTTTCTACTTCTTTTGAGCCTGCCAGCTGCAATTAATTTGCTCACCGTGCTAGATCTTCTTAGCTGACGCCTCTTTTTGAGAAAAGGAAGAGTCTGCTTGAGACTGACTCAAACAAGACTGCCTCTTCAAGGCAGTCTCTGGAGGACGACGACTGACGACTGAGAGCGAGAGGTGCTTGCCTTCAAGTGAGACGGCTGTAGAAATAGCTGCAGATCATGGCTGAGCAAGCTATCACGCCCGGCTACGTATCTCTCTTTCTCTCTCTTCGTACTGGCCCTGCGGGTGAGAAGTCATTGACAGAACCAGATAGTTTGTAAAGAGTTCTCTCAGCAACATTGGCTGTGCCTGCATGTGTGGTGACAGCGCATCATTATCAGGCTCCAAGCCACGCATCTAGTGCTGCAGGGATTGTCGGTTCCCATCAATGAACGCAAAACATAACATAGGGTCGTGAGGAGCCCCCTCTCCCCCCGCTCTGCAATCCGTACACGAGCTCCCATCTCTTCACCCCTTGTGGCCAACCTGGATCAGTCAAGCCTACCGTTTCTTACTTGAAAGATGGCCGACCCATTATCAGTCACGGCTTCTGTTGCAGGCGTGATCGGATTCGGGCTTCAAGTCTGCAATGGGGTAAGCCAATATCTCGATGCGATCAAAGAGCGTGAGAACGATCTCGAGAGCGCCAGGCGTCAAGCACAGCATATGAAGAGTCTCCTCGCGCTTAGTAAAGCCGCGCTCAATCGAACGGGCCAAGGCCATGGACAATCCACCTCTTTCGGCCAGATAATTGTCGACGCATGTGAACCTCAAATTCAGGCCCTAGAAAATCTTGTCACCAAGTTAGCCAGTGGCTCTCCATCATCTGCAGACCAGGGCAAAGCGGATAGAGCCAAATGGCAGGCACGAAGGCTCACGTATGCCTTCCATCGGGGCAGCATCCATCAATTGCAGACCCGGCTGTCCCATGTCAATGGGACATTACAGACAGCGCTGCAGATTGCGGGAATGTGGGTATCATCACATTTTGATAGATAGTATGAGTGGCAAAACTAGCAATTTCTTCCCGTACCGTAGAGATGTGATGTCGGCTGTCGAGACGGCAATATCCACCATCAACTTTAATCTGACTGCACTACCACAAGTCCAGCAAGGCATCGACCAGCTCCAGAATTCGATCGAGGTTTCTGTCGAGACTTCAATTTCTGCCACCTCGGCTCGCGTCTCCAGGACCATTGAAGACGAATTCACACTGCTGCGCGAAAACTTCAACAGCAAGCTTGGTGATTTGACAAATGCACAGCATGATGCAAGAAACGATACAAGAAAACAATATGAGGATATCGAGACCATGCTCAGAAGGATTCTTTCCGAGGATAGACAGCGCATCGATCGATTGCTGGAAAATCAAAGTCATTCGAGACCAGTTATTGGCGCGATTGACTGCATCAATAGCGATGATAAGGCAGATGGAGAGCCTGTACATGCCCAGGTCACTGGCCGGGATCGACATGGCCTTTGGCATCTACAAACACCTCGACTTGCATGTTACTGTGCCAAACGTCGGTTCCTGCGTCGAACGTACCGCCGGACGGGATCATGGCAAGCCTACAACGAGACCCGCGGCACTCAGCAACACCTTCCGGAATGTCCATACTATGCACATCTCAACGACGAATCAACTCAGTCATGGGTGATAGAGTACACCGGATTGAAACATCTCATGCGGCGTGCGTTCAGGGTCTCCTTTTCTTACACCTCGGGCGCTGGCCGCTGGGGTCTCAGTCCGACATCACTCATGTGCTACCCCTGCGTCGACCACCGAACAGATCCTGTTTTTCGTATAGTGCGCATGATCCATACTTTCTGGTGCCTAGGAAATGATCTCCAATTTTCGGAATCTGCCGGGGTCGACTTCATGAAACTGTGCGTCACTGAGATTGTCAAGTTGTTTAAAGAGGGAAAGAGCTCACCTAAAAGTGTTGATGTCGCTGGAAGATCGCTCATGCACTACTTTCTCGATGTAGAACCTGAGGTGAGCTTTCAATATCCGTATTTTATTCCTTCTTGCTTTGATACTGACAGGCATAGCTCTTGTGGATGACTGATAACCCTTTCAAATTGATGAGTGGAGATGCATTATTACCAACCATCCTCTCAACTATCAATTTCTTCACCAATTATGGAGTGCCGGCAATGGAATGCGACGTTTATGGGTCGTGAGTCCTGTATTTAACTGAATGGGGTGAGAAGCTTGTCTAATCATCGTCGATTATCTCAGTACACCGGTTCTCCTTATAAATCTCGACATTTTCTGGGGCTGTGATTCGCGATCTCTCATCGGTCAAAGGCTTTGCTCCGAGAATCCTGATGGCTGCCTAACCATGGATATAAGCCAACAAGTGAGGTATCGTCCTCTTAACTCGGAGTGCCTCGACGTGTTTTGTCGCTCAAAGGCTACTGCAGCATGTAAGTCTCTGAGGATATGCTTCTGCACATATAGATCAAGAGAAACTTGAAAGAAAAGACATTGACTGACAATTAATTACCTCGCCTGGGAAGATTTTGGGTGTGGACCCTTAAGCCTTGCTGTCATTGCCGGCGACATTTCAACGGTGGAAGAACTGTGCGCCAGATTCCCATCTACGCTATCCGAAGTCAATAGCCTCCGCCAAACGCCAATACATCTAGCATCTGATCATGTTTCATGCTTAAGGGCCTTGATGCGGTATCCCAAAGCAATTGCATTGATCAATGCTGTCGATCTCAGCGGCCAGACGGCTCTGGAATATGCTACCCAGAGAAATTGTCTCCGTCTTCCCAACGGCCAGTGCACAGATTGTCTGAAGACGATACTACAGGCGGATTGCATGATACCCCAGAGATATTCCGACCTCTTTCGGAGACTGTGTCGGACTTGATTTTACGAACTACTCCAACATGTCAAGAACCGCCGCCAACGCCTACAAGAATTTGCACGGGTGAACCTAACCTCATTTGCAAGTTGCGACCTTGGTCTCGAATCAAACAATGTACTTGACTCTAAAGCACATCTCGTCGTGACGATGCTTCGTCGTGAGGGTGTGTGCATTCCGGAACCCTTGTCCATCGCTCCCGCGGAACAAAATGGGCCCGGATACGATTACGAATACTGGTCGCAGTCTGTCTTCCATGCTCTAGATGACTATGATCGTTTCGAGGACGAAGACTACGCTTTTGCTTTTTCTATCGGCTTCCGCGACTTAGACGAGCCTGATATCGAGGGCCGCACACCTTTGTACGGTTTGTCTATCTATGGCAGGGTACTGATGTCTTGCTATTTCTCGTATGATAGGATGTTAAATATATTCCGAAAGTACCTATGGCTGATGGAACATGGTGCTGATCCATGGACCCGATTGCCATTGACAGACGCGACGGTTGCCCATTATATATACATGTCACTGGTGCCAGAGGTGTGGGGTATGTCCAAGGATGTTGGAGGTTCAATCAAGGACTTGCTTGGCCATATTGAAATCTTTTTTGACAAGTTCAGCACACTCTTCTACGACACTACCCGGCATCTAGCTCTCTCCAACCCGCGTGATCATTATCGCTGCAGATGCTCGCCTGGGGGATGCCCACCTATCATTTGGTTGCTGCGGGGGTTCTCGCACATGCTCACGAAATGGTGCGCGTACCAAACCAGAGTTCCCGAATCACTCGCCGAAACCATCGACTTGATCCTCGCCAAGGGCAATCCCTTTTGGACTGGGGACCAACTCAAGTCTGCAGTTCGATATTGGACTTTTGAAGCATTGGAGCTAAGACATACTTGCAATCACGGCGGAGAAGGGGAATATTTTCAAGGGATGGATGAAGAGGAGATCGATGAGATACTGGAGGAGGATGTTTTCGTGCTGAGTATCCTCGAGGAATTGATGGAAGAGTTCGAAACAAGGCTCAACCTTGGGCAAGAATCAGAGATCGTTCGCCGCAACGTATCCTTCTGGAACGAGATATGGCTGCCACGAGTGAGAGAAGTGCGTGACTCACTTAGCAGTCATCGGATGAGAGACAATCAAAAGCGGCAATGCGAGGAGATTGGTGTGGTGTAGCATGATGGGCATGATGACGAAGACCATGGGCAAAGTCAACGAGGAAGTCGAGTCAATTGGCCATCTGATGTCGATGAAAGAGACATGTGGTTGACATTCAGGTCGGTCAATGATTGGGAATCGAGATTGAAGCTCATTGTCTCCCAAGCCCATTCCAGATGACTACAATTCCCGGTTTGGTTTCACGATCTGTCGAAGAAAATTCCGTATACACTTTGGTCTATTGTTAGATTTCATAGAACGGGTATTAGGGCAACCTTGGCTTCGCTTTCAATGTTCAACTGCTGAATTGACCACTTCAGATAATAAGCGAAAATTGCAATACCGAATCCGCTTGTTGTTCGTTATGTGAGGGGGTTCCTGGCTAGGGTCATCCGCTGATGTTATGAGCTAATCAACTGTTTTGTTCTGAGTCGGAGCATCCGGTCGATCTTGGGGGTCAGCTGAGGTCTGCCTTGAAGGCATAAGTTTTGAAACAAGTGGCTCAGTAAGCAGGAGCACGACGCAATTAAACTTTACTGTCGCAGCACACATTCCACCAACGTCCCTTGCTCCTCGAGACTCCCATGCTGTATTTCTCATTTAGTGAAGTGCTTCTAGCCACTATCACTTCGACCTGCATCCTCAGCTCCTAGAAGCCACAGCCTCTAGTCATGCGTGGCCCGGTCGCGCTGTCATCTTAAAATAGGCCAGCACAGCAAAATCGCCACTTTCGGGCAACGACAGCGATAGAGACCAGCATGTGTGTGTATTTAATGGTTGAATGTTCTCATCCCATTCCTCTCCAACTCTTATTTTGGTAGATAACCTCGTCATTGCCATCGAGAAATACCGACTCCAACTATTCTTCAAATTTGTTCCACCATTCTCAACTGCTACAACAATTAGACTGTCACAATGACAATCAAGCTTGCCTTCTATATGCTCCTCAGTGCTCTCTTGGCTCTTGGTGCCACAGCCTCGCCAGCTTATTATGAAGACCGGAGTTTCATTCGAGACAGTGAGGCCACCAGCAGTATAGCTTCGAACACGAGCACAAGCAACTCCCTGCCCGGTCTTCCCTCGGGCTGCATGATCTCCTCCAAGAATATCGCATGGGGCTGGCTCCCTGACGACGAAAACAGCGCCGTGAGCATCTCCTCACTCAACTCGGCGACCGGAAAAAAGGCCTGCTTCTTCGGCGACTACTCCAAGATCAATGACGCTTCCTACGACGGGTCCGACATCACGTACAAAGCTGCTGATGCCGAAGGCGCGATCATGGTCCCCTCCATCATGCCGGTGGGCGTCACCTGGGATCAAGTGACGACGACTCTGGCCAAACAGATTGGCACTGTCGTTGAGGCTTTCACAAAGGGCGGTCTGGTCGTGTACCTTCGTTTCGCTCACGAGATGAACTGTTACGCCAAACCCGGGTGCGCGACGCCGGCGTACCCAGGAGGCGAGGACTACGCTGGATTCAAGAAGGCCTGGATTAATGTCGCCAATGTCTGTAAAGGGATCACAGGTTGCTACATGATGTGGTCGCCCAATCTGCAGGACGTGTCATCCCTGAGCAACTGGTGGCCTGGTGCAGATTATGTCGATATTGTCGCTGTGGATCATTATCCATCCAGCGATTCCGACGTCAGCGCCGGCTTCAGCAGTGCATACGACGACTTCTACAATACTGCTGTCAAGCCTTATGGCAAGCCTTTTATGCTGGGTGAGACGGCGTATGGTGGCAGCACTAAAGACGATTGGGTCAAGGCCGTTACCGACAGTGACTTCAGCAGCTACCCCCTCTACCAGGGAGCGATGTGGTTTGAGTAAGTCGCTTTCCATCCCTTTGCAAGGTCACCAGATTTATTGGACAGAAGTTGTCCTCATTTCTAAACAGATACTGACATCGATTACTCAGGTACAACAAGGAGTCCAATTTCTACGTGGTCTATGATCAGAGTCAGAGTGCCATTGAGACCTTCGACTCCTATTTCAGCTGATTCACTTGAATGCCACTGAATCACTGAAGTCAAGGACTCTAATTGTTTGATAAAGAAGGAAATGTGGGTGTGGGCTGAACTAATGAAACAATGGGGAGTGGGTGCAAACAATCAATAGATGCAGGCAGAGGAAGCTGGAACAGTTCAATGTTTTCGAATACTTCAATTCATTATAACATTCGTGTTATTGTGATTGTCATTGTTCAATTCATTCGGCTTATCCATTGTCAGTATTCACCAAAACATGTTTTCTGGAACCAACCATACTCTACTAGAATTCAATGGAAATACTTCACCAACCTTACATTAAAAGTGATTGTTGTGACTCAGGCACTGTACCTTGAAAGACGCGAGTTATGCAATACATTGTATTGTTGTTTTAATATTGTCAATCAACACAATAGCCAGTCTCAGTGAATGGATTAATTCCTTGCAATTGGGTCTATTCTTTCACCTTCTGGGCCAACTCACTGCATGTGTGAACAGCCATGGTAATTGCTATATAATCTTGCCTCAGTTAGCAAACAGCCAACCCAACAATTTCTACAACCTACCAACATCAACACCAAAGATACTCTGACAGACCTTCGATGCTGGAATAGTCATCAAGGCCCATATTGTCACAATTCCTCTATCAGTTCGCCTAATCACACCTGCCACTGTCAACTTTTGAGAATTTCTCTCCTATTCCCTTCAACAACAACAAGATGGCTACCAGACACGATCAGGTTAACCGTGAGGTTAAGAATATCTCCGAGTCTCTGCGCAAACTGGTCGCTCTAAATGCGGTCAAACAGTCATACGCGAACCTCTTCCAGAGCTATCTCAGAGATGTGACCAAGCGCGTGGTGCCGGCTCCAACACGTGTCAACTACCAACCGGCCAAGAACGAGGGCTGTCGAGTGCCCAAGATCGACAACTCTCAAGCGTCCGAGCGCAAGTGCGTCAGCACCGCCAAGACCACCATCAACAGCTTGAATGCGAGCGGGGGGCGCTTCACACGTTGTGACGCGAAGCCTCACAGCACTGTGGACATGCATCTTCTTGATGCCACAGAGGCCGATCTCGCTAGCATGGACAAAATCTCGTTCGTGACCCTAGAGCCGCTAGCAACTAGCCGCTCAGATGATGAGCACGTTGATGCGGTGGATATCTGGGACATCGGTCCTCCGTCGCCCACAGCGGAAGAGGTTGATGACTTCTCATCCTTAATCAAGCGAACAATGAGTCTCTCGAGCGGTGCAAGCTCCCAGACTGCGCCGAGCCCGCCCCCTAAGCCAGCCAATGCCGAGAAGACCAACGATACCAAGCCAATCGCTCCCAGAACTATCAAGCCCAAGGACCACAGCAATAATCAGGTATTGATCTGCCCATACTGGGTCAGCGCGCCGCTTCTCGGCTGGACCAGGCTTGGCTGCGGCCACAATGGTGACCACGGTCTATTCGTCCACCGCAAGATCCAGGGTCTCCCTATGGAGCCACTGGAGTGCGCGTTCCATCACCAGCGAAAGTGCAGGAACGGTGAGAGCTGCCCCTTGGTGCACGGTCCCACACTGCACGGCTGTATTGCCGATCTGCCCAAGCGTGAGCCTTCAAAGCGCGATGCTGCGGCGGGTTCCAAGGCTGGGCAGGGCAAGGCTGCTGGAGACCAGTCAAAGGTGCGCGGCTAAGCTGTCCAGAGGCGCTACCGCGGAAGCGACTGTTGGTTGGACTCTATCATGGTGTTTCTTGATAAACGCCAGAGTCTGATTCGGTGGGGAAGAAGAGGTCAGGGGGTGCATATGAAGGGGAGGACTGAGAAAAGAATACCTCGGCACTCATTACGAATGACGATACTGCACGGTATGCAGAGGAAAGTATGGGGAAAGATTCGGTATAAACAGTAGGGGATAAGCTCGGTCTAGGGCTACCTAGAGAATATCTGAGGCTCCTACGTTGCGAATCTTTCAGTCAATTTTCTATTTAAAATGAATATCATCGTCACCATGTCATTGTCGTGCAAGTTCTTCATTCTGGCGCTAAACATTGCTTTCCGCGAGCCTTTTTTATCTGTCCCTGATATGAGCCTACTAATATTTCTATTATTGTAACCTTCTCTTGCCTCCTGTTGCAAATCGGTTCCTCTGTACTGAGACCGTGGTCATGCGGCGCTACTCGAGGGCTGCTCTACTTTGTAAGTACGGGCAACGAAAAGTTATGACTGAATATTGATGGCCAATGACACACTATTTGGAAGAACCCTCTAACTAATGAAATGAGTCCATCAGACTCGAATAGAACCAATTTTTTCAAGGTCCACTTAACGTAGCTAATTACATGCAAGGCTATTAAGCAAATTTAATGTTGAAACCAAGAAGAAGAAGAAGAAGAAGGAGAAGGAGGAGGAGGAGAAGAAAGAGAGGGTGAAAGAGGGAGAGAGAATTTTTTTTTTTGTGTGTGTGTGTGTGTGTGTGTGTCTATGATATTACAATCTCTCCCATTTTACATAGTCTTGTACGCCTTCTTAACAAGCTCACGTACAGATGAGACAGATTCCTCCGGCCGAGCACTGATCGCCTTGATTGCAGCACAAAGTCCACGCAGAAGACGAGCTGCAACACCAGCATCGACAACGTCCACGGCATGGCCAAGCCTTATCTCCAATGATCCTGGCCCCTGTGTTGCTGAAATGGAAATGTCTGGCAACATGTAGAATCCACCGTCCTCTGCACTGTCGAGGAACGAAGGAATGTACTCAGTCTCTCCCAGCACAAAGCCAGACGCCTCGGGAGCCCTCTGATGGTTGATGAGCGACGTTAACCGGTTCCAAGACGATGAAGGCGCACAATCATTGATAATGCGCTGAGTCCCGATGGTCTCGTGCTGAATGCTCTTGGTCTGCTGGTCCAGGACGGCATCTAGTAACTCAGAAATGGTCCTGACGCCACCAGCGTCCTCCTTGGCTGGCATGACGAAGCGGAACGGGAGAGCCGTGACACAGCAGCCGTGTGCGTCGGCAACCGCGGGGCTCACTGCGTTGCGGCCTGTGCTCGCCTCGGCAAAGATAAGGTCTGAGAGCCCCGTGTGTTCTATGAGGACGAGGCCCCAGGCAGCCTTCACTATGACGGCGGGCATCATGCCGGACGACACGGATGTTGGGATGTGCAGGGTTTCCTTTGGTAGGAAAGATGCCTTGAGGTGTTTTGTTGAAGTTGTGGTGACCTCGTTTTGATGTGATTCCTGGCCCAGTTGAGGCATTACTGACCCAGCCAAAAATTGACGCCAGTACGACAACGAGGACGATTCGTCGATGCGACTGTGGATGTCTGAAAGGTAGCTGACAAAGGAGGCGTGAGGGTGAACTGCGGTCCCTTTGTACACAGCCATAAGAGTCTCCCAGACCAAGGGCAAAGAGTGAGCGTCGTACAGAGCATGTGAAATGCGGAACAGTATTCGGTGCTGGTTGCTCCCGTCTGTGTTGGTAATTATGGCAATGTCGACAGGCGGTCTCCCCTGCACTGGCATGCCGAACATGTCTTGCTTGATGAATGTCTCCGTGAAACTGGCGATGCTTTCATCCGTGAGATACTCTCGAATGTTAGGCTTGTATGCATTGAGAATGACTTGCCAGAACTGATGGTTTGCATCCTCGACGAAAGCAGTCCGGAGTGTCTCAATCTGTTCGATGAGCGCTAGACAGGCAGTCTTGAGCCGATCAATATCGAAGGGACCAGTGCCATCGACGCCTATGTAATTCAGGTCCATTCGTGACTTGGACAACATGCCCTCAACACTGACGGCTTGGAAATCAGTGACAGGAGCCACATCCACCACCTCGGCTCCAGAAGTATGAAACCAGTCGTAGCGTTGTGTTCTCTCCACGATTGCAGTCTTGTGTTGTTGGTCAGGCACCAGGGAGAAACGCCGGTACTGATCCGGTCTGAGAGCAGCAAGAGAGTTGGGCGAGATTTCGCGGGCTGCAGACGCCATTTTCTCAAGAACCTGCGTCCCAAGAATATCGGCCACCGTCAGCTGCAGGCCAGCCTCTCTTGCCAGGCCAGCCAGCCGCATGGCCACAACCGAGTCACCGCCCAGGTCGAACAATTTGTCCTCTCGCCCGATGAGATTCTCGTCAAATGACAAGACAGTGGCCCACAGCTGGCGCAGGAGTGCCTCCGTCTCCGTCGCCACAGACTTGTCAGATGCATTGCTGAACAAGTAATGGTTCCAGTCGCTGGCACTCAAGGTGGCGAAGAAATTGCGGAGGGCAAGTCGGTCCAGCTTGCTCGATGGGTTCAACGGCAGCCGTGTGACTGGAAGGAAATTGTTCGGGATCATGTACGACGGAATAACGGCACGCAGCTCCGTTCGAAGCTGTTCAAGCCTCCTTCGCAGTACAGGAGAAGTTTGCGCCACGGCAACAGGTGCACTCTTCGTCGTAGAAGTCGTCTCCATCTCCAGCGCCGCAACCAGCACGCGATCTCCCCGCCCATGCGCGAGCGCAATATAATCCACAGCCGCTTTTCGGACCTCAGGCATCAGCCTCACGATCCAGCTCTCGATCTCGCCAATCTCGACGCGCTGGCCGTGGATCTTGACTTGTGTGTCGCGCCGGCCCAGCATCGTGAGTGATTGGTCCGGATTCTGGCGGACGAGGTCTCCAGAGCGGTAGAGACGCTGGTTGCGGGCTATGGGGAAGTCTTGTACCCATGTTGGGTTCACGACGAAGGCCTTGGCTGTCTTCTCGGGCTCATTGATGTAGCCACGGCCTAGCTGAGCGCCCTGGAGAAGAAGCTCGCCTGGTGCGCCGATGGGAGAGAGCCGGTTGTAGTCGTTGGGGGAGACGACCCAGAAGCAGCAGGCCACTGGAAGGCCTACATTGGGTGCGTCACGGCGCTCAGTGAGGGGACGACTGCATGCCACGAGGATAGAGCACTCGGAAGGTCCATAAGAATTAATAATGGCAGATGACTTGCCCCAGATGTCAATGACATTTGGGTCAAGGGGCTCGCCTCCTACGACGAGGACTTCGATAGGTGGCACGTCCTGTGGTCGAAGCATGGCCGCTACCGTGGGTGTAAGGCTGAGGAAGTTGACGCGCAGATCCCACACAGCTTTGGCGAGGTTGCTCACGCGGTCGTCCTCGGAAGGTTCGCAGACACAACCGCCTTGGAATAGCGTGGCAAAGATGTCAGAGATGCTGTTGTCGAATGTGAAGGCGGCGAATTGCAGGGCCCTTGAGTTTTGTTCGAGGTGGAGCATGCGACTGTGTTTGAGCAGACTGGCAGCGAGGGCGCCATGTTCCAATACGGAACCCTTGGGGGTGCCTGTGCTGCCAGAAGTGAAGACGACATAGGAGACGTTGTCTGCAGTGACAGTTGAACAAGCTGGTGTTGGAGTATACGGCGGCAGACTGTTCATTAGAGCGTCGTCAATGATGATGGTTGTCGCACCGTTCAACGAACTGAGCCTCTCTGCCTGCTCTTTGTCGGTGAGGATGAGTTGTGTTCCGGTGTTTTCCACAATCGTTTGGATGCGGACCACAGGATGCCCAATGCCCAAAGGCACCACGCCAGCGCCAGCTTGTAGGATGGCTACGGCGGCAACTAGTGCCCACTTGGACTTGGACATGCAAAGTCCCAACAGTGCTTCGGGACCAACGCCTTTGTGGAGATTGTGGAGGTAATGTGCCAGCCTGGAACCAGTCTCGACCAGTTCGCGATATGTCAAGTCGCCGTCCCAGGAGCAAATGGCCGGTGCGTCTGGCTGACGAGCAGCAATTTCTTGCAGAATCTCGTGTATACATTGGGTCGTCCGTTCTGGAACTGTCTTGTTCCATGTCGAGATCTGTGAGTGGTCTTCAGGGCTGATGAGGCTGAGTTGGCACACGAGTCGGCTCTCGTCATTGCTGTATCTGAAGAGCTGTTGGACAATATTCTCATACTGTTCCAAGATGCGATGCACCTGAGACGCGCTGATGGTGGTCTGGTCGAACCAGATGTCAACATCAATCTCCTTGTCTGTGATGATTGTGCATTCCATGTTGAATGCATAACCCTGGATGGCATCATCACTTCTATCATCCTTCTCGACAGAAGTCAGTATCTTGGCAGATCCATTTACTGCTGTAGCCATTTCTGATGTCGACGACGAGGGTTGCAACACCTCGTCATCCCCCTCGATGACGGCCTGTACCGTGAACAAATGGGCTGGCGTGAACAGACCCTCATCGAGCTCAGGCACATATCGTTTAATATTCTGCAGACCTGTGTGTTCATGTGGAATCATATCCACGGCGTCCTGTTGTACTCGTGATAGGAACGTTGGAAGCGAGTCCTGCTGGGGAATCTGTACCCGCACCGGGACTGTAGCAACGGTAGGGCCAACCATGTTCAGGATGCCATCCACAGGAGCTTGTCGTCCTGACAGGGCCGCCATGATGATCACCTCGTCTGTATCTGTACCCGCATAAGCAGCGAGCAAGACGGCCCACGCGGCGCGAAGGAGGTTAGACGTCGTCACTGAGCCGAGGGCTTCTCTGCTGCGCCGTGAGATGTGGCGTCTTGCATGCTGCGTCGACTGAGGCAGAAAAGACGGGTCGATGGGCAGCTCAGGGAACTTGATTACGTTGGCACTCCCCAGATGTTTCCGCCAGAACAATCTTGTTGACTCCTCGTTTTGATCCTGGAGGTAACGGATGAAGCGTGACATGGGAACCGGCTGCGGGACAGGCTCGTTGCGCACCAGTCGGGTCAGCATGTCCATGGTCCTCAGCATGCTCCAACCGTCGTAGATACTGTGGTGCATAGTCCACACGACATGCTTGTGCCCACTCGCAGAGGTGTCGTTGATGATGGCTATGCGGCAGAGTCTGCTACCATACGTCATGTGGTCACTGCGGTCCTGCTCCATATAGCCCGCAAGAGACGATGCGTATTGCCAGTGGACGGGCTCTCGGACGACGACCTGGAGAGCTCCTGCTTTTCCTGGAACAATGCGTGTCCGCATGATGGCCAGTGACTCCCAGAGCTTTTCCCAGGCCTTCTTGAAGACATGAACATCTCCATGTATGCGGAAAACTCGGCGTAGCACGTACTTGTCTGGTCTCTTTGTCGTGATAGCGATGAGACCTTCTTGCAAGGGAGCACACGGATACACGTCTTCAATATCCTCAGGCGACACTCCGCATTGCTCTGACAGAGAACCAATCTGATGGTCTAAGAGGTTTGGAGACGCACGACCTAGAAGCGCAAAAGGAGCCGAGTCAGCCTTTTGAGTTTCTGGAGAACTAGAGAACCCATTTGTTGAATGTGTTTCTTTATCCATAGCAGCTGCGAGGTCGGAAAGGCGAGGGTGTTGGAAGATGGTTGCAACCGTAAGGATAACAGGAGGCTGAGCTCGCCGGGCTGCTGCAACAAGCTTCATGGCGCTGATAGAGTCTCCTCCTACTTGGAAAAAGTCATCGTCGTTGCTGATGAACTCGGGTGCCTTTTGAAGTACGCTGGCCCATAGGCTTTGTAGCTTGCGCTCGGTCGAAGACGAAGGAGATCTCTTGCTCATGGATGTTGCAGAAGTGATAGGCAATATGGTGTTCAGTTGTGCCTCGCTCAATGTGCTCAAGGCGTGACGAACAGTCGGCCGATCAACCTTGCCTGCAGAGGTGAGTGGGATCTTGTTAAACGGTACCATCACGCTCGGAACCATGTAAGAAGGCAGGATGTCGAGCAAGGAGCGGCGAAGTTCGTCAAGTTCAAGCAGTAGACTTGTCGATGCTTTGCACAAGCCAAACTCTGTTTCGATCCCATCGCTGACTTCATCGCTAACAGACGCAATGTAAGCGGTGCCAATCTGAACCGCAGCAAGAAGTCTCGGTTCCTCAGCAGTATTTGTTTTGCCCAAAGGAGCAACCAAAGCGACGCAGGCCATCTGTACCAGATCAGGGCTCGCCGCTCGAAGAATAGCATTCTCGATCTCACTGGTTTCCACCCTCTGCCCATTGATCTTGATTTGGTTATCACGACGGCCAATATATGTCAAAGATCCGTCCTGATTTTGTCGAACAATGTCTCCGGTTCGGTACATGCGGCGATTCGTGTATTGCTGCTCGCCATCATAGCTGAGCTGCTTCACAAACGCTGGGTCGGTGACAAAAGTCGCTGCTGTCTGCTTCGCGTCGTGGAGGTACCCATTCGCCACGAGCGGGCCCTCGACCAATAATTCACCTGGCGCACCCACTGGGCACAAGGAATTGAAGTCGTCCGGCTGCGTAACCCACATCTTGACATTCTCGAGCGGGTAGCCGATAATCGGCGCCTGATGGTTTACGCTCAGCGGACGACTGACGGAGACGATGATGGTGCACTCTGTAGGCCCATAAGCATTGACAAGTTTGGAAGACCCACGATCTAGCCAGGCCTCGACGTCAGAGGGCTTCACGGCTTCGCCCATGAGGACGAGAGTCTGCAGTGAGGGAAGCGCCTCGGGAGTGATGGTACGGGCGACCGATGGAGTCAAAGTGGCCGTTGTGATTTGGAAATCCTGGATGAACTTGTCCATGTTATTGAAACGGTCGTACTCTGATGGGACACAGACGCAGCCGCCACTGTAGAGACCGCTGAGGATTTCGTGGTTGGCAGGATCAAAGGTGAAGGCGGTGAACTGCAGGATGCGTGCTTGAGGTCCGAACCCGACATCGGGATTCTTGGTCCAGGCCTTCATGCTGGCACAGAGAGAGGCGTGGCTGACGACGACGCCTTTGGGTGTGCCTGTGCTTCCGGATGTGTGCATTACAAAGGCAATGTTGTCTGATGACACAGATGCTGTCGGTGGTGCTGCTGTGTGGGTTGGCACTTCACGGAGCACGTCTTGCACCGCGATGACACGCATGCCTTGGGATTTGAAGGCTTCTAGACGAGCAACATGCTCCTTGTCTCCCACCATAATCTTTGTACCGCTGCTGCGTGCAGTCATCTCAATGCGCGAAAGGGGTTCCTGGACGCTGAAAGGCACCACGGCACCCCCGGACTTGAGGATACCCAGCATTGCCACGATGGCCCATTTGGATTTGTTCATACAGAAGCCAACAAGGGTATCGGCGGTCACCTGAGCTTCGCTGATGAGATAACCAGCCAAGCTATTTGAAGCCTCGTCCAACTCTCGGCCCGTCAAGGTGCCATCCCATGCGTCGACGGCCACACGGTCTGGATGCATCAACAATCTCTGCTGGACAAGCTCATGTGCAGTATCTTGAGGCTCCGTCTGAGTTTCATTGCAGTGATTCCAGGCCTGAATTTTGGCCAGATCTTTCATCGAAGGCCTGGCAAAATCCTTGATGCGTCGACTCGGATCTTCTGCAAGTGACTGTATGACTTCAACAAAGTGACCAAGTAACCCTTGCGCAGCGGGCCGGCTCATGAACTCCGGGGAATATTGCACGGCCACTTGGATCTCATGGTCGTCTGTGAGCACGTGCAGGGTGATATCATACTCGGTAGGATCAGAAGTTGTGATGGGTTCCAAAAGCAGAGAGTGATTGTGCGTGGAATCAGCAACGTTCCCAGCGCTTTGATTGTGCTGGCGGCGGTAGGACATCAATGTATTGAAAAAGACTCCATCCATGTGCTTCAAGGCGTGCTGAATAGCTGCCAACGATGATCTCTGATGTTCGAAAGCGTCAAGAAAACGCCGCTGGACGTCACGGACAGCGTCTCCCACTGTTGACTCCCAGTCTAGAGGGATGAAGTGGATGGTCTGGTTTATCATTGGTCCAACCATGAGGTCTGCATCCTTGACAGGAATGTCTCTCCCATTGAAAAGACCGCCCCAGGAGACGTCGTTGGTGCCGGTGTAGGTGGCGAGAATGATGGCCCACGCCAGCTCGAAGATGGACGCCAAGGTAACGCCTTCGGACTTTTGCATGGATTGGAGGGTCGACAGATTATCCAGCACGACTGAAATGTATGGAACTTCTATGGGTCGCGGGCGATTACCGTTCTGGCCTTCCGTATTCTCAGGAGGGGCCGCTGGTAGTAGACAAGGAGACACGTCAGACAGTAAGTCTGTCCAGAACTGCAAGTCTTGTTCCGCAGGACGCTGTCTAAGATACGATACGTACGAGCCGTAGTTGGTACCTGGCGTTGTGAAAGGCAGAGACTCATAGCCTCTCAGGAGTTCGCGGGTCAGGATTTCGAAGGATGCTGCGTCGATGAGCGCATGGGTTGTCTCAATGCGTCCGTAGACTAACCCGTCTGCGGCCTGAAGGATAGTCAGGCGGTGGGGAGGCTGTCCGCGAATTTCCTTGAAGGGAGCCATGGTCTCGAGGTACTCTACAGGGTCGTGGTCATCGGGACAAGTCTTGAGCAGGATGTCTGCCTCAGGCGATCTCAGGACAACTTGGTGGAACTCATCCTGGTCTGGCAGCCAATCCACAAATACTGTGCGCATGATAGAATGTCGAGTCTGGAGTTGCCGCCAGGCCTGTTCCAGCGACTGGACATTGACTTTTTGCTGGTTGCCGACTGGGCGGAGGCGGAACGTTTGAAAGATGCTGTACGACTGGGGCGACTTGATCTGACTCAAAAGGATCCCTTGTTGGATAGGGGAGCAAGGCAATATGTCTTCGACGTCTGCCAGGCTGAAACCAGTACCTGGAGCAGCCAGGGTTTCGAGGTCTCGAGGCGTGAGATTGGCAATCGGGAAATCTGAAAGGGAGCGAGTCCCTCTTGTGAAGAAGGAGTCTCGTAGCTGATGGTTGGGAGGTGTCTTGACCACCGGCTCCAACGATGTGGCGTGCCTTGCCAGATCAGAGATACTTTGGCATTGGATTACATCTCGTAAAGAGACGCTGATGCTCTGGCCCCGGCACAAGGTCACAACTCGGATCGCGGCGATTGAATCGCCTCCGAGGGCAACAAATCGGCGTCCTTCGTACGGAATATCGCGTAAGGGTAGGCTGAGTGCTTCGCTCCATATTTGCCGCAGTTTCTGCTCTAATGCAGTCGCTGGATAATTACCGTTGGTCTCTTTTTCATTTTCACCATTCTCAAGATTGCTCGTTATGGTGGTTGAAGATGGCAAGGCTTCTTGATGGTGGTGCTGTGCCCTTATGGATTGTAGATTTTCCTGCCCAGCAGTATCGAGATCTTCAATGAGCTTTCCAGAGTATCTGCCTCCATTCGAAGAGAGTTCACGCAGTACGTAGTCGAAATGTGCCAGAATAGACTCGGCATGCGCTGATGGGAGAACATCGGCGTCGAACCGCGCCTCGAGAGTGACAGAACTGTCCTCCTGATCAATAATGCAGTCCAGAGTCAGAGCGTAGCTCTGTAATCCGTCCCTGTCACTTCCCAGACGCTCAAGCCTGTCTGTAAGAGCTGCCTGGCTATTTCCTTCCTCTGGAGGCGGCGACGCTTGAACTGTAAAGACATGACCAGGGTCGAAATCGCCTCCCAGATCTGGAACCAGGCGCCGAATGTTCTGCAAACCAGTGTGCTCGAATGGAATCATCTCAGTGGTCCTGGACTGGACTTCTTGCAGGAAATCGTAAAGGGACTGCCTCGGTAGAATGGACACTCGGAAAGGCACGCTCGTCAATGTCGGTGCCAGAATGTTGAGAATGCCAGGCACAGGGGCATTTCTCCCTGAAAGTGTAAGCAGCATCACTGCCTCTTGTGTTCCGGTATATGAAGCCAGGAGAATAGCCCAGGTAGCACGAAGCAATGTGGACGTCGTTACTGTGCTCTTTCGATCCGCATCCAAGGTCACTTGCCGTGTGAGTTTCTGTATGGGCGATGGCTGGTATTCGACATGAGGCAGGACTGGGAATCGGCTGCTGGTCACATTGTGAAGGTGGCGTTTCCAGAACTGTCGAGAGGCCTCCTTGTCTTGATGAGCCAAATATTGAATGAATCTGGACATTGGCACAGGTGGTGAGGTGAGTTGTTGACCGGTCCACAGCCGGGCGAGCAGATTGAGAGTCTGTACGGTGCTCCAGCCATCGAACAAGGAGTGATGGATTGACCAAACGAAGTAACGATGGTCATCTTCAGGCTCGCCGCCATTGATGAGAGCGACCCTGGTAAGAGGTTGTCCATAATCAAAAGGCACCTGGCTGTCTTCCTGTAAATATTCAAACAGAGATCGGCCACGATGGTTCTGTTGCCAATTCACAACCTCGTCAACCACAACCTGAACTGCAACACCTCGACTTGACATGGCAATGCGGGTCCGCAGGATTGTAATAAGTTCAACGAGACGTTCCCATGCTGCTTGGAACCCTTCCAATGGCACATCCTCGGCAATTCGATAGCATCGCTGCACCATGTATGCATCCGCGCGGGCACGCTGTGCTGTGATGGCGACCAGGCCTTCTTGTAGAGGAGTACACGGATACACATCCTCAATCTGGCCAACTTTGACATTGCACTGCGCGGCAAGTGTGAGCAAATCATCGTCACTGTGATCCTCCCAGAGTTGAAATGGCTGAGGGTCATTCCCTGGAGCAGCCTGAGCAGTTGCGGCATCATCCACATCCTCCAATACTCTAGCCAAGTCCTCGATACGCGGGTACTTGAAGATATCAGCGACAGTAAGTGCGATGCCAACATTGCGACCCGCAGCAACCATGCGCACAGCGGTGACAGAGTCACCTCCTGCCTGGAAGAAGTGTTCTTTGATGCTGATGGACTCTGCAGGTCTGCTGAAGGCAACGGCCCAGAGATCCTGCAATTGAAGTTCAGTCTCTGTGCGCGGTTGCTGCTGAGATTCATCGACCAGCATGAGCGCCTTGATTTGTGCATCGTCCATTGCCTCGAGGATGGTCTGTAAGGCTCTCCGGTCCACCTTCTTGGATGCATTGACCGGCAGCTTGGTCATGGGAACGAACAGGCCTGGTACCATGTACACGGGAAGCTTGACAAGGAGAGTATCCTGAAGCATCTCCATACTTGTCTTTAGCACCAATGAAAGTTCCGTGGGGTTCAAGGGTCGGATGGTATCCTCATCAGATGTGATAAGAGAGGATGATACCTCGAGAGCCGCAACAAGTTTTGGCTCGCTCTGAACTGGGCTGCTGAGTTTCACTAGGCTCACGACAACGCTGCTAAAGGTGTCTGCTGGCAGTAAAGGTGCAATCGTACTCTCGATCTCGCCAAGCTCGACGCGCTGCCCTCGGATTTTGATCTGCGTATCCTGTCGACCGAGGAATGTGAGTGTACCGTTCAGGCTATTCTGCCGGACTAGATCTCCGGTACGGTACATTCGTCGAGGGTACGGAGTGCTGGTAGAAGAAGAGGAAGAGGGGGCAAGTTCCTCAAGAAATGTAGGGTTGTCCACAAAGACACTGGCTGTTCGATCTGTGTCGTTTAGGTATCCTCGAGCCAGAGCTGGACTCTCAATAAGCAGCTCGCCTGGCCCTCCGATGGGACATAAGCGGTTGTAGTCATCTGGTTGCACGACCCAACATCGGCCGGCGATGGGTAGACCAATATTGGCTGCGTCCTCAGGATCTGTAATTTGGCCACAACAAGCGAACACAGAAGCTTCGGACTGGCCATACCCATTCACCACTTGGGTATACGGCAGCCATTTCTTCACAACGGCTGTGCTCGGCATCTCCCCACTAAGAATCAGGCGTCTCAGTGCGGGAGCTTCTTTGGGATCGAGAAGGAGGCCAGCCACCGTGGAGGTCAGCGTCGCCTGGTTGACAAGCAATTTGTGCATTGCTCTGGCTAGGTCGGTTGTCCTCTCCTCCTCCGAAGGCGCACAGACGCATCCGCCCATGACAAGAGTACCAAAGATATCGGGGATACTGTCCGCAAAGGTATATGCTGCAAACTGCAGTGTCCGTACTCCTGGTCCGATCTCGAAAGCCTTGCCCTGGGCCAAGAGAGAGGTACTCAAGGCTCTGTGTTCCAGCACGACACCCTTGGGCTTCCCGCTTGATCCTGATGTGAATAGGATCCATGCAGGGCTATCAGGCGCGACGAGCGGCCTGACATCTCCATTTTCTTGAGCAGTGGTCGATTTCAAGCTGTTAATGTCGCCGACAACGATGACTGGGAAACTCATGGCACGAACTCTGTCGCAGGTGTTGTGACTGGCGAGCACAAATGAAGCATTTGCACTCCTCAGAAGTTCTTCTGCACGTGGATCATCGGCGCCAACGGGGACAATAGCCGCACCACTCATAAGCACAGCCAGCATCGCCACGACAGTCCATTTGGACTTCTCCATGCAGATTCCCACCGTAGTATTGTCTGGTTTGACACTTTGCTCGAGGATAAGCACTCGACTTAGAGCACTGGCTGAATCAACCAGCTGCTCAAACGTCCAAGTGCCATCCCAGGCGCAGACGGCGGGAGAGCGAGGCTGCCGAGCTGCTATTTCCTGGACAAGATCATGAATGCAAACCTCACTGCACGCAAAAAAGGTGTTCTCGCCAGACGGCCCGAGTGATCTGCCCAGCTCTGCCTTGTGTGCCTCTGTCAGGGGCGAGAATTTGTGGATTGTCTCCTGAGAACCTGACCGCAGCACAAAACTGATGGCTTCCTGGAATACGCCTAGGATACTCTGAGCGAGTGGACGGTCCATCTTGGATTCCCAGAAGTCCAAGTTGAAGTCGAGATTGTCAGCACCAATATCGATGTTCACAGAGACGTCGTAATCTGTAGGTGTGGCTCTCTGGAGGAGCTCGAATGCAAGGCCGGCGCGCGCGTATTCGCGTGCTGGGACCGCGCGGGTGAATGACAAGATGGTATTTCCCCATTCTCTCACAGATGTTCCGTGGGCATCATTCTTCATGGCAATGGTGGTGTTTTGGTGTTCAAGGCTTGCAAGGAAGTCTTGGTTTGCGAGTGAGAGAAGCTCACTCACACCTGCGCTGCCCTCCATGTTCAGACGACAGAAAAGAACGTCGAGGAATGGGCCGACAGCGTCTTGGATGCCTGCAAGGGGTGTCTGCCGGCGCGCGGTGACATATGCGAAGCATACATCGTCCGAGTTGGCGAAGCTTCTGAGGACGAGGCCCCATGCGACTTGACAGATATTCGCAGGTGTAACCCCATACTGCCCGCAGAACGAGCTGAGAGCACCTGGCGATAGGACAGTCTGAGCTTGTATACTCTGAAGCCCAGATGTTTCCAAACTGTGACGCACGGGGAGGTATGAACCCTGCGCGTTGTCCATGTAACGTGCCCAGTAGGCCGAAGTAGGCGCTGTGTCTGCTTGGAGCTCGCCCGCCGTGAAGTCCAAGTATGGAAGAGCATCGTCTGTCTCAAGCGCGTCGAGATAAGAGAAACAGAAGTCTCTCATGAGAACTTCAGTCGACTGGCCATCGAAGAGAGCATGCGAGATGTCCAGTTTGACGAAGGCTCCTCCTTTTGGTGCTGGCGCAATTGACAGGCGGTGTTGTGGCTGGTGAGCCGCATACGTAGGAAAGTCTGTGTCGTTGAAGATAGCAGTGGCGTCTGGATACGTGAGCACCCAGGGAGCGATGCTCTTCCAAACCACCTGATCGAATCTGCCAAGACGTGTGTCGCTCTCAACAAATGTTGTGCGAAGTATGGGATGCCGAGCTATGATCTGAGCCCAATGGGCCTTGACGGCTTCGGGATCGAGTTTTGACCCTGGCACAAGGGCGTCGATACGCACTACAAAGCGGCATTGATATGCGTCAGGAGTCTTCCTCTGGCTGACGAGAAAGTTGTCTTGCATTGGTGAGCAGGGTCCGATGGCCTGCAAGGCTGTCAGTGGATCAGGAGTGACGGATTGTAGCCTGGTGAAGAGGCTGTCGAGGGCGGGATAAGTGGCATGTAGTTGCGGGAAATCGCTAAGCGTTGGTGTGATTGGGGTATTGTTGAGTTCTTCAACGAGATTTGTCAAATTCTGTTTCGTCGCAGCAGCGAAGTCTTGGACTTTAGCTTCCTCTTCTGGACTGTTGCCGCCACGGATGGTCAACTTCAATTGCTCGTCCCAAACGTGTAGAAAGACCTGAATTGAACCGTTGTTGCGATCGATTTCAGCTGTAGAGGTCGAAGTGTTCCCCCACTGGGCATACACAAGTCTTTCCAGCTCAGAAGCCTTGGGATGGGCGTCGATTGGCAGAGTATCAGTACTGGAGACTTCTATAACGAATGGGTTGTTGTCCTTGAATCTCCCGTTTCGCATTGTCGAATCAATTGTGTCCTCCAGTACACGCCGGAAGCTAGGTCTTGGGGGTACTGTTGACAATATGGAGGCATCCTTAACGCTTCGCACCATCTCCATAGGAGTAATCTTCAGATCTGTAGAAGGGTTGGTAGACGGTGCTATTTCAAATAATACCGTCCCGTCGAAGGACCCCACGGTTTCCAACATGTCTGGATGCCCATGTCTTTTGTTGAACACGTGCCATAAATATGCAGGACCTTCTGATAGCTCGAATTCGAGAGCAGTAAGAAGAAGAGCAGCATTGATGATATCGACTGCGCTGGTGCGGAGCGCTTTGTGACAGCTGCCACCAAGAATCGCCTTACTTGTGGTTTCATTCAACGAGATCGTCGTATCTTTTCGTTCCCAGCTCTCTCCCAAGGTAGTAAAACCTTCAGATTCCGTCATCATGCTATCTTCATCTGAATCCTGTCTAGTAGAAGGTAGCAGGAATGACAGAGTGTCTGTTGCGACAAGATTTGAGAAGCCAAAATCAGAAGTCGTTGCAGCCTCAGATCCAAGAGCGTCTTCAAGAGCAGTGATGAAATCGCGGATGAGAATGCGCCACGAAGTCTGGTCGACGACATCGCTGCTGGCTGCAAAGACCAAGACTTTCGATGGTTCACAGAAAACCCCTCCGAACACAGGCCCATCCCCGTGTCCGAGAGTCTTGCATACTTCCTCTACAGCTGCTGCGCAAACTCCCTCATTTCCAGCACGGATCTCCTTGAAGAGCCACGAAGAAGAAGTCCCGTTCGAGACGGGCTGCGCAGAGGAGACTGAATAGTCCGCCAGGTGAGATTGCGCTTGCAGAACCTTGTGCCGCTGAACGACAGTTTCCAGCGCAAGTCGAACACTCAACACGGGTACATGACTGTTGATCCTCAAGGCCAGCACCTGAGACGACCTCGTTGTCCCGCGGGAATTCCCCTCCTCTGATGAGTCTCTGCTCTGGTCGGTATCTGACTCTTTACCAGGTTGCGACTGAGCAATGTGTTGAATCAACTGTGACATGCTGATATCCCCCATCATCTCGGGAATCTTAATTTGGACTCCCTCAGCATAGCATTTTCCCATGAACTCGATGGCCGACAGCGAGTCGCCCCCTAGAGCCAGGAAGGACTTATCCGCGTCCAGATCTTCTGGGTCAACATCTAGAATATCGGCCGCCAGGTTGTGGAGCCAAACCTCCATCGAGCCGGTCTGTGACAGCGAGAGCATTTTGGTTGGTATCGGCTAGGGTCTAAAAGCTTGTCGTCCTTATGAAAGTTGAGATTGTGGTGATGGCGATGAAGGACTTCATGGGCCGTTATCGAAAGACAGAACCACGTTGAGAATATCAAAGACAGACATGAAGCTTTGGTTTCTGGCCACCTCACAAGTCCTGGGTGTGAAGCCTGTCCGCTCCTCGTCGGCAAGGTGTAGCAGGATACTAAGTCATCTCAATGATTGCCTTCCCCCTTCCCCAATACAGACTTGCTGCAGACTCACGGATCCCAGCCATGGAGCTATTCCTTCTGCTGCCCAGTCGTCATTTCTCATCCTACCAGAAACATAGTCAAGTCCCTATACTCAGCACAGTACAAGCCAACGATATTCTACGGTGGCAAGTATCCAGTGTCCTTCGTTAAACCGGGGTATTACTAAGTCAGACCCGGTGTACAGTAAGCAACAATTCCCAAGCCCATCTGCACCAAGGATCGATGTCACCGTCCACATCTTAGTCTGTCGAGCTGAGGATGACATGTTACGGAGTCATGGAGGGACCGAACTTGGCGGAGGATGCGCAAATAGAGAAAGAGAAAATCTAGGGCACGAGAGGGGGTGTGGTGGCGGCTCAGGTATGCACTGTCGATGATATGTTTCACCTTTTGTACGCGCACCCCCCCCCCCCTTCCTCCCCACCAACTTGCACACCGTGCACTTATGCCTATCGGTCCTTTCGCTCCTCTCAGTGACGAAACGGCTAGGCAACCATCAACTCGTTAGGCCGTGTAAGGTAGTCTTGATCTCAAAGCACCGAAGAATTACTAAAGAAAGTGAACAGTAGATTATAGGCTTAGGTGCCTGGTATTATTTATCATATACTCAAAGTTCGGAGACAGAAAGAGAGAGAAACCTGAATACGAAACTGAATCTATCAAAGACTCGCATTACGAGCAGAATCCGCATGTTTGAGAGGTTACAATATTAATACAAAAGTGTGAAAATAAGAATAGAAATTCACTGGCATATGTGATTCCAATTTCTAGAGTTCATTGATCTGGGAATTTTTGCATGAGCAATTATGAATTTACCGAGCATAATTTTCATTTCAGTGTTTCGCTCCTCAATCTGCATCGCCCAAATGCGCCCTTTGCATGACAAGCGAAATTCCTTCCTCGACCCAAGCGCGGGATGGCGCAATGTGAGTTCAACGAGCCGTACCGACTCGTCAGCTCATATCTTACCACCACCTTCTAAGGTGAGGGGGGGTGTATCGAGTAGTCGTACTGACATTTGAATACTTGGCCAAGCACCCTGTCCGGATTGACCCATGTCAGATCAGCGTGAGATGTATTACTGGATAAATGCATAAAGTCTAGCCCCACAATATTCCTCAAGTACAGAGACCTCGAGCGGAAGGATCAAATCGTTGCGGGTCCATGCTCGACTTGCTTACCCATGACATCGTAATTACGGTATAGGAGGATCAAGTTGAGTTGAGGTCTCAGGCTGGGCGTTTTGTGATTTTGGCGTACCAAAGGCCTGGATCTAGGAAACCGAAGAATGCTGCTAAGTTCTTCTTTTCCTTAGTGTAGACGCTACAAGTAGGTGTAGCTTGTGTACTGTGCTGAGCATCTCCTCTGTCATCTTCCTCATCTTTACCCAAGGCTGCCATCAATTCATCCAAGTCACTCACGTCCAAGAAAAATAAAGTTGCATTATGATCTTCAAGCCGGCAGAATGGCTGGGAGACTTCCCCTTCGAGCCCCCTTCGCAAACCCTTGTTGGAGATTTCGTATTTGGCCAGGACTGGCCTGGACAGGGAAAGGCTTCACCAGGACAGCTGGTGTGCGCGGCAACGGGCTCTACAGTGACCATAAAAGAGATTCACACGCGGGTTGAAGCTCTTGCCCGCAGCCTCTGCCATGAACTCGGCTGGCAGCCAAAACAAGGTTCGCCGTGGGACAAGGTGGTTGGAGTGTTCAGTCTGAATGCGGTGCGTAAGATCCTGGTCAAGTAACCTGGTGTTATCTACTCTCTGACAATGTCTTGAAATTGGACTGTAGATTGATTTTCTCACTCTGTGTTGGGCAATCCATCGTGTTGGGGGCATCTGTCTGCTGCTTCACCCCACTAGTTCGGCCACAGAGGTTGAGACTCATCTCAAAGCAAGCAAGCCTTCCGCTATATTCACGAACCATGCATTGCTCAAAACCTGCCTCGAAGCCACCAAGTCCTCGGGGCTCGTACCGGGAGAAAAGGTGTATATTCTGGATTTTCCAGGTGACGCGCCCAGAAATGAAAGCCTCTGCGGAGAATTGCCTCTGCACTCTGTGGAGAAGATGATCTCTGAGGGCCAATCCATGAGTTCCATCGATCCAGTCACTTGGGATGCTGATGAAGAGCGCGTGGCTTTCCTTTGCCCGACCAGTGGCACGTCTGGCATGCAGGTATGCGCTGATATCAAACGATGTTCGGCCTCTTCACCGTGGCTTTTATGCTAAGTCTTCGGATTCATAGAAACTGGCCATTGTTACGCATCGTGGAGTCATCGCCAATCTGATGCAAGCTCGCATTCACGAGGCTGCCTCTGGGCGATCTGACCAGAAGGATATCGCTCTTGGTATTCTCCCGCTCACCCACAGCTATGGACTCATCACTCAACAGGCCATGTTGTGGCGTGGAGACACACTGGTCTTGCATCCGCGGTTTGAGATGCAGTCCACGCTGAAGTCGATCATGCAATTCAAGATCAACCGGCTGTATATTGTGAGTATATCTTCATACGTCACAAGATTACAGCGTAATAAATAGCAGAGGAAAACCCAAGGGCGCTGGAAATCTCTCCCTTTAATGTCCACTAACATGAGATTCACTAGATTCCACCAATCCTTGCTGCTTTGGCCAACAACCCCTTCCTCCTCGACATGGTCGACCTGTCGTCTGTTGATTCCATCGTCACAGGCGCGGGTGGCCTCACGAAGGAGCTTAGCGAGAAGATCGGGAAGCTCCGTCCTAATTGGAAGATGCTGCCAGCCTACGGCTTGACTGAGACTGCCGTCATGGCTTCCTTCACGAGCACCCGCTCCATCTTCGTTGGTTCGTCGGGAATCCTCTTCCCGCGATACCGAGCGCGTCTTATTGATGCCGAGGGCAGAGAGGTGGAAGGATATGGTGAGCCGGGAGAGCTGCTCCTCGAATCGCCCACCATCTTCAAAGGCTACGTAGGCGATGAGGAGGCCACCAAGGCGGCTTTTGAATCTCCTGGCTGGCTCAAGACCGGTGACGTTGCGATGTTCCGCACTGCACCTGATGGAACGGAACACCTGTTTATTGTGGATAGGCTCAAGGACATGGTCAAAGTCAAGGTATGTTTACCCTCTTTCCTTGATGGTGACTCCTTTATGTGTGTGCTGTTATCGTCGTTAAACGAGTAGACTGACGAATATGGAATATCTGCTATAGGGATTGCAAGTGGCATCATCGGATATCGAGACTTGTCTTCGGCTGCATCCAGACGTTGCAGATGCGGCCGTCATAGGCGTGCCACACGACAGAGATGGCGAACGAGCCAAGGCGTTCATTATTCGATCGCCGGCGACGGTTGACAAGGAAGAAGAGGCACTCAAGAAAGATATTGCTAAGCATGTTCAGGATAACCTGACTGAGCCGCATTGGCTTCATCGTCGTGTCGAGTTCGTGACCGACTTCCCTAGGAATCAAGCAGGGAAAGTCCTCAAGTACAAGTTGAAGGGGTTGTAAGGAGATTTGCGTTGATGAGACAGTCCCAGGATGAAGAGTGCACAGTATGCATAGCTACAATCAATTGCTTGCCAATGACTGGGTGGCTCAGTCATCGTTCAACCTGAGATAGATTGATCAGAATGCTACTTTCATGAACATGAAATCCTATTATGTGAGCTCGGTTTCACTGAAGTATGAAGTCGCCATCACTATGGTTTTCAGATGGGACGAAAGGAAGGGCGAGATTGTTTGTGGATCATGGTATTTATTTATTATATCATTCGGTACCAATATCTATCATTAGATCAGTTCTCGGTCTATTTTGTAGCAAGATATAAGGTACATGCAGCATCGGGACACAGGCAATCGCTTTGGTGCATAATTCTCCATCGGCAGACTCATATCTCTGAATTCAAATTGTAGAGCAGTCAGGTTCGGCATCTCCATTTTTAGATAAGGGGTAGCAATATGTGTTCCTTAAAATGAGTCAAACATTCTGCGGAACCTGGAATTGTCATCCTCCCAAAGTATTTCTGTATCATCATACTCGACAAATCGGCCATCCTCTATTACGAGTACCCGGTCACAGGCCAGCAGATCGTCAAGCCTGTGTGAGATCATGAGGACCGTACGAGAATTGAAATGATTCACAAATGTCTCCCTCATGATATCTGCGTCTTCCGCATCCAATCTGTGTGCCCCAGTGTGAGTAAATAGTTTGATCGTAGACGCGGAGAGAATTTGAAGATTATCGGAGACGTGGCAAAATCTTCAGTAATGTACTTACGCGCTCGTGAGCTCGTCCACAGTAACGATATTGCCTTCGCGGAGCAGAGCACGCGCCAAACTCAGACCCTGTCGTTGACCGCTAGAGAAGGTATACTCGTCGACAAGGGTGTCCAGACCGTTGTCGTACATGGAGCTGCTCCACAGATGAGCAGCCTGAAGCGCGGCGATCAACTCTTCATCAGATTTTGTGTTGGACGGGTCCAAATTATACCGCAGACTACCAGGGAGTAAGAAAGCGTCTTGCGGTACATTGACCAGACTGTCTCGAACACGCCGGACCGGAACTTGCTGAGTGTCGACTCCGTCGATCAAAATAGTGCCGCTTTCGGGATCAAGGAAACGGTACAGAGTTGCTAACAGAGAGCTTTTCCCACTACATGCCGTGAATTATCAGCCGAAAATCCTCGTTCTCAGATATCCTTGACAGAGAGATGGGATAACGAAGTTGGCAGGGTCATATCTAACCTTCCGCTTCGACCACAGATTCCCACAGTGGTGCCGGGCTCGACCACAAAGCTTAGTGTATCTAACACTCGGCCGGCGGTTTTGCTGTTGCACATGATTGATTAGCAAGACAATGAACTCGGTCGCCATATCATTGTGAATGCTCAGCCACGACATACCCGTACGAAGCACAGACGTCACGAAACTCGATTCTGCCCACCTCTGGCCACTGTGACGTCGTAAGGAGCGCCTTGTCGCTATCATCCCCTTCCATTGGGGTGTTTTTTGAATAGTCTCGAATCCTGAGAACAGCCTGTAAAGCTGTCTCTATCTGCGTCCACGAGACAAGCAAGGTATTCAGGTTGACGCCAAAACTGACAATGCTCGTCAGTGCGACACCGAGAAACCCGCCTGTGGCGCTCCCTTGTAGGCGATTGGTGATGCTGACCAGTAAGATGGCAACAATGGCCACCATGAGGTCAAGGACGAAGCCCAGCCAGACCTGGACGCAGTACATTAGGTAGAAAGGCCGCTGCGAGCTGTCGAGGATGTTGAGCGCCATGGTCTCGAAGTGTGTCGTCCAACCAGCGCTCTGGATCGTCTTGAGCCCGGCCATTGTATCCGAGACGTGTGAGATCAACGGTGCTTTGGCCTCGATATCTAGAATGCGAAGTTGCCGAGAGGTTCGTAGATAGAAGGCCTGTACCAGATAACAGAAAAGTAGGAAAACAACCATGACAGCAGCCATGTATTTAGATGATATAGATATGATCACAGCTTGGACTATGATGGAGAGCATGTAGAAGGTTGTGTTGAAGCCGGATATTGGAACATCGGTATCTACAATGGTTAGATCCTGGCTGAATCTGAAAATACTTGTCAGTTTGTTTCATTGCCTAGCGTCGTCAGGGGAGGGTTAATTCACAAACCTGTTTAGAATGCTGCCAATGCTTTGGTCGTTGATGAATACAATGGAAGCTCTATGAGACAGTTAATATGGAAGCCATCATAATTTCCATCGCACACTTTTCGATCGGTCCATTTTCACTTACCTGAGTGTGGTCACTAAGAGAGCTTGATGGAGAATGCGAGCTGATTGAGGAACCATTTTGAGTAAGAAGTATCTGCACCATCTCGAGTCAGTGATATCTCGAGTGTACATTGCTGATCTGAGAATTAAAAGCAAAACTTACGATCCACCTGAAACGAGGAAAAGTAAGGCAAGCCCTCCCATGAGCACGTATATACCGTAGTAGGTGGCAGAGCTTAGTCCATCGTGGTTCACATTTGCCTGAGCCCACAACGCAATCCAGATCTCTGTTATCGGTGTTTCATCAGCCTGGAAGCCTTTTATATTCTATTGGCAGACGTCAGAGTGAAATATACATACGAGGGAGTTGAAGACCTATCACCATCAAAAAGGTAAACACCACTAGAATTAAAGTGCTACGTCGACCGATCGAAAGCACGTAGTAGCTGTATGCCTGCCAGTCACCACTGGCCTTTTGCTTGTCTGTGTTGTCGCCAGATTGTTCTTTTTTAGTACCGGGGCCGTCATTTTCTGCACGTTGCATTGGCATAGCCCAGGTGTCCATCGGCATGCCAGGTAGACCAAGAGCAAAGGCTATGTCTGCCGGAACATTTCTGCTATCCACAGTTGCCACGGGTGAGAGGTCAAGAGAGGATCGAAGTGTGTTTAGAGAGTCCCGTGGCAGCCGCTTCGATATGATGCCGTTGTCGACGTCAAATATGTCGTCGGCAAGGCTTAGCCCGGCATCTTTAGGGTTGTTGTATCGTAAGCTTCTTATCCCTTATATGACTAACTGCTTGTCTGTTTCTCATAACGTATATGCTTACCATGGACGGAGGAGAATATTACTGTCCTTCCTTCTCGACGAAAAAGGCCATTAACACCGGATAAACTCTTCCATACCGTCTTAGACGTCTCTGGATCGAGCCCGCTCAAGACATCGTCCAGGATGAGCAAGTCCAGCCCGCAGTATACTGCTCTGGCCAACGCCTGTTGGTGTTTCGAATGTCAGTTCTCTCAGCTCTACATTGTCTGTGTACTTCTTAAGCGGTTAAGGAAAGGAGGGAAAGAATTACAGCACATGCTTAAATGGGAAGGAGAGCTTTACCACTCGTTTCCGCTGCCCGCCGCTCAAACGAGACCCTCCACTACCAGTGGGCGTCCTGTCTCCCAAGGGCATGCGACTGATCTCCTGACCAAGTCCACAAGCCGTGACCACTGCCTCGTAACGAGATTTGCTGAACGTACAGCAGTTGACAATGTTGTCCATGATAGTTCCCTCGAAGATCCACGGCTTTTGGCTGCAATAGGCAGCACGAACGAGCGCCGTGGAAAGCGTTCCGTTCGAAATTGTGGCCTGGCCCAAGAACGCCTCCAGAAGCGTTGTTTTACCTGACCCAGGTCCCCCTGTGAAAGCAGTAATCCTATTCTTGCCTATCGAGAAAGACGCCCCCTTGATTACTGCTGTGTTGCTGGGCCACCCGATGTCAGCGTCTCGTGCGACTATGCACCTCTGCTCTTCAAGGAGCAATGACAGTCGATTGATCCGACGGCGAGTCAAAGAAAATGTTCGCATTGGAAAACCACCATCCTCGTCGCCGTCATCGAGCGGGTCTTCCATGATTGTACTGTCACGGAGGGGCGATGTCCATCCTGGCGGCCGAGAAGGCGAGCTGGCAATGTGCACCCGCGGGTCAACAAATGGCGGCTCGTGTAAGGCTTGAGCATATCTCGCGAACCCGCTGAGGGCAGATATCATCTCAAATGTTGCTTGCACAAGTGATGTGATGGAAGAAGTGAACAATGTGAAGGCAGTCAAAGAGGAGAAAGCTACTTCGACGGTGAACACTTTTGCGCCCCGGATACTTGGCACAAACACAAAAAGACCAAAACCGATGACTGGCGCTATGACGACGGATGAGTATGCTATCACAAGTGAAAAAGGTGAGGTTAGCGTTGTGATACTTCACTCCTCGTGTATCCTGGTTATGGAAGTAATTACCCATTGTGAGCACGCCCACAACCATCGCCCGATATCTTTTTGAGATATGGATCTCAGACTCCCGGAGTGACGAGATGCGGGAGGTGACAGAGTCCATGAAGCCAGCCAATGCGACCGGTTTGAATTGGCTGAGCACACTTTCTGTGATGTCGATTCGTCGTTGAATGGCTTCAAGCCACGCAGTGAGATCTCCCATTGCCCTAGTCGAGATAAAGAAGCCTGCAACGAGACATGCTGAAGCGAGGTAACGTATTTGTCAGTGTCTTGGAATGAGTAGGCGATTGCACAGCGTATCTTCTTACCCAACGATGCGAGGCTCGAAGCTGCAGCGGCAACATGAATTTGCCTTTCAATCAGCCAGATGAAAAGCCCAATCTCAATGGCGGATGCCCAAGTCTCATGAAATGTCATCATTCCAAGAGCCATCTTTTCCATGTCAACACTGACCAGGGAGATTGGGGCGTGCTCTGTTGCTTTTCTTATGTCGGTTCTTAACACATGGCTGTAAAGCATTGGAATGAGGCTGCCTCTCAGCTGCACCACAAACCTCCTGCTGTGATATTGAAAACCTGCTTGGCATATCTGGGGAATGTAAGAGTCAGTGAGATTTCATTGAGAAAAGTGACGCGACAGGATGCTACAGATCCAGTGCTACGTACGGCAATGCCAAGATAGACGGCGGCATAGCCAACCACCAACCATGTCCCTCTCGCGGTTGACGATTCGCTGTGAGAGTCTGCCGAGAATTGAAGCTCGGCCTGCACTAGGAAGGGCTGTGCAAAGCGGAAAGCGACTAAACATAGCCGAAAGAAACCCCCGGCCAGGATCGTGGCCTTTTGCTGTCTCATGAGAAGAAACAGCAAGCCAGGCGCATTCCGTGGAGTATCTGCAAGACGTTCAATACAGGGACAACTACAGCGGTGAGATCTGGATTTGTTGAGGTCTCACCTTTATTCCACTGGCGGAGGATCTTGAATAACAAAGTCTCTGCCCTCATGTCCGGATGAAGATGATACAGATTTCGTATTGATAGTGACGACGAAAACCCTGTCCTAAGCAGCGGAAGCAACCAAGAAAGCGTGAGCATACTGATGAGACCGCCTGTGCCGTCTGGTGAGACATCTTGATATGGATTCAAGAGAATTCGGCGCTTGCTTTGGGTTTCAGCCATCAGAGCCAGGAAACGGACGACAAGTGTTGTCGTAACAACACCAGCAATAGCATTGGAGCCACGTATGAGCCATAATGTGTGGCAATGGATGATACCCAGGAAGAACGTGAGAGCGTAGTAGGCCTCCAAGAGAGTGGATGGCCTCACGGATCGGGTATGCTCCAAGGCAGAAAGGGGTATGAAGGCAAGAGCTGCCAAGAACAGGATCACAGACGAGGCAAGCGACAATCTGGTCTTGGGCGTGCCAGGCACAGCATACAAGCAAAGCTGTGTCAAGGCCAGAATGGCAAAAACACCATTCACTCCCTATAGTATATGAAAGAACAAGACGAATTAGATTACAGTCTAGCCATCCCACATTGTCTGTTTTGGCAGGAAATTGCTTGCGTACCAGCTTTGCAGTGCGCATCCATGTTCGCTGTGCCTTTATGTCCTCCTTGGCCAGAACCATAAGTCTATACACGGCCAACAAGAACGCACAAGTCGAGGGCAGCAAGCCCATCAGAGCCTCCTCGAAAAGAAGGGTGAAACTTAGGTGCTCGCAGCGAGCGGCATCTTGAATGAAGGGACCCCAGTCGTCCACGTCGCCTATGGTGCACATCGCGGTAGGCTGCTGCTGTTGAGCGATGGTCCGTAGCCCTCAAGGTCGCAGCAGACCAGTCCCTGTCAGTTCTCTACATACCAGACGCGACTCGGATTTACCAGTGTTCGAAAAGGCCCAGAGGAGGGAAGGGGAAGGGGGGGGGGCAACCACGAATGGGCGAGATGCGGCGAGGCTGCCGGGAATTCCGGTGGTCGTCGTTCTCGCAAGTTCGGATGTTGGCGGCTGATATTACAGCATTTCCCCACAGTGTAAAAGTCGCCGGCACCTATGCATCCTGCCGCCTCCTTCAGGGCCGAAAGGCGGCTTTTGTAGTGGATGAAAGGGGGAGGGCGTGAACGTATACATGGCCCAGAGTCACTGAACGGCATGTTAGGGCTGACACGTGGCTGGACTGCATGGTAATTACGAATCCGTCCATGATGAGTTCAATTCCATCCTTGCATAGGTTCCGTAGAATTTTTAGAGCCTCTTAGTATGTCCAAAAGTACTGTACCTAGCGGGAGGAGTCCGGCTCAGGGCTATTCTTCAATCAAGGATAGTCATCCATCTCGGCTATAACAATATTCGACAATGACCGTTACCTAAGATGGTATGCTTCGCGACCTCGTCACACCAATGTGTGCTTACTGTAGCCAGAACTCATAGACTGGAGCAATGCTTCCATTTGTCCCAATGTGTTGACATGCGCGAGAGAGCCACGACGACGTTTCTGCTACCGTGATGACTACCCAAACAATGAACATGGATATTCTTCGACCAGCGAGTACGTGGAACCCCCCGCCCTCCACCCAACAAGATTGGCCCATCCTCCTGTGCATAGCTGCTGTAGGGTTTTGTGTTAGCTTTCAGTCACTGACCTTCGTTCGGCTGTTAGCTATCAATGAGCGGCGGTTCATCATCAGTGATGGGCTAGGCATGTCCCATTGCATCGTACTGGTGACCAAGTACTCCTCTACTAGTCTGCCTGGCAACAGACAGTGGCAAAACACGGAAAATTTGATATCAAATGCTCTGAAGTTTTGCATTAAAGAGCATCCAGGCCTCAAGATCACCATTGTTGATCCTGACGGGAAACGGCCTCTGCTCGCAATGGTCGACAACATCGATCTCAGCCAACATGTAGTTCACGTGAGAAATCAGCTCAAAGGTGAAAACGACCAGCAAAAAATCAGGAGCTTTCTCGAATACCTCCATGGCGTTCGTCTTCCTCGGGCAGGCGAGCATCCACAATGGTGTGTGTACGTGAGCGAGATCGAGCCAGCAGTAGGTGAAAGATCGTCGTCTTTCTTTCTCGCTTTCATGCACTCCCACTGCCTCTGGGATGGCCTCGGTACCATCACCCTCCACGACACCTTCTTGCGAGCTCTCAACGGCACGGCAGAGGGAGCGTCAACGCTAGGGCACAAAGCCAAACAACCACCACCGCCAATAGAGACTGCTGGAAGACTGACCATCTCTTGGTCTTTCCTGATCCCGATCGTAATTCGGGAACTCCTACCAGCTTGGCTCGCCTCGGCTCTTGGATGTCCAAAAGAGGACCTGACAGATGTCTGGACCGGTCCCAAGACGCCTCGCCCGCCACTGACGCTGCAAGTCCCGAAGGACCCACCGACCGCTTTCGAGGTCTCCCTCATGCCCGACGCGACAGTGCAGCGCGCTGTACAGGTCTGTCGCATGCATGGCGCTCGTCTCACTGCCCTGCTAAATTTCCTCGCTGCCCGGGCTGTGTGCAGGAGCCTGGGCGCCCGCGGACAGCTCTTCCACAAGATCAGGGCGGCCAATGCCATCGATCTGCGAAAGGCCCTTGGCAAAGGACATGGCGAACTGGCCAACTACGTGTCTTTCGTATCCGAGGATATCACCGTTCCTGAAGACGTTGGGGAGGGCGACGACGACCGCCTCTCCGACGAGGTTTGGAATGCAATTCGTCAAAACACAATCAACTTGGCAAATGCCTCCAATAGGCTCGCTGATCAGCCTGTCGCCCTTCTCAAATACATCTCAGATTTGAAGGGATGGTTGGAGAGTCAAGCAGTGCAGCCGGCCAACGTGTCCTTCGGGCTCAGCAACCTCGGTGTTTTCGATGGAGTGGTTCCGACCAAGAATGACGGGGGAGAAATGACTCAGACCTGCTGGCGCGGTGAATCAGCCGTGGTATCTCAATCAGGAAACAAGACGGGGGCGCCATTGAATTTCCAATTGTTGAGTACGAAGAGCGACTCCATGGGCATCACTGCTACGTGGTGGCCGGGCATGTTGGGTGTAAGTGACGAGAGCATCTTTGTCAAAGAAGTGATGGATCGACTGTGTACAGGTTTGGAAAGATTCAAGTAGAGATAAACATGACATTTTCTGCCCACCTCACTTCTGGCTGTAGGTACATATTGACTATCATGGCCAAGATTGGATCTCATTGTAAGAGACTGATAGACAATGAAAGATTACTTGTGCAGACATTCTCTCATCAAAGAACGGAACGCGTATACTGAGCCAGCGATGAAGCATTTCATCTTGTTCTGCGATATCTCTGTCACCTAACTTGGCTGAATCGAAAACATAACAAAGAACAAGGTTATGCAATAATGTTTTTGAACATCTCCAAACTGGAATACTATCAACAATTGCTCCCATTCTGCTTCAACCCGTGCTGCGTAGTGATACAACGGCGTTCAATCTTCCTTTCCCCCTTGTGCCTATTGCAAACTCATCACTGGAGCATTCAAAATCCTCAGCCGTAGCATCCTTGAATTCAAAATCGAATTGTTGAACAAGTGCTGCAACAATCATATACATGTCCGCCCAAGCAAGGCTACTCGCAATCACATGGTCATCAGCCACAGTATACGACTCAAAAAAGGCGGAAAAGAATGAATGGGGATCTTGAGACGGTAGGAAGGGAAAGTTCTTACTGCATACCGAGACAGAGTCTCGTACCCCTCGAGAAAGGAGCAAATGCTTTCTCGGCTTTTCCCCGAAGCTCAGCATCCATCCACCTTTCCGGATGGAACCGCTTCGGATACGGATACAGCCTCTCGTCCGTGTGCATCAAGATCAGGGTCATACCAACAGGCGTGCGTGCAGGAATTCGCCATTGTTCGTAAAATATATCTCTATCAGGAGCTACACGGCCCATCCGTGATGCGATAGCCGGACTCAGTCGAATTCCCTCCATGATCGTCGAGGTAAGGTAGGGAAGCTTCTCGAGTGACTTGAGATCAAAATCGCTCGGCGAACATACTCCAGCGCCGGTGAGCTCTCCTCGGAGCTTTCCCAGCGTTTCAGGATTGGTAAAGACGTGGAATAGGATCAGACGGAGCGCGCCCGCTGTCGTCTCGAAGCCAGCGCCGGCTATTGAGGACACGTCTTCAAACACCCGCTTGAAGGTCTTCTCTTGAGGCGGAAGCTTGGATTCAAGAATATCCTTGATGACTGTGCGTGGCATGTTGGGGTCAGGATTGGGTGAGTTGATTTCCTCCATGAGGTCTTTGGTATGATCCATGGCTTCCTATTGGAGAGATCTCATAATGTGAGCAGTCATGTGCAGTGTTTACTCAAATCATCAGCCTACATACCTGAAAGTTGTCAATGAACTTCTTGGCTGTCTCATCGGCAATTCTCCTGATCCAATTCAATGGTATTGATTTCAATAAAGGCATGAACCACGTCACATGCTTGCTCAAACGCCACGAAAATCCCGTGTTCTGGCCAGCCGTGACCGTGGCAACGTCAAAGTCGTCATAGTCAAGCCCATTGTAGTGCTTGCCAAAGACAAAGTAGTTTGCAATATCCCGCGTGATGGCAGTGATGGCTGCGCCTAGGTAAGCTATCTCCCCCGACTTAGCGAAGCTCGACAGCCGTTCGCAGAGCTTGATCACCTGCTTGCGGATGTGGTTTTGGTGGTTGACGACCTGCGTCTTGGAGAAGTACGGGTTTAAAGCCTGGCGGCGCCCCTTGTGGACATAGTGATCGGCTGTGAAGATGGTCGCCCCAGGGGCGGCCCAGCCATTTACGGTGAATTCATACTTGTCCCAGCGGCCGTCGTGACGGTACAGCTGTTCAAAGAAAGAAGGATCATTGATATGCAACTCGTAAGGACTGATGCGGATGATGGGGCCTAACAATGAATGTCCACCGCCCAAGTACATCGTTCAGTAAGCTGGGTTGGGAGAAAGCAGAACTCATTACCAGCCTTGGGCCTTCATGCAGGGTAAACTCACCATATTGCTTATGTAACTGCTCGATTTTCCACGTGTACTGGCCGTTCTGTACGATATCGAAGTAGGCTTCGTACCATCTCGTGATGGCGGCCAGTTTAGGACCAGGGAATCTGGAAAGGGGATGGAATGTCAAGCGGTATAGCGTAATGCAGATGCAGTAGCCAACGACGCATACTGTGACGGCCTGCCACGTAACCAGATGAAGGAGAGGCACCATCTTGCTGGCAGCTGACAAACGAGCTCAACACGGAGGCACTGCAGGCCAGGAGGGACCGATGAATAAGGCCAGCAGTGGTCTGCCAAGTTCAACCATCGTCGTCGGGCAGAAATGATTGTCGTTTGCCAGGGATGCGCTGGAAGCGATGTTCTGGATGTCGTGGCTCACCGTTTCACCGCTCCCCTGCTGAACGTTTTTACTCTGGCAGCACGGCGTGGAACAGCGGAATCTCACATCCACCACTAGCAAGATCAGCTATCGAGGTAGGAGTGAGGTTATGCCGAGTATTTCGCCGGTGGCCCAAGTTGAGATACTAGATTTGGGATACATGGGCGACTGAGGGAGGCGAGGCTCATTCTTCAGCTGAGCCCAGAGTGAAAAAATGACGTACAGCATTGGTTTCTAAAAAGCCTCATCGTTGATTGACAAAGTAGAGTACATAGGAGTACCTAGAGTTTGTAGACCTATACATCCTTCCCAAAAATGCTAGGCGTGATATCTGACACCTGTTGAGTAATCGAACAGAGAGTGTCTGGAAGCCTGAGGTCTATAGAATACGGGACTAGAACACTAGTACTCGTTTAACACACGTGGAGATGCAGGCGTACAGTACGTAACGAATCATGAACAACAGGGTTCCTCTTACTGCTGCCTGGATTCTGGTCTCCTCTGATGGGTCAATCACATCAAACTGTGTGAGAAAATCTCAGTAATCATGGATGGGGGTCTCACAATTAGTGGGGGTTGATGCCGCTTGGACTGCAGGATGGCTTGCATGGGCTGCACAGGAAGTACTAAGTGCCATCGTCTGGCTCAGATATGCCCAGAACAAGGAGCTTGGTATACTGGGTGGATAGAAGTCATCCTTCGTTCGACCAAGGGGCGTTTCTTCTGTTCCCCGCTACAGAGATAAGATGCATCATATATGAGTATTGCAATAGAGGGGCGCTAGTGTGTAAGAGCTACGGGGTTTTACCTGCTTATGTTGTCTTTACTAATCGCCACAATCCTTCCAAACAGTGGAATATAGTGCGAGATGCTGGTGACGTTCACGAAACATGGGAGCTGGTCAACTCAGTGGATGAAAGGTTCATACGATGAGGATCCAGGAATTTCAGGCGAGGTTAGACTAGCGAAACTCGTACTTGGCATCATGTCCGTAGTAGGTTCTTGATATTGTGCGAAAAATGAAGAAATCCAAATTGACTTGGAAATTCCATTACCCAGACGTGGAGAGAAGCATGAGAAGGAGGAAAAAACAGCTACCAACGGGGTTGAAAGTTCAACCGGTTAACATTGAAACAGCAATTTCTATAACCACGTTTTTCTTCCTAATCTTTCTTCTCTTCTGTGCAGATAAATCTCTAGATGTGAAATGCTATTCTAAATACATACACGCATTCGGACCCTAATCACGGAGCCTTAGAAACCAGATACCTTGAGTTGTCCTCGGCTGTCGCACGATTTGACGGATCATCCGTGACAGACAATTTGATCTTAAGCCTCTGCACAGCCAACTTACCAAGCGCAAGAAGACTCTGAGAGCCTAAGATCTCCAGTGTAGTAAACTCTAGTCCCACGCGCTGCCGGAACCAGTTGCGTAGCTCGATCGAAACCAGCGAGTCCACGCCCAGGGCCTCAAGCGACTCATCCAAATCCAATAGCTCGAGATCACGCATGAGGAAGCCAAAGACGGCCTTGCCGAACTCTGTCGCAAGGAAGCGCGGGGCCTCGTCGCTGTCGAGGCGAGATCGGTTTTGGCTCACTTCGGTGAGGAACTGCTTGAGGGCCTCGTTTCCTCCGCCTGTTGCGAGCTGGCCGCCCTCGACGTCCATGTTCTTGTAGAGACCCATGCGGGGGTCGCGCTTCCAGACGACACGGTTGGTGGGTGCGAGGAGGGGCTGGGTGGTCCGCAAACCGATGCAGATCTGCGCCGGGGTCATAAACTGGTACTTGCCTGGAGAAGAGGCGTTCTCAGATGACCAAGGCTGTAACAGCGAGGGCTTGGACCGGTTGATCATGACCTGCAGCGAATCGAGGACATCTGCCTCTTGTGAGACAAACGTCGACGTGGCGCGGAAGTGCTCCATGACAGACGAGGTGCGGCTAACATAGCCAATGTCCTCGACACCAGCCATGTCGACCACAACTGCCGTCAAGCCCTGTGCGTGGCGATACTGCACAAAGGAGTCGAGGAAGGCATTGGCGGCGGCATAGTTGGCCTGTCCCGTATATCCGACGATGCCGCTCCAGCTACTGAACAGGAGGAAGAAATCGAGCTCGTGCCCGAGGAGCGCGTTGTGCAAGTTCCAAGTACCCTGGACTTTGGTGCTAAGGCATGTGCTCCACTTCTCAAAGGTCATGTCGAGGAAGTTGTCGTCCTGGAGGACCATGGTTGCCTGCATGGCGCCACGGACGGGCTTCGTGGCGCTTTGCACGGCTCGTTCTACGTCGGAAAGGTTGGTCACATTGCCTGCGACGAGGATGGCCTTGCACCCAAGGGAGCGTAGTTCCTCGATGAAGCCTGCGTATCTGTCCTGGTCACCTGCAGAGCGTGACAAGAATACGACTATCATTGTAATGTTAGATCATTTCGTTTCTCACAAGATGACAGAATCAAAGACGGAATAGGGACTCACTCTCAGTTGCTCCAGACTCGGCCATCCATACAGCGACAGCTTGTCCAAGGCCACCCAGCCCTCCAGCCAGCACATAAGATGCACTGGGATCGAGGACCAGCCCACGTTTAGGTGCCCGAGATTTCAGCTCATCGGCCGTCTCGGGCATGTTGATGACGACCTTGCCCAGATGCGAACCTTTTTGCATGAAACGCATGGCTTCTTCCACTCTGGTGGCCTCAAAGCAGGTCATGGGCGAGATGGGCTTGATGTCTCCACTCTTGTACAGGTCCACGATTTGTCTCAGTAGTCTAGGCCAGCATTAGCAACGTTATACAAATCAATGTCCTTAATGATTTGGCCGTCCGTTCGTTTTCGACTCACCGTTGCATAGTAAGCGGCCTCTGCGCACAAAGGCGACCCAGGTCAATACCAACATACGACCGGTTCTGCTCGAAATGTTCCAGAGCAAGAGCACCTTTTCCAATGAGATCACGTTTTCCAATCTCGAGCATGGTGCCATACTCGGCGACGCAGTCCCAGCTGGCGTGGAGGAGCTCGCCCGAGAGCGAGTTCAGCACGGCGTCCACACCACGTCCTTGCGTGGCCTTGAGGATGTCTCTCCGGAAAGTGAGATCGCGAGAGTGAAAGATTCTCTCGCGAGGAATGTTAAAAGTCTCTGTAAGCCAGCGAACTTTGTCTTCGCTACCGACTGTGCAGTAGATTTCGGCGCCGAGCCAGCGACTGGGAAAAAGGATAATATGGTTAGCTCGGTCCTATCTCTCTTTCGTTGCCGATGTACTCGCGAAATACTCAACAAAACTTACCATATCTGAATAGCGGCAATACCAACACCTCCAGCAGCACTGTGAATCAGGACTGTCTGCCCAGCCTCGACCCTGGCTCTGTCCACCAGTGAGTAAATGGCAGTACAATACACGGTGGCCATAGTGGCAGCCTCCTCAAACGACAGCTCGTCTGGGATCTTGACACAAAGATGCTCCGTTGTGGTGAGATGAGTCGACATGGCACCGCTGGGAATGGCAATGCACCTGTCGCCGGCCTTGAGGTTCTGCACATCAGGACCGACCTCCTCCACGATGCCTGCAGCCTCGAGACCAAGACCATATCCTTCGTTGATCACGCCGTCCACGATTCCCATGGCGATCAGGACATCCTTAAAGTTCAGGCCACAGCTGCGGTTCCTCACGCGCAGGTGGTTTCCCTCGGGCTTGGCGGGCGCATACTCCTTCCAGTACAAGGTATTCAAGAACCCACGCTTCTCGACATCCAGTTTCCGCGCTGATTCGCCCTCCTGCGAGACAGCCAGTTCCTCGCTAAGTGACACCCAGTGAAACCGGCTGATCTGGACCCGTCCATCGGCCAGCGCCCACTCCATGACGGGGTTCGTGTCTGCGTCTGGGGCAAGGCGGCTCTGGAACTCGGGCAGCACAGCGGCGATGGCGTTCCAGCCAGCGGGATCAAAGCTCTCCAGTTCGAGAGTACCAAAGTCGAGGGTCTGCTCTGTACGCATGGTGCGAGCCAGGCCGATCATCAGGCCGTACGATGGGTTGGTACAGTTGATCTGGGCTGGGCCTGTCACCCAGAGCACACCTGTGCCGCTAAGGCTGCGGACGAAAGATTGAACTTGGGTGTATTTCGGGGACTGCATGTCTTGGAGGAAAGGAGTATCAAAATCCATGAGAGCGAGCACGTCTTGGTTGGCAGGCACTTGTTGGCCCCAATTGCACGTATCTATGCTGTATCCTTTGTTCTTGAGGAGAGTGGTGACTTCTTGGATGTGGGTTGATTGTTTGTCACCGGCCTCTGGGGTCAGGATGGTGATCCTCTTTGGAACTGCTGGAGTGGCTGGACGAGCGATGATAGACGTGCTCAGGTGTTGGTTGTCATGGTGCGAAGCTGCAATATGATCGAACCCAGTTGACTGAAGAAGTGATTCCCACTGGCTTGCTGTTTGGCGTCCTCGCTCACCAGCCCACCAGCTGGGGAACGCGCCCATGACAAAGTTGAGCCACTTGGAAGTAGACGGGGCAAGTTCCTGGAGGAACAAATGCCCGGTAGGGGACAGCAACCTGCGAACATGCCGAAGGGAGGCAGAGGGATCCGATGTAGCATGAATTGCCTGCGAGGCAATGATGAGGTCAAACCCTTCCTCTTCGAAACCCTGCTGAACTGGGTCTTGGGAAACATCGAAGGCCTTGTACGTGACAGCCTCCTTGCCAGCAAGACGCTCTTTGACCTGATCAAACAGGTCGGACGTGACATCTGTAAAAGTGTACGAGTCATAGTGACGGCCATGATGTGGCTGGATCGAAGACAGCGTGTCGAGGATAGTTTTGGCCGTGCCACCTGTGCCAGCACCGATTTCGAGGATGCGGAGATTGGGCTTGTAATGCGCCAACAACTTATAGAACTCAGTAGCATCGACGGAATCAAGCTCTTCGTAGATACGAGCTTGAAAGTCGACTTCCAGTTGAGTTTCTTGATCGCTGCTCTCGTTGAAGATTGTGTGGAGAGCAGTGAAGACACGGTGCACAGCCGTGGCCTGAACACGAGCACTCTCACCGAACGACGAGATCTCACCAAATATCTTTTCGATCAGCGCAAGACGGTCAGACGAGGACAAGTCAACGATCTCTTTCGAGTTGTTTTCGGCTTGTGCCTTCACATCATCGAGCCAGGCGCGGTATTTGGCGAGATGGGGACTGGCACTGCTCGCAGCATTCCCACCTTCGACATATTTGCCAGAAAGACTGATACTCGCCTCAATTGCACAGGCAAGAGCCATATGATCTACCTGCGCGGCAACATCTGACGGCAGGCCCTGGTCTTTCTTTGCTGTGTGCAACAGTGCCGAGGCATTGTCGAGCAGCCTGACACAAGGTTTCCAGATCATCTGCCCAGCCGCATGAGGATCCTCTCCACGAGCATCCGCCGCATCAGCAAGAGGCGACATCCGAAGGTTCTGGAAGCTCAGCACCGTAGACTCTCCACAAATACCAACGGCATCGCCAACAATGGCACCCCTGGGTGTCAGCTCAGCAGCCACCTCGAGACGAATATCGCTCGTCTCACTCGCCGCAGGGCGAATATACGCAGAGCCGATGTATGAAGGCACTGCCAGCTGCCTGAATCGGCGAGCCTGCCCCATGGACGAGGCCACGCTGTACATCTGCAGGACAAAGTCCAGCGTGGTAGGGTGTACGGCATAGGCAGAGGTATGTTGGGGGATCTCGGGCCCAGAGATGGTGGCGACGGCTTCGTGACGCAGCACATCGGCTGTCATCTCTCGCAGTCCTTGGAAATTGGGTCCGTACTCGAGCCCAAACTTGTCCATGACCTTGTACCAGTACGGCGGATCGACTGTCCTCTGCCTGGCAACGATGTTCTTGGCTGGAGGCGGGCTCACTTCGGAGCCCTGCCGCACCTGGCCCATAGCATGCTTGGTCCATCTGTCGCCGTGCACAGCGGAGATGTCAAATTCGTACCAGACCGAGTCAAGAGAATTTGTCAGCTTCACAGGCCGCAGGTGCGTGATCAGCTCGCCGGCAAACCCTTCCTGGAGAACGAGCGCCGTGCTGATGTGCACCTCACGCAGGCTGTAACTCCAGTCCTCCGAGTCTCCCAGCTGGCGCACGGCCTCACCTGCAATGGCCATGAAGCCGGCAGCAGGAAATACAACGTCGCCGGAGACTTTATGGTCACGCAGGTAAGGCACCTCGCTGAGCCGAAGCAAGTTGCGCCAGGTTGGGCAGGAATCGGAGGCGGCTGCCACGCGCTCGCCAAGAAGATCGTGTTTGGGGAATTTTCGGAAGCGCCAGAACTTGGAGAGACGGCTCTCACTCCAGAAGGGGCCCTCTCGACGCCATGGGTACAGGGGAAGGTCTGTGAGTGGACGGCCTGGAGGCGAGGAAGAGGAGGAGGTTGCTGTCTCGCGCTCTGTCTTGTTTGGATCGAGGTCCAGGTCTACTCCGAGCTGCCAGAGGCGTCCAGCAGATGTCAAGAGGGATTGTTCTCCAGGCTGGCCTCGGGTCAGGGTGTTGGCGTATTCGACCTTGCTCGTGCCGGCAGCCTGCAGGATTTGTCTAACGGGTCCTGCAAGGGCAGAATGAGGACCAACTTCGAGAAGCACAGAGGAGGAAGATGTTGAAGAAGATGACAGGTACTTCAACATAGCCGCAACAGCAGGCGAAAAAAGAACAGGCTGAACCAGATTATTGCCCCAGTACGAAGCATCAGGCTTTCCTTCGAACTCGTTCCCACGAACAGAAGAGAACCAAGGGATTTGAGGCTTGATAGCACCCAGGTCAGGCATCAGCTCAAGGTATCGCTCCGCCGCAGGCCTCATGTGGTGTGAGTGGTAAGCGCAATCGACCCGCAGCGCCCGCACTGCAGCATCGGGAAACTCTTGACGCACGATACTGACGACCTCATCGAGGACACCTGAATCGCCACTGAGGGTAACAGAACTGGGACTGTTCTCGCACGCGATGACGACGCCTGGCTTGAGGAAAGGCTCGACTGTGGTGCGGCCCAGGCCTACTGCTGCCATGCCACCCGTTGTGGTCACCTCTTCTGTCACGATGCCGCGATAATACGCCGTTAAAATGGCTGACTCCTTGGACAGAGCACCAGCGGCATATGCGGCGGCGATCTCACCACTCGAGTGGCCCACAACGCTTGACGGGCTGATGCCCCACGACGAGAGCACGTCGACTAGAGCGACCTGCACGGCGGTACAGCACGGCTGCGAGAACTCAGTGCCCATGATGCGGCTCGTCTTGCCTGCCTTCAGAAGCTCCTCTCGGAGTGTCCACAAAGGAGGCTGGGCGCACCGGCTGAGCGAGTCATCCATGGCAGCGATGCTCTCGCGGAAGACGGTGTTGGTTTGGAGGAGATCCGCGCCCATTTGGGGCCACTGGGCGCCCTGTCCTGTGAAGACAAAAGCCACCTGTGGGTTACCGGCACCAGCACGTCCAAAGGAGGATACGTGGAAGGGCTGGTCGAGCTCGTTGGCATCCACCACGCTGTAAGCTCGCTGCTGTAGCGCTTCTCGTCTCTGGTTGAGCGTGTAGCTGAGATCGGCCAGCCTGTCAGGGTGGTCTTGCAAATATTTCTGGTGGGACTGAACTGTGCGGCGTAGTGAGTCTGGATGGCTTGCGGAGAAAGTGAGTAGATAGTGCGAATTGGTGATGGGCGTTGGCGTTGATGAGCGCTGGACGCCGTTCTGGGCTGCTGACTCGAGGAGCATGTGCGCATTGGCACCGCCAATACCAAAGCTGAAAGTAAAAGGATTATGTTAGAAGGCAGCAGTGGAGTAAGGGATATGGATTGATAAAAGAAATTGCAGCACTTACCTGTTGATCCCAATACGCTCAGCCTTGCCTGCAGGCCATGGCGTTGTCTTGAGGGGAACTGTCAATTTGTTCTCCTTGAAAGGGACTGTTCATTGCGAAGAGTTATGTTAATCGTGTCTCAACTTTAGTCGGAAAGTAACTATGAAGAAGGAAATTGGGACGAAAGACATGGAAAAAGGAAAGGTGACCACTCACTTCTTGGATTGCCCTCCGTAAAGTTGATATTTGGAGGAATCAGCCGTCGTTCCAGCGCGAGCATGGCCTTGAGGGTACTGCTGAGACCACTAGCGCCCTCAGAGTGCCCAATATTTGGTTTCAAGGAACCTATATAGACACCAGTCGTGCCAAAGGCACGGGCGACTGCACCTGTTTCCAAGGGGTCGCCGATGGGCGTACCGGTGCCGTGACACTCCACCATCGCTGTCTTGGTGATATCAACACCCGCAAGCTGATGACTGCGCAGGATTAGCCTGTGATGGGCATCCGAGCTGGGTTGTGTCAGCCCTGCCGTCTTGCCATCCGAGTTGAGACACGAAGACCGGATGACAGCGCGGATAGGGTCGTTGTCCCGAATCGCGTCCGACAGTTTCTTAACATGAATAGCCACGACACCCTCGGCACGCGCATAGCCGTTGGCCTTTGCGTCGAACGACTTACTGCGCCCATCGGGGGCTATCACGCCCTGCTCTGACATGCCGATGGTCATGCTAGGGCTCATAATGAGGTTGGTGCCGCCCACGATGGCCGACTCACACTCGCCGCGCTGGATTCCCATACAAGCCTCATGAAGGCCAGTCAGTGACGAGGAACATGCTGTGCGTATGATGACTCTGTGGGTGAGAAGATCAGGTTAGACGCATGTTTCTCTCTGCCTACCGAAGGAGGAGGATGCTTCACTCACGAAGGTCCGCGGAGGTTGAATTCATACGAGACACGATTTGCAACCACATAGTCGCCAGTGCCTAGAGGAAGAGAGAGAGAGGCGTAGGTTAGTATCAAAATCTCAAAGGACTAAGATTCGTTTTTCACATGTCAAGTACACTCACCTAGAAGCCTATAAACTCCTGTCTGTTGCGTCTCTTTGGCTGCCAATTCTGCCCAGTCCTGTGGTCACCAACCTCGGTCAGTCACCGGAAGAAAATGAATCATAGGATACAGGATAAGATATCTTCGAGACATCTCACTTACCTCACCAAAGATACCAAAATAGGCACCAATGTTTTTGCCCCGCCACTTGGTCGTGCCAGAGCTCTGAAAACACTCATATACAACCTCCAGCGCAAGCCGCTGCTGGGGATCCATCTCTTCGATCTCCTGTCGTGTCATGGACCAGAACGACGTGTCCACCTCGGCGAGGTCCACATCTTGCAAGAAATGCCCGTACTCACTGCCGACATGACCAGCCCGTCCAGGGCCGTAAAAAGCCTCAACGTTGTAGCGGGTATCTGGCACCTTGCACCTGCCTTCTCGACGGTTATCTAGAAGATCCCATAGGGACTCGGCTGTCTGCACACCGCCGGGCAGACGCATGGCACAGCCAATGATGGCGATGGGCTCATACTCGGCCTCTTGTGGTGTTGTTGTCCCGTTGGTATGGCCGTTGACTTTTGTGCCGTTTATGTCGTCTTGAGGATGACCACTGTGCCTATTGACCCCATTGACTCCATTAGTCTGGGATGACTGGTGTTCCCCGTTCGTGTGGACGCCATTGGGAACGTTTTGACTGCCGTTGCCATTGTATACGGCTGGCCGGTCTGTATCAACAGTCATGGTGAATTGGTTTGGATACGTCTTGCCCGAAATCAATAAAGTCCTGTCCGAGAATATTTTCCAAAGTCTACGGAAGATTGTGAAAGAGCGAGACCGAAAGATGATAATGTTATTCCAAAACAGATATTCACAAGCAGGCTCTGCTACGATTATTCCCCTGATTGATTCACCACTGCTACAATGATATATATCTGCCGACCCTAGCCACTGCTAGCAAGCAAAAGGTCAGGGACGTTTTCCTTCTCGTTGTTTAACTCGAAATATCTTGACAGCCACCCCAGGGAGTAGAGGCATCTGAAGAGAGAAGGGGGGGGGGGGGTGTGCGAACAAGGTCCAGGATCTACTGTTCAGGGTAATTTACAAAGACCTCTGGGTACTTGCCAATGCATGTTCTTACTCATAGCAATCCTTGAGGATGTAATCAGGCAACACTTGAAAAGAAACAAAAGCACCCTCCTATGATATGCGCTTTCAAGCCCATTGATGCCCAGGAGCCATTGTACATGTACCCACACCCGCCCCTGTCGCCAGGCTGTGTAAACTCCAACCTTGGAAGGTTCCGTGCCCGATTACTTTCGGGGCGTAGATCAGTATAAGCACTACTTAGAGAGGCCCTCCTGGGTGAGCATGTACTGTCCCTCCGAACATGCCGAAACTCGTAAATATCTCTGTATCGGGGCGCAGGGGGGAGGGTGGGTCAATCCACGTGCGTCGTGCATGTACTTCTTGGTCGACGATGGCTTCCAAGGATTGGGAGACCATGGCACCACCCATGCCACGACATACCCTGTCTTCTACAATCGGTACACACGTGGGGTGGAGGTCGGCGCGCGGTAAGGCTCTCAGTCGGCTGAAGTCAGACAGACCATCAATGATCCGTTGCTTGACAGGAGCGCATTTAATTGACGTGATTGGGGCATTGTAATGGTGTTACCAGGCGGTACAGGCACAGTGTTTAGTGATTTTCAAATATTATCCTATCTGTAAAGCTTCAAGTTCACCAAGGCTTCTATTACTCACACGGCTGTAGGCGCACTTCACCTAGTCCTGCCTACTTTCGTGCTTGCTCTCCACAATGAACGTCCTGAAGTCCTCAGAGCTATCATCAGTTCACGAGCTCAATTTTCATGCTCTGGACGCAAAAATCGGGAACAACGTCAATGGCAACAATACCAGCACCAAATTATCTCATCAAGAGCTTCTGGCTAGCCCTCGGATTAACCATCAGCGACTATGGGACCAGATCCATTACACAGCGCAATGGGGCGTAATTGAGGGCTCAGAAGGCATGAACCGCTTGGCCCTGAACGAAGACGACAAGGCGGTGCGTCAGTGGTTCCTCCAGGAGGCCAAGACCCTCGGCTGCACAACAGCAACAGACGCCATGGGAAATCTATTTGCTGTATACCCAGGCGAGTCACCAGATATGCCTCCTATCGCCATGGGCAGCCACCTGGATACCCAACCCGCCGGTGGCAAATACGACGGAATCCTAGGTGTGCTTGCGGCGCTGGAGGTCATCCGCGCCGTCCATGAAGCCGGAATCAAGCCTTGGTGCCCCCTCGCAGCCGTCGTCTGGACCAACGAAGAAGGGGCGGCATTCTTCCCTGGCTGTTCTGGCTCCTCAGTCTGGGCCGGCTGGGTGCCCGTCACAGACGCCTATGCACAGGAGCACTGCGTGACGGGCCAGACGCTCGGCGCCGCGCTGGACGAGATCGAGGCCAAGGGTACCGTCGCCGCTTCCAGTCTTACCACACCGCTGCAAGCCCATTTTGAGCTGCACATCGAGCAAGGCAAGATCCTTGAGGCCAACCAGCAGAGCATCGGTGTTGTCCGCCGCATCCAGGGAATCCGGCGCTATGCCATCACCTGCTATGGCAGACAGGAGCATGCTGGGACGACGGCTATGGGGGACCGTGCTGACGCGCTCGTCGCAGCATCAAAGATTGTGTTGAAGGTCGAGGAGCTGGCCAGGGCGCGCGATGCCTGTGCGACGGTTGGTGTGCTCAAGGTAGCAGCTCCGACGCCGAACACGATCCCTTCGTGTGTTGATCTGACCATTGATGCTCGTCATATGGAGGAGTCTACACTGGACGACCTAGAGAAACAGATCTACAACTACCTTGAGGGCCTCTCTGGTACGAACAGAGCCTGGAGTTTCTCCAAGAAGCGAGTGTGGCATAGCCCGGCCCTGCTCTTTGATCCTGACCTGGCGGACTGTATTTCGTTCGCGGCGGCGGCCGAGTACGGCCAGGCTCAGGTACGAGATATGGTTTCTCTTGCTGGTCACGACAGCGCCATGACGGCGCTCCGAGTTCCTACGGCCATGATCTTCGTTCCGAGTCAAGCGGGTATCAGTCACAGCCCATTAGAATTCACTTCAATGGAGCATTGGTATGTGAAAAACCCCCAAATCAAGAAGCCACTTAACAGTGGAGGTCGTTTCCTACTAACACAGTGTGGGAATACTACCTAGTGGCCGTGGAGCACAAACCATGCTCAATGCCGTGCTCCGTTACGATCAGCTCTGTAAGAAGCGCGGGTAGTCGGCACGACAGCGTGTGCCTTTGGTGGTGCAACACCATGCGATCCTTCTGATCCTCTACAAAGTACTAGATACATATATACTCGATGCAATATGGACTAAGGTGTGTTTTTGACTATGCAGCTTAACACATGAGTTTCTTGACGCATGTTTCGTCTCCTTCTGCGCCTTGATTCCATGCTACTATTGCTGCTATTGCCAGGGTTTGTTTCAGCCACAGCTTCTCGACTAGTGAGCCAGTCAGATCGTTTCCTTTGAACACATGCTAGGAGCTCTTAGGAAGCATGTGCCAAGAAATTCTATTGACTACGTGTCCGGAGGGGGGAAAGGCTCGTAGCTAGGAGTGTAAGCCAAAGTATAAGGCTTCAAAGTGGCGAGTAGTGGTTACAAACACCTGCAACAGTTTGTCTGTAAGCAAGAGTTGTACAGTCATAGCACTATGAACTTTGATAGTCATCCGCTGAGGAGGGTTGAGAGAAAAAGTTGGCATAATATATGATTATCATTAATAGTTGTGCAACAGAAACACCACGTATGATTGGTCAATCATCAAGACGCCATGTTCATCTTGTTTTTCTGTCTCATTGTTTGTACCTCATTACCAATTTCAGTCACAATATTGATATGCATGTTGATTTCCCCATGCCACGCACCAAGAACGGGCAGGCTTTAGTGTATTCAATCAGCTTATGTTGTACAATTACTGCAGTACGTTGTTTATGTAGGTTCCAATCACGTCAGAATTACGGCAGTGTAAGAAAATTTGCCCCCGAGACTATCTGTCTCTTCCTGATGCCGACCGGATAACCCGTCTCAAGCACTGTGCATAAGGCGCTGAGGCTACAAAGGCTAATATGCAAGTCAATCCAACGTCAGCATTAGATTTGCTCGCCTGGCCGCTCTGGACATGGCATTTTGTCTTGTTTCAACAGTCATCAGACTTGTAGGCGCTTGTCGACGCTTGTCGCTGACGAAGATCCGGGGATCATTAAACTCTAGAGCCAAGCCTCCGTGATTAATGCGGGGAACCCGATAGTACGATGTGCACATAGCGGTGTCTTGTCTCACTGTGTGATCCACTCTGGAAAGTACCTAAACATTCTGTGCATCACTTGTTGACTAAACCAGATTTGTTGACATGTTTCGACATCCCGATTCCACACGCTACGGTGGACGCGGGTCCATCCTCCTTCTTGGCCTGCAGTCTACATCCTAGCACCTTTCTACGCCTTCGTTCTATCTCATTTCGGCACCATCAAGCCGTAGGACTTGGCGTTCGTGCATAGCAGCAGCCAGTAAACTTCCAGAGACGGAACATTACGTCGGTGTTTGCAACATAGTGCAAAAAACAAACGACCGAGCTGAGGCGAAGCGTATTCCTCCAGACTAGTGATATCCCTCTGATCAACTCCACTCCCACACTACAATTCCTTCACACCAGGATCACACAAGTATTTCGCTCAGGGTGTGTGTTTAACAACTGATGTCGGACGAGAGGTTGACCCGGACCATTTGAGCCCACCAACAAGGTGCGTCTGTCTGAGGAGGAACGAAAGGGAGGCCAGGAGGTGTAAGAAAATAAAATTCGCTATGAGAAGAGCAAGAAGTAGACAGCTTGACTCACCTGTGGAGTGCCTCGTCGACCTCAAATTCCCGGACTAGGAAGGCCATCGACACGGTCACCAGTTATCACTCTCTTGCAAGAGAGGGAGAGAAATTGTACTGCCAGTTTCAGCATCGAGAAAGAGGAGCAAACATTATCTACCTCCAAAGCCTAACAATGGACGCTGTGCAAGCCAAGCTACGAGATGCGGGTCCCACGGTCTGGCTGGCCGTCGGGGCGGTGGTCGTAGCTATCCTTCTTCACTTGGTCGGATCCAAAGACTCTCGCGAACCCCCTTACCTCGATTCGAGAATTCCCCTTGTGGGCCATGTGAGGCACCTTATCGGCCTCTACAGATATGGAGCCAGGTACTTCACCACACTGGACCAGGAACACCACCTCGGCTTATACACCCTCCCTGTCTTCACGAATCGGCTGTATGTGGCTGGCTCGGCTGAATGGTCCACAGCCGTGAATAAGCACTCTTCCACCATCGACCTCTACACTCTAAGCTCTCGGGCCTTGAGTCAGCTAATGGGCCTGAACAAGGAGTCGATGGAAATTGTCAACCACAACCTCCACGGCGACAGGAAGCAGACAGCAGGCAATATCATCTTCACGCTAAAGGATGTGATGCTCAAGTCACTGGCGCCAGGCAGAGACCTAGACGAGCTGAATGACAAGCTCCTGGATGGCCTGTCCCCTCTCATCAGTAATCTCGCCCGAGGCACGAAGTCGGAGAAAATGATGTTCTGGGCCTGGGCCCGTCAACAAATCTCTGAAGTGTCAATGGCGGCGGCATACGGAGAGGACAACCCAGTATCCAGGCAGCCATCGCTAGTCGAGGACTTTTGGCAGTTCGATGCCAGTGCTGCAGCGCTGATGGCTCCGTGGCCCGCAGTATTTGCGAGAAAGGGCCATCTCGCCCGATGGAGGTTCATCAATGGGTTCGTCGACTATGCCGTAAGGGGTGGCTACAAGCAGGCGTCCAATCTGATCCAGGTCCGCGCCAGAGAAGCTCTGGCTACTGGAATGGCAGTCGATCAATACGGCCAGCTGGAGAGCAACTTTGCCCCTGGCCTACTGTCCAACACCGTCCCAGCTACTTTCTGGTTGATCAGCCGCGTCTTTGAGGATCCTGAGCTTCTCGCCAAGTGTCGCGCCGAGATTGACCAGTGCCTCGAGAAGGGAGAAGACAACAAGCACGTCCTCAACATTACAAGGCTGCAAACCCAATGTCCCCTTTTTGCGAGCGCATTCCTGGAAACCCTCCGGACTACTGCTCCCCTCAACACCTACCGTTTCATCCGTGAGGACACTGTCGTGACCAACAACTCGACGCAAGAGAGCTTCCTCCTCCGGAAGGGCAATCTGGTGCAGCACGCCTCGACCGTCCTGCATAGCCGCGCCTCAGTCTGGGGCGAGAACCCCGACTCCTTCAACGCCGGACGATTTCTTCCTGTCGTTCACCGGGCGCAGACCGGCTCTGGTCTGCAGGGGAAGCCCATGGACCCTGCCGCGCCTTTTAGAGATGCTAATGGCAAAATGTATAGCGGCTCGTTTCGGCCGTTTGGTGGAGGCGTGCACTTGTGTCCTGGTCGGTATTTTGCGCAGACCTCGATTCTTGCAGGGGCGGCGCTATTTATCGCCGCGTATGATATGGAAAGCGAGCCGGGGACGGGAAGGTATGTTCCTCCTCCGTTTAAGAACGCCAAGGGAGTCATGTTCCTGTCCATTATCAAGCCGGATAGGGACGTGGAGGTTTCGTTGAAGAGGAGGGCTGGGTTTGAGAACGCTGAGTTGGAATTCAGCAAGTCTAGATGAAGGATTGGACTTACGTCGCGATAAATGGTTCCGTCTTCCTGGCTTGGGAAATACATAAATAGTATGTTATTCATAGTTTCAGGCACTGAAGTATGGTGCCATGATTCTAACCATATGTCAAGCGCTCTCTGCTAAATGGCCAAAATATCGATGATTGGTCTTTATCCTGTACAACCGTGCCACCCCTTTTAAGCACTGCAGTACTCAGTATAGGCCCCATTTCAATAGCGCCACAGAGAATTGGATTGTGTATTCTTGATTGGAGAGCAGCTTTTGCGCATTTCCTTGTGTCATGCGTCACGTATGGCCGGGTCGGACCGTTCCCTGCTGGCATCTTGAACTGCCACAGCCAATTACCTCGAGGCTTCCACCTGTGAATCCCAAAGGACTGGTACAATGTGACACAATTGTTTACCTTGCACTCGAGGTGTCTCTTGTTACTTTGCACTAAGACGACTTTACGTGCCAATGGCAGGTGGCCCTCATACATCAAGTTCCCCCTCCTCAGAGACCAGACAGGCGCGTGCGGGCTGTTTATCAAGTTTGGTTGTCGACATATTCCCAAACACATGCGGTGGTTTCCAAGTTGGCATACGACAATATTAGTCTGTCTTTGTCATTCCGTTCTCTTCTTCCTTTATCTCCCCACCGTTTTGAGAGACAAGGAACAGAAAGCTTATCACAATATAGGCATGATCTGCATCAAGGATGTTGTTCTTGGCTTTTGGCAACATTGTGAATAAATCAATGCGACTCCGGAAGTGATAGGCCCCGTACGTTCTTTACCACCTTCGCCATGAGGACTGACAGGTCTGTTTCACCAAACATTACCTTCTCCAGCAGCTTTCTCCTCTCCTTTTCGCAAGACTGAACCAGGAAACTCATCAGATGCTGGACGTTGTCAAGGTTACAACGAGATACACCTCGTGCATACGACATTCCTCTTACAGAATAGCACGAACTGTGCAAGGTTCCGGTTACGCTGCGGACTTCCATTACCGGATTAGTCCACAGATCAAATTAAATGATCCACATCATTGCGCTGGGAATGGCGAAATCAGTGAGATGTGAGAGAGAGCACAACATTGAAAAGGGCACCAGGGGGACGCGTCCCCCAGGCGGATTACCAGACTTGAGGTTCTTGACGTGTCGTTCGTTCAACTCTATTCATCTGCAGAATCCTCTTCCGCAAGATGCACGTCTCCGCGCTGAGTATCGTTGCCGCCCTGGCGGGCACAGCCGTCGGGCTGGCTGTGCCTCACACCCACGCCGTGCATGAGCGCCGCCGTCTGCCTCATCCGCGCATCAACAAGCGCATGTCGTCTGACGCGGTCCTGCCCATGCGCGTCGGGCTCAAGGCCAATTCTGCCGCCCTCCAGTCTGCCGAGGAGTGGCTGATGGAGGTCTCGCACCCGGCCTCGCCCAAGTACGGACAGCACTGGACTTCGGACGAGGTGATTGAGGCTTTCAGCCCCTCGAGCGAGACGGTAGACACTGTCGCCGCTTGGCTTGCTGAGTCTGGAATTGGAAAGGAGAGGATCACGCACAGCGACAACAAAGCGTGGTTTGCTTTCGAGGCGACGGTGGAGGAGGCCGAGAAGCTGCTGCATACCGAGTACTTCCACGACGGTATTGAGGAGGACCGTGGCTCTATGGTTGGATGCAATGAGTACCATCTGCCTAAGCACATTCAGGAGCACGTGGACTATGTGACGCCAGGTGTGAAGGGAACCATGATGGACCTGCACCCTACGAGCCAGTGGAAGCGGAATGCGCAGCGAAAGAGGAGCTCGGACACTCATCAGGGCAGCAAGCTCATGCCACAGGACGAAAAGTTCAGAACTGTGTCTCGTGCTCTGGCTGAGAATTTCACTTTGGCTACTTGCGACGAGTATATTACTCCTGAGTGCATTCGAGCCCTGTACAACTTCTCAGCGCCCAACCCCAACGCGACAGTTTCGTCCAACAACTCGCTGGGTATCTTCGAGGAGGGTGACTTCTACAACCAGGATGACTTCGACGAGTTTTTCACGACATTCACGCCGTATATACCGAACGGCACACACCCGATTCCGAACTTTATCGATGGTGCTGTGGCCCCTATCAAGGTTCAAGCTCTTGCTGGCGGTGAAAGCGACCTCGACTTTGAGCTGGCGTATCCCATGTGGGTCTTTGCTTTGGCTCTCGTTACGACTTCTACCCAGAAAATACTAATTCTGTGCGTTTCATTAGCATTTACCCCCAGACAACAACATTATACCAGACGGACGATCTCTACTATGCTGAAGGTGGTTCCTACGGCATTTTCAACACCTTCCTTGATGCGCTTGATGGCAGCTATTGCAACTACTCTGCCTACGGCGAGACGGGCGACGACCCAACGCTCGACCCAGTCTACCCAGATCCTCACCCTGGTGGCTACAAGGGCGACCTGATGTGCGGAGTCTACCAGCCCACTAACGTCATCACCATCTCCTACGGTGTATACGAGAATGATCTGCCATACTACTACCAGGAGCGCCAGTGCAACGAGTTCCTCAAGCTTGGCCTTCAGGGCGTGTCCATCTTCGTGGCCAGTGGTGACACTGGTGTGGGCGGTTATCCTGACGGCACGTATGGCGATGGGCCTTACTACGGCTGCCTCCGAGACGACGACGTCTTTGCACCGACGCAGCCCAACAGCTGTCCCTGGCTGACAAACGTTGGCGCTACCGAGGTGTTCCCTGGAAAGACTGTCGATGAGCCCGAGAGCGCCGTCTTGGATCTGTCGGCCTCCTTCAACTACAGCAGCAGCGGTGTAAGTATTGATCAAGGGGGTCATGTCATTGATAACGATTTGATTTGATGTGTTCCCACCCCAGCTGACTCATGTCAAATAATTAAGGGCTTTTCCAACATCTTTGGCATCCCCAGCTACCAGGCAGATGCCGTCGCCACCTACTTTGCCGACCACAACCCGCCCTACCCGTATTACTACGACGGTAACTACCTCAATGCCACCAACGGCGGGCTGTACAACCGCAACGGACGAGGCATCCCAGATGTGGCTGCAAATGGCCTCAACATCGCCCTCTACGTGGGTGGTGAGTTCGGGCTCGAGGGAGGCACCTCGGCCTCGAGTCCCATCTTTGCCTCATTGGTCAATAGGATCGTGGAGGAGCGCCTCGCGGTCGGCAAGGGTCCTCTGGGCTTCATCAACCCCACTCTATACACGAACCCGCAGGTGCTGAACGATATCACCAACGGTACGAACCCAGGATGTGGCACCGATGGGTTCGAGGCTGCTACTGGGTGGGACCCCGTCACTGGACTGGGAACACCCAACTATCCTAAGATGCTTGAGCTGTTTTTGAGTCTTCCTTAGAGGGACATGCTTGGCGCTAAAAGAGCTAGGAAGAATAGTTAATGTACTATTGCGAGCTTCAAGGTCGACCTAAGTCTTAGCTGGCCGTTTACAGACGAAAGCTAGAAAAGAAATAGACATAATTCATGTATAGTGCCATCACATGGGAAATGACAGTTCTATCACGTCAACAAAAATCACAAGACAGCAGGACCGAACCGTCCGGTACGCATATAGAATGAACGAGCCCTCTCTACACAAATTGATGAACTTAACTATATCGATAGCAACAATTGACGGTTTTGAATCTCGAGCACACATCCCCATACATCTAGTTTGCTCGATACCCCTGGCTATTACAATGCTGCGGCTACTTCGAAAGACTTCGAAATCCCTCATCAGCGCCGCTCTGAGCGTAAAGGAGTACATCGTGGACGTATCTGAAGCTGCGGCTGCTTTCATCTCAGTCGATGCTGAGCTCTCTACGGACCAAGACGCGCGCAACAAGCCAACAAACCTCGGTGCTCGCAGAGCTAGGCGTCCTGCAGCGCCATCCGGCTCGCCCGAGCCCCTCGCAGAATTGCCCATAAATGGAGGCCCACCTTCGGGTGCGCCGCCGTTCCCAAGCTACGACGACCCGTTAGGACGGCTCGACCACCCGTTCTGGAAGGGAGATCACCCCTTACTTAGGTCCGACCATCCTTTCTGGGACGGCGAGCCTCCGGAGAGCGTTGGGTGCGGTATTCACCGGCTTGTCAATGTTCCACCGGCTCCTATTCACCGTCTCCTACCATAGTCATTATCTGATACTGGCCGGGGAGGTCCTCGAAACAGAACAAATTCGTCAGTAAACATGATTCCAGTGGACTCAGGCAATGAGTCAGATGCATAAGATCTCACCTGATGCCTGGAAATGGCTGAAAGCCCTTGGCGATAGGGATGATCCGGAAGACGAACAGCAACCAGACAACCAACAAGGATAGCGGCTTTCGGAAGGAGGAGGATGTATCAGCAACAGAAGTCGATCGACGAGGTAAGAATGCTGCAACATTCTTACCGAGACAAAATGACGAACTGATCAATGATGGGTAAATGAGCCTGTCACCGTAAAGGCGTAGTTAAGACGAGATATTGTAAAAACCTAAATGTCTCAGAAAAAGCATATGAGCGCATTGCACAGTTCACCCCTCTGGATAAGTAGAATGTGCAGAACCGATTTCTAAAAGGGTCTTGTATAAGGCCTGTTGATAACACACACATCTTGACGCTCTTCGAGACAGAGTCCATATGCCAAGCACTTAGCTGCGTTCAGCTGAAAACTTGACACATGCCGAAATATTCAGGGAACCTTTCATCTCAGCCCCTCGCGGCCCCCAAACAATTATCTCAAATTGGTGGCTTGTGTTTCCTCTTGATCGTGTGTTTCAAAGATGCACTTGCTGTACAAGAGCGGTTGACTATAGCCCTGCAGAAGATGCACATCGTCGGAGTTACCATTATGTTGCTAGCATCTGGATTTCGGGCTGAAGCCAAGACAGGTAATATCATGGTTCCTGCAGGAAGGCCTGCAGTGTGTAGTACCTCCTTAACCATGAGCAGTTATAAGGTGAGAATGTCTGCTCATTTACGACACCGGCCCTCGAAGAATGACTTGCCCATTCCGTCTTGGTTGTAAGTACGTGGTGTGTGCTGCTCTACCATTACACAACTCTCGCCGACTCCGTCTTCATGGACTCGAAACGACCATCTGAATACGACTGCTTCCCCGAGCTCGTTCCAGAAGCAGCAGCCCACCTCAACTCAAGGGCCCCCTTCCTCCCAGATGTTAACACTAGAACGTCGCAACAAGGACGAAGAGAAGCCCAAGATGGGGGAGGCCCCGAAGCCTTATCACGCGCTGAGGCAGAAAATCTAGCTCACAAGTTCACCGAACGAGATCCCAAATACTTGGTTCGCTGTGATCATACACCGAAGCTCTCGTGTGTGTCACAAGGTGCAGCGCAGCTAGTGGTGCCTGACAGCGATAGCACGGCCTTTACCCAAGAGTCGCCTCCAACGGATGACGCTCCAAAGACTGGTGCTAAGAATACACACTGCGTACCGCGAGGACTTATTCTGCCCCTCCTTGTAGTTATATCTATAGTGGTAGCTGCAGGCATCGCTGGAGGCGTGGCTGGTGCGATCCTGTCTTCCAGGAGTCGTAGTGGAAGTGAGTCCAGACCATCGGCTGCAATGAGCAGGTTAGTATGAGTCCAAGCTGCTTGGAGGAGGAGTCATACTAATAATTGGACAAGCGCAGCAAGTTACTCGCAAATAGTTACAATAACGTCCACCACATCTTCAAGTTCCAGCCCCGGTTCTGCAGCAGCAACAGCGCAGCCGGGCCCCAACATATCCACAATCACAGGCGGTTTCGCCTTCCAGGGATATTCAGGCGATAACTTCAGCGGCAACGCAAGCCCCATCGTGCGTGATGAGCTGTTTACGGACTTTGCCTTCAATTGTTCCTCGTACGTGTGGATACCAAACGGGACCGACTGCTGTGTCACGTTTTGTGCCAACAGGACAGTCAGCGGGTGGGTGGGCTGGTGGTGCTCGGAGCGACGGCAAATCAATGCGAGCAGTCTGTTCGAGAGAATCTATATTGGGTGTGGGGATGAGGGAAAGCTTGAAGATAGCGGAAGGTGTATTTGATTAAAGAGAAGTTCGATTGCTGAGTCAAGCAAACTCTTGAGGCCAAACATGACTATCTTCGTCCCTGAGCACAAATGTAAGCCACGTCTACCAGACGTGTGTTACATGGGCACTCAAAGCTTCAGGAACCATGTTGCCCAGATGACACTGTCGAGCCCATCTCTGCATTTCAAAAGCTCACCGCGGGATTCTCCGTCTAACCACCACAGATACAGTATCTGGCCATGTTGCCGAGCAATGTCCATGGTCTTACAAAATATAGAAAGTACTTCGTATTCCTGCAGCGTGCGTGTAAAGACTAGCCACCTCGATCTCAATCCTCGAACACGGATAGAAGCAACATGATCACCTTGTGGTCATACGAAAAGGCTGGGTGATATGCCCCGAGTGCATCTCGTCCCATTGAGCAAAGAAAGTAAACTTTCAGCTAAAGGATGATTTATGAGTCCACCCTCAAAATTCCAGATCTTCTTAGAAGAAAATCTCGACCCATTGTGTGGCCTCAGGGCACATGTTTGCGACCATGTACAGTGCGTTAACGACCCGCTTCATGGGAATATGATGGGCCAGACTATCTTCGGATACTTCTCCGCGGTGTTCCAGACGTAAGACTGCCTTGTCAAAAGCCTTGTCGACAGTATCCATATCTGTCCAGTCGAGCTTATTTTTACCGATCCTGTTAACCTCCTTGCCCCCCTTTCGGCGGTGCATACATTGGAATCCAAACTGGAAGATTTCCGGCTCGTGGTAGTACTCCTCCTCCACATAATCAATTTGAGCGCAGCATTTCGCAGATATGTTCTTGATGAAGCGCAGCCATGTCATATGTTTGCCTCCTGGCCCACCCGCGGCGAAGACGCGCATCATCCTGACGAAACGATACCAATTGTCCACGGCCCCGAAACTACTGGGTGAAGGAATTGTGAGCGAAAACTCGTTCTCGCCGTAGTAGATGGGTAGGGCCTCGATGCGGGTCCAGCGGCTGACGCACGTTAAGGGCGGCTGTACGAGGGTTGTCTTTGGCCGAGCATCTTCGTCGACGAGGACAAGACTGTAGACGCAGTTGCGCAACTCGGCAGGTAGTGGTATGGTTGCGTGCGTCTGAGCTTCCTATTCCACGAGAGCACCTGGAGTTAAGTAGGAATACTAGATTCATTCGAAGAGCATTTGGTAGTCCACGAACCTTGGCTTGTATGAAGTCGTCCATCTCGGCTCGGTGCACGATGCAAAAAGTCGCAGCGGAGAAGTTGAAGGAGTATTACTATGCTGACCTTTCGTCTTGTGGGTTTCGTCAACTGACAGTATTGTTCCCGCTGAGCAATCAGCTGCCGGATGCAGGGCGATGTTGGTGTAGGTAAAGATTTCAAAAGAAGTCAGTGAGGGCGAGATGGTGCTGATGGTAGAGAGAATTCGGACTGAAATTTCTGGTACCATGTTCAGAATGCGCCTTCTTCATGTCAATGGTGTTCTGAGCAGGAGGAGGAAGGTGCAAGCCTGAAGCATGGTTAGACCACCGACGAAGAATTTCCCGGGAGGACCAGGGCTGCGACCTCGTCCTGGATGACATGCCTCGCCTCGGTTCAACATAATTTGCGCCGGTCTTAAAATTTAATAACTATTATGCCTGGGAATAACGTTTCTGGTTGTTTTTCTTATTAAAAAAAAAAAGGGGGGTGGGACAAGGAAGATCTCGCGAATGCCAACATGGTGATCAGATGGGATGATATTCTCGAGGTGATGGAAATTCCTGCCAAATTCACTCCTCAGCCTCTGTTAGTTGTTAGGGGTGGTGCTGTTCTCACAAATGCCGCGGTATTGTGCACTGCTACCCATTGAGTCTTAGGTCTAGAACGTCTCTTGGCAGCCTTGCCGCCCTATACCGTTTACAGGAAAACATAAGGAGTCGGTTAATTAGACTCCTAAATCGTTGTATGTAAACAAACCACTCATAATGGAATCTAGCCTAATAAATGTATGCTAATTACTAATGGGCCAGTGGTCGTGGCAGCAAAGAACAATTCAGGTCTCATCGTTGGCCCTTGTCGCCAAGAACTAGGTAATATGGCTGTGACTGCACATTGTGTACTGAGGAAATCACTCCTCTCTACTGGTGTGCATAAAAGAAATCCACCAGCAGATGCTTGCACAAGTATAGCTTTGACATGCAGCTTGACTTGCTTTCTATCCTGATAACTTTCCAAAAATAAAAAATAAAAAAATAAAAAAAATTGTGAAGAACTTATTCCTTATTACACAATCCTTATGTAATTACCAAGTCCACCACCACGCTGTTACCAGCTCCTCTCTATGTCCATCTGCGGTGGTATCCGTGGTCGAACGGATCACATGTGCCTCACGGTCCTCCCTGGCCAGCTTCTTGTTGCTAAAGAAGTACCACAGGCTCTGCAAGACAATCTCGACAATGCTTAGGCCTGTCAGCGCTAGACATGCTGTGAAGGCGTGAAGGTAGAGTGGTGCGTCTTCGGTACGGAAGACCTGGGATCCAGCGATACCTGCTGCGTTGGCAGCCATAATAATCATACTGTAGTTGAAGCAAGACAATAACGGTCAGTACTCTCTTCAACAATAGACAAAATAAACACGGGTGCAGTTGGGTGATAATGATGCTTACGCCATAGCAACACTCCTCTCCTGAGGACTCTGACAGTTTGCCGACAGCCAGCCGACATTCTGGATATGCACAACCGAGTTGGTCGCCATCGAGAAAACCACAGCCGCGTACTTCATCCCCGTCGACCAGTCCTCGGCTGTACCCTCGCGCAGACAAGAAAAGGCAATGGTGGACCACACAGCCGCGAAGAGAACAAAGGGGCCTTTTCTACCCGTCTTGTCGCACAACCAGCCCAGCACAATAACCATAACGACGGCGATAAAGGGTCCCACGCTGGCGAGGGCGTTGGCATGGACGGTGGTATACCCGAGACTCTTGATGACGGAGGGTCCATACGTGTTGATGGCGTTGACGGGGATGGTGGCGGTCAAGGTGATGAGCATGTGCATAAGGATACGCGGCTTTCGCAGGGTGGTGGTAATGTCATGGGCCGAGATGTGCAGGTGATTGGTGGTCTTGGCCGGGTCGTCGAGGAGCACGCGGCGTACCAGGATATAACTCTCTCGCTGGTCAAAATAGGACCAGCGGCCGAAGCTGATAAAGGGACGGCCGTCGCCAACGCGCGGCGGAAGGAAGAGGAAGAAGATGATGCCCACGCCGATAGTGATGCAGCCCTCGACAATGAACAGCCAGCGCCAGCCGGCGACGCCGTATCGGTCGCCCATGGTGAGGATTCCGGCGCCGATGAGCGAGGTGAGGGCGACGGCAAGCAGATTGCCAAGGAAAAAGATGGACACGCGCAGGCTGGTCTCGTCTCGCTTATACCAGGTGGACATGGTATACAGGGCACCAGGGATGAAGCCGGCTTCGCAGAGGCCTAGCAGGATGCGCGTGACGAGGTAGCCCGCGTAGTTGGTGATAAAGTTCTGGAAAAGGGCGACGAGGCCCCAAGCGATGATCTGGCCCGAGAGCCAGTGCTTGGGGCCAATCTTTTGCAGGAGGACGTTGGAAGGGATCTCGAGGAGCACAATGCCCAGGGAGAGGAGGGCGGTGCCGACGTTGATCTGGTTCGTGTCGACGCCCAGGTCGGTCGTGATGGTGCTCGTCAGGGCGTTGGAGATGTTGCCTCTGTCCATCTGCAGAGCGAAGAAGGCCAGTCCTAGGATGGGGAGGAGGATGAGATCGAGCTTGACCTTGATCTTGCGCTCCTCGTCCTCGCTCCAGTCTGCCGCTGTCGTCTCGTCCACATTGACCGCGGCTATTTCCTCATCGTCAGAGCCGCCTCTGTCAGGCTTCACATCATATGCCTCTTGGGACACCATCTTTGGCGTCTTCTTTGTTTCCGGGCCTCTTGGGATGGAGAGGAGGAGAATGATGAAGCACCACCACCAATAATCGCAACTTTAAGATGATTCAAGATGAGACAAAGACACGAATGTGCGATGAACAGTACATGTGGGATCGATGAAGATGATCATCAAAAAGGCGGTGGGGAGCAAGGAACAAACTCTTGGGGACGGATGGCCCCTGAAAAGTGATTTGTATCTGTGAGTGCGGCGCAAGAAACATCCCATCCTATAAAAGGATAATTACATCCTCGAACCCTACCCAAGTACGTATTCTTTTCAGACGTCGGGAATATCGCCGGTCGTAAAAAAGCCACATGGGAACAAAATTGTCAATGTGCTTGCTGAAGGTCTCTCCACATGAGCAAGATCCTTCTCACGCCATGGTGCAACGAATTTAGTTATTTTTATTTTTCAAAGACGTGACGAATGAGACGGCTCGAAGTGCCATTATCTAGCGGTTGGCATAGAGGCTGTTCCCAACGCTTTGGGTCCCATGCGGGATGATCCCCTGACTCTGCGTCGTTAGTTGCGCTGACGTGCTTTGGCCCCGGGGTTGACGTGATCTCAGGCATGGTGCTTTCACAGGCTTGTGGTGTGGGATTTACTCTTTTGTACATTGTTCAGTAGCCGATATCCGATGATCCGAGTAAGTTGAGAAACTGCTCAGCGAGTGAAACAAGAATTCCTCGAGAGAAGACCGACTAAAGTCGACTTGAGAGAGGAGAATTGAGACTTGAGACTTGAAGAAGTAGGAGGCCAGAAGTGCTTTGGCAGTGCCGGAGAGGCAAAGTGGTCCAAAACCCCATCTCAGCCCTCTACAGGTGCTAGGCCCGCAGCCAAGGCGTCAAGACATCGGAAACACCCAATTCATGCGCTTCGGCCCGAGAAAAATATATTCCTCGTTTACTATGTAAGTGTCAATCGACTCAACACTAAGTACTTGAGTAGGCGATGGTAACCTGTGTGAGCTACAGGAGTTTCAATAACGGTTCGCAACAGTGGCTCTTCCACGGCTCTGAACACTGCCTAACTTGTCCATAGATCAGGGACATCATTTTTTGCAAAGTTCTTCAGCTCTACAACAAGATCACATTGTGCCAGATCTTTTCAATACTTTCCACATCATGATAGGAATATATATCTAAATTCTATCATTATCGGACTCCGCGTTGGTAGTAAAAGTGTTCATAAGTAAACTGAAGACTCGCTTCTTGCGACGGACGATCTCGGCTCTCGGAGGCGAGCATTCGGATTCAGCCCACTGAAACGTGGCCATCGTTCCCAGCTAAGGCATGTAGTGGGTCTGCTGCCTGTTACCAGCATATGTGGCTTGTGGCTAGCCGTAGCCGTCGTCACCCTTTGGTTGTCGCCTCACCTGAACGGTCTCACCTAGAAGGGCCCACTTCCTATGCACCCAAGGGCCCGTCCAGTAGTAGCAGCTTTAGGCCCACCATCCACAGACAAAGAGGCTCAAGAAAGTCAACCAACCCTCCATGCTCCATGCAAGGACCACGGCAGGCCATTGTGGAAGGCAAAAAGAGAGTCCACACACCTAGAGACGATATCCGACACGGAGATTCTCGGTCAAGGGTAGGACAGCTTATCAAGGTCGCTCGCACAGTCAGGCTCGGCTGTCAGCAGCCATGGCAGAAACACCTGCCCCCCCTCACACACCAGAGATGGCAACGCTGCCAGGAACAGTTCAGCAGCAACAACAGCAGTCCCATCCCATTCACCTGCGCAGCTGTGTGCTCTGTCGCCAGAGAAAGGTGAAATGTGACCGACAGCAGCCGTGCTCGCACTGCACCCGGTCTGGAAATGACTGCGTCTACCCCTCAGGCCGAGGCAGGGCCCCCAAGAGGCCCAGGCGTGACGTCGAGGAACAGCTCGCTGAGAAACTTTCGAGGCTCGAGACCATCATCAAGCGGCTGGCGTCCGAGAATGCATCTCAGGCGAATGCCCTCTCGGCACGGCAGACGGACTCACCACCAACGCCAGGACCTTCTCGTCCAGCTGATGACGCCGGCAGCAATAGTGTCCCGGAATCTCCTCCTCTCCCTCCCCCAACGAACCCGCTGTATACCTCTCTTCCAGCTGCCTCCTCCTTGGACCGGAGCAGCAGTCCTGGTCTCTCCTCCATCGAGGGCCAACTTAATCGTCTGGTGATAGACCCAAAGAAAAGTTACTATGTCAGCAATCCATTATGGGCCAGTCTGGCTAGTGAGGTTCGTTTTACATTGCTCTTCTGCAAAAGTATTATAGACCACCCCGCTGTGGGCTCCTGTTGATCTGACAATGAGCAAATAGATCGATGAACTACGTGAGATCATCACCCAGCCGGAGGAAGAGGTTGAAGAGGATACTGTCCCAGCCTGGACAGAGGTTCCACCAGTCAACGACAGCATGAACGCCGCCCTTTTCGGGTACAGATCTACTGCATATTCTCTTAAGCCCTACCACCCACTGCTTCCCCAGGCGCTCGACATCTACTCAGCCTTTGCCGAGAACGTCGCGCCACTCCTGAGATTCTTCCACATGCCGACCCTGGCTGAGTTGTATCGAGAGTCGATCTCATCTACCACCCCTCTGGAGAGAAATACCGAAGCCCTCATCTTCGCTATCTACTACTCCGGCATCATGAGCATGCCACCAGACCAGTGCATGAACCTCTTGGGCCTATCCCAGCCCGCCGCTCTGGAGCGCTACCGCTTCGCCACAGAACAGGCTATCGCCCGCGCCGACCTGCTCAACACACAGAGCATCGTCCTCCTCCAGGCGGTGGCGCTATTCCTCTCTGCCCTGCGCTGTCAGACTGACAGCCGCGCCTCATGGTCCCTGAACACGCTCATCTTCCACCTAGCACAGGCCATGGGCCTCCACCGCGACGGTACCATCTTCGGCTTGAATCCTTTTGACACCGAGATCAGGAGACGTCTATGGTGGCACATCTGCGTCCTGGACAGCCGTTCGTCAGAATACCACGGGTTTGGGCCCATCATGTACCAGTCTACCTTTGACACGCGCATCCCGCTGAATGTCAACGACACAGACCTCTGGCCAGGCATGACAGAACCGCCCAGGGAACGGGACGAGGCGACAGACATGACCTTCTCTCTCATTCGCTGCGAGGCTATGCGCACGGCTGTCAAGGCCAGGCTGCTCTCTCCTGACATGCCCAGCTGGCAAGGATCGATGGGCGGAAAACCTGAGGTGTCGGCAAGGGAACGCGTGCAGCTGCTGCAAGAGCTGCAGAAAAGGCTGAAGGATCATTATTTGCCCCTCTGCGACACCTCGTCGCCCATACTGCTTCTTGCGTCTCTTCTGGCCAAGCTCATCTTTGTGCACTTCCACCTTGTCGTATACTACCCTCTGCAGCTTGCAGCGGCTAAAAAGAAGGACTCCAAAAAGGCTGCTGACCAAGAAGCATCATCATCATCATCATCAACCATATCATCTCTAACACCAGCAGCACACGCCACGGGGAATGCCGTAAACAGCGAGGCGAACCCTGATCACGCTGTATCATCATCACGCCCAGAAACCGACTTGCCAGATGTCATGAGCCGTGACCAGCTCTTCGAGTCCGCCATAGGGATCCTCGAGCTCTCTGGCCAGATCCTCAGTCTCCCCGGAACCAGGAAATGGGTCTGGTATGCCAAGAGCCACGTCCAGTGGCACGTCGTGGCTTTTGTGCTCGCCGAGATCTGCAGGCGGCCTCCATCAGAGCAGTGCGAGCGAGCCTGGGCCTGCGTGACCAAAATGTATGATGCATGGAACATGCATAACTCTGCGTCGCAGGGGCTTATGCGGAAGTCTGTGCGGAGGCTGTTGGTGAAGGCGAAGCATGTACGCCAACTGCAGGCTCAGGTGGCGAGAGTGGGTACAGTTGGTGCCAGGAGTACAGCTTCTACCGCTGGCGTCGGTGACTTGAGCGCACAGTATCGCCCATTTGTACAGATGGATTGGCTCAAGGCCGAGTCGACTCCCTCTGCGGCCACCTACAGGAGCTCGCCTCCTTCTGCCGCATGGGGGGACGCGTCTGGACCTGATGGTGCCTCTGCAGCAGGCCCTGGTACGTCGATGGCAGCTGACCCTGATTTCCAGCAAGAATTGTTCGGGGCAGACTATACAAGCGACGCCTTTATGGAATTCCTCAGCATGTCATCCGACATACCCATGACCGACATCTTTACTGCGGCGAGCGTTGATCCTGGCGTTGGTGAGCTCGGAGACCTCACCTATGACGAATCTGTTTTCCAAGTGCCTGATTGGACCTTGTGATGGTTTCATAACCAACAGATTTGGACTCGGCGGTGAATCTTACTGCCAGTGTTGGTCGTGGCGTTCTGTGGTCGAAACAGGACTACACGAACCCTTAACTCTCTCCGCTCCGCAAGGAAAAATGAAATCATCTCTGCAGAGGGCCAGATTAATTCATGAGATTACATCTCGTTATGCTGTACATGAGATACGGTACACATCTTCGAGATTCAAATCGCAAATCCTATTCACCCCGCTCACAACAAGAACTGATACCCAAAAGTAAGAACAAGGATAATGTAAATAATAAATATCAAAACTCACTAATGAGTAGAAGAGACTTTTGTGCATCTTGTTTGTCGAGATTATGGACCAGTGGCAAATGTATGAGAAGTTGAACCTGGGCACATGAGGGCTCCGAGACGAGGCTGGGGCGAGACAAGTAGACTTTGCGTGCAGTCATACCAAGCCAAACATTACAGATGAACCCACTGTCACGCTGTTGTCCTCATTTCGCAGCTCTCGCATCAGGTTTCTGGGATAGCAGCGTGTAAGTCCGCCCGGGAGAGCCAGCCATGTATGTGACGACAGTCCTCCGCTACCTGGGCAGTGCGCAATCAGGGGCAGAGTGATAAATATGGAGAGAAAGTTGATGAGGAATCACGGGGTCAAACTGGCAAAACGTATCCGAATCGTGACTGGAAAATACTGTGGTTCTGGCCCATGCTGGAGCGGATTTACGGATTTGCATAAGTGTCTGTTTCGGACTTTATTTCGACGGAGCAAATTTTAAGATTTATCATTCATCCATGATGGACAATAAGTCAGTGACAAATCTTTCAGGTTGACTAATGTAGCTGAAGATCTGAACTAGAAAATAGCTGTCGGAGTCAATGATGTGGGCTTCAGGTCTTAGAAGGCGAACTTTGTGGAGTACATCAAGGTGAAAAATAATAAATATATATATATATATACATAAGGGTTGGGAGTTCACTTTAGAGATTTAGTCGAATCTAGAAGAAAGTATCTGCTATTCAATCACATTTCCTTGCCTTTACTAAATGAGCATCATCTCATCATCCAATTTGCTTAATGAGCCATGCCTACTATCGCTGTTCTCGGAGGAACTGGAGCCCAAGGTGGCTCCGTCGTTAGACAGCTGCAGAAGTCGTCGACCTGGAAGATTCGCATCCTCACGCGAAATGCTAACAGCGACAAAGCAAAAGCCCTCAATTCTCAAGTGCGTGCCGTCTCCTAATCCCATATTTTCATGAGTTGTATACTGATTGCTCATAGGGTATCGAGGTTGTCGCCGCTGATGTCAACGATGAAGCCAGCCTCGTCAATGCTTTCAAGGTAAGTAGATCACGCTGGGCGTCCAAATTAATGCGTTGTTCCCTTCCAGCACTAACCTCCAACTACCTCGATAGGGTATTGATGCCATCTTCGCGGTCACTACTTACTGGGAGTCCGTCCTGAGCCTCGGCCGCGATGGTGCCGGCGAGGAAGAACTGCAGCAGCTCAAGAATGTCGCCAACGCAGCGCAAAAGACCCCAACCCTGTCTCATTTCATCGTGAGCAGCCTACCTCCAGCTGAGAAGTCATCCGGAGGCCAGTTCCCGGTACCCCATCTCGACTACAAGGCGAAGGCAGTGGACTGGATCAAGGAGGCCCTCCCGGAGCTATACAGCAAGACGTCCCAGATCTGGCCCGGTTGGTATCCCACCAACCTGGCGACTCTCCCCATGGTCCGATTCCTGGAAATTGTGAGTCCAAGCCCTGCGCCTTCTATGATCTTCATATATTCCATTGACGATCAGGTTCCAGCTAACGAGTTGTACTATTGCCAGCCCGGCTCCTACGGCGGTTATTTGTTCACACAGCCGAGCAAGCCGTCTTCTCTTCTTCCCATCGTTGGCGATATCGACCACAACTTCGGCATTGTAGTTGAGGGCCTTCTCAAAGCCGGCAAGAAGGCCTATGAGAAAATTGCTGTGGTTATTACGGAATACCTGCCGTTCACCGATGTCGTCCGCGTCTTCGAGGAAGTCACCGGCAAGCGTGCAGCATATGCTGAGATTTCCGACGAGGCCGCGATTAAGCTGTATGGAGTCTATGGCGCTGAGTATGCGGCACAGCTCCGCTGGAGCGAGAAGGTCCCGAACTGGGAGCAGATCGATCCCCAGAGTGTCATTAGCCTCGAGGAACTGGGGGTGAAGGACAAGCTGATTGGTTTCAAGGGTGCACTGGAAACTCTCAAGGCCAGGATTGTTTGATCAACAAGACAGGGAGACCTGCAAAAACGCTCACACTGATCCACTTTACCTGCAAAATCTCTCATAAAAGTTGCCATGCACTACCTACCCGCAAGGACATAATTACTGGGTGACTTGGCTAAGGAACCTGGTGCTGTATATAGAAATAACAAAGTCCGTCCCTACTCTAAATGAATGCTCTTCAATCAGTGAACCGCAATATGCTCGGTTCTTTTCGTTGAGTCCTACCTCGTTTTCTGCTTTTGATTCTTTCTTCTTCACACGATAGTAATTCGTGGATAACGAGGTAATGCCACTCGCCTGCTCTTAGCCGACAATAAGTTTACTCAATAATCTTGAGTAACCATCCTCATGCGATGCAAGGCTGACACGAGATCCAGCCTCGTACAAAATGTGATCCCGCAGTACGTATATGCCGACGCATGGGTACTTCAGCTTCTCCTCTCTCCTGGGAATCCCCAAGGCTTGAGTACATACGTCGAACCGTCCATCACCTCATGCTCTATATTCAGGAAGATTTATGTGTAGAATCCAATCTTCGTTTCCAAGTCTTCGGTGGTCATTTGGAAAGTAGCCACTCAGGGCCTGACTGCGTAAAAGCTTCCCAGGCCTAGGACCAGGCGAGAAAGCCTTAGCAGCTTAGGGGGCTTAGGATCAATTTTGTGAGGCAGGATCACTCCCCACGGAAAGACAAGAATGGAAACTAGATGAGAAAGGTTTGATTACAGACTCTGATTGATATGTTATCTCAGAAAGAAAATTCCGAATTAACACATTGCAGTGACTGGGCCAGCGTCTCGAGGCCAGTAACGATTCGTGCATAGGGCCACAAATGCTAATTCCGAGACCAGCGTCCTCCGTCTGCTGATCGCTCTTCATACTCAACCTAATTCCGACATGAGGGTATGGCGCTTGTTTCTTCCTTCTGGTGACCGCTCTTTTCGTAGGCAATGGGTCTCTCGATAAAATCGCAGACCGGTCCGATCACAGCGGTCCACATGGCTAGCAGCCGTCAGATTGGTGGTGAAGACCTGCTCCGCTGGCGGCAAAGTCGACTTGTGGTAAATCGCTCTGGTCAATAACGTCCCCATTTTGCAGGGTGATCTCTGGCACACGCGTCGGCTGTCCCATCCCCCAAGACAGGGTTGCAATCTTGGAAGACTACCTGTGAATCGCGTTCCTTCAAAGCTTGTGACGTCTTCTCCCGATGCAGCTTCCACCAAACACTGTCTACGGCAGGACCGCCCAGCCCACGAACCTGCTCCGTCCTCAGCTTCTCGAGAAGCACAGCATTGTCGAAGTTGACTGAGACTCTGTCTGGATTGAGAGGGCTGTCGTTGCTGGTGCTGCTGCTGCTGCTCGTAATCATTACGAGTCGCCGATCACTGACACCCATTGAGAGATCTCCCATGACCCGAGCAAGGTGTTTGTTCGGCAGCGAAGGATGACTGGCTGGGGACCTTGACCCTACAGCCGCCCGAGCACGTGGGCACTTCCACTAAGCCAGGGGAAGTAGAAGAAGATGAGCAGTGCCATGCTCTGGTTCGATGTGCTGGACAGGATGGACCAGTTGGGTTCCTGTCATGGCCAGTGTCTTGATGCCGAGCACGACTTGTTCCATCGTAGATAGAGTGGTCTGATCAGAAGGTGGATGTTGATAATGGCTAAGATTGAAGAATTTCCTTTCAAGTCGCTGGGGAGGGAGGGCGGATGGGCTTTTATGTGTATTCGTAGGGAGAGAATTGATCAGAATGAATCATCTCAACGACCCAATGCTGTCACCTTTTGCGTACCATGTGCCGAACTACCTCATGTCTTCAGTTGCTATTTTCCTAGCCTATTTCTGGGGTAATGATCCCTAGCTACGTGCGTGTGTATGTTCATATGAGCACTGGTACAAGTGTTCTGAGCACATCTTATGTCTAGATAGTCATTAGAGATGACTTACTTGACACTATTCTCAGCACGCGAGGAACACAGAGCCGTCTAAGCGCGTCTAGCCTATTATCACTTATTATACTAATATGTGACGTCCAGGACGGACTACGATAGAATCGATTCGTTGCGGTAAGTGCACCCGTAGAAGCAAACATCCGTACGTCTTGGGGTCTGGCCTTCATGCTAGGGTCATGAAGCTCAATCAATGTAGGTCTGGAGCATATTTTGTTGCTGTGACAACATGGTTTGTATGCTTTGCTTTGGCTTTCACAGGCAGGGGGCTAGGAGGATCGAGATATGGACGGCGCAGATTGTGTCTACCAGCTGCATCCACATGACACACATTATCATTGTTCAGCCACAGATGGTGTTGTCACTCAGTTCGACGTGTTACTGTACAGTTCTGGGTGGCAGCGCGGACCACATTGTGTAGGGGAAAGAAAGAACCCGGGAGCCCATTCCCCCGGGTGGGGGAATGGGGTTATCGAGCGAATTAAACGATTTCAGGTTTTAAACGATTTCAGGTGCTAAAGACACAGCTGGACCACCTCTAGCATATCCTTTCAAACCAGAAGACACGACGGGCCAAAAGGCAGTCATAAAGACAGTGGTGTAGTCGGTAACATGACCACAATCATGTGATAACCAAGACTTGACATTGGAGAAGCACAGGCGAGGGGAGGGCAGCGAATGGGATGCGCTTCGAACCGCTGGCTTCTGGACAGGTGCTATACTCGATAGCCTGACAGTTTAGTGGTAGAATGCTGGGCTCTGGCATGGAGGAAACAGCTGGCCCTCTGGGCTGAGATTCATAGAGACATGCAGATCAGTAGACTTGCACACACTCACGGTGTTTATTGAAAATGGCAAATAGAAACAGGCCACGCCTTTCCATTCACAGGTTCTTGTTCCACCCACTCTCATTCCATCTCCTCGCAGTGCATGTCTGCACCTAGCTCAAGCACTACGCCGAATAAACCCAGGCATACCCCTTGTCTGAGAACTCCGCTCCCTCTTGTTCTTCCTCAAGTCCATCCTCGTTCAGAGTGGTGTTTTCACAAGGCACGCAATCAGGCATACCAGTTTCTCTTTCTCTCTCTTGTTTGCCCGAAAGTCATCGGTGGTGGGTTTGTCTTGCGGCGTCTTGTATTGTCTCTTTCCTTGTCAAAGGTGGTATAGTACATATTTTCCCCCAATCTCTTCCACCTCGGTTCGATCGGGACTGGTTCCACGACGGAATAGAGAGCATCTAGTGCGCGTCGGGTTGGGCGACGATGTACGAGACAGCAGTGTCGACTAGTTCCCCAGGGCATGGATCGTTAGCAACAATGCGCATTGATAGGCCCGACTGTAAAACCGCTTTGGGGATGGCAAATAATAGGGGATCTAAACTCACCAGAGTGGATGCCATCCGCGTCCTTGTCGGGAATCTCGATGCTGAACTCCTGCAAGCGAAACATGTCAGCTCAATTATCTTTTCTGCATGTGACTTGGTGGGTCGCCTTATCGCCATACCTCCTCGATGGCCATCACGACCTCAACAGTATCCAGGCTGTCCAGGCCGAGGTCGTTCATGAAGTGCGCAGTAGGCTTGATCTAAGTTCGGCGAGAATATGTTAGCTTGTACCGTCCGTAAACACCGGCAGGGGAAACAAGCGGTAGTTCTCTTCGCAGGGGTATTTGCGTACGTTGCTTGGGTCGTTGACCTGTAAGATAACAAAAGATTAGCATCTCGGATCGACGATATGAACGAACCACCCAAGATTCGACCCAAGACATCTCTCAACATTCAAGGCGCCCCCCCCCCCCCCCTCCGCGCCCGGGCTGATAGGCAGCAGGTGCTGCTCCCTTGTCTCCTCTCCGCTAGCCCGACAGCCAAAAAAACCCCTCCGCCTGATCAACAGTTCTCATTCCCTTCTCTTCATCCCCAGCCCACAGTACCAGCGCAGTAACAGAACAACTCACCTTGTCAAACCCAGCCAAGAGGCTCATGATCCGCCCCTCAACATCCTCCTTGCTCAGCGAGCCCCCAGCCGAATACGTCCTGACGGCACCCAGCTTCCAGGCCGCCGGCGACGCGACAACCTTCTTCACGACCATCGACTGCCGCAGAGCAGGTCTCGAGACGATGCTACCAAAGTTCCGGGCGGCAGAGGGTGCGACTCGTCTCGCGGCGGCGGCGCTGGTGCGGAGGGCGGCGGTGCGGAACATCTTTGCTGATTTGTGAAAGGTAGAGGCGGGGACGGAAAGGAAAAAAGAGAGGGCTGCAGGACGAAGCAGGAGAGGACTGGGGCCTTTGTTGAGGGGAAGGTGGTGGGGGAGAGCTGTAGTAATTGGCGAGGATCAATTGGATCAGTAGTCGCGGAGGCGTTGGAGGTTGGATGATTGGGATGGGATGGAGCTTTGGGGCGAGGTCTTGGAATGATGACGAGAAATTTCTCGCCCCGAGCTTTGCTTGTTTGCCGGCTGGCCTGGGCTCCGGGGGGGGGTGCGCACGGACCACCTACACAGGGAAAGCTTGGACCACCTTGACGATGGTTAGTGAGTGTTTTGCCATAGGTACAAAGTACTTTGTCAAAGTCCATATACAGTTCAATTGAATGAAACATGCACACTCCCTCGATCTGGGTGATCCACCTAGAAGAGACGATGTGGAGCAAATGAATAACAGCTTCAGATTCGTCTGTGTCTCTCATTTATGTACAGTGTTTTGAGTCTACATATCCATCCTCGCCCTACACGCTCTCTCGCCCGCCTGGCTCTGCAGCCATCTCCCACGCGGCATTACCACAGATAGCCCCCCTCACAGCCAGTTCCTGCTGTCCCTACACTCTCTCTTACCGGTAGGGAGAGTCTGCCCGGATCGCAGCCGCCAGCTCGGGCTCCCACTTGTCTCCGTTGGCTAGCAGCTTCTCTGTAGAAGACGTTAGCATCCCGATCATATTTCTCAAGGCCGCAGCAGTGTTGGTCCCTCATCCAGCTGCGAAATGCTGCCGGATAGGAGAGGCATAGATACGATGACAGTATTGCGGTTGCCCGCACTCGGAATAACCTACCCTTGTTGTAAAGAAGCTCCTCTCTTGTCTCGGTCGAATACTCGGCATTTGGCGACTCCACGATGGCATCGACAGGACAGCTCTCCTGGCAGAACCCGCAGTAGATGCACTTGGTCATGTCGATATCATAGCGTGTGGTCCTGCGAGACCCGTCGGCACGCTCCTCGGCCTCGATTGTGATGGCCTGCGCGGGGCAAATAGCCTCGCAGAGCTTGCAGGCGATGCAGCGCTCCTCACCCGAGGGGTAGCGCCGGAGGGCGTGCTCACCGCGGAAACGGGGCGAGATGGGACCCTTCTCGAAAGGGTAGTAGATTGTGTAACTGGGAGAGGGTAAGGAAGGGGTGAATGTCAGCGAGGTTATTCGGAAGGCTGGTAGTTGGCAATGCCGGCCATCCACACCAGCCTTGACCCAAGACCATCCCAAGTCGTTGTTCCTGCTCTTTCTTTAGACTGTAGGGGATGCGTAGAGTTGGAATACTTACGGTGGCCGGAAGAACTGCTCCAACAGCACATACATGCCCCGCGCCATCTCCGTCATCAAGAAGTACTTGCCTAACTTGTCAAACGTACGCTCCTCCTCCTCGTCCCACTTCTTGGGCGGTGATTGCCGAAAGCCCTTGGGCGGGGGACCCATGGGCGTCGCATAGCCTCGCCTTATCACCAACATATGTTGTGCGGCAGCAGGTGCGACGAGTCGGGAGGACGCGGAGAGGGACGAGGCGGTGGAGGGCGAGGTGAGGGTAGCCCGGGCCAGCTGGCGGGCTGTTGTGGAGGAGAGCATCGTGAGTGTGGTGAATGTTGTCGCGATGGGGGTTGGAGTTGGATGGTTGCTGTCGTCGATGGGTAGGCGGAATGATCTCGAAAAGGGTTGGGCTGGCCTGTGAGGAGAAGCTTCTTTTCCGAGCAGCTGGCAACTCCTCCTGGACCAAAGAATGAAGTCGCGGCCAGAGAGTCCCAGAGGCGACAGTGAACCAATTGACCCAAGATACGTTGTCGGAGAAGATCAAACTTGGAGTCGAGGGGGTTTCTGGCCGAGAGATGAAGTTTCGAGTCCTCCCTTCTAGCGGCAGGCGGCGGTGGTCGGTCGGTGGCGGAAGTTGAGCTTGCCCTGGCGACGTCGACGAATGGGCAGTCTCGGGCCTGAGCTGTTTTTGGCGGGCATTACAAAGGGCGTCAATTGATTGGTCGGAGCTGCAATGGCTGTGATGCGGGTTGCCGCACAGAGCTGACAACGATCCGTGCGCGGCTGGGAGGGAAAAAATAGGCTAAGTCTATTTGTTTCGTCCCACACTATCAGCAAAGTCAAGAGATGGCCAGAGGCGTAAATAATAACCTCGGTGGACTGGCTAAATCGCAAAGCTGGCCTTTCGGAACCTTACAGATAGCTGTTTGTTGGAATTGGATTAATCTGTTCAAACTATTCAGACTTTCAAATTACAGAGTCAAAGGTTTGCAAAATTCACATAACTTGCACGGGCTGACTGACTAATAGCAGAAAATACCAACCTCGGTGCTCTGTTGATTACCTGCGAGCCCTGCGAGGCCCATCTCCTCCGCTACATCCATAATAGGATACCGAGTTGCTCATGTCACAAAATTGAGCAGGAAATGATCGTCTGTATTGGGCAGTAGATTAGATTTCATGGACAAGGATATTGGAGTACTTTCTGTCACACAGGTGATCAATTATCACACGTTCGCATCAGCTGCAACCTTACATCCCCACACTGTCATTTGTTGAATGTTCTACCTCATGTTTCCTCTGCTTGTTCAGTGTGATAATTTATTTCTCTTTCTCGTTTCTTCTATTCGTCCAGAGCAGAGGTTGGCTTATTTTCATGTATTTGGGCCAGGCCAGACTCCTCTGATCTCGTACCCAGCTGGGCTTGTTGTCTTCGCTGCCTCCATCGCCCTCATCCAAACCGAAATCGGTCTAGATCTTCCCAAACAACTTTGCAAGTTCTCCCAATTCATACTCAAGTAGTCAGATGCTATTACCCATCTCTAAAGCCTCCTTCAGATCTCCGCCTGTCTTGCAATACACTGTCGTTACAAAGCGGACCCCGGTAGCCAAAAACCCTAAGGTCGAGGAGTGTTCGAGCGAGGAAGATCGTCGCTGGTAGGGCAAAGTCACATCGTGTCCTATTTGTCGACGGTGAGTATCAAATGGCTTGGACGTCGAGCATGACCAGTCACAAACAAGACCCACACCATGTCCAGATGGCAGACCGCGGCATGAGCAATTGACATTGACGGGCAAGACCTTTGACCAAAATCTAGCAACAACACCCGTCGGTACTCCGATGTACATCTCTCCAGAATTCTTTCACACTTCTGGAGAACCTTGGGAGGTAACGTTTAAGCTTCGGGAGGAAAGTTTTGGGAAGGGAGGTTTTGGTAGACAATATACAATTATAGACTACTTGAGAATCTCGATTCTGGGTTCACGACAACATGAATCCTCGGTCCGCTAGTGGTCGCTCTATGCTATCCTGCTTTGTGCTCTATACGAAGAAGAAGAGGAGAAGAAGAAAAGAAAGAAAGAAAATCCAACGCTTGATCCAGAAGTCGCCAAACACAAATGCTGCAACGGGTATCCTCGCGTCTCTAATATGTATAGTAAACAAACTTGGACAATAAGCATCACATCGTCTTGCCGTAAGCGAATCAGAAGCTCCTCTCCCACGCCTGCCACCAAATTCCCATGTTGGCTGCCACTACCAGGTCCAGCATCTTCAGCCCTTCATCGTGCACGAGCAGCTTGCCCAACTTGGCACGGGTCCCCCTGTTTCCTCCACCCGCCCTCTCTCTCCCCAGCCCGCTAAAGTCAAACACCGGCTCGTCGTCCTCATCCTCATCCGCCTCTTGCCCGTCCGCGGCTACCTTCTCCCTCCCGCCCGGACTCTTCACCAGCATCCTGCCAAGGCCCTCCACCACCTCCTTGGCCGCGCGCTCGCGGTCTTCCTTGGACCCGAAGAGGTCTGTACTCGGCAGGCTGAAGCGCAGCTCGCTCACATCGACTTTATCGCTCATTGACCCTGCAAGGCTTGCACTCATGCCCCTCGACCTGCCGCGCTTGCGGCCGCTGTCGGCGGCGGTAGACGAGGCGGCGTCGCGGAGAGCCTGGGCCGCGACGAGGGGGTTAAAACCCTGCGACGTAGTATTGCGTGTGTGTCGGCACTTGAGGGAGCGACCGTTGGAGGCTGTGCGAAAGTCGCACTGCCCATCCCAGGGAGAGGTAAACGTGTAGCCCTTGGGTCTGAGGCCTGGACCAGGGGTCTGGAGGGCAGGTTGATCGTCCGCCGCTGCCGCCTTGTGTGTCGCATCGACATGCCCCTCGTTCTGTCCGTGGTGAGGGTGGGTCATGGTAGGGAAGTAAGAGGAATCGGCTGATGCAGTCGAGGCACCGCTGTCCTGCCGTTGGTGGGATGACACCTTGGGCGGCGGGTGGAGCGGCTCGCCGAGGTGATCTGTATCACTGGTACCGGTTCCGCTCCGGTCGCGCTTCCGCGAGGCAAACACCTCCTTCAAGTTATGCGTCCACGTCTTGCCGTACGTCATGACCACCTGCCTTCTGAACCCGCCCTCGCTCTCCTCGTGGTTCCCGCCGGCAGCTGCGTCCTCCTCCTGCTGCTGCGCCTGCATCTTGGCCGCCAGCTCCTTCATGTTCTGCGCCAAATTCCCCCCCGCAGAGCCTGGGCGTGCGGCATCAAAGTTAACCTTGGGAAGAGTTGTGGTGAAATCGCGAAATCGCGCGTACCCACTCGTCTCGATGTGGATATTGATAGCCGGATACCCACGTGGGTACTGTACAATGGGTAGTGCGTCTGGATGATTCGGATCGTGGTAAACAATCGTCGACTGGTATGAGGAGACCTTTCCAATGTTCCATTGGTGTCCTGTCCCTGGGTTGCGGCGAATAATGGTCAGCGAAAAGGGCGTGAACGGTTTCTGCTGTTTACTCCATGGTGACGGAGAGCGGCTTGGGGTCACTGGGCTCTGCAGCGCAGGGCTGTGGGTGGCGCGTATCTCGTCGAAGCTTCGCGGTGGAAGCATGGCGTCGAGGCGCAGTGGCGGGGCTGTTGGCCTTGGTGGGATGACCGGTCTCACCTCCTCAGGTGTTGGAGGCGTTACTGGTCTGACAGCTTCTGAAGGTGGAGGAGGCAGGTTTCCGACCAGCGATGGCGGGTCAGCCATCTGCCGTGGTCCAAGAGGCTTCCTGGCTATCGGTGCAGACGGAACAGGCACCTTGACAGGACGTGGTGGTGATGATGCTGCGGACAAGTCGGCTGGCTGCGCGAGGGTCCGCGTCGGGTCTCCTCCTCCCACTCCTCCCCCTCCCCCAATGGGAACATTCTCCTTGGTGGCCTGGAGCGATGGTTGATCGAGCGGTACGACTCTTTTCAGGTCATCGGTATTTATGCTGTCCATCGTAGGCGTCTCCAATACCGGTTGCTGGGCCACACCGGCGGATGTCGGCACAGGCTTCCTGATGATCCTGCGCTCCTGACTCCTGGTCGAGTCCATGCTTGCCCTTGGTGCATCTTCATGTTTGTGAGACCTTGGGGCCAGCAGTTCGTCTCCCAGATTATCCAGATGGATGTAATAAAGTGAGTTGGCCACATCCTCCCCCGTCACATTCTTCCTCTGTGGCTTGAAAGTTGACAAGATGACGTCTGACAGTTGACGTTGAGATGTTAGTTGACTGAACCCCTTTCCCCCCTCCTCTTCTGATCTTATGAGCGGGATGAGTGCTCACCGCGTGATCCAGGCACTCGTGATATATATAGACAGAGAGTTTCATGCCTTCCAACTGGGTTGATAGGGTACTGTGGAGGATGTGCAGCCAGCTGGTTGATGGCAGAAAGCGACTTGGCCTCGATTTGGGTCGGAGCCGCCATGACGAAGAATAACCACGACGACCGCACTTTGCTGAGAGCGCAGATGAGGGAGGTGGTCGATGTTGAGTAAGAATGGGGAGGCTTTTTCAATGAACGAGGCCAGTGGTCTGTCACTCGGCCCTGGCAGTCGGAAGAATTCCTTCTCAAGGTGTCTCGTATGTTGGGTTGTCAAGCTTGAGCTTTGCGTTTGGGTTTAGGTTGAGTTTGGGCTGCAGCAAATAATTAAGCTCAGTCTGGCAGCTCACTGCCACTAGCAGGTGGTTGGGGCCTGCAAAAGTGCCAAGTCGACGCCTCAGTCCAAGCGTCTGGGTCCTGGTGGGGGTCCCCTGCTTTTCTTTACTTTTTTTTTAGGGGCGGGTAGGGCCTTTTGGAGGCGCTGACGACGGGTGGTCCACCCCACTAAGCATGCCGGTAGAGGGGCACCCGTGGCAGTACTGGACACGTGCTGGGGTGCTGGCTCACTGCAGGCTCAGGGATAGGGAAATGCGTAGGGGACCCCCATTCAGGCTCCCTCAACTGTGTTTGAACTTTTAGTGTGCCTATAGTGGACTGGTGTCCTGCCCTGCTTGTCTTTCGATTGTCGGTGTCGTCGTTTGTTTTCCCCCTTCCTTTTTCTTCACTTCTTCCATCGTCGAACCGTGCAACAACGACAAACGAGACGGGACGAAGAAAAGCAAGCAGCACAAGGTGGCGCAGCAATATGCAGACTACCGAAAGGTGTACGAGATTTCGCGTCCAACGTGTCCAACGTGGTCAAATTCCAAGCCGCAGCCCGGGCGGCAAAAAGGCCTCGTCATCTGACGACAAATCTACCCAGGCACGCAGGCTTTGGGCAAGCACAGCGGAAGAACCGCGAAAAAGGGGGGCTGTGAAATAAGCAAAGCCGTCATAAACTTGCTTCTCACTTCAACTTTATTAATTCCACAGCAGCCAAGCAATATCCCATCTACCTAGCCTCCTCCGTTGGCTGACGATCTCAACAACCTTAGGATCCGAGAATCCCGAACTGACCATCTGTTAGTTACACGGACTCCTTTATACGGCCGGCACGGGCATGCCACGAGGGCGGATCCTGAAACCTTGTGCATTACATCACTCATCTCAGTTATCAGACGTCAGTCTCACCTGCCAAATCCCATCGAAGACCACAAGTGACGACCACAAGAGACTCACTCGTGTTCCTCGACCTATTCATTGATCGATTCATAGGCATGGGGCCAGCGTACCTTTTGTAAGGTCGTCAACCGTCCACAACTAATCACATACTTCTAAAGTGAACATGCCGAGGGACGAAACTGACATCGCGTGCAGCCAAAATCATGCATCTCAGCTTCTCTACCAAACCCTGAAACATTCTTCTAGGCTCAGCAGTGGATGTCAAAGCCAGCCCACCCACTTCCTCGTCGCTGATGGGACTCTGGGGCGGTGACACGTCGCATTTACGACAGGATGGCTTCCACGTGCGTACAGCATCACTTTTGGCCAGCTAATAATACGCTTCTTCTTCTGTTCTCTGTTTCATTTTTCTTACTCTCTTCTTTTTCTAATTAATTGATTCTTGCGCACCTTGCGAATCTCAGTGTCAGCAGCCACGTTCACGCCTCCTCGTATCCAAAGGGAACCGAGAGCGTCGCCAGTGAGACAGACGTAATGACTCTTCCTCAGACCTCTATATGCTTGTTGAAAACGTCACCGCAGGGCAGCACAAGGTCAACACAGAGAGGTGTTCATGGATTGTTGGACCCAATTCATAAAACATGACTGTGGCCACGGCCAGGTGTCAACATCTGTTGAAGCCACGACAGGAGATCCTAGCGGTATCGTAGACCATCTATCGTATTCTGATCCGTCATTGACTGCGCGATACCTTCTGCTCTTGTCCTCGGGAGAAAAACAATGGCTCTGTTTCTCACTTCAGACTCTAGCCACGAAAGCCAGTTCAGTATTGTTACCTCTGGCACAATCTCATTGTCACCTCGTCCATAGCAGTCGATTTGTTGCAGAACAGCACCTGTGTTAACCCACTCTTGCCATTCGGACAGCCTGATGACAGTCGTGAATGGGTGCTGCCGACAGCTTCAGAATGTTCAAGTTTGACGACATTGTTTTGCAACAGTCCAGACTAGAAACTCAGGATCGAATATGTATATATATCTACACGAAATTCATGCCTCACCAAGGAACTTTTCCCGTGTGTCATTCATCCTTCGCTACGCATACCACACACACACACTACGATACATGCTGTCGACACCGGCCGACCATCCACAGTCTTCGAACTGACCAACAGTTTTCGACCATGTCTCAACAACAACAATCTGCAGCCCCAGTACCCAACCCTAGCCAGGGGAGTGAGACCACTGCGGCTAACTTGATCAGCGACCTACGCAGACGCCTCGATGCCCACATCGAGGCCGGGGACCCGGGTGTACAAGCTGTCGCAGCTCTGGTGCTGGGCCTACCTTATTTCACCTCCCACTGTCCTGGCTACAACTTCATTCTGCGCCAGCCCAGATCCTTCATCGACTTTTGCAGGATCAAGACTCGCCTTGAGTCCCCAATTCCCCCTTATGAGTGGGATGATCCTCGATTCGTCACTGCGGAGGAATGGTCCGAGGACGCCATTGACATCCACCACTTCATCTATGTCCACCTGGTCACGCTCGGCCTGGTCAACGATCCCAGCTACCGCGTCCTGCTGCGGCAACCCACCCAGGGCCTCAGGACACCGCTTCCAGGAGAACTCACGAACGCACACTTCACGCCCACCTTCCTCTCCACCATGGTCGATCTCATGACCTCTGTCTCAGCGCCCAGCCCGGACTGCAATGTCTGGGGGTTTGAAATCCTGGGCAGACAGGAGGCTCTACGCCAAGTGGCTCGGGAGATGATCAATCCGGAGATGCGCTTTCTCCGGCACCCCAGAGTCAGAAGGCACGTTGCAACCCTTTGGAACAAAATCCGGCGATTGGACCTCTTCTCGCCTCCGGAAAGCCTCGTGGATGAAGCAGAGGCTGTGGTCCTCGCTGACCCTGACCGTCTGAGCTCGGTCATGGATGAAGCTGGCTTTCACGTCTTTGCGGAGATCGTCCGAAGCGATGACCCAAGCGATCGCGAAGCCTGGCACAGGTTCGCGGGCACGGAGGGATATGATGATGAGAGCCTTCCGGATGCTGATGATCGCGTCTCCCCTGACGGCGAGGACGAGGACATGCCTGATAACTCTGCATCTGACTCTGGCACCATGTCTATCGACGATGAAGCTGAACTTGACGTTGACGTTCGCAGAATCGAGGCTGTATATGCACGACTATGGCGAGAGGCTATTGAACTGTATCGCAACAACGACATCGACCCACCGAGCCCCACGGGCACTATCGCCGACTTCATTTTCCAGGACATCCGGGATCATGCAATGCAAGCTGGACTCACCGCTACCGATGCCATCGGCTTCGAAGAATTTGGTAACGTGGGCATGGACGACGAGCCGTTCCCAGGCTTCCAAGGCCGGTCCCCCTCCACCTCTGCAGCAACTGCACAGGTCGATGACGGCAACGACGGTGGGTCAGCTTTTGACTTTGACAACGAGTGCGTGTTCTGCACCTCGCAGTTCCTGGCTGATGGGGTCAATGCTGCTGACTTTCCCGACCATGAGCCCATGCGCAAGCTCCTCTGCGGCCACCTGGTCGGTGCTGTCTGCTTTGCTGCCTACTCGCGCAACGAGCGCTGCCCTTTCTGCTCCACTCCTACTCAACAGTGAGTGCTCATCTGTGGAAGAGACAAGGCATTACACTCAGACGGCACCTCGTAAGCGTGGGATTGATCGCTCTCTCAAAACCAGCAGGCCTGGCAATTTGACCGCTCTTTAAAAGAAGGGGGTGAAGGACATCTTCGATCCCCTGCACAATAGACTGTAGACTTCTCTCTTTGAGTAATGAAACTTTGATGGACCTTTGAACAAACATGACTTGCACCTAAATCATATTTCTCTCTTGTGACTTACCTTTCTCGAACTACTTACCAAGCCCAAGATAACTCAAAGGATTCCAACCACGCCTGCTGGCTGACAGCCAGACAGACAGTCAAAGACAGAGAGTCAGCTTGTTAATTGCTTTGTGTGTAATCGCCTTAATTGAATTTGGGTTCGTGGGAGTCTCGATTGGCACGGGTCCTCATCACAGGCCCTGGCTGCTCCGTCGCCGGACGTTCAGGTTTCGGCCCCCACACAGATTCCCAATTCTCATAAATTGAATTCGATCGCGATGGTTTACCATTGGTCATTCTCTTTCTTTTGCCTGGATAACTGGGCATGATACATGCTGCGGCCTTGCGAACGAGGCCAGCTCCTCCGCGGCCCACAACGCTGCTCGTCTATCCTCTGAACGGCCCCCGCGGTCGAACTGCCTGGTCCGGCCCGCAGCGGTGCTTGGAACTCTTGTTTCAAAACACAACGTATGGTCCTGGACGCTCAATCCAGAGATGCAGCCCCCATCTATCAAGTATCCATCTTACCCTGGTTCGGTATCCCAATGCGCCTGAGGCATAGCCCTCTGGACGGCCTGATGATGAGCAAGGCGTATAAATCGTCAGGCAAGAAAGCCAGGTGACCTCGTATTCTTGAATTCTCTTCTTTGTCTCTCTCTTCGTTTCCCAACGCACTATGTCAAGTACGAACGGACTCGACAATGGTCCTGATTAGCGTTCCCCAGCGGATAGACTGTTCTGTCCAGTGGCCCCGCGGTCCCACCGCAGGTCCCTGGACAGAACACCATATTCATATCAGCCAGGTCCCCCGCCACGAGAACTGGAAGCACGTCCTCGAGAGCAGTGACGTCTTTCACTGCTTCCACAAAATGTGCGCCGACTTCTTGGACAACAGCAGCCGTCGGAACCTGCCGGCTGATTTGGAGGACTTTGTGGCGGGCGAGCGGAAGGCCTATTTTAAAGCCTTTGCGGCTGCTCAGAAGAAGGTGAGCTTATAAATGAGGGGATTCCGTTCCACTTTTCTTTTTCTCTTTCTTTTTTTCTTTTCTTTCTCTCGCTGCTGGCCTGTGGTCAAAAACAAAACAAGAGAAACATTGTGCTCAACAAGATGACAGGTCCAGAAACGCAAGGTGGACACCGTCCGCCACGTGAGCTCATTCACGGAGAGGGTCAAGATGCTGCACTGTTACATGGACACCGTCCCTGCTGGGTGGGATACGCGGCGCACCGCCAGGACCAGGTTCCGACACGGTCCTGTGCTTGAGGCGTACGGGATCGAGCTTGGGGCGGAATATGCCTATCGATACGTGCGCCACAATAGAGTCCCTGGGAACGAGCGGGAGCGGCTTGCTATGGGCGACCAGCTGCGGGCTCTGGTGGGCGACTTGAAGATGTCTCGAGGGGTGGGGCGGCGTGTGGTTCATGGTGATAAGCGTGACGATGGGTTTGAGGGTGAGATGGATATGATGATCGAGATGTGGGCTCGTCGAAGCATCGTATCGGAGTAGGCGACTGTAAAAACTTCAAGTTTCATGTATTCAAGATTTGTACCTTAGTGCCTTTGTGCGGCATTCAATGCAGACATTCTCCTCTTGGGTCTTATGAAAATGTTGAAAGAGTCTGAAAAAGCCTCTTGATTATTTTCCAAGATGTAGCTTCATTGGCTCATCTACTGGATTAGAACTCAACTCAATAATGGGTACTTTGTGATGGGTTGCGCTTCGACTCTATTCGTATCCCCTCATCATCCGCATATGATACAAATTGTACCGAGAACAAACTGGTGGCGATGAAATGTCCAAGCTTGAACACCATTTGGCCTTCTCAAATAGCAACTTCTGCTTCCTTTTCAACTCCAAACTCATCCTGGGATAGGTCCGGCAGGTGTTTATAGGTATGCGGTCAGCATATTCTTGTGTATCTATTCTATAGGCTCGGTATATGCTGCAGTTGTGGACCAGCGCCATCTTGTAATCTCGGCTGCCGGCATAAATGGGTTCTGGTTACTCAGACGATTCTAAATGTGCAGAAAAGTGATTTTCCACCTCTCGGGTGAAATCTTGCAAGCTGCGCGTGCCCACAGGCATCAGAAGTGTTTGTCTGCAGGCTAAGTTGGAGGGAAAACAACCGGAGACGGTTAAATACGACTGACCACTCGCAGCGCAGCTGGCAGTTGTACCCTGTGTTTGTTCTGTGTACTTCCATACAAAGCATCAGCAAGGGCCCTGAACACTTGAGCCGCTAATGCTCAGAATACCAAGACTGTGCTAATTTATCCTGGGGAAATCTGGGGTTTCCTTCAGGTTATTCCGTACAGCCGGTTCGCCAGAGCCCGCATAGATGGGGCAAAAGCGAATTAGCTAGCAATGCATAATCATGGCAAGCTAGAAAAACTATGACGCTCGTACTCTTCTTTTGTTGCAGTGTACTATTGTTATTACTATATGAGAGCCTGGTCGCTGCCTCCCGTCAGATGGCGAGTTCGAAGAGCAACTGGACTGTCGACTTTCGTGAACTCGGCATGACTCCTCTCATCGACAGTGGCCGCATGGCTCTGTCCGCGCTTGCAATGACTTTTGCGGGGCTTGTCCAGGCTGCACCGTATCCAAATTCATCGTATTCCAACGCCGATACGTCCCTGACATTTGTGTACCAGAACAATCTGAATGCCTCGGACGATGTCAACCATGTCGGTGCCATCCTGTTAGACCCTGCATCGCAAGACGTCGGTGCTGCACGATGTGCTGCTCTTGGGGAATCTCTTTTGGCAATCTCTACCCTCGATACTCATACCGACGACTTTGAGCACGCCTTGTCGTATCTCGCATACGCCGGGCTGGTAGATGACAGCCAGAAATACTACGTACAGGACGGGGTGTTGTCTGTGACTTACTCGTCAGGAGGCAGCCCTGGATTCTCGACCAAAAAAGCCGACAATGAAACTCGGCCGCTGCCCATTCTCTGCACTCAATCAAGTTCTCAAAATGAGCCGACGACCGCTGTGGCCACCGTTTCCAATGAACTGAGAATCTCGTCTGCTGGAAATACTTATGTGGGCTTCCGCAACCAAAAGTCTTTCCGCTTCCTCGGGATTCCCTACGCCAACCCGTTCGAGCGCTTTGCATACTCAACAGTGTACAATGCTACTGGTCAGACGATCAACGCCACGGAATACGGTGCGGACTGCGCGCAGGCTGGCTCTACTGGCTCACAGGAGGATTGTCTGTTCCTGAACATCCAGACACCTTACATCCCGCAGGCTGGCTCCACCGACAACCTGAGGCCGGTCCTGTTCAGCATCCATGGCGGCGGCTTCACTAGTGGCAATGGCGGTGCCAGTTCCGGATTAGATGGAGGAAATCTAGCATCCAGAGAGGATATCGTCTCAGTGGAACTCAACTATCGCCTATCGACTCTTGGCTTTTTAGCTATTCCTGGAACAGATGTCAAGGGCAACTTTGGCATTGGGGATCAGGTGACAGCATTAGAAGTGAGTATAAGCCCCTTACTCTCTTTGAAGTCTAATGCCGCGAAATCAACAAGACACTGATGCATGCTTGTCTTACAGTGGGTGAAACAAAACATTGCTTCTTTCGGAGGTAACCCCAATAAGGTCACAATCATCGGAGAGTCCGCTGGCGCAGGCTCCGTGCGCACATTGCTCGGATCTCCGCCTGTGATCGAAAACACTCTCATCTCTGGTGGTGTTTCTCAGTCCAACCTTGGAGGTGGTAAGGCTCTCGGGCTGGATGGAGACTATGCCACGACTTACAGCTCTTACTACACCATTGAGCAATCGTACGAAATAGCCGGGCAGCAGATCATTGAAGCTGTGGGATGCAACGAGACGGACATCGAAGACCAGATCGCGTGCCTGAAAGCCGTGAACGCGACCACCATCGTCAATCTCTCCACGGTTGCGAGATATGTCGTGCAAGATGGCACCTACGTCAACACGGAGCAGCTCATTGTCACGGAGAAAAACGGCAGTCAAGCCTTCGTCCCGATCATCTTTGGCACGACCAACAACGATGGTGCCTCGTTTTGTAATTTCCCACTAAACACAACAACAAGCGAAGCTGAGGGCATCGCATACTCGTTAGATATCTCTCAGGATCAGGCCCAGCGCGTGATTGACAGTGGGCTCTTCCCATACTACGATTCGGGTAACCTTACTCTCGACACCTTCAACGTCTCGCAGCGCGTCTCAACCGACCTGCAGTTCCGCTGCATCGACGAGGCTACTGTCTTCGCTGCCGCTACCTCAGGGGCAGTCCCCGTTGCCTACTACTACAACATAGATCGAACATACGAGGGATATGACCCGCTCGGCCTAGGTCCGAGTTTGAACGGTGGAACTGATCCTGAAGGAAACTACTTCAGGCTTCACGGTAGCGACCTCGGCTTCACCTACGGCAACCAAGATCCGCTCCGCGACGAGCGTGACCTCCAGGCCAGCCAGCTCATCAGCGGATACTACGCCGCGTTCGCAAAGACGGGCTCGCCGAATCCTGATGAGGCGTACCTGAACGTACGTGGCTATACGAGCACGCTCGAGGCTGTACGCCAGACAGGTACTTGGGATCCTGTCTCGGGTAATACTGGGCCCGCGAAGAATCTGGACTATCCATCGCTGACGATTGATTTTCCCGAGACTCGTCAGTGCTCGTTTCTGAATTACAGTCTGAGCTACTATCTTGACGGCGGCTCTTAAGTCATTGTATTTGGTATTTAGTATTTACATTAAAGCTGGAAAATGAAGGCATTCAATTATCTTTACTTTTGGAACATACATTATATGATAATGCGAGTCACTAGGCATTTGTTCTTCAACAGCGTACATGCAAAGTACTTAGCAGAATGAAGTAACTTTTGGTATTCTCTCTTTAGAATGTAGGATTCTATGTAAATATCTGCCAAACGAAGGGGCTCAGCCGTCAGACCAGAACCCAAGATAAAATTTATACAAAAGAAAAGTGTGGTGACAACCAGTGTAAGCATAAACACTTAGCAACCAGATAATTATATCCACGGTGTGCGCTTATTCATAGATCACGCATGCTGTTTCCGTCCCTCAAGAACGTCAGAAGCTCGTCCATATTGAGTGTTTCGGAACCATCCTGGCCTCTCCTCACATCCATATCAGAAGCATTGCCGCAGTAGTAGCCATCATCCGAGGATGTCGCTCTCATGCTCCGAAGACGTCGGGTCTTCTGTTCCGTGCTGAACTGCCGCGTGGGAATGCTTGCGTAGTTGGAGTCGGGGAGCGAGACGGGTCGCCGCCGTAGTCGCTCCTCCTGGCAAGGCGTGCTTGGAAGTTCATCTGCGTGGGAATCGGCACTCATTTGAGACTGTGGAATATGACGAGCTGTCATCTCTGCTCGACCCATTCTTCCCAGGGGGGATTCATTAATTTGAGTAGTCAAGGCACGAATCTCTCTCTCAAAGGGTGCTGCTGGTATACCACAGTCGCCGCTCAAGGCCCGCCTTCTTGGGATTTCCACGGATGGCGGGCTACTTGAGGGCAGTCTCAGCGGTGCCACGTAGAAGGGCTTGATTATTGGGGAGTCTCGACGAGTATATGCCTTGCGTGTAGGTCTGTTATGGTAAGCGGCCGGGGGGAAAGTCGAAGAAGTCTTCTCACAGATCGGACGCCTGGCTGGCCACTCGATGCTAGGCCCGTATGAGTGGGTAGTCTCGCACTGCCGGGCGCACAGTGCTGCCGGGGGCAAGTCAAAGTCATCATAGCCTTGATAGTCTACAGGAGTTGCACGTTCAAAGGCTGAGACAATGGGTGACTGATCACAGTGGCGAGAAGCATCTGCAACACTGTCGAACCCAGAGTCCAAGGACCATGAGAATGAGCTGCAGCTGTGTTCATCGCTCGGAACAGGAGCAGGAATTGTGGTTACAATCTTGCAAAGTGCCGAGGCGGTGTGGTCGAGGTCGGTTAGATGGCGGTCGACAGCTAGGGAGATGGAGGGATCAGAAAGATAGGCGTCATTAACGCTTGTTGTGATTCCCCCGGGTCGGCTATACTGTACTGCCAGGGTGTCCAGATCATCTAGGGCGCCCTTGGCAGTCTCGAGCTTTGCTCTCAGGCGGCGGAGCTGTGCCTCAAGAGACAATGGCGTTGTAGTGACGCTGCCTTTGCGCTGGGTCTGGGTCTGGGCCCAGGGCTCAGTGCTTTGTGCACAGTTGGTATTTAGGTTTTGGTGTTCATCATTGGTGCAACTGCCTTGTCTCGCCTTCAAGGACCCGCGATGCAAGGCCGAGTTACGGCGGGTCTTCTCAATAGATGCCGAGTTACCCATCCTTGAGATCGTTGTGGCAGGATAACCTAGCGACACTGAGAGAAGATGGAGATGAGACAGGACCTGCCCGAGGTAGCCGAAGGAGTTAGGGGGTGTAAGTAGATCTCCAAGGCTGTTGATTGTTGTAAACTGACCTTAGAGGCTGGTATGTAGTGAAAGACTTCGAGGACTGCCTCGTTTATATATCTTTCGATGGATATTGCGTGCGTAGTGGTTTAACAGCATTGTGATAGGATAATGCTATTGTTACTTGTAGCGACCCAATGTCATTGTGCAAGCCATTCACCCAGAAGAGATAGATTCTTTGTTCATTGGGGCCAATACGTCTTAGATTCAATCAATTTCTTCACATTAAACTCCCATTGAGTGACTGAACAAAGCAATAGCACTTGATGAATTGCTTGTATGGATGCTAGCGTTCGGATTGAACCAGTGCGCAGAATCTCCCTGTCTAATTAGATCCTTTCTTACCGGGCTGGTGATATCCCTCAGTTCAACAACTCACGCATCTGCAGCTCAAACCACGATGTCAACTGTTATTGACAAATACACCTCTTTTTCACGCTTGGGTCATCTTTGTCTGCATCGTACTTCGGCCAACAGCAGAAACACCACATACGAAACTATCTATGCAACGCATTATACGCATTGGCCCTTGAGACGGGAGCAATTTCAGCTCTCACAACATGTATATATCCGGGATTGGAGCGGTGACTCTACCAGAATGTTGACCGGTCAACGCCGATTTCGTTCAGTTTTCTTGTCGAGACTGGCAGTTCAGGGAGACAGCCCAGCCGGCCGTGTGCTTAGGACGAGCTGGGCGCGTGTTATTCCAGTCACCGTCTACCTTCAAATTACAGACTCTGAGGCTACTCGTGAGAAGTTTAAACGACCGGCGAGGCTCGTCCGCCCGACTCAGGAATAAAGCAAGTCTCCTGTACTCCCTTAACTTGTAGGACGAGAACTGATACCATGATAAAACTCCTCGAAGAGTATGGACCATATCTTTCAACAGCGGGTTCAGATGACTGGGCACATCACCGCAAGGTTCTCGTAGCATAATCTAAAGAGAGTACCATGAATGTCGCCTGGAATGAATTACTTCACCAAGCCGAGGGTATGTTGACATATTGTGATACCTTCGAGATCAACACTCCAAGTGCGCGACACGATCTCAAGACCCTTGCAATCGACGTCCTTGCCGCGATGGCTTTCAAGAAGTCATATGATTTTCGTGGATCTTCCAACATCCAGGACGACAACAGCAGCTACCGTAATACGCTCCAGACTGCCCTCGATAACGCAATTCTCATTATGCTCATTCCCTACAGGTATCTCAAGGGCCCACTCATCCTAGACAAGCTAGTCAAGATCGGCGATGCTGCAAGGTTTTTAAAAGCCATATGAAGGTTATGCTAAAAAGATGAATGCTTTATGCGAAATCAGAGCCAGGTCTGGTGGCATGATGAGTTCCTTCATTCGCGCCCCTAACATTCATGCCCGAGAAACCGCAACGTCACCGGAAATTAGGGCCAGTAAAAATGGCAAGAAAGGGCTATCATTTGATGAAATCTTGAACAATATTCTCATACTCAACTTTGCCGGTTATGATACAATTACCAACGCTCTGGGATTCGCTCTATACCTCTTGGCTATACATCTGCTATACATCCCAAAGTGCAAGACTGGCTAGCCGAGGAGATTACAACTACCATGGGAACCTCAGGCAATTCGGCCGAGGAGAAGGATGTCTTGAATGCAATATCGTTTCCTCACAGCTGGATTGGAAATTCGTCCTAAGACAATTTTCAGGCATGTATAGCGAGGCATTGACTAAATCAAACATCAAAATAGTCCTGGGTATTATCAAAACAACTGCACCATGCTATCATGGTGTTTGGTAAGCAAGACGCCCATACTCCGAACTCCACTCCTACTGCCTACTTAAAACATGTATAGGGCAATGCATCAAAGCCGTGCCTTCTCCAAATTCTGCTATGACAACGGCTAGTCATCTTCCGCTGGCATCCATGGGAATACGTGTGTAATCCTCCGACCATTCGGAAGTAGGTCACGCCTCTCATTGTGCTGCTCCGCCAGCTCCTGCTCATGATGGATGCCCCCATGAAGAGAGAAACGCTCCTCTTCTTTCGTATCAGCCGAGTACTTGGCCGTCTTCTCCTCCTCATGCGACTGCTCATTATCGTCGGCCCAGGGCATCCGCGGCGCCTTGGTGGGTGTCGAGTGCCCGGACTCATCCGTCCATACCGCGGTAGGCGAGCTGGAGCTTACAGGGCTGATGGCGACCTCGTGCATGTGACGACCAGCTACCTCTCGCTCGTAGTCCTCCTCATCCTGCTCGTCACCTATGAGGAACTGTGGCGAGTTCAGCAGGCCAGGCCCTCTTGCACCAGGCGATCGTGCCTCAAGGTGGTGTTCCTGTCCAGACATTTGGCCGCGCATGGCCATATTTGCGCTGGACTGGTACCCGTTTACGTTTGCCATATGCTGGCCCCGCCTTGGTTGACCTGCACCAGGGAGAGAGCCGTCCTGGAACACCTCGGTGGTGATCCCCTGTTCGTCCTGCCAAGAAAACCGGTCCTGGTCGGCGATGGCATTGGTCTTGTCAGCGTGGCCCTTCCACGCGTTGAAGTCAAGACACTTCTCCTCGTCCTTGTCATCATCGCCTCGGAGCGTGGGCGTCGAATCGGCGCTGCCTCGGCAGCCAAAGTCCAGCTCGTTAGGTGTCGCGTCTGCTGATGCGTGCACGCGGCTCCGCTTGTTGCACAGCAAGGCCTCGCATGCACCGCCGAGGCAGCAGAGCACCAGGACACCGACCATGATACTGAGGGAGATGACTACGATCTCCCAATTGGACAGACCCGAGGCAGTGGATATGCCTCCACTGGAGTCGCGAATGTCATGTTGTCGTTCGTTTTGTTGCAGTTCTGGTTTGGGTAGGCATAGCGAAGGGGTGGTTAACAACCCGAGCACCAAGGCGGTGACAGGTACACCTCGGGACATCGTGCAGGACGAGAGTTTTCCAATGACTTATTTTTCAAAGTATCTGGTTGTGTAAAGGGATGGAAGCGTCGTAGGCGTCCAATGATATCTGCATGTGAAAGTTCGGTTTTCAGCGCGTCCAAGTGGACGGCGATTGCTGGGAGTCAATTGACAAGTACTCTCGAACAGCATCGCAATTTTTTGAGTGGAAGACTTCCACTTTTACAGTCTTTAGATTTCTTTGTGGCCCCTCAGTTCATTCAACGAAAGAAAGACTCTGTCTCGTTGTTTCATCTCCGAGACTGTCCTCGAACGTGTTTGCGGTCTGGAGTCAGCATGGCCTGGGTCTTGTGTAGAAAACACGGTCAAGAAAGAGTAGACAGAACGATGGGCGGGACCAGTCCTATAGACCTCTTCATTTGGCCATAGCAAAAATCCTTGATGGTTTTCGGTCGCGGTCTGATACGGAACAGACGGTTGCTGACAAGCGGCCCGAGCAAAGTGCAGGTGGTTGCTGACGGGGCCTGAAGTTCGGCCGTGAGACGACCTCCGCAGTACAGGGCGAAACACCCGACGTATGGCCCCCGTCAGTAGCAAGGGGGTTAGATGCTAATTGGAAATTACGTCGTTCATTATTGTTGCTGCCATAGTCTGGCGGTCGATTGCCAGTCTATGTTCAGGGTGGGCGTACCGTTCCATAGAATCACGGCGCATCAATGGCTTAGGTTCTGCTCTAGTTACTAATTATTGACTAAGTGTGAAGCTCGAATTAGTATTCATCACTGCTGTCATATTGATCAAGTGCGCGCTTCGTGTATGGAGGAATGAAGAAACAAAATGAGAATGGAGGTGACAGTGTAAGGTATGCTTTTCTGGTACTCAAGTTCTAGGTTTCAGCAGAAAAGTATATCTTCCTCATCACCCAAAGTCCAAGTTATCCAGCCCTCATACTCTCAGCATCACCTAACTGTCTCAAGAAACTACCCAGCTTCTTTAGCCCGGCATGAAAACTAATTTTCAAATTTCTGCCACCGGTCCAGGGATGTACTTGTTCTGCCTTCTCTACGTAGTCTTTTTGATTTATACAGATAGAGTCCTACCAAAGAGCACGCGCTCTGGCAGGCTTGCGAGCGTGACGAAGGGAATTTCGTAGGCTAACGGTGATAAACAGATGGTTCCCGTCACAAATGATTGATTCGGTTTGATCTGGCGTGCTCTAGACCTATGATATGGCCTTAAGAGATTGGGTCGCTGAGTTGGAGACGACGAGGCTGCAAATAACAGGATCCTGGCCTTCTCCGGGAAGGAGAAGCAAGTATCGGATCCATGGCCCCCGAGGAAGTATGTCTCAGACGTACCCGTCAGATACTTTTGGAGAGTCCTGATTCTCTCGTGGCGGACCCAAGGCCATTCTATCCGGCCAACTCATTGTTGGTACAGTTGGAAGCATATTTACAGTCAGTACTTACGAGTCAAGCAGGCGATCAGTACCAGCTCAAAAATTGAACCTTTGGGTTGATCTGCGCGGCTGGACTATAGTACGATACTGCACCGTGAATTGACAAATGAGGGGCAATCAAAGGATACGGATGGGGGGCAGGGGGGGGGGAATCAACATTTCCTTGCCTTCTAGTCATCACGTGAGCTCCAAGCAGATCTGCCAACTTTTCCCCCTCCAAGAACTTAAAAAGGGTTTAAGATATACCACACACTCACACACACTCAACGGCTCGATGTCATAATCATGAGCATGAGCAACCCTCGGTAACGAATCCAGATTGAGCAAGGCGACTTCTGAAACTACTTCACGCGACCATAGCTGCTGGCGCTTCTTTTTGCTTCTCTTCCCCGCGTTCATCCTGCCGGCGGGGAAGCCTGGAAATGGATGCCACCCCCGCGGACGATCCCTCGGTTCCGTACGGTCGATCTTGCATTTCTACAGTAGTCGGCTGCACCTAGATTGCCATGTGAATGAAGCCCTGACGTCGACATTGAGGAGGCAGGAGAGTGCACGCACGTGGTAATTACAGGTTCCTTGACGGGACTGCTGTGCTTTACTTTCCCCAACCAAATTGGGATGTCTACACCGCTAACACGTGCTATATAGCACAGTACTATGGTGTAGTGAGTTATAATACCAGCCTGTGTGCCAAAAATTGGGGAAACAAAGGTCGACGTCACGGAGGCGAGGGTCTGTTTTAGTCTGTTGATCGTCCTGCAGACCCGCAGCAAGCACCCCCTTATCAATTGACACTCAAAGAGTCAGAAACATGTGGGCGGATGGCTCTGCAATTTTATGATTGCGATGATCATGAGCTGAAAGTCGTGCTTCGGATGAGACGGACCACGGAAATCCCCACTGAAGATCGTAGACAATGGTGGACGAGTACAGACTATTATGTTAGTACTTTGGCGCTACCAAAACGACCATTGAATGAAGAATTGATGGCAGGTTTTGGACGTATCCTCAAGCTGCAGAGTTGGACGATCAGCAATGAACCTAAGCGCGTTGCATTCAAGATTTTTAATGTTGAATGTCTTCACTTTGGAAACGTAGACAACGAAAATCCAGACCGCAACCTTGCCATGGCGTACTACTACTGATGGTACAACACATAGGCAACTCGCTACAATTGTTTATCGGCGGAGATCCGATCCGGGAAATTCTGTGGCGCTGCCTCGACGGGTCGGCACAGCAGCGCCGGGCCTCCGGGTGCGCTGTTCTCCCCACTGGAGCTCCAGGATCGTGCCTGGGCCACGCGTCAGTAGCTTCTTCAGCTTTGTCGTCCTAGCAGCTTGTCAAATCTCATCAGCCTGTCGTGGTCACGCCATGGTGTGGTGGGGAGTGGGTACGCCGAGCCCAAGCCATCGCTTCTCTATTGAGGCCTCTCTTTAAGGCCAAGACTTGCTCGGACGCGACCGGCAATAAGAATCTGAAAATTGGGTCGAGGATCCCAACTGTGATGAAGTTTGACATCTTGAACGAGGAGGCATAGGACGACCATTCTAGAGTCCAGTCCGCCAAGAGGGCTGGGCGCGGAGAGTCAGAACCGCTGACAGGATTGACCTGACTCCAACGTTTGCTGGTCGCCCATAAGTTCGACCCTGACGCACTATCATCGGCGTGCAGAAACTCCGTAGCCTGCACAAAGGGCCTCTTTCCTATCTCCGATGACAAGTCAGCATGGCCCGTTCCACTGTCTCACAACACAGGTGGGCTGAGGAGCAGTAAGAAGGAACCGAAAGGGCGTAGCTATCATTAGTGGAGAGAAAAAAAGGCTTGACTGATAGGACAAATTGCGAAAGAGAAATGGATCTCGGTAGCTACCGTTAGTTTTAGTCCGACAGCGTGGTACGCTACACAGATAAACAAACGACTGAATAGTAAAAAGTATATTGTGCCACAGGCAGAAATCGTGGTACCAAAGTACCTATCGTTCTGTCGCGGCAGCGCAGGCAGGCCGGAATCTAGAACCTGGCCCACGTGCACATTCCGGACCGTCCATCCCAGGGCAACCCCCCATCAACCTGTCCGCTGCAGGTAGGAGTCTGGAGTGGTCTGCAAAGCAGGGCCACACACACTAAGACGAAGGGCTGCATATACAGTAGTCAGTCGCCTTCGCCGCCGCACCAATAGTCAAGAGGAAGCTGACCACCTGGTACTATGTATGCAGTGCACGGTGGCGGCCACTCGCGATGGAAGGAAAGGAGAAGGACGACTCATAAACACACATGTCCAGAATTCACTACCACCAGCCTTATCAGGAAGCACGTACGAGATCCCGATTTTATGAAACTGCGATTGGATGGGTTGGGCGCCCCCATCGGTAGCCGAAAAGGTTATGTTGCCCCGCAAAAGATCTCACCGTACTGAGGTAATGAGGGTACGCATGCGCGCTCAGGTACTATGGTAGTAGCAGTAGTACCTTAGTACTATAGTAAGTGCTATGGTAGCGGTAAGTGGGGAGGACCGACGATCACATGAGGAGAAAGAAAGCGACAGAGGAGAGAAAAAAACAAGAGGTGAATGTGATTCCTCGGCTGTGTAGCCCCGTCTCTCACTGGTTCCACCTACATCGACACTCACCAGCCGGGGCCGGGGCAGAGGAAGGGGTGGACGCGCCATGTCCACCATTACGACAGGTCGAGGTAGATCCAAGATAGTAGGCGGTATTCCAAGGTCGATGGGATTGTCCGCATTATGGTCCTCTGCAGTTTTGGAGGGGCTCAATGGAACCCTTTCCCCCTTGCTGATTTTCTTTTAATACACGCAGAAACATGGAGCGAGAGGATGTGAAAAGACTTGTTCATGCGAGTAATGCTTTCATTTTGTAAGATGGCACTTAAAAGCGACTATCGAAATCAGTACCTGAGAACGCTGGCAGTAATGTCATGCTATCGTAATATGAAGTGAGAAGAGTTAAAGGCACAGAGAGGAAGAGATGGTTTGCGGAGAATTAAGACAGCTTTTTCTAGAGCGGGGCAATATGCCGATCAAATCCCCTGTTCCTTGGGGCGAGGGGGCCCTTGTCTGTCCTCCTCATCCTCCTCCTCACTCTTTCGGCCCCCTCTGGCCCCCGTTCTCTCTCTCTCCTTCCCTTGGCACGCTCGCCACTTTGTGCGCCGAGGCCCCCGTTCGTCGATGGTTTACCTTTTCGTAAGGACCCTGGTTCCTGGGCCTTGCTTGCCTTCGACGTCACGCTAGAAGAGAGCGGGCCTGGTTCGCTGGTTCGACACCCTGACGCTGCACTGCAGCACCGTCGAGCTGCCGCTTTTTGCTCTCCATGTGCTATAATGCTATGGCCGATCCAGATATCCCCATCCCAGAACGGATACTGGATCGTCGACTCCGTACCTACTCTGGTACCCTTGTGTGGAGGACAGATGGGGTTTGTCAATGTGACCCTGCATCCAGCTCAGCCTAGTCAAACCATCGTGCCCTGCTGATGTAGCAGTAGAGTAAAAAGGCTGTGATGCCCCCCTCTAGACGTGCTGATAAGTCGTACCTAGAAAGTTCTACCCACACCTCTGGATCCTTTTTCCTTTCGTCTTCCCTTTTTCCAATCCTGGCTGCCATCCTCCTCTCAAAAGAAAAAGAGTGGCAGGATACGACAATTTTGACAAATACCTAGCTCCAGTATTTACTGGTAAACAGAGAATAAGAGCCAGCAGGCCGTAGCTGGTAATGCACAGCGATATGGATTTAATGTAGGCACCGTTCCCTGCCCCCCCCCCCCACAATACTCAACAACCCGCCAGCGAGTCTGTGCTTTGGCGCACTCCCATTACTGGTTGTCACCACAAACACATACCATTGTTGCGCGTCAATGTATTGTAGTGGAAGGTCGTACCTTGGTTCAAGGAATCATTGTTGTTAACACATTATTGTCGAACCTTATAGATCCATAACCACCGGCTGCTTTGCGGCGAGCAACGCCATCTCCAAAACATCGCCTGCCCTGCGCCTCTTCATCCGAGGCGTGCGAGAGGCACGGGTTGAGCTCGATGCCACCCTGGCCGAGATACAGTCACTAGACGGCGTCCTAGACATCCTCAAGGATGATGCTACCTCATTTCCGCCGGACCTGGCAAGGCGCACGCCGGCGCTGCTCGAGCACTGCACGGCTATTATCAACCAGATCGAGGGATATATGCACGTCTGCAATGGCCTGGGTCTGACGGCGAGGGAGAAGAAGTTTAGGTGGCTTGCCATCAAGGGTGACATGGTGAAGCTGAGGTTTACTCTGGAGGGATACAAGTCCATCTTGGCTGTCGTGACGGACCTGGTCGGCCTGTGTGTTTATCTTCTCCTTCTCCTTCCTTCCCTCCTTACCAATGTTTCCTCGTTGCACACACTGCTGGCAGCAGAGACGCTGACTTGTATTTCTTCCATGTCCATTCACACAGAACCAAATCTAGAAGGGATAACGACGGGCTTTCCGTTTCCAGCGACTCGTCCCGTTACCTCGAGGCCGTGGAGAATCAAGCAGCCGCGAACGACGACATCAAGAACGATCTGACCCACATCATGGCAGATATGGGCAGCCTGCGCGGCCGTCTTCAGGGCGACTTCCGCTCCAACTACGCCGTGTCGGACCTCGAGAGCTACTTGGATGCCATGCAGCTGCACGCCACCAACCTGAACTACCGGATGGAAGCAGAGAGGCTCGACAACGCAGAGGAGGGCGCTCTCCCGCGTATTCCGCGCAGGGCGGCTGGGCGCGAGGATCATCGACACGCTTCTGCAGGATCCAACTCCTCCTCCCTGGGTGATGAGCCGGACAGTGCTATCGACATGAACGACGGCCCTCCATTCCCAAGCCCGAGATCGCCGACCAGAGAGAAAGAGCCCAGCCTACGGTCTACCTCTGCGCCATCTCACTCAGCCACACAGGACAGAGACAAACAACCGCTCCCCATTTCTGAGATTGACGAGTTTCTTGACGAGCTTGATGGCGAGAACAACAACGCAAACCGCCCACCGACGCCTCCTCCAAGGGCCAAGCGACGCAGCCACTCACCCTCGCCGACAGACCAACAGTACGAACCCGGCACGGCCTTGTCTTCTTGTTTCTCGGACGGCACCCTCCCTGGCATTGCACGACCGTCTTCAGTGGCGCGCAGTGTGAGCGAATACAGCGCTGTGGTACACGACTCCGAGGGCAACCCTATCGTGCCCAGGCGCATGAGCTCTCTCCTCCGCCGAGCCGAGTCTGATGGCGATGCCGTCTCCACGCTGGGCGATCTGTTGGTCATCCGGCCTCCCTTGAGCGATGCTGGGTATGATGGCTTGGATGACAGGGCCGTCATTACCACGACCATTGTTGGAGGTGCAGCGGCACGAAGTAACAGCAGCCTGGGGGATATCAACAGCAGCCATACCAGAAGTAACAGCAGCCTCAGCGGTGCAGTACCGTCGTCCATCCAGGAGAGCAGGATCGGGAGGAGTAATAGTCGATTGTTTGGGCGCAAGAATTCCTTTAGCGTGCCCGCTCGATCCACCAGACCTCAGTCGAGCGCAGCCCTCATGTCGCCTGCTCTGAAGACCCACGAAGAGAACTCAGTCATGGGAATAGTCTCAACCTCGACGGCAACAGCAACAGCCAACAACAAAACCTCGATGGACACGATCAACACCACGACAACACAAGGCGGCAGCAGCAGCAGCAGCCAACTCCGCCCGCCCACGGCAGCATCTTCCAAGGCAGGCAGCGTCCGCAGCACCAGCTCCCGCCTCTCCTCTGTGTTCCATCGCCTCAGCAGCTTCCGCCGCCCACGCAACGAGGTGAACACCATGGCCGCGACCGCCGTTCTCGAAGAAGATGCCGAGCCCGACGATATCTTTGGCGTGTCGCTCAAGAAGTCAATGCAGATGGCCTCGGCCAGCGTGCGCACCCACCACGACGGGTCCAAGGCCTCCTCGCGGCGCGAGTTCCCGCGCTGCGTCTTCATGTGCGTCACCTTCGTCAAGGAGAACGGCGGCGTGCGCGTGCCGAATATCTTTGGCGGGGACTACTCGATCGGGTGCGGCAGCGACAGCATCGTGCGCGTGGCCGCGCTGAAGGAGGCGTTCAGCACGGCGCCGTATTATGGCGAGGGCAATATCGACTGGAGCGCACATGATGTGTACGATGCTGCCGAGCTGATCATCCTGTTCCTGCAGCAGCTGCGCAAGCCTCTCATCACAGAAACCGTTGCCAAGCGGTGGATTGTCATGTCCAAGCAGGCCACCCTGCCTGGGTCTATGGGCATGCGCCTCGACTCGTGCATCGACTTCTGGGATGAAGCTCTGCTCGGGATCAGGGGCCCTGCGAGGAGTTTGTTCAAGCTGCTGCTGAACCTGTGGGGCGACGTGGCGGATGCTGCGGAGTTGAACGATATGACGGCCGAGAGGCTGGCTTCGAGACTGCTCAATCCGCTTATGCATCTGCCTGCGGGCAAGTACACGACGGATTATATGCTGGGTCTGGCGTTTCTGATTCGCAAGCGGAGCGAGTATGCCATCATGCTGAGGGAGGGGAGGAAAAGTCATGCTGCGTTTTGAAAGACAGGGCTATGACGTGGCGAAGTAGAAGCAGAAAGGGTGCTGCCCTCTTGCACGGCTGACTGGTCTGGTGATTCTCAAATAGCTTCATCTGCTCACCTCCTGAGTCCTGTGGCTGCAGTACATGGACGCCCAAGGAGGAAGACGTCACACTCTTTGGCTCAGGCTCTTGTCTACAGCGATTCATGCCTCAGCTGTGCAATCGCTTGCCACAGCATACCATTCTCTGTTGTCGTTTTTCTTTACTTTTTCTCCCCTTCGTTTTTCCTTTCAGCCCTTGTCTTTACTCTAAAATATACCCTCTCACGTTCTTTTGGATTTTGTTTACTTCGTCCATAGGACTGATAGCACGAGATACCCACAATGCAATGTATGAAACCATGTCTTCGATGCTGTCCTAAATTATGAATAATGCTCATGTAATCAACGAGGTGCTTTTGAACCATGCTGCCCCATAACGAGCAAGTGTGTCCTTATAGATCTTCCATCCAATCAATTCTTCGTACTCTGATTCATTGTATTGGGCTTAGTTTGTGCCGCGATGCTGTAGTTTAGTAATTGTTCATGACTCACTAGCCTCGTCAGGGGTAAGGTCTGGACTTGTTCGCTCGCATGTGATTTTGAAACCTTCCCAAGATCCAACGTGAGCCTCAGCAACGAAGGTACTGTCGCATGAGCTCGCACCGCCAACATCACTCAAGATGGACTCCTCGACGACATATCGCCTAGCAGGTGCCGCCCTCGCCGTGACCATACCAGCTGTTTACTTTTTCAACCGGTCCAGAGGCCAACGACACCTACCTAAGGAGGAGCGTGTCCTCATCCTCGGCGCGTCGAGCGGCGTAGGCCACACCATTGCCAAAAAGTATGCCCAGCGCGGCGCCAAGGTCTGCGTCGTCGCGCGCAGGGCCGATAAGATTAAGGCCCTGGAGGCAGAGTGCGGCAAGGAATGTCTGGGCCAGGTCGCCGACATGACAGTGGTGGAGGACATGGTCCGTGTGAGGGACGCCATCAGCGCTGCGTGGGGGGGCCTGGACACCATTCATGTCTGTGCTGGCGTGTCTGCGCTCCAGCCAATCCTGTCACTTGCTGGGTCGAGCTCTGTTGGAGAGGATGCGGGTGCCGAGGGCATTCAGGCGGCAGTCGATATCGCCGGTCGCGCTGTGCAGGGCAACTTCAACGGGCCTCTCGTCGCCGCCCTCACTTTTGTAAGAAAAGAAAGAGAAAGAAGAGAGGGGAAAAGGACCCTTCACCGCTACAAACAAAGCTTATACTCCCTATTCGTGCTAACACCACTTGTAGATACCAATGCTGGAACGCACCTCGTCCTCGCCCTCCATCCTCCTGGTCTCCTCGCTGGCAGCACTCGTCCCCGCCCCTACCCGCGCCCTCTACGCTGCCACGAAGGCCTCATCCCTCCTTCTCTACCAGGCCCTTGCCATCGAGCACCCCCGTGTGGCCTTCACCTTCGTGCTCCCGTCCACCATCGAGGGCAATTTCCGCGCCTCGGCTGTGGATTCTGGCCCCGTTCGGGAAGCTGATCCCAACAAGTATGGTCTGAAGACCGAGTATGTGGCCGCGCGGTGCATTGGTGCCGTGGACCGGCGTGAGACTGGGAGTATCGTCTTGCCATGGTTTCCTAATATGCTAGGTCATCATTTGTACTATGTCTGGCCGTCGTTTGTGGAACGGATAGCGGCTAAGAAGTACAATTTCAAGGCTGCATAGTGTGCTGGGGTGCTACTGGAGGGAATTACTACGTGCAATAACGATCGCTCGTTTTATAGTGCGAATGAAAATGAGACAATTTGAGATAATTATCTCAGATACCATACATACCATACATATGTTTGAGGTCTTTTATATATCCAGGTTTGCATCCAGCTACGATTACTTCGTGGTGAAATCATTCACACGATACCCGGCTGTACATATGTAGTCTACAATATTGGGGAGTTTGATCAATTTTTCTTCTTCTTATGTGGCCTATCAAGGTATTTAATTCTCCCTACATGACTGCTCTGTCACCGCGCCAGGCTTCAGACTTACAGAGGCGAGTTGTGAACTTGAAAAGAGCTGTATTCCTATATCATACCCGTGCTCTTGTATTCCTCAGAATGCCGACCTCCTTTCAACTGAGTAGAGACTGTTCAACAAACAACTACACCACCATCACCACTCGCTAGTCGCCCCAGTCACCAAGGTAGCATATCGATCCATGGCGTCCTTGGCAATCTTGGGCGACAGCTTGCCATCGTCCGACTCCTCCACCATCTTAGCCATCAGCCGGAAATAGTCGATATAGAAAGCCGGCGTGAAGGTGTTGTACATGACCAGCTCTTCGTCGCTGTCGTTGGCGAACGTGTGGGGCGAGCACGTCGGGACCACGACGTAATCGCCCTCCCGCGCCGTGATCTTGTCCTCCCGCGAAGTGAATGTCGCCGTCCCCTTCTCCACCAAGAAGGTCTCATCGTGCATCTGGTGCCAGTGCTGCGCCGGGCCTGGTGTGCGTGGCGGTACGAAGATGCGCACTGCCGAGAGCCGACGGTCTGTGTTGCGGCCGTCCTCGAGGATGTCCAGACGGATGCCGCCAAGCTGGAAGGTTTCATTGGCGGCTGGCTCGCTGCGCCTCACGAGAGTGACGTTGGCGTAGGGGGCGTCGGATTTAGAGTTGGTGGGAGGCATTGTGAGAGGAGTGTGTGCGTGTGAGGTCGTAAGATTATCTTGCTTCGTATTTTCTTTTCCCTTCTTCTTTCCTTCTTGACAGTTAAGACTATCTAGATGAGGTTTCACAGCTTTGATGATATTATTATAATATTTCAGAAAACGGAAGAATGTTGAGAACAGGATCAGTTTTGGAGCAACAGTCGTCGATATAGTCAGACGTTTATACTAGTTGTTCACGCCCTGAAAGACCGGGGTATTTGTACGGCCTTTTGATATGCCTAGCGCTGAATCCTGCTCGCATTCGCTGGACTAATTCGGAACGTTTTGCGAGGCGCGAGGCGTGACGCCAGGTTGTAAGCCCGCATAGTACTTCAGGACTCAATTCTGTGCGCGAGCGACCTGTAGAACTCCGAATGTGATCGACAAATTCAGCCTGCTCAAGATAAGCTTCGAGGTCTTTTTTTTTTTTTTTTTTTTTTGGAGTTCACAGTTTGATGCCCGGACGACCAGCTTACTATTGCCGAGTTGTTCGGTGTTTTGTGATCATGATGTCGCCAACGGTCCTCGGTATTCTTTAACTTCCGAAAAGATGCAACATAATCATGCAGTAGATCGCCGAGTCTGACAGCTTTAGAACGGAAGGACTGATCGGCGTCAGTGAAGCTAGGCATAAAGGCATTCATATCAGGTGCAGACAGGTCGAGTAGGACGTGAACCATGGCATACAGGAATTAGCATGTGGTATTACACAATGGATCCCAGCAAGGAAAACATGTCGTAGAAATCCTGAAAGCGCCCAAATGGTCTGAAATGAGTGCACTTATCAAGAACACGGAAGATTCACTCCTTAGTATTGCTTCGTCGAACTTTGGCAAAAAACCGCATCAATTCATGTGCTTTAAACAAACTGCCATCCATGTATGAATGAGGGAGGCACAGTATGGCGATAAGAATGCAGCCTCCGGCAAACCTGCGGTCGTCACAAACGTCATCCGGGCCCCGCATCACAAGTGCGTCTTCTGAACTCGCTCTTTAGCATGCCGTTCAGTCTCTACTTTGTCATCATTAGGAGATCCGAGCAAGGCTTTGTGAAGAATATTAACCAACATGTTGGAAATACAGTGCTCTGGCAGCCCTTTCGAAGTGAGTACTTGTACCGCCAAACCTCCTATAACATCGGCCAGGTCACCCGAGCACGACGAAGCTGACCACCAAATGAATGAAGATTGGCTTTACCCATGGCCATGCAGCGAGGGACCAAGTGCGTGGTTCCATAGCCTTTTACAAGGATTTATTCCAAGTAAAGTGCTCCATGGGCTGGGAGCAGGTGACGGCCGAGGCCAACAAATACGTCGAGCCGCTGGAGAAGACATGCAGCCGGTACATCGAAGAGATTCGAGGTCTCGCCGAGGGCGTGGGCAGCCCCGTCAGCTTCCTTGACATCCTGGCCCTGAATGTGCGCACCGAGATCATGTTCGGCCTCTTCACCGACCCGCAGACTCCCCAGCACGCTGACGTGCCCAGTGATGGCTGCACGAGCCTCAGCTGGGTCGATGGCTCGGGGACGTCGTTCCTCGCGCAGAACTGGGACTGGCAAAAGGGTCAAGGCCGTAACCTGATTGTGTGCCATATCAACCCAAAGCCTGGATCCGGCATCCCTAACCTTGCCATGGTGACGGAGGCCGGCATCATTGGCAAGATCGGCCTGAACACGCGTGGGGTCGGATGTTGTCTCAACGCCATCCGCGCACGTGGTGTCGACCGCACGAAACTGCCTGTGCACTTCGCCCTGAGAACTATCCTGGAGTCTGCCTCGAGGGAGGAAGCGGTTGGCAGGCTCGAGGCCTCTGGGATTGCGGGCAGTGCGCATATTTTACTCGGTGACGAGTCTGGCGCTGTCGGGCTGGAGTGTACACCGTTTGGAACCAGAGAGATCCCCATGGACCTACAGGGGCGAGTTTTCCACACAAATCACCTGGTCCTCGAGCATGCTGGTGTGGATGAGCCGCCGTGGCTGGACGATTCGCTCAAGCGTCTCGCCCGTATCAAGACGCTGGCGGACGCCACCCTCTTTCCTGGGGCAGGAATCCAAGAGATTCTTGGGATGCTCAAGGACGAAGAGAACTGTCCTTGCTCAATTAATAGAAGACAGTTGGATGTAAGCACTTTTGAAACGCTGTTTAGCATCGTTATGGATCTTACAAAGAGAGAGGCGCTGGTCAAGCTTGGTCGCCCCTCGGAAAGTGGTGATGAGATTCGGCTAGTTTTGTAATAGAATACCAGGATGCAAAGAGCTTGAGTTTTTAATAAGCTAGTGTATTTCAAATTTAGCCCCTCGTATGATCTGATTCGTTTAACTTTATGATTATATGCATAGATCTACTTTCATTATGTTGTATTTACAAGCGAGAGACAGTGGCGGCCCAGCGCGACGCATTGCTCTCCCATCTCAGGGATCAACCCCAAGTCAGTTCCAGCATGTAAGTCTCAGGATTATGTCCACCACGTCTACAAGCCTAGTGCCTTGGTCTCCTTCGCATTAGACCTGCGGCGGTCGAACCAGTCAAGCTTGACGGGGTTCTTAGTCAGGGGGACGATAACGTTCATGTTTTTGTTGACATCCAGAGCCCCCGAGTCGATGCACCACTCGAAGAACGAGTCTCCCGCCTGGTTCATAAACTCGGCCACAGCCATTGTCTTGAACCTGGTCAGAGGTGTCGGGCTGCTCTCCTCGGAGAGGACTTCCTTGAGCGTGGTCGCTGGAATTTCCCACCAGTCTGGAGTCACTTCGGCTGCCACCAAACGACCGAGAAAGGCGAAGTAGTTTACCCAAGAGCCCTCAGGGTTTGAACTCTGGTTCTCTGGGTCATCTATTGATCATTGGTTAGTCTAAGAACGATACAATCGAGTCTTTCTTACTTTTTTCTGCAGACTTACAGAGATCATCCCAGGCTCCTACAAGAGCATCGTCGAGTGTTGGGAGGTCAGACCACGGCGCATCATTACCCTGTGGTCAAGTCAGCCTTGGTCCCTTGGCGAAATCGCTATTCTGCGTGAGACGGTATAGAATGGATAGCCACTTACCTCCCAGGTCCTGACCTCCATTGGCGGGAGGTGAACAAGCTCCTTGAGCAGCTCGACCAGCCTATCCTGCCCTTCATCATTGTAAGGGATCCTCTTGCCCAGCTCAATGAACATGGTCCACACGTGGAGGAGATACCCAGAAAGGATCCGATCCTCCATGTGGGACAGCAAGGGGTCGAGAGGTAGGTAAAAGCTCCAGTAAATGTCGTCAATACGAGAAGCACACTCGGACGCCTTGACTGGGTACGATGTGTCGACCGCCAGACACTCCTGGAAGGCCGCGCACAGGGCAGAAGTCCACAACGTGCCGGGCTCCTCGGTGAGGCAGAGCCAGTGCAGATACGACTCCCACGCCTTGAGACGAGGCAATGCAGGCTTCTTCTCAACAGCCGTGGCCTCCTTGACGTCGATGCCACTGTCGTCGGCCTCAGCGTCCGTCTCGGCAATGGTCTCCTCCTTCATCAAGGGCATGGCCTTGTTGATCACATTCTTCTTCTCGGCTGCTGCTGGTGCCTGCTCAACAGATGATATGGAGCTTGCTCCGGTAGAAATGGATGTCTTGCGGATGTGATGATGACGGGAGTTTGGAAGCCGAGGCTTCTTCACGGCCAACGGCCCAGCCTTTGCCTTGATGAGACCTGCATCAGAAGGCGACGGTGGGCTCTGGAAGAGGTGTGTATACCGCATGATGAAAGAAAGGAAGAAAAAAAGAGAAGAAGAAAAGATAAAAAGTGGAGGGGAGGGGAACAATGAAGAAGGAAAATGAAAATAATTAGACACTAAGTTTATTGAAAATTAATACTTGCCGTCACAGACGTCGAGATCAAGGTGGTTTCTGTCCAGCAGATTAGCGACGAAGAGGCGATGTAAAAGAGTGATTATATCGATGCACGGCACCAATATTCGCAGCACAGCTGTCTTTTTTCTCTTTGTCTGTCACCTGACCCGATGGTGTGTGAGTGTGTTCCCACCCTGATTGATGCCAAGGAATTCGAAGCAGCCATGGAGTATTATATGGCAGGACGGGGAAACCAGAGTATAGACGTCAAGCCAGGCATCACTACGCCACCGACTGCCTGTGGTGGTCAAGACCATGGGCCAGCTGGGTAGCCTGGCGGTCTGACACGGTGACAAATGTTCCTACCCCCATGTTCAGCACTCAGCTGTGCCTAGTCTGAACCATGTACGGAAATGCAGCGTCATATTTGGTGCTAAGCTCAGCTCTCATGCGGGGGCCGACACCACGCGGCCACGGACTTAGGTGCCAGTGTTGTGTTGCCCCCAGTGCTTTCTAGTACTGGATGAATTGTAGTCAGCAAGACAGGATTTTGGCTTGCAGAGGACATGGGGTAAAAGAAAGAAACTTGTGTCCCTTTTCTCTCTGTGCTGTGTTGTTGTTGTTGGTCGCGACAACAGGCTGAGGCCGTATAAGTGGCCGGGCTGAGGGCTGTGCCTCCCCTGCAACAGATGCTGTGGGCGATTCTCTGCCAATCGGATGGAGGAGGTTCCTTTGTGGTCGAGGGAGCGCCATCATGCTGAGACGTCTCAAAAGCATACTGCAGCCTTCTGGGCTGCTCTAGTGCTTGGGGTCGTCGGCTGCTGCAGGTCTTGACTTTTTGACACGATCGTCGGAAAATGAATAATTGTTTACGTACTTAAGTATCTATTGCCAGTTACTAAAACCCTAACCCTGCGCAGAAGCCGCCCCAACGGCCCCCGCGAAACTCATTCAGATCGGATATTGAAGAAGATAGAAATGCATGGAAGACTGGTTGCATCAAGAATTGAACCCAGCAATCTGCTCCATTATGTCCATTATGGATACTTTTGTTGTTCCTCATTTCTTTTGTCCTCTCGAATGGTCCTCATTTCTCGAAAGTGTTGTAGAATGGAAAACCTGCATGGAAAAGCATCCATCCAGGAAATGATGAGATAAGCCGCATGAGTATCAAGCCCGTCCCCATCACATAAGAGCCCGTCAGACTTGAACCGATGACACATCCAAGGTTCGACCTTGCTCGCACAAGATTTTGTCATGGTCTTCCATGTTTCGGTCGAAGGAGGTAGCAGTAGTAGAAGATGTCTGGGTCCGTGGTCTTGGCCTTGGATGTAGGAATTCTCTCAATTACCTCGACATCAAAGGGCAAGTCATCAACAGCAAATCTTGACGAGGAGTAACTGAGCGATAGCCAGAAACCCCCTCGGGCCAGGCAATTCTTCACGCCATGGAACATGCGCGAGAAAGCCTCCTGGCCACCACACGAGATCGCATCGACAGTGCTCTTGTCAATCACAAGGTCATATTGTTCCGGGAAGGACTCGAGCTGGGTGGCGTCTGCTACTGCGTATCTCATGCGCACATCACCGAATGCTTCTTGTTCCGCTTTGAGTCCGTGCTCAATGGCTAGGGGCTCGTAGTCAATGTTGAGGATATCGTTGAACCCGCGAGCGCGGAGGTGGTTTTGCAAATCACTTGTGCCGAAGCCAACCTGCAAGATTCTGGATGATTTGTGCAGCCTCTCGAGATGAGGTTCCAGGATGGATAAAAAGGCTTCGGATGAGATTAGCCATTCAAAGGAGGTCTCGGTCTTGAATCGCTCGTGCCAGTATTGCTGCTCATCGAAACTCGGGGGCATGGTGATACCAAATCATCGATGCGGCTACGTCAAGTCGGATGATCCTTGATGATTCTGATAAGAACTGCAAGATCTGTTGCATATGGCAAAGGGTACAATTGTCGATATGCCTCCAGTTTGGGTTGTGGGTATCAGTTTTGGCGACGTTCCGTGTTGGCACAGCTTGACACTGAAAACTTTTACGTTGATTACATCAGACTCGATAACAAGAATCAGGGAGTCCTGGTGGGGCGCCGCTGCACGAAGGCAGCAACATGCGCGATCGGCTGGTTCACAAGATCATTTTGCGCAAAGCCATACTAGAAATATCTTCGGACGCCTCAATAGTGTTACAATCTGTTCTTTGCCTGCTGTTATTTTACTTTTATCTATTTTTCTGTTCTCTGTCTTCTCTTCCTTTTCCTCCCTTTTTCTTTTTTGGCATGGACCATGTCACCAAACGGACTGTGTTATTGCTGACTCATTCCATATGGCCAGGGGTTTCTGTGACGGGCAGGCTTACCAAATGGATGGCTCGAAAGAAATAATATGGTAGAAGAGACACACAAAGAGAGTTGAGGAAGGCAGGAACAATTGTTGAATCTATGCCTAGTCAAAAGGTTCAAGACGATGAACTAGGCGTGCGAGGGGTTGAAAAGTGAGTCTGGGTCTTGTCAGCCGAGCAGCGTAGTGCAGCATGTCTGGCCCAGTGCCTAGATAAATTTGACCTTTGTTGTTTTGAATGGCCTCAATCAGAAAATGAGAGTGATGAAAGATGCTGTCACTGTTTATTGTGATTATTTAAGTCGTCCCTAATATGAAATGCGTTGATGATCGCATTGCAGGAAGGGATCAGGGGGGACAATACATCACCTGAAAAAGGGGTGATAAGAAATAAAAACCCCAAGAAACATATGAAAAGATAAGTTGTATTAGGAGATTTACACCAAGAGGAGAGAAGGGGGGGGGGGGGGATAAGGACTGATGTGACAATAGGCAGCGCTGATGCTAGAACCCCGATTGTCGGTTGACGCGATCACATGCGAAAGTGATGAGTACTTTGTACAGTCTAGTACTGAATCTGATGCCCAGGTAGTGCATTCAACGGCGACCTCTTTGTGTAGCCTGCCCTACTTGTATCTTCTCAAAGCCGTCTTCGTTACAGTCCTAAGCTTTCTCCAAGACAGATGGCGTCTTAAGCTGGCTGGCCTGCCGTTCAACACCGCTAGACAGATCTATGACAGCCTGCCACCTGAGCAGGTGTCCCATGGCCGGCCTGGCAAACAAATATAAAATGTCCCCACCCCCACGCGAACCAACGTTTGAGAGCCATGCCTAGTCCCGTGGGTGTGCATTGGAGAGTGATTACCGGCCGAACTTGGAGGAAGCAATAATTATCACACATGTAATAATGTACACAAAAGGAAGGGGGAGGAACCAAGAAAAGGGGGTAACCTCTATAAAGTAATAAAATGATCTTAGAAATGCATAACAACCGGGTGATCCCGTGCCTAGGTAAAAGACATCGTCACAGCACATCATTGTCACAACAGCTGATGTGAGTGGCTTGATTGGTGGTCCTTTCTCCCGCCTATCTGGGATATTGCGGTGGCCCTGTTTTTTTATGATTTTTTTCCCCCTTTTGATTGCAACAGGAGCATAGCACGCCACGCACGTCAGTGGCCAGTGGCGGATCTAATCTTGGCATTATAGTGAGTGAATGGTAGTACAACGGTTTGTCCGCTCGGGAGTGGTTCTTCCGGACCTGAACACTGAAGGGTGCAGCTTGTAGTTTCTCTAGTGGGTACTTGTAGTAAGTAGCAAGTCGAAAGAATGGATCGGTCCATTTTTATTTGTCAAAACTGGAGAGAAACACATCCTCAGAATATAATCAAGGCTTGACTGCGTGTCATGAGGACGAAGCAGAAGGCACACCATCACCAGACTCGCAACGATGGACTTTGGGGGGGGGGGAAGGGGGTCTAATCTTCTCTATATTGGGACGTGTCTCATTAGTAGGATCGCAGGCGTTAAATACGCAATTGTCGCTTGCGATGGTATCATGCGCCAACTGCGGGGCCCACCTGTTCCGCCAGCCTCAATAGGGGAAGAGGAAACAAGACACACTTGAGCTGGCGGAGATATGCACAATAGCGGTGGTCCCTTCAGTAACTCTATTTGGACCCTCGTTCATTTTTGGACCTTCTTGAGCGGGTCGCGAGGCCCTTTCAGCCTCATATTCCCAAATCCCTATTTCGCCCGGTTTTGGGTTCGTTGTCGCGTGATTGTTCTTTGTTTCGTGCTGCTTTTTGCTATTGTAACGCACCAGTTTGGTTTGATTATTGCAAAAGACAAAGAGCAGAGACCGCAAATCGAACACGCCGATATCCGCATCTGGATATGGAATCGCCGTGCGACCTCTTCTTACGATGGAGCAGTTCGTGTCAACTTTCAGCGCCTCTGGTCGACCAGCAAAGGAAACGTGCAAGCAGTGTAGATTTCGCAAGGTTCGTTGCGACGGGCGACATGGCGACAAAGGTTGTGGAGACTGCGAAAGGTTAAAGTTCGCCTGCTCATTTGTCGTGGGCGAGCCAACCACGCCGACGACAGTCTATGGATTTGCAGACAGCAGCACCTCCCTGCCAAGCCCAGCACTCGAGGCAGGGAGGATTGTGGAGCGGAGGAGGAACAGCAAGGCGTGCTCCAACTGCAGACAGCAAAAGGTGCGCTGCTCTGGAGGCGCGCCATGTCTAGCTTGCAGGAAGAGATGCCTCCCTTGTGTGTATGGCGCCGACGGGAGACGGACCAGCCGAGCTGTCACGGGCAGCGCTGCGGGCACACCGACAGAGTCGACGTTCTCGAGCCAAACTGGCGAGACTTCAGGCGCGGACGACACCTCAGCAACCTCACCGACATCGCCAGCGACCACGAACTCAGAGCCAGTTCTCTCCCTCCACACCGAGACTGGTGGTAGTATCAATGGTGGTGGTGCAGGCGGCATTCACCTTTTACCACCCGACATCCAAGTACTCGTGGAGTTTTACTTCAACAATATATATCCCCTCCCCTCCTACGCCTTCCTACACCCCTCGACAACGATCAGGCTCTGCAGCGAGGGCAATCTAGACACATGTCTCGCGTACGCCATTTCGGCTGTCGCCAGCCACCACACGGGCCCGCCACAAGCCCGCAGCGATCTCGAGCTGGACTGGATCCAGCGCACCGAGGACTCGATATGGAAACACCTCGAGTCGCCCAGCCTCGCCCGCCTGCAGGCCCTGCTCCTCGTCGTCCTCTACCGTGTGGAGACGGGCGCTTATCAGCGCGCCTTTATGCTCTCCTCGATCGCAGCCAGGGCGGCGGCAGCCATGAGGCTGAACTGCGAACGAGCAGCAGCGCCACAGGACAACGAGGGTAGGATCTCTCAGGAGACTAGGCGGCGCTTGATGTGGAGTTTGAAATTGGTCGAGCGGTATTTCTGCATGGGTTTGCCAGAGTTTGAGTTGTGTCCCGTGGACAGCATTTACTTGGAACTGCCATGCCCCGAGGAGCAGTTCAGCAGCATTACTCACCTTGGAGACACAGGAGCTGGGCTTGGTGCTGGGGCAATCGAGAGGGACTTGCGCTCGTCTGACTACGGAGCATATCATTTATGCGTCAAGATCGAGATGTTGCGACGGGACGTTGTGAAGCTGACCAGGTCGCTCTCCGTTTACGATGCGAGTTTCCCCCAGATGGCTTCGGTGATGCGCGACTTCGAACAGCACCTCGAGCGTGTCGGCAGCGATCTTCCAGGTGGCCCGGCGCTCACCGCAGACCACATCTCGCAACTCGTCGGTACACCATGGCTTGCAAGACGCATCCTCGTTCACCTATCGTTTCACCAATGTTACTGCGATCTCTATCGCATTCTACTAAGAGGCTATCGCGAGGCCGCACCCGCCGTGGTCCTCGACGCCATGGACCAAAACCTCCTCGCCAAGGCAGAACGGCTCTGTCTACAACATGCAACGGCTATCGTCGACATCCTCGCCACTCTCAATCAGCAAAGCCAGCGCGCACAGCTCTTGGAGTTCGACACAGCTATTTGTGGATACCACGCCGTGCGCGTCCTTCTCTTCATCTCCCAGTTCAGCCGACTGACCACGAGGCCGAGCGAGGAGTGGGTGATCAGCCGCGCCGAGCTGTGCATGGCTAGTCTGCGGCGGTTCTTCCCCACTTCGAAGCTGGTCAAGCCCATCCTGGAGGAGATGAGGAGATCTATCACGGTCTTCTCCAACAAGAGCGTCACTGCAACACCCAGCAGACTTGCTTCGCCTGGGCCACCGACACCTACTAAAGGCGCAAAGGATCCTGCCGCGGGGCTCTCTGCTGCGGCAAGAGTGAGGCAGAGGTTGGCGATCCACAGCCTTTTACGACAGGCAGATTTTACAGATGAGGATGAAGGTGGTGGTGGAGGAGGGGAAGAAGAGCGCAGGGCAAGCGATGCCAACCAGTGGGCTGTGTCGCCTGGCGCGTCCAGTCCGTCTGGTCCTCACAGCACGTCAGGTTATGCCAGCAGTGATACCCAGAGAACGACCACCAATTCCGAGCAGGGGCAGACGCCGTACGAGGGCGACCTGTGGCAGTTTCGCTGGCCGTGCAATGGTGACCTGGACGATGGGTGGGACGCTGATCTGAGGCGGGCCCCGGCTTCTGCTGGTGGCATTGGAGGAGGGGGGCTACCCAGGACGCCGTCCTTCTCGTTCCCATGGCTCCAGAGGTGGGAGGGCACTTCGACACTTGGAGGGGAGATTACGTGACCGGAGTTTCTTGTTTGGTTTGGGTTTGGAAATGGGACCGGCGGACATTGTCTTACTGTTGCATTCCTTTTGTGCATAACTTGCATGCGTGTATTGAAGGGAGCGAATATACATACACCGATAGGACAATACCCATAATGACTACCGACCAAGACTTCTCTCAAGCGTAAAAGAGAGATAGTAAAAAAATAAAATAAAAAGACCGACAAATGACAACTTGGCTGTATCGTGATGACCGTTGGCCCAGCTTGTGTCATGCCTCCTAAAAGCACATCACGTCTCGAACCCTGGCGCGTTGGCCCCATGATAAGCAGCTAAACTCCATCAGTCTTCCCCCCCTTTTTCCTGCACTCTATCTCCCTCTCGGTCTCTATCTCGCAAAGCACGCTATGTACGGTAGTACGTATTGTTAGACAGACTTTCGGCTTGCCGTTCCTCTCCCCTCTTGACGTACCCAGTGACCATTCACACGCTCTCGGGACCCACCTTCGTCATGAGGTGGGCCACTGACGATATGCAAACTTCTCGGCCAAATGACCCCCACTTCGGATATATGCAGCCCCGGATGTCGGTCTCTATCTCAATCTGGCGGCCGGCATTGGGACCGAGGGAGGACCTGACAATGTCCGAGATAGGTGGAACTGGAACGACCAGGTGAGAAAGATGGGAGGGATGAGAGGGGATATGGGAATTGTGCGGAAATGCGATATATCACGACATTAACTACTCTTCCATCTGCTTCTCAATTACAACGTTGGTAATGTATCACAAAGCATGTTTGAACCACCTTATGTACATACTGTATATCATTCTAAGTGGGCGTTGACTTCAGTAATGTCACAAGACTACTTGGTGTAAATACAGTGTAGTAGCCACCAGCATAACTTGGGTAGAGTCAATGCTTGGAGACACTATAAGTAAAGTCTACTTGGTGAGACTGAATGAGGCTTGCACTGTGGCACTGTCATGAACAGGCTCATCCCCAATCTCGGCCATCTTCGTCTCCAGCATAACCAACATACGCTTGACCGTGTCCTGGTACTTTGGCTCATTGTACACATTAAATAACTCCAGCGGATCCTCCTTGCAGTCAAACAGCTCCCACTCCCTATCCGCATCGTCCTCGTATGGATCTTCGGCCCCAGGCACCCCCAGCGCCTGGTTGTACCAGTAGATCAGCTTGTACCTCTGGTCTCGCACGCCGTAGTGTGCCCTCGCGTGGTGGGTCCAATCGTTGTTCATCCAGTAGCGGTGGTACGCTACCTGTTGCCAGTCCTCGGGTGTTTTCTCGTGGAGAAGGCTCCGGAACGAGACGCCCTGCATGTAGGTGGGCACTTTCAGGCTGGCGAAATCGAGGAACAGAGGGGCGAAGTCGACGTTGCAGATGATGTCGTTGCACTCTGTCCCGGCCTTGATCTCGGGCGGGTAGCGGATCAGGAAAGGCATCTGGAAGGACTCCTCGTACATGAATCGCTTGTCGAACCAGCCGTGCTCGCCTAGGAAGAAGCCCTGGTCGGATGTGTAGATGACGATGGTGTTCTCGTCAAGACCCTCCTTCTTTAGGAAATCCAAGGTCGTCCCCACGCTGTCGTCGATTGACTGGATCGTCCGAAGATATCTCTGCATATAGCGCTGGAACTTGAAGTCGGCCAGCTCGGCTGACGTCTTGAACCTGAACACGGTCCCCTCCTCCACATCGACGAGCTTAAAGTTTTTCAACTCGTCGTCTGAGGGCGCAGGTATCTTGCGCTGGGAGAAGCCCATGGCAGAGAAAATTGGCTCACCCACGACTTTGCCGCCGTCAGGTTGGGCCAGTCCCAGGTCGAAGTAGGTCATGTCCTCAGCGACGCGCATCTTGGCCGCCTTGGCCGCGCGCGCCCTGTTCTTGTAGTCGTCCGTGTACGTCTCAGGCACCTTGATCCTGTCTGTGTACAGGTGCTTGTGCCTGTCATGACACTCCCACGACCGATGAGGCGCCTTGTGGTGGCACATCACAAAGAAGGGCTTGTCTTGGTCGCGCTCACGGATGAAATTGAGTGTCTTGTCCGTGATAATGTCCGTCACGTAACCTTCCACTTCCACTTCCTTGCCCTCTGGCTCTAGGAATGTCGGGTCCCAGTACGCGCCCTGGCCTGGTACCACGCTCCAGTAGTCGAACCCGCTCGGCTCATGCTCAACCCCTTCGCCTAGGTGCCACTTGCCAATCATGGCCGTCTGGTATCCTCCCGAGCGCAGCTGCTTAGCCACGTTGGGCATCAGCTTGTTAATCTTGGACGATAGCGTCATGACGCCGTTGACATGGTTGTGTGTCCCCGTCAGGATGGCCGCGCGCGATGGCGTGCAGATCGAGTTTGTTACGTAGCAATGGTTGAACTTCATCCCTTCGTGGGCTAGACGGTCGATGTTGGGGGTGTGGTTGATGCCAGCACCGTAACAGCTAATAGCCTTGGACGCATGGTCATCGGCCATGATGAAGATGATGTTGGGCCTTTTGGAAGAGGAGGCCATGGCGGCGGTGTTGGCTGGATGAGCTGATGGTGTGGTTGCAAGTCTCTGGGGGGGAGAAGAGTTCTGCCCGGCTTGAGCTGGCTTGAGGACCATTCTTGGAGCTATGTGCCTTGGTTTAAACCGTGGAGAGGCTTGTGAGGTTGATAACCCTTTCTAATGTTGTATATTGGATCTTCACGACTGTAATCAACATTGATAGATTTCCAGGGCGTCGCCCATGAAGTTCTGAGCCAGTTAGGAGTGGTGGAACAGAACTGCAGGCCGTCGTCCAAGATGCATCCACCTTCCCATTCAAGCAACTGGCCGAGTTCCGACTGAGGGGCGCACCATCGAAAAGAGGACGGAAGGGTGGAGCTTTTACCATGCGAGACACTGATTCATGGCGCAAAAGTGGAAGAAGACACGCAGGAAGCTCAAATTACTATGGTAAATGGCGCCACTCACTAAAAACGTCTGAACATCGAGAATCCGCGTAAACGCCACGTAGACGGCACGCAGACGCCGTCACTTGGTGCAGGATGTGATCTATCATCATTTCTAGTCCACAGATAGTAACGGATAACTCGGCTCTTGATCTCGGGTGAAGAGCCGATGGAGATGAGAGCGGGTCGGGCGTCTTGTTGTAAGCTCACTGCCAGCCGGGACCTGTGAACTCTGCGTTCCCTCAAAGTGTGCACTGGACTGGAAACGGTGGGTAAAATCCAGCAATACTTAGGACCTGAGAATTTGCGCTTGAAGCTGGCCGTTTCATATCCTACAATACATATTGCTTCATTCAGCGAACCGTTCCTTGAAGAATCTCAAAATCGCTTTCTAGCTCTGATTTGTTGGCATTCCACAGCATTCTCGGACATTGATGTTTTATTGAGGACAAGGAAAGCGCCACGGCATGTTATCGGAAGAACATCTGGTCTCGCTCAAGACCCACTGGCTGCAGAGCCCTGAAGTACGGACGATTGCATCTCGAAAATAATGACCAAGGAGTTCGCAAGGTAAAAACTGGGGCACACTCAAGCAATTCAATTGGTAACGAGGTGAATGTTGATTTATAGATGAGTACACACGCTTCAGACCATGCCGAGCGCCACAATTCTTGGGGTGACAGGCCCCTGAACGCCACCTCGCCTGGCAGAGGGCGTCCGACTTCAACCCGCACCCCCACAAAACTCAGACTCTGTGGCTATGCTATGGGAGAAGGGGAGTGTCTGAGAATCTCATCCACAATAGAGATTTCAATACCAAGCCTGTGACAGCTGCGGAGCCATGACGAGCATCTTGTTGAACCTGTCTAGACCCCCTGAAACTGCTGCACGAGTACAGACCCATGCTGATCTCCATCTAAGGTTTAAGGTTACCTGCTGGATGTGCGGATATCCGGAAGCGCTACCTAGCTACGTGTTTCAGCCTCTCCCCAGCGTACTCAAGCATCGTGTATCAGGTCTTGTCTTGTATTCCCGGTCTGCCACAGTCTCAAGGAGGCGCAGTGCCTCATGCTGGAGTTCGATCAGGAACGATTTCGATGATGTGCCATGTAGATCAGGACTTGTGAATGAATTTAGGTGCCAAGATGACATTTTCTTGATCTTGTTTTGTAGCTCTGTTTCTTTTCCCTTCTTGCATTTGTTCATTCGATACCGTGCATCTAAATTGGATTGTCACACAACCACGGAGAGTCGTGTATTCTTTCGTCATTCATTCCTGTGTTTGAATTAATTGTATCTCTGGCTGCGGGCTGCCATTCTTTCTTTCAGTGTCCGCCGGCGTACCTCATTCATCTTCTTGTATCTCGTCCAGGCGACCAATATTCGAGACCATCTCCAACCACCAGTCGGCCGGTGAATCGACCTTCTCTCTTTTACACAACAATAATATGGCCCTTCAGAGAATATCTACGGTGCTCGCCACAGCATTGCTGGCGAGGCAGGCCGCAGCGGTAGACCCTATCACTGCCAAGGCAAGTTGCAGGACACTGAATATCATATGGCAATCAATGAGCCATGCATAAGAATCCAGAAGCTGACGTTCATTTAATACGTCTTTCAGGGACAATACCTATTTTACTCCTCAAATGGCACACAATTCTTCATCAAGGGTGTTGCCTACCAACAAGGCATCGCTCCAGGAGGAGCGGCAGAGACCACAGATGCAACCTTTATCGACTCACTCGCAGATGGTGCAAGCTGCCAAAGAGATATTCCCATGCTCCAGCAGCTGGGCACCAACACAATCCGTGTCTACGCAGTTGACCCTACACAGGACCACTCAACGTGCATGAACGCCCTCGATGCCGCAGGTATCCACGTGATTGCCGACCTGAGCGTTCCCGGCCAGTCCATCAACAGAGACACCCCTGCCTGGACAACGGACCTCTTTGCACGGTACCAGGGTGTGATCGACAACCTATCCCAGTACCAAAACACCCTCGGCTTCTTCGCGGGCAACGAGGTCACCAACAACAAGACCAACAGCGCCTCCTCAGCGTTCGTCAAGGCCGCCGTCCGCGACAGCAAGGCTTACATCCAGTCCAAGAACCTAGGCCGGTGGATCGGCGTGGGCTATGCCACCAACGACGATGCAGAGACCCGCGACAACCTCGCCAGCTACTTCAACTGTGGCTCGGACCAGTCAGCCGCTGTCGACTTCTGGGGGTACAACATCTACGAGTGGTGCGGCCAGAGCACGTTCCAAGCCAGCGGGTATCAGGAGCGCACGGAGGCGTTTTCCAACTACTCTGTCCCTGCCTTCTTCTCCGAGTACGGATGCAATGTCCCGGATGGGGCTGCAGGGCGGGTCTGGGAGGAGACGGGCGTCCTGTACAGCTCGTTAATGAACACAGTCTGGAGCGGTGGGATTGTGTATGAGTACTTTGAGGAACAGAATGACTTTGGTATGTTTTTTGAGGCGCCTTATTCTGCTTAAGAAATTATGTTGTAACACCATGCTGATACCGCCGTCTAGGTCTCGTCTCACTGTCTGGCAGCACCGTCACCCCTCTGAAGGACTTCAGCACGCTGGCCACGGCAATCCAAGAGGTCGATGCCAACGCGACAAGCACAGGGATCGAAATGGCTTCCTACTCCCCTTCCAACGTGCCACGCGCCTGCCCACCTGTCCAGGCAGACCTTTGGCTCTCCGCTGAGGCTCTCCCTCCGACGCCCAATGTAACCGCCTGCGAAGACATGGTAGCCGAGTCATCATGTGTCCCGACCGAGGAGGTGGCCAGCGACCCGGACAAGCTGGCCTCGCTGTTCGGCACGATTTGCGGGCTAGACGCAAGCGCATGCACGGGCATCACGTCCAACGCCACGAGCGGGACATATGGTGCCTTTGTCATGTGCAACACGACGCAGCAGCTGACCAACGCCATGAACCAATACTACACGAACCAGAACAAGGCCAGCACTGCCTGCGACTTCTCGGGCCAGGCTAAGATTGTCACGCCTTCGCGGGCTGTCAGCAGCACTGGCGGTAGTAGCAGCAGCGGCAGCAGCTCTGTGAGCACATCTTCCAGCAGCGTGACCTCCACTAGTGAGGATGGGACAGCAGCAGCTAATACTGGTAACTCTACACAGTCTTCTTCTTCGAGCAGCGGTGCTCGGCGCATAATCTCGCTCGCGAACCTTGGGTGGACGGAGACTCTGCTCATCGCCGTTGGGGCCGTTGCCTGGACGCTGTAGGAGTTTGTGTTTGATACATCATACCCGGTGTCTGTGGCACCAAAGAGTTATTCACAAGGCTAGACCTGGAGATGGCGTTCAGGGCATGGAATGATTCATGGGTATTAATACGATTGGCAGAAAGCGCTGGAAAACGCTTGGGTAGAGAAGGAAGGGGGTATCATTTTGTTTCGCATTCTATGGTCTGTGATCTAATTATTATGGTCTATGATCTCAAGTGATTATTAAATCGAAATCCTCAAACAAAAGTCATAACTTTGAATTTCGTGCATCGGGGTTCATCCCTCTCTCTTGCTGCTTCTCTCCTTCAGATTTCACGAGACACGGCATACTTGCTCCGCTTCCTCAGCAGGTGACCCCATCTATAAAGCGAGTACGGCACCAGAACGAGAACACACGAGATACAAGCCAGTATCGTGAGCGTATAGTGAACGCCCATATTCTCGTAAAAGGGAATTCCAACGACCGTCATCCCGCCAGCAATGATGTACCTCACCAGCGCGGTGAAGGTCAGGGCCGATGCGCTGTAGATCTCGTAGCTGTCAATGACGTACATGTATGCACAGATGAAGACGCCAGTGACGCCAAAACCAAAGAGGCCTGCGGCGAGGATGGGCGACCAGATGCTGATGCTCGGTGATGCTGTCCAGCCCATCCAGAATAGTGAGATGGGGATCGCCACAGCCGGGCCGAGCATGGCGTACCAGAGGCGAATCTCTGGATTAAAGTGCTGACCCTCGCCCCGGCTCTCAGATAGCTTGATCTGCTTTGTCGTCATGCGGTACACAACAGGTACAAGCAAAAGGTTGAACCACACGCCTATGAACATGGCCAGGAACAAGATGTTGCTGAGCCCCTGGGAAATTTGATACGTATCCTGAAAGATGTACGGCCACCCCACGAGGAATGTGAAGAGGACAATATACACCACAGACAGGTAAAGACACATGAAGAGGATGATGGGCTCGGTGAACATGAGAAAGGGCCTTGTCATGCTCACCTTCAGCCGGCTGAAGAGTGTCGACTTGATGATCTCGTGCTCAGAGCGGAAGCGATCATCTCCCGTGACACGCCGCAGGTGCTTCGCCTTCCACCGCAGGAGCAGCGGCGAGTACGTCTCGGGCATCAGCAGGAAGACCAGCAGCACAATGACCCCAGATAGCATCAGAATCGTCCACTCTGTCCACCGCCAGCTGACGGCCGTCGAGGGCCCAATGTACGCACCCATAACAGCACCAAGCATGGGCCCACCAAAGGCCGCAATAGCGTACATGGGGAATGCCCAGGACTTCTCGACGCTGTCGAACATGTCTGCGACAGAGCCGCCAGAGCAGACGAGGGGTGTCGAGGCCGAGCACCCAGCCAAGAGGCGGAATGCAACCTGCGCGCCAAAGTTGGGCGCAAGGCCAGAAGCCATGATCCAGACCATAAAGACAGCCATGGACCCGATGTACACGGCATTCCGACCAAACGTTTCCGAGAAAGGGCCGGCGACCAGTGAGCCAAGGCCCATTCCTATGAGGTACATGCCTGTGTCCAGCGACTCGGCCACCTCACTCACGCCCAGGGACGCCGCAGCTTGGGGTAGGACGGTGGCGTCGATTCCCGAGGCAGCGCCCACCCCCGCGGCGATGAGCGAGATTTGCAGCGTGCAGCTGATGCGGCGGCTGAGTGGCCAGTTGCGTGGGTTGAGAGGGTCGTCGGGGCCCTCCCAGCCGACCACGAAGACTTTCTCGCCTTTTCCCTCGTGCGTTCTCCGATCTCTGGCATGGACGCCCGTTAGTGAGTGGCCCAGGGCTGCACGAGCTGAGTACTGGGTTGTTGCCGTTGGGGTTCTGTGTGCAGTGGTCGAAGTTGGCTCTGAATCCTCGTTACTTGTGGTGCTGCTAATGGTGGTGTTGCTGCTGCTGCTGCTGCTTCTCGGCCTTGACGTGACGCTGCCAATGTCTTCTGATGAGTGTCGTCGCTGGGCTTCTCCCTCGGCCTTCTCCACGTCAACTTGATGTTGCGATTCTATAGCGCCAGCAGCATGGTCGCCATCCTGGACGACACGCGTCCTCCGTTTGGCTGTCTCTGCATCACGCTCGATTTGGGCTTTCACCGCACGCAGGATATGTCTCGACTGTCGTATGGACTGCATGGCGGTACACGTTGCGGGCGAATTCCCCTCCAAAAAGCAACTTGGATGAGTTGCAGGGGCAGAAAGAGAGTAACTTGGAAGTCGTGCCGGCAGAGGTAAAATCGTGAAAAAGCAAAATCGTTGTCTTGTGTGCTGCAGTGTTGTTTCACGCTCTTGGCTTGCACTCTGCCCAGCAGAGTTGGGCGGGTGGACGAGAATAATGAATTAATGATGGAAACAAGAAGGTGAGTTAGTGATCGCCACCTTAGGCGATGCACTTTGCGCCCTGGGAAAACGTTGCAATTACTAATGAACACTACAGTGGGAAAAATCTTCTATCGACGACATCGGATGGCAGCGGATGGCACGCTGACCCGCTATGATGTCTCTAGTTCTGTGCTTAGTCTCCTCTTTTCAAGGAATTCTGGCGTTGCTCACCGCACTTCTTATCACCGGTCACTTTCCGCGCGGTCGTGCGTAGTGGATGTTGCCAGTTCAATTTTGACTAAAAAACGGCTTTGAAGGGCGTAGTCGTCACATAAAGTACCATTACTCATAGTCACTATCCGCAATATCCGCAATGTCCAAGCCGGGCGTTGTAGGCTCCATAAAAATAGAAGCACCAGACTCCGTTCAACTAGTCGACGGCCGTGAAATCATATACTAATTATCTCTAACTTATACTGAAGTCATATAAATATCTTTGGCCGTATTGGCAAAACTCTGATTGATGTTTAGCTGATAGTGAAACGCCACGATGGGTTACTATCAAAAACCATAATGAGCCCAGACAGTCTCAATCACCAGGCAGACATGTCAATCGACGCACGCGAGGACACAATGTTTGGAATCAAGTTCTCCATCTTCTCCGCATCTTTGCCGCCTCCTCACTCCCCAAGCCGAAGATGTTTTACCGTGGGCTGAAGCAAGTAGGCCGGCTTTACATCATGTGCTACCTCCCCCGCATTCGAGGGCCGCGTCCATCGCTAGAGGCTAGTGACATGGCATCAGATAAATGAGTGTATCAGACGTCTGTCACTCATTTCTTTGCTCAACATCTCACATCCTTCAAGTTTGCCTCAGATTTGGATTTGTTAATCACCTTTTCGAAATATGTGGAATGCTTTATGAAAGGTTTCATAAATCTTCGGTCAAATCCATCATCTCTAGTACTTCGTGGCTACCCAAAGTTGTGCTTCAACGCACGCTTATCACTTGCCCATCTGGATTCGTAGACGAGGCCCCTTTCTTATCCCACGAACAATGTCTTCCAGCGTGCCAAATGGCGCTCACCTCAATCACACTACATACCCGCCCTTTCCGAAGGACGTGCCCAGTGTGAAGCTAGAGACCTTTTCCCTTGCCCGGCTTGAGGCAGGAGACAAGGCTCTCGAGGACCGCCTTTTCCAGACATGCAGGGAAAGAGGCTTCTTCTATCTCGATCTCAGTGGCAGCTCCGTGAGCTCGATGCAACAGGATGCTGACGACCTGGTCAAGCTTGCAGAAAAGGTGCACAGGCTTCCACAGGAAGAGAAGGAGAAGTATCCTATGAGAGACTCCATCTTTGGGTAATGACTTCCAAGCCAATCTGTTGAATAAGTTCAAGAGCACATCAAGTCATTGACACGCTGTCTCCCAGCTTCAAGCCGATCGGTGCTACCAAGACAGATGCTCAAGGCACACCAGATACGGCAGGGTTTTTTAACATCTCCAAGGACGCCATACTCGAGAACACGGACCGCTGGCCGCTGCCCCAGCTCGTCCTCGATGAGAAGCCCATGATCGCCAGATACATGCGCAACGCCCACGGCACCGGACTGAAAATCATGACCATCCTCGTCGCCAGGCTCGGCCTCCCGCCTGACGCGCTGGAGAGATACCACCGCATAACCGAGGAATCAGGCGACCACGTCCGCCTGACCCACGGTCCGCCCAGGAGGACGGCTGAATTACCTGAGATCCAGACACCGGGTCATACTGACTTCGGCACCATCACAATTCTGTTCAACTGGCTGGGCGGGCTGCAGGTCTGGTCGGACCCGTCGCGCGGCAGCTTCGAGAACATTGTTGACCCGGACAGCACCGCCGCCACCAGCTCGGCCGGGTCAGCTGAGAAGCCGAGGTGGCTGTGGGTGGAACCGCCGCCGCCGAACCATGCCATCGTCAACCTCGGGGATGCGACAGTCAAATGGACGGGCGGCGTTCTCTGCTCCGGGAGGCACAGGGTGGTGCCTGCGCCAGGCGAGCAGGGCAAGTTTGAGCGGTATAGCATTGTGTATTTTGTAAGACCGGAAAATAAGGCGGTCCTGAAGAGGCTGGAGGCGGCGGGCATCCCGAAAGTGGGACCTGATGAGGTGGAGGAGGAGATCACTGCCAAAGAATGGATCCTCCAGCAGGCGCGGGGTTTGGGACAATCTATCGCGAATTGATCTTGCTATGAATTAGCCCCTCTCTGAAGTCGCATTGTATGGAATGAAATCTTCATGCGGTCAAGTCAGCGTCTAGCAGAGTGCAAATGGTGACTTTTTCCAACCGGCTGTATGATGTCTCAGCACAAGAGGCATGATCAGACACGGTCCGCCTCAGACATCGCCCAATCGTAATCATCAGGTAATGCGGCGCTGATAGTAGACTTGACCATTGAATTATTCTGCCTTCGTGAACAGGGTAAACAAAAATAGTACACAGTCATGACCGTCGAGACATGTAAGATTGTAAAATTACTAAATAACAGCCATCACCGATCTACACATGAGTCGAATCCCGCATGATTCAGCATCTGAACATTTTATGGCCATTTAATTTGCTAAATGCTGTTGTGCAACAGCACATGCCATCAGTCACTGGGTCATTGCACGTTGCCCTGGTACAATGAAAATCATCCTTCATATATTTTCATCTAAGAAAGACGTGATATCCTCGCCCAGCTTGTTTCCTCTGGCCCCTCTGCTCATACAGAAAGAAATCGTGAAACTCATTGCATCATTCACACAACCACGGTCAAGGGATGCCGATCGCCGACTCGAAAACGGGTCTGTAGTGCCTGGTTCCGGGGAGATTAGCGGTGGTCAGCTGGTCAGGTACCGAAAAGAGCGTTCTTGTCCTGGCTGCAGGTGAGGGGCGGCAATGCAACCTCGCAAAGCACTCATCCGAGCACGTGTATCATGCAAGTGAGGCTTGTGATGGGAACTCACGCACGTGGCGAGTGTGGCGACGCATTAGTCAAGGTGACTGGCGTCGTATCTGGTTGTCGATATGGTGAATTATGAGTCCGTCCTTGGGTGCTTCAAAATCTATTTGAAAATGCTACAATACCTTAGATTTTCCGCAAATGCCGTCCTCCTAACTTCATTTCCATTCGCCTTGCTACTGAGTCGGGTACCTCTACTCCTAAATGGTCATAGAAAGTTTATTCTTGACTCTCATTGACCATGCATCCTCGTGCGCTCTTTTGGGCTACCTTCGCACTCACGGCACATGCCGCAAACATCATACTCTCCAACGATGATGGCTGGGCCGAGAAGAATATTCGTGTCTTATATGACACGCTCACAACCGCCGGAGAGAGCGTGGTGATCTCTGCACCTGCCGAAGATGAGTCAGGCTCAGGCTCAGACAACGCGCCGCCGACGGAAGTGACGGATGGCTGCGAGTTCGACAGCTGTCCTCCTGGAAGTCCTGCTGTCGGCTCCAACAGCTCGATGCCTCGGTTCAACTACGTAAACTCATATCCGGCCACGGCAATGCTCTATGGCATCCAAAACTCTTCGCTAGAGTTCTTTGGTGGACCGCCCGACCTCGCTGTGGCGGGATTCAACGTAGGAGGTTGGTACCTACGCATTGAGATTTCGGACATTACATGAACTGACGCTGTAATCAATACTATAGATAACACTGGGCTGAGTGTTCTGATCTCTGGCACTGTCGGCGCCGCGACTGAAGCCTCCCTCGAGGGCATTCCTGCTATAGCATTCAGTGGCTCTACAGGAAGCCAAGTCGCATGGACGACGGCCACCCAGACGTACCAGTCCGTTTATGCCGCGCTGTCCACCAACGTCACGCAGACCCTCATCGCTTCCGGAAAGCCCTACCTCCCAGACGACATTTGGCTCAACGTGAACTATCCCTCTTCCAACGCCCTTCAGTGCTCCTCTGCAGAGGATATCAGCTTCGTCTTATCGCGAATCAACGCCGCGACGCTGCTCGCACCTGCTGACGTCGAGACATGCGGGTCGCGCCGGCTGCCAGTGGAGACCTTGGTCGTCGATTTTCCCGGTTGCTATGCGAGCATCAGTGTTGGGAACGCCACGGACAAGAGTGACGCGAGTGCGGCCGACCAGGCTGTTGTTTTGGAGAAGTTGCAGTCCATCCTTTCATGTCTGCCGTAACAAGATGAGTTCGGGCTCTATCATGGGTTTCTTGGTGATTGACATCACCAGAAACTGTAGGATTATAAAACATATTCTTTAGCCAGGTCATCCTTGACTTATGACGCTTGGCTGCCAAGGCTCATCATAACGTTGGGCTCGTGAGAGTGCAATAATGGATAATAATATTGGGTTGAAAGACAGCAGATATATATCTCCCAGCCAGAGGTCCTTGGAGTTTGACCTAGGGCGAAATACCTCGTGGCCTTGCACGATTCGGTTGCGGACAAGCTGGCTGCAGGTGCATAGCGCGATGTTATGGCGTGTGACACAGGCACTTGATTTGCCCTTGGAATACAGTAATAACACTTCATTGAGCTGAGCTACCATGGTTCGGATGCAACAAGCTACGGTTGATTGCAAGGCAACATCATGTACCGCCATTTGACCAATACATTACCCCTCTGACCCCTCTGCCCCTCCCCCAACACCGTTTTGCTCAAGATCAAACCATCCTGCGCGGTACTTGATGGCTGGACCACAAAAGGTCAATTTTCCCGGATTGTGTCGATCTCTTGATTACATATGAGGGACTCTCCTTTATTCGAATGCTCGTGGCTGACAGCTCCGGAAGGCGTAGTATTTCGACCCTTTCCAAAAGCAGAGTAAAAAGCCGATTGGAGTAATGGAAGCCCAATAAAAACTGAACAACATTCTCTCATATGGACCGTTGGTCTAGTCAAGGGTACCTGTAAGTCGGGTGGCGCGGCAATCCGGCTTCATAATGAGATTACTCCCTTAGTACTAGACTTGGTGGCCATATGCATCTACACGTCCAGTATATATAAGCTGAAACATATTCTCCCTCTTTCCTACCGATGGATCTACTACTTACGGTGCCTTAGGGACTTGAAAGGCGTCTCGGATAATTTCCTAAGCCTCCTTCTGTGGGGTACTTGTACCAACACCGCCGTAACAGTCAAGCTCTCGCCACATCTCTTTGGCGACCTTCAACACTACGCTGGCTCAGATCTCGAGGTCCTGACTGACCAGACCGATTCTCGCTTCCAGGAGTTTTCTCAGAATGTTCTGATATTGACCGCCAAATTCCAGCGGCTATTGTGCTTCCTGAATCGGAAGAGCAGATACAGAAGACAGCAAGTTACCCTGCAGTCGGCCGACTCGAATATCTTCCTCCAACCGTTGACACAGTTTGTTGTAGGTTCGTTGGGCTGTGCAGAACTCAGTGCCGTTTGTCACCAAGTTGGATGGCCACAGCAATCGGTCGACGGTCGGGGATGATGGATTCGTCATCGATCTGAGCAAGTATTCAGGAATCGAGATCGAGACACAGGGGCCGACCGCGAAGCTCAGAGGCAGTATTCTGTCCAAGTCGGGTGCCGTGCACTTGGCTAATGCTGGCTGCTTTACCGGTATGTCTCCTGGGTCGGGGCCTTTATATTGCCTTCCATCTTCTGATTTGGTCGTCCAGCTCTCGGTAACGGCACTTAGGTCGGGACCATTCCCTATTTTCTCAACGGTGGAACCTCCATTACCGCTTCGCTCACCGGCTACGGGTCCGACCAGATTTTGGCCGCTCATATGATCGATTCACGGGGCAATCTTGTCGAGATGACGCAAGAGAAAGAGCCAGACATCCTTTACGCAATCCGTGGAGCAGGCCAGTTCTTTGGCCTGATTGCCGAGCTGACCATCAAGATTTGGCCCTTGTCTGAGCTTGGCAATGTGGAGTGGACGTTTTATCTTCCCTCTGGAAAGAGCACGAGAAGTTGCCGAAGAAATGAAGGGAATTATGGACAACGGTAAAGAGTCTACTGCTGGTCTTGTCATGACCGTCTTCCCGCCTCCCTCCCAATAGCCTGTCCTGGTCATTGCGGGAAGATACATTGGCAATCCAAACAATGCCCACGTTGCCTTCGGCGCTCTTCATGCCTTGGGCCCTTTAGAGGCTGATGGCGGGCCTGTTCCGATTCAGAATATCAGCGACGGACGCCAGGCGCTAGAAGCGAAGGGTGGCTTCAAGACGTTTGGCACTGTCGGTCTGCGGCGTTTCGATATTGACAGATTCCTGAACACTCTAGACGTGTGGAAGCGCCTTGTGACTGAATGTCCGGATGCTATCAACACAACCTATATTTTCCAATGGGATTCGCGGCCCCCGAGACAGCCCGAATTTGAATCTGTGAATTCTCTACACGACATCAGATACTGGCAGTATGTCCTATGAGGCCACAATTCACTACAAGTCCAGCTGACCCGTATCTCTTAGGAACAACATCATATGGTACACGGATGTGGCAAGTCACAAGAGGGTAGCCGAACTGAATGCCGAGTGTATTGTGATCTCGAGGGGTCCAGACCAATCTGACTATGCCGATTTTCAGAACGCCACTTGAAAGGACCCGATTGAGCTTCGGTTCAGGGGAGAGGGTAAGATGGATAAATCGCGGGGATTAAAGAAGAAGTGGGATCCGAGAGGAGCCTTTACCAGACAGCTTCTAGACTAAGGTGCCTGGTATTTTCGAGAGAAATCATGGATGTTTCCTGACAGCGCGATATCAGGAGCAGTTGTTTGGGAGAACATCACCCTGGTTCAGATACTTCAGGAATATTCCATGAACTATCTATTGACTCAGGAAATGAGTATTGACTTGATTGGGCAGTTGCAATACTTGTAAAGAGCACATTCAGCGGCAGGTTGAGGCGAGAGCTTTGTGTTTGTTAGCATAACGTGCAAGCCCAGCAATTGTCTTCCTACCAAATGGATTCTGTGAACACAACCACTCGAAAAGGCTCTCATGCCGTCTCTAAACTTCCTACAAGACAAACTCTCCCTCTAGGCACTGAACCGCATGTCCGCTAGCAAGGCGCAAATGTACTTTATATCCTCGCCATCTTTTTCGTAAATTTGCACACTTACTCAGCGTTTTACATCTGAGCAATTGTTTGAATATCTAGTTAGCTAAACTAACGAAGCCAGTCAGGCTTTCGACAAGCATCCGAGTAATGATGTGGAAATGGTGAGCCCTGGCACCGAAGCAGGCTGCTGCATGGAGAAGTCATGGACCACAGCTTGAAACGGCCCCTGGCTGTCACCACCTGCCACGCTAGCAATGACTAAGGGGCTATTCCAAAGTCCAAATTGCAAGGCCCTACTAAAGTATGTTGCCAAACACTGCACGGAATAGAGAAAAAGGTATGTAGATGTTTCTCAAAACCACAACTGTATTCAACAGCACTCGTTGGCTGTGTTCCTTTATTGTATTGAGACTCTTTGAAGCTGCAAGAGATGACCTGTCCACCAACATGATTCTAAGTAACCCAATATTAAGTGTTGTCCACCCAAGAATCAAAATCATCCCTTGTTCAAATTCTCATTGGTTCTACTCTGTATCAACTAGAAGTCTATAATACACGTCGCCGACATGTCTGATCGATACGGCAAGCCTGGCCAAAGCGTTAGACTACTACCTAATGGATATCAGAACCACCAGACTCACCTAGACATTCTGAGAGTATCCAGACAGAGCAACATCTCCAGTCACTGTATTGGTGTTGTTGGTAGCTTGCATTGTGTTAGGTCTGACCCTGATGGCAATGTATAAGGGAGAAATACCGTCAGCTGCTTCTGTTTGCCAGTGGTGGCGAATGCAGTCGAAAATGGCAACAGAGGTAGCAACAGTCGTAAGTGACAGTGCTGTGACCATGATGACTATCTGGGTAGGCAGGGCCATGTCTTAAGTAAAAGAGGACCACAATCCGGTCTGGTTGAGACACAATATGTAGGGTGGTGGGAAACTCAAAATTATGATGACACTCTCTTCAGAATTCAAGATGTGACATGATCATAGCGAGACGAACCCATCTCTTTATATTACCAGGCTTTCGTGGAGAGCATCCATTATCAGCCAAGTGCACTCTTTCCAAGCCCTAATGGCGCTCTTCCATACCCCTGTTTTCGGGTTTTGTAGTATGCGATCAATGTCGGAAAGTCTGAAACTGGACGTCATATTTTCAGCAGGAGCCTTATGAGTAGACCCTGTTTTTGGGTTTTGCTTTCAACGGTGTAGTGGCTGTAGCTCTATACGAAAATCCCTCCAAAGTCAAGACCCTTGTTTTTGGGTTTTGTAGCTGGCCAATTGCTTCCAGCTTACACGTTGAGCTTATGCAGGTCGATAGGCTATGTAACCCTGCCTCTTGCCCGGCATCTTGGGCACAGAGCAGACATGTCCCCTGTTTTTGGGTTTTGCATCGAGGTAACATCATCCTAGCGTTCAGCCACACTGGGAAAAACGAATCACTGTGCAGAGCGTCTGTCCCGTGTCAGCGCCACGTCAAGGCTGCATATAAGAATATACTTCTCGTAAGATGAATTTTTGGGTTTTGTTAATTGGATAAGCTGCATCCGAAAGCATGTGATTTTTTCAAAGATAAATATTTGGGTTCTGTTAATTGAATCATGTGTCAATTTTACCAAGACAGGCATGGCGTGCAACTCATAGATTCGGTATTTGCATTGCGATGGCTTGAAGACCCCTGCTGGATAACTGCACAATGCCGCTCGTAGATGCGAGCCTCGTGGTGCATTCCAATATATATATCAGGGCGCCTGTACCCCGCTCCAAGGTGTGCCTTCTCCCCGTCAGCATAGACCTCTGTCTAGGAACTGTCTCTTTTCCTGCACAGCTGAGTCTCTCGAGCAAGCAGTTCTCACTCTCAGAATACATCAAAATACGGCCCTTTGCTAATTACCTGTGAGAATCCTTACATTCTTCGGTTCATATCTGTGGCATCTTGCTTGGGACAACAAGGCTCAGGTCAGATCCAATGCCTAAATCCAAAGCTCAGCGGCGGATCGATGAGTGGGAACTACACAGGAGAGATATCTACCGTCTCTATGTAGTGGAGAATCATTCCGTCGCTTATGTTGCTCAATACATGGAGCGTCATGGACTTCACAAACGGTGAGTGAGATGGATCCGACTTTGTTTCATATCACATTCAACTCACAAGCTGTATGTTCGGAAGGCCAAAAGACTACGAGTATCGCCTAGCGAAATGGAAATACCACCAGAACCTTCCTCAGAAGACCTGGAGGTGGATTGATGCCCAAATATCCAAAAGGCAGGGAAGGCCAAGCCAGGTCTTTGTCTCTGGGATCCCCTGGCCAATGGACAAGGTCCGCAGCCGAGCGGCACGACATCTACCACGAAACTCACTGGGTAATGACTGCAATTCTCAATCTTCCAGATGTCCTCAGTCCGGAATGCTGATCGGTAATAGCTCGCTCTCCTTCACCACCACCATCAGACTTTCTAGTGCGTGTGCAGAGTCCATCTCCACTGCTCGATACTGCTAAATGGCCTGAGACCTTGCCGTGGCTACAGTGGGACCGTGCATTCCAAGGTAAAATACTATTCATTCTCCTAAAGAAGCCCCACAGCCTCTAATTAAATCTGCGATATAGAATATGTCAGACTTACGTCCTATAAATGCACGATGATGTCGACCAGAGTCATGCGTCGTGAACCCTCAGTCGTGGAGCTATTGCGACAATATTCGTCCTCCCGATCTTTCAACGATGACAAGAAGATCAGAGCGGTCCTTGAGATCATCCGTCCGCAAGTCCATGAAGGTGACCATGCGTCAACTGCGGACATTTTCCACAATGGCACTCCAGAGTCTGTCACCGTGGAATTCATTCGTTTGGTTGTGTACCTGATGTCCAACAAACGTCTGGGCGATTTGAACCATGTTCTAGGTTCTGGCATCTACCTCGAAGATAACAGCACCATTCTTGATATCCTTCGATCCCTTGGCCTGCTGTCGACCGCCAGTCTGGATCGGTTTCAGCAGTCGGGGTCAACAGGTCGTGCATTTCTGGATGCTCTGCTGGGTTATGTCATTACCGATGACAAGAGTTGTGATGTCCTGGCCTGGTTTATTGAGAACCCTCGTTCTGGTCCTAATTGCCTCACAAAACCACAACTTCATCTTCTTGATATTCACAAAGCTTTTGACCGGGGATTTTATCCGGAATTCGTACAGCCTCTGTTGCAAGCTGCATTCTTGTCGATAAATCTGCGGGCAATTGAACAACTACTGGATGCCGGTGCAGACGTCTATGGAACCACCAACGAGTCCGATCCATCGCCTTTGGAGTGCGCAGCCTCGATCCGACGACATAGGTCCGCTATAGAAGTGGCGAGGCTTTTGCTCGACAAGGGTGCGAAAGTACGACCAGCTTCAGAGATCCAAGACAGATACGACGCTCTATCGCTGGCAATAAAGAGGTCGAATACATGCTTGATCACAATGCTGGTTCAGGAGGGCGGACCACATGCAGTAATCAACCATAATCACTTCAGAACTGCAGTGGGATATGCGGACCACCACACAGTCTTACTAGTCTACGACATGATCACCTCAAAGCTCACTTCTTCGAGTCCGCACACGTTGGCTCTTACCAGAGATGCACTCCTCAGGGGCAGCCTGGTGCGGGCCAGCACAACCTTTCACCGTCTCGACCAAGAAGCCTGGGACCTCAAGGTGGATACTCTATTGAAACTCGGTGCGCATGCAAACGGCTCATGCTATAACGAACAATGTACTATTCGGCCATTAGAAGCACTACTTCTGGGACAGACGGGGCCGCACGAATCATTGCATACGGCTACCTCGGTCAAGCTGCTACTCGACCATGGAGCTCTGCCAGAAAGATCAAAATCTAATGCATGTTGGGGTAGTCAACCCTCTGCGCTCCAATATGCCATTAGAAGTGGCAACGAAGAAGCAGTCGAACTTCTGCTGGAGGCAGGTGCCGATATTGATTACTGTTACGGCAGTGATCGGAGGACCAAAGGACTGAGACTCTGTCATGACCATTATGAGAGTTCAATCCACGACCATCGATGCTCACCATTACAAATGGCCCTGACATGCAGACAGACCAAGATTGCGAAGAGGATTTTGACACTGAAACCGGATCTGAAGCTTTGGGGGAATGAAGTGGCATTGGCCGTCGAATGTAACGATGTTGAGCTGATCACGATGCTCTTGAACGTGGGTGCCCAATTTGACTCGAATGCACTAGTCGACGTCACGAGGGGGCACATTGGGGAACCGTCAGTTGCCAAGTTTCTTTACGAAGCCGGGTTCGACCTTGATCTGAACCAACTGCTCGACAGAGCCATCGAGGACTACAATACCGACAGTATCAGCCAATATCTCTTCTGGGCAACAGAGAACAGTAGGGCTCAGCTGCGCCCGGAGACCCTATTGGAGGCTGCGATACTCCTGGGTGATCAGCAACTAGCCAGCAATGTCCTCACGATGGCCAATTATAGGTCTCGGATATTGTGCCAGGCGGTCATCCGGTGTTCACAAACCAAAGACTTCACGATTGTCAATTATCTTCTCAGTCAAAGGAAGACCGGGCCGAATGATGACTGGGAGGTCCTCGCTGTATGGTGTGCCGCCAGCAATCGCGATTTGGAATTGCTCGAGACTCTGATGAAAGTCTTAGGCGATGGCCCTTGGGTCACTCGGCTTAGTCATCATCTCCAGCTTGGTTGATTCAATTCGGTATCTCCGGGACGAGCGATACAAATTGGGACCACAGCACATCCTAGAGCACTTTGGGCTTCTTGACAGCGAGACCGGCGATGCGCGGCTCGTTCAGATGTTGATCAGCCACGATGTCTCCGTGTGGACGTCCGAGGTAGAGATCCACGAAAACACGCCACTAGAACACATTATAATACATGGCAAAAGATCCCTGGCCGTCATGAGGACCCTTCTGGAGGCGGCAAACACGCAACCGGAATCTGGCGGTTTTCATAAGGATCGGTTATCGAAAGCCTTGCAGTTTGCGTTCAAATACCGGTGCATCGAGGAGGCAAAGCTTCTCATGGATTACGGTGCCGACGTGGATGCTCCGCCAGGCTACTACGAAGGACGTACCTGCCTCTAACTGGCCGCCGGAATGGGTAACATTGGTATGGTACAGTTTGCACTACGCCATGGAGCAAAGGTCAACGGGAAAAGGTCTTTGATTTACGGGAGAACAGCTATTGAGGCTGCTTCTGAAGATGGGAGGATCGACGTGCTGAAATTGTTACTTCTGCAAGACGAAGACCTTTTGGGGACAGCCTCTTCAAGACACCAATTCGTCCGAGCAACCAAGTTTGCCTGCAAGCATGGCCACTTTGAAGTCGTCCGGATGTTGAAAGGACATATTCAATGGACGAATGAGGACGAAGACACCCTCCAGAATAATACGGACATCGACCGAGACGTATTCGTGGATGAGATGACTGAAAAGCCATCTGAACTCGAGAAGCAAGATCGGCGTTTCTTGGAGTGGAGGGTATACATTCTACGCCATCAAGAGTGGATGACACGTTTTACAGACAACAACAGCCAGTTGGATATCCATGATTGGATCGGGGAACTGCCAATCGGCGACTGGTCAGTTGATTGCAATACATGCGACGACTCCATTGTCTCTTCCGAGGAACAGTCAAACACAGGATCTGAGGAAGAATCCGAAGACGAACTTTCCACGACAAATAACCAAATCGATATCTTGGAAGCAGGAGCTGCCTTGAGCCTTGACCAGCCAAACCCAGGACCTGAGGAATGGGGCGAGACTAATTATTTGACGGGAGATCATGATATCATTATCTCAGAAGCAATTGCTATTTTGAGACCTGACCAATCATACCCAGAACTGGAGGAATGGTACGAGGAAGGGCATCCTACGATGGATGACCCCATTGATGTCTTGGAAGCAGGAGATACGTTGAGTCTTGGCCAGGGAACCGGAGAATCCTTTCCACACCCATCGGAAACTGGCGGACTTGCCTGCAACATGGATGAACTTTCTATATCAAACGGCCCCTTCTCCTGGGACATTGGGAACGGTCAAGCTCCTATGAATCAAGAGGACTTCTGGCAAATTGGTGTCAATCAGGCGAATTATGATGATAGCATGATGGATGTTTCGATATGATAGACACTTTGTTTGGTAGGATTGCGTACTGTTCAAGACACACTTACTTCGCATTCAGCTACTTGATTCGACTTACAAACCCATGAAAAAACCTCTATGATTAGATATCACAAAATGATTTCTTCCAGGTCTTACCAAGGCGCTCATCGGGCTACGAAGCTTTGAACGATCTCACAGTATTCAACTACAGTAATAGACATCAAAGACGCAAGGTCTCTTCTTGTTGTACTGTCCGGTACTCTCTGTGAAGTAATGATACATATGACTTATGCGTAGATGGCCTGGGCCACGATTCTCCCCCCGTGGCAATCAATTCAGCAAGCCGTCTCTCCTTCGCCTGACTTATCCCTCCGAGCGACAGCAAGTAGTCGGTATTTCTTCAAAATGAGTCACATCATTACACAGCCCGGCCTAAGGATATTTCATTTCTGTCAAAAATAAGTAAACTGTCTTTTGCTCGTGCTACAGACATTCTACATGACAACCTAGCTCGGCCCAGACCCTTTGGGAGGCCTCGGCACAGGGCTCACAATACAGGCCTGCATGAACAACACGACCGCGGCGTTCACTAAATTGACTACCTGCTGACATGCAGGCGAACAACACAGTTGCGGCATGGACTAGCCTGGAAACAGCGTAGCTTTATGCAACACCGGCTCCGGGCCTACCCAGGTGATTTCAAAGACACAGTCGTGATGTTCGCCCTTCTGCGACCGAGCGCAGCTTAATGTATCGCTAGCTCTCCCATGCCTGGCAGGAAATATCTGTGGCGTCCAAGTGACCAATTGCCATGGTCTGAAGGATAGATGCGCCTCGCTTCACCTCAATTCTGTGGGATAATTGGCTAGGGCTCTGTCGTCGCGAAGGCCACCATTGCGGTGTTCGCCCAGGCGTGAGAAAGTGGTTGCTGTGTCGCTGTAACGCTGTAACTTGTCATCAGCTGCAGCAGACAACAGTAGAACAGAACCCATGATAGAATGAACAAAATCTGTCTTCAGGCAGGGGGAACTCTGTTCCCTTTCTATTTTTTTCAGGATGCCCGGTGGGACTTGTCTGCTAACCAACTTGATTTTACTCACGACCATACACTCAATGCTCGCCAGAATGGGCCCCGAAATCTAGTAAATTACTTCAGAGAAACACGGCGCCAAGAGGTTTCCTTGTGGGGCGATATAAAGTACAGCCAGTGTCGGGATAGAGTCAGGCGTCTTTTTCCCACACTCTCGCAGGACATTGCGAATCACGGGTGAAATGGACGATATTCTGTGGATTTGCGTAAGTCGCCGGCCAGATCCAAGACCTATTGATCCAGCAAACAGTATATGTCACAGGCTGGTCTCAGAGCTGACTTGGGTGTACAGTGTCGATGTAGTGAGGCCGTGCAGAACACGTTCACGATAACACCAAAGTGTATCAACCGCGGGTGCGAGCATGTATTTTGTGTATACTGCACCGCTGAAACAAGAAGGGTCGTGCAAGGAGACATAACTACCGACCCGCTGGGCCAGCCAGGGTTTTGGGGGTCTTATATCAACAGTCAGGGCCAGAATGCGGCTCTGCCGAGAGAGGCTCCAGCACCCCCAGCAATGGAGCCGCACCAGGACCTAGCAGCCTTTCCACCCCTGGAAATGCCGATGGATGTCCCATTTGCATCATTCCACGCCTCCTCCCTCGATATTAGTGCAGGCGTCGCGCCGCAGAGCCTCACAAATGACACACTTTCATGGCCTTCCGATAGTCTCGCTCTCGCTGCTCAGCCCGGCCACCTTCTGGCCAGCCCACCGCTTCATTTTCCACATATTGCTGCTGCTAGTGACTCATACAACTTGCAGAGCACTTCGGTCCCAATATTCAACGAAGCCGCGTATATCAATGGGCCCGCAAGTGCTGCTCTCTCAACTATTGGCCAGCCTACTTCTTACGGTGCTGTCGCAGACCGTCACATCACGGCTCTTCAACAGTCCAAAGAGCACTCGCCCAACTTCTCCTTCACACCTCAGCCTGGGCAGATCCAGGGCATGCACACATCAGACAGCGACTCTTCTTCGACTGAGAATGATGTGTCGGGGCGACAGAAGACCCCCAGAGAGCGCCGATTCCGCTGTCCCTTCGTGTACCACGATGCTATGAAGTACCGTGGCTGTCTGAAGCGCGGCTTTACACGCATCGGAGACCTGAAACAACACCTGCGGCGACGTCATATGAAGCCTCTCTTCTGCGGCCTGTGCAAAAAGAAGTTCAAGTCCGACGCTGAGCGGAAAGCCCACTTGGGAAGCGTTAAGCCCTGCCGAGCGAGGATGGGCAGCGAGCCTGAGGGGATTAGCGAGAGCCAGAGAGAAAGCATGAGCCGCTATCCGAAGGACCGAAATGACGGTGTGGCGCAGTGGAACATGATCTGGGACATTATCTTCCCAAACCGCGTCGAGATGAAGCCATATTCGCCATTCATGGATGAGCGTCGGCCCGATGAAATCGCCTCCCTGGTTGCTTTCTTTCAGAGTAAGGCCCGACAGATTCTCGGGACCAATTCTTCAACCAGGGATTCAGTGGACCAGATCATCTACGGTGCCCTGATCGTCATTGGCGAGTGGGAGTCAGCAAACGGCATCGTGACTTCAGATGCCCCCATCAACATCTTGGGACCCAACATCCGACAGGCTCTTAGCTGTCAGCAGAAGAGGCCGAGCGGTGTGGCCAGCAGTGATGACCGCATATTCGCTCCCGTGGACCTTCACACGGCGCCTGAGTAGTGGTAGCTGGAGGAAACCTGGACAAGGGATCGCATGAACTACTCATGGTGACATTGGCGTCGACAAGACCGCGAGTAGTTTAGTCGTGCCAGGAGAAGGTATTTTGGGGACCATAATTTCCAAGCTTTCTTTACTGGAAACTTAGTCCCACATTCTTATCACCGGGCAGAAGGGACAGCTGTGGGATTACTCCTTTAAGCAGATGCAAGGTGGTGCATGGAACAAATGCCCACGACGCTTCCTCAGGAAGTAAGCATACAACCCTCCTGCGATGTAGACGGCCACGGCTGATATGACAACAGGGTACCTAAACTGATCTGGACGAGAAAATACGACGGTCGTGGCATAGGAGAGCATCTCGAACAGGTTCTGGAACGAAGCCTCGACGGCGGCGAATGTGCCCCGGTGGTCATCCTCGACTTCCTACACATCAGACAGTGTCAGTCCATGTTGGATCATCACGAAGACACAGCAAGAAGGTTCAAGGCTCACATCTTGTATGATATTCTGGGCAGACAGGTCATACCCCCATAAGCCGACTCGACTCAAGGCCACACCCACTGCGAGGCCAGTGGCAGAGGATAGACTGCTCGTGCCCGCCCCCTCATTAGAGTCTGAGAAGTACCAGCCTAGGGCGCCAGCGAGACACGTCATCTGCCAGGCCAGGCTCCATATGCCGGCGCGGACGACCCCGATCTTCCTCATCAACAAGGGGGCGGCCCAGGTAGCACTGATCTCGAAGATGCTGCTGCCGACGCGGGCCACGCCGACGTTCCACGAGGTGTAGCCAATGGAGACAAGGTAGGTGATCATCTGGCCGGAAAAGGACAGGACAGTGAAGTAGAGGAGTGATAGAGCAAACGATGGTAGGAACGCAGGGTGTCTGAAGTAGAATGGTAGTGATTCGATAGGGAGCACGCTGTTGATGACCTTGTACAGGACCGTCCTTGTGGGTGCAAGCCTCGGCCCATGATTCGAGCCTCCTTCGACTTCGCTTGTGGGAGCAGTAGGCCCCCTTGTTCGTTCAAGGCCACGAACTCGTTTGTAAACCTACAGGCCCATTCAGACAGTAAGAATAGGAAGACTTGTCCTCAACAGATACGAAGTGCCTTACCTGTTCAATGAAGATAGTTTCTACGAGCACGGATGCAACGTTCATGCCCAGTGTCGTATAAATGGCAATCTCAGTCGAGGCGATGGCCACCAGAGAAATCGTGAGAGGCCCCACAAGCTTGCAGAACAGATCAATGCGGCGCATTCGGGCATTCATAGCTATACGATGTGATAAGTGACGCGCTGCATAATGTTTAAAACAGGGATTTGGACTCGAGATTTACTCACATCGTCGAGCAGCTTCGTTGCCCTCAGTGATGACGACAACCCAGTCCCGTTCAACCGATATCGTGTTCATCGTAGAGCACAGCTTTTCCACCACCGCCAGGAGCACAATGGCCCCAAAGAGACCGGCATGCTTCTGATAGCCCGCCCCGTCTTTCCCTCTCTCCAGGATCAGCAGCAGGGCGCAAGATACAGCAACCGGAATTCTCTGTCCAACAATGGACGTCCGGATGACGATGAGCCGGTTGCCCTTGTTGATCCAAGTCCCCAAGGGCTGCGAGAGAGCAATATACCCTGCATTACGCACAAGGGAATATATCGAGACCGGGAGCAGGGTTCCAGGAAAGACGGACGTCAGGAAAAGAGCTGCGCCAAACTCGAAAAGGCGCGAGTTCCAGGTGGAGAGGAAGTGTGAGGTATACAATCTAAAGGCGACTGATCTGGGCACGCCGGCGCCGACACCTGTTAGATCGAACTCTTCCTCGCCATGCTCAACTTGGTGCAGGAGGTGATGACCGTCACTGAGGTCGGCTGTCGCATCGGCGTCTCCTATGGGTGCATGAGGCATATGTTGTCGAGAACCACCCAGGCGGGCGACCTCGGCTGTGTGTTGTGCTGTGAGGTTCTCGTCTTGGACCATGAGTAAAGCGAGGCAATGAGAAGCTCTATGAGAAGCCAACAACAACTTTGCAGATATTCAAGACATGGTGTGACCTCTGAGAATGATGCATGCGTCGTGAGGGCTGGTCTTCACGTCCACTTCAAGGCCAAAGAGCCAGTGACGGCCGAGCACGGGCGACAGTGATTTAGCACCAACCCACTTCGCCCGTGCCGTTAACGGCTCTTTGACGGCTCCAGTGTGCTCCACTAAACGTTGTAGAAGCTAGCCTAGCTTTGCTCCAGTGATCCTCGTCTCGGTGGAATTTGCCGAGTATAAATATAGAGTTGTTTCAAAACCCTCCAATCTTGGCTTGCCATTATGACAGAATCACCTGCTTGCTCTCGTAGTCTCGTGGAATCTGGTTCAAACAATATGAGCTCACTGGTAGCGAGCTCTCCCACCCTTTTCCTCATCTTATGAAGGGACATGAGTGATTGCATGAGGTACGGGCGAACTCGTCATCAACTCACTCACCGAGTCCACCTAGGCACATGACACCGCTCTCGCCAAGTTACAGCGCAGCGGACCGTTACTATTACTACGGTATGTCCTTCACTGTTGCATGCGTGGTGGGCAGGTTGTTCTATCGACCTGTCTCCGGAAACAATTCTAGACCTAGCTTGCCCGTGGAATCGATCTCTTGGGGTGGAGAATATTCTGGAGATGAATTATGGAGAAAAGGTTCCGGGCAGGTCTTCTCGGTCTAGGCGGATCAGTGGATGCCACATGAGACACCTGAAGCAGTAAACAATTAATGCTGTCGCCATGCAGATGCCTCATAACTTGGCTACTGCACGGACGGCTTGTTGTTCTCCACATCTCCAGAATGGTCGACTGGCTAGCCTGGATGGCAGGGACCGTAATCTTCTCTCGAGTGCCTGTCTTGCAGGTGCAAGGCTGGGTGCGCTGAAGAACTGCCGGACCGGATGCTTGTCCTTAGGCGACTAGGTCCGCAGCCACTGCAGGCAGTGCAGCTGCAGATCACAAGCCGATAGTGCCGCTGTCGCGATTCGACCTTGGTTCGGCACAATGGTGAGTGCGGCAGACCCTTTCTGGCATTGCGAATTATGCGCCGCTGAGGCATGTAACCACGATTTGAGGTTCGGCTTTTGTGTCTGCGTCCGACACTTGGGCGCAGTCCCACTCATAATGCACCACTACCACTTTTTATGGAAAATGGAATGACGGGGGGCATGAACATCAGTGGACACCCAAAGGCACGGAATCCCGCAACGTGGGCCTGGGTCAACCCAGTTTCTTGTCAGGGGAGAGAAAGGCTTTTGTGTTCTAGAAGACCTCAACACAAGAAGTGAAGATGGCTCAACACCGTGCTCTACATCAGAAGCTGAGCACGTACAAGTTCGCGTATCGGACACAATTTCGATCATCGTAGATCTCGAGTCGCTCGGAAAGTAAAAACACGATCGCCACAATACAAGAATAGTACATAAACGAGACCATACACATGGGCTCTTGACTCGTGTGGTAGCAAAGAACAAGGGACAAGGCAAAATTCCTGCTGTGGCTGCGACTTGTCGTCGCCTGGGTGTGGGCCCATCGTCAACGTCTTCACCTGCCCCCGCCACGCCATGTCGTCGCCCGCATTCTACTGCTGAAACGCATGGCCGACCAGGATCAAAAGGGTGCTCGGCCGAGCCAGGCACGCCAGTCTCTCGCCAGTCAAGCATCGAGAATGGCATGTTTGTCTGCCCTCCACATTCAGGGTGGAGCCAATGTACTGTATGTCAAACACACTAGATAGAAGACGACCTTCCCTTGTGATGCCCCAGTTCCGTCCCGTCATGGCCTCTTAAAACGCCATACGCCAGATGCTGTGGGACGCTTCTCAATAAGAGTGCTTTCTTCCGGCGGCTACCATGCCTCTTTCAGGGGCCCTCCTCCGATGCCGAGGACCCGCGGCAGTGGTGTGGAGGAGGGCTTGTCCCGGAGGGGTTGGCGAGGCGGATGGGTTAAGCCTTCAAGCATGCTGCATGTTGCATTATCGCCACACCAGACTTGTGTCCGTCCAGAAGTTCTGGGGCTCAAAGGGTTGACTTCTTGTTTGCAGGCCACGCAGGCACAGCATCGCCCCCTTTTTCAACCGGGGGTTTGCCCAGCGGTTCCCTCTCTGCTTTCACTTGAGTTTTTTTCCCCTTCTCTCTTTTTCTTTTTCTTTTTTTCCAGTAATCATGACGGTGTACATCCGTGAGGACCTACATTCAATGCATCATCATCCTCGACTCCGCGTGCACTGAAATCGACCACCGACATACCGTGCCGCGAGGATGACGACGACTGGAAATATGGACGTGGGGTCGGCCAATAGCACCGTCGATGCGATGGGTATACAGAGCGGCAACCTCGGGCCCATGATTCTCGCTGTGTGCTGGGCTATGACGGCTGGTGCAGCGGTGTTCCTCGGGGCGCGGGTGTTTGTCAAGTTGACGACGCATAAGCGACTGTGGTGGGACGACTGGCTACTGGTGGCCTCGTTCCTCATGCTGGTAGCATTCTCGACGACGACGTCGTACGGAGTGAAAGCGGGCATCGGCAGGCATCATGCCACGACTGGAAAAACCTCCCAAACTAACGAGCTGCAGCTCGTTGTTGTTGTCGCCACTGTCTTCTCCGTGCTGGGCGCGTCCTGGTCCAAGACGTCCTTCGCCATCACTCTCCTCCGGATCACGACGGGCACCATACACTACATCGTCTGGTTCATTATTGTGTCTATGAACCTGGTCCTGACCTTCAACGCTATCCTGCAATTTCTATGGTGTCAGCCAGCGTCGGTGGCCTGGAACAGCGGCCATGGTGGCACGTGTTGGAGTCAGAATGTTATTGTCTACTACAGCATCACTGCAGCAGCTTATTCGGCTGGTATGGATATTCTGCTCGCCGCTGTACCGTGGGCTGTCATTATGCGTCTGAAGATGCATACGAAGGAAAAGTTGGGTGTGGCCGTCTGCATGAGCCTCGGTGTAATGTAAGCCTCCTCTTCCTCTATTACATCAGATTTAGTCCCTTGCGCTGACAAAAACGTATGTATAGCGCCGCTATCACATCCATCTTCCGTGCTTATCACATACCTGCCCTCTACTCGAACGACTATTCATGGGACGAGTCTACACTCTTTGTCTGGACCGCCGCTGAAATGGCAACCACCATCATCGCTACATCAATCCCTGTGCTGCGCGTCCTCCTAAGCAAGGTCGTGAGCTCAACCCGGCGCGACCGCGGCGAGTCACAGTTCGCCAACACGTTCAGGACGGGCACCTATGCCTGCAGCACCGTGAGCAGGGGCCAGAGCTACAGGAGGATGGGCGACGGGACTTATACCCGTAAAGGCGGCGATGGAAATCTCGTCGGGATCAGTGAGAGCGGCGAGAGCGTGTCCAGCCTAGTCATTACGTCTGAGAAGGGCGCGGACAGGGATGTAGAGCATGGGGGCATTCTGAAGACCGAGGAGATCATGGTTAATTATGATCGACTTAGTGTTCATCAGGGCGGTATTGATAGCCATGCAGGCAACTCGGCGTTGGGGTACGAGTTGCGAGAAGTACCTAACGTCTATGTAAGATCACAGTGACGGTTGGTGGATTAGCTAAGGTACTTGCCTAGAAACGTAGAAAGTAAAAGGAACAAAATATTTACATTCAATATGGGCTTGTGAAATTCCGCTGGTAATTTTATTTTCTAACCTTTAATCTCGGGCCTCCACAGTAATCCATCAACCTTCCTTTTGTTACACAACTGACCTATCGAAAGTTATTATGAATGAGAGCATGGATGCCTTGCTAGAAAAAAAGGGAAAGAAAAACGGAGGAACCTTGAGGGAGAGAGGGGGGGACAGCCGGCTACGTGAAACTATCTAGGCAGACGAGAGGGTGCCTTGCAACAGTGGGGGCCAGTGACTCGCTGGCCCTCACACAAAAGTTCTATAGATGACCTAATACGGAGATTCCCACCGGCTTCGTTCCCAGTTCTGTTATTCATTGCCCGTTTCCATCTATGATGACGTGTGAGGCTTGACAGACCAAACTCTTTCAGCTCTTCTCCATTACTTCAGCCCTCACACCGCCTCTCTCCCTAATATAGTGTTTGTATTATCTTCAAACGACCGTTGTTAGTTTTCCAATGAACGTTACAGGATACATAAGCGCGTTAATTTTTGTGACTCGTAACCTTTGCAACTTCCGCTCAAGTCTTCTTTATCCTGTCTGTCACCCTCGCTCAAGCTTGAAAGACGAGGCTGTATAATCACTGATTACAGTAAATCCTCCACATGATACCTTGGTACTATTTGCAATGCTGTGTATCTGCTCTACCTCCTTCGAAAACTAAGCTCTCGAAACACCGGGTCATATACGTCGTCTTCGAGAGGAACAATAAGAGGAGACAAAGGAAATTCGTGATCATCTGATATATACAAAGATTTATACAAAATTCTAGAGCACTTTGCCTTGAATGTCGTTTCTCATCGTGTTGAATAAGTTTCCGCTCCTGGTGAAGGTCGCCACTGAATATGATTGCCGTATTGAGGCCGAAGCTGTAGTTCATAGTCGCAGCTCCACAAATGAAGGGTCACCGACTCCAGTGTGTTGGTCCTAGTCGTAATCAGCTCCAGGATACGATCTCTTAACGCATTTGCCTTGGCCGCTGACAAGACGATGGTATGGCGGTGGTACAATACCCCCAGAACCTGTAGCAAAGATAGATTTGAGGAAACCAAGCTGCTTGTTGCGGGCCGTGAGTCAATCCTGGTCAGAACTTGTTCCAGCAACTTTAGCGACGGGCCAACGTGTCCCAGCCTCCATTCGAGCTCGGCCATCCAGAAGGCCTTGTCTTCCGGATTGATAAAGTCGACCAGACTAGAATTGCCCGCCTCCATCAGAAGTCCTTGCGCCTCATCCAGCTTCTGATGGCTAATCAGGGCTTCGGCTAATGCGAGTCTATTCTCCTGAGCGCTTGGGACCAAGCTTGGATCATCCTTTGATAGAATCAGATTGCGGCGCAGGACCTCCTCATTCTGACCACGCACCGAGCTTGGTACGTAAGCCTCTATGCGGAGCGATCCGATGTCGTTAAAGCCTCGTGTCTTCCTCCATACTGTTGGGCATGTCGCTGAAATGGTGTTGAGAAAATGCTCAGAGAACTCCGGGACGTCTTGAGATTCCAGTATTTCGAAGTAGATCGACCACATATTGTTGAGGGGGTGTTCCGGGCCGTACAACTCCCTGAAGAGATCCAACGAGTGCTTCACGAGAACGCAACAGACCCTAAAACATGCCTCAGATGCCGGATAACGTCTGTAGGAAGCGGCGATGTCCATAATCTTTTTATATATGAACGGGTGGTGCAAGTATATCAGGCCTTTCAAGTAGTTGAACGACTTGTTAATATCCGCAAAAGCTTGTCGCGTCCTGTTGTCGTCGGAGAGTGTTTGCAGTCCCCTTTGAAATAGCGGGAAGAAGTCGACATCGTCTTCTGTGACCAACCCAGAAGGACATCGGTGCTCTGTGCCAGGCTGGCCCTTTAACCAGATGCCGCCGATTTCCATGTCATGGCTGAGCCAGAGCTCCCAGTAGTGTTTGGCAGCCTCCACGGATTCATGTAAGCCAGGCGCCTTCATCCGCCGTGGTATCTCTCGGCTGCCAAATGCCCGTGTCGCTACCTCGGTGGGTGTCGGAGTGGCTCGACGTCCTTCTTGCAGAGAAGGACTGCCTTCTTTAGACTTCTCGAGGTGTCTTGCGATGCGCCGCTCAAAGTTGAGTCTTTTCGTGCCTGCCCAAAAGTCTTCTGGGTTTTTGTTTCCGGATATGAGCTCCCGAGCCTCGTGCTCTTTGATGTTTTTCCGCAGCCCCCACTTCTTGAAACGAAACTTATAGGCTCTCGGTCTTGCATATACATGTTTGTCAGCACTGATTCATATCGAACGTTTGCAGTTTTACGCAAGAGACTTTTGCATACGTACGTTGCATCGAAGCCATACTCTCTGCTCATATACTCTCGGACTGTCGGCATTGGAAGATTCTCTTCCCAGTAGAGGCGGGTGATCACCTCCCGATGACGATTCCATTGTTCTTCGGAATAATTATTAGACCCCCGGCTGGATCCCTCTGCTGGTGAGCCCCTTGACGAGGTCGTGTCGGGTTCTGACCTTCTGTCGCTGCTGAATTGACCATATGAGCTTACGTTGGACGAGAGAGAGTTTTCTGGGCTGGATAGGGTGACGGCCATATAATCAGAGGGTGCAGAAGGTGTATTGGCTTCCCCTCGGCCGGCGGCTCCGCTTGCTTGATTTGGAAGCAAGAAGCGGTCATGGAGAGGATAGTCAGTGTCTTCCGATTCCATTGCACCAATCGACTGGTTGCACTGATCGGACGAGCCTGCCTGTGACGAGTCTTGCTCATCCTGGTCTCAGTGTCGTACAACCTAGGCCTTTTATATCATATAAGCCAAATCATGTCGTTGCAAGCGTGTCTGCGAGTCCGTGCAACTGCAGAAAACCAAGGGAGCTGAGCTGAACTGGGCCCCTTATTGACAGAACAGCGCCAGGATCACCCCCTGGGGAATCATCAGGCGACCAAGCCCGACATGGTGGGTCTGGTCCACTGACTACTGGGCTGTGTAATCCTACCACTATGACGGTAGTAAAATGCCCTGAACGGTCGATCGAGTATGCAACAACACTGTAATGCCTCGAGACTCTGCTCACCAACGGCGAGTCTTGTTCCGATCCTGAGCCAGCAGTTACCTCAACCAATACAGAACGAGATACCGCCGTGGGAGTGTGTATCAGATTGACCCTGTCTTTGCCCTTCTCCTTTTCTCCCTTTCTTTTTTTGCATCTGCTTTGGCTGCCATGGCGTAGTCATACTATGATTAGTCTTTCCCCTTCAGGAGACGTGCATTCTTGACGGATTAATAACGCCTATGTGCTTACGGCGACAGTCCGCCCCCACTCGAACCATGGATTTGCGCAGGATTTCTGTATCGTCTTTTCACCAATCATATCGATCTAAACTTACATCCAGAATTCTGCATCACACCTGGTGGGCCTTATAACATAGCATACAGATTTCGGGATTGTCTTCGTGCGTCATAAAACCGTTATGGCCTGGGGTTAAACAGGTAGCGCACCGGTATCGCGGATATCCATGGGTCCTTGATTGGGACCACAGCACAGTCATATGATCTGGCCAGTCACGCATGCTCTTCATCGACTATCAATAGCGACGACCATTCCCCCCTTCTCATGGCATCCCGATAACTGTACGGTACCGCAGTACCACAGTCCTTCGGGGTGATTGGTAGGGGAGAAAGAAGTTCATCATGGCTGCCACACCAGCTCTTCATCGACCTCCTGAGAAGAGGTTGCTGCAATGTCTGGGTGATAAATTAGTCAGAATTTATCTTGTTCTTTGCTGAGTCAGCTGACCTCGCCCGTTCTCAGAGCAGCAGCCCCTTGGGATTTTTTGGGAGGGAATAATCCTACATCAATTTACCTGATTCAGATGTTTTCCAGAATGCTTCGATATTGTGTCGCCAGGTTACCAGTCAGCTTACCGCATACGTTCCTCGCTTCACAGATGCATGCAGTAGACGCCCACAGAGCCAGCAAGGAAAAAAGAGCAAAACAAACGTGATTGTGAATCTTGAAAAGGGCGTGTATTCAATCCATACACCAAGAGACTGAATTTGTCATCCGATCTGAGTCTGATCGGCGTCTAACCTCTAAGCGGCACTAACCGCGATGTTGTCCTTGTCGACCGAGCAACAAACCTTCTGCATCCTTTGGCCATTCTTTAGCCAACGTCCAATTGAGTCACTAATCGAACCCTAGAGACCGAAGACCAGTTTGCTATTTAGCCTCGTATAATTTCCCAAGTGAACAATCATGATTGGACCATAATCGACAGTGGCAACTATGCGTACCGTGTGCTCAGGGGATCGACGTGATTCATGGGCATGAATGGATCATCAGAATCCAGAACGGGCCTGGGAAACATCCATTCCGCGCAGCGAGAAATCGTCCTGGCCCTTTAAGATATACCATAATCTCATGGGTTTTAAGCTTAATATCTGCGGCTGATTCGCTGACATAAATACAAACCCCCATGCAATCTGCATTGGCGACGCATCCAATGGCGCTCGCACACTGGATCCTTTTCTACCCCACACCATTTCGATTGCGACGACAGAATCCGAGCTCCCTTCTTTCGTCTTTGGCGCGGATCTCTGGTGGCTGTCCAACATGCGCGTCCAATAACGTCATTCTATGCCTTTCAGTCACCTTTGATACAGCAGGTGTAACTTAATGCCGTGCTTACGGCCACGGCGGTATGCTTCCGCATCTACCGAAATTTTAAGTGGAGGTCCTTTTGGCTTACATACCTGGCCCACGAACTACCGTCTAGGCAGACTGTGCGGCTCAGCGTCTCATCCTTCAAGTTAATCACATAATCCACGGGCCCGTCTTGCTCGCTTCTTGTTCGGACCGCTCATCTCCTGCCTTTCGGCCGGAAGCACTGTCCCCCCCCCCCCCCCTCTTGAATCCTGGGTTTGATGTGGGGATAGCTTCAGCTGTCAAGTCCGGAAAAGCCGATCAATGCAGGAGTTTGCGAACCATGGGAACCAATCCTCCCGGGCTATGTGTGTGACTTGTCAGGGTATAACACCATTAAGGATCAAATTTACCAGTGTCCCGGGTCTGAACACTCCCCCACACTAGTTGGGCACCCCATCCTCGTATGAGGGATTGGAGCTTTCGTCGTGACAGCAGCTCAGCTGAAGGGGGCGGAGCCGTAGCTAGTGGACTCCTTCCACTTTGAGACATGATGCAAGGAGCGGTGGACCGATCCTCAGAGGTGTGTGACCATTTATACTCTCGTCACCTGTGCGGCGTGACTCTGCTTGGAAGGAAGGTCACGATAACCACGTCTCTTCTTGCCCCAGATTTATCCTTTGCAGAAAATGATAGGTCAAGAAGGAAGCCATCAATGTCTTAATATATTTTTCTACTTTTAGCGCGTAAAAAGACGGATAAAATATCTAAACCATAATGACTGCCACAATCATGTTTTGCTTAATTAATGGCCCAGCACCTGATTCTCGCCAGCAACCTATGATATGACAATCGGATCATAATTGTTTATGATAAACCAACCAGATGTGAACAATTTAACAAAATAGATGAATTCTATTGAGAAGAAATGAAGCGATTTTCGGTCCTCGGGGTAAGTCTATGAGAATGGTGAAATCTTTAGATATATACAAGCAGCAGACTGTTTACGTCAGCTCAAATGCAAAGCCATAGTCTGATTGGGGCCAGCCAGAGCGTCGCACCAGACACAGCTCTGGCTCTCTCTATTAATCGACACCCAAAACTCAATCACTCCATGCAATCTCTCACGTGAAGTGGATTAACGGAACTCGCTCCACAGAACCATCTACCGGGCGCAATTCGCTTATCTCGACACGCACGCCTTGGAGGATCGAATGGGCCGCCCCTGCATCAGACCATTTGCTGACTGCTGATCTCCGGCTTGTATACCCCAAGAACAGCGATCAACGTAACGGCCTCTATAATGTGCTGAATATACCATCCGTTCTACAAGCAGCTGGCCGTGCTGGGGAGGGGAGGTGATGCTGACCAAGAAGAACGCAGTCCCCACCGCAAAGCAGCGGCCGTTGTTTCTAGATCTGGTCCAAGGAGTGCGCCGGATTTCGGGTGCGGAATCTGGAGAAGGAGTCGATGCGTGTACAATAATGAAAGCCTACAAATCGCTTTTTCAAAACTGATCTTATTATGAAGTCGCTGTGTATTCTCACCTACTTCGTGCTCAATTGTCATAGAAGCAGATGATTAAGACTCCACGCCGGTTTTGTTCATTCCACATGAATAATTCGCAAACACCTAAGACGGCATCGTCAGGCGTACTAAACTTATGTTCACAGGAGGCCAAGTCTGCACGAAACCGGAGAAAAAATAGCTGAAGGCCTTTTCCCATGCTAATGGTAAACTGCATCAGCTAGACACCCCAAGGATAAAACTGTTTGCCAGTGCTGGACAATACCTGCAAGGCATGATGTTCACAGTATGAGTTGACCGACTGCTTGAGTATGAATGAATGACCGAATCAAATGCCTCAACTACTCAACCACAAACCCCCTTCTATTTCAAACTGTCGCCTCCATATTTCGACCAAGCTGCTTTCGCTATACCACGAATTTACTTTCCAGCGTTGCCAACATCACAGCACTCGGCGTCCCACTCCTGGACATCACGGCCTGAGTTCCCAATTCTGTGAGCATGACGTCTTCCATTGGTTGTTTTCGTTATGTATGGAGCACTTACCTTCCACGGGCACGCTAGGAGCAGCCGAAACGGCCACAAGAGACATAGCCAAGAGCGCAAGGATAGACTTGAAGTACATTTTGTCTTGGGGATATGGTGGCTGATATCAGAGGGGAACTTTATGATGTATTGATTGTTGGATGTCTTGGGAGGTGATGAATGCGAGGAACACATCCAGTCCCCGAGATGAGGGATTCTTGAGTTTATAAACTTGAATTGGGCACTATCTGGATTTACCGCATCATGGGCTCGTGCCGCTTTCCCCGGAAGGATTCACTGAAAAGTCTAGACAAACGTGACCATTCAGCACCCCGCAACTGTGTGACTTCTTTGGAGCCTAGAACTTTTGCACAACTGAAAGTTGGAGTATACTGGTCGCCACTAATGTATTGTCGAGGGTGATGTGTTGAATATTAGTCGACGTGAAAGATGACTGCAGTCAGCAACTTCACGGTAGAGAGAAACTAGGAATCTGCTCCCACAGGCTTGGCGCTGTAAAGCAACGAGGACATGATTGTCTTTGAATGGTCGGTTTGGGTAGTCTGTGCATTAGACCTCCAGAAGGACCGCGTCAAAAACCTCACGTGAACGACTGGCAGAGCGATCTTGCCTCTATCTATACACAGATTCCGGGCACTAAGTTTCAACGTCGTACTACGTCTTACAGCATCCGAACATGCCGATATGCAGGTCAGCAAGCCGTCACCGACTTCCGGGCGACGTGAGGCATTGTGTTGAACAACACGACAATACCTTTAAATGCGGAAGGATATACTATTGCAGCTCTCGTCACGATCTGAACCCCGAAATTATACTCATTGAACACGTCAAACAAGTAATGTATCCTCATGGATGGGTGGTGAGAATTCAGACCGGTTTCTTAGCCTAAGGAGTAAGTGAACCTGACATTTTGATGGATCAAACTATCTCGAGCTTACGTTTATGCAGGCCTTCACGTATGCTGTGCCACCTCCGCAGTCTAAACTCGTTTGAGTGTCAATTTGAGTAGTAATTGCAGGGGACCTGTTGGTAAGTCATTCGGCAGGTCACAAAAGCATGTCAGACTCAGTCTTGTCGGAGTCTTGCTTCCATATCCTCGCCACCTCTATATGCTGATTTCCTAAGCTCCCGGCAAAGGTCAAGTCCCACGATCCTCCCTCCCGACAAATTCAGTCCGTCTCAGAAGCTGACGGGGGACGGTACAGCGCGGGGAGCAAAACTTCATACTCTAGTCATATCTCTCGTTCTCATCAAGACCACGATGCCTCGCCACAACAAGGAATACACTGCTGTCGACGAGGACGACACTGTCTGGTCTGAGGCAGACAGCGGCGAGAGCTTATTGGAGAACCCACGCAAACTCAAATCGCCTTCAAGATTACGACCACACTGCAATATCGCCGGTTTCATATCTGCATGGCTCTGTGTGGCCCTGATAGTGCCCGCCACGATTCAATGTACCATCTGGTACGAGAGACGGGGAAGCAACGCTCCAAGATATCGGCCAGCATTCTGTGAGCAATCTCAACTGATTTGTTATTTTTTTTTTATCCCAAGTACTAACCCTCCCAGCGCCATTATATAATATTATGGACGTTCCCCTCGTGACCAAGTACGCCGACAACTCGCCAGCGCCAAATGCTTCAGATCCAACGCATATCTACCGGCTACCACCTGGGCCTGAGGTGGATGCAGCTTGGTCACGTCTCGCCGCAGCCGACGGCATATTTCCACTGTCCTCGGACGATGTTGTCCGTATGGGAAAGGATCCTGCCTACACGGTGAAAGCGCCGCCGTCATATGGTTTCCCGCCGGAGAAGGACAATATGATGGGCATAGAGGCATTCCACCAGCTTCACTGTCTCAATGCGCTGCGGAAGGCTTTGATCACCAACTATGACTACTACTGGGGATCCACGTATGGCTTCGACCCTCCCATCACCTTCTCGCGCCACCTGAATCATTGCTTGGACATCCTCCGGCAGCATCTCATGTGCCACGCCGACCTTGAGGCCTTCACTTTCATGTGGCGCGAGGGTCAGGAGAAGCCGTATGCCGACTTTGGCATCCGCAAGACTTGCGTGGACTTCAACTATCTTCTAGAGTGGAACGAGGCCCATAGGGACCCTCGCCATGTGGAGCTCTGGGCGGCCTTGGAAAAGCCAGACGGCGTGTTGCAGAAGGAAGCACCACCAGACCTGCCCGAGATTCCTGAGAATGCAAAATGGACTGCAGATGGCAAAATGCCGCTGGGTACAATTCCTGGGTTGGAGGGCAAAGATTACTGTCTCGGTAAATAGGGGATAATGCCCATGGTCTGAACTTCCCGCCTAGGGGATGTGGCTGGTGAACGGCGCTGAGTGTACGGAATCACGACACGCTATGATTTCGACAGTGCATTGGCGGACCTCAGTCTTCCTTCCAGATGTGTAGGGTTGAGCGGATGGGAGCCGGCACCAAACGACGGGCCACTCGCCAAGATGTGTTGCAATTATACGGGGCTGATTCATTTTGCATACATTTCCCGTTTCCAGACGTCCATTTATCTTCGACCTTAAAGTCAAGGCCTCGCTGAAGATGATGACAGGCTTTGAATCCAGCATGCTGAAGGGAACTAGAGGCTATGTGTATATCATGAGAAGCCACATAAGGTCTCTGACATGACTTGCCCACGATGCACCAGGCGAGAAGAAGTTGCCTTCTTCACTGGCTTGAGCATGGACCAGTGACTACTGTTATCTGTATCGTTCTCTAGACATCCTTGGACATTGTGAGTAATCATCACGCATGCTCATTATTTGGGTAATATCGCAAGTTACAGGGCTACATGTGATGACAGTGGCGACGAGTAAGCATTCCTCGAGATGAATGTTTACCTTCCCGAAGGGTGGTCCTCGCATACGGCGAAGGCCATCGTCGACAATACTTCGCATACCTTTGGTTTACATGCCGTTTTGTTGTGCTCACCTTCCCGGGTGAACAACGGTATTGCACCATTTGTACAATGTCTACATGCAGGACGGAGTGAAGTTTTTAGTGAATTATGTGGTATTCAGGGCTGTCAGATCTTACATGGCTGGAGATCACGAATAACATGTCATCCAGATTGAACATCGTAGTGCCGAGGCGAGGGGGTACTTGATTGATTTCATATCAATCAGGTCGATCATCTACTTTAACTATTGAAGGAATCCGTTAGTTTCAACTAAGATAATTCCAACCAAGATTTTGATAATTCCAGCCAGAATCTGTTGCTTCCTCTTCACGGTGGCTGGCTGTACGTATCTGCCTTTGCGAGAGGACAGGTCATCCATCATTGGGAAACACATGGCACGTCCTTGTGAAACTTGAGGGAAATTTGACTGCACAACAACAAAAGAAAAAGACATTTCAATCACGTCAATAATTAAAATTGGATGATTTCATATGATTCATAGACCTGGATACAGACTTAGACACGACAACCCTGGACTCTTGGTGGCCATATTGTAGTACGCTGAATGATCATTATTGTTCGGACAAACAAAAATGGAAAGAAAAGTCATGATACAGATGTGCCGATGTAAAGATTCCGTAAATGTTGTCAACCGGTTCTTCTTTGGTCGCTGTCATCATCCTGTCAGCGGATCTCTATCACAAGTGAAACTACCAAGGAAGCTATTCAAGAGATCTTCTTCATAAGCGGACAGACTACCCCATCACTAATGACTGATCTCATCAATTCTGCCAACAACACTTATGCCGGGCTGGATAAATACCTGTGGCAGGCTGACAACGAAGCTCGCGTGATGCGGGCCAAGTTGAATTGATCACCTCTAGACGGAGGAGCCAATGTCCGCCAAAGGTTGTTCATATCGTTATTCCCGTAGCACTACTCTTGTTTTCAGGTCACTGGCCAAGAAAAGTATCAAAATATTCAAGTTTTTTTCGGGGGTGGTTAAGGGGGGCAGAGGGGGTGGCTGAACAGAGTGCAGGACTGGTAGGTATGTGGCGTGATATTACTCAAACTACTTCAGTACTTAATTAGTAAGTACATAGGTACTTGAGTACTTGCTTTTCTTGACGGCGCTCATCTCATCTGGTGACCCAACCTTGGAAGCTTATGCGAGTTGGAGCACCTTAGAAACGTACTCAATTCTTACATACCCAACGACTAGAATGAGCACAAAATGTCATGAGTTTTCCAGTGCTTTTCAAAGGTGGCTGGATGAATCGTAAGACCTTCCATCCATGCTGAATACATCCGGATAATGCGATGTCACAGTATGAGAGTCAACGCACAACGGCTAATAGCTGACGATGTTTGAAAGACATGCAAGATTGATACGGCCAATGTCATCACTACACTGGGCTCTTACTTGGAAATACGGCAGCCGGAGCACTGAGTCTTTAGCTGCTCAGAATGATCACCTTGCGGTGAGGCGAGAACTTTTCAGGTAAGGTCTAGTTTAATTTAGTGGAGAAGTGTATATTGCGAAACAGGAGAAGTGTAAGTTCAAATGAAGTTTTGAAGTAGCATTGGCTCTTTCAAGTTAACAGAGAAGCGGATGGTATCCATAGAACGAGTGGTTGGATTGTTCAGGCGGGGTTTAGCGTTTGGGGACAGAGGATGGAAAAGATCGCGTGGAATTGGGAGAGTGAAATTGAGTGAGTAAATGACCAAGATTGGGTCCTTTGAAAGCAATGATAGGTGCGGAAGTCAGAGCGTGAGATTAGATGATCAGGAGATGTTCTTTCCTCGCCTCTTTTTTTTGCACGAGGACAAAGAAGGAAGAACGGTCACTTGGTGGTCAGGCCACCCTGCGCACAGTCCTTCTTCCCCCAATATGGCTTCCGTAGACCTGGCTCTCACGATGGAAGCCATGTACTGTCAGCTAAATAAGAATGGCATATTTCCAATGTGGAAAATTTTCTCTGACATTTATCTTGGAGTCGAGGTGAACAAAAGAGAGATGCGATGAGCAAGGCCTTGCCTGACATTTTGAAGAATGCAGAGGCAAGGACGGCAAGCCACGACCGCGCTAGAGGGTTGAGCCCCATCTTCCCCGCAAATGGAAAGGTGGGAAATGTGGCTTGCCGTTCGTCATGCACCTTTGTGGAGGCTCGCAGTGAAGTAAAGCCCCTCCATAGGGTGCTACGGTGGTACATGCGCAGCCCCCCAGGTGCTATGCGGTAACGGTGGTCACCACACCACAGCCAACCAACCATTCGAGGAGTGATTCACCAAAAGGGTCGGGTACAAAAGGCCAGCTGATTCCCCCCCTTTGCGCATGTCCCGTTTCTTGGGCCACACCCTCACATAGCACACAGCCTTATACCACCAGCTTGCACCGCCCCGTGCTCGGTCCAGATCGTGTTAGACATGGATTGAGTTTACTGCATGTCATTGACTGTTACACATTTTCAATGAATTATCCAGGCGTTCAAGGGTGACGGCGCCAGGTCTCTTGACACAAGTCAAACACCATAATTCCATCAGCTCTATTTCTTTCTCCTCTTCTCTTCGTCAAGCCTGATCATCCTGGGGAACCAAAAAGTAAGTAGACTTTAGTTGGTTATTTTGTTTACCGTGTCATGGCGGTAGTAGTTTCTTTGATTCATCGAGGAATCCTGCCAATCCAGACAGGTTACCTTGTTTCCTCACAACTAGACGACTTACTCACTTCTCGCCTGGCCGTGACTCGAACAACACATGGTCGCACTTATTGTCCCCTCCACCTGGGTTTTCTTTATTCAAATAAAAATGACTACTACTAACATGAAAATGTTTCCTACAGAGCATATAAAACCTGGCGGGCCGCCTTTCTAAATCTATAAAACAAAGCAAGGTGCTCTTGTTTTCACCCCCCATCGCCAGTTCACGCCTATCGCCAAACGGCACAGAAAGGTTGCCCCACCTCAACGGTCTCGCCGTCACACGTCATTGGGTCTTTCAACCCAGGGCCTACCGCGCTAGCATCGACCCCCCCTGCAAGGGCGCGCACCTGGCCCAAGCTCCTCCATTCTTGGGTTTCTTCTACATAGCAAATAGCTGTTGCGCGACCTCGGTCTGAGCTCCCACACGCTCTTCTCTCCATCATCACCACTACACTTCATCCTCACCACACGCAGCTACTACGCACCAAGAACCCTGTGGCCTTTCTACTCAAGTCGGATCCTCATGTGCATATTGTCTCAGAGGATCCAAGACCGTACCTCAGCACCTCCATCCGCGGCAATGGGAAGACCAATCGCCACCAAATCAGTCTTGCGACCAAGTCAACACCACCTGAGCCTGGAATAGCTTCGCGTTGTCGTTCTCGTGAGCTCACCTTCCCTCTCCCTTTCTATCTTACACGAATACCTCTCTATTCTTCCTCCATGCATCCTAGCTACCGATCTCCCCTTAAGCATCGAGAGGTCCCCCTCTTCGAACCATTCAATCCATCTCGTCTTTCTGTAGCGTTGCTACCCACACACTGTGGCTGCACTAACTCCCTCGCCTTGAACTACAGATATCCTAAATCAAAACCACAAATAACCATCCGTTTTCCTCCTACGACCCCCCAACATGAGCGAACCCATCTCCTTGGGTGCCCACCTCCGGTATCCTATCACCATCTCCAGGCTTGTCGCCCAGCCTGGGGATGAACTCAAGAAGGGCTCCACCGCCATGGAATACTCCTTCAAGTGGATCAAGGAGGTGGGCGACTCCATCACGGGCGATACCTGGGAGGAAGAACAGACCACCATTTCTTCCTGGGGTTCGCCCGTTGAGGGAAAGCTGAGGGAGTGGAAGATCCGCGTTGGCGACGTTATTAACGGCGACCAGCCCTGCGTCGTCGTCGAGGAGGCCTGCCAGCACCCGATCCAGATCTCGGGCCTCTGCGCGATCTGTGGCAAGGACATGACCGAGATCGACTGGAGTACCGAGCGCGCAGAGACGGAGCGCGCCCCCATCAACATGACGCACGACCAGACAGGCTTGACCGTCAGCCGACAGCAGGCTCTCAAGGCCGAGACGGAGCTGCAGCGCCGGCTTCTGGAGCAGAGAAAGCTGAGCCTGGTGGTCGACCTCGACCAGACCATTATACATGCCTGCATAGACCCGACCGTTGGCGAGTGGCAGAAGGACCCGACCAACCCCAACTACGAGGCCGTCAAGGACGTACAGAGCTTTCAGCTCAAAGACGAGGGTCCACGCCGGGCCGCGAGCGCCTGTTTCTATTACATCAAGATGCGCCCCGGCCTGCGCGAGTTCCTGGAGCGCGTCTCTCAGATCTACGAGCTGCATGTCTACACGATGGGCACGAGGGCCTACGCGATGAACGTTGCCAAGATCGTCGACCCAGACCAGAAGCTGTTCGGCAACCGGGTCATCAGTCGCGACGAGAACGGCAGCATTACCGCCAAGAGCCTACAGCGTCTGTTCCCCGTCTCAACCAACATGGTGGTCATCATAGACGACCGCGCCGACGTGTGGCCCAAGAACCGTCCGAACCTGATCAAGGTTGTGCCCTACGACTTCTTCAAGGGTGTGGGTGATATCAACTCCAGTTTCTTGCCGAAGCGCGAGGACCAGCTCTCCAGCCGGAGCAAGCCAGCCCCGAACGGCAACGCACCTGCTGCCCCCGCAGGTGCTGGAGGAGCATCTGACGAGTCCGCCAAGCTGTCGGCCCTCGAGGGGCTCGCGGGGATGAGCAGCGGGGACGACGCCGCACTGCTGAGGCTGCAACAGGAGGAGCAGGAGCGCACGCTCGAGAAGCAGCTGCAGGACCGGCCGCTGCTGCACATGCAAGAGCAATTGGATAAGGAAGACGAGGACGCGGAGAAGGCCAGCCAGGAGCCGACACCACCGCGACACCGACACCGGGTGCTCTTGGACCAGGATGCCGAGCTCAGGTACCTCGAGCACCACCTGACGACGCTGCACGCCAAATACTACGAGGCATACGATGCACACACTGGCGAGGACGAAATACCTGACGTGGGCGAGGTGCTGGACGAGCTCAAGGCCGAGGTCCTGCGCGGCACCAAGATTGTGCTGAGCGGTCTTGTGCCGCTTGACCTCGACGTGTACCGGTCTGATGTTGGCATGCAGGTCCTGAGTTTTGGGGCAGACCTGCGCACGAAGATCGACCCCGACATTACCCACCTGGTCATCAACAGCAGCCTGCCCAGGACGCACAAGGTCCGCCAGGCTGCCAGGATACCGACCATCAAGATCGTGAACCAGGACTGGCTGCAGGACTCCATCAGCCAGTGGGAAGAGCTGGACGAGACCGCGTACATGGTGGATATACATCCGGCAGACCGCCACGCGCCAACTCACCTCCAGATACCCGGCAGGCCGCCTGCGCAGAGCGTGGTCGACCAGGACGCCAAGACCCTTGAGACCGATGATGATGACGTTGACGACAGCGCGGACGAGCAAGAGAACAATGTCCCCGACGACCTGCGCAGTCCTATCGAGGAGGACCTCAAGGGCTTCGACTTTGAAGAGGTGGACCAGGAGCTCGCCGAATTTCTAGCCGAGGACTCGGAGGATGAAAGCGAGGCGGACGGCGAGACCAACACGGCTGGTGGCGAGTCAGACAATGAGAGCAGCAAGTCAGAAGCAACCACCAGCAGCAGCAGCAAAAAACGCCTAAACGGAATATCGCCTGGCTCGAAAAGAACACACGACCAGGCGGACGACGAGCCAGATAACGAGTTGCCAGAAGCCGGTACGTCAGCGCTGTCAAAACGGCTGAGGATTTCGAAATCACGTGGCGGCTCGGGCCTGCGGAATTCCACGAAGACAGACCCGGAGAACACCACCGACCAGCCAGACGCAGAGCTTCCGAACGGCGCCGACGACGGCGAGGAGGAGGTAGTCCTGCTCCAGAGCGAAGAGGCCAACGATGACTTTGATCCGGACGGCGATAATCTCGAGGCAGACCTGATGGCAGAGCTGGACCGGGAGGAGGCTGAGGAGGCGGCCCTCGCGGACAAGGGCTAGCCATGCTACTTCCTGGGCCGTAATGGTCTCATGGCAAGCAGTATCTGGATATGTACTGCATATGTAGGCATGCATGTATGCATGTCTGTATGTCTGTATGTCTGTATGTCTGTATGTCTGTCTGCCTTTTGTTCTATCTTTGCATCGTGAGGGTGGCACGGCGTTTAGAGGGGCAATGGCGTGGTTAACGGGTAGCGGGTTACTTAGCGAACGTGATTGAAATCAAGAGCACAGGATTGCGATACTACTAAAAAGTGCGTACGATCTGGTCATGCCCAAGGCGTGGAGAGATAAGTAGGTAGTACAACCGTCATTCCATCAGGCACTCCCAGGAGACCGTTGCCTGTCTTGCACGACTTCATGTCTTTCTTTTCTATTGATTTATCTAAGTCCATGCCTCTCTCACAAAGTTATTTTTCCTCCTTTCTACTTTTTCCTCCTTCTATTGTCTATCTCTCTGATACATTTCGTAAAACCCTTTTGCCCTTCCCTTTTTTTCCCTTTTGTTGTCTAAAGTACGTCCGACTCCTCCCCCTCCCACCCAAATTCTCCACCAAAATTCCCCACCCAAAATTTGGGAGCAGGCCCTGCGCAGGCCACCATCCCTGCAATGATAATATTACATAATCACCCAGCTCGTCCAACCTCCAAGCTCGAATAACCAAGCAAGGTACGACGGACGAGCCGATGCGCACCCTCCGCTTCAATCGCCGACCACGACAACCAGCCCACTTGCCAAGCCCAACCCACGAGAGACCCAATTGACGAAAGCGATACAGGCCGCAGCTCTCCTGTTGTGCAAAGAAAAGCAAGAAGGATTGAGACACAGCGGAGGCGGCAAGACAACTACGTAGGGAGAACGAACGAACCTGCGTCGGCATCGGAGCCGACAGATAGCGATCGTGCACACATTCGCCCACCATGCCTCAGGACATGCCACCTGTGGGCGGGTATGACCCCGTCCAGTACAAGGTGAGTTTTGATGAATTCGACTGCAAGGCTGAAAGAAAGAGGGTGGCGCGCTGCGGCGGGGTTCCGTCTCTGGCCAGGACGCAACTCTGGCCCGGGCAACAATGGCCTGGCGATGAGGGGCAGACGGAGAGCCCTTGAGAGCTCTTTGGGAAGGATGGACGAGGCAGGAAAAGGGAGTCGGAAGGAGAAGGATATACATTGGTGTGAATACAGGAGCTCACGGAAGTGCTGACCATCCTTTCTTTCTCGTCCTCCGCAGCGTAATCTCCCAGCCCGGGGTTTCAAGCCCGCGACACTCCTTGCCATCGGCGGCAGCGTGATGCTCTACGGATGGTACAAATACGGCAAGGGTGCCAGAGAACAACGGTACGCTCACACCCCTTCTTCTTCTTCCTGTTGATGTATAGGGCTTTGGGGGGCGACTTTACCCTTTCCCCTTTACCTCTTCCTTCCTCCTTTCCTGAACTAACACCTGCTCCCGCGCGGCCCTTAACAGAGAACTCGCCCGCGAGAAAATGTGGTCCCGCATCCACCTGATCCCCGTCCTGCAGGCCGAGGAGGACCGCGACCAGGTTCGTCGGTATCTGGCCGACCAGGCCCGCGAGAAGGAGCTTATGGGCGACAACTTCAAGCCTTACCATAGCGACCGCTTTGTGAAGCCTACCTTTGCCATTACGCCCGAGAAGACGAAATAAGGGTTGAGGGATTCTGCTTCGGAAGAGGGGGGGGGGGTGGGGACGCTTGAAGTGTTGAGGCCAAGGAAAAGAAAAGGGATGAGATGGCAACGGGAGAGCAACGCGGTAGACTTAGAGATACCGTCTGGCCGGGTTGTGGTGGAAGGGTATCCGACAAAGAGACAACGGATCGGGGAGGAAGGATTACGTGTGAGAGGGCCATGAACGAGGGCAGGCTAGGGAATTCAAGAGGCCGGCAGGTATTCCAATGGCCCAGGTTCCAACCTTGGAGGCCACGTCCTACGATGGCACAGGTATAGGCGCAGACAGGCTATATAAAAGACAAACATGAACGAAATCAAATTCAAAGTGCTCGACAAGCGGAACGTGCAAGCTTCGACAGGTTGGACTTAGAACACTTCGGTGGCTTCCTAGGAAGAGCCGGAGGATTAACAAGGATGGAGCAATTCTGTGCGTCTCATTGTATCATCACAAACATAATCTATCCAGCCGACGCCTATGAACAGTGCAACCACCAACCCAGCTGGAACGCCCTAGATTCGTCAGACCATCCATCACACATTCCAGATCGACTACCTGTCCGCTTATTGTCATGCAGGCGACGGCATTTCCAGACTTCACCGCTGGGGCAGGTCAGCCCTCTAAGCCGCTGCCTGGACAATCTTGAAGCCCTCCGAGACCAGCTTTGTGATATCTTCGTTCTTATGCTGCAGCAGGCCCAAGGCAAATGCGACATCGTTCCACTGCCGTTCCGTCTCGCAGCGGGGGAGGCGGGCAGCCAGCTTGTCTGCAAGCTGTTTGGCATGTTTATCCTGTTATTATGTTTAGTACTCGCCGGTTTTTCAGGATAGACGTGGGGGCCAGTCTGTCTCGGGGAACTCACCTTCTCCACAAATCCGAGCAGGAACCGCACGATCCTCCTGAAGCTCTCCTCCGCCAGGCCCTTCTCTGCAGACAGCAGGGAGAACATATCCACAAAGTGGTTGTACACAGCATTGTCCTTGGTCGACAGCTCCGTGAAGAACATCCGTGCCAAATCAGCGATGCGCTTGTCTTCATCCTCGAGACACTTGGCCATCTCGCCCAGTTGGCCCTTGACCTTGACCTGACCAGCAAGAATCAGGAAAGTCAGGGTCATGAGGCAGGTCCTCTTGACGGAGGCGTCTGAGTCTGCCAGGCGACGGTACAAGAAGTCCGTGTTCTCATCAATGAGGTGGTTGAAGCACACGGCCATGTCCCCGAGGGCAATGACGGCATTCGACCGGACCGTTGCATCAGGGGAGCGCTCCATGATCGTGATGAGCAGAGGCAAGTTGGTCTCACAGTACTCAGCCGACACACACATCAGCTTTGCCAAGCAGAGAGTAGCAGCAGCCTGCAAGCCCTTGTCCTTGTACTTGGTGTTGTTAGCACAGATCTCGCTGACCATGGGACCGAACATCGCGAGCAGGCTTTCTGGCCCATAAAGGAGCTCACGCTCTCGAATGTGCTGCATAGCTTCCGTGAAGTCGTCCTCTGTCGTGCCGCCAATTAGGTCAAGCTCGTCCTCAGGGTCTTCCTTGTCCTTGTCGCCGTTTTTGCTGGTCCGCCGTGATTCGGCCTCGGCCGCCTTCTCCGCAGCAACGACCTTCTCCTTCTCTTGCTTCCGTCGCTTGAAGTCAAGCTCGCAGAGCTCGAGATGAACAATCTGCTTGATGGCGACATGGCCAGCAATGAAAAGGAGCTGCGACAGGGCAATGGCGTTATCCCTTTTTCCCTTTTGCTGCTTCTGAGGGCTGGATTTTTGTGGTGGTGATGTCTTCTGAGGCGTTGCCGGTGTGGCAGGAGGAGCAACCTCGCCGCCGGCTTCGTCAGCCTGCACTGCTAGCTCTTCAGGAGATGTCTGTTCTTCCTTTGAACCTTGCACGCTTTGTGCTGTCTTCTGAGAATCTCGAGATCCAGGGCGCTGGTCAGAACTAGACCGTGGTCTCTGAGGGCCAAAGACAGCTTTCGTCTTGTGACGGATAATCTCGGAGCACAGCACATCCGGGTGCTTGGAGATGGAGTAGATGGCGTTGATAGCCTGCTCAGCAACCCCATACCACTCTTCGCTCTCGAAAGGAACCTCCGTGATAGCAGCTAGTTTCTGCAGCACCGCATGCTCGTTGGGCAACCGCGAGAACTTGACCGCTGACTCCTTAGCCTGCCGGCCAGTAGGATTCAAGCGGCGCAGGGCGATGCAGGTGTACTTGGCCAATTGTAGGTCGTTGCGGCCTTGAGGCCCGAGACCGGTTCGAAGCATAGTCTCCATGTCGCTAACGACAATTTCCGGACTTGCGGTCGCCAACATGCCTAGGACAATGATGGCACCCCGCCTCTGTGTCCTCGAGATCTCGCGCTTCTGCACACCATAGACCTGCCACAGCTTTGCAATGACAATGTCCGGGATCATGCCTTGTTTCATCATCGTGCTTAGAAGCTGTTCGAGGGAGGTCAATTCCGCAGGAGTGGCCCCGAAAGTCAGACTGATCATATTTCGTGCGATGTAGTTGGCTGCATCGTTGGCGCTGAACGAGTCGGGCGCCTCGAAGAAGAGCCGCTTGTAGCATTCGATAAGATGGGTCTGCACACCCTTGCCCTCGTCGCTGTTGCCCTTGGTCCAGATCAAGCGCAGCATTCGGCGGATACCGACCTTGTTCTGCTCGATGTTGTAAGCGTCGCCGACCTCGAAGTAGTCTATGGCCTCGATGACCTCGCTCTTGTTCCTGGCGCCAAGCAGCTGGCAGATCGTGCCTGTGGAGTCATGAAGGACATCGATGAACTTCAGTGCTTCGGTATAATAGCGCCTCGTCAGTGTGAGCTTCTCGATCGCTTCCGAGGTCGCTGCCTCCTCCTGTGCCTTCTGGATAGCCACAGCTTTCTCTTCGTCCGTCATTTCCGCAGGTGCCTTCTTCTGGGGCGACTCGATCTGCGTTACCTCGTCCAAGAGCTGCTCGTCCACAGTGATATCGGCCTTGCCCTGGCTATCCATCTCGGGTGCGCCTGCCGGGGGCTTGAGGGCGTCAAGCTCTTGGTCCACCTTGTCGAGGCGCTCTTGCCAGTCCTTGCGGGCCAGCTGGGCTCCATGCATGACAGTGAACGGATGTGTCTTGATGAGGCAGCCCAGTAGCTTAATGGCGTTCCGGCGGACGTTGCTGCTCTTGTCTTCCAGGCTCCGGCACGCCAGTTCCGCAGCCTTCTGCCTCCGCTTGGGAAACTTTTGTTGCAGGTCGCAAAGCTTAACGTAGACCTGGATAGCCCTGCACCGGCAGTACGGGTTGATGTCGAGAAAGCGTTCCTCCAAGACGTCAAAGAATGCATTCAGCTGGGATTTGTAATTCTCGCCTCTCTCCTCTTGCTTGCTGAGATAGATGAGCATGTTTCCGCAGACTTCGATGAGGGCGCACCGCAGCGTATAGGACTATATTTGTCTGTTAGCTAGACAGTGGGGGATAAAGGGTCACACGGCATATTGCATACCTCGCTATCAAGTTGCTTGGCCAGCATCGTCATCTGCTTAATCACGAGCCTCGGCGCCAGCTCGGACAGCTTGACCATGAAGGTAGAGACGGACTTGGGCCCCCTGGTGTCGTTACTGTTGAACTCCTTGTTACTGAGCTCGCGCAAGATCTCCTCGCCAAGTTGCGGATAGTCGTATTGCTCTGCGAGGATGTGCAGAAACTCCGCCATGGGTTCCGAGAGATGTTCAAAATAGGTCAGGTTTTGTACAATGGAGATCTGGGCAGCTGTGAAGGGGTCAGTAAAAGCCAGAAGCTAGCCGTTCCATTGAGGAATAGACGTACCATATCCGTGGCCGTGGTGCTTGATAGCAATGCAAAGAACTTTGAACGCGTGCATGCGAATGGTTGTGCTCTTGACCCGCTGCTCGCTTTCGAGTATGAGGTAGACGGGGCGGGTCAGGAGACCGATGAATGTGTCACGCTCCGAAGTCGTCAAAAAGATTTTGCCTAGTTTCAGGCGCAACACCTTGCACATGGTATCAAGAGCAATCTGAAGCTGCGCTGCGCTGTCCCAGTGGCCATCCTTGTCGCCGGAGCTGGCCTTCTTGCTCTTGGATTTCCTGCCACGCGCCACGGGTGCAGTCGAGGTCTTGTCGGCAGCCTTGGTCTCGACACAGGATATGGTCCATTGTAACAGAAACCCATATATTTCAAGGAGATGTTTATGGTGGGAGAGCAGATCCTGTTCGTCTGACTCGAGATCATTATGTATGAGGTCTGCCTCGGTCGATAGCCCGGAGGTGATCAGGTCAAAGACCTTGGAGAGGGCGTGTGTGGGAAGGAATGGAGTGTACCTAGATTGTTCGAGGGTTTTAGAATCACTATTTAGGACTGTTGCGACTGCTGGAAGGGCACCTGGGACAGAAGAGACCGGCACAGAATCATGGTCCGGCGTCCTGGAGAAGCGCGCTACACTGGAGGACAAAGACAAAGCAACAGCACGAGGCGGGCAAAAGAAGATGGAGACATACTTTAGCAAGAATTGTAGAGAATCGAAGTGTGCGCTGCGCGTTATGGCGTCTGGATTTCCGGCCACAGCGTCAATAATAGGGTTGAGGATGGGATTTATGACGGCGTTGGTGAGAGACTCGGGGTCGTTCTCGCAGTCGAAGAAGGAGGCATCTGCTTCGGGTGTTGGTATGGTGGCAGGGTCGCTCATGTAGAGCTTGAGAGCCTCGTTGATGTCAAAATTGATATTGTCCATTTTGTTGAGAGCTCTGACTGTGCTTGAGGAAGGGAGGAGGAAGGGAACCGAGTGGGGGTATCGCGAAAGAGGAACAGAAGACGACAAGACAAATGGAAGAAAAAGATCAAGTCACGATGTTGGTGATGTCGATGATCATGACACAACCTGCGACAATGGTGTACAGAATAGGAGGTTTGGCGGCGGCTGCGGTGACGACGTGTGATGCGTACGATATGACATGCAAGAAGGAAGTTTGAAGCTTTGCGGCGCGAGGTCGAAGATTGCCAAGATTGGTTGTTTACTCATAGTACGTTGCACTACCATAGTACGATGCGATGCGTTGCGAGGGGTGCTGGGACCTACAGGGGTGAGGGATGGTTACAGGGGTGGGATCCGTCCACCTTAGCAGGGGCGCCAACTGCCTGCCAGGCCCCTCAATCTGCCTAGCAACGAGTTTTGTTGTTGTTTAGAGTATGCTACATTCTGCAGTGGCCAACACGCTGCCCGGGCTAATACGCGCTTTGCCCCGCTAACCTGGGCGCCCCTGCGCGTCAGGCCCAGCCTCGGTTTCTAAATACAACAATTCTTGTGCAGCAGGTGGGATGCGACTGAAGCCTCAAACCAAATAACCTTTCATGACCAAAAATTGCAACCAATCTCGATTCATTTTGGACCACAACCTCATATCCACGTCCTGCACCGGCACATCCTTGCTCTTCCGCCATCTCAACACCTTCAAAACGCCAATGTGCGTCCACAAGAGCCGCCGTTCGCACATCACTCCTCATCTACCAACCTGCCTGCTCTGTTGAAGAAGAATTCGAGTCTCTCACTAGCGAGTGGGCTTTTTTGTGGACCAGTCATGGCCACTGCAGCCCGTCGGCCTCGCCTACAGGACTTTGAGATCCACGAAGATGGACCATCCACCGAAGATGCAGACATGAACACCGATGTCGTCGCCGGTGGGAAAATTGAGGCGGAAGAGGACGTCGCAGATCCAGATGAGCAACAAGAGGAAGAACAGGAGCCAAATGCTGCAGATCACGGAGACGAGATGTCAGAGGACGATGAGGTGCTGGACGAAGACATGAAGAAGCTCCAAGATGCCTTTCCGGGCTTCAGGCACAAGTATCGTCTGATCAAGAGAATCGGCGAGGGTACGTATGCTTAACCTCTTGTTCTCGCCCAGCGTCACTGACGGTTGCTTCGTACAGGCACCTTTTCGACAGTCTATAAGGCACAGGACATACAATACGAGCGATACGAAAACAAGTGGGATCTCGACAAGGAGAACGAGAAGTGGACACCACCTCCTCTGAGGAAGCATGTCAACCGTATTCCCTCAGCGGCCTCTGGACACGACGCGGTCTCCCCAACCTGTCACACTTCACGAGCTAGGCGGCGCCCCAAGTTCGTCGCGATCAAGAAGATCTATGTCACCTCTTCGCCTGCGCGTATCCTCAACGAGCTCGAGCTCCTGCACGACCTGCGCGACTGCCCCACCATCTGTCCACTCATCACCGCCTTCCGCAGCACCGATCAGGTTGTCGCCATCCTGCCCTACTTCCGCCACCAGGATTTCAGAGATTACTTCCGTAGCATGACCCCTTCGGACTCGGCGATCTACCTCCGCTCCCTCTTCACAGCCTTGTCTTATGTGCACCGTCATGGCATCATACACCGTGACATCAAGCCGACCAACTTTCTCTACGACCATACAGCCCGACGAGGCGTCTTGGTAGATTTTGGTCTGGCAGAACGCGAAGGCACGGACACGAAACCATGCGCCTGTCATGAGGACTCTAGTGCGCGTAGGCAGCGCCTCAAGTCCGCATACATGGCCAATGGAGGTCCACATCACGGATATCCCAAGAACGACACACGTCCCTCGCGCCGTGCCAACCGTGCCGGTACGCGAGGCTTCCGTGCCCCCGAGGTCCTCTTCAAGTGCACAGAGCAGACTCCAAAGCTGGATATCTGGTCCGCAGGTGTGATCCTGCTCACCATCCTGTCGCGGCGCTTCCCCTTCTTCAACAGCGCAGATGATGTCGATGCCATGATCGAGATAGCAACCATCTTTGGCTCCAAGCGCATGAGGATCGCTGCTCAGCTGCACGGCGCCATGTTTGAAACCAACATTCCCACCATTGGCCAGAGTGGTTTTGACCTGGGCAAGATCATCATGTGGAGCACCGTCCGCGAAGAGACGCCTCTTTCCAATGACGAAAGGATCGCCATTGACTTTCTGAATCGGTGTATGGAGCTGGATCCCAGTCGGAGGATCAGTGCGGACGAGGCTTTAGAACACGAGTTCCTCTCATTGGGTATGGACAGAGACGTGGGCAGCGAAGAGGATGATATGGACATTCTCCAGCCGTGAGAGATATCTGCTGAAGTTCTCCGTGGGGACTATCATTGGGTTAATTGGTTTTACACCTTCGATTCAGGGATATCATCTGTATTACGACTTGTACAGTATGTATGAAACGGTTTTTGTGGCGGTGAAGTGGTTTTTTGTTGGTACGGTCAGCGCGATACTTCTCGACTCTCACCCTACCAGAAGAACGATATCATGACGAAAATTATACCTATGTGCACTATAGTGTTGGCCACAGGACTCTAGCCATACTCCCATCCTAGGATCGATCATAATGGCATGCAAATATTTATCTCAACATGCGCGTCTGTCATTAAATTTTGTGATAGCCCGGGCCTGGCATGTGCTAAATTCATTACCGCGTGCGCGACGTCTCTTCAACTGGTCATCTCAGAGGGACTTTGAATGGACACTGATCTCTCATTCATCGTCCGTCACCGAAATGTACATTTTTCTGTCTCCCTCCTCTGTCTGAAGAGGTTGTACTTGCTCGATTATTTAGGTAAACACAAAGGGCTCACGAGGAACACCGATTAGGTGACAATGTGTTCCCGGGACGTGTTGGAAGTCACACACGTAGCCCACATCTATATATATTGGCAGCCACTGTGCCTGCTTAGTTGCCTTGCTGTTTCCTACTCTTTAGCCCAGGTCAGTATCATGGTAAGCAAATTCACATCAAACATCAAAAACCAACCGCATCACAACGGTCAGTTCGGAATTTGTGAGCATCCTGGCGGAACCTACCAGCTTTGAAACCAGTGGCAATATCAAAAGTATCACCACAATACGCCATTTCTCGGAGTTTGCGTCTCGTACACCCGAGAACTGAAAGCGAACTCTGCAATGGATGGTGAAGGCCCTGGTGAAGATCCGAGTCGTCGACTGGGCACCTCTTCGAGCAACTCTTCAAGCTCAGACAGTGTGGAATACATCAGTAGGAGCGACGACTCTAACGAGGAGGAACAAACGGAGGAGGCAGTGCATACAGAATCGCACACCGCATTCGACCCCCGAACTGCGGCATTGCCCAGGATTCCCAACAACGTTCCACCGGAGGAGGTCCCTGAAGGCGTGGACCAAGGACGTCGAAGACATACTCGTCAAGAGCCGTACCAAATGCCACCACTCCGGCGTCAGGACGCTACGGTTTCTTTTGCGCCCTACAGTGCCGATGGTATGCGTCCATTCGGCTCAAACCCGTGGATGAGCACCGCAAGTATTGCGTATGGTGGCACCCGTGATGGAGCAGCGAACAACCACCATACCAATGGCAACACCAATGGTGGCACGGGCAATATACCCGGGTTCAGGGGCCACGAGCCACAAACGACTGGCGTCGAGCCTACGCGCACGGTTCCTGAAGAGTTTGATCAGAGGACAGAGGATATTGAAGCCTGGTAAGAGAAGAAGAAGAAAAAGGATAATGGGCTAAATCAGCCAGCGTTCCACACAAGTCAAGTCAAGGCAAGCGGTAGCCCTCCACTTGACTTGCTAACTATTTTGGCCGCTTGCTTGTCTTCTAGTACCTGGCCGCTTGATTCGCTTGGTAACTTGGTCACTATACCGGATTAGGAATGTACGATAGATATACGAAACGAAAGGTGGTGAGAGTAACAAATGAGCTACGCACGTAGTTCAACCGGTACAGAGGCATATGATGATAGTTTTCCTTGTTACGCTCTGATCCGCGCGAGGTCCCTCGCTCAAGTGCTGAAAGAAACATTTCTGACCCCCTCGAATGCCTTTTTTTGGCAAAAAGCTGCTAGGCAATGCCTTTCCTCCTCATCTCTGCTGCTAGTCCTGCCAGCGTTCCATTTTTCAGCTAGTCCTTGAGGCACAAAAGGAGCTCGAGAGTGCTGCTCTTCATTCTCCTCCTCTGCGAGGACATCATAAGCTTCCCTTGGCTGAAGACTCTCTCGCATTCGGACGACATTGCAGGGATAGATAGGATGTCGAAGGCCATCTGTGAGAGGGCTGGAAACTCGGCCTTATGCGCTGCCCACCAGATGAGGGGCTCAAAACCATCATCGTCCTCGTCGTCCTCTTCTAGCTGAAGATATTTCTCCAGCTCTGACTGTAGCTGTTGATGCTTTGGCCTTGGTTGTGCTCTGAAGGCGGTCCTTCACTGCTTCTTTGGCTTGTTATGTTCTTGATCTTTCTGCAAGCTGGGTATTGATGCTAATGATAAGGCTGGATCTTTATATGCCCAATATTTCTCATAAAAAGCCTTAAACTCTTGTTCAACATTATCAGCAATAGCTGGCGCTGCTGTACGAATACCAACCAGGCGATATTTCGGATGCAAAACAGCAGCAGCAAAATATATAGAGTATTCGCAAAGCTTGCTCTTATATTGCTTGAGAATTGCTAATGCATAGGCTACTGATTCTCTCAGAAACTCAGCACCTTCAAGCCCACATTCCTCAGAGTATATCTCAGCCTCTTATTGAGAACCAACATCTGGCCATTCCCGTACTGGAATGCTAGGAAATATATCTGAAGACTGTAAAGCTCGACGGCGAGGGGAGGATCGAGGGGAGGATCGAGGGGAGGGCCAAGAGGAACGCTGAGAGGAGGGCCGAGAGTAAAGTCGAGAGGAGGGTCGAGGGGAGGGTCGAGGCGAGGGCCGAGAGGAAGGTCTTGAAGAGGCCTGATATCGCGATGAGGGCTGCTGAAGGGCTGGTTTCTCTGCATTTAGCGAGACAATAATCTCCTCAAGGATTTCTTCTTCAGTATACGTTTTTCTGCCTCCAAATCTCTCCTGAAAGGACTGCAAATGCTTCTCGAGATCCCACAAAGAACTGAGAACATTATGAACAGCTACAGCGTTCCCCTCGTGATGTTTTGTATGCCATAGGAATGGCTGCAAAAGATCTCGAGTTGCCTCAAGCACTCGCCAGTCCTGCTCACTCAAAGGTTGTATTTTAGCACCGCTTCAAACTTGCTCTTTAACCCAGAAATCAATAGATCTTTTCAGTCTCAGCAGCCGCAATATCTCAGCCTCTGTTAAGTTCCATCGCATCTTCTGAGCTACTACTGGCTGCAAGGTAGATATATTGCCAGTTTGCTCATCTGTAGAGTCTGTAGGAAGCAGTAGTGGTGGCATTGTGAGGTCTTGTGCTGTTAGCTGAGGAAGGGCCTCTGCTAAAAAGGCTATAGTATTCTCGAGATCTTGGTTCTCTGGAGAAAACAAAGAGTTCTGAATAATCTTCTCGAAGTTCTGGACCCGCTGTATACTTGCCTTGAGGAAGACTACAATAAGATGAGTGCAGCGTATAGGTCCTTCTCGCTGCTACTGATCCTACTGATTCCTCTGTTGCTCGAGTTCCTGCTTAAATATTAGCAATAAGCCAGAAAGATACAAAACAGCTCGACTTACCTCATCAGCATCGCTGTCTTCAGCCTCGAGTATCTGTTTAGCGTTATCAGAGAGGAAGCTTTTGATAATAAGGTTAATAATATGGCCCCAGCAGCAGCATCGCTGTTCAATCCGCAGCTTCTCAGCTTCACGATGATTGAAGCTGTACATCTTGCAAAAAAGAAGCCTTGTTGCCTTGTCATTCGTGCTGTTGTTATCAAAAGTAAGCCAGCCAAGCTGCTCCTCAAGCTGAAAAGCCATAATAACCTGATGGAGATGCTACTGGAGATTCTCGCTAGTATGCTGGCTGTTGATCATCCTCACTGCTATAAGGCGATTTCGCAGCTTTGCATTGCTATCAACAAAATGTGCAACCACTGCTAGAATGCCTTTGTGATTAGGCAAGGTTCAGAGATCAGCAGATAGATGAATCTTCGAGATAGCCTTGCGCTGGAGCTGGAGCTGAAGACTAGCTAGGTTCTCGTGAAATGCCTCAAACAGCCATCTTATTACTGTGCTATCACTTCGAGAGAAAAAGTGCTCCGTCAGGGTGCTATTCCAGACCATCAATAGCTGGCGGAACTGAGGCGCCTCGAGAGTTGAAAGAGGTATATCGCAATAAGCAATCAGCTCTGTTATAGTCTTCTTCGCAAGACTAACAACTGTACGAGTTGGAGCATTAGCAGTATCTTTTAAGGCATTAGGCGCTGTATATAGACTGCTGTTGTTGAAAAGGCTACAATGGTTTATTCTTCGCTGCTTTTGCTAGCCAAGCTTCTCTGGGCTAACCTCTTCTTTCTCTGCCTCTGCAACAAGCTCTTTCAGCTTGCTAAGGTTATAGCCCTCGTTATCGCGACCTTCGAGATGCTTTAGAGCTGCTGATGTGCTTGTCGAGATACTGTTACGCGTGGTATATAAGGTCTGTCGATTATTTTGATTGTAGAAGCAACAGAACCACCAATCTGCTGCAACTTTGCATGTGCTGTTAGCCTGTACGATGATCTCGAAGAGCTTCTCGCTGAAATGCTAGATATCAGATCCGTAGCGCTTCCTCTTGGCTGATGATGTTGGCATCCAGCGAGCTGGGACAAAGGCATGGGATCGTTCTGGAACCTTAATGCGTGGGAGATCTTTGAGGGTACTAAGAGAGAACTATGCTGTGGCATTGTGAGCATCGATCTGCTTCTGGATAGAGGTATATCTCGCGTAGCTAAGCTGGTTGAAAGCATTGCTATTAGCTATGATAGTGAAAGGAAAGCGATGATAGATAAACGCGAGGACACCCAGATGCGAGACGTAAGAAAGTAAATGCAAGGATGCTAAGTACAAGGGTAGAAGAGATACAGAAGAGCTTGCTTGCCAGCGGAGGAAAAGACTTAATACGGATATATAGGCTGAATAGCCAAGGGCCAGGGCAAAAGCCTAGGCCAAAACACCAAAAACCCCAGCAAGGTTGCATCCAGAGTAGGCCGCGATAGCTTCAACTGAGCCTATAAGGACCCACAATAGGACTGAGGCAATTCGCTTGTTCGCTTGCAAGCCGCTTGGTCAAAAAGGCCGCTTACTTGTCTTGAAGACCATCGCCAAACCGTCAACTTCGCTTGTCAAGCCGCTTGATTCCGCTTGACTTGTGTGGAACGCTGAAATCAGCCCCCAGTGACCCGTGAGTCTGAATCATTGACACTTATAATCACAGGACCCGAGGGACGCATGCCGAGACGCCAGAGCCAGACTCGGATTTGTATGAAGAGAATAATAGAGAAGGGACACCCAGAGAAGACTCGCCCACCCTCGGCTTCCATGACCACTCATCTTCCCATTCCTCCAACTCATTCCGAGGGCGAAGCCAGACGGCGACCAATGGGTCAAGACCCCGAGTCACGTTTTTCTTTGATGGCGAAAATCACGGCGACAATGACAGTGACAGCAACTCGGAAGAGGGCAGCAACCGAGACAATACCAGAGCTGGGAGGTAGTAGAATAAATGCTGGTCATGGTCTGGCAAATCCCATTTGCATATGAGTGCATTCTAGGCAGGAAGCAAAAACAACTTGGATAGCAGATATGAACCAGTCTATGGGTTCATTAACAGAAATATTTACAGGAAAAGAGTTGCATAACAGCACTCACTAAGGCACCATCTTCTGAAGAAATACCTTCAGAGACATGTAATAGACTCTCACGCATGAAACCTGATCATGGAAACTGAATTAAAACAGTAAAGAATAGTTCAGGTGGCGACAAGCTGTTAAAACACCACATGCATATTGGGAAGATACTGTCGGGGAAAAAAGCGATCGCCAGTCTCTCAGAACTGGCTGTACCTATATATTTCCCCACAGATACATGCCCAAAGGAACGAGAATTTGAGGCGTATCAGAGCTGGAGGATGACTGAATCACATTTTAGGCAAGGTCTAGCAGATAATGTCTAATGAAACCGTTCCCTCCTTTAAAATTCCCATCAACGTTGCTCTCGTTCTTCACACTCATGTGTGAATTCCGAAAACATGGCCAATAGATTACAACATCGCAAATCCGCCGCAGTCCGTTCGCATCCGGTCGTCACCGCAGGGTTAATGAGAAAGGCGGCAGGTAAATGAAAGAATCGAAGTCATTATTGGTGATCTTGCTGCTCGATGAGAGGTGGTTGCGCGGCTGTCACAAGGCAAGCCTGGGGTTTCTTCGAGGCAAGTTCGGTAGGCTCTTGCGTGTTGTTACGTGGCGAAGTGGCTAGCGATGGCTGGTATCGTCGGACTACCAACCATGTGGTGTATTGTAGAACTCTTCCGCTTGCAACTGCAAAGAGGCATCCGTTGGGAGCCCCTTTACATGACAACGCAGTAGGAGTAGCCGTTGACTCCCATGGAGGAGTTGGAGGTCTGAGTGTTGGAAGGCATTTTGATGGTTGGTTTGAAGCGTGAAGCTTAAGAAGATGTTTCTGTAGAGTGTTTGTGAGGTTTGTGATGCTGATGAGGAGGACAGACAGAATACCAAATGGGGAACGACCTGAATATTTATATCTATGATGCTTGCTACAGAACTCAGCGACATGACCATGATGCTGTATTATTTGAGTTGATTTTGGACTTTGGTGAAGTCGAAGGAAGGCATTCCGTCCAATAACTGTACTTCGGAGATATCGCATAGTATTGTGCTTAATATTGTTGTTGCGTATCGGCACCGGTACTGTTGCTCGTTCTTTGATCTCTACCAGCCCTTTTGACATGCCTAACATTGAACCGGCCCAGTATCACCTGGAGAAGAGATGCAAGGCCATTATCTTTACTTGAGCATTTCCAAATAACTTCGGCCACAGATGGTCAAATTGCTTTCAGATGAACGAAAGATTTCGCATGCTTATCACCAGTCGAAACGCCACGCTGAACGGCCTGTCCACGATTCGCCCTATCTCAGCTGGAGCACATGCAAACGTCCACAGTCCATGGATTCGGTGGTGCGGATGAATGACCATGGCTCCTTGGCACCAAATTGTCTCTATCATTGTTTTGGAGTGTTACTATTGCCCCTTGGGTGGACATTTTCAGAAGTTCTCAGACGAGGATGCGCGCTAGAATGCCTAAGATTGAGCTCCCGACTGCAGTTGTATTACAGGGTAAAGACTGGCTAATGGTGTCCAGCCTTGTGTTGACCTGGCTAAGCAGAGTTTTGCTTACCTATGACTGAAAAATTCTGCAAGGGCGCTCGATATTCCTTCATGGAGGGAGCCGGGGCCCCGAATATATTAGAAATCCGATTTACGCAACAAGGCTCCATGGGCTGTAGTCCATGAAAACTTGACTGAACGCCGACGCAGCGGTGACTATGAGAGACAATAATCAATCTAACAGTTGCTCAAATCGCATCTGCTGCAGGCCATAATGTGAGGCCGCCCAAAAAGAAGATTGGATATGGGGGGAGAGTCATAACAGGACCCCGTTGGCGTTGTCTTGGTGTGGGGGAAGGGGGTGGTGGTCAGAGTATTGCTCGTATATGCTGTCACCGCAATGGGAACGTAAGAACACGCGTCTTTCGATACTCCATTGATTAGGAATTGTTCTAGTTCGTCCTCATTTTCGACTGTTCCCGACTGTACAGAATCTGCCTTGCACATAATAAACGTCCATGAACTTGAACACATGATGTGCCTCGCGGCATATTACTCGGCAAACTGGATCCAGTCGGTGCACGTGTGTCAGATTCGAAGCCCGACCGTTGTTCGCAGAAGGAGTGACACGAAGTCGTCTCAACAAAAAAAACCAAAAAAACCAGTGTTATTGTGGCGTTGCGCTTGTGCGTTGCGAACATGAATGGAGAGGATGGTCACACTTGGCGACCTTAGTACGGAGTGCTGGAACACGCCAGCTGACCAGCTTCGGCTTTCGGTCTTGTTTGCTCAATGTGAAGTGCCACGAGACGGACTACATAGTGACAGAGATTCCAATCATGACGATATCGTGCAGCAACAAATGTAGGAAAGCTTGGAGTAGAGTGGCTCACGCGATGGGTGGCAGCGCCTAGTGAGGTGAGCGGAAGTTTGGGCCTGGGGCATAAAACCCTTTAGGCCTCGGGAAGGGGGGGTGTGGGGCGGGCTGTGAATATCGCGTAGGATTCGCTGCAGGCCGCGACAATGAAATGCAACACTTGCTAACAACCAAGCCTTATCATGATAATTGGATGCCTTCTTGACGGTCCCTCAGCGCAACTAGACGGGTGAACTCGGCGCCAGAAGATGAGTTCTACATGGACGAATATTCACTCAATGACTGAGATCTCCCAGATTAGAATTCGTCGTGTGAAGTGGCATCATCTTTCTGTCTAGGCGAGGGATTGATATAGACTGTTAGCTAAGAGCCTCAGAATACAGGCGGCCAGGACTCGCTGACCGAGCAAGCTGCCCCCCCTCAATAGACCTGACCTTGAGAAGCTCAGCCTCTCCCTCGTCCTTCCCCGACCGCCTTCCAACCCTCTTTCCACCCCCTCCCACCCTTCCCCAAGAATACACACAACAGAACGGGCTTCTCATTCAAACTATAGCACTTCTTATCGACGATGACACTTATCCAGCTGATCAGGGTCCCAGCAGCCCGGTGAGCTGTCATCGTTATTCCTCAGCCCCCACACGCAGGATGCCTCCATTGTCTTAGATTCAGGTCGTCATGGTAGACGACTCTTAGATTGCTGCTTTCGATTGCGTTCTGTAAAAATCATTCACGAGGGCCTCTTGAGACACACAAAGCCGCGCCAGCCTTTTCTTGCGCTGTTGCGCGTCCGATTGAGCGACCATTACATACCCTCTTCTGGCCCCCCCGGTCACTGACTGTTGTGTAACTCCACCTCATGCAAGAACCAATAGTGCCCAGTGCCAAGTGCTGCCTTGTGCTTGAGTGGACCACTGAGGCACGTGCAGCAATGGCAGACACTATTCAGTACATTTACTTATCTTCAGAAAGAGTCATCTTCAGCACGATTACCACACCCTTACACTTTTTGATCCAGTCATGCAGGTCCCCTGGTCAGGCCACCCTAGATGACTACACAAGTCCAAAGTTGAGAAAAGGCGCTGCTGGGTGGTCTGGCCAGTCCTCAACTCCCCGTCATCCGGCATGGACACAACCACAAAGGTTAACGACGGGTGGAAATCACAGCCACACCGTCGGCGTTTCATGGCGATGATGTATATGCAAGCCAGACCTGTCATCTTTTTTTGCACTTTAACGTCCTAAACTCGTGTCTAGGAGTCTTATCTCCATGCTTTTCCGCCCTCCGACTGGGAAAAACCGGAGCAAGTGCTTGGCGTGAGTGTTTGTCCTTTGGGGGTGGTGGTCCTCCTGATGCTTGGCCGGCCAGCAGACTCATCATCATCTTCTATAGAAAGCAATACTGTAACACACAGCCACTTTCTATAGACCTCAATCTATGGGCAATGTTTCCTACAGTATGGTACAGATTAAACGCGACACAGCCCGTCCGAGGCCAAGCGCACCCAAAAGTGGGCCAATACAGGCTGCAGGACTGTGGCTAAGCGCCGCTGTAAGCACTACGGCTGAGAGTCCTATGGTAGTCCCATAGGCGACTTTTTCAACTTACTTGCAGTGTGTGTGAGTGTGTGTATATGTGTGTGTGGGCAAATTGGTAACCCAACGGTTTCCACCGCAGCCCCCAGCCTACGATGGTACCGTCCGTACCTTGCGTCCCCGTCCCCTTGCAGTAGTATGAGCACTTAGCATGGAGGGCTCCCTCCCAAGCTGTAACACACCCTCTCGTGACGACAGTGCGCTCTCTCTCATATTGTCCTACTAGTTCTAGGCAGAAGAGTAGACAGTTGTTCAGATAAATATGCATCTTTCGACGCAATATAAGTCCAAGAAGACCCGCATTTACTGCACCCCCCCACTGTTACAACACACTGTTTCTCTCATCCTCTCTCCTTCCACGAATCACTCTACCTTGTTATCCTGCAAGACATCTCCAAGAATCAACACAAGCCTCAAGCATAGAGTGACAGAAAGCACGTCTCCGCCTATCATCTCATTACTACCCCAACCCTCCCCAGGCTTTACAACCATTCATCATAGCCCCTAACTTGACGAAACCTATCACCGCTTCGCAGTGGGCCAGGTCAACATACACAGTTTCCCACACAATTATTACCAGGCTACCAGAGCGTACCAAGACAATGGCTGCCGACAGGGGCAGCAGGCGCTGCAAGGCTCCAGACTGTGGGGAGAAGAGCGTGCACGAAACAGTCTCCGACAAGAAGATATACTCCATGTATTGCCAGAACCACACCTGCATGGCCCCGAGGAACCAACACCATCCCTTCTGTATCAACCATCGAAACCCACACAACAGATACTGTGCCTTCCACGGGAAGTGCAGAGCCCACGGATGCACACAGCTAGCCCCACGGCAGGAAAAACAACCTTTCCCTTGGCTTTGCCGCCTCCACCGCTGTGTCCGATGCACAAACCCACGCTTTGCCAACACCGACATGTGCCAGGCCCATCTCACATGTCGATTTCCAGGATGTCCCAACTATCCCAACCTGCGACGCCCAGGCCTCCTCTGTCAAATTCACTCCTGCACCATCGTGGCCAACTGTCCTCACCCAGTCATGCGAGGCAAAGCATACTGCCAGATGCATATACCTTGCGCACGGAGGAATCACGGGTGTAACAACTTGGCCCAACGTGGATACAACTTCTGCCTTGACCACAAGTGCAGCCTCGAGAGGTGCACCCGCGAAAAGGATGCGCACTCCTACTACTGCCGGAACCACACGTGTATCCAGTCGGGCTGCCGGCAAGTCATTGGCGACATCGACAACCGCGCGGCCCAGTTCTGCTTGATCCATGAATGCGCCGTTTCTAGATGCACTGCTGCAGCCAAGACAGCTGGCGGATACTGCGAGGACCACGGTTGTACACATGGCTCCTGCAACGACATCAGGCAAGAGGGCACGAGCTATTGTACCCAGCACTGCTGTCGCACTGAGGGATGCAGGCACGAAGCAATGCACAAGAATGCCTTCTGCCGCAACCACGGATGCTGTGAGATCAGGTGCAAGAACTCTCGCCTGGGCGGACGGGATCGCATCCGGCAGTGCCTCGAACACTATACTGAGCTTGTGCAAAGGCATGCTGCGGACAGGGTCGAACATGCGGCTGGCGTTCGTGAGGCCGAGTTGGAGCATGAACTGAGGGAGTTTGAAAGACGAGAGGCGAACCGTGTGGCCCGAGAGCTACAAGCAAGGGAGCGCCGGGCGAGAGAGGAACAACAGGCTGAGCGTCAGCGGCAGATCAGGGAAGAAGCTGCGAGGTTGTTGCACGAACAAGAAGCCCGGCGCAGGGCGGAGCAACTCCGAGCCGCAGAGTTTCTCGAGCTCGAGCAAGAACGTGAACTCGAACGGGAACGGGAGGCGAGGGAAGAGAGAAGGCGTCTGGATAGGGAAGCACGAGCACGAGCACGAGCAGAAGCCGATCACTGGGAGGCGAGATGGGGGCATTGGTAGGGATGGGGACAGGAATAGGGAGGAGCGTTACCTTCTTCGATGACGGTTTATGGTGATTTATTGTCTTGAAAGAGCCGAGATGTGTCTTTTTGTCTTTTTGCATTTGTGGATTTGCTTTCATAGCTCCTCCCATATTTTGTTTTGTCTCAAGCGTTTGTTAAGACGGATGGAAAAAAAGATTTTGCACCTGCTTAGATGATACCACATATACCACATGAAAACTTTCAACATGAACTTCAACTCTGCCGTTCTCTTTCCGTCACTGCTCGCCGGGGGTCCATCGCTTCGATTCCACTGCCCTAATATTAGCTGGAGAAGATACTCAGCAGTAGATGCACCTAAATGAGAACATTATTTAAAGTTCTAAATATTCTCCCCAAAAGCTTGAGGCTGCCTAGGGGGAAAGAAACCCGCCTCCACCCACTGCAGAGGAACCTCACAGTATCTTGCAAAGGTCAGCCTGCCGTGCGTCGTCTCTTCTATCCTTCGACGCAGACCGCCAGTATAGATACAGAAATGGCTGCCTCATTTGCTATAGTCACGAGCGAGGACAGCATCCCGCTCGCACTTCTCTGCTTCAACGGACCAAGGCAGCCTGTGCACCATCCTGGCCATCCCGGCCTTGTCCGCTGTGCGACGAGCAGCCACCAACGCCGCCATCGTCGCTATCCTCTCCGTTGCCGTAACCAGAGTCGTACTCGCACTCCTCTTGGTCGTCCTCGTCCTCGTACTCGCCGTCGATTTGATTCCCAAACTCAAACCGCTTCGCTTTGGCCTGCTCCCACAATTGCTTGTGGGGCGAAACAGTCTTCAGCTTCGCGAACTTGAGCTGGCAGGCCTTGAGCTTCCGCTTGAGGTGCTTCTATCAATGGCATTTTAGTCCAGACATTATGTTATGTGTTATGTAGAGTGCCATGGAAGAACTGACCTGGGCGATGACATGGTAGGGAAGACCCTCGCAGCGAAGCCGCACAAGAAGACGCTCCTCTTCTGCGGTCCAAATTTTGCGAACCTCTCGAGCATTTGAGGATGAGGCCATCGGCAATGCAGGTCTCGGAGCTCTGCGCTTAGGAGACTCCTTTGTCTTGCCCTTGACCTTACCCTGGGGACGCGCCTCATCCTCGCTAGAGGAAATATCGTTCCTGGCGACCTCGCTGGTGGAAATAGCCCAGCGGGTGGGTATATTGCCAACGGGCATATCCGCCACCTCGTCTATGACACGATATCCCTGGCTGATGGGTGTGTAGCGGTTGTCAACCTGACCGCGTTGGACAAGGTATGCCCAGCCTTCAGGAGAGATCTCATGGAGATGGTGAGTCTTGGCTATGCTCCTATTACTAAAATCACTTGTATTAGCTACGCGTGGAAACTGGATGGCAAAATATCGACGACGACGGTTACAAGCGTACCTTAGGTCCATTTTCATCATTTGGTGACTCGTGATGTCGTCGCTACATATTGATTAGTATTATATGTATCAAGGTTGATAGTACGAGATGTACCCACTTGGGATATCAGCGATTAGGTGATTTGGAGAACGAAATGTTGATGAGGTCCGCAGCGCGAATTTTGACGAGGTTCTCAGGTCTGTTTGGTTGGAGTTGGACGTGTAGGAAGGATAATTTTCAACAGATAAGTTTCTGTTATGTAGTTTGGAATGCATGTGAATTGTGTGAATTGGAAGACACAATAGACAATGGCCAAGAAACCCATAGCATTGATCACTGGAAATGGACAGAACACAGCAGATTTCCAAACAATATAAATTCATGGGAATTACCTAACAATATCTATGTTTGTATTTAGAAAGAAGAAGGATTTGGTGGATGTGACACGGAGCGTGAGCAGACTCAGACAGAACAGAAGCCTTCTAGGTATCCAGCACTCTGGATTCCATTCCTCTCTATTGATCTCCTGGCTGATACTGCGTGCTGCATAGCTGCATAGCTGATATAAAGCATGATGGAGTGCTATTGAAAGAAATATATGCAGGACACAAAATGCATTATGTGAAACTTTTATAACACTGTAGCGGGGAACATGTTGTCCAATGACGAGGTGCGCAAGGTGTATTTCTTAAGCTATGAAACCTCAGTGCCAGAGACAAAGAGAGCATATCAGCCTAATACCTACTTAGGCAAGCAGCATGTGGCATTTCAGGTCTGAGCATTTTGTGAGAGGAAAGGGGCACAGGCATGAAAACACCTGGGGATGATGAAAAAATATCAGCGAGAGACTTGGTTATTTATGACATCATTTTCAGGGCTGTTTGATAATCTACCAGTTTCCCTCTATTCAGCTTCTGTAGGTTCATATAATTTCAGCTTAGAGATTAAAATGATAAATTAGCTAATGCAAGCATATACAAGTAATGAAAATATCATCAATTCTGTTGATATGCAAGTGAAAAGGGCATCAATTCCTAAGCACTGGTTGTCTAAGTGATAGGTGATGTTGTCGGGGTTAGGGTTCTTAAACGCAAAACTCGGGATTGGCTGGTGCAGCGGCAGGGGACTCCAACCAAACTCGAGACCAACGTCAGTCAGAGCTCCTTCGTGTCAGTACCATCTACGCCCAAACCAGACACCACCATTCCTTTCATTTGATATCAAGCAGGTCTCTCATCAACCAACAGCAGGCGTGCCAATGTCGACCAACAGCAAACATGGGCCCCTTGGACGATCAAACTTTGAGTCACTATGACATTGATTTCCATCATCCTTTCTCTCCCTACGACGTCCAGCTCGAGTTCATGAAAGCAGCATATGAAACTCTTGAACGAGGTTCTGGCCAAGTAGGCATCCTCGAAAGCCCAACAGGCACAGGCAAATCGCTGTCCCTCATCTGTGCATCAATGACGTGGCTACGGAATTTCAAGCAAAGACAATTTGCTGCGTCGTTGCAGATCGACGCTAAAGAGGCAGAAGGCGAGCCTGATTGGATCATTGAACAAATGCTGAAGCGGAAGAAGGACGAGCTAATGAGAAAATGGGAGGAGCGCGAGGAACGACTTGAAATGATACGTCAGAGGGAGAAGCAAATGGAAGAGAGGAGTAGCAAGAGACGCCGCCTTCAAGGCTCCAGTTCAAAGGCAAGACCAGCAGAGGAAGAGGAGGAGGCTGAATTTCTCCTTGACGACTGGGAAGCGAACGCGCAGGATGGTGGCCTGGATGACCAAGATCCACTCTCGAGCCTTAGCAAAGAGACGAGGGCTATACTCCAGAAGGTGGGAGTGGGTAGCATCAGCGCGGATGCAAACGAGGAGGAGCCGCCAGACGATGAAATCAAAGTGAGTCAGCCGTGACATAGCGGACGATGAGAAGTGATGGCTGACAGGAAGACAAGATCTACTACGCCTCAAGAACGCATTCACAACTGACCCAGTTCATTGCGGAGCTGCGACGTCCACATTTCCAGCCTTCTATAAGTGAGGAACTCGGCGACAAGAATTCTAACAGTGGCCCGGCCGGCCAGGAGCCCGTCAAGCAGATTCCATTATCATCGCGTCAGAAGCTTTGTATCAACCCAGCTGTGTCCAAGCTGGCCTCACTCTCAGCCATCAACGACAGATGCAGTGAGCTCCAAAAACCCAAATCCGAGACCAGATGTCCGTTTGGCCCAAGTGCAGACAACCTTGCCGAGTTTCACCAATTTCGTGACGAAGCATTAGCAACCCTTCCTGACATCGAGGACCTGTGCCAGCTGGGCAAGAAACACCAGGTCTGCCCATACTATGCATCACGCACGGCAATTCCCGCAGCCGAAATAGTCACTCTTCCGTACCCTTTACTCTTGCAGGATAGCGCACGCGAAGCATTGGGAATCAAGCTGGAGGGCAATATTGTGATTGTGGACGAGGCTCATAATATCATGGATGCGGTGGCCAGCGTGCATGCTGCTGAAATACGGCTGAACGATCTGAAGAGGGCCAGACAGATGCTGGGTGTCTACTACAAGAGATTCGGCAAGAAATTGAAGGGAGAAAATAGAATCATGGTGGCACAGGTCGTGAAGGTCATCGATGGTCTGGCCGAGTGGTTGACGGCATGTCTGAGCGCAAGCGTACGAACCCTGCGAACCACCACCCTTTCAATTTTTCGCAAACATGCTAACTATCTGCAGACTGAGCACGGAATTGTTGAATCCAACGCGCTGATGAAGGGCAAAGGTGTCGATCAAATTAACATGTATAAGTTGATCAAATACATCCAGGAATCGAAACTTGCATTCAAGGTCGAGAGCTATGCGAGCCACGTGGAAGAATCGAATACCGATACTGGAGAAGGGAAGGCGTCGCCATCAAGCCCTGTACTACACAGTCTGGTCGCCTTCATTATCGCCCTTACAAACCCTTCAGACGAGGGCAGAATATTCTTTGAGAAAGTCGCGGCCACCGCATCAATCTCAAACGATGTCAAGCTCTCTTACCTTCTACTCTCGCCCGTCCACGCCTTCTCTTCCATTGCGAAGTCCGCACGGGCCGTCATCTTGGCGGGTGGAACTATGTCGCCTTTCGAGGACTACAAGACCCATCTCTTCCCATACCTATCACCAGAATCAATCACAACTCTCAGCTGTGGTCACGTCATTCCGCCTTCGAACCTGTGCGTCTGGACGCTTGCCTCCATGAAACCAAACACAACCGACGCGAGTGATCTATTCGAGTTCAGCTTCCAGAAAAGAAGCGATAAGGCCATGATCGCGAAACTAGGCCAGGCCTTGTTGAACATGTGCTCCATCGTGCCGGACGGCGTTGTGGTCTTCTTCCCCAGCTATGGCTATCTCGATGAAGTCATTGCGACCTGGCAGGTTGCCGATTCTGCCAGGAGTGGGAACAGTATCTGGGATCGCCTTCAGACTCGAAAAGCCGTCTTTCGGGACAGCAAGGGTGCTTCAAGCAATGAGGTCCTCGAGGCCTACAGCCGCGCCATCCTCGGCAGCGGCGATGACCGGACAGACACGAAGTCCACCACGCGCGGGGCTCTCCTTCTGAGTGTTGTGGGGGGTAAGATGAGTGAAGGCATCAACTTCTCCGATCGACTCGGCCGTTGCGTGGTGATCGTTGGCCTCCCGTACCCGAACATCAACTCGCCAGAATGGAAGGCACGCATTGAGTACCTGGAGTCCGATACCGTCAGACGACTTACAAGCCAGAACCCAGACATCAAAAAGCAGCAGGCCATGGCGCAGGCGAAGCAGGTCTCGAGAGACTTTTATGAGAATTCCTGCATGCGTGCTGTGAACCAGAGTATCGGTCGGGCAATTCGGCACAAGGGGGACTACGCAGCTATTGTGTTGGTGGACCGGCGTTTCAGTACAGAGAGGATTCGTGGCAAGTTGCCTGGTTGGATCCGAGGCGGCATGGCACAGGGAAGTGAAGGAAAAGGGATGCAAGGGCTGATGGGGGCGCTGAACGTGTTCTTCAAAGGGAAGAAGACCACATCTTAGGCTGCGTACCAAGTCAATCTTAATAGACGAAGGCAGTGGCAAGAGCGTTCGAGGATGAAGTCTCTTGTTCAAATCGTCATCCCATATTACTCGCTTTTCATCCAGCCAATCAAGGAGCATCCGTTGGATCCCTAAGCATGGGAATATGTTAATTAGTGAAGGGAAACCACAAAAGGGCAGATGCAATGCAACTCACCAATCAGTGACGAGACCCTCATCCAGACTGTCCATTAGTGACATGTCTGCCTCCGAGATCTCGAATTCATTGACCTTCACATTCTCGATGAGACGGGCTTTCTTGGAGCTCTTAGGAAGCGTGATCATGTCGTGTTGTAGAGACCACCTTTGCAGGTCAGCTTGGCGCACCAGCGATGGCATACTCAAAAGATTTTGCTTACCGAACGAAAAGCTGAGCTGGAGTACATGTGTACTGCTTGGCCAGCTCGAGGATTTTGGGGTGCCTCATGCGCATCGCTCTAGCCAATGGTGCATAAGCCTCAATGACGATGTTGTGTTTCGAGCAGGTCTCTCGGATACGAGTCTGGGTATTGAATGGATGGACCTCGATTTGGTTCACCACAGGATGAACCGTGGGGTGGGCAGCCATTAATTCTTCAATCTATGCAAGTATGTCATGCTGTCAGTGTCACACGAACAAGGTAGATCGCTTGCTTCCCTTCTAGCATCTGACATTGTCCAGGCACTCACATGTCTGCTTCCAAAGTTGCTGACGCCAGCCATCTTGACCTCGCCGGCCTCAACAGCATCCTCCAGGGCCTTCCAACTCGTCAGCCGCGCCTCATTGCCTCCGTATGGGCTGTGTAGCAACATCAAGTCAACATAGCCCAGCCCGCACACATCCACAGACTTCTTGATGCTCCGCCTAACGGCATCGTAGCTAGTGCTACAGCTGGCAAGCTTCGTGGTGTAGTGGATGTCCTCGCGCGTCAGGCCGTGTGTGTTCTCGTCGCTGGCGAGGAAGTCAAGAATGGCTTTCCCCGCCTCTCGCTCGTTGTGATACATTTGCGCGCAATCAAAGCCCCTGTATCCAGCAGCCAGCGCCCATCGAACAGATTGCGTGGCTTCTCTGCCACTCATCATGTATAGTCCAAGTTGGATCTGTGGCATGGTCTGACCGGTGGCCAGCTGGGTTTGGGTACGGGCGTCAGTGTGCGGGTTCAGATGAAAACAGGGCAATCAAGTCTCCTTCCATGATTGTGACGTGTTGGGCGAAAATTCACCTTGACGCGGCTGGCCAGTGTATATGTATTTGATGCCATATCGAATCAAAAGATTGAATTGTTCCTCCTCGAGTCAAAGCTTGGTGGACGTTGGTGGCATGTAAACAACCTATTTGAATGTTCTCCGTAACACTTTGCAGTACGATGGCACATAAACCTAGATAGCCTTACCATTCATGATGGCACTTTCCTTTATGTGAGGTTAGAGAACGGGTGCAGGGATGACGTAAGAATAGCAACCAATCGATCGTATCCGATATCGGCTTATCCCAACTTGGCCTACCGAGGTACGTACCTCAATATTTGCTGCAATTATGAGTGAATTACCAGATAGAAAGTAGCATCGAGGTTCCTGCATTGGTACAACGTAACATCTGTCTTCAGAAACACGTCCTCAAATTCAGCCTCATCTTGTCAGCTGCAGTGCAAGCTCACCCAGAGACGTTGGCATTCCCAATACCTCATCGCACATCGCTAATGCTTTTCAAGCCAAGACTCGTTCACAGGCGTTGGATTTTGGCTTCCGGGGTTTCGAGGCAGGCCCACCTCTACTACGCCCTTACTGCCGATCCACTAGCCACGAGGGGGGACCCCGAAACTCAACTGTTAGATCCACAGAGGCTGGTGTCTGCTTATCTGCGCCCTGGGCCGTGGGCCGTGTGGGTTTGTTGGGTGATAAGCTCCGAGTAAGGTAGGGTAGTAGCACAGTGGATGGAGTAATGTTGACCAACTCGGCACGACGAGGGAGATCCTCCGCCCCTACCACGACGACGCCTCGAGCAGTCACCGTCTCTCAACTGGGCAAATGGCTTCCATCACGGTCTCTGACGCCAAGCGGCTGTCACCAGCGGCGGAAGAAGAAGGAGGAGAACAGCGACAGCGACAGCGACATGACGCCTCGGATGGGATAGCCGCTGTAGCCCCGCAACCGAAGCGGCGCCGAGTTGCTGACGATGCGAGGGTCCGCTCAGCAAAGGCGTGCCAACGATGTCGACGATTGAAGGAGAAGTGCGATGGGCTCCAACCCTGTGCGCGATGTCAGCGTTCGGGGCGAGATTGCTGTTTCGCCCCCACTGGTGGCTCTGGGCAGAGCAGCGTCGCCAAGTCCACTGCATCCTCGACAAAGGGGCGCCCGTCAGCCCAGCCAGGGACGTTGGGCAACGTCGATCGTGATGGTGCTGCCCTGGTCACCGTAGGCAGTGCCAGGTCAGAAGCCCGATCAGAAGAGAGGATCAAGTGTCTGGAGCGTCTCGTTCAGCATCTGCTCGGGGATATACCCATGGATCTGAACAACCTCCGCCGCATGGCAGAGAAAGCCAGCCAGAGGTCAGGCACGGGAAGCGATGTGAGCAGTGCCAGAGGCGGTGTGGAGGACCTTGACGACTTGACCCTGGAAGATGAGAACTTCACTGTCAAGACGCTGTCCCAGAGCACGGCCCGTAAGCAAACCACACCGCACACACACACCTGCACTTCCTGATAGTGCAGATGAGGAGAGATTGACTAAGCGATCAATAGATTACTCGGGAGAATTTTCGCACTGGAATTTCTCACAAAGATTGAGGCGTAGGCTCAGTCAATGTATGGACTCGGACGTCGCCGTTCCGACCACCAAGAAAGAACTACGGAGTACCCCAGGATCCATGGCACCACCTCCTGGCCGAATGATGCCGCCCCGAGGTAGAGCGAACATGAGGATTCTCGAGTACTGGAGAGCCACACAGCTCCAGTCGCCAAAGACGCTGGTCCAGAGCGTGCTGGGCTGCCTGCCCCCCCGTGCAGTCTCCAGTTTTCTCGTGCAGATTTATTTCCAGTTCGCACAGGTCAATTGCTTCTACGCCGAGGAATCGTGGGTGCAGAAGAAATTAGAGTTTGTCTATGAGGCGCCAGGTCATGTCACCAGCGAGGACTCAGCATGGGTTTGCTCGGTACTCATGGTGCTTGCCATTGGCACCCAATTCGCACACATGGCAGCAAGTCCTTTGAACGATGCGGGCAGTGCCACCACCAAGACGAATACACCAACCCTTCCCAGCGGTGCGGACTCAGATGTCGGCGTGACCTTCTACCACATGGCATCGAAGCTGATCCCCGACATCATCACCATCGCTTCCATGGAAAGTGTGCAAGCATTCCTGTTGCTGGCGCATTACGCCCTTCCTCTCGACACCCACGGGCTGGCTTATACCTATCTGGGGCTGAGCATCAAGATGGCGATCCAGAATGGCATGCACAGGAGGTATGCTGGGACAGACCTGGATGCATGGACCGTCGAAATGAGGAATCGTCTCTGGTGGACGGCATATACCGTCGAAAGGTGAGAAAATTTCTTTCTCTCTCTCTGGACTCCCAATGAGAGATATTGACAAATCTCACAGGCGAGTGAGCGTGCTTCACGGCCGGCCTGTCTCTATTGCACCGACAGAAGTGGACGCTGAGCTGCCCAAGGATTTGACCGGGTTCAGGCAACATGACGAAGTCTCAAATTTCAGAAACATGTCTGCTCTCATAGACATGACACTACGGCTGGGCGACGCCGCGAACGCAATGTAAGTCGTATCAACGTTGCATCAGATGCTCGACCGTGACTAACGAGGTTAAAATAAAGAACCCTCCTGCGAAGGTGTCCCAAGAACTTGCAGCCAACATACTTTGAACGCATCGTCGACATATGTCAAAGCCTTCGAGCCTGGTGGGCAAGCCTCCCGGCAGAGGTTCGGGACTCATCTCCCTCATCTCCCCTCTATCGTTCCAACGTGCACTTACGACTTTGCCTCCATCTCAATGACATCTTTGTCGGTCGACCGTTTATCTTTGCACACACAAGCGGTACCTCTCCAGTTTCCGTGTCTTCACCGGGCAACACTCGACGACCAGATACGAGGGACTCCACGTCGTTTGACAAAGCACCCGAAACCGAGCGGCCTCGGAACCGGGCAGCGCTCGTCGCACGGGCCGTCGAAGCTGCCATAAATGTCATCAACCTGCTCCGCACCCTGCATGAGACCACAGGCCTGGCTAGGTCGAGCTATACCGAGTTCAGCTCTTGTCGTGCCGCACTACTTGTCATGCTTGCACAAAGCGTTAACGGGCCCCAGACCCCTGCACTGAAGGAGGCTATAGAGACCGGCATGTCACTGATCCGAGGCATGGCAGCCGGAAATGTCTCCACGCAGTCCGAGACCAGTGTCATCGAGGCATTGGAAATCGCCGTCAGGAGACTGCACGAGATGCAACAGGCGCAGGATGTCACCGAGAGCGAAGAACAACAGGAGCCCCCAGTAGAGACAAACGAGGTCATCGAGGAGACTCCTGCGAGCAAGAGTGGCTACGAGCGTTTTCGGGAATGGGCTTCCCTTTGGCCCGCTCCAGGCGAAGACCCCCGAGAAGAAGGGTCTCAAAGGATGCCCAACCCATCGCTGTCCTTCTCCGATCCCAGGTTGATGTCTCACTACACGGCGCACACGGCCTTTGGAGGGGGAGCAGTAGAGCGCTCGGCATGGCAGCCTCCAATAGCCGGTATGGCAGAGCATAGTCCTGAATCCGCAAGGTGGCTGAACATGGTCGATCCCACCGGAATGGGTATGGAGGTGGAGCAGCTGGACGAACTTGGATTTTTTGGCGGGTTTCCTGAGCTTGAAGCATTAGATGGCTGGCCTAGCCTCACTTGACGACAGAGCTTCCAGTTTGCTTCAAGTGGCGTTTAAAAGGCTGGGGAGGCTTTTCTTAGTCGTGTTTCTGGATTCAACGAACATGGACGTCATGGACCTCGTTACCATTATTGTCCACATCGAGTTTAATGCATTGGAAATTTCTACACCTATGCTTCTCTCGTCAAACCCACGTGTGAAGACTCAGCCTAGGACAATATTCTTGACGATTTGAACAGGATCGCACTTCCGCTTTGGCTTTTCGCTCTTACCACTGGCAGCACTGGCTTCCGCCTCCGCCTCTGCCCTGTCCTCCGCATCGAATGCGTACGCCTCAGTGAAGTCAACTTCTGCTGGCTTGACGAACTTGGTTTTATACCAGAGCTGTTCATTTTTCGTATCAGCACGTTGCTCATGTCATTGTATTCTGGTATCGAGAAGGAGGCAGCTTACCTTGTACACTAAAAAGTCGAAAAGGAAGAGTGGGCACGCCAAGTAGACGGAGAAGAAGCCCTTGGCGGTGGGTGTCCCATCTGCAAACAGCGCGAGGTAGAACTCGCAGCCCATGATGAAGAGTACGCACAAGATTGCGACGTATTGCAGGTAAGGAGCCAACGGGGCTTGGAATGGCAGTGTCTTGGGATCAATATCCTGGGCTTTAAGAGCGCGGCGGAATCCAATGTGGGTGGTAAGCATGCATAACCAGCCCATGAAAGTGGCAATCGAGACCTGCAGAGAAAGATCGTTATTAGCTCACAGTCCGCCAGGTCAGAGTGTGTTTGTTGTCGAGTTCATCCTGAATCAATGCTCACAAGAGACGAGAACCAGTCATATACGACAATGGCGGTCGAGTTCACGTTCAGATACGCAAGTCCTCCGCCTAGACCACCGCTGATGATGAGAGACAGCCACGGGCGGCCCCAGCTATCTTTCTTCCCAAAGATGGGATGGATCAGTGAGATATCCGCCAGAGCCGTCAGCGACCGGCTAGAGATGTAAAAGCTTGTGATACAGCAGCTGATGACAGTGAGGAAGATGAAGCCGTTGATAGTATCCGCCAGCCAGTACTGCTTTCCCAGCTTCAAAGCAATGACAAAGGGGCTCCCGATCGTGCCCGAGCCGTTGACAAGGTCGCTGTTGTCATAAGGGACACACATGCCCACCAGCCATATGTTCAGAATGAAGAAGAGGAAGATGCGCCAGAAGATGGGCATGACGACCGACTTGATGGTCTTGCGCGGCTTGATAGCCTCTCCGGCGATGATAGCGATGTGCTGTGCAGAGCCGAAGCTGAACCCTGCCTGGACAAAGGCCTTGGACAGACCTTTCATGTTGGTGAAGGCGCCAGGGTTCTTCCAGTAACTGAACTCAATGGGTCCGTTGGTGGCAGCGACGCCGCCGGACGTCATAATGAACATGTATGCGATGACGACAAAGATGGCGAGGATCTTGAACCAGCTCATGCCATACTCAATATGTCCATACATCCGAACGGGGAAGACGTTGGGAATAGCAGTGATGGCGAGAAAGATCGTGATGTAGCCGGCCAGGGGAATCTTTTGCCAGCCGTCCCAGTACTTGAGAACGCTGACGGCGGCAGTCAGCTCGGCCGGGATGATCATCACCCACTGGAACCAGAAGTTAACGCCCTCTGCGAAGCCCAGGGCAGGGTCGACGTATTCGCTGGCCATGCGGATGAAGCCACCATGGACGGGCCGATAGGTCGCCATCTCGCCGATGGACATGTACAGGACCCATACGATGAATGCCTGGAACGTGTAGGCGACCGCAATTCCTCCTGGGCCAGCAGCCGCCAGAGCTGTACCCGTGCCGACCCAGAGACCAGTGCCAATGCCAGCCCCAAACGTCATGAACATAATCTGTCGCTTGGTGAGCTTGCGCGCGTACCCGGCCGTGTCGACGCCATTGCTAGCGGGCACGTCGACCACCGTCGTGGCGCCCTCGCGGCTGGAGGTGTTGCCGAGCTCGATGTCTGTGACATTTCCGAGCTTGTCCTCGTGGGAGGAGGTCTTCTCAGATGCCATGTTCAAACCGTGTTCCTTTGATGAACAACCAAAAAGAAGAGGTGAAAGGGATGGCAAAGGTCACCATCCGGGTCGGGGCCGAAAACCAGGAATTTGGCTGGTGATGGGAATGTTTCCTTGGCAGAATAGCAGCAATCCGGGGAGGATTGAACATTATACATGTGCCATGGCAACGACGAACTTTATCTCTGCTTCGGGCTCGTCAAGACAGAGCCAGCCAAGCCCAACGCACAAGGCAATGCTGCGTGTCGAGGGTGAGAGAGAGACAGAGCGAGATAAGCCACAAGTAATCACTGAGGTGGTAATCAGGATAGATTGAAGCTCATGTTGCTTCGTATACTTGATCTCCGCCTGTCTCTGCGATCATCCTCCCTGATAACTACAATGGAGATATGCCAGCCTTGAGATCAAAACCATAGCCCAACCCAAGACTGAGTTTGATGGAGACACCTCGGGCCGGTATGTGTGGTTTGATAGCAGCCAAGCCCTCGCCTCGCAAGGCGACGGGGGGATGCCTTATCATCAATCATCTGCTTGACTCACTATCAAGTGCGAATGTGGAACCGGCTCGGTGCATACTCTCTTTAGGGAAGAGAACTAGCCGGTGTGCCGTCCTGAGTCAAGCCTGAGTTACTGCCATACCATGGTACTCTACTATACATACTTTGGTACATTCATATCCGGGGTTAAAAAGTGGCCCGCTGGGTTCTTCCCCGGCTCCAGGGTCGCTGAGTGCCGGGCCATGAGCCTCTACAGTGGGATTGATCGGTCCGCTTCCGATGGCCGTGCTGTGGTCCAGGATACGCCAAAGAGCTGGTAGGAGATCGTCACTCTTTTAAACAATCCCATGCAGCAAGCAAGGTCCAATTTGCAAAGGTGAAGGACAAACCAGCTTTTGGCCGCGACCTATTCAAATCTTTACTCACACAGTTTGATTATTACCATCATCATCCTCGCCCCCACACCCTTTCCCAGGAGGTTCATCATGAGCATTCCGGCTACCAAGGACGTCGTCTTTGATGTCGTGGGCACACTGGTGGCCTATGACCGGCTCTTCGAGGCCCTCGACGAAAGGCTGGGCGACAAGCTCAAGGCCAACGGAATCAAGTCTAACCTGTTGGGCATGTGCTGGATCGAGGCCACAGAGAGAGAATACACATACCTATCTCTGTCTGGTCGGTATAAGCCCTTCTTTGAGCTGTTCGGCGCGCTGTTCTACCGCATGCTCCTGTACGCAGGTGTGGCAAAACCAAGAGAGCTCGCCACAGACGAAGACGTGGCGTGGCTCGTGGCAGAGTGGAAGAAGCTCTACCTCCGGCCGGGGGCCAAGGAATGTGTGCAGAAGCTGCGTGATGCGGGGTTCACGGTGTGGTGCTTCACGGCCGGCGACATCGCGCGCGTGGGGGGATACTTCAAGCTGGCGGGCGTCGACATGCCGGCTGAGAACCTGCTGAGCTGCGACACCGAGGGCGTCGCGAAGCCGGTGCCGAGTGCGTACAAGCCGTTGTTGGAGAGGCTGACCAAGGACGGCAAGACGCCATGGTTTGCTGCTGCGCACATGTGGGACGTCTCGACAGCCAAGACCATTGGGTATGTCTTTTCCTCTTCTTCGTTTGAACCTAGGAGTCGATGAGAAGGGCAGACGGAGTTTGTGAACAAGGACTCATCACAGCTAATCCTTTCCTACCAGGTTTCACGGCGCTTATTCCACAATTTTGGAGGCCGAACCTCTGCCTGAAGTGTATGGAGAGATGGACGTGGTTGCCTCGACTCTACCTGAAATGGCAGATGGGATTATAGCTGCCACTCAGTAGTCGATCTACACCTATTATGCAGGAGTATATATTTACAGCTATAAATATTACTCGAATCCTCCTAGTCTCGTTGACGGGCAATTCGCAGCATTCTTCCATAGGCGTTCTAGTGCTCGTGTCTAAAATTGTGAAGAACGAAGAAGTGACCCTTTCAATGCCGGCTGTTAGGTGGTAATTGACTGGATAATCAGTTCAAATAATACGATGACTCGTGGCCAAGGATTGGGTTATACCCGACTTTACCCTCGCAGTTCTCAACCTTCAGTCTTCTCACATGCCATCAATGTTTGAGATATTTCCTGAACAACATTAGCTACAATTCTAACCGGTCCGGCAATTTGGAGCTTGTGCACTTAGACCGGATAATTATGTCTGCCTCTTTTCTAATAACGAAATCTGCCCATTTCTGATAAGCCCCGGCATCGGGCGCAGGGTCGAGGGATCCACCACTTCGTTTTCCCCCTTCAGACTGATTATGCCTCTAGACCTTCCACTCTTCGAAATAAGAGACATCCACACCGTCCAAGGCACCTGTCATTACCTATGAAGTACCTGAACACGCTTAGCTAAGACACCACCAGCCCCCGCGATCTGCAACATGGCACCCTCTGCGCTTCCGGTACCGAACTCGACCCTGCCCTTCTGGAGGACCGAGCTCCATCCGCTCGATAACCACAGGAGCACCCCTGAGCTTCCGCCCACGACCGACATCGCTATCGTGGGAGCAGGTTACGCCGGTGCTTCAGTTGTCTATCACATCTTGCGACACTGCAAAGAGCAGGGCACCTCGCCGCCGTCCATTGTGATTTTGGAGGCGCGAGAGGCCTGCTCTGGAGCCACAGGTCGAAATGGTATGTGAAGCCGCCGTCAATATGTGACATGTTCCAATGATGAAAAACAAAACCCGCCGACTGATGGTTACAATACAGGTGGCCACCTAAAACCTGATCCGTACAACAGGCCGTCGTCCCTGGCCGTGAGTCATGGCGTCGAGATCGCGGCCGAGTGTGCCGCTTTCGAGGCCGAGACGCTGAAGGCGGTCAAGACGGCCATCGAGGAGGAGCAGATTGAGTGCGACTTTGTGCTCACCCGAGCGGTTGACACCCTCATGAATGACGCTATCCACCAGCAGATGAAGGCCGGCGTGGAGCTGCTCCGGAAAGCGGGCGTCGATGTCATGAGGGACGTCTTCTACGAGGGCGACCCCGCCAAGGCGGAACAGCTTTCCGATGTGAAGGGGGCAAAAGCTTGTCTGAGCTATTCGGCAGGTCACTTGTGGCCCTACAAGCTCATCATGGCGCTCCTCCAAAAGGCTGTGGACGCTGGCGTGAACCTGCAGACGCACACTCCTGTCATTAGTGTTTCAGACGCTGCTGATAGTGAGGGATATTACTCCTTGAATACAAAGGAGAGAGGATGCATCAGGGCCAGGAAGATTATATACGCCACCAACGGATATACATCATCCATTCTGCCCGAGTTCGACGACAAGATCGTACCGTCCAGGGGAATCTGCAGCCGCATCGTGGTCCCAGAAGACAAAAAGCCAGCACCCTTGCTCCCTCACAGTTACATGATGCGCTGGTCATCCACAGAGTACGAATACATGATTCCCAGGCTGGATGGGAGCATCATCGTCGGCGGTGCAAGGTCCAAGTACTACAAGGATCTGGATAGTTGGTACAACAACGTTCAGGACGACAAGCTGATCACTAACGGCAATGCACACCACTACTTTGATGGGTATATGCAGAAGCACTTCAGGGGATGGGAGAACTCGGGCGCATACACCGAGAGCGTCTGGACAGGAAGTGAGTATCTTCTGCATTTTGACTTGATTACACTGCGTTTGAGATTTACTAAAGCTGACACTCTACCAGTCATGGGATACTCGTCAGATGGCTGCCCTTTCATTGGTGAGCTGCCCGGTCGGTCCAATCAGTTTGTCGTTGCCGGCTTTACAGGCCATGGCATGCCACAGGTGTTCTTGTCAGCCAAAGGCATTGCGAAAATGGCGGTCGAGAACACAGATTTCAAGAGCACGGGCATCCCAAGGATATTCCAGGTAACAAAAGAGAGGCTAGCCAGTAGCAAGAACAGCGTGATGGAGAGCTGGGCGGCACACACCTCGTCTCAGTCTAAGCTGTGACCTATTCACTCTCCGATCATCCTTCGAGGAAGTTTCCTGGGCTTTCTACGCGCTTTGGAATGTCTATAGTGTTGGATTTTTGTGTACATTTGATTTTTGCTCTAATCGAGGAGCACGTGTTACTATGCATGTTCTTTTTGCTATCCGGGCCTCTATCAATTGCCGGACTTCTCGAAATATCAAGAGCCATCGTTGAGTACTCTTTCGAAGCATTGGAATTATCCTAGCTAATTTCGTATCACATACTCAAAAGTTCATGCACATCTGGCAGACATATGTTGCACACAGAGGGGAGGGTTTGGACTATTTCAAAGATGACTTTCATCCTCAGAATTAATTCTCTAGCAAGCTTTCATCTCAGAAGATAATCATCAACCCCGTTCAAGACGTCGCTGGCGTTACATTAGTCGTTGTGAACGTCGCACAGTTTGCCCCAGTCGGGTCAACAGTGATCTGCGCAAGATCATCGTGCCCACTTTGGCAAGCACCATCACTAGAGACCATCTGGTCGTTCTGAAAGCTGACAAATGGAATGTCGGTCGAGGCGCAATCCTCAGCCAGGAACGTGGTGCCGTTGAAGCCCACGCAAGCCTGCTTGTCGACCAGGTCAGGGCGGAAGTCTGCAGTGAACGTCCTCTGGACAAGCAGGACATTCTGTCCATTCAAAGTGGATGGAGTCATCTGTCGATCGGCAGAGTCGTCCACGCAGGCGGCATCAACAATCTCCCCTGTGAAATCACTTTTATTAACTCTCGGCCCCATTCAAAGTCGTTGAAGTTGCTGCTGCTCACCATTGTTCCGGAAGGTCAGACACTCGTTACCAGGAACGCCATTGACCTCCTTGAAGACCGTGGTAGTTGAGCCTGCCTGGACTGCTGCATCGGCTGTTGTACTCGCCGAGGCGGCGGCGGCGGCGGCGGTGGTGCTGGCGGCAGCGGCAGCTGCCTTGTGGCCACCGCCGTGGTTTTTCCTGCTATCTAAGGTCATGGCTGACACGCTGGCAACAAGAAAGAGGATCGCCGTGAGCTTCATATTGCCAGATTTGCAACGTGCTGCGTTTGTGGATTATAAAAAAAGAGCCCGAATTCGGTGATGTATATAAATATTAAAAGAAAACGGAATACGACCTGCGCAAAACGAATGAGAAGTAACTTTGAAGAAAGGAATGTGATGAGATGCGATATGTTTCTCTGTAGCCAAATGTTCCTATCCGAAGGGGAATTGTAGGCGCCACTCCCATATAAATACTATTTACTCACGTCTCGACAATACTTCAAAAGCACCTCCTAACAGTCCATTTGGCATCTCGTCATGGAGGCGAGGCTAAGTCAGAGCATGCACCTTGCCCAAGGATGTTGACGATCAAACCTAGGGCTATTGAATATTGCTCCAATGTCGTCTGCGCAGGCGTTTCACCTGCCGAAAGGCTCTCCTTGTACGAGAAACAAGGAAGCAATACGCGTTCATCCCAAGAACCTGCGGGTTGAGCCGGTAACCTGATGATTGAACCAATTGGCAGATCTGTCAATCATCTGGTTTCTGATGATCGCAACAATGTTTCTTTTCAGCGGCGAAGTTGAAGCCTTTTACTCATGCAGCAGTCTGTAGAGGTCTTGTTAATCTCTTTGTCGCGCCAAGCAAGTATTGTGAGATTCTCCGTGTTGCATGAAGCGAGCAAGGCTTCAGGGGCTCAAACGTCTCTGGCGTTAGTGGACGACCCCCTGAGGGGCCCAGCAAAGTCGTTGACTTAACCGCCAGAGCCTAGCTCGCCCCACTGGCTTGCTTTGAGATCCATTTGCGCTTATTTACGCTCATTTAAGCTTGTTTTGCTAGTTGCAAATTTCCTTCATGCCCTGGAGCCCTAGCATATGTCTCGGTCCCATGATTATTAGGCACTGCGCATGAGTCTAAGGAGTATTGGCATGTAAAGCTTTGAGAGTTTAAACCTTTATACCTTGGAAATCTCTTACAAGCAAAAGAGAACAAATAAGAAGAGAAGACCGAGAGAGTGTGGCGTGTACTGAGGCAATTATTTAATTCGTAGCTTTTCTGCTGTTGGGATGGCACAAATCAGCCCTTGCAAGCCATAAGTTTCGAGTCTGGGTTTTTACCTATTCAAACCGAGTTTATTAATCCCTTTAAGCAATAATGCGTTTGCTTATGCATCATGAGTCTTTCGACATCGGCGGCGAGCACTCAGCCACGGACTGTCCTCAGTCGGGATGAGGTGAAATCATACGGCGGTGGTTGTGCATAGGATCACAGTCATCATTCAACAAGTCTGTTGCTATGAGACTAAAGCACTCCTTATTCCCATCCAGTAAAGCGTTACAATCTATTGTGAATGGTTCTGTCCGGGTCTAGGACATTTATATAGTTAAGGTAGATACTGTGTCAGTCGTGCAAGCTGTATATAAGCTCTTATCCTTCATCGAGCACTTCATTTATAAAGAGATCAGCCGCAATAATCATGCCTGTATCACTTCAGAATCTAAAGCAAACAGTCGACGATCAGCAGGGGTTTCTGCCATTGCAGGCTTCAAATTAGTCTTTGGTCCACTCACCGGACAGCAGAGTCTTCAAAAACGATCTCGTCAACAGTGCTTTGAATTCCACAGAGTCGTGCCCTCTTGATTCTGTTGAGCACTGCAATTTCTACAATGATCCTCTCTTCACCTTGAACTTTGCGATGTATTTCTAGATGTTGAGTGACCTGTGACATCGGCTGAGAGACTCATTTCGAGTTCTATTCGGGCAAGATCCACGGCCACTCGTACTTTAGATGCCCATGCTTATTAATGTAACGCCCCTAAATATATGTGTAAATGACAAAACTCCTGACAATCAACAACGCCATGTTGAGATGCTGTTGCCCCGTCGATGAAGCACTTTGTATTCGAGTATGCAAGGCTCTCTGTCATCGTCTAGTAGATTGCTTTTCGGTCCGAACAAAACTTGCCCAACGCCTTCAACTTGAACCAGTGACCACCGCTGGACCGTTCTCATTCTGGATGTCTTACACCGAAAACCTGATGAACACCGGAATTCCGGCTCCAGCGCCTCACGATATACCACTTTAAATCCACGTGATTTCAAGATCGTTGCAGTACTGCTCGTGTCGTTCATCGTTACCCGAGTCCAGCAAAAATGACGAGTCATCATTCGTATACTGGGACTGGTAATGGGGCACTGTGGCGACCCCGTGGTCATCTATCTGCCAAGGTCGTGTGGGTCCGTTGGTGACTTGAGGGTGTGCAGAAGAAGCTGAGTGACCAGCTCGGCACACAGTACGTCTATTGATAATGCTGATCAGGATCGTCAGGGTTCTTCTCAGGCAAGTCGTCCACATAAAAGCTGGAGCAATCGAATCATGATCACCGGAAACTAAACCAAAAATAGGTCTTTTTAAAACAATAAAGGAGAACGAACACACAAGGGGAGTAGACGAGAACTTCATTTCTGGCTGGCGTTTCGTATACGACCAAATAAGAGGAGAGCAAAACAGAGTATATATGAAGGAGATTTGTCGTGATACACGTACTGAGCCGTATATACTTGAAGTGCCAGACGAGGTCTACGGGTGCTTGCATAAACAGGCTTGCTTCCGCACGGGATAATCTTGGACGAATAGGCGAGAGTCGCGAGGCGCACTAGGTTTCGAAACGACTTGGCCATCAGAGAGTCGCACAGCATGGATCAGACGCGGTCAAGCTTCAAAATGATGGGCGTCCGGGCTGTGAAGTTTGGACACCGTGTATTTTAAAAAGAGACTCGGGGATGTGTGCCTGTTCATGGAATCAAGGTTACATCATGATAGTCACCTGGATACCAGGCGGTATCGGATGCATACTGCGCGTCAGACTGCAGGGGAAAAGGTCATGAGACCTATGAACGACGGTAGGGGATGGGCAGTCAGGAAGGCTAGAGGAAGGTACATCGTCTGAGCGCTCCCTCACTCAGAGATAACCACTTGAAGTTCGTCTATTGTGAACGTTGCTTTGCACTCATCTTCTTATCTTTGCTTGCTTCTGACAATATTCACTGCACTGAACGAGACTTGGCTGGATATCAACAAAGAGAAGAGCGCTTGAGAGGTTTATGCAAATCTGTCGCCCGCATCAGTCATACCTTGAAATTATGCTGAGTGGTGCTCAACCGAGACATGGCTGTTCACTCGCTCCGGAGATCCTTGAACAGCATGAGCGGGTCGTAGCCGCCATGGATCAGCGGCTTGGAAGGGAACATAGATAGATGTCATGCCGATCATGACGGATAACCTGTGGGGTGAACTCTGGGCGGTGGTGATGGCAAGGTCGGGTCTGGAGGCTTCAAGAGAGGCGTCCACCACCTGAGCGGTCGACACCCACAGGTGCAACCCTTGGCTGGGCTTGGAACCATTCAGAGGGGTACATACTATATGTATAGTAGTACATCAATACCTCTCTTCCCCGCGGGTTCAGGCTCAGCTCGCCTTATGAGGAATAAGGTGGGCTAGTATGGTGATCCAAGCAACCTGGTCATGAGGCTGTAGTGTTGACGTCGATGACACGAGATATCCTCTTCACTAGATCCTTTCCCCAATATGGTTGGAATGGTGAGTTCTCACTCGTCGCAGTTGGGAGAGACTATGAACAATGTCCAGGGGAAAAAAAGTGGGAGGCAAAGAGACGGGGCATGCTCGTGAACGTGAGGCCTAGAGAGGTCACCACTTTGCCTCAAGTCCTCGGTCAAGTAGAAATATACAAGTATGGCAGCTGGTTACGTATGAAGATTCAAAGGAAGAAAAAGTGGGGCACATAACCGGTCTGATAAGTCTACGACGCGATGTACATGGTCTAGAAGGGGGAGTTTGTGGCTTTGTTGACGCCGATCGTAGCGGATGATAGGCTCGGAGACGCGATTAGCGAGGTGGCGTGAAAACAACCCATAGCCTGACCTGGACTTGATTGTACAATAAGTTGACGAGGCGCGGGTCGGGCAGAGGCATCTACTACATGTCGCAAGTATGATCGAATCAGTGCGCAGACAGACGTGCTGCAAGTGACAGGGGAGACCCATACGAGGGCGCAGTGACGGCTTATACTCAGAACGGAAGCCTGGCTTAGCCACGGGCCAACAAGAAGTGCAGAAAGCCGCCACCGTCACTATCCTGCTATGTGTATAGTACGTTAGAGATGAAGGTGACGAAGGGATGGCACCGTTCCATCTGAGCATACAAGGAGGTTGAGCTGCTTTCGACGTGCCACAACGCTCTGATGCCACCAGAGAGTGTGCAGGGTGATACGGAAGACACCTGGTCCGCACAGGTGGCGACAAAGTGACGACGATGAGCCCCTGGCTCCCTCTCTACATAATTAGTACACCATGAGGAAAGCGACTAGATGATAACCACAATCATATGAAGACGGGTTTTCCTCATCCGAAAGAGAGAGAGAGAGAGAGAGAGAAAAGAAGACCAGGGCTACCTGAAGGTACAAAGGCAGTTCGAGTCTGGAGAAGGTGGTGTGAATGAGAGAGTGGATTCTCTTTTTGGGTGGAAGGATGGATTGTGTGACCTGAGTGGACCAGAAGGAGAAGAGGACGACGATCATCTACAAGGAATAATGACAGGGTGGCAGACGGGAGGATGAGGGTCCAGAATGTTCAATGGAGGGGTGTGCTCAGCTTGTTTACTTTCCTTGACTTTTGTTCTTCTTTTCCTGCTAGCGACGAGTGGCCGCCAGATGGGGTGTGTGGCATTCTTGTCTTGGATAGGTGGTGTGCATGAGGGAGAGTGCATAGGGGTGTGCTTGGAGGCTGACCTGACAAAACACAACCCCGAGCGATCCAGCTCGCCTCTGGACATCCCACCTCCA